GGAGGGTAAGGATAGGGAGGGTAAGGATAGGGAGGGTAAGGATAGGGAGGGTAAGGATAGGGAGGGTAAGGATAGGGAGGGTAAGGATATGGAGGGTAAGGATAGAAGGGTAAGGATGGGTAGTAAGAATAGAAGGTAAGAATAGGGATAGGAGGGTAAGGATAGGGAGGGATAGGGGAGGATATAGATAGGAGGTAAGAATAGGAAGGGTACGGATAGGGAGGGATAAGGATAGTTGGGAGCGATGGGACAGGGCAGGAAGGGGAAGAACAGGAAGTAAAATGGGAAAGACGATGGGTATAGGGAGATAGGCATAGAAGAACGGTCACAGAACAACGAAAGACACGAAAGAAATAGGAACAAGAGCTGACAACAAAGTTGGCAACAAGAAATAGGAGCAGCAAGGAACAGCTGCGAAGACAACGACAAAAGACAATAGGAAACAGGAAACAGGAAACAGGAGCAGCAAGGAACAGCTGCAGAGAGAACAACAGAGATGACAACAAGAAATGGCAACAGCTACTGGAAGATAGGGGAGATGGAACAGCAAAAACAGTTGTGGAATGGAAACAAGAGATAGGAACAGCAAGGAACAGCTGCGAGATGACAAGGAACAGGAACAGGAACAGTAGGAACAACTGCTGGGACAAGAGAAATGATAACAGGAAATGGAATGGGAACAAGAAATGGGAACAAGAAAGATGACAACAAGAAATGGAAACAGCAACAGTAAGAACACTGTTGGGAAGAATAGGAAATAGCAACAGTTGGAACAACAGTTGGAATAGGAGAGATGACAATAGGAAATAGGAACAACGAATGGGAATAGGAAATAGCAACAGTTGGAACAACTGTTGGAATAGGAGAGATGACTATAGGAAATAGGAACAGCAAAGAACAGCTGTGATATGAGAACAGAAAGCAGCAACAGTTGAAACAACAGTTGGAATAAGAGAGATGACAAGAGGAAATAGGAACAAGAGAGACGACAGCAAGAAATTGGAATAGCAGGAACAGCAGTGATGTAACAACGAAATCCAACAACAGCAAGAACAGCAGTTGGAACAAGAGACATGACAACAAGAAACAGGAACAGTAGAAACAGCTATGGGATAGGGACAAGATATGGGATCAGCATAGAACAGCTGGGAAGAGAACACACAGAGAGAAGAGGAGAGAAACAGGCGAAGGGCAAGAAGGGCAAGGGAAGAGTCCGAGGGAGGAATGACTTGCCTGGAGGAAACAGTACCAGGGCAAGAGAAGAGAGTACAGGAAAAGGCGGAAGAGAAGACAAGCCGTGAAATGGCCAGAGACAAGAAGAAGATAGAAGATGAACACAGAGCAGAAGAGAGTATGAGATGTAGAATAAGAAAGAGCAGGAAGAGGAAACAGAAAATGAAGAGAGGAATGCCAGATTTGTGTGGAAGTTGTATGTATTGACTGTTGCAAGTATGAAGAGGAAGAATGGAAGAAGAGAGAAATCAACGGGGAGGAAGAAGAGGATATATATAGTTCTGTAAAGGCCCAAAGATCTACTCGAGCTGAGCTGAGCCAGTTCTGTTGTGATCATCTGCAAACTCAACGGTTGAGGCGCAGTGTGGGTTTTGATATGGATGAGGCTGTGGCCCGCATTGTGGAGTCGCCCGTTGAGAAACCGAAGTGGACCAAAGAAAAGGAGATCTGCAGCCTGATCACGTACCGTATCGCGAGGCGGAGGCGGAAAGGGGAGACCAGAGGCGGGGTCTCGAGGAATAACATGGTCGTCCAGGGCGAAACAAGGTATATCCAAACCTTAACGGTCGGCGAACAATTCAGCGCATCATAACAGATCGGCCGGGTCCCAGCCTCATTGCCATTCAAGCACTTCCACAACCCGGCTCAACGACGTTGCCTAGTCATAACCAGCAAGCAGACAGAATGTCTATCACGAGCGTCGACGGCTTGAGCAGAGCGGACCAAAGCACCAACCTCCTGCTGACGCACTGGTGAGAGCTTGGTGGTTGACGCAGTCAATGGCTAATACCAACACAGTTCGGATATCGTCATGGGGAGTTTCTGTTGTCGCAGCCTTGGATATCGGAGCTTGATGCGAGTTCTGTCGGCAGACGTAGTGGAGATCCATTCATGATGCGTGAAGTGGGAGCCTCCTGCGTGGACGCATGATGGTCGAGCTGACAGTTTCAGCCTTGATGCAGCCAAACGCGGAGGAAAGCCTCCTCCGCTTCCGTTTCAGAGCTGAGGTGGCTGGTCTGGATTTGACTTTGGTGTGTGGACGGCCGCTGATCGTCTTATTCAACAACCTTCTGCACCGCGAGGACATCAATCCACTTCTTGTCGCCCTTCGGCCGCCGAACGCCTCCTTCGCTCGCCAGTAACGATTCGCCTTCCTTGCCAAAAGCAATCAGCTGTTCCTCGCTGCCCCATTCTCCCATGGCCTAGTCGAGAGTCAGTGGTGCGTGATTTTCAAAGAGAAGGGAGGATCAATGCATACCATCAGCCCAACAGGGACACCCGCGTCAGTGTAGCCCATAGGACAAGTAATGGCCGGGGCGCCGGTAAAGTTCGCCATATAGACATATTCCATGGACCTCAAGCTCATGTCTCCATCACTGACACCGTATCCGCTGGTGACATCGCTGGGCTTGCCGATTTTCCAGCCCGCGCAGGGCGTTGTAGGCGTCAGGACCAGCAGTCCGGGGTACTCTTCCCACAACCAGGCGAGATGACACATCAGAAGATTGCGTAGCTTTTGAGAGAAAATGAAATCTTGTGCCGTGGCATGACTCCCGGCCACATTGAGCAGGAGTTGATTATGCCATGTTAGCTGCTTGATCTTGTCAGTGCTATATTGGCTGCGAGTCTCAGATAGAATCGTCAGGGCATGGGCTTTTTGACCTTGTGGGAGAAGGGGGATCGAAATGTCGACAACTTCGTAGCCATGGACTTTAGTGTAGCGTTCAACCGCAGCATTGAACATGTCAAGGACGACCGGATCGGACCGATTAATCCAAACACGATCAATGCCTAGATATTTCCGTCCCTTGGGCAGGCCTGATAATGATTCATTCGTGACTAGAGGATTGGGAAATCGAGAGCTCCGTCTCGCAAAGGAGTCTGGTTGAGCCATGATGCGATAGCCCAGGGCGAGGTCGTCGATGTTGCTAGCCATGGGGCCATTGACCACGACGCTATCTGTCCATTCATGATCAACTCTCGAAGAGACCCGGCCGTGGGTCGGCTTCAGGCCGTAGATGCCACAGAAGGCTGAGGGCAGACGGATAGAACCACCACCGTCCACTCCCAGTGCAATGGGACAAATGCCCGAGGCGACAGCAAATGCTGAACCGCCTGAGCTGCCGCCGGTGTAATAGTTGTTGTTGTGAGGGTTCAAAGGCGTGCCCCAGTTAGGGTTGTTGTTGGTTGTGTCAAGGCCAGCTTCGTGCATGTTGGTCTTGCCAATGATCACGGCGCCGGCCTCCTGCCATTTCTCGACACACCAAGCTGTCCTGTCTCCCGGGTCCGAGAAATCCAGCTTTGTTCCCAGGGTCCTTTTGTATCCCTTCAAATGGACTTCGTCTTTCACGGTCAACGGCACCCCGTCGAGCATGCTCAGTGGTTTGCCCGCCCGATACCTGTCCGTCGATGCTTTCGCAGCTGCCCGGACAATGTCTACTTTAGAGTCGATGAAGGCGACGGAATATGGACCTGCCGGTTCAACATCACGTCGGATCAGAGGCAACAGATGCTCCACGACATCTGAAGGAGTGACTGTGCCAGACTTGTACAGTTCATGAAAGTCGGCGCAAGTGTAGTAGTTGATTGAAGAGGCTCGAGGGGGAGGTGCCGGTAGGTCGGTCAAGGGTGCCGCACTTTCAGAAGGCGAGGAGATAGGGATGACCGTGGGATCGAGGCGGATCTCGTACTGGTCAATGCCAGCGGTGTCTTTGAGCTTATCGAACTTGTTGAGTTTCCACAGGACGCTCTGGATCCACGCAGACGAAGCGACACTGGCAAACTGAGTTAATGACAAGGCCGAAGACGATCTATCGTCAATTCATACATTCTCGAGACTGCAGCCAAGGCATAGCCCCGAAGCACGGGGTTCGAGCCTGCATCGTTTTGATAGGGAACGTTGGGCCCTTTGCGGGCTTGCGGTCGGTTCCAAGCGTTTGCGAACACTGCCTGAGTCGACATTGCGGGCTGTCTACAGACTTCTCAGAGCATGTGCGAGGGATTTGTAGGGCCGATCAGGTCGATATCGACCAAGGTTTGTATGAGGTTGAAGGCGACCACGTTCATTTCAGCTGCAACAACATCTCATCGCCGAAGCGACTACAGATAAGGGAGTGAGGAAGTGGTCGTCTTACTACATGCTGACCAGGCCCCGTCAGATGCGGAGAGAGGCGTCTGACAAAACGGTTGCAGCCCGGGGTGCTGACCGATAGCCCTGAAGATACCTCAATCTCATGCAGCTGGACATAGAAAAGGTTGTCAGACAAGTCTCATTTTCCATGGTGTCCGGCTCTCCCCCCTCCGATTGGCCGTCCTCAACGACAACATGGTCGAGCCTTTCCACCAAGCCTCCACCGAAAGAGGTCGGGCAAACATGCTCATTCCACCTTGGAGAATGGGGTTGATATTATTTCGGTGCGATATGACCTGCAAGTGCTGCTTGGCGCGTGTTGAGCACGCGATCATAGAGGTGTTGATCCTTGTGCCACAGAAGACGGAAACTGATACTGAGGTGCGACCAAATACTGTGTGAGCTATCGAGTGTATGATAAACAGCGCTGCTTGCGTGGATGTTGAACCCTATGAACTTCACTGGTGATACTGCCTGTCCTTCACGTCCTAACACAAGCAACACTTGACACACCATGTTTCCCACGGGCAAAACCAAAACTTTGCGATGCAATAATGGTAAAAAACTCAGGCTCGAACCGTCTTTGACCCCGGTTCGAACCCCTGTGAAAACTCACCACTATCCTCTTTCACAGAAGACAGAAGCTGGGTTTTTATCAGGTAACTTCATCTCGTTGATGCACATATCCTCCGCTAGCACTTGCTTGGGTTGCAAGGTACTGCTATGGGCGAGCTCTGACTCTCACCGAGGTTGTACCAATCGAGTTGGGTTTTTGGTTCTGAAGTTGACTGAAATTCCGCGACTAAAATACATAACCCATGGGAAAGGGATGACACGTGAGCGGCCCAGTCAGGTGCAAGGCAGTGAATGAACAGAAGTGAGGTGTTTGATATCCACGGCTTTGCGAGGTCGAGGGACGCCCAGAGCGAGGTGATACTTGTCTGGGTTGCTCCTGGCGGGCATCCTCTGATATACTTACATATACGGAAGAGTCCTACGGCACATAACGGGCACACTTCTGTGTCAACCATCGATAATTGAATATAGAAGTAGGAGGATAGAGCTTCAATATAAACTCCTCAGCCTTGTCCTGGGACGCGGTCATCCATATGTTTGGTCATGATTCAACCATCCCACAGTAGGATCGTGGCTACAACATCAGCTCCACGGTAGCCATAGGTTAAAGGCCAGAAGAGCATTCTTCAAGGACGACCTTAATGTAGACCCGGGTGTTGACCGAGATAATGCCTGAGAGTGTTATGCCCCTTTTCTGACGAGGCTGCCGCATCCAGGGTCCAGCTAAGCGCCAAGCGTTGGAGAAGCCACCTCTGTAACTTTTCTGGGACGACTCGAGGACGCAGATGCACCAAGGGTCTCACGACTCTGGCCTTATGCTTTCCCTATACCACTTGTCTTGACTGCCGTCTACCGGCCTAATTCCTGCTTCATATACTACGTCTGGCGTGTACCCGGTCCAAGCCATTGTTTCTCTCCATCACCTCTGATCGGTCTCGAGTCATCACAGAGCGGCCCCAGCGGCTCGCGCCAACCCGTACACGATGTCGTCCTCCGAATACAACTATGATGACCAGGGGCAATTCTTCCCATTCTTTATGCTGACTATGGTCGGCCTGGTCACAGTGCCTCTCACGTTCAACGTGCTCAAAGCCTCCACAGATCTCGAGCAAACTGCGGCGCGCATACAATCCGACTTCAGACCCAAGAATGATGACCTGATCGAGGCGCAGCGCAGGAGGCGGAAGAGGAGAGATCGCAAGACGAAGCGCATAATCGCGGTGGTACTGGGGTACGCCTTCATGACCTACATGATCTATCTCATTGTCGTCACTCAGCGGACGATACCGAAGATGTGGGATCCATATGACATCCTTGGGGTTTCGAGGGTAAGTCGAGTCGCGTCGCGCCACCAGCGGCGCATCGCATGTGTCTCTTGAGACTAAGTTTTGTTTCTGTCTAGAGTGCCACGGAATCGGAGATCAACCGGTTCTACAAGCGTCTGTCTGTCAAGTATCACCCGGACAAGGCGAGACCGGATCCCGCAAAGAACGAGACGCTCGAGACCGTCAACGACCGGTGGGTCGAAATGACCAAAGCGTATAAGGCGTTGACGGACGAAGAGATTCGAAACAATTACTTGCTCTACGGCAACCCAGACGGCAAACAGTCCACCAGCATAGGCATCGCTCTTCCCAAATGGATGGTTGAGGAAGGCAACCGGTGGTTTGTCGTCGCATTCTACGGTGTCCTCCTAGGAATCATCCTACCCTACACCTTGGGGAAATGGTGGTATGGAACGCAAGCCGTCACAAAGGATAAAGTGCTCCACGCCAGCGCCGGCAACCTTTTTCGAGAATGGAAGGAAGACATCTCAGAAGGCGGGGTCATTGCTGCACTGAGTGTTGGAGACGAATTCAAAGAGATCTTGAAGGGGCCCAGAAGCGACGCCGGGGCCGCCAAAGTCGAAAGCAAAGTACTCAGCAGTGCGGCCTTGACAGAATCTGACAAAGCGAGATTAAAAGCCATCGAGGATCCCGTGCGACGCAAAGCGCTAGCCCTTCTGTGGGCGTACCTCGCTCGGATCGACCTGGAAGACCAAGAACTAGAGAAAGAGAAGTACGAGATCGCCCCAACGGCTCTGCTCCTCAACAACTCTTTCACGTCGATTACACTACCGTTCGGTGTGGTCAAGCCACTCCTCGCCTCCTACCACACTTCTCAGAATATCATCCAGGCAGTTGCCCCAGGCTGGTCACCCCTTTTACAACTCCCGAACATCACTCCTGAGATCGCCGCCAAGGTCTCCGAATCATCGCATACACCAACAACTCTACAGAATTTCATGGCTCTCCCACTCCAAGTCAGAAGGAAGGTGCTGTCCCCGTTGTCAGATGTCCACTACCAACAAGCCATGAGAGTCGCGTCTCAAATCCCACACCTTCAAATCGCAAAAGCGTTCTTCAAAGTCGTCGGCGAGCGCGTCGTCACCCCATCCTCTCTGGTCCAACTGGTGGTCAAAGCTCGAGTAATCCCTCCCGGCACAAAAGACGTCCCGGCGATCGACCCGCTCGACCTCGAAGACATCGACCCGGACGAAGGCGACCTTGACGCCCTGCATGGTCGCAAATCCGCGAAATCGAAGCGCCGCAAACTCCCCGACGGCCGCTTCGTCGAGGACGACTCCCAAGAAGGATCCGTCCAGCCTCCTTTGGCGCATGCCCCATATTTCGCCGCAGACCATGCGCCGCGATGGCATGTGTTTTTGTCTGAAGCACGGACGGGCCGCATCGCCGTACCCCCCTTCGCTTTCACCGCGTTCGACAGACCCATCTTCCACGCGGACGGCACGCCCACGTTCAACATGTTGACGTTCAAATGTCCGTTCCAGGCGCCTCCGCAGGTCCACGCGTTCCCCTTCACCATGCATCTTGTCTGTGACAGTTATATTGGATTGGATTCCAAGATCGATGTCGTACTAGATGTCAAGGATGCAAGCGAAGCTAATGTGGTCGAGAGTGATGATGAGATCAGTGAACCTGACGAAGGTATGTCTTTCAACTTGTTTCTCCCTCCAACAACCCTTGAATAAGGGAAAGGGGGCGACGACTACTGTTTGATGAAGAGAAACCAATACTAACGATACTTCTTGTTGCTCTATAGACTCATTAGCAGGCCAACTCCATGCGATGAAGACCGGCGGATTGACTGGCGGCCCCCCGACGACGACGACGACAAGGAGAAAGAAGAAGCCCAGGACGTCTTCAATCCCTCAGAAGGATGTCCCTGTGGCCAGCGCGGGTTCTAAGGGTCTAGGTGACGATCACGACGACGATGACGACGACAGCGATACCGAGGGTTCGGACGACGGCACTTCGGATACCGATACCGATACGGACACGGAGACCGAGGATGAGGACTCGTGATCTGATATTTCGTCTAGGAGGAGACAATATCCAAAAAAATGTGTCTTTTTCAGACCTTGTATGGATTTCCCTGGCATGGCTTTTGTTTTTGACGGCAAAGGGTATGTCAATGTATGATATCCTTGACCAAAAGCGAGCTGGGCCAAAAGAGCATATTGTCGCATGGCATGGATGGGACGAGTAAGCTATATTCTAAACCATTGAATGTGGCCTCTATGGCGCACTAAGTTCAGCCTTTGATTCAGGAACCCCGAGTCTGTTTCTGTTCCGGATCCCCTCGAAGACAACATCTCCCCGCTTCAATCAGCCTGATTGGGGCTTCATTGTCTTCTTTGGATATGCGTCTGTCTATTTCTTACTGGCGCCATTCATCTCATTCATCCGTTCCGCAACCCTCTCCCGGCCGTGATGCATATACTGCAACGTCTTCTTGTACTTTCGCTCCTGCGACTGCATGGAGAGCTGGGTGAGTGCGAGGGCAGCGAGACCGAGCACGCCTCCCACGCCGACGAGGGTACGGGTCTGCATGGTGGGTTGTGGGTTGTTGGGAGTCGGTTGTTGGTTGTTGCTAGTGATCTTTCAGTTTGTGGAAATGTCACGAAAATGACAATGTTCTTGTTTCCTGGTGTGCTGAAGCCGGTGAGCGCTAAGTGGTGTGATGTGGTGTGGTTTGGAGCAAGGCTTGACGCGAGAGAGTAGAGATATGGTGCCGTGAGATTTATCCCGAGTGTTGGTAAAGCGAGAAGTAGTGGTTGTTAGGTATAGTAGTGTGACAATTGATGTCTCACCTTTCCGTTGCAACTCTGAAGATCTCCACGAAGGGCACCTCAGGTAGCCTGCTCGATGGCTTGTGCCACGGAACGATCCACGTGAGGTTTGAGGGAAGAGGCAGGCAGTGTAGAGAACGGGGAGTTTGCCACCAGCAGGTGGTATGTGAGTGACTCGGAGTCTGGCGGTGAGGACGAGTATACAGCCAATGGAGGGTTGAACGCTTCTTGACAAGGTGGAGGCAAACTTGGATCGCTTGTTGTAAGTAGTAGTAAGCCGACGACGACCTTGAAAGAACTTTAGGAAGGTGTGTATGTATGTGAGCGCCGACTGCTCGGTACTACTACTAAGTACTAGACAGACCAGCTTGCGGGGTGTGAGTAGTAGAGAGTAGAGAGTAACACCAGAGCAGGAAGTGACAGGAAAAGATAGGAAGATTGAAAAGGTCGCTTGTTCTCCGTGCTTGACCCTTTCTCTTCCTCCCCTTCTTCCTCACTGCATTCCTTGCTCTCCTCTCCCTCTCGCGACCCTGCGTCCGTCCTCGTGACAATGCCAGCCGAAAGTGACAACCGTGGGGAAAACAAGGTCAGGGCAAAGAGGGGGAAAACACGGGGGGAGGACAGAAAGTCACATTGACAGGGGAGGTGGTGAGGGAGCCACAAGCAAAGCAAACCTGGGGAAAGGGCCGGGCCCAAGGTCTGCCCCTACATGGCCGGAGAGATCGACCTTCGACTCTACCTGGATACCTAAAGTACCTAGATAGGTAGCCAAGGTACTGTACCTGAGGGAGGCGGCAGCGCTCATAGGCAGCAGTAGTTCAAGTTCAAGGTTAGGGCGTCGAAGTTCGAAGTTCAAGTTGTACCCCAGGAAACTCAAGCTGACGGCCTGGAGGCAAGAAACGGAGGGGATGTCCTTAGTACTAGTAGCCTAGGGAGCCCCATTATTGCTATCACTGCCTATAGACCCCCGCATAGTACTAGGTACGTAGTAGTAACCACCAGCGCGTCCTCCGCACTTTTGCTCCACTCACTGGCACTCGAAGTTCCAATTTAGTACGGAGTAGGTACCTAGTCATGCCAACGTGAACGACAACACAACCAGAAGGAGAGAAAAGAAAAGACTTGAAACGAAAAGGAGAAAAAGGAAAGACATGCTATAGTACTTTACAATGAAGAGATCCAGTCATGAGATATATATCAGATATAGTACATAGGTAGGTACATGTGCGAGATACTTCAACCGATGATATGAGGTTACGTACAATCAAATCGGATTGATATGCGGGATTTGAGCCTCGCCGTAGGCCAAGTACCTCTATCCAAGGTCCTTTTGGTGGTTGACAGCCATCTTGCCTTGGACATAATTGTTTACCTAGGTAGTTAGATATATTGATTGCATCTACTCCCCACCCAACCATCGAAGCGACGTATAGAGGGCGGCCCAACAGCTGCACCTTCCCTCAGCCTTATAGCCTTGCAGGATTACAGCTGGAGACACCACGCTCAGAAGCAGTGTCCAGCATTATCATGGGGCCAACCCTTAGCAGCCATTGCAAGAATCAAATATAGTCTCTCTTGTCGCATTATGTTGCTTCCAATGCCTCAAAAATTTGACGCCTTGGACAGCACTCTCTCCAACGTCTCTATGGGGGTTATCATCGTATCAAAACTCAGCGTGCCCTCGAAACAAGACACCGAAGAAACCTGGCGACGCCAGAATCTCGACGTTTGGGTCAGTTGGGCCCAACCTTGGTGATCCCTCAACCTTCAGCATCCACAAAGACATCCACGTCACTGGTCTCGGTGTCGGCTCTCTTCAACGGCCTGTGGCCCTGCGGGACCATGGTTTGGTGCATTTTCAGATTCGACATCTGGCTCCTCATGTTGGACATATCCTCGTCGTCATCCATAATATTGGCCGTCTGTGGTGCATTGCCACCTGGGGCTTTCACAGTAGTCGATTCATGCACTGGAGCCTGATTAAGATTCGGCGGAGGCAGGATTGGATAGGCGGGTAGAGTGCCAGGCTGCGACGGCGCCCGGGGCGGAACTGTAATAGGTGGCTTGGAATCGAAGTCGATCAGGTTATCTGAGGCCTGCTGCGGCTTCGATGGAGTTGCCTGCGGTTGGCTCGTCTTCTGCTTGGCAGGCTCCGGTTGAGGATGAGACTGTGGCTGATGGTATTGCTTCGAGCCGCGTCTATCAGGGTTCCCCTGACCCGGCACAATCGGCGCAATGGAGAGAATCTTCTCTTCCAACTCTTTGGGATCCTTCGAATCACTACAGCGGAGTCAGATGAGGCAACAAGACGTCAACCACGACAAAACTTACAGATGAGCATGGATGATCCATTCCAGATCTTCCTCGCCTTCTTCCGAGCCACCCTTCCTGGAGTCGACTCTCCGGAACAGCTGAGGTTGCCATTCTACTCCCAACTCTTCTCTTCGTTTGGCTTCCTCCCTTTGTTGCTCTTCGATCTTGGCCTTCTCGATCGTGGCATTTTCGTGGTCGACCGCCTTCACGGCCTGGACGGTCTTGTACCAGAGTTTCTGAGATTCTCGATCACCCTGCTCTTCAAGAGGCCTTGTTCGTGGAGGAGAATGTCTGGCATGGGTCGCGTCAAACAGAAGCTTCTTCTGCCCGGTCTTGACGTCCTTGATGAACATTTCGCCTGACCACAACCCGGACAACTCGAAAAGGACTTCGCCCGTCTTCTCGTTTTTGATCCCGCCGCCAATGCTATTGTAGGTTCCCCCCACCCAGCCTTTGGTCTTGAATTCAATGTCGGCGCTGAGGCCGGTCTCCGGGCATCGAACGTAGGAATGGTCGCCCAACTCCAATTTCATCTTCCCGAAGAGAATGCCGCGAGCGTACATGTTCGGCTGCGTCAAGACACTGCAAAGAATCAGTCCAAGCCCACGTTTGCTGTCTGTCACACGTACTATTTTTCACCACTTTTCGACTTTCCCCGATTCGTGAACCGGAGATAGGATATGCCCTCCATCATACTCGCGGCCGAGTTGCCGAGGAATTTGCTTCGGGGTTTCAAGGTACCGTCAACCCGGATATGATGATACGGAGCCATGAAGAAGTATGAGGACTTGGGAGGATGGTGGGACGTCTGTTCGGCAATGTAATAACCACGAGTCCCGTCCGGGTAGTCCCAATAGCAGGTAAACGTCTCGCCGAGGATGGGGTTCAATGGCTTCTTCACACCACTACAGAGACCGTCAGTAAATTCGGCGCATCCAGATAAGTAGACTACATACGGAGGTCTGATGTGCCAGCCACTCAAATAGAATTTGATCACTGCGACGAATCGTTCGGTGGGATCTTCGATCTCGGGCATGGGGAGAAGCGTGTCGGGATGGGCCATAAAGCTGACGTACAGGTCAGCGAATGATCCATCAGCCTTTCATGTCGCGTCCTTACTTTGTTATTCTTTCCAACATCGACCTGGGCTCCAGAATGAAAGTGGGCAATGTGACCCGGGACAAATCTGCCCCGGGCCGCAATTGAGAAATGATGTGTGAAAGAACTGTCTCTTATCAGAACATGTGCGCACTGGCCGGAGGCATCACTCATACCATTTCCCTGTTCTGGCTCGACCACCGTGGTGTCGTCGCCTTCGGCCGGGTCTCGAGTGTCGTCGACTGAAGCAGATGAAGATCGATGGGCTGGGAAATGGTCAGCTGGATTGCGCCCACGCGTCCCGCACGAGCAGGACCCTACTCTTGCGAGACTCACTGCGACTACGCAGAGCTCCCCCTATGGAGTGCTTCATCTTGTGGGAGGTACGGCGAGCATGCAAACTCAGGAGGAGCCTGTTTGTGATGAAATAGTAGTCGGCACAGACTTGAACAACAGGCCGTAATATGACGTCGTGGGGATGGTGAGCGGGTTGGCGGGGGCAGCCTGCGAGATTTCCTGCTAGCGACGCTGGGTCAGAGCGGGAGGATCGAGTGAGATGAGTGAGGTAGGTACCTAGGAAGGGAAATTGGTTCGTAAGAGGTGATGATGATGGGCGCAAGCAGGTATATCGTTGTTGTACCTTAGGTTGGTAGGTAAGGTACCTACGTAGTGTAGTGTCGTTTGTCCGGAGCAAGTGGAAGAAGTTGATGCCCAGTGGCAGTGTCACACTCCAGGCAGACAGAGAGAAGACCAATCGTTGGTTGATGTCTGCACAGTGCGAGGGACAAGGAGTAATTGCAGCGATCAGCTGGAGTCCCAAAATGTCCGCTTTTCGGACAGTGAGTCAGTAAGGATTCGGAGTTAGTATTTGCTCCCGGTGGCTTCGATTCAAGTTCTGGGCGGTTGGCAGCCATCAAATGCCAATGATGATGGCATAATATTACACACAGGCCTTTGGGTAGGCATTATTATAGTTTTATTATTCTTTTAGGCTTGGGTACCACCGAGTAGCTGCTTTATCTTAGGTACCTTAGGTAGGCACTTTACAGGTGTTTGCTAGTATACAATAATAGCAAATCTAAGGGCTCCCCAAGTAAGTACAGAGCTTACTCGTATCATTCGTATATTGTCCGCTCTATTAGGTACCCTACCTACCGTCTAATAATGCTTGGAGATGTGGCCAGCAAGTTTACAGAGTACATCCTCTGCACCGGCTCTTACCTGATCCCTGAATTCCGAAGCCTCCACATGCACACTTTATCCAAGCCTGCCGTGTCCATCGATTGGCTATACGTCTGTCGTCCACGAACAACATGAACCTCATAGACTTGGCAATAGGACCGCCCACAGAGTACCTATGTAGAGAGTAATCGCCTGCGTGGCCCTAGTCCCCTCGCGGGCACCGAATAGGTCTAGAAATCAACCAAACCAAACCAAAACCACGAACAACCTCAACCTCAACACCGTGACCTCTGTGTTCGATCGGTTGAGCTGCTGCCGGTGACAGTCATACTCTCGGCTCGAGCTTGTTAACTTGGACTCGATCGATCTTCCTCTGTGACCCGTTTCAACAAGACCGCTGGTGCTTTATACAGCATGACATGGAAGTGCTCTGGTCTCGATCAGTCGAACTGGATAATGGCCACCATAGATTCTTCGTTGCCAGCAGGGAAACGGCACCTACCTAATGCATGGACGCTTTTCAGACTCTTCCAGTTTTGAAACCATACGATCTGGTTTCTGTTCACTCTCTGTTCTCCTTCTGCCTCGTTGGAACAGAACGTCCTGACGATGAACGTCTCGATACTGGCGTGGGCCTCAGCCGTCACCTGCCGGGTGGTCTCGTCCTCCGCAATGAGGAACTTGGTCCACACCACGAGATGTGTAATGTCTTGGTCGATGTGATACGGCCAGTTGTTGTAGAGGATCTTGTAGTCTGCCGGATTTTCAAACGGCGGGTCACCTGAAGGGGTGGGATTGTCCCAGCGAAGGAGTTCATGTTGGATATATGCCGCCACCGAGCCATATTGACTTTTGAGATGGTAGACGTGTTTGAGATATGCGCGTAGGTCACTTGGACGTCGCTGGAACTTATCGATGCGGTTCGTCCCTTTAGTCACACAAGGTTAGACCTCGTGGGAACCTGTACTTCCATCACCGAAGTGCTGGGAGATGTTGTTCTCGCCGCACGTACTGACTAGTTCCTGCACTTCCTGCCACGACAGTCTGTGGCAGTCCTCATCCTTACTGAGCAGGATCCCAATGTTCTTCTGGCCGATGCCGATAAGATATTCGGGGCACTCTTTCGTCCATTGGTCTCTGGGAAGACCGAAGTTCCAATATCGGATGGAGAGGTCGTCAGGGTCAGGAGTGCCGGTTCGAGGCGTGGGATGCACTGAATGTGGCATCTCCCCTTCCTCAAATACTATGCACGTTCAAGACACTTGGCTGAACGATTCAAGTTAGGTATGCTCGTTGCATTCGTTCTTGGAAAGGAGTGTGGTTCTTGGAGGTGGGCTTCCAAGTCGTGTTGGATGTTCATAAAACATGGCACGTATCTCGTAACCCGTAACCCGGAACACACGTCTTCCGGAGGCAATCCGCCGTCTCTAATTGTATCTTGAGTGTGAGGCGCCACCTGATTCCCGCCTCGCTCAGCTGTTACATTTTGTACTCATTTACGCCTTGGTCAGGCTTTAAGCAAGCTATCTGTGGTGCCTTTCCAGTGCACCTATTGCCGCCAATGCCACCTCTAACCTCGTAGCACCGATCGTTCCATTGTCTGACCAAATCCCCGGTAAGTGCACTCCTGCTTCTCCCTCGGACCGGTTTCGAGATGCCCTGATCCACGACGCCATCACTAACCATGTTGATCGCATCTTGACCACTTCCCAGAGTCGGTGATTGACTTAGGATTCGAGAACACGCCGGACCTCGGGGCTTTGAGCATCAACAACGGAGACGGAGCCTCGTTGGAGGGCTTGCTTCACACCATCCCATGATGTAGGGTCGACACACCTTTGAGCTTCTTCGATCACGTATGTTGTAAAGCCTGCTTTTGCAGATCCCAGTGCGGTATCTTTGACGCAGTAGTCGCCTGCCAAACCAACGACATAGACGTCGGTGATCTTCTGCGAATGGAGTAAGGCAGCAAGATCCAAATTCACGCCTCCAGCACCAGAGGTCATGTTGCCGAAAGAATCAGAGAATGCAGAATACATCTCTACTCTGGCGTCCATGCCTTTCTTCACCTTGATGTCCACTTTCGATACGTCGATTTCGTCAATGATCTCGGCACCTTTCGTACCCTGCACACAGTGAACTGGCCAGAGTCGTTGCATCATGGTTTGTTCTGGCCTGTTCCCCACCAAGTTCCTCATCTCGATGAACGACTCGAATGGCTTGTTGTCCGGGGCTGGGTGGTTTGTCGCAAATGAGATATGGTCAACTGGATGCCAATCTTGGGTGGCCACCTTCAGACCAAACCTGGGACTGCCAAGTAGGTCGTTGATGAGGGGGACAACGTCTCTGCCACCAGCGACTGCGAGGGAGCCATCCTGTTAATGTCAACAACGGCTGGAGCTGTAAGTCACGCGAAAACTCATACAGGAGGACAAAAGTCATTCTGCATGTCGACTACAATCAGCGCTGGCTTGAACGACATGATGGAGGTGCTGGAGAATAAGACTGAAGAAGCATGTGCAAGGTATCGTTCTAGGCCATTAGACGAAAGCCTCTTCCTTCTTCTTCTTCTCGAAGGAGACGATGGAGAGGGATCTCGCTGTCCGGATCTGAGAATATAGACACAACAGAAAGGTCTTTGAGGTCAAAGTGTTGTAGGCGGTTCAGTGAGTTGGAAGGTTGGTAGTCACTCAGGTAATATCAAACCTCACTGGCAAGTGACTTGAACCACAGGTACAGGTAAGCAGTACCTAACATTCACTGTAGGTCCCTTAACCAAAGAGCTATTTAGGGGCCGCGAGGTCTCTAAGAGCGAGATCTTGGTTATTGGCAGGTGACAAGCCAAGCCTATCTTAGCGGCAGTCGGGGTCATCTTCTATCTCGCTCTTTTGAACTTGTCTTTCCACCCTCTCCAGATCCAACCAAACCACAACGCTTACTGATCAATCGTATTGGATTGCGACGAGCCTTGATTGCGACAACCAGACCTTTACCGGTCCATGCGAGATCCCTAAGACAATTCTGAGGCAGATGCGACCCTTACAGCAGGCTATCTTCACTGTCTAGTACTGCGCAACTCGCAATCACTACTAGTATTGGGGCACGCATTCCTGCGGCGGAGGCACAACACCACGATCAACAGACTTCTGTCTGGACCTGCACAACCCCAATCCTCTTTGTCGCAGCGATCCTAAGAAGAGAGGAGGTCAAGGAGAAATCAAAGGCGGAAACACTCGCGCATCATGTCCAAAGTGCTGGTGGTGAGCAACTCTCCCAACACTTGCAACAGTCCATCTTACTGGACCCTCATCTTCCAGTGATGCAGAACTCTTGCCTGGCATCAATGTGCTAACAATCACTTCCATAGGGTGAGGTGTATGCCAAAGTCATCAACGATGTTTGTGAGTGGTCTCGACAGGATTTCGAGGAGGGTGGCGTGGAGCTGGCAACCTTGGATCTGTTGAAGTCGGTAGGTCATCCTGCGCCGTGAATGCACCGCGACTGTTTCTGCACTGCATTCTTGTGATCCTGCTCTTGACGCAGTCGAGAACCATACCCATGCATTGCGCAGCATATGGTATCTTGCTCGACCTGGTCAGTGAGAACCTGCAGTGGCAGGTGGTGGGAGCATCGGCTGTCAGTGGGCGCAGGGAGGAAGGCGAGCGAGCGACGGTCGCAGGCGAGCGCGGGGATCCGAGGGTTCTTGAATGCAGCTCCTTTGACTCGTGCCTCTTTATACGCAACGAGGGTTGCCTAGCCGCCAGGTGTTTCTGCTCTAACCTCTTTGGGAATGCTCCGAGTGCTGCCTCAACCTCAACCTCAACCGTCTCATGCTCAGCTACAGGTGTTTCGTTTGCAGATGAGCTGACACAACTCGCGTCTGTATAGGAATGGCAGAAGAAACTGTCTGGCCTCAAGGTCGCCCAGCTACCATGGGACCCTGCGCCAGTGCCGATCATCAAAGACCAACCGACTGTTCCTAGCAACGCTAAACCTATTCCCCCGACTCTTCCCAGCAATGGCAACACCGTCACAAGCACTCCTCCTCCTCAGCCACCCATTCCTTCACCTGCGCCCATCAAAACGGAGAACAATGCTCCCTCATATCCCCCTCAGGCTCCGCCACCACAGCAGTATCAGGTTCCCTCCTTCAATGGCGAACCGATGACTGCACGTGATCGAGCTGCCATGAACCTACACCAGAGCTTTGGACAGAGAGCAGGACCTCAGATTGCACAACTTCAATCCAATCAGCCTCGGGCACCGTCACAGCTATCAGCTCCCCCGACAGGGCCTTACATCAAGCAGGAAGATTCCGCGTCAACTTTCTCTGCCGTCCAAGACCATCCTGCCGATGTCAAGCCACAGATCCCTACTCCGCTCCAGTCAAACCAAACCGACGGGGCAGATGACGCTCGCGACACATGGGCTACTGAGTATGCTCGACGAAAAGCACTGGCTGCAGCGCATGGTGCGGAAAATGATCGTTTGATGCGAGCTTATTTCGAGGCGAGGCAGCAAGAGCTCGAAGGCGGTGGTCTGCTCCTAAATCTCGATGAACGCAACATTCCCAGCAAATCTATGTCTCGCAAAGTGAACGATCTGGCTGGTATGGGCCCTTCAACCACTCCATCCATCACACGTGTACAGGGGGATGCGACCGGAGACGACGATGACGACATTGACGATGAAGATGCTATCAACTCCGACCTCGACGACCCTGACGAGCTGGCTGCTAACGAAGAGGATGGAGAGAACACCGATCAAGTCATGCTCTGCACCTACGACAAGGTCCAGCGTGTCAAGAACAAGTGGAAGTGCACGCTCAAAGACGGCATCTTCCGCGTTGATGGCACCGAGTAGGTTTCTCTTTCAACATGTCTCTGCTTGCAATGTGGCAAAGTCAACTAACTCTCGCTCTAGGTATGTCTTCCATAAGGGTCAAGGGGAATTTGAGTGGTAAAGATTGCCCCGCCCATGGAATCATAATTTGGTAGTTGCAGATGGAAGGCCAGCGATCTCTCATCATGGGGATGAGTTATGATACCAGGCGTAATCTTGCACGGCCAACATCCATAGTTGCGAGATAGACCTCGTCGTGCTTTTCAGGCGCTTTCTTGCTGCTGAGCTTGCAGGCCAATAAATGCCCGCAACCTCTTCTCCTTCACATGCCGTGGCCCGTCCGTAGCTAGACCTAATGTTCGTAGTAGCTGGTTGAGCTGTTGTGGTGCCAGCTAGGGTATGTCCGCGGATGTGGCAGGGAATTCGTCAACAGGACCACCCGTAACGGGATCTTGAAGTGGACAGAGAGGTTCGGTCGGCGCAGTCAAATATACGTTCTGAATCCGCGCAACATTATTCCCATCACTGCAGAATTTAGTATACATCGAGCCACCTTACAAAACAAGTGGCACCGGAGAAATGATACAGGTGCTTCAGTCCGTAAGGTCGATACAATAGGCATTCTCCTCCAACGTAGGTGTACCTACCGCCTATTGAATTTCGAAGGGCGCCCCCTTCCAACATCTGGCGGTGCTAGGGTGGCTTGACAGATAGCAATGTATGGATTTAGAGACGACAACACTTACTTGATACGCATCTGATGACGAAGGGAACCAAATATTTCTCAGATTTTCCGAGTGAGCTCATGGATAGCAACCTGTAGTGCTTGGCCAACATCAGTAGCAGGTAGATACGCGAAATTCTCGTCTCGTTCCAGATCCGGTTGAGGTCGAATAGGCACAGCGTGATCAGCCATAGTGATGGTGGTGGTGATGGTCGGTTCAAGGTCACACTGCACAGGTATGCAAATAAATACGGCTGGAAGATAGGAATCTGGTCAGGGGAACTCGAAGCAGCAACGAAGGTGTAAACGACGCGAGGGCAAGAGCGACTGGCAAAATGATATCTATTTATACCTAAATATATATACCTACGTGTAGGCACCGAAGTACCTAGTAGATTGGTAGTACTAGTTGATGTAGATCTTGCTGCCCCTCGGAGCCATATAAAGCTTACCTAAAGTAGTTAGGTCCAACACTCTACTGGGCTGATCTCCCGGCTAGTGTTAAAAGCAGCCGCTGGCAAATCTCTCTAATGACCGCGGATTCCCATCCTCTGCCTACAAAAGTTCTTGACGAACCTCGAGATCAACCACGCTGTGAGGCCCTTAAAGGCTAGAACACACCCCTGGCACCCAAAGACTACACCACTGAGACCATATGATTTAGGGAGTGGACGCCTTCATATGGACAGCAACGGCATGCGTAGCCCCTCGTAACTTTTGTATTCCTGAGCCTTCGAGCCTATGACCACAACCACTACCACATCGTCTCTCTTCACCTCCGCAAAGACGTTACGAACTGCTCTCGCTCTTCCGAGAACTTGAATAAAACACCTTCCAGCATGGACTTCAAAGCTCTGATGGCGGCACAGATCGCCAAATCGAAGCCTGCCAAATCTCCCTCTCCGGCACAATCCACTCCGTCTCCAACGCCTACAACGACCACGACCACGACAACGACAGCGACCTCCAAATACCTCCGGCGCGCCGAACTCGAAGCGGCCCGTGAAGCTGCATACGCGGCCGAACAAGCGCGGATCGAAGCGGAGAGACAGGAACGGGCGGCGAAAAAGCGCAAACTGGAAGAGGAAGAGGAAGAGCGCAAAGCGATCCGCGAAGAAAAGCGACGCCGGCTAGCCGAAGAGTCACGCCGTCGCCGAGAAGAAGAAGAGCGCGAAGAAGAGCGGAAACGCAGGAAACGACTCGGTCTGCCGGACCTACCACCACCGACAGACACGACCAACGCCTCTCCTGACGGTGAAGGAACCAACAGCCAACAAGACATCCCTGACGACGAACTACGGCAGAAACTGCGCGACCTCAAGGAGCCAGCGACGCTCTTCGATGAGACACATTCCCAACGACTGCAGCGCCACCGCAAACTGACCGAGAAGGCAGTGGTCGCGAAGACCAAACCGAAAGTCTACGACGGCCCGATCCCCACGACCCTCGAACCCGTGGCCGAGAAGGACATGTTGTTGCCCACGACGCTCCCGGCAGCCGACACGCCGGACCACGACTTCCTGTACCGCCAGCTCGCGTCGTGGTTCACCTTGTTGCTGACGGAGTGGTCGATCGCGCTGGCGCAGCGTGACGCGGCCGTGCGGGCGTCGACGTCCGGCAAAGCCGCGTTCAACAGCTACCAGCTCGTGCTGAAGGACTTGACGCCGCTGTTCCGGCGCTTTGAGCGCCGCGATCTGGAGCCCGGCCTGCTCGAGCCCATCTGCCAGATCGTGCGGGCGGCGCAGCGGCGACGCTATGTCGAGGCCAACGACGCCTACTTGACCCTGTCGATCGGCAAGGCCGCCTGGCCCATTGGTGTCACCATGGTGGGCATCCATGAGCGGTCGGCCCGCGAGAAGTTGCATGAGAGCAGTTCGGGCAAGCAGGCGCATATCCTCGCCGACGAGGTCACGCGCAAGTTCCTGCAGAGCATCAAGCGCTGTTTGAGCTTTGCGCAGACCAGGTGGCCTCCGGAAGATTTGGCGCAGTTGATGGGCTGAATTGTGACAATCATGAGCCGATGGGAGAAGATGACAGGACCGTGAATGTTATGAGGATTTCTGGTGTCGTCCGCAGCACACTCAAAGACAACAATCCACGCAGTACAGTACAACATTACAACATGAACACCCGTTCAGCCTTGAGGGCGGCCACGGCGGCGGAATGCCCATGACTGAGATCATCACCACCTGCCAGTCTTGGAGGGTCCTCGACATTCTACCGCCCCTTCACACCTTTCAATCTTTCATCTTCCAGACATGAATGGCATTTCAAAAGATCTCCGATGTGTGTCTCGAGGTTTGTTGCCTCTTGTCTGCGCAATACAGCGATCTAGTGTACCTAGTAGTGCCGAAAGCCCAGTCCAGCCGAACCGAACCGAAACGTACCGAGTTGAGGCTGCCCTTTTGCAAGACGGGAGTCCTCTCTCAGTGTACTAGTACAGCAGATGAAACCTCTCGATCGCCATCTCGCATTTAGATTAGAGCATGCAATGTCTTGTCTTGACTACCACACTTTAAATGCGCTCGACTTCCGCCCAGACACACCAGTTAGGTAGAGACAGAAAGCAAGGGCTGTAGTTCCAGTCGGTGAGAAAGGAGGTCGGTTCCAGGGAAGAATAAAAGAAAGCCGGGCCTTTTACACTGGCAGGACAACCAACTGATTCGTGGCACACAATTCATTAACTTACTTGCAAAAGAGAGAAATAAAATGACAAATGACAAGTGATAGATTATATGCAAGACTCTCGAACAGTTCTATATCTGCGCGGTCTAGGGTCAAGAGAGGATGATCTCAACGAGAGCAAAACAGATCAAATCAACTTCGATCCATCGACGCCGGAGCCCACCCCCAAAAGTCCTCGAAAAAAGGGTATGCTGCGACCGTGGGAAATCCAACACCTATTGTCCGCGACACTCCGATGAACCCAGAAAGGAAGAAAAGGAAAACGCCATATATCCCGAATCTAGACAGTGCCCGCGCCATAGATCTAGAACTCGTCTCAGGTAAATCAGACCCGTACTGATGGGCCATAAGGCCAACTCAATCCACCGACCGCCGTCCGTTGAGGAGGCTTCTTTCTAGCAGACAGAAAACAAACAAATCAAGTAATAGCAAGTCTATAAGTGCCTCTGGATCCCACGTCGCCACATCGCTCTGCGCCCCATCTAGCCAGCACGGGGAGAACATGGACGAAGGAGACCGCGCCAGCCACTAGCGCCCACGCGTCGTAGAACATGTAGAAACGAATCTCATCGCTCGCCGAATCGAAGAATGCACATGGTGATCGAGGCGAGGATCGGTTCGGCATATCCTTCTTCGCACAACCTGATCAGTCCGGCGCGATGGATCTGGTCATCTGTTCTCCCTTCGCAGCCGCTCTCTATGTCGAGATCCGATTCTTTATCGCCGTGCAGGCCTCAATCGAATCTGCGTCGGCCACGTTGTCCATGCCGGGAGGATTGTGTGACCCATCCCTGGTCAATCCCCGAAGAGTCTTACTTCCAAAACTACATAGCCCGGCTGTCGACCGTTTCGGCCTTCCTGGCTCACCGCACCATGTGATATCGGTATCTGGACAGCAGTGGTCGGCCATCTGATGCCTGGAGCCTGGGGATGATGATGGTGATGATGGCACCGATCATGATTCTTGTCGACTCACATCTGCCGTAATGGTACGTAGGACAACTCGGCGCGCCAAGGAGCGAGGCATGCCAAAATACGAGGCTGGAGGCAGTGTCGTGTGCTGTGCTGTGAGGGCTGCCAGTGTCACTCCGGATGGTGACACCCGCCGGTAGCCGAACCCCGACGCCACATGCTTGTCAGCTTCGTCTTGACGTGATTTCGTCACCAAAAGGCTTGTTAGGTGGCCGGGACCAGGATCAGGCGTGATGATTTTGATTTCCCTGCGCAGCAACGTGGCGCCATTGGCGGGCCAGGCCCGAGGCAGAAGTCACGTGATCAGAAGGTCGACCAATGCCAGTCCTTGGGGACGCTGGCGGCGACTTGTTCGACAGGCTTTCCGCCGCGAAGCGTGCCCGACATCATTCTCCGATGGCCTGTCGGCCCCGCGAGAGGCGTTGGTGGCCCGCTCTCGGGGCCTTCGTCCTTGCTATTCTGGCTATTTTTGCGGCGCATGGATCTTGCAGTGTCCCAGCGTTGATACTGGCGATGACAGGTTTCGCAGGCTCTGGACGGAACTCCGTCCGGATGGAACTTGGCATACTGATCGAGGGGGATGGTGAAGGGAGTATGTGAGGAGCAAAAGATATGTCCACAGTGACGGCAGTGATGTTTGCGGACAAAGAGGTTGAAGGTCGAGCGACATTGGGGGGAATCGCAAGTGGGAGAAGCTTCATCGGGCTGTTGTCATAGGGAGATATAAATGTTAGCCTTTGCTTGCTCACGGTTCCATGCACCGGACATCAAGCAGATATCCGTAGATGCAGCTGGGTCGGACAATGGTGTTTTGGCCTGTTCGGCGACATACCTTCCAATGTTCCTTGGTAGGGGGACCGGTCACTTCGCCCAGCTCCTCTTCGTGAACCCATTCGGGGTCAAAGGTCTCGAACTCGGCAGGATACTGCGGTTCCGGGGTGGCGGGTTGAGCTTCGGGGTCTCGCAAATTGTCCAGTGATTCATGCAGACTCTTGGGCGGGGTCATGGGGGAGGGAGTGGAAAAGTGTTCGGTCGGTCGTAGCACCGCAGGGACGTAGAGAGGAGACTTCAACGGGCGAAGTTGTTTGTAGGGGTTGGGAGCATGTTGTTGGATGTAAGCGTGCATTCGAGGCGAGGTCGGAGAGGCCGAGTTGGCCGGCGAAGGCTGTTGTTGCCCGGCATACAGCTGCGGACTTTGAGGGATGGTATAGGTCTGCGTAGAGTAGTTGGCGGCCATATCGTGTCGGGAGACTGCTTCTTGGTCGAGGTGGTGAGCTGGGGAGATGTCTTATGGAGAGAGCATCACGGTCTGCGGGTAGACGGGGGATGATTATATGCGCCACGCAAGGTATGGCGCAGTGAGCGGCTTAAGAAGTAGGCAAGTTGGTCCAGGCTTAATATAGGTCGGTCGCGACAGTCGCCAGGGTAAAAGTAGTGTCGGATGGAAGTAGTAGGTGGTTTGGTTTGGTTGACTGAGTGCGTGGAATCACTCTGCCAAAGCCAGCTGAGTGGTAGCGAAGTTGATCTCACAGGGGGACAAGTCCGATCGGATGAGGATTCGAGATCCGAGAACAGAGAAGAGGCAGCCGAATGCGGTGGGTGTGTTAATAAAAGAAGGGCTGGACTCTGTTGAGCATTGCGAAAGGCGTGGGAGGAAAGCGGTGCAGTGGGGGGCTTCGAGTGGTTGACAGGAGAGGGACTCGAGCGTATATTAATTAGTAGATGGGGATGGAGAATAGGCTTATTGGGAGGCTTAGAAGAGGAGCCGCCGGGTCTCGCAGTCTATCTCTTGGGGGTGTCTGGTGTCTGCTACTACACTTAGGAATTCAAGTAGGTAAGGCACCTCATACTACTGGTATAATACGTACTGCTATCGTAGTCCTTCTAATCCCAGTCCAAGACAATTGGAAATGAACGGCCAGGAGATTCGATTTCAAGTTGAGGTAAATGGACATGCGACACTGGCAGATGGAACTGGAGGCGGGCGACCATCTTTCGCCTTCAAACATGTGCCCGCTGATAAGGACGCCCACAACAGCCAATGAAACCGGGAGCTTTGCAACCCGGACACTCCCCAAGAAGGCATGGCGTCGGTGCCGTTGCCACCGCCAATAACGCTCACCAAGCCCGTAAGGGTTAGAGAGTTAGGGGTCCGATGGGTATCTTTTGTTAAGGTCCAGGGGGTCTTAGGCCTTGTTAAACCTGCGCGCTATGATTGATTTATTGTTCACCCGTGTCCTCGTTGGCTCTTTCTTTCTTTGGTTGTTCCGCCGTCCACTAGATGCTCTCCCTTATTAATGCTTTGTCCACAGTCCACAGTTGAACAGCGAAGAATGCCCATTAAATCATTCATCAATTACCTACTATGTTACCTATAATCCACCATCGACCAGATCGTAGATTTGCAGGGGCTCAACTGAATCCGGTCTCGGTTAATTCAACGACAAACCTCCTCGGGTGTGCCGTTGTATCGGTATACGAGTGCCCTTCCAGTCCGGGAGCATTGACATGGGATAAGGAAGATCCCCCCTGGACACCCTGCCGTTCATCGTCAACAATCAATTAGCTCGCCAGGCTGCCAGGATTTGAGATGCACGGTCAAACACGAGATTTCTGTCGCGACCTGCAGGCAATTGACATGTTGCGGTGAGCGCAGCTGGAAGAGGGAGGACCTGTACACGAGGGAAGTTTCAGGCCGACGACGGACGGCTGATGGCGATGCTTCTCCTGCGATACCTAGGTGCACAATCAGTACGTAGCAGCAAGATTTCTACTACCTCTGGCAGTGGATGTCAGGGCCCAGGGTCCAGACTCCAGAGTACCACAGTAGTATATCGATAGTAATGAGATTGAGACGTTGGGGCACTCGGACGTGTGGAGAGGGAATGAGGGAAATGTCCAACTTGAAGTGGTTCTCTATCCTGCCTACTCTGTACGAGGTACTACCACAACCCTGGCCCCTACCAACCCGGTATGCATTCAAGCCCTTGTACTCTGTACTAGTATGTCGAGACATGTACATATTCAGCCTGCATGATGTGAATATTCGACAGCCTTGACTGCAGTGCTTTAGCCGTGGAGGCCGGGGGACGCCTGTAAGAACGCACCAGGCACTGCATTGTAGGCACCACATAGGCTGGTCGCCGTTTCTGCAAGCCTATAGTAAGAGGTGCCGACAGAGGTGCCGACACCCCTGGCAGCGCCGTGACTGGTGGACAAAACTCGCCTGGAAGTGCCTGTTATTGGGTCGCATGTGCCGTGCCCGTGTTAGGCGCCCATCGCGCATCTGGCATACAATACTACCTCAGGTAGATACCTACCTAGCACGCGGCGTTCCAGGTGAAGCTGATGGATGATTGAGTACCTATCCTTTTATCCGTGTGTCTGTACCGCTCTATCAACCGTGGATATCAACTTGACTGGAAATGCAAATGGGCGAAACTCATCTTCATTTCCAACTTAATATTTGGCTTCTCCGCCGCTTCGGCTGCTCCCGCCCCTCTTTCTCCTTCTCCCACTTCCAACCTTCAATACTAGTATACACCAAATACAACAGTCCCTGATCCTCTATCAACTGCGCTACTCACTCCCTATCTCCCCATCGTTGTGCGGCCACTCAGCTGGTCCGCACTCTTCACCGGCATCCTGGAGGAACGACCGTCTCCGCCTTCATCCCCGTCCCTGATCATCCGCTTGGCCGGAGATCTCTTTGGCCGCAGTTTGTCAGATCCCACTCACCCATGGATTCAACGAGGCTACAACCCCGAACTGGCGCACAGGCCTAGAAGTCCCTCGGAAGATCCTTACAGCGAGGTTTCCTACCAGCACGCTTTCCATTCTTTGGTAATCCATGGATTGGATCGAGTTCCCAATCCTCTTCATTATGTCCATTCCCCGACTGCCAAGGAGGTCTTGACATTCAGGTTGTTGGAACTGTTTTCTCCCCGAGTGTGGCCTCCTGGGGAAGACCCGACCCGACCGGCTGAAGAACAGCAGCAAGAGCAGCAACAAGAGCAGTCATTCCACGACCAGCAGCAACAACAGCAATATCACCTTCCACAGAACCAATGGCAGCCGCAGCCACAGCCACAACAAGCACCACCAACGCCACTCCCAGCGGCTTTTGCTCCACCCGTCACCCCTACCATGGAAGAGGCAACGCCCCGTCCACATGAGATGCTCCCATCCCCAAAGTACAAGGACGAGACTCCCCGATCAAGCGACAAAAAGCCCAAACGGGAGCACAAATCGAGCGCCTCTTCGTCCTCGTCGGGTCCTAGACCGTGGAACAAAAGGAAGGACATCCAGCCCACCACCCCAAAACCACTCTTACCAGCAGCAACCCGATCCTCTGCACCGCCGCAGCAACAACAGCCACCCGCTTCAGTTTTAGAAACAGCCCCAGAACCACATCCGTCACTCGTCGCAAATTCGCAAATGACTGGAACAGATGTTCAGATGACTGGCATGGATCCCCATCCTGCCACCTCAGACCATCATGAGCTACCGCTGCCTTCTGAGCAGTATCCTCCCGTTCCACCCGAAGGGGACCAATCTCCAGCCGATTCAGGTGGCATCTCATTCTTGGAGCCCAGGCTTGAGCCTCCACCTGGTCCGCCTAGAATGCTGCGATGAGCAAGGAACATTTCACTTTGACAGGTTAGCTCTATCTTCAGCGGCTTGAACTAGACCTTGACAGGAGATTGTCCTATCTCGAAAACATACGAAGCCGGTTTTCTTTTTCCCGACCGGGCTTTAATTATTCCTTATCAAGTCTGCGAACGGGCCTAACTTTCCCTTTCGTCTACGTCAACACTCACAATCTTTTCCCTTTGTACGATGGGCGGATTTCGGAACGCGTGTTTGATGCCACAGCTGAGAAGTGCTACGAGGACTGTTTTCCGTGACTGGCTTGTGTTCAAGGACCAAGTCGTCGAGTCGACAATCCGGGTGTTGAAGGACATATACACGAAACGGGTGGGATGACACGGGGACCACGAATTTCGTTCTTTTTTCCTTTTTCATGTCTCTTATGTGTTGGAGGGGCCCGGGAACCGGAACACCAGGAAGGATGGGAAGGCCATTTCTCACGTCTTATAGCCTAGGAAATGGATGGATAGGAATCTGGCAGGGAATGAGGGTTGGATTATAAAACAAAACAGACCAGAGACTAAAACTCGACTCAGCTCACGCGGGCATCGTTACGGAAATGTAACACTTCCCAGAAGACAACAGGATTGGTTGAGTCGTCCACGAGGCAGAATTACCTCATCGCCATTGTTATCGATATGAGAAAATGTTATTAGCTTCCGTCTGGGCAAGATTCGGACAGATGGACGGGATCGAACAGAACAAAACGGAACAAAACGATGGAAACGAAACGGACATTGGGCTCTCAGGATTGGGAAATTTGGGACAAAGGAATACGCAAACGGAGGCAACCAAGGAATGACGGTTCCAGGTCAGGGAGCAATGGTCAAGGCCTAGGGTAGAGAAACAAGCACGGATTTCTACTATTTGGCTTATTACTTGTTGTTGTTCTTCCGAGGAGCGTTATAATGGAACAGGAATATAAGTATTCCTGGGCACAATGTGTTCTCTCGTTCTTCCAAGTTCCTGCTATTTGGGTCATTTAAGGCTACAGTCGAGGAACAATCCCGGGTCTCTGGATCAAAAGATCAATCATGGGCGAGAACAGCGTCCGTTGGTGCGTCACCGTGTAGGGAACGTGAACGTGAGTATGAGTGTCGTTTGACTCGTTTCCGCCATTTCCCTCGTCGTTGTCCTCATTCTCATCAACGTTGTCGGCGGCGGAATCGTTGTCCTTAACGGGATTGGTAGTGTCACGGTTAATGATGTGGGCATCCTTTGCCTTGTGTAGGCCTGTCTCGCCCCCGGCACTACCTTTGCACCTGTTGCGTTGTTGATGTTTTTGTTGATGTTGATATTCTTCAACCTGGGGTCTCGCCCAGCGCAGCAAATCGTCCCAGCTGACCCATTCCCATCCGGCGCATTTGTTCGGTTCCATGAGTTGTGCTGTGGGAAATTGAGAAGAACCCGAGCCAGATCCAGTGCCAGAGTCGGTTCTGCTATTGCTATTGTCAGTCGTCGACCTATCAATGACCTCGATACTTTGCAACCTCTGTGTGTTACCAGTCTCGACTGCAGTAGTAGTGGGATCACTCTGACTCTCCACCCGGCCCGTCATGAAGATCGTAACGTAATGCTTGCCCGACTTTGTTTTTGTGTCTGTGTCCATCTCTGTCTCTGTCTCAATTTCCATCCCATTCCCACTCTGCTCTACCGAATTCTTCCCCAATCGTGTCTGTGTCTGTGTCTGTGTCTGTTCCAAAGGCATCAAATCATTCGTGGCTGTCAAGAACCTCAGACTTTCAGGGTCCAATACGAGACCCGTCTCCTCGAGAACCTCCCGGGCCGCGCATTCTTCAAATGTTTCGTTGAACTCGAGATGGCCGCCGGGTAGGGCCCACGTGTCGGCGCCATGAGAGCCGAGACGCATGCCTAGAAGAAACTTGAATTTGGATTTCGGTCTGCATTTGGACCTTTGACTGTCTCCTGATTTGAGTTCTGATATGTATATGCTCGAATGGCCGCCGCCATCAGAGGAGATATTGCTGGTTTGATGACTGATATTGTCATGGTGGTTGTGTTGTTGGACGCCGACACCCCCACCGACACCGGGTTTGCTTGACTTGTTACTCTGAGTGGATGTAGATTTTGGTCTAGATGTAGACGTGGACAAGAAAGACCCCGGCCCGGAGGCACTTTCTGGATGGACGATGAATACTGCAACGCCGACTCGCGGCACTGCTGAGGCTAGAAGATCCGGAGGAGGAGGCATTGTGGTCGACAACAATCAGTGATCAGTGATGAGTGACCAAGTTCTGAAAGATCAATTTCCCGGCAGATTGGGGATCGCACTCAATGCTGAACCTGAACAGTGAACAGCAGTCAGAGGCGGGATCAGACCCCGGTAGACGAAGTGAAGCGTTGATATACTAGTATCTCCGTTGCCAACGTGCAAGATGTGATTGATAAATAGATAGCGTTGTGCTCCTGCCTTGGAGCGTTGCGGTATGGATTTCTCTTTCTTCGGGCGTTTGGATTTGTTATTCGTATATCTCCTCTCTCTTGTTGTCATCAGTATGTTGCGTTTGCGTTGAATGGCAACAATATATCTGTATATGTAGATATTCCTTTGCGTTGACGTTGACGAAGGGATATATATCACCAAGACGGTAAACCCCCGGCAGAAATTCAATGGAAGTAGCCTTTTGCTTTCGATCTGCCGTGCTTGCTAGACTGAGTAGCAGGTATCACCGTCGTCGTCGTCGTCGTCGTAGCAGCAATTGTGGCAGAGGAACGGCTGTTGTTTTGGGGCAAAAGCGAGGCAAATACAGTGCTGACCTCTGCGCTGGAGTGATGGCCAGACTAGGGTATTGGTGTGTATGTCTGTCTTGCTGAGATCTGGAGGATTTGATACATATATACATACATACCTCGTAGGTAGGGGCTCAAGGTCAGTGGGTGTCCCCTAGCCCGTGTCCTGCAGTGTCTTGCCGTGTTGCGTCCAAGTCAAAATCAGCCTTGTTGGCGTTCTCCTAGACCTCAGATTGCTTATCCCCGAAGCGATCGTCTCAGCCTTGCGAGGCTGCTAGGCCACAATGACCGAGTGAGTATTAGGGTCAGCATCCGTCGCGTGGTCATCACACAGTCTCGTCTGCACCGATGCACTATTGGTTCCATGTATATGTATATGTATATAACATATCTGGACACTTCTCTACTCAGCTCAGCCTGATATATCGTATATTATTCCATTCTCATCCTCTCCAATCTCGACTCTCGAGTAGCCCCCTACAAAAGCTACAGGTCCTCCACATTCTCATGGCTGATATAGTACAAGCCCGTATCCGTCGAATTGGTGACATTGGTCTGTCTGACCTCACCAAACTTGACCCAGCCATTCTCCACCGGCGCCTGCACAACGGTGCCATTGAAGCGATGCAGACGATTCTCGCCACTAACAACAGTGAAATTGGCCAGCGAGATCTCCCCCGGATTGCGGTTCACCACGGTCGGCATGCCAAAGTAGCGCGCCTTCACGGCCTGCTGCGAGATATGCAGCTCGAAGTATCCGCGGTAGTAGAGCTCGCTCCACTGCAGCTCCCGGTTGGCGCCGACCAGCCACTGACTCGCATCGACGCTGGCGGCGATCGAAATGTTCTGTCCGCCCGGTGAGGGCGAGGACACGGCCGTCCCCCCAAACTCGACGCCGATAGATCCCTCGCCCGTGGCTGGGTCGTAGGCGTGGTGGTCCAGCCACACCAAATCCGAAACCCAGTTGGCATGGCTGTCGCCGGAGATCAGGATGTTGTTGGTGATGTTGTGGTCGTACAGCGTCTGGTATGTTCGGTTGCGGTTGGCTTGGTAGCCGTCCCATGCGTCGTAGTCGAGCGGATTGACGTTGCCGTAGGCCAAGGATTCGTTGATCCGGCTAAACATCGTCTGGGAGCCGATCAGGCGCCAGGTCGCGCCGCGCGTCTTGGAGTCGATCAGCGATCGGTAGAACCAGTTCTCTTGCCGGGAACCCATCATCGACCGGCCGGCGTCGTTGGAGATGGCGTGCACGTAGTCCGTGTTCCAGTACAGGTCGGTCATGGATCGGTCGTATTGGCGCGTGTCGAGCATCATGATGTCGAGGAGATTGCCGAACGAGAAGGAGCGCCAGATGCGGAGCTAGATGAAAGTTCGTTATACATGGCTGGCACGAGAAAAGGGGAGACAGGGAGAGGGACGGTGGATCTTACATCGTCGCCCATCTCGACTTGCCGGATGGGAAGCCATTCGAAATATGCCCGTACGGCGTTCATCTTTCGCTGGTCGACAGAGACGCCTCCATCTTCTACAAATGACGCTTCTGTGTTGTTGAGCTCCAATGAGCCATCCCGGTAAGTGTTGTCAGCGACCTCTGTCAGAGGAGGTCAGTGAGTTGACAGTGTCTTGTCCCAACATTTCAAAGGGTTTGCGCAAAACGCTTACCGTGATCATCCCACACAGGAATCCACGGATAGTACTGGTGGCTGAGAATCAAATCATGGTCCGTCCGATAGGTGGCATGTCTCTTGCGGTAATCGTAGAGAGTGTAGATCTGTCTGTCTGGCAATGGCACACGGCCGATCGTTTGACCCCAGCCATACTCGCCGTTGGCGTACTCGTAGATATAGTCTCCCAGATGCAGCACGTAGTCCACCGAGTCCTTTCGAACCGGGTTTCCGTACGCGTTGAAGTAGCCGAAGGGGAAATTGCTGCACGAGTACACGGCCAGATTGACGGAGCTGACGTCGTCATCCGGTGAAGGGGTAGTCTTGGTTCTGCCGACCATGCTGGACTGGTTGGACTTGCACACGCTGAACTGGTACCAGTATTGAGTGTAGGGCTTGAGCTTGGTGGCCTCCACCTTGACCGTGTAATCGACATCCGAGCTCGTGTAGACGGTGCCGGAGTCCACCACGGACGACAACCTGCTATCAGAAGCTATCTTCCAGTCCAGGCAGACAGGAGCGTTGGAGGGCGGCTTGCCTTCGTCCGTGTCATTGTATATCGGCACAGGATTGTATAATGGCACGAAACCGGAAGTGGTGCTGTTGTCCTTGACGTCGTCAAAGGTAGGAGAGCATCTTGTCCAGAGTATCACGCTGTTGGGGTAGGGGTCACCAGACGCAACTCCATGGGTGAAGTTGAGTTGGGAGGGTTCCAGGGCCGCTCTGGGATCATGCCGTTTGACGACCTTGCGCACCGAAATCCCTAGACCGGGATGATGAAGGGAAGGGGAACGATAGTTCAAGTTGGCGCCGTAAGAAGCGATGGTGGCAGCAATCAACGACGAAAAAACCAACAATGGCAGCATTTTGACCACTCCAACTGCGATTGAAACAGAGATGCAAGACCTGTTGGTTTCTTCTCTTCGACTTACCTTGCGGACGTCGGGCAGAATTTATACCTGCGAGCTCATGCTCTTCAAGTCTTCGACGCTCGTCAATGTGTTTCGCTTGTCCTTGAAGCTGAATCTGGTGGGGTACACACAAGCTCTTCGTGAAGCTTGAGAGTATACAAGGGTTATCAATCGAGCCAATCGACGGTAGGGTTATTGGTATGCGCGGCCTGGATTGATGCACGTGTACTTTTGAGCTGCCTTTCCCGTCGTAGTTCGTTCAGAAGGAAGGGACTTGTTCGAGCGGGCTGGACATGCATTACTGGTGATCGAGAGATGAGAAAGTGCTGCTTGTTGTAAACCGGAAAACGGACAGCCACAGCTTTGATGCACGTGGGGGACTCTAAGGGACTCTCTGTTTGATCGGCCAAACGAGCCGCTCCTGTTTGTCAGACCCAGGGACATAGCGGACGTCACTTCGCATCGTCGGCCATGCCAAACACATCTTGTAGTCGACCGAGTGATCGGTTAAGACTAGTTATCGGGTGATCGTGAAGAGTTGGCCAGGCCCTTGAAGGATGGAAAGTTCTTGCCGGAAAAGAGTGAAGGTGTGGGTATGTATGTATATATATATATATATCAATACGAGACGTACGACACGATCCGACCAATCGTGGCATCCATCCGTCTTCACTTCGGCACGATGGTTTCTAGGCTCCTGCACAGGTCACACCGGTACCCTCTCCCAGCTTCCCAGATATAAGCCAATTACCAACGTGGTATTGTTCATCAACATGGGCTCGCAAAGGGCATTCAGGACTCATAGAACATGGAAGGAGAGGCCACGCCATCATGGGATCGAGAAATACAGCCTCAATTCAAAGGGGTTGCAGGTTGGCCATAACGCCTAGTCCACGGCTGTCATCCAGCCATCGCCGGTGAAGAAGTGAACTCAATGTAACTGTGCTGCTGAAAAGGGCTGCCCCAGACAAGATATCTGGTATTCTATTCCTTACTGCCGCCTTTAGCAAATGCATTGGCCAACGTGAGATCTCTCTCACCTATCGAGACGCCGGCCACGACTTCACCCGTGGCCCCTGTACGCCACTACCAATATGCCTGTGCCGTACTGTCTTCGAGCACGACGTACCAGATAAGAGGCGGTGACCTCAACCCAAACACTTTTCAGCACCACCCCCGTCGAACGAGAGTCCCTGCTAATCCATCCTCAGATCAACCCATCGCCTCCAGGCGCGTCTGGCTTGAGCTAGTTGCTCTTCTTGTCGCCCGTGCTAGGGTTCGTCTGGTTGTACTTGACGCTCAATTCATCATACTCTCTCTGCAGTCCCTCTGCCTGGCTCTTCATGGCCTCCAACGCCTTGTCTTTCTTTTCGAGTTGCTTCTTGAGTTCTCCGATCTGATCGGCACGGTAATGTTTGCCCAATTTCTCGCCTTCCTTGCCACCGGCTTGCGGGTCTCCCTCATACAGCTTGACCTTTTCTTCAAGGCGAAGGACATCAAGGATCATCCCGTAGGTACGGTTGAGGATGAGAGACAGGAAGAGGGTGAATCCAGTCAGGTACATGTTGCGTTGAGAGTAGAACTTGCGAGCCTGGACCTCCATACGGTCCGAGCCCATTGCGGCTGCTCGTCTGCTACAGTCAGTCGAAAATCGTTCTGGAGAGTGCCCAAGATTGTCAGACATACCCCGCGCCAGAAGTGTCCTTCATCAGAGCGGACATTTCGACCTGCACCCGGTAGACTCGGTTGACGCTATCGAGGAAAAGGATGAGGATGAATATGAAGGTGATCTGAGAGATGTCAGATCAGTCGTACTGCTTGCTGTTCGTGGTGCTCAAGTACCTTCATTCCATATTGTAATTTGGCGACCAGTGGACTTTCCGATATAAAATTGAACATCTTTCGCTTGACGGTGAATGGCAACGGGATGATCAGTGCTACGAACAGCACCATCTCCGTCACCAAAAGGACAAAGACCTATATTCCATGGTTAGCACGGGTTGGACGATTACAATGTCTCGAGTCGAAGTCGGTTTCGAGGTGGGTGGAGGCACTGACCAAGCTGTAGTAGAGCGTCATGATTGCGGATTGAAACTGCAAAGAGCTTGGTTCTGGAGTATCTAGCAGAGACTGCGAATTTGGTTGGGAAGTGAAGTAGAGTGAGCCGAGCAGAAAGTGTGAGTCGCAAGGTTGTCGGTGTAGAAGGGAAGATGAAGAAGAATTGACCAGATGGCTTCTACTTGGTAGATCGCGAGCAGGTTGAGAGCAACATGATTCAGTTGCACAGTGACCACAGTGACTGCGGCCTGCGTATTACGTCACCCACCAGCACATTAACATCAACTCAAGTTTGACATGAGTGGGTTAAATGATCCGCCCTAGATCACTCACTCCACGGTAATCAACCCTAACCCTAATACTAGTACTTCACAGTAGTAATGTATTACTACTACCAACTAGACTACACTGCATCGCAATATCTACAAGATATCAATGAGCCAGGTGCTTACTACACCCTAACATGGGAAGTGACCTTGACAGCACGATATCACCGTTGACAAAGTACCATGACTATAGGCCGCAGCCGAGGCGGAGGCATGGCGCCATTGCATTTGCAAGATATGAACAACTTGAAGTGCTGTCGATCTTGTCGCAATCAAGTCCGACGTACTCACACCTCTGCTGGATGTGAGATTCCTGGCTCGGAGAAAGAAAAGACTTTTCATCAAATGGAACCAGCAGATCCATGTCACGTCCCGAGATGATATCCTGACTGTGAGAATGGATCGCTCCTTGTCCCGACTCCGCGCTGGCCGGTGTATGCGTCGCTGGTGTCCTCCACAAGGCCTCAAATGACACTGTCCTTGCTTGTCCTGCACTGAATCGGTAACTCGGTCGAGCCTGACTGGAGGCATCTTTACTTACTTCAGAATTACGCTCTCAAGGCGGACGACATCGGAGCACTCACTGTAGCCGATGTCCCGCCAGACAGAAGGAGCCACAATTATCGCCGAACAAGTCAATTTGAGATTTGATCTTTCAAGGCCGATACCAGACCTCCAGACTAGTGCTGGTGTCGGCTCTAAGGTAAGGATGTAACGGTTTCGGCCATAAGATGGCGACTGGGACAGATGTTGAGTGGATCATATGGATAGTGTGTCGCGACATAAATACCAATATCCCCCCTACCTCTGAAGACATCAGGCTCTCCAAACATTCTCCTAGGCATCAAATCTGTGGAGTATTTATTGACCGACAGCAAAGCGATATGACGGCGGTGAACGTGGCAAACGAACAAGGCGAGACTGCTAGGTCCAAAGAGTCTGAGTCTGCGCCTGCGTCGGCTCCGGAGTATCCAGAGGGAGGAGGTCGAGCGTGGCTGGTCGTGCTGGGCTGTTTCTGCGTCATGTTCTATACCTTTGGATATTTGAATGCTTTTGGGTAAGTTGAAGTTCGTTGGACCTTGGTGTACTGGTCACTACACTTTTGTGCTCTATCCCTCGACAACAACCACAACAACTGACCATGGACGTTTGTTGATTAGTGTGTACGAGACTTATTATCTTCGAGAGACGTTGCATGAATACACGCCGTCCACGATCTCCTGGATCGGGTCGCTGCAGGTGTTCTTCCAATTTGCTGCAGGCATCATCGCGGGTCCGTTGACCGATCTTTGGGGTCCGAGGGTAAGTCTTACTACTCAAGTCTCAAATATCCAGGAGCCTAGCACAGTCTATGAGGCTTCCGAAAACATCTCCTATATCTGGAAACTGATACTCACACCCACAATAGGTCGTCCTCTGGCCCTTCTCCATCATCTACGTCGCCGCGGTCATGCTCACCAGCATATGCAAGAAATACTGGCACTTCATCCTAGCGCAGGGCGTGCTCGGCGGTCTTGCCAACGGACTCGCATACGCCCCCGCTGTGGCCGTGATTGGACAATACTTCCACAAGCGGCGGCCGCTGGCCATGGGGATCGCGTCGAGTGGCTCGTCCCTAGGGGGCGTCATTTTCCCCGTGATGCTCGACCGAATCATCTACCACACCTCGCTCGGCTTCGGCTGGGCCGTGCGCATCGTCGGCTTCCTGGTGCTGGCGCTGTGCCTTACAGCATGTTTGACCGTCAAGGCCCGACTGCCGCCCCGAAAAGGCCGCTATCTCCTCGTCCATGCCTTCAAACATCCCGTGTACACGGTGCAAGTCGTGGGCATGTTCTTCGTCTGGTGGGGCCTCTTTGTGCCCTTTTTCTTCCTGCCCGCATACTCCGAGGCCCAAGGCATGGGCTTGGACTTGGCCATCTACACGCTTGCCATCCTCAATTCGGGTTCGCTCGTGGGTCGAGTGTCGTCGGGATTCATCGCGCCCTATGTGGGCCGCTTCAATCTTCTGGTGGGGGCATGTTTCGCCAGTGGGATTCTGGTCTTCTGTTGGCTTCGCATCGTCTCGACGGCTGCAATCTGCGTCTTTGCTGTCCTGTATGGCATCTCCTCTGGTGTCGTCGTTGCGTTGTTCACCACCACCGTTGCCGAGGTCTGTCCGCATCCGACGGAAATCGGCAGCTATGTGGGCATGGCGCTGGGTGTGTACGGCGTCGCCGGCCTGACTGGGACGCCGATCACGGGAGCCATGATTGCACGATATAAGAGTTATGATCAGGCCATTATTTTCAGTGGTGCGGTGCTGGTTGGCGGAGCGTTTCTGACTCTTTGTGCGCGGTGCTTGTTCGCAAAGAACCGTGGCTGGCGCGTGTGAAAATTCTAAAAGTCTCCAGAGTCCAATGGGCCACACGGCCAATATGCATAGATTTGTAGACTGTTCACAAGTCTGGGAGTTGGAAGGGAGGCGGGATGAAAAGAGACCCAATCTTCTGACTGCAAGATGCTGCACCAAGATTTGGCTACCTTAGGTATAGAAGCTCGCTCTTTCAGTCAGGAGGAGAACGATCTCGCTGCTGTATATACACTTGAATCGGGACGCGGATTTGTTATTACCAGAAAAGCATGGAGTGTAAGTGTAAGTATTGAGCAGCAAAGATCAATCATGAGGCCGGCAACACCGCTGATAAGTTCGAGATCTTTGCATGCTTTCAGGTCCGGGTCAATCAAAAGACCATGCAAACGGAGGGTCGTCGACAAATAGCTCTGACAAGAATTGGTCCGTCATCGGCGCCTCCGCGTGGAAGCCGTTGACATCGGAAAGTCCTCCCGTAGTCAGATCGGTTGGCAAGACGCCTCCCTGCATCAAACCAACATCAAATCTTGCTCCGACGTCCCAGCTTCTGTCTGGTTGGAGTTCCGGGTCGTTTTCATTGTGCTGCAACATGGTCGCTCTGACTGTGGCAATGGTTGCGGCTGCAGCCTCTTGGATCCTCAGATGCAGCGGGACCTCGGACGCCTTCGTGGCGGCGATCACAACCCCGAGAAACAGATGTGCTTTGAAGTGATGGACCGACAAGCCAACCTTGGAACTCCAGATGGCCAAGCACGCCTCGAGAGTTTGCGAGGCTATATCGATCTCGGCTAACCGGCCGGGACACGAGGTTTTCTGTTGCGTACCGAAGCTTTTGCGTCGAATGCCCACAGCGACAAACAGCGCCGCGACGAAGAAATCGCCTTTGAACAACTCCGCAAACCATTCGATCGACACCAGATCGGCCGCTTCTCCATACAGTCTCCGCTGAAGGACGAGAATGGCCAGCGCGGATTCCAGCGCACTCCAGCACGATTCTGGGTAGCGTTTGGCCGCGTCCGGCGCCATCACGTAAGGTTGGTGCAAAGCTAACAACACTCGTCGGAAGTAGATCTCCAACAGAATACCCTGTAGCTGTCTCCATGGCGGGATCAGAGTGTCGGTCTTGTCGTCCGAGGAGTACTTCGGGTACGTGTCAGCTGCTATTTGGCGCAAGTTTCGGATCTTCGCTTCAGCCTCGAGCACGACGCGCCGAGTCGTGTCATTGAGCGGTTGATGAACAAGGCGGATGATATGCAAGACGTGCGGAAACGATTTGCTCAGGATAGACTGGAAGGCTGAATCATTGGCCTCATCTGCGTGCTGGGATGCCGTGGCAGTGTTACTGTTGTCTTCTGCTAGGTTTTGGCCGTCCAGCTGGTCCCCCGGTGCTGGCGAGTCGTAATCATCCGGATGCAGGAGTAAAGGCAGGCCGGTCTCCAGAGAGTTCTGCACATCCATAAACACCAGCGTTGTCCAGATCCGTTTCCTCGTCTCTGCTTCGAGTGGTGACATGGAATCGAACCATTGCGGATCGCGGTGGAACCCTAAACACATTGCCAGACGGACGACGAGGCCCAGAAACGACCACACCGCGCCAGAGTCATCGAATGCGACAATGTCGATCTGCTTGGCAATCACCATCATGGCCATCGCACGGATCGATGTGAAATTAGGTTTGGCTTGGAATGGCGACTGCATCAGATAGGCCTCCGCGCCGTCGAGAAAGGACTCGACGAGTTGTGATCGTCGAAGTCTCTCGTGTCTCGGACACCCGAGAGCAAGCATCATTAGGAACTGCGATAGCCACTCGTAGGGAAGTGCACTAGGTGTGCGCCAGAAGAGCATCATCTCTTCCCGAAACATGGGTACGTGTAGCATACCGTGTGTTTTCTCATAGGTGTTGAGGTACAGCTCGATATATGCGTCAGTCGTGGCCCGAGGCGGCAACAATGAGCGAATACGTTCTTTGGTCCAAGGAATGGTTGAGTTTGATCGGAAGGGGTAGTTTCGGTTTGCCCGGATGGGATAGAATTGTTTCAAGGCTCGAAGTTCCTGGTTTGTACGATCGAAATCCGGCTCTTTGCCAAAGACGAAGGGAGCCAATTCCTTGAACTTTTGGAGACATTAGAAGCATGTACCTAGAACTTCATCCTGCAGACTCACTTCGAAAGATAACAACGACCAGTGCGTTGGCCCTTTGAACCTTGTCTTCCCTCTGCTGTGCCGTGCAAACATAGGTCGAGGCGTGACTTCTGGCAAGATCTCTTCGCTCGTTGCCCAAGACACAGTAGACTCTGAGGGCACAAGTTGCTGTGGAGCTCTGTCCTCGCCATCATTGGCACCATGACTTGCCAGCGAGCCGGGCGTGGCCTGCTGTTGAGAAGCATGTGGCAACACTGCCTTGTCTTCGTTCCTGAAAGGACTTATCGACTCTGGCGAGGCTTTGTCGCCAACAGCACTTCTGGAAGATGTTCTTGCCCGAGGATTTGCTGGCGTCACATATTGGCATTCTGTTTCTCGTCGCCGGGCGCTGCAGTGGTTGCATGGCGTAGCCCTGTTACACTTGACCTTTCTCCGGTGACAGGGGATGCATGAATGGACAGCACGCAGCCTCGTCCGATGTATCGGCCGGTCTGATCCCATCCTCTCCCGGTGGACAATGACCGAAAAGATGATGATGAGCGACAAACAAGGCGCCCTCTCGGGCCAGGACGGTACCTACACAATGTCGTAGACTCGGACTCCAGAGGTGTCGTCCATATAAGTCCAAGCTCGGCGATAAGAGTGGACCAGGCATTCGGCGTTAATGGTGGAAGTCAGCAAGCGGGCATTACCTAAGATGCGAGGCTTCAATTCATATTGCACGATTTCTTGAAGGAGCCATTCCGGACTAGGCTGGGCACTGGCAAGTGCAAAGAAGATGTTCTATTGTAGGTCATTGATGAACAGTGACTTACTGATACTACATATACCTAATGTAGCACGTACCTGTAGTTATCGTCATTATTGAAGGACCTACCAAAAACGTCACTCGGAGCTTAGCCTTGCCAAGGCTTGGCGCTTGCTTCCTCCGCTTGAGTTTTCAGAAACTTATCAGATTCCGCATCAGATAAGATCGATCTCACTTCTGCCCCCTGTCTCCATCAGCCTCGCCGATCCAGACGGAGAGACATAGCCTCGCATACGCTCCTGTTGTGTTGTTGAGTACTGCCCATCCAGCCGACTTGGGGAATCACTATCTCTCTCGCCAGACATCCAGCACCAATGATACTACATCAACATTGTCGTTTTTGTTAATCAGTCCTCACCATACCACCAACCCCCTCTACCTTCTGGTCCAAGGAGCACTCCTGAACCGACAATTTCAAGGGTGATGCCAGCGAGACTCCACTCCAAGAGATGCAGGGTCGACTTCTGGGAGTGGTTACGGCACTGTCCCTCGCCGTTCCGATAATATGCGACCCGGCTTCATGCGTCTCAGCCTGCCAATTGACCCTGAGCAAGATCGTCTTCGAAGACACGGCGCCAGACCTGCCTTATTATGTAGGACAATGCACCAGCTCTCTGCGCATCAAGTCGACCTATATATGTAGTCGAGAGTTCTGTCCGGCCCGAGAAATCCAGCCTGGCCTCGACGCACTCAACCAAACATGCATCCGGTATGGCGGAACAGCGCTGCCACCGTTCAGTTCAATCAGCAATATCACCTCAGGTGATGTCCGATCACAATTCCAAGTCATCGAGCGATCAGACTTTCTGACGCACTCGAAAGTGAATCGTCCAGCCATCCCTTCTCGATCTCTATTTGAGGATGGCTTGCGGACAACGGTATGTTCTGATCCATCCTTCCATCCATCCTGCTACCAAACAGCGTTCACTAACTTTCACTCTACAGGAAGCTTACAACATTTCCATGGGCAGTAGTGTTCTTTATGCGTAAGTTCACCTCACACTCGGCACATGGTTATGTTTCACCACTGAACATGCTGCAGGATCGCCATGTTTGTATTCTGGACGCTGGTCGTCGCTGTCGGTCTTGGATTCCGTCTCTTCCGTTTCCTGAACCAGAACCGGGACCCCAAGCACAACTCCCAGCATCAGCACTCGACAGCATTGAGCCCATACAGCACTTTCTACCAGGACATGAAGCGACGGATCAAACAACACGTCCTGATCCCCGCCGCGTTCTCTCGGCACTGCGCCGAACCCCTCGGCTGGTGGATCGTGCCGCCTCGACTGCAATCGCTCACGATCTTGAGTTTCATTCTGCTCAATACCGTGTTGACGTTCGGCCACTACGACGTCTTCTCCGGCAACCTATACTGGTCCAACCCACGTCTCCAATATGCACGATACATCGGCGACCGCACGGGGGTCATGGGCACGGCGAACCTGACATTGATCTATCTGTTCGCGACGCGAAACAACCTCCTTCTCTGGATCACCGGCTGGAGCTTCGAGACGTTCATGCAGTTCCACCGCTGGGTGGCGCGGGTGTCGACCGTGCAGGCCATCATCCACAGTCTCGCCTACACCATCTACGTGCTGGTCGAGGGCGGCGTGCAGCATTACTGGTCCGTCTGGCGTCAGCGGTACTGGTACTGGGGCGGCATTGCCACGATCTGTATGGGCCTTTTGCTGGTCTTTTCCCTGTACCCTGTGCGCAGCCGACTGTACGAGCTGTTCCTGTTCCTGCACATGACTCTGGCTGTCATGGTGCTCGTGGGCATGTGGTACCACGTGGCGATCTTCGACGGCGCGTATAATGTCTTGCTCTGGCCGTGCTTTGTCGTCTGGATTGCCGATCGGGCCATGAGGCTGGCGAGAGTGGTGCGCTGCAATCTCCCCTACCGCGCCAGTCTGGCCACGTACAGTCCCGACACGGATGTCGTCTGGATCACCGTGCCCAGGGTTGTTGCCCCTTCGGCCGTGCCTCATCCCGGTGCTTATTATTTCTTGTACCTGTTGCATGGCACGACGTGGTACGAGAGCCATCCATTCACGTTGAGTGGATGGGAACTTGGGGATCAGGAGGATGAACAACAGCTTCCAGATACCACTGCCACCGCAACGAAAAAAGAGAACAAGAATCGTCAGATCCAAATAAACTTGCAGTTTGTCATTCGACCCTATGACGGGCTTACTTCACGGTTGAGAGACTTGGTCAGACGCCAGACAGGGGAGTCCAAGACCGGTCGACGCCTGCGTGTGCTGATTGAAGGGCCTTACGGACCTAACCACAATCTTTGCCGATATGACACTATCGCTTTCATTGTCGGCGGCACAGGCATCGCCATTGCTCTCGCCTATCTCTCGAACATGCTCGATTTGGCTCTGGCTCGACAAAACAAGGGCGAGGGGCAGGGGTACCGAGTACAGCATCTCCACCTTGTGTGGGCGGTGAAGGAGCCTTCTTTCTTCCAAGAGACATTCGACCGCGAGCTGAAGCCAAGGTTGACGGAGATCGCACAGCTCTCTGGCCGTCAACTCGATATCTCGGTACAAATCTACAATACCAGGGCCGCTGCTCCGGCACAGACACTGGTGGATGAGCCCGGCAATGGCATGGATTCTTCAGAGATGGAGCCCATGGTCCCAAGTGGAATGACGTCTGACTCCCGATATCAGCCCACAGAATGGGAATCCGATGAGCATTCCCCTCTTTCGGCATCCGCTCGAACCGTGACGCCCGATGGGATCCGGGTGTCTATGTTCAACCACCGTCCTCGCTTGGAGAATGTGGTGTTGCGCTGTGCTTCGGCAGAGGACGGTGAGAAGAGAATCTGTGCGATTGTTGCATGTTGTCCGGCTGGCATGGCGGACGCTACTCGCTCAGCTGTGGTCAAGGCCATCGCGATGGGTCAAGGCTGTGCTGGCATCGATTTTTATCCGGAAAGCTATGCATGGTAGTCAAAAGTCCTCTTGAACGGAAAACTTGTCGCCACTTAGTCGAGGACGACGGCCTGATATCCCGTTACACTCTCTCGTCGTGCGGCTATCGGCTGTGGACCAGTTAAGAAGCATAGACTGAAACCCTGGGACATATAAGTATAGACGTGTTTGGTGTCTATCAAGAATCACCGGGATAATTGAACCCACAACGGATGATCTACAGGAACATTTGAGCATGTACATATTGCAAGGGATTGAATGTTGTCAATTCATATCTTGGAAGTTCTGGTAGCAGAAAGGGGTTTCCTTTTAGCATGTTTCTAGCTTATGTAAACGACCTCGTGCACATTTTGTACCTCATCCCCTTATCGAGGCGTACATGTATATACATCTCCTCTTTCTCGCACCTCAACCTTCTCACACGCTACCTGTCGAGAGGGACCGATGACGACGAAGAAGACGACTTACTTCTGCACATATTTGTCGCCAATACCCCTCTGAACCGCCGGTCTCTCCGCAATACGATCGATCCACTTCAACAGGTGTGGGAAAGGTGCCATATCCTCCTGGGTGAAGCCGGACCGTTCCCAGCCCTTGATCCACGGCCAGGTCTTGATATCGGCAACGCTATATTTGCCTTTGCCTTTGCCGGCGAGATAGTCGCGCGGCTCGCCGGTGTACTTGCCCGACAGACGGATCTCGAGGACACCGTAAACGCGCAGGGTTTCTTTCTTGAACCGGTCGATCGCGTCTAAGGAGGACATATCAGGTTAGTATGATGTAACGACCCGTCAAGGGGAAATGTTGCTGGGGCTGGCACAAATAGACAGACATCGAGATGACAGCAGCAGCTGGAAATCAAGCTGATCCAAACATAGATGCACAAGCAGACAGAAACAACTGTAACACCCTCTTCCTCTCCCACCGCCTCGTGCTTGCGGTCTGTTCATCATGAAAGCATCATCTACTCCCTCACCACTTTACCCCACCACACCGCAACAAAACACAGAACAAAACATCGCACGCACCAACATAACACCGACTGGGGAACACGGGATCACACCAATGTACCAGAAAGGAACATTCAAACGATCCAAGCAAGTCACTTACAAGGAATCTTCTCCGGCGCCGCCCGCGTGAAATGGTTGACCTGACCCTGGTATGGCGCGCCACTACCATGCCAGAAGAACATCCACTGCAAGGCTTCATTGCGCTCGAACTCGTCCTTGAACCCAAACTTATCGTCCCTATCGGCCTTTTTCTCCAGGTACAAGATCTGCGCCGACGTCTCCATGACGGAGAAGGGCGGAGACACGGTGTTGTCGACGAGCACGGGGATTCGGCCGTTCGGGTTGAGACGCAGGAACCACTCCTTCTTCTGCTCGTTGGTCATGATGTTGATCAGCGTGGTGGTCCACTCGGTGCCGTAGGCGTCGGCGAGTTCTTCGAGCATGATCTGCGTGGCTTGGCCGTTGGGCGTGTTCATGGTGATCAGGTGCAGGCCCTTGGCGTTGGCCACTTCGGCCGGGGTCTCGGCGATGTAGGGAGACGACGACATTGCGGAAGATGTGGATGAGAAACTTCGGGAGTACCGATTGTTGATGATAGAGGTCGAGGTGGAGGAAGCTGCGGCGGGGTGGTGCTTGGGCTTGGGGACTGATATAGGACGCTTTGCGGAGGTGGGAGCGGTGGTCGTCAAAGATACCAGAGGTCTAGTAGGGATGTGGGCTGGTCGGACGATGGCAGGAATGGGAGAAAGAGTAGTAGAAGCAGTGAGTGTAGCAGGTCTCAATGCTCGATAGATGGATCGAGAAGTGCTAGTAGCAGTGGTGGTGAACATGAGGATGGCAGGCAGAATGAGGGGACTTTTCAAAAGTTATATCAATACGATCTGGTGTTGTTAGTCTTCTGTATCTTGCTAAGCGTCGGTACCCTTGCCGATTCAATCAGGAGGCCATGGTAACTAGTAATGATGGCGCAATAGAGACGGGCAAACAGCGAGCATGCCGAAAGGTACATCCGTGAGACATCTTGTGCAGTGGTAGTACAGTGGTAGTACAGTGGTAGTACAGTGGTTACCTGGCCTGACGACCATGAATTAATAATATGGATGAGGGGCAGAAGCTACCAGACAAATGGGATCGAAATGGGCCATGGATACATTACCTACTTTGGTAAGGTAAGGTACCGAGGTGGGATTGGGAAAGTGCAATCATGACGAAAAAGGTGTGGGGCTTCCGCAGACCCCGCACCATCTGAGGGTCAGTTAGTACAGTTAGTATCTACTAGAAGATCCACTAGCAGCAGGCTAGGTACCTCACAGGTAGAACTCTAGAGTATTAACGAGAAACAAGCATTATACCTCTGTATACAGTACTATAGTAGTAGGGTATTTCCGTCTCTCTTCCGGATCCCATATCCGTCCCTCGTTAGACACTTATTGTTCAGCCTGAGATCAATGAAATGCCCATTCACCAGATCAGACCAGACCAGACCAGATCATTCCTTTAGCCCGTGCTGGATGAGAAGTCATTCCTATTACCATCCATACCCGGCAGCAAAGTCCATCACCTCTGAGAGGGGAACACTCCGTCCAGTCATCATACTGTTGACAATGGGTATCACAGTAGTACCTACTAGGTAGGGACAGTGGTAGGGACAGTCCCGTCCTGTCATGCCTGTCCAATGCTCATCCTAAACACCACATAATGCCGCCCACCATGCTTGTACCCAAAGTCATCAATCAACATCAAGGAAACAATCCGATCCCCAGATCCAGGTCGCTGGTAGCCCGTATCAGATATCACCCTTGAAGCTCTCCCGAGTCAAATGAAGTCAAGGGCTCACTCCTGTCATGTCCATCCCCATTCCTTTTTCAACTCCATTGCAGTCTTCCCCGTCGGCCAGCCTTGTTCGTTCTTCAACCTGTCCAGAATCCCCAGCAGCGCTTTCTGTTCCGCAGGATCCGAGAAATACTCCCCACAGACAGCGATGGCCATGTATGCCTGCACCATGGCCGGCTGGGACGACGGATTCGACATGGCCGTGCCACACAACCGGATCACAATATCGTGCACTTCCTCCACGATGCGCTTTTGTGCCGTGATGACACCCGGTCCGATTCGAGGAATGTTGGGGTTGTACACGGTCAACAGGATCCGGGCGAGATCCAGAAACATCATCCCGGCCACCTGCACTTCGGCCATATACCAGATATGAGGGAAACATTCCCCTTTCGACCGGTCGGGGTCCTGGTAGTGGATGGGTGAAAACGACAATGGCTTGACTTGATCCCAGTGGAGCTGATACTGCCGCAGCTCGTTCCATCGTTCGATCTGCGACCGGCCAGAACCATTGTCGCTCCCGAAGCAGAACTGCAGCACGTTCGCACAATGATATAAATGCCGATCCGACCACACAAAGTCTTCGGCCTCGTCAAACCCCTGGAGGATGGACCACGAGTCCAGCGGCAGACGGACCGACCGTTGCTTGAGGAAGGCCGTGGTCGTCTCTTGCCTCAAAGCGATCCGAAACGCGGCATGCTGGAAACTCTTGAGATAAGTAATGGCATTGTCTTTGATCACACCCGTGGCCGACCCCGGTCGTAAGTACTCCGGATGCTCGCCATCGTTCAGTAGACATGCGTATGGATTCGCTTGCGCCTTGACAAACACTTGGAAGGTGTGGAGGAACGTCTCGCTATCTTCCCCCGTAAACGACGTGTCAATCTCTTCATAATATCGCAAGATAACCGCCGCGGCCAGGAGGTTCTCATCGCGGACATGCTCCGGATCACCCGACAATTTGATCAGGTATGCGATGCACGCGTTGTGGTATTTGAGGGCCGACTCTTCGGTGAGTTTGGGAAGGAGGACGTCTTGATATTTGACGATCCCATCATGGGTTTTGTATTGTGGCAGAGAGGCTAGATGGCGGGAGGCCGCTGTGAAGATGGCATTCAACAGGGGTGGACATCTTCGCGCTCGTTGGGGGACAGAAAGCGTAAAATGTCTGGCTGGATCCCCCACGTCAAACTGTCGGCTGTCAGTCAAGGAAAGCTTCGTCGAGATGACAACACCTACCCAAGAGGCAAGATGGTCGATATAGTATCGCATCAGACAAGCACACTGTGTGGTGGTGAATTTGTTGGGCCAGTAGAACTCTTCCTTCCAGATGGCCGGCGACAGTAAGGACTCCGGAGGGATCGTGGCGGCAGCGGAATCCGCCAGACGGCGGTACTCGGCCTCCACCACTTTGGGGACATACTGCTGTTCAGACATGTAGGCAAAACCGTTCGGACCCACCGAGTTGAGCACCTTGGGAGGATGATACACTCGATATTGAGAACGGATGGGGTCATAGGCACCTCGTTGCCATGTTTCCGCGCTCACGTGGTATTGCTGGATAGTGGTGTCTGCTGTTCGTCTTCTTTTGAAGGGCGATTGAACCGGAAGGGTCTCAAGATTGGTGCTGGAAGGAGATAAGAAAGGGGCTCTGCCTTCAGTGGGCGCGCTGTGGGCTGTCGCAGGCCCTTCTGCATTGCCGGGGGGCTCGGTTCGCTTCGACGGTACGGGCAGGTCTTCCTGCTTCTGGTCTGGAGCTGGAGGGTTGGTGTTGTTGAACGCGAGATCATCTTGAGAATAGTAGTTCTCCAACTCCGGACCTTGATCGACGAATTGAAACTTGGCTATCCGCAAGTATTGTCAACACCAGGCTTGATAGGTGGTGAAAAGGGGACACAACGATCAGGGGCAGTAGTGCGGGACAGATGTGGTGAGCGGTTGAGAGCTGGTCCTGGAGTTTGTGCGACATGAAGATATGCAAGGGGGCTGTCGAAGTGTGATGGTGGACCAGACAGGACATTATCACCGACGGCTGTAGACATGGCCGACAATGTCCCTTTCCGTTCCACATCCAACAGACCGTGCCTCTCCTCTATTCCTCCCGGTGGCAAGGTTACACAAACGTACCGTTTTTGGTCTGCTCGAGCCATGTTTGATCTTTAGAAAAGGTCGCATCGTATCGAGCACTGGAGCCGTGACGAAACTTGAGTTTGCCCTTCGCCCTCCGGCATTTGCCCCCCAGACGTTCACATTGTCTGCACCGCGGATAGTTATCATCGCCTGAAGTTGTCAGCTCGGCCAACATCTATGGCTGGTGGGGACAGCGCAGGGCAGGGCAGGGCCGGGAGGTGTTGTGCTGGCTCTTGTGCCACGCTTGTCCTGTCGGTTGTCATGCAGCAGTGACAGACATTGCATCGGCCGGACCAGATAGGATGGGACAAAGATGGATAAAATACCGCTCGTCTGTTCGTGGTGTCATGGACTTACATTTTAGATGACGCTCTAGAAGGTTGCCACTCGGTCAATACAGCGCCATGATTAGCTGCACACACAAGCAAACAGACGTACCTCGACACTCTTGACATGGTTCCTCCGTCTTATCCCGCATGGATTCGAGGCGAGACAGGAAGGGAGCAGGTAGGACGAGAAACGGAGCAGTCGACGAGATGGCGGTCAGAAGAACATCATGGTGTCAACCTTCAAAAGAGTAGTTGCCATTATTGAGCAGCGGAGGCAAGTTGATGAAATAGAGTGCAAACTCCAGAACACAACTTGAATGAATCGGCAAATGGGAGAGAGAGGAAAAGCAGGGTCTGCTCTTTTTGTCAGCCCCGCGTTTCGATGGGCCTGGAACAGACAGATGGACAGACTGGAGTGATAGAGTAAGGTATCGATCGATATAGACCTGGGGTTGTGTGTGGGAAAGAAAATGCGCTGGAAGAAGATTCGCTCGCTTGCGGGCAGTAAAATCGTCTTCCATCAGACGCTGGTAAATCATCCAACCGGCGTTCTGGGCTGGCGACTAGAGGATAGGCAATAATGTGTGCCTAAAAATGCGGCCTAATGAGCCAAACCACCCCCCGGGGACCATGAGGCTAGGGAGGCCCTTAGGCTCATCAGGCTTAGGCCCGGGGATGGACTGGGGCGCGGCTGGGAGGGAGACCGGGCAGCCACTTGTGCCCCCTGAGCCCCTAATCGAGATTGCCTACAGGGTATCAAGGGTCCTCTTTAGGCTAATACTGATTACTCCCATCTGAATGGCACCATCTCGTCCTCTCCTTGCTCCCCAGCCTTGTCACGACACTCCGGCGGGACACGGAACAGGTAGGCCCTAAGTCTGGTACCTATTCAGCACCTAGGTCGATCATGGATGTAGAGTGGATGAGACAATGGCTATTGTATCCAGTCCCTTGTCACACAAAGCAAAATCGTCAAGAGGCTTCTTTTGCCCTCCACTTGAAACATCGGCATTTCTTGCTCATCAAGTCATCAGATCAATATATGAGAAACAGGGAGGTATTTAGGTCATCCTCAGTCATTAGATCATCAGGACATCTGCTCGGGTTCACGCTCCCTCGATCCATTGCCAGAACTCCTCCGTTGAATCGTATCAAAGTCCTTGCCATGCCATTGCAGTGCCAGTCGGGCAAACGCCTTGTCCGCTTCGGCTCCCAAATCACTCTCTCTCAATACTCGTACACCGGCGCCTTGAAAAGCACGTTGGTGAAAGGCTGGCTGAGTCCTCCTGCCGCAGACCCCGTTTCCTTCTGGGATGTTCCACTGTTGCCTGCATTCGACCCAGGCCCTTTGCCTCGAACCTCGACGGCAAGGAACGCGGCAAAGCGAATCCGCCCTTCGTTGGCACCAGGTACCACGAGCTGCGTAGAATCGGCTACAATACCCTCCCTGGCATTGCCACGCTGCTCATCGCCATTATGTCCTGCTGCAGCTGCCCCGGCCGCCTCACCAGTTCCGCCACGGGTGTCATTGCGCGTCGACGGTGTCTTTTTACCAAATCCCCCCAGAAAGCTCGGTTTCTTAGACTGCTTTTCCTCGGGGGTTTTGATGGTCACTTGACTGCTTTGGCTCGCTATACTGTCAGTTCGGGGCGGGTGGCCACTCGGTCCCAGATTACTGCCTTGCGCGGCCTTTTGGGAGGCTGTCTTGCCGGCAGCTTCACGAATCTCGGCTTCTACGTCTCGTGGTCCATCTTCTGTGTTGGCGGTGCTCATACCATTGCCGTCTGGACCCTCTTGCAACGCCGGACCTGCGGCTTGTGCGGCTTGCATGGCGGCCAACCGTTCGTCCAATCCCGGGTTGGTCACTGGAGTCAATTGTGCCTCTATCTTCATATAGGCATCATTGACTGGAGTTCCAGGCATGAAATATTCCAGACAAATGTCCCGGGATTCAAGAGGGATATTCGCCGCAATGTCGATAGCTTGTCCCACAATCATATTGACCCCCTCGGTGAGACCAAGTGGTGGCGGATCGCTAAGATTGGCTTTGAGGGATTCGGTGAGTTGATGGGTGAACATCTTGGTCAGATTTTCTTTGTATTGTTCGGCCTGCGGTGAGTTGAGGACGTCTTGTAACCCTTCAATCGTGGTCAAACGCCAGGTTGTTAATTTGGTGATCAGATCATCTCGCTGCTCGTCCGTCAGAAAGGTGTTCTGGCCTGAACGGCGCAGATTTCGTTCCACGTTCTTCAGATGTGCTGACAATCCCGGGTCTATGCCTGGGTGAAAGGTGCGTTCAAAGATGCTCTCGTACAGCCAACGAGTGATGCATGCTCTACCCACCGCGGTCATTTCCTTGGTCCCAATGGTGTGTGCGTCTTGATTGCAGACATGCCGGAGCCATGGTGGCACTGCCCGCCAATTTTTCCGGATATTGAAGGACAGATTATTGATCGCCTGGCTCAGCCGCTCGAATCTCGCCGTGTATTGGGCATCATCTAAGGAGGTCTTTGACATGGACAACCGCTGGTTGGCCACCGTGTTCTGCAACTGAGTTACTTGTGCTTCGCGCTCGAAATAATACCGTTTCACTTTCGAATATTTGGCCTGTAACTCTTCGTGACGTTGGAGCAGCTGATGATATTCCAGCTGACTGGGATCTTCTCTGCTCCTTGGCGGAGGCGTATTTCGGCCCTGCTCAGAAACTTGTTGTGACATTCTGAGCCTAGGGTCTTGTTGACTTGGATATTGGCTCAGTTCTTCGGACCGGGTGTCTCGTTGTGAAAGTTGTTGACGAAGGGGCCCGATCGCAGGATCGCCCCTTGCCATGACCCCCTGTTGCTGCTGATGAGACTGGCCCTGACTTGCAGATTGAACCGAATATCGGTTGGTTGCAGCTGTCGACGGACGGGACTCGTGAGGGTGAGTCGTGTGTGGAAGATTCGCGACTGGAGAAGGTGGTCCAAATGAAGCCTGCGACGAGGGTCGAAGATGTTGATATGGATCAGAGTCGGCGTTAGTTGGCCGAGACGGAGGTTCTTGGTATGGCAGGTACTGTTCCGAGGTACTGGCAGAGTCGGATTGATGGTACGCTTGATATTGTTCCTGTCGTGGATTCAAATGGGGAGTGTCTTCGGCGTGGCCGACAGACTGATGAGTCGTTTGGCTTTGAGGGGAGTCAAAGTGACCCTGACCTCCTTGATAATGATCGTGTTCGGCCTGGTCTGACTGAGTGGTCGCGACTGAGATGTCTGTTGCTGGGTAGAAGACAGAATGTCTCGGCTGATACAGTGGTGAGGTTTGCTGAGAGTATGACTCCCGTGATATAGGTTCAGATGGGTGCACCTTTCTCAGGAGATGTACAGAGCTTGATCGGCCGATTCTACGCTCGCCTTGAGCGTTCTCTTTCTCTTTCTCTCTTTCCTTGTCTTCGTCTCTAGTCTTGTCTTTAATGAGGCCGGTGATGAAGCTGCGTTTGGATCTTTTGTGATCTTTCTCACGTTCACCCCGAACGTGTCTCGATTGTCCAAACGTGGTCTGCCCTGGGACAGGCCCTGGGTCCTCGGGCACCGCAGCGGGCGGTGAAAGCGGAGGTACAACGTTCACGCTGGGCCGATGTGCGCCATACACTGCGCCAGAGGAAGAGACGCGACTACTTTGACTGCGGGATAGATGTTGAGCAGGATGAGGCTGGAATTGGGACTGAGAAGGGGAGTCCTGGATCTGGTATTCGTTGTTGTTGTTGTCGTCCACTGGCTGTTGACTGTATCGGTCAGGAGTGAGATCGAACTGGGCCTCGCTGTAGAGAGCACGGTTGGGGTGCTGAGCCTGGTAAGCGGGCTCGGGCTGCTCAGGACTGCGATCTTCAAGGGAGGCCTGCGACTTGTTTGACTTGAACAGCCGCATTGAACACACGTTCGCTGGGTGACAGATTAGACAGATGATATAAACGACGTCGCGAAATGAAGAAACGGCATCTGGCACAACGCACAAAGCGGTCTCAGTGATGGGTGGGCAAAGGGCTAAGGGGCGTCAGCCCGACCTGCGGGCGCGGCTGATACCAAGCCTACAAGCAGTAAATTAATGAGACGGCGGTTCAGGTTGTTTGGGCCTCCGAGTCCACCACATGTTCTTGTTTCTGACTTTGGCTCTACAAATAGAGTGCATGACCAATGAAGAGGTGAAGGGGTTCTCAGATTCTAGCTGCTCAAGCCACCGCCTCAGGCGTCCCAGGCTCCTCATATCGGGAGTCTGGAAGGAGTTCAGCCCTACTTTTGCATTCAACTCTGGACACTTGTGTGAGGCGCTGCATGCCAGCGATGGCACAGATCTCACAATCGCAGACTGTTTTCATGAAGTGTTGCTCGACACTGTTCTTTCCCCACAATCTACACTGGGCCCATCTTTGTGGTCCATTTCGGCGCTCTATCGCAGTCACTAGGGGTACGGACTGTGTAGTAAATAGCGCTGCATAGCCTCGGTGGTGGCTGAAATCAGGAACACCCCGGCCACCGAGCATTCCATCCGGGCCAAATTCCTCGATGCTTGTCTTGCCAAAGCTCTCAAGACAGGTTGTGTTCGACACCCCCATTTGATTGCAGTGGTGCTTGCCAGTGCGAAACATGACGCTGGTTGGTCGTCATCGCAAGGCTTTCGAACAGACCGAGAGAGCCTTGTACATGTCTGATGTGGCACCTTGTCGCAATCCCAGCTTCACGGAGGTGAATCAGTCTGTGACCATCCATTTTGTTTGTTCTTTGTCCAGTCGCCTGTCGCTTGTAAACCTCTCATTCGCCCTCGTCTTCGAAAGAAGGGAGGATCACGTCCCATCCTGGATCTTCATTGATCTCAATATCTGGGGTTCCTTCTTCCATGGTCATTTCTTCGTCCTGGCCTTCCTTCTGCTTCTTCTTCTGCGTTGCCTTTATTCGATATGCGATCCAAGAGCCATCGGTCAAGCCTGCACCCAAGGGACTCTCATTGAGAACACTGTTTTTGCCCCCTACCCTCTTCTTAGTGCCCTTGGGCCCAGAGACCTCTTGCTCTTTGACATCCAAGGGTATCCAGCCTTTTGAAGGGTCCCTCTTGTCAGCCAGGACGCCGAATTCGATACCTTCCGGGTCTTCTGGGAGTGGAGTTGTTGTATTGGGGACAGTCTCGATGTTTCTTGATCGTAACGCAGCAATTAGAAGGGGTTTGACTTCGCTGAATGGGGTTGTTGGTAGAACCGATAGTACTGTGGTTGATTTATGGCATTTGAAGAGCAAGGTGATCATATCCGGAGTTGGCAGCGCAGCCAAATCTTCCGTGGAGACCATTGTGGTGGCCTTGACTTCGCGAGCGAGATTGTGACTCAGATAGTGGCTGGCTGTAAGAGGGAGTACGGCCTTGCACTGAACTGTCAATCGCGGAACAAACAAGTGCTGCTTGTCGGATGGCTCTGGGAGTGTACCACTTTTTCCAACTAGTATCGCAGAGTTGGAGTTAGAGTTGGGAGTGAGAACGCGCATGACGCGCGACGGGCAGAAAATCCAGGGTCTTTCACAAAATATGTAAAAGCTCCCTGCTAACGCATGCGGACTGTCAGTGACCCACCGTAGATTCCTCTTCAACGTGGTTCTGATTCTTTGAATGCCTACCTGCCTTAAGGTACTTACCTACCTACCTTAGGCTACCTGAGGAAGCCGCAAATTCGAGACCTTCTGAGTGGGAGTATACAGGGCCTAGGCGTGCGTGTCTGTGGTCAATCAGACTCATGGCAGTACGATTCGCTCTACACCGCAACTAAGAAGAACTGTTGGATGCGAGCCCCTCGACCTCAAAACAGGACAGCAGGCCATTCCCGACATGTGGCCGTTCAAATCCTCACAAGATGGCTTCAAAGATGGATCTCCTAATGCGACCACCTTAGACCCAGAACGATCAGTGCATATGGCCGTCTCTGCCACCATCCCGGAACCATCCTTTCAAGAACCAGCCACTAATACGCCTACTACTTTCACGGGGTGGCCGAACGAAAGACTCTCGATCCCCCTCGTTCTTCGAGCTCCAACGCTGATGATCGCATCCTTCGCATGTGGGTTCACTCTAGGCTCTTCACAAGGGGCAACGAAAGGTGCATACCGATACCGTGCAGAGAATGCCCATCGTTTGCCAACAACACAGACCGGATGGTTTCTCTATCAAAAGTCCAAGAACTACCATGCCATGCTTGCGGGAGTTAAAGAAGGCGGTAGGTTTGGGGCTATATGTATGGGCTGGGCTACATTGTTCATGATCACCGAGGAGATGGTCGATCTGTCAAGAACAAGGCTTCTGGCACGAAAAGGCGAGGATGTTGCGACGGGACAACGGGACGCCGGCAGTACAGTCATTGCCGGCATGACCCTCGCAGGATTCTATAGCTGGAAAAGAGGGCTGGATCACTTTGCATCCGCAAGAACTGCGAGGACGGCATTCAAGTTCTCCCTTGCATACGGACTGATCCAGGATTTGATGGCAACTGTGAGGGGAAATCCTCCCGCCTATGTTACTTGGATCAAAAGGAAGATATTCCCCACGGCCAACGTTGACAATGTCGAATGAGTCGGGAGGAAGTCGATTCGCCAGCCAACATGTATGACTGAGGAGAAGGCACGAATTTCGGAGCGATCGCTGACTGATTTGAATGTCAGTACTGTCTGCTGCAGAGACCACCTCCTTGACGACTGCAGGCGGATGCACGTGTGCCAGCTTTTCAGCACGACAGCGCTGTTGCAATTGTTCTCAGCGATGGACCGAAGAAGGGTGTGTATCCGTCGTTCAACCCTGAGAAGGTTGACCTGCGCGAAGTCCTGCGATGGCCATCACATCACTTCAGTGACGCATCGTCGCTATGTCACATTTGGATGGAAGCCGCAGAGCCCGGCACAGGTACATTGGCTCTTCAACTTAGCTGACAACAGCAGCCATGGTCTGGACTGAGGGCTCGGATGCATCTCAAACAACCTGGACAATCCCCGTGATGAACGAAGACCCTTATTAAGCCATGGGAAAAGCTGGTGGTTACTGAAGTCGAGCTTTTTGTGGCCCAATCATCCCAAAGCCTTGCTGGAAAAAAGCCAGCAGTCAGGACCAGGCTCCAGGGCGGGAACGCTCCAATAGCAGAGTTGCTCAGTTTTCCCTTTATCACGCACTGTTTTCGACAGAAGTCAGGGCTATCCTGAGATCTCGCACAACTATTCGGCTCACAGGGGGACCATCAAAGCTCCGAGTTTGGCTCTTCGCACTATGCTCACCCAGGTAGCGTGTTCCTGGATAGCAAGGCTCTGTTCAACAACGGAGCTTACCGCCATCAAAGCCTCTGACCATGACGTGTGCCATACACCTCGTTTTCCTGACATATGTCACAGCAACTGGCACCATCATTGGGGTAAATGAGATCTCCTTAGCCCTTCAGGCCTCTCAGCTACGGGTGTGGGATTGAACATATAGATCGCATTTCGCGGAAGCATCAGTCATTGAAGGACAACCATCGTAGGGGTGCAACACTGCAGCGACACTGGACTGCATTGGCTTTTGTATCTCCCGGGGAGGTACATGGGTACCTAACATAAGGTACCTTAATAACTAGGTACTACCTACTAGTCCTCCCGAAGCTCCCCAGTAAATTCAAGCCCGTGGCATTTCTCTCCGCCTAAGGAGGTACCTAATGTAGTAGTACTATGCCAGTGTACATTATCCACTACGGGCAAGCCTTTTATTACATCCGAATTGCAACCTGTCAGTTGCGTAGGCGAAGTGACTTGGTCAAGTCAACCCTAAGCCTGCCTAATTTAGTCCCTAAGGTACCTGGTACTTATAGGCCCAAGCCCATGATCGATCGCTCCACCCTTCAAGCTTCCAAACGGTTTGGCTTCCGCAGCTCCTTGTTCGTCTACCCGTGCCACTGCATCATCTCTCCGCGTGTGCAGTGGTCGGCGGTGTGCCGTCCTCTCTCGCTTCCAGTGTTATACCTCCATTTCCGCGCCGTACAGGGGATGCATGATATCAATTCTGTCAAACATTCACTTATGTTTTTGACATTTCCACCGCCCTATTAAGTCCTGTCGGCCGCGACCTGACACAAAACCTACGTAGCGAACCCTGCGACCTCTCCACCGACTGCCCCCGCCTTGTCCACGAAGCCATCTCCATCCCGCCCGGCCTCTTCCAAGCTGCGATCCAAACTACAACATCCCGACAGCTTGTGCCCTCAAACATCTTGCGTTACTAATCCAGACACATAGATCTTTAGAGCTATATTGTCCCTGGTGTTGGCTGCTACCTCTTCATTCTTGCTCTATCGACGGCGGTTCCTTCCTCTAAACGAAGGACGTATTTCCATGCCTGCGACAATGGGCTGAGGGGTTGTTCAACACGAGCTGCAGTTCATCTTGAGTGAACACGCGCTCACTCGCAATTGTTTTTGTGGAAAATGCGCCGACACCATGGACGAGCCCTTTCTCCCTATCATGGACGGACTGCGACCCCTCCCTCCGCCGAAGTGTCGTTGGTCCGCAGTTTTGACTCCCAGGTCAATCCATCACGACCTGTCAGGCAATCTCCTTTAGCGACGTCTCAGATTCAGGGCATGCCATTGGATTTGATCAACCGCATTCGCTCTTTCCCTCTGTTTCAATCGACTTCCGACAACTTCCTCGTCGACATTGGTCTCCTCCTCAAACCCCAACTTCATAACTCCAACGACTACATCATCACCGAAGGCGAGGATGCAAAAGCAATGTATTGGCTGGTAAGAGGTGCTGTCGCGGTCACGTCGCGTGATGGAGAGAGTACCTATGCGGAGTTGAAGCCCGGCGCATTCTTTGGGGAAATCGGGATCCTGATGGAACGGCCTCGCACAGCCACCGTCGTCGCGCGGACGAGGTGTCTCGTGCTGGTTCTGAAGAAGGAGGATCTGCAAAAGATACTACCGAAATACCCCGACGTGGAACAAGCGATCCGGGACGAGGCGTTGGAAAGATTGACACAATTGGAGAAGAAGAAGCGACAGGTGGTACTCGGCACGGAGGATCTGCCGCCTAACGGAAGGAGAGGCTCCAAGAGGCGAGCGTCCTTTGAAGAGGATGTTTCCATGGCCGATGGTGATCACAGTGCCTCCAGCTCAAGCAAGAGGCGAAAGTCTCCAAGCCCAGGAACGAACGAAGTCTCCACGGCCAGTGCATTGGGGCATGGACTCGTCAACATTAGGGCAACCCTGAAAGAGTTCCCGTTGTTTGCCTCTCTGCCGGCCGAGATCCTCCACTTCCTGGGCCTTAATGCGCAACCGAGAAGCTTTCCGCCGTTTACGGACATCGTGAAGCAAGACACGCGGGGCCGGGAGATATATTTCATCGTCCGAGGTGAGGTGGAAGTCCTGGATGAGAGACCTGTAACAACCCCAAAGGTCCACACGTCCAAAGGGCCAAATGGAATACAAACGACACCACGGGTTAAGGCGCGCCTCAGACCTGGACAATACTTTGGGGAAGTTGTGAGTTTATCTCTGGCTGATCGCCGGACTGCGACTGTTCGTTCCGTCACACAGGTCGAATGTCTCATGATCTCCGAGAACGTGCTGGCAGAATTCTGGAGTCGATGTCCTCCCGAGATAGTGCGGCAAATCGAAAAGACGGCGAAAGAACGATTACGGACGGCCTCAGAGAACGACGTTATCATGAATGATGCCGAAGCCGAGCCTAACATCCACCAACTAGCGATCGGCGACTCCAAAGACAAGCTCCTCAAGAAAGGCGGATATGCTCCCCGTGTTACCTTTACTGATGCAGAGATCAGCACCCCCCTTCAGCCTGTTCAGACGGACGAGCAGAGTCCTGTCGAGCCTCTGGACCCCGACCCATTCCTGGACGAAGGTCTGGAAAAGGTCAAGTCACGCTCGCGAAGAGGTTCACTTGCTCCGCCTTCACCAGGCGAGCAAGCAAAAGAGCACAAGCGCCGCTCTCCCCGGTCTTCTCCCACCGCAACAAACAGCCCATCGCCTCGAAGTCCAGTGTCTGCGGCTCCATCGCCGACGTTTGAGCACAAGGGCTCCTCTTTCCCCTTTTCCGACCCTTTCTCGTTGGGCGATCGATTGAAGTCTCGGGCGAGACCCGGTCTTGGTTTCAATCGAGGCACTATTCCTGACACTGTGTTACCATGGATTTTTGAACACCTCGAACTTCACGAATTAATGCGCCTGCAAGCGGTGTCCTTGCATTGGCAAAATGTCCTGACCGCCGCGCCCAATCTGTTCCGTCGCCTCGATCTGTCCCGTTACAACCAAAAAGTTACCGACGATGTTCTCATCAACCGGATTTGTCCTTTTGTGGGTGATCGGCCACGTTTTGTCGACATCAGCAATTGTTTCCACATCACAGATGCTGGTTTCACGGCTCTGGTGAACACATGTGGTTCTAACGTTGAATCATGGCGCATGAAGAGTGTCTGGGACGTCACCGCTCCGGCGATACTGGAAATGGCCAACAAAGCACGCCGGTTGAAAGAGATCGACCTCAGCAATTGCCGTAAAGTCAGCGACACCTTATTGGCGAGAATAGTTGGCTGGGTAGTTCCAGCATATCCGCAGGCGCCACCAAATCGACCAAAGCTGACCATGCGTCCAGCCATCAACAGCAAAGTCGTTGCCCCTGTGCAACAACCGCCTCCAGGGAGCGTTGTCGGCTGTCCCGAACTGTCGTCCATCACCCTAAGCTACTGTAAACACGTGACGGATCGGACCATGGCTCATATTGCGACACACGCACACAAGCGGATCGAGTCGATGGATCTGACACGGTGTACGACCATCACTGACGCTGGGTTCCAATTCTGGGGGAACGTCAAATTCGAACGGTTGAGGAAGCTTTGTCTGGCCGATTGCACCTATCTCAGTGATCAAAGTATCGTGTGGCTGGTCAACGGGGCTGGCAGTGGTTTGAGACAACTTGACCTGGTGAGTTTTTTGAACTCAAACTCATTCTTTTGACGACGTGACACTAATCATTGGCGCTCCCTGCAGTCCTTCTGTTGTGCCCTTTCAGATACAGCAACAGAAGTCCTGGCACTTGGTTGTCCGAACCTCACTCACCTCAACCTTTCGTTTTGCGGCAGTGCGGTGTCCGACCCAAGCTTGCGGTCGATCGGCCTTCACTTGACTTCGCTGACCGAACTGGCGGTACGAGGCTGCGTTCGAGTGACAGGTCTCGGTGTGCAGAGCGTCGTCGAGGGATGTCAGAAACTCAAGCTCCTCGACGTGAGCCAGTGCAAGAACCTCCAGCCGTGGCTTGTTTCCGGCGGTATTGAGCGATGGCGCGCAACCGGTCGAGACGTGGAGTTTGTCGTTGTCAGTTGCGGCACGAAACGGGTGCGATAGTGGAGCTCAAGTTGTGAGAATTGTGCGAGCTGGACTTACGAAATATCATCGAAAATCTTGGACGGAATCTACGACATATAGGAGGTTACGACATGCCATAAATTTCCGCTGTTCGAGTGACGACCGACTGACGACATTGACATCTCGCGGTTCGAGATACGTCGAGGAACTCGTCAGAGCCGTCATGATCTCTGGATATCATGTCATTGCATTATTTGCACTTCAGTCGCGTAACAGCACGGCTCTGCATGGGCACGATGTATTTGGGTTTATTCAGGGGTGATTGAGATCATCTATGACGGAGAAGATCTTCCAGCTTGACTTGACTCTTCAGCATCGAGGAGTTGAAGTATCTACCAACTCCTAAGGAAGTGAGGTGTTTGGGCTGGACTGAACCGTTCCCTGATTTAGGGCATGATGCTTTTGGATGCAAAGTGAACCAGATACCCAATTTATCCTTTTTCCTTTTTTTTTTTCCTTGCTCCTTTTTCTTCTCTCTTTTTCCAACGTTGAGGTTCGAGTTGGCAGAATTAACGAAATGTCCCAAATCAAGAAAAGAGAAGGCATGCTCAGAGCAGAGAGATCTCAGACGGACGGTCTATTACCGTTACCTACTAGTACTGGGTCTTCTCTCCTTCCGATTTCCTCTCTGAGAACATGAATGTCTTTCTTTTTCTGGCCTCGTTCACGATCGACATATAATGTACCATTATAGAGGGAGTGTGGTAGAGGCGATGGACTACCTGCATTCATGGATATAAATAATATCATCCACTCACAGCCTCACCCTCGTCCGCTGCAGCCGGATCCTCAGTCTGATCTTGATTAGGTTAGGTAGGTAGATATCATTCAGTACGTGTTACCTAGTACGTACATGTACATTTACATGTTATGCTCTCGGTTAGGTTATGATGTTAGTACGACTCAGGGTGTTGTGATACGTTGTTGTCGTTGTCGTTGCTGCCGTTGTCGTTGTTCACCTGAGAATGAGAATCGAGAATCGGGTAGTGAATACCTACTCACCTAAGGTATGTCTCCTATAAAATATGACTTTGTAAATACGTAGAGGTAGAACGAAACTGGCGGTAACATGCTGTATACCTACCCAAGGTACGGTATGTAGTATATAGTCTACAATTTGGCTTGTCTATTCATAAAATGATATACTAGGAGAAAGAGAAAGAAACCTCGATATGATGTACTGTTATGTATGGTTGCGCCTTGAGGACTTGTTTGACTTTCAAAGCAGAGACAATCAATCCCTCTCTTTTTTCAGGCATCGTATCCCCGTCAGAGATGCTTAACGGTCGATGACTACACGCACCTTCAGACGTGCTAGCTACATGTTGCAAGTGCCGCTCGCCTTTTTACCACCACCATTTTCCGGCGACCTGTCCCACGGGGCCTGAGGGCTGTTGGTGTAGGGTAGCGGACGTGTGTGTGTGTGAGAGAGAGAGAGAGAGAGAGAGAGAGAGAGAGAGAGAGAGAGAGAGACTTGAGGACAGACACACGTTCTCTCAAGCATCAAGGCTGACTGTTTGACGGACTGACTGACTGACTCGATCTCTCTTGTAGACATAAAGTGAGATGGAACCGATTGTTCGTTCGTTTGTTCGTGCATTCTTCCTCTGAAGAAAAGGAGTCGTTCTCGCCGGGTGGACTGGATAGATTGTGGGGCCATGGAATAGAAGATGCAGCTGGATATGCTTCTCTCTCTCTCTCTCCGTAGGTATATCGTTGAGTATATCGTTGAGTATATCGATGAGTATCGTCAAGTTGCGGTATTGGTATTGATGTCAAATCTCTTCCTCCAACAATGATGTCTACACCGTCACTCCAGCACAGCGCAGCACCACTTGAGGCCAGTGGCGATCAAGAGTCAAACTTGTTCATGACTTGATCCAACATCTTCTTCATCTCCTCTTTCCTTGCATCACCGCACCAGCTTCCCTCAATACTCTGCGTGACCACACGGGCCCATTCCGACTTAGACAAGCCAAAAGCGTCCTGGACAGCACAGTAGTTGTCGAGAATATAGCCGCCGAAATACGCCGGGTCGTCACTATTGATGCTAAAGCGGACGCCCTGGTCCAGATACGTGCGGACAGGCAACTCAGCGACCTTCTTGACGCAGCGCAACTCGACATTCGACAACGGACACAAGGTGACCATAACCTTCCTATCGGCAAACTCCTTCATGACCTTCGGGTCCTCCGGCAACTTGATGCCATGGTCCACACGGGTGACGTGCAGATCGTGCAGCGCCGACACCATGTAGTCGACGCCGGCCTCTTCGCCGGCATGAGCAGTGCGCTGGAAACCGCGGCGCTCGGCGTCGGCGTACGTGTCCTTGAACAAGATCGGCGGGTTGCCCTTCTCGGTGGAATCCAGGCCCAGGCCTTTGATCACGCCGGCCTCAAAGTCCGGGATCGCCGTGCGGTACATGGCGTCGCAGTCGGCGGGCGGCAGGTGGCGCAGCATGCACACGATCAGCTCCGAGGTGATTCCGAAATCGGCCTTTGCGCGTCGCTGCGCCGTCGTGAACCCGTCGATTACGGTGCGGTAGCTCACGCCACGCGCCGTGTGGGCTTGAGGGTCGAAGAAGACTTCGGCGTGCACGAGTCCGTCGCCGTGCGCACGCTTGAAGTATTCATACCCCAAACTCTCGAAGTCCGACGCCGTGATCAGCACAGACATGCCGATGAAGTAGTAGTGCAGGAAGTCGTCGAGGCTGGTGAAGCGTCGGTAGCGCGCCAGGAGCGTGGTTGTGGTTTCGAAGGCCGGGTCGACGGATGGGGAGGGTAACGAGATGTTGTTGCGCGCCGCGAGCTCGAAGAGAAGAGCTGGTTCGAGAGAGCCTGTGCGTGTCAAAGAAAAATGGTCAGCATGAGTTGAGAGCATCGCAGCATCGCAAATGCGTGAGCCGACGTGTGGAATTGCGAAAGTCAACATGTGTGATTGTGCAATGAACGAAGAGCAGGGCCAAAGCCGAAGGAAGATATTGGGTGCAAAGGCAGTCTGTAAAGACGGAAGTCACTGTGCGGCTCCAGGGAGGTCATCATGACAAGGCTGAGACTTGCAAAGGGACGTGAGACCTGAGCAGCAGGCTTCAAGAGTGGCGACCTTGACTCCCTTTCGCAGACTCGTTGTCGTCTTCTCTTAGCTGTCAGACTCTTTGGCAGTCCCCTCTTCCTCTCCCTCTCCCTCTCCCTCTGGTCTTGCATGCAATCAACCCTCCAAGTCGGAGGGATGCCGACTCTCCGGCCAACCGGAACCCGATCACCTCATCATGCCTGGGAAGCGGTATAGCGGCAATCCAACAGATACAATACAAGACAAAGAAAGCCCAGTGGCCCACCTCAGCCCACTTGATCCAGATTCCACATGGTCCGGTCCGTACAGTAACCACGAGCATGACCGGCTCAGAAATCAGGAGCTGAGATATGCAGAGAGACTGAAGCCATGCTAGGACATCACCGGCAAGCATGAAGACAGAAACAGAAACAGAAACATTCTCTTCTCATTCTTCTCGGTCTCTGTCTGTCTCCTAGTTCCCTCTCTGACCAAAAACCAGAGCAGCAATCAACGACAAAGCCATCCCTACCCCGACCACAACTTCTCTTCACTTCCACTTTCCAGCATGACGCAGTTCCCAGACCCGAATCGAATCGAATAGTCGTTTCTTCGACCACGCATGATAACCGAAAGAAAAGAAAAGAAAAGAAAAGAAAACCAAATGAAGCAGATCAAAGCGAGAACTCACCTTCAAGATGCATATGATGCTCGCATTTCGGCAGAGCCTTGAGAAACTCGTGAATCTGTCCTTGACACATGGCGGAAGGACTTATTTTCTTGTCGAATAGAAAAATGCCTTTCTTCGTCCTCTTGTGAACTGAACCGCTGAGCTGGCCTCCCTTTCCTTGTTCTGGTTCTTCTGAACCCGGATATCCTTCTGGCTGACTTGACCTGATTTCGTGAAACCTTGGTGCGCCGGGTTGTTCTGTTGGCCTTTATCTGGCTTGCACAATAGCTAGCAAGACAGAGATAGAGAGAGAGTGTGTGTCGGTGTATGTATGTGTGTGTGTGTGTGTGGGAGTGAGTTCGTCGTCAAATCAGCAGATCAAGGTTTAAACTAAAGAACTGGGATTATAGAAGATCTAGTATGTAATGTAGTATGTATATGGTGGTCCCAGCTCGTACCGTCTTTGATTAATTCTGCGTTGAAAAATTTTCTATAGTCCAGGATATTACTAGCACTTTATTAAGGTATCTGCCTTACGTATTGGGATGATCGAAGATGTAACAAACTTATGGGACAAGGCTGACGAGATCTGAGCGATAAGCATCCACAACATCCAGTTTTGTAGCTTGTCGACGTCAAATTCCGGTGTTTCTCGCTGTCTGACGTGGGATGGCTTACTTAAGCTGGCCGGGGCTGGCCGAACGCCGGGGATTCAGGTACGAACTGGTACGATACTAGTACTAACTGGGTAAGGTAGGTACTACGGACAGGTGGTACGAGGTATGTACATCAAATATGGTTTAACGTTATACGCTAAATGCGCGCTAAGATGCTTGTTACCATGTATTAGGTGCTAGTGGATTCATAAGGATAAGGATACTGTAAGGTTCCTCAGCTTACAACCATACAGGTAGGTACCTTATACACCGTTATGAAGACACATCCTGCAACTTAGGTAGTACTACGTACGTAGTATTCCAGTTGGGCGTCTCGTTCAGACCCGACCTCATTGATGTTTAGAATTGACTAGAGAGTATGCAGTAGAGCGAATGAACCAACACTCAGTCGCAACACTCATGGCATGTCCTTTCGAACCATCAGGGGTATCATGAGCATTCAGTCAGGACTAAGGTCGTCGTCTATATATACATGTACAGCTGACCTTGATCGATAAGTTACATTCAAGAGAACAACAATGCTCACTCGCCGCGTCCGCCTCTTTGGTGGAGCGCATCCTTTCCCAGCCCGACTCCTTTCGCACGGGCGTCCACCACCGCCTCCAGACAACGTCCGACTCCTTCGAGATCTCCCAGGATTCCCACATGGCCTCGATCACTCTCGACCCGGCCGCCCTTGACGCAGCGGTATCCGTCCGGCAGCTGGGCCGCACTGGCGAGCACCACCCCATCGCCGGCAGCAAAGGCGAGATCGTCGTAAGCGTCGTCGTATTTGATGGCTTCCTTGTTCGCCACTCTGGCCCCGTAGACGGTGGGCACTGTTTTGCCAAAGATGAATCCATGGGGCGGGTATACATTGTTCTCCTGGTGGACCGGGTTGAACTTCAGTTGGTCCTTGAACGCCCGGACCTCGCGCAGCGTGCGGCCGAGATATTCCATGGCGACATCCTTGGGGATCGTGCACGCCGTGGCGACCGAAGGCCGGTGCGGCGGGTATTGAGACTGCTTCATGGTACTAGGCCCGACCATGCCTTGTCCAGGATCCTCCGTCGCACGAGCCGCGTCCATGGCCTTGTCGGCCAGGTGCGGGTTCGCGGCCTCCAGGAGTTGTTGGCCCGAGGCTTTCTTGGTGGACGACGAGATCGAGATCGAGTCGGAGATGGCGTCCATCAGACTCTTCCGGCGTTCATTGTTTCGGTGGTGATGGTGGTGTAACGGGAGATTGACACAGGGAGATAGCCGATATTCGTCCCAGACGTGCGGGTCGAAGAAGTCGAGGTCGTAGCGTTTGTTGGTCTGTTTTTGTAGAAAGCAACGCCCGTCGTCCGGCAGTAAGGCGTAGCTCGTCCGGAAGGAGAAATTGACCTGCGCAGTCAGCACTTTGGAACTCAAGAGCACGTCGTCTCCGTTCCGCATCGGCCCGAGAATGTTCACACAGTTTTGCGGCACTCCTGCGTACACCACCCCGGCAAACAGCTCCGGTCTCTGGTTGACGGCGTGTCTGGTGATGAGCCCTCCGAGACTGTGAGCCACGACGGTCGCTCCTCGCTGTTCGGGAGGCGTGCCGGGCTGGTTGCATTCCAGCGACTCGAGGAATTTGATGAGTCGCGCACTCAAGAGATCCGGGCTCAATCGCCAGTCGTATCCCCAGTCATGACTTCGAAGCTTATTGTCGCGCGCATTCGGACACTTTCGCAGGTGACGGAGCAGTCTCCGGCAGATATCAATGGGCCCTACGTGTGAGAGGATCCCAGACGGGATGACCGTTTCCTCCATCCTCTCCTCGTCCTCCCGCGTCAGCCCAACCTCCAGATCGACCTTTCGAAGATTGAGCCCGACCTTGATTGGTACCCAGAGTTGTCGGTGCGGAGGTTGGGCAGATCGCAGAATGGAGCCTCGATACCCACCGAGAACGACGACGTCGCCAGTAGTCTTCGAAAGGGCGCGAGCCAACACTGGATGTGCCCTTTGATCTGCAGACTCCGTGTAGACATCCTTCTTCACGCTCCCGATTTTGGAGACCACCTCGCCATCGTGCACGTGTTCATTATTGTCCGCCGGGATGGTTTCCAGAGCCGGTCTGGCCGGCGAATTGCGCCGCTTTGGGATCGGACGGATGTTCGGCAGTTTAGGTAGTCTTAGAGATGAGTTCTGGAAACTGTCCGTGATGGCTTTTAACCGCGAGTTGGACATTTCACGGACATCTGCATAAGCATTGATGTCGTCCCAAGTCGACATGCCCGACACTCTTTTCATCAAGTAAAGGGAGCTTTCCGAGTTGGAGCGTGCACGACTTCTGGTCGATGCTGGACTGATCGGTGACAGGAGAGGTTCGTCCTTGACGTCAGCCTGATGCACCGGTCTCGAAGGGCTGTAGATGTCATCAGAAGTTGGCCGTGACGAAGAGCTCGCAGGCCGAGGCTCGACCGCATCTTGCTTTTCCACGGGTTCTCGAACAGTCCAACGGAAAGTTGCGCTTCTTTGCACTGGTGAGTGTGGTGGTGGTGACTGAACACGATGTTCATGGTCGGAGTTGTCTGTGTTCTTATTGCCGAAGGGAATCAGGGAGATCGAGCTTCTGTTGAAAGAGGGCAAAGAGGGCAAAGAGGGCGAGGGCAAGTCAGGCAAGTATTTGCGTAGGTTCGAAAACATCGTCGTCGAAGACGAGAACGAACGGCCTCTTCCTCTCTGTTCAGCCGCGTTCAAGAATGCCTTGGCCAGTGATAGTCTTGGTGGTGGATTACGTGCTTCATTTTGGGATACAGTTGTGCCGCCGTTCTCAGAGTGGTGCGGCAATGGGGATTCGACCCTCCTCGGTTGCGAAGATTCCGGATCTGAATCTCCCGCTCGTTCGCTTCGCTGTGGACCGGCGCGCTTCGAGGACAGTCTTGGGCTTTCAATCTGGGTATCATTTCTCACTCGACTGTGAGATCCGAATACTGCACCGGATGGTTCATCGTCCTCGGTCATACCATCTGTAGATAGCGAGGTCTTACCATTTACGACGGGCGCTGCAGGCTTCGGGTCATTGTGTATTGATTCGGAGTCGGACTCATCTAGGTCGTCACTTTCAGTTTGTTCTTCGTTCAGAGTCAAGATCTGATTGAAAGACTCGGGAGGCAGGTTCAGCGCTCTCGCCTTCTCCGCGACCGGCGTTTCAGGGGCTCGCATATGAGTCTGAGCGCGACTGATACTGACCCCGATGATATCGTCATCATGAAGCCCGTCCGCGGCCAGTTCGGACATTCGACGCTGGCTGCCTGGTAAGATCGGGCCGTCAAGAACGTCTGCATGGCCCTCAGAGAGCGATGATGGCTCCAGGTCATAACCGTGGTCTGGAGCGGAAATGTGGTCTTCTGACCCCGAAGAACTGTCCGACTCCATGTTGTCCGGGCGGATTCATGAAGCGTTGCCGGTAAGGTGAGAATAGTTCACACGTGCCTACTGGCGATGGGAGAGATGTTGAAGGTGATGATATGCCGTTCGATCAAGCCATGTGTCTGTGGCGTGGCCGTGCGAGGATTGGATCTCAAGTTGAGATTTGGTGCTTGCTCGTATTCGGCACGGTGGAGTTGGCGCAGTGACGGGAATCTGACAGTCCTCTAGAGATGCTGCTGCTCTTGGGGTTCAGATACAGTTTGACAAACACATTACTGGCGGCCTGCCAAAAACATTATTCGATTCCACCGAAATGAGACACGCCAGGAAAGGATATAACAACTGAAAGAAACGACGAATGGGACAGGGCAAGAAAACCGAGTGTTAGCAGAGGCATAAAAACGGGTTCGGCAGCGAGCGGAAGGCTGGATGTCATTGTAATGGAGTAATGCACTAAATCTGACGGAACACAACGGTGAGGCCTGAATTGTGCACCGCGACCGACCTGATGTAATAAACTGTGCTGAGATTGCAGATGGAGGGCTGAGATCGTACAACATGTGTGATGAAGTAAGTCTATACGATAAATGTATGTATACATGTACTTAGGTATATTGTTGTGGTTGTGTCTAGAGGTACATGATGTTAGCTGCTGCTGCAAATACCTGGTGAATAATTTTCATCCTTAGTCATCTATAGAGTAATTCTGTAGAAACTTACTTCAATAGGGCATAGCGAATATACTATTCCTGAAAAGGGCAAGACTGTTAGATGGGCTTATCGATAAGCCACTTCCTCTCCTGCTAACCACAGGGAGCCTAATGACCGTCCCGAAGGAACTCTAATCACGTTTCCACTACTACTTGTATGTACTTCATGCTACTCTCTTTTCGAATAGTATAGACAAATCGCGGCATTCATTGCTTCAACCATTCAGTAGACTCGTCTACCATCATATCGCCGTTCCCGTTTGCTGCTTCTCGACCTGGAACAATCAATATGGCCCTGTTGGCTCACATCCTCCCCAGCCACCAGTCACCAGTCAATCAATTCCCTTTCCCCTCCTCTACATGTCTCATAAGGGAACGAAGCTGTTACCTACGTCTCGATGACAGTTACAGCTATGCTTTGGACAGTCAACCCTATTCTTGCTCAAGACTCACATCGCCCAAGCAGACTCACTGTAGAGCTGGCATGACTCCTCCTGCTCCTGGCTAGGGAAACACGCAACGACCGGTATTATGGCATATAATGTACAGAGGCCACCCTTCCTGTGGAAGGAAACAATTCTCAAAGCCGCTCTTGAAAGAACAGGTACAATGATCTGACACCTAACTCGAGGGCCGACACCATCTCCGAGACGATGAGTAGACAAGTTCCAAGACTGCAATTGTTCGGCGGCGACCACCGGTCAAGCGCTTGGTTCGGGCTGGCCAAACTACTGATGCACGACGAGTACCTACGCGTCGAGGCGATCCGGCGAAGCAGACGTGGAAGGGCAAAGCGCGCAAGCCAGAGTGTGGCTACGCAGACTTCAGCTGCTGAAGGCAATGTTCCCAACGTCCCTGCTGGTTCTGATGCCGATGCAGGCACAGGAGATCCTCCTGCTATCGCTGGCGGTGGTGATGCTGCTGGTGATGCTGCTGCTGGAAGTCCCAGCTCCGAAGAAAATGAAGCAGACGGAGGTTCTGGTGAGGAGGGTCGTGAACATGGAGTGGATGACGAGGCTGAAGGGGATGGTCGTGGTCGTGGCCGTGAGTCTGATAACCACTCTCTAGGAGTGGATTCACATGAGGATACTGAAGCGAGCGGCAGTCCTGGTGGTAACGAGGACTCTCCTCCTTCAGATCCGCGTGCTAACAACCCAAATCAGCATCTAGAGAATGAACCGGGAGATAGTGGTGGTGATGACACCAATGAGCATCCAGCCAGCGAACATGGACACGAGAGTGAGAGGAGTGGTGCAACAACTGAGCTAACTGAGCCAACACGAGCCGATCCTACAACTGAAGACGTTGCGACATCATTACCGCTGCTACCACCATCACGATCATCCCGACCATCCCATCGCTCATCCAGATGTCCGACGCTGACAGGGACAGTCTTCTCGTCGTCATCGTCGCCATTCTCATCAACGAACTCGTCCTCTTCGAGCACTAGGCCACGTGGAACCAGAGTACTAGGACCGAGCGGATCAGCCTCTCCTGAGACCAGGTCTCGCACAGCATCTGTATCTCCTCCGCGGTCATTATCGATCTGCAGTTCTCAATCTCCATCTCAATTCCAATCTCAATCATCTACCCATGTCTCGCCTCGACAACTGTATGCTCGACCACCAACCTATCCAGCGCACCGACCTATATCGTCAATCCATCCACCATGGCCGCCCCTAGCTCAAGCAGTTGTTCAGAAACAGCCCGAGACATGGGAGTGGCCGTCTCCTCGAAGCCAGGCTCAATCTCATACTCGTCTCCAAGGCCCGCCAATCCATCTCACAGCAACAAGGACCAGGCCGGTCGCTGCAGCAGACCACCTTGTCCACGCTGACCACTACAACCGCGGACGACAAGAACAGCCATTCCGTATGCACGCTACATCTGTTCAACTTGGTCCTGCGACAGCCTCAACTTCAACTTCAATCTCCGGCTCCTCCACACTTGCACAGCACCCCGTTCTCTGGTTGTCTCTCTCTCCCCCTCTCCCTCACTATGCATCTCCTCTTTCCTATGGTTCGTGGCCAACTGCACCGCCAGCCGGCCTAGGGCTAGCAGCACAGCAGGGACAGATATACATCCACAGCTCGTGAACCAAACCGGGGAAAGAATCGTAGTAGGGCTCAATGTACAGTGACACTTGCGCCACATGGACCTAGGCATACTCCATCCGTACTCCATAGCTAGAGATACCTGTCATCTTCAATACATCTCTCCAGTCATGAACATAAAGCATTGCAAACCTCTACTGGCACTCAAGCGCCGACACAACATGAGAGATTCGTGTACAGCGTATATAGACGTCAACAGTTACTGATCATGTTCAATTCAATGTCCATACTTTCTGTCTCTTCGACTAATGGTAAATGTAAGGCTTCCCCGATCTACTCTACTTTCTTCCCTCTCCTCCCAAACAATCCATGTAGCAAGACAGTGACTCTATGGTACACCAGGCATCTCTGTAGGCAGTAACGCGCCTGTGTATCGTGGTAGAAGCACGAAACCACTTCTCGTCTTGCATCGTCATGTCTAACACTGCTCACAGTTGGCTCGCTTGCTCTAGCCTCATCTCCGTCTCAACGTTTGCCCTTTTGAGAAAGACATCTCCTGCATACCTCCTACCATTGGCCCCTCACAGCTGATTCGCCTTCAACAAGCTGGACAAAGAAGAGAAGGCTCATCAGATTTCCAACCAGGCGCTGGTTGTCTCGGGCTTTCCCCATCTCTGCGCCCACCGGGACGCGTTTCCAAATCAATCGTTACTTTCATTCGTCGCTCAAGGGCTTTTGTTCATGTACAACCCGGGCCGCCATTGCACTGAAGCAGTGGTCCTAACATGAAGTCGTTTTGAGGCATCGATGTGAACCATCTGTAAGCTGCGGGTTCTGTCACACCCGTGGTCGCTTAGCATCTGGTCCAATACTAGTAGCATTGGCACGTTCCTCGCGTATTCGTATCGCTTCTGTCCCGTCGTCGACCAATGTCTCCTTGAACCAGGGGTGCTTCAACGCTTCCTTTGCCGTGATTCTCTGCTTTGGGTCATATACAAAGATCTTCCTCAGCAGATCGAGCAGCTGCCGGTTGAAAGACGTGTTGGCGGGAATAAATTCCTGCATATCTGTCAGTGCGCTGTAACTCGGTTGAAGCCAGAGTTGGAACTTACATGGAGTTGCTTCATAGCCTTGACGTATTTCCGGGATGCCTTGGAGGTTTCGTTGTTGGGATAATCCAATTTTCCGCGGTTGAAGAACTTGGCGGCAGGATTCGCGTTGGCGCCACGACCTCCAGCACATACGGCCTTCACCAATTTAGGATCGATCTTTCCATTACACACAGCCTCCATCATGGCAAGGTGTTCGAGGTTGTCGTGCGTCTGGAACAGAGCATCGCCTGTGAAGAACTCCACGATGATACACCCTATGCTCCAGATGTCACAAGGGAAACTCCAACCAAGCTGAAGGATGATCTCAGGGGCTCTGTAATGCCGAGTCGACACCACCGAGGAGTGATACTCGTCGTCAAAAGTAGCCGAGCCGAAATCGATGAGCCGGATTTCACTATCAAGGAGGACCCTTCTCTGTCGAGCAGTCCGGGACGTTGTGTGCGAAGATGATGGTATCGTCCGGTTATAGGTGAAAGTCTGATAGGCGTTATGCACCAGGAGGATGTTCTCAGGTTTCAGATCGGTATGAATCAAATTCAAATCGTGGAGGACTAAACAATGGTCAGGATGACAGCGAACACCCAGACAAGTACGAACAACTTACAGGCAACACTGGTGAACAATTGTCGTGCAAAGCTCTGGATTTGAGAACTCGGGAAAGGTACAAAGCCGTTGCCTTTGAGAAAGTCGAAGACGCTTTGCCCCAGAAGGTCGGTGACAATGCAAATGTGGTTCCTGAAGTCGAATGAATCACGTAGGTGAATGCATTTGTTTCGGTTGTTCTTGTCGTTCAGGGCAAGCGTCGAGAGAACTCTTAACTCGATGCGGGATGCATCACGATACTTCTGGACCGATCTGATGATCTTGACGGCACATTTCGTCTTCTTCCTCTTGTCGTAGGCTTCGACAACCTTGCCAAATGTTCCTTGACCAAGAAGCTTGATGATGTCATCTGAGAAATGTCAGAACTGTCCTGATCCTAATACATTGAGAGTCTTACATCGATCTGTGAGTGGCGTCTGAGGTGTCACAATATAGTGACCATCGTCGTCGTCCACCTTTTGGTGCTTGTGCAGATTCTATATATCGTTAGCCAAAGAAGTCACACCAAAAATTTGGTAGACTTACATCACGAATGACAGGAACGTGGACATCTGCAGCCTTTCGCAGAGGCTTCGAAGGTGGGATGTAGTCTGCAAAGGCATCCGCAGTCTCCTGTTGTTTTCGTTTGGCTTGTGCTCGGGTTTCTTTCTGTGGCTGTACCCTCTTCCGTTTCTGGCCTATTCTCAAGTCTTCGTAACTGTTGCTTGCAGTATTGCTGCCATAGGATTCAAGGGACGTCGGGGCCGTCACGGTCTGCAGGGACGTGGTCCTATCACCCGAGTGATAAGAGGCCGATGATGACGACGCGCCGAATTTTGCCGGGTGTGTGGAATATGTCGGACTGTCTGTGTATTCAACTTCGTAGCCTTGATCAACTTTTCTTTTCCTGCCGGCATTCGAGGGATAGGTCGCGGTGTCTGTATTATGCTGCCGGGTGGACGAGTCAGCCGGAGGTTGAGGTTCTGGCGAATCGTCGTCGATAACAATAATCTCCTTCGGAACGCCATTCTTGTAAAATTCATTCCAGTCCGGATGTCGTTTATTGCTATCGGCCACGCTGGAGGCCGACTGAGAAGGAGCCATGGATGACATGTTCGAAGGCGGTCGGTACGAGCCTGGGGACTGCTGAGGTTGTGGATATTGAGCGGTAGCCGGGTAGGAATGGTACGATGTGGTCAGCCGTTGCGGTGCAGGCATCGTCGTTGTTCCTGCGGGGTATGTGCGACTAGATGGTGAATATGGATTCTGGTGAGCATAACCATATTGTGAATGATGTGCTGGTAAGAGGGTGGTCGCTATCGAAGGTGTAGACATTTTGTCCCCAGAGAAGCCCTGATTGTGGAGAACGAGGTCCAACTACGTGGATCGTTGCCGAACGCCGGCCGCATGCGAGAGCACAGGAAGTCGGTTCTCGTGTAGGTCCGACGTGGATGTGAGGTGCGAGTAGGATTCGTCAGAGAGGAGGAGAGGGAGGAGAGTCGAAGAACTGCGGTAGCAGCTGAGAAGGCCCGAGTCGGCTGTCGTTGGAAGAGACTCGAGGTGAAGGAAATGTGGAACGCCAAACCTGACGGAGGACGATGCCTCTACTGGCGCAGTTCCTCAATCATGATTCGTCTGGGCGGACTTGTAGGGCGGTGAGAGAAGGAAAAGGATCACGGTCTGAGAAGAATAGATTTTGGCACAGACAGGCGGACTTGGAAGAAACAGATGGATGATGTGATGTCGGGCGATGGCGAGGTTCGAAGTCGCAGCGCAGTTACAGGTAGTGAGTGGGTGAGTGGGTGAGTAGTAGGATAGTAGGGTCTTGTCGTGTTTGACAAGCGTGTGGTAGGTGTGAGAGAGCATTATTCACTCTGTCATTCCGCCATTTACGCTCTCACACACGCTCTACTTGCACTGGGGAAGTTCAGGTTGCCCTGGGTCGCTAAGTGGCGGATGAAAACATCATCCTGTAACAATCGAAAGGCACCTCACACACTGGCAGTGCTTGGGCAGCGCCCGCAGCCGAAAGTTACGGTTAATTCATTCTAATGACCGCCGCGAATGTTCGGTTGATGGCTTCCAAGGTGTGAACTCCGCCAGTCCCCCAACGTCAAACTGGTCCTTCTGCGTAATTGCCATCGTCACATCGTTATGACGATTTCTCCTCCCTGCACCGTTCCATCTCCAGGCTTCTTACCCAGATACCATACCTGGTAGGGTAGGTCGTTCTATTGCTGAAATCTCTTTTCGTTTGAAAGCCTTCACAGGGCTAATAAGGCGGCCCCCGGGGCACAACAATACACGCGCTTCTGCTCTCTACGACCTCCGAACTGGTGGCGTGGAGCCACTCGCTCCTCCCGCGAATCATGAAGTGTCAGGGTCCGTATCCGTCCTGCGTCGCCCACCACCCTGACGTGCCTCCATTGTGTGGCCCGTGGTCTGCGTCCCGTAGGCGCTGTTACTATTGCCCTGCCCTGCATCACTCAGTATGCCAGGTTCTTCCTACAATGTCGAATGAGTGCAGGGAGTCCTCTATCTCTACCTCATGTAGGAAATACCGTACCTCTGTTGCTGTTGGAAGCACTCCTAGCCCATCGTGAGATCACTGTCAGTCTCACTCTTTTCTGCTGGGCCCTGACGCCTCTCCGCCACCCGCCGCGCCCTGGGGCTTAAAAGGCTCTCCAGTACCGTGGCAGCTCGACCAAGAGGGGGCAACAGCCGACAGCGATAACACCCGAATGGTACACTGAAAGGACCGGACGCTACAGAAAACTTGCTGGGATAGTAATGACGGTAGTATCAACAGCAATGCCTAATATAATGGCGATATAGTAGGACAAGGATACGTGGATTCTGATGCGAAGTCTGCATGCTCTCGGTAGTCCAGCCAAAAAGGCCTGTTCTCCTTTCACCTATTCCGGCCCTTAATACGGGGCGGGAAATGTAATGCCAGGAAAATCTCGTTTTGAGCCCTTGTATGGTACAAAATTCATGCTTTGCTGTGCTCATGGGCAACGACGCGCCCAGGACCTTTCGCCCATCCGACTGACCGGCGATATCTAAGGTAGAAAATGCATTTCAAGAATCAATTTCCTGCTGAGCTAGTCCCTCGCACATAAGTCCGCGAGGATCGAGCATCGCTTTCCAGCACAAGCAACACATCCCGAGGCTGAATTTTCACCTCTTTGTCCTCGTCCCAATGACCGAACCGGGTCTCCTTGGAGACTGCCCGCGTACGGTCTGGCGCAGGAGTGCCAGCAACTGATGTTGAACCTGATGCCGCAGGCCGCCCCGAAGTCCCTGCCGGACTTGCTGCTCCGCCTTTACCTGCATTCATCCAGTCGTATGTTCTCGACTTCTTGTTTCCAAACCGACTTCCAAGCATGCTGGACACCGCCATCCGGGCTGCCTCGTTCGCAGATTTGTGTTGCTGCTGTTCGGAGAATTTCGACTCTGCCAATTTCCTCTCTTTCTTCGTCGTCTTCTTTTCCGATTCGAGGGCAGCTACCAGATTTGCGTCTGGTGTGGGATCGCCTCCTGGCGTCGCTTCCGCTTGTGCAGATGCACGTCGTTTTGCACGTTTCTGTCGCCGAGCCCCCTCAGTCGAGCGCTCCAAGTGCGAAACCTTGTCCAGAAAAGATACCACCGGTGCAGGTCCTCCCTCACCAGGCGTCGACTCGCTGTTTGCTTGCGAGTGAGTACCTATGACCAAAAGTGAGTATGAAATTATAGGGAAGATCGGGATACTCACGCTTTAGACTGGAGCCGCCAGACGGACTGGACGCCCCCTCAGGCGCATCAATCGCGGGTTTGCTAACGACGGCAATGTCTTGCCATCCATCAGGGACTTTTCCTTTCGAATGTTGTTGCCGCTCCTGTGCCATTCTCGCCGCTGCGTTGACCAGGCCGGTCATGCGCGCCTTTGTAGCCAGACTGATGACTTTCATGATGTCCGAGAGTCTTTCACCCTTCTGACCGGTATCGAGAATGGCTTGCCCCCTGTCAATGACGCGAGAAGCCCCTTCCAGGCCATTGACTCGGACCGTAGGTGGCGGCGCATGCTTCTGCGTGTTCACCAGTACACCAGACTGCGGATCAATCAGATGTTCCGTGATGCTGATATTTCGAATTCTCTCGTTCAGCGCTCCGCCCAGCAGAAACAAATCCCAGAGCGGGTGTTGGCTATGCCTAGATGCTTCCCAGTCCGCACGTGCCTCCTCTCTTTGTTTACTTTCCTCCGCGGTCGGTTGGTATTCTTGAGGTTGACTCGGACCATCGATCTGATCTCTCTGCACATTTGGGGTTCCTCCACTTGACCCAGGCCGAGAGAACGAATTGTTTTGATAGTCAAAATTCGCGCTCTGCGACTGCAGCGGGGTTTGTGGCGTAGAGCCCCCATAATAGTCCGGCCTGACTAACATTCTGGCTTCCTCTTCGATGTTGATTCCCGTACCCGACAATATATCTTCGTAGTTCCGGTCTTCTGCTTTATCACTCGGTCGCTGGGGAGGTGGCATCAAGCCTGTCCGGGGAGCAGGAGGTGTAGGGCCATTGATGATCGGCGCATTCGCGGTTGGTGTCATCGGCTGCGCGTTCGGCGTCGAGGGATAACTCTGCATCGGGAATGGAGATTGGACGTCAGGAGACAGTCTCGGTCTTTTCGCAGCTGGCGGCTGAGTGTATTGCTGAGGCGAGAACTGTTGAGGTGAAGGTGACGAATAGTTCAGAGCCATAGGCGGGGACTGAGGTCCAAGTGAGTTTGGTCGGCCATTAGGTACTGGGAAGTCTCGCTGGAAAGAAGCCTGCGATTGAGGAAGAGGAGGTCGCGAAGGCGGTGGCTGTGACTGAGCCATCGTGTTCGAGGTGGTCATAGTAGATGTCTTGTAAAGCAGGACGACCGGGCTGTTTGTCTTGCCCTTTGCGTTCCGAGTGAGCGTAGTCTGACGCCCAGCCCCCTTCTTGTCCCTAGCATGCCTGATCACGACGTTGCGACATCCGGACAGGTGAATGATACGTGGAATTCCTCATGCAGTAATACAATTAAGAATAGTTGGTGGTGGATGTGATGGGTCACTCACGCCTTTGGTCTCAAAGCGCAGCCTGCCTTCCACATCGCTTGCACTAGAATCTGCATCACGTGATCGTAGCGGCCTTGGCTATAACTAGTACTACTCAACTGCGACTGCGAGACTCTTTACGAGACCAGCATTCCTCCGCACGGCCTTGTCGTCAAGTTGGATGTAATTGCTTCTCGCTATCAATTTTGCTCATCTGGGCTTATGAGCCTTCCCCCTTTTCCTCTCAATCCTCCTTCGTTCACTAGACTCAGAGTTCGATACAAATCACCAAATACCACACCCTACCCAGTGAGACATCGGCTTTGACGACCTTCCTCGTGTGCCCCTGTATCCCTTGCGCAACTAGAGTATTCAAATGTTGAGACAGTCTTTGCAAGCGCACCTTCGGTAGCCACGGTGCATCATGGCGACGAAACGAAAGGCTGCGGCCATGGCTTCAGCTGCAGAAGATGACCCTGTCGACCCCTCAGACGAGCTTGTATTCATTGGACTGGGCGGTTGTCAAGAGGTCGGGCGATCATGTCATATCCTCCAGTACAAGGGAAAGACTGTTATGGTAAGAGAAAGCGATTGATTCCGCAAGTCAGGGTTGACCAGGGTGCAGCTCGATGCTGGTATGCATACAGGCCGAGAAGGCATGTCCGCAATGCCATATTTTGACGATTTCGACCTCAGTACTGTCGACATACTTTTGATCAGCCAGTAGGTGAATGTTTCCTTGTCAGAGCGTGTTTTTCCTAGGCCAGAGTTTGGAGTCAAGCCCCGTGGTATTTCAAACGGCGCTGTTTGGCATTGCCTTGATCAGGATGCGATTCTGTGGCTTGTGAACCAGAATGGCCATCGTCAGGGGCATACACCTTTGGTATTTATAGCAGACATCAATACAATTGTGTTCAGCCATATTCCTTCCATCTCCCGCTCCTAGTCTTTGTTCCTTTGAATTCGACACCCAAGCATGCTACGCAATGATCGAGTCCCTTGTCCTCTGGAACCAGTCGCTAATATCACGCGTCTTACAGTTTCCACCTCGACCATGCGGCAGCCTTGCCTTATGTGCTTGCGAAGACAGATTTCAAAGGTCGGGTCTTCATGACGCACCCGACCAAAGCAATCTACAAATGGCTCATTCAAGACTCGGTCAGAGTGAGCAACACCTCCTCAACCTCCGATCAGCGGACCTCGCTCTATACCGAAGCAGACCACATATCCACCCTCCCACAGATAGAAACGATCGATTTCTACACCACACACACAGTCTCCGGGGTCCGGATAACACCATACCCAGCCGGCCATGTCCTAGGGGCGGCCATGTTCCTTATCAACATCGCAGGACTCAACCTCTTCTTCACTGCCGACTATTCACGAGAACAAGATCGCCATCTTGTCGCTGCCGAAGTCCCCAATAAGACAACGGTAGGCAAGATTGACCTCCTCATCACGGAATCAACATTTGGAATCTCAAATGCCCCTCCACGAGCTGAAAGAGAGACTGGGCTCCTCAAGTCGATCACAAATATCTTGAATCGTGGCGGCAAAGTGCTCATGCCTGTCTTTGCTCTCGGACGAGCACAAGAACTTCTTCTCATCCTGGAAGACCACTGGTCAAAACATCCTGAACTACAAAAGTATCCCATATACTACACTGGAAATACGGCCCGCAAGTGTATGGTGGTTTACCAAACATACATCAATGCGATGAACGACAACATCAAGCGCATGTTCCGTGAACGTATGGCCGAAGCCGAAGCCGCCGGAAATGCCAAAGGTGTCAGTGCAGGTCCTTGGGATTTCCGATTCGTGCGAAGCCTGCGAAATCTCGATCGGTTCGACGATGTGGGTGGATGTGTGATGTTGGCTTCGCCCGGTATGCTGCAATCTGGGATGTCTCGCGTCCTGCTGGAACGATGGGCTCCGGATCCCCGAAATGGAGTCATCATGACAGGCTACAATGTTGAAGGGACGATGGCTCGGACTATCTTATCGGAACCTGAAATGATCCCAGCAATAATGAGTGGCGGCAACACGGGTGTAGGTCAACCGATGGGTCGCAAGACCAGGGACGACGAGCGAGCTGTCATGATCCCACGACGCTGTACAGTCGAGGAGTTTCAGTTCGCCGCCCATGTCACGGGAGTTGAAAACGTGGACTTCATCGAACAAGTCGCGGCACCACATGTTATCTTGGTGCACGGAGAACGATCACAAGCCGCACGGTTGAGGTCGAGACTGCTTGACTTGAATTCTCGACGAGTAGCAAGCAACCCACACGCCCACCAGACAAAGGTATACAGCCCGGAAAACGGGGCGGAGGTCAAAATCCCTTTCAGAAAGGACAAAGTGGCCAAGGTCGTGGGAAAGCTCGCTCAAATCCCGCCACCGACATCCACCGACCCGGACGACAGCCGAGTTGTTAGCGGCGTCCTCGTGCAGAACGGCTTCAAGCTCAGTCTGATGGCGCCCGAAGATTTACGAGAATATGCCGGCTTGACCACGACCACCATTCTGTGTCGACAGCACATCACTCTTGCTGCTGCTGGAATCGATCTCATCCGCTGGGCTCTTGAGGGAACATTCGGTAGTATCGAGGAAGTCGGTCCAGTCAAACACGAAGCGAACGGCAATCCGTCGGGCCCAGGTGAGCTGACGAATGGACAAAACGGCGTCAAGTGGGAAGATGCCGACGAAGAGATCGTGGCTGAGCCACCACGCACATTCCTGATCATGGGCTGCGTCACTCTAAAATGGTCTGGCCGCGACAAACAGATCGAACTGGAATGGGAGGGCAACACTATGAACGACGGGATTGCCGATGCTGTTATGGCCGTGCTGATGACCGTCGAGAGCAGCCCGGCGGCGGTCAAGTATTCTTCGACCAAGTCTTCTCATACACACGAGGATACCGAAAAGAAGACGATGCCACACAACCAGCACACAGGCCTTACACCCCAAGACCGGTTCGTCAGGCTTTGCATGTTTCTCGAGGAGCAGTTCGGTGACACCATCACACCGATCGAGAAGCCCAGGTTGCAATATCAGGCAGACATTAAAGCGGTGACCGAGAACGGAGAGACCAAGAAGGAAGAAGATCCGTCGGAAGACGAAGATGACATTGAAGCCGCCGACGCCGCGGAGCGTGCACGGCTGGCGGCCTTGGGTATTCCGGTTCCTGGCCTGGAGATCCGATTTGACAAGCACATCGCAAAGCTTTGGCTAGAAAACCTGGACGTTGAATGTGCCAACGCCGTTCTCAGAGATCGGGTCAAAGCCGTGGTGGAGAGGGCCGTGGAAACCATTGCGCCGTTATGGACGGTTCGCGAGCCGTCGAGAATCTGACCAAAAGCGGAGCATAAGGAGCCCACGCACAGAACAATTGCGATCGATCAAAAGACATGGAGAGACTGAGACAGAGCTCAAAGGGTGGACCTCGAGCGTTGCAGCTCTAGCCTTGGACAGGATGTCTGACGATGTGAACATACCTGATTCGGCGCTGTTGGTTGCTATTACCACCGTGGGGAAATGGTTCTACAGCACTGCACACCGTTAGTGGGTCGCTGCCCACAAACCAGCGTCGAAGATGAAGGATGGACGATTGAGGATGGAATATGTGGACAAGGCTGGTAAAAGACAAGCAGCGACTCAATGATCTGATGTCAAGATGTCAAAGACCACAAGTACTCCAGTCGTACAGAACAATCGGATCTCTACTGGCTTCAATCACCCCCCATGCAATGGTTTCCGCTTGCCGGGTCTATGTTTCCATCTTCCGGTAGAGGCCGCGAGCGTGAGTGAGGATGGAGAGCGCCTCTACTACTACCCTGGCACTTACGGTTACGAGATAGCGAGCGTCTTGCGTGTCACTCGATAAGAGCAGACAGATAACGTATCATGCCAAACAATCATCTTACCCGGTCAATATGAAAACTACTGTGCTCACCGGTTCTCAACCCACGGCTCCGGTGTCTTCCCCAGCCTTGCGAACATCCAATTACCATACTGACGTGAGGGACACGACGGAGATGTAGTAGACTCTGCTTCAGGATAGACGGGAGACTGGAAAAGGGTCTGAGAGCCGAACAAACTACAGTACGGGCAACAGATGATTGTACAGAGTACTAGTATATAAGACGGCTTCTTCGGCGGCTGGGACAAGTGTTGCAAGGCGAAGGTATTGAATTGAATTGAATTGATCAGTGAAATGTTATTTCCTCCTTCCTCCTAAGTATTGCACTCCAGTACGAGCATGCCGTGCCATGGTCTAAATTCATCAAGTAATGATATCTATTTGGCTCAAACGACGTGGACGATGGAGATGAGAATGCAGAGGGAAGATGGAAACAAATATAAATCGTTGTATTAGCAGCCTCGTTTTCTCTTCAACTTTCACCTTCATTTGGCGAAGACATAGACTACCATTATTTCACGTGATCACTGCTTGTAACGAGCAATTCTCTTTCTTATTGCTCACATCTGAACTTGTAGGAACATTTACTGTCTATCCAGCTTTCACTGATCTCGCCTACTTCCCTTCGACATAAAACCAACCCAGATCTTCCCGATACACCATCCCACTCGCATACATTCCGCCCCAGATAGTGCTGACAGTCGTACTAGACACAGAAGCGTTGGGGGCCTTGTATATAGGAACGGCCTCCACCTTAGTTTCGTCTGCAAGATTTGTCGGGTTTGGTGAAGGCCGAGCACACGAGTCGGGAATCGGTGTTTGAACAGTGTACATGTCCGATTCAGATCCGTAGATACTATTGCACAAGTCTAGACCACCGTAGGGTCTGTTCGATGTTTGATTCATTTTCAAAGGCTGGCCGGCCTGGAAGGGTGTCGGATCAAGAAGGTTCACATAAGTATCTGCTGGACAAGGTTGTTTCTGGCCATCGCGGTGACGAGGGATAGAGGCACTGATCGAGTGTCGCGGTAGTTGGTACGTTGACACTCCCGGGTCCTGATGTGACTGCTTCCCTCTGGGTTTGGTTGGAGGATGTGACGTCGCCGTTGACGGAAAAACGGTGGACGAGCTCTCCATTGGAGGCATTATCTCCCATGACTCCCGAGACCCAGCTGGCAGCATAGAAGGTTGAGGAAACTTCTTAGTTCGCGAGGCGGTTGACTGTGTTTGTGGCTGCGGTCGCTTCCATGCTTGCCGAGGAGGCACGTAGACATCCTCTGCGGGTCTGAGGCCGTGAGCAGACACCTCGTCGGTGCCTCCTAGACCGTCGGAAGTGACTGCCGGTGCCGGCGCGTTGACGTTGCCGTTGACGATAGTGTCGATGCTGTAGAAGGACTCTTGGGCGAGTTGTCGACGAGGTTGTGGGTACGGGCTGGCACCTTTCGTGGCCGGGTCTGCCGATATCGAATGTGAATGTGAATGTGAAGCAGTGACAGTGATATCTTCCGGCTGAGACAGAGAATGTCGGTTTGGGAGGACCGATAGGATCGACTTGCTTCTCAAAGAGGCGTAAGCATTGATGATATCGAGCTCCGCCTGATCAGCATCATCCATGTCGTCTTCTTCTTCGTCTTCGTCTCCTGCATCAACATCAACGCCTCTCTGTCGTATATTCTTCTCCCCATCAACTCCACCCTTCGGGTCTGCCTTGGCCAACTTCTTGAACGTCTTCTTTCTGAGAGCATGGATCTTAGTTCTGCGCCGCATCAAGCGCAACGCTTCCACCTCATTCTGCGCAATGAGTACATCGACATCAATCTTCTGGCCCGTCTTGTCCATGAGATGCTGCACCAGAATATCGACCCACGCATGCACCCACACCAGGAGTCTTGGATCGCCATGCTTGGCCAGCAATTTGCTCGTCGCCCGCGACCGAACTGCGCATCGAAGATCCAACAAGACCTCCAAATCGCTGGTGATGTGAGAGACAATACATGCCTCGCATTGGTCCTGCTGGTACCGCCATCTCAAGTCGCGCGTCGAAGCCAAGAAGGTCATTTCATATTCCGCTGGCGGGAGCCACAGGGCATGCAACGACCTCAGTCTTGTCACGCGGCTGAGCTGCTCACGGTCCAGCAGTTCGCCTTTCCAGACGAGGTTGTTGAGCCGCTCGCCGACCTCGAGCTGCATATGTTGCAATACCACTTGGACCGCGGAAAAGTCCAGGTTCTTGTGTATCTTGCAGAGGTGTCCTAGCGGAGGGAGGAGCATTCGTTCCAGCCGACTGGGGCGGAGTAGGGATGGGAGCGCTTTGGCATCTTTGCTGATGCGTTTGGAGCGGACTGCTGCGCTTTCGTCGGGTCGGAACTGTAGGATGCTGGCTAATGCTGCAACATGCTTGTTGGGGATGTCTAGCAGATGCATCTTGGTTAGCAGGGCTGGGGAGGGATAAGGAAGTCGGTCGTAAGATCAGACTTACCTACCTACGTATTGTTGCTGTTGGCGATCAACTGGTTGCGAGAACTAAGGCTGAAGGAAAGTCTTCTCTGTCCTTGGTCCTTGGTCTTTGGTCTTTGGTCTTTGGTCTTTGGTCTTTGGTCTTTGGTCTTTGGTCTTTGATCTGATGGGTTGGAGTTTGGTAAAGAGGTCGTCAAGATGGAATATGTATATTCGTTTCTGCTACCTGCTTCCTACTTCACTGGCCTGGGACAACCTGCACAATGCGAAGCAGGCAGTGTCCTTTGTTGACGACAGGCGCACAAAGAAACATATCGGCATTTTTGCACTATAGTCAGGCAGTGGCTGTCGAAGGGTCGAAATCGATAACCGACAATGAATGACAAAGAACCTTTCCTCAGGTGGTCAATGGTTCGGTCTGTTACAAGTCAACTGGAGATGTATCGGTTTTTGATATCACGTCAACAGAGGTTGAGGAACACCATGGACCGGCTGACTAGGTTCGTGTGGGACATGAACAACAGGAATACTGTCAGAGGATATGGCAAAGCAGAGCACAACAAAGGGGAGAAGTCGTCGTGGAAGCCAAAAGAAGATGACAAGTTGGGGTAGGAATGCATGATATAACACTCCATAGCCTTGGTACCTGACCATTCTTCACACATTACCCATGATTCGCAAACGGGTGAATACAAGGCACATGAGCCTTTCCTGAACTCCCTTGAACCGTCCAACATACACCCGAGTTCTGCCTCGAACCCAAACCCAATGCCGTAGAAAGCTCCATGGAAAAAAGACACAACAGTCGAAACAACCGCTCTTATACAACATCATCAGTGTACACCATCGGCATGCAGAATTGTAGGGCTTCTGTTGTGCAGACTCCCCGCAACACGATCCGAGATCGACATGGCATCAAAACCACTCTTGCGTCTCGTGTTCCGTCTCAATGATTGCCTGGCCTCTTGTTCTTCCCTTGCTTCCTCCTTGAGAATTCTAGCTCCGCCGTTCTCTTTGTCTTCAAGGACCTGCCTCTGACTTGCGCTGGCTTGCTTTTTCGCCTGACCTAGGTCGATCGTAGGGGAATTTACGACGGACGCTTGGGCTGCTGCGGCGGCAGTATCGGCATCGACTTTCTTCTGTGCGGAGATCCTATCGCGCTCATAGCGGGCAGACACATCTCCTCCGGCCCAGGCTGTCCCAAGGAGACGATCCCAGAAGGTGAAGAAAGGTTGGGAGAAATTGGTTTTGATCCCCCAACTCTGGTGGTGCACATCATGATAAGTAGCATTGTTCGACGTGACATGCTGGAGCGGATCCCATGGGAAGGCGTAGCCGCAGTGGTCATCAACGGTTTTGATCGTTGAACAGGTAAAGAACCACATGCCCTGTCGCACGGTCATCCCTGAAACGAGATATGCCACTCCGGTACCCAACGTGTCAAGCATGAAGCCTTCCACGGGGTGGTTGTAGAGGGCTCCGAATGCGTAAGGCACGTACAAACGGTGGTGCCGAGAATGGAGAGTGGTGTACAGGAACCTGTTCATGTGCATGGCTCGGTGCAGGAAGTATTGCCATGTGTCGACAATGAGTGTTGCAACAAAGAATTGCAAGAACGGGATGGCGGCCCAATAGATCAGCTTCGCTGTTGCGAGTTCCCACGGCGCAAACGATGGCGTCGGGTAGCGCCCTCCAGCCAGGAGACCGGCCAGTTGAGGATATTTTGTTGACAGCTTTTGCGCAAACGACAAGGCATCAATGCCGACGACCGTGAGTGATTTTGGTATGTAATCTTCTGCCAGACGTAGCCGCTGAGCCCACACCCCAACATCGTAATCTTCCTTGCCGACTGTCTCGATAGGATCAAAAGAAGCGACCACTAACCCGAATGCCGTCTGAATGATTTGCTGTAGAATCACATCCCTGACGACCTCATATCTTGTAACATGGTTGCGTTTGAGCACTTCGGCCGGAGTGTGTAGTCTGTAATGCGAGCACAGGTCGTATGTGTCGAGCATGTGGAAGAACAGGGAGACCACCCAATACGCGACAATGGGAGCCAGTAGTTGTAAGACGGCATCGGATATGCCAGGTATCATAGGCGGACGCGGGGTTAAGGAGTAGGGAGGAAGAGGAGGGAGGTCTGTAAACGTGGAATTCGACATCGTGTCGACCATGCGGCGTATAGACGTTGAAGAACGGTGATACAGTCTCGAGGAGAATAGTATACAGTCAATGTCGGGGGACTCGGAGTGGTGTTGAAAGGAGCGGCTGAGGCGAATGGTTGGCTCGGGGTGGACGGCAATAGAAGGGTCAGGTCATCAGGTACGGAGAAGCGAAGTAGAAGAAGACATATGAGAATGAAAGGGAAAGGAACCAGGTTGTATTAATCTCAATGAACGCAGAAACAAAAAGGGTGGAGAGACAGATACAAGAAGTTGGAGGTGGATTGACGGTTTGATTGATCGTGATGATGAGCGAGATACAGAGGGAGCAGCGTGGTAAGTGGATTTGCCACCATGAGGCTTTAATTCCCGATTACGGTGACGCTAAAAAGTTATGCGACAGCTATACGAGAATACGAGGGACATTCGCAGACTAGATTCACGTGACTGCGCAGCACAAACTCATCATAGATCACGTGAGTCAAGGCTTGGTCGAGTTCGAGATACCCAAAGTCACGTGTCCGCAGCTGAGCTCCGCAGGGCAAAAGTTCTCGAACAATTGCAACGGTGGAATTTTTGGCTTCTCCCCCACCGACCAGAGCCACATTTCTGCCTCCAGTCTTTCCTCTTGACTGCGCCTTTCCCCCTTCCACGTCTTTTTTTGTGGTCGATCAGCTATTCTTTCTATTGCTCCGTCTGAAACTCCGTTCAGCAGGCTTTCCAAAATGATCATCTACAGAGTATGTGAACCTCGACTTTGCGCGTCCCAAAACAGGGGTACCACCCCGCCTTCCGCGACACGGGCGACTGACAATTTGATCATAGGACATCATCAGCGGCGACGAGATCGTCTCGGATGCCACCAAGATCATCGATGCCGGTAACGGACTGTGGGAAATTGACGGCCGCATGATCAAGAAGGGTGCCGAGAACTTCGGTTTGTTCACTCCCCTTGCGCTTCGTGGTCTGTGTACTAAGTAATTTGCTAGTTCTCGAGGGTGCCAACCCTTCAGCCGAAGAGGAGGAGGAGGGCGGTGACGAGGGCGGTGACAACCAAGCGGTCCTCGATCTTGCAGACTCTTTCCGCTGGTCAAAGTTGGAGGGCGGTATGAGCAAGAAGGCGTACCAGAGTGAACTCAAGAGTATGTCACAACCACAACATTACAGTTTTGGATGGAGCATCGAACTGACTTTATGTCCCCTACTAGAATACATGAAGGCCCTTACAGAGAAACTGAAGGAGAGGGGTACCCCAGAGGAAGACATCAAGAAGTTCCAGTCTGAGGCCCCGGCTGCTGCTAAGAAGATCCTTAGCAACTGGGAAAACTACGACATCTACCAAGGCGAATCGATGGCGGGGAACGGCATGTACGTGCTGATTGATTTCCGCGAGGACGGTATGACCCCCTATGCGACTGTCTGGAAATGGGGTTTGGAGGAATACAAGGTGTAAGCGGAACGTCCGTTTGGATTGGATGCGAAGTGACAGCAGAATCCATCGACATGACTTGACGAAACACAGATGATGCACAGCGACGTAGTCGAGCATATCAGGAAGAATAGAAAAGTGCATGTTGCGCGGTAGCCAAACAATTTCAAGATGGAGATTGCCTTAGATTTCCACATCCGAGTCCGTCATTTCCTGGATCAGCAGAGAAGCATTTGTTATTGGGGAATGCCCGCCGACCCAGTATACAATTGTAGTTCGTGAAGAATGCCATCGTTCTGGTCATTTGGGGACGAGTGGTTGACAGAAGCTGAGACCAACCAGGAAAGAGATTCCTCACAGCGACCGAGCCAATTGTGGGCAATGTTTCCGACTCCATCCACCGTAGTCTGTATAGTAGGATGTTGGGAACCCCCGCAACATCATAGCAAATGGGCAGGTGAATATGGTGGAGGACACGGCGATATGCAACGTAGAGAAAAAAGAGGTGAGACAAATACAGAACCAGAGACGGAGCTGGAGCTGGAGCTGGAGATGGAGCTGGAGACGCAGTGGCAGTGCGGCGCAGCCAGGCATCGTCGTTTGTTGTTTCAAGTTCTTGGTTCTTGGTTCTTGGTTGTCATTCCATCGGCCAATGCCTCAACTTCCTTCTTCTTCCCGAACACTGCAAGACTGCGCGCCGCTCCCATGCGGCTTCCTCGCGTTCACTATTGACGAGGGTGTCCTTCGTCCCTCATTGAACTGTCCTGGGTTTTGTGCTGATGCCATCACCATCATCTTATATTGAGTCACTTTCCACCCAGCATGGCACATTCTTTGCGTAATATATTGATTTTGGCCACTGTTATTCCTGCTGTTCTCACCATACCCACCACCGACTCCTCCTCTCCCACGTCTCTCCGTCCCAGAGCGATTCGTCCCCAGCCAGAGCGGGCAACAGGTCTCTTCCGAAGACTCCGAAATGCCCTGATTGAAAGAATATGGTCAATACCAGACACATGCCATACACACAAACTCTCTCCTGCTCCCTCCGCGAGCCGGGCTCCAGAGAACTTCCGCGCTCGTTACGGAGGCGATGTGGTGCTACGATTCCAAGTCAACACCGAAGATGAGGCAAAGGCACTGTCAGAGGCAGTCAACATATTGTATCTGGACATCTGGGAGGCGACGACCAAGTGGGTGGACATCAGAATAGCCAACGATGTGGTGCCTTCATTCATTGGCCTGCTTCCCGCTTCACTGCGCGACTCATATACTCCGTTGATGCACGATCTAGCTCGAGCAGTGTACGAAACATATCCAGAATCATCCCCAGCCGAGGAGACCTCTCTGACACCCGGTCTTACGACTTTGCATGACTGGCGGGCAGGCAGAGGCACGCCAGAGGATTTGTTCTTTCAAGACTACCAGCCTCTTTCCGTGCTATATCCGTGGCTACGACTGATTGCCTCAATGTTTCCAAGCCATGCCTCGTTGATCAGCCTTGGGCTGTCCGCTGAAGGTCGAGATATTCCAGCCCTACGAGTTGGCGCCCGACCAGACAACGTCCCAAACGATTCAGACAAGTCGAGGCCGACGTTGTTGATTGTGGGCGGTAGTCATTCAAGAGAATGGATTTCAGTCTCCACCACAGCCTACATCGCTTACAATCTCGTCACTCGTTACGGCCAGCCTCACTCTCCATACGTGACGAAGTTATTGGATCATTTCGACGTGGTCTTTGTGCCGGTGCTCAACCCAGACGGCTATGAGTATACTTGGACGACCGATCGACTGTGGCGCAAGAACCGGCAACCAACCTCTCTTCCCTTCTGCCCGGGTGTCGACCTCGGCCGATCATTCCCGTTCGGCTGGGACGGTTTCGGCGATACGGACAACCCCTGTAGTGACAGTTATGCTGGACCGGCGCCATTGGCGGCCACCGAGGCTCAAATCCTGTACGATTGGGCACGCAATGAGACGGAGCACAACAACGTTACCTTTGTGTCGTTCCTGGACTTGCACTCTTACTCGCAACAAGTCCTGTATCCCTACAGTTATACTTGTGACGTGGATCCCCCGAACCTGGAAGACCTGGAAGAAGTTGCTTTTGGACTGGCCAAATCATTCCGCTTAACCAACGGGCATTACTATGGAGCGGAGAGCGCCTGTCAAGGAGGGATTTCGTTCCAAGACCAGACCAAGAAGACCAGTGTTCAGGCCGAGGCGCAAGGCGGCTCAGCCTTGGACTATTTCTACCACGATCTGCACGTGAAGCTCTCTTTCCAGATCAAGCTCCGAGATACTGGGAATTACGGCTTCTTGCTGCCAAGATCCCACATTGTGCCTACAGGCGACGAAGCTTACGAGGCCGTGGTGGGGTTGGGACGGTGGTTGTTGGGAGACCATGGCATTGAGAGCATTGATGACCGGGATTCGGTTTGGGGCGTCGAGATTGCTACCTCGGGCTCGCAGGATACGGAGGTCGCACATGAAGAGGACAAGACATCTTCTGCGGCCGAAAATGATGAAAGCTTTTACGATGACTCGGATTTTGAACTGCGGAGAAGAAGAAGGCGTTGATCTTGCGAGCACAGGGAAAACAACATGCCACGATGGCGGCATCAAAATTTGAGCTACTCCCGCAATGATTGCGGCGTTGCTCTGCCATCAATAGTCCGACGACCACGCTTGTGTTGGATTCAGGGGAGTATTGGAACAAAACTTGGACTCTGGATCATATCCGGGTCTGCAACACTGTAACACTGTAACACTGTGTATACCAATGTATGCGAAATATGATTCTTGCATGGTCATGCTGGTCATCGTCTGTGCCTTGACCTAGGCTGTAATCGCCCAATCCGTTCGTTCATCCTTCCACTCCCTTTCCTCCGACCTTGAAATGTCTCATCAGACGTAGACAGTTTCGGTCGAAGCAAGGCCAATTGATAGGATAGACAGCTCAACCTAGTAGTAGGTAGTCCTTGAGAACGAGAAGCGGGAGACTCCCGCAGTACGGGACCGCAGACAAGACAATCCACCCGCCACGCATTGTTTCAGGAGGACCTGCCAGGTATGATGACTACCTTATCTCTCTGGTCATACCCACAGGTACAGCGAGTGCTAAGTACAGTGGTCCATCCACGGCTCAGCCAAGAAAGCGCCCGTTTCGCGCACTATACATTGCAGAAGAAACAGAAAATGTCGACAAGCAAACGCCCCATAAACTCCATCGCTGTGCATTGTACAGTCTGGTGCTGTGCACGCAGCAATGTGAAACATGCAAGAAATCCGCATTTGTAGGATTCCTTCCATTTGGCAAAATAAAACCGGCCAGCACCTTTTGTCCCTCCGAGCTCCGGATAAGATGAAGCATAGGGAATTCCGTGCAAAGCTTTTACTGCGAGCGGCTCTTACGCACCCGCGTTCTTGTTCTCTTCCATAGACTTGGCGAGATCTGCAGCCATTTCTGGAGTCTTGACTTTGAAGACCCAGCGGACCAGATTGCCCTTGTAAATAAGAGCACCTTTGACAGCGCCGCTTTTGCTGGATTCGGCCTTCTCGTATGTGACGCCTTCAATGAGGTGGGAGTTGATAAGGATGTTAGCGTTAGGCTCCACTCGAAAGACCACACGAGTCTTGCCGGTGTCCTTGTTCTTCAGGACTCGCATTTGGCCCACGCCCATTGAGTTCCAGTCGTTGACCTTCAACTTTGTGCCTTGCGCCGTTTCTGGATTGACAAACATCAGAGCCTTTGATCGGCCCTCCCAAATGCAACTTTCATTCTCTTCGCCGGCTCGCGACTCCATCAATGATGTGGCTTGGGGGTCCTCGGGTGTCTCATCAGTTTCATTGGTTGCAACCGACTCGTTATCGGTCACACCAGGCGAGGTAGCACGGGATGAACCTGCTGAGCTAGTCACAGATCCTCCTCCTAGATGTGAGATGGCGCCCAGGAAACCCGGGGCCGGGTTCGAGGCTGGAACCCCAAACTGAAACCCTACTTGGTTGGGTGTCTCGGTAGCTTTGGGTTCGGTGGAAGCGGTACCGAATAGTGAACCAAACGGCTTCGGTGCAGAGGAATCTTTGTCGCCAGGAGATGCAGCCGTAAATTGAAATGTTGGAGCAGTTTGGTTCTTCTCGCCGTTCGCAAATGAAATGGGGGCACCTGCTTTCCAGGTGTTGTCGGTTCCAGCGGGCGATGTGAGAATTGACTTGGCCAGACTGCCGTTCTTCTCTGCATTGCTAGGTGTGCTGGGCCTTGAACCAAAAAGACCCTCCCCAGGAACCGGCCCACCTTTGGTCAGTCCGCCAGCAAAGATGGAAGCACCCGGTGTGGGAGTAGATGTGGTGTTCGGTGCAGTAGGGGTGAAATTGAATGAAGCCTTGGGAGGCTTGAATGCTGACGTCGCAGCTCCCGTGGCTGGTGTGATTGGTGAGAAAGTAGGGGCCTCTGGGGTGGATTTGCCAATATGCGAACCCCAAACAGCAGGCGGAAACGAAGAATTTTTAGCTGACTGCAAGATGGGGTTGGAATCGGCGGCTGACTCTTTCTGTTCTCCGTTGGTAATCGTGTCGGCCGGTTTGCTGGGATTGGGCTCGATGCGGTCGAATAAGCTTTTGCCGGCGTTCGCGTTCCTTCGAGATCGGTCTAAGGCCGCTTGAAAGTCATTATCGTCGCCATCTTCGTCTTCATCAGTGTCCTCAATATTCTCGCCATTTTGGTGATCAGATTCGCCCTGTTCCTCGCTGCCATTGCTGCTCTCCGAGCCGTCTTCGTCACCTCCTTCATCTCCATACTTAGTGGATTTGTTGGAGTCATCGCTATCCTCGTCTTCTTCATCATCTCCTTGTTGAGAATGATCACCACTTGTCTCTGCATAGTTGAATGCGGCAAAAGGATTGGCAGATGCAGTTTTGGTGAAACCCGAGAAGCCAGACTTACTAGACTCTGGCTTCTGCGCGCCTCCGGACATTGACCCAAAGTCGAACGATGGCTTCGACGGCGACTTGTTCTCAGCTCCAAACGGCAGAGGTGTCGATGCTGATGTGTCTCTAACTCCGAAGTTTGGAGTGAACCCGCCCTTTGAAACCGCCTCAATCTTCGCCCTCTTTGCACGCATCTCCTCTTCAGCCTGTTTGCGAAACGTCTCTTCGTCATCTTCATCAGAATCAAAATCTTCGGCTTTCCGCTTCTCAATCAGACTCTGCTCGAATTTCTCCGCATTTTCTTTTGCCTTCTGTCCAAAGGCGTTCATAAAGTTGTTGTTACCTCCCCCAAACTTCGGAACTTCAAAAGTTGGCTTCTTCGGAGGCGAGTTTGTCGGAGTGGTCGAAGGTGGTGGCGTTGTAGACCGAGGTGGCAGGGAGAAAGGGTTGAGGGTTTGGCCGTCTGGTTGAGGGCGCTCGGCGGCAGAACTTGGGTCTGCTTCAGGAATCATCCCACCAAGTCGCGCAGTCGTGTTTGATGAGCCTGCATCCTGAGAAGCAGTATTAGAGGTAGAGGAAGGGCCAAAAGCCGATTTTTGAGGCGTAATCCCGGCACCAAAAACAGGCGTAGGCTGAGACTTTGAGGGACCTTGTTGATCATTGTTTGAGCGTGTCCGCTTGTTCTGCAAAGGTTCCTCGTCATCAACATCGAGACGGTCACCTTTGCGCTTCGTACCTGCGACGTTCCGCGTGTACAACCCCAAAGAAGCGCCGATGCTGTCACGAGCCGCAACATAGTGCCGGATGATGTTGTCGAAGTCATAAGAACGAGGGTCTAAATCCTCGAGCTTTCTTTTAAGTCCGGCATTCAACGAGTGCAGACGGTAGTTGCGATCGTACTCTCGATAGCGCTCAGCATCCAAATGGCTGGGGATGAAAGGCGGCGCTTTGGTATAGACAGGACGTTTCACAGGCTCTGAAGCTGCAGAAGCGGACTGATCAAGGCCATGACCGGTAACCTGAGACTGATTGTTTGAGCTCGATTGGAACAGCTTTGGCGTTTCGTTCGATGGCTTGCTCGGCGTAGCCTTTTGTGCAGTCAGAGCGTCCTGGGTCTCTGACTGCTTTCCGATCCCAAATAGAGTGGGAGTGCTCGATGCTTGAGTAGCGGCAGGCTCGGTACGTTTGTTACTCGAGGTCGGACCAGTTTTCGGTACTGTTGAGAAAAGATTCGACGCAGAACCTTGCTGTTGGTTGCCGACGCCGGCGGCGGCATCCTTGACGGGGGAAAACAAACCACCGCTTGAAGCAGGCTTGGATTGTGCCGGGAAACCGAATAACGCCGGTCTAGCTGAACTGCTGGTGCCTTCGAACTGAGCGTTATTCTGGTCAGCTTGTCCCACTGACTGGCCAGCAGTTGAGGCATTCTGGGCTTCAACATGATCAGTGGAGCTTTCAGACTTGGATCCAAAGAAAACGCTGGAGGAATTCGTCTCGGACGCCTTCCCTTCTGAAGCGCCGGCCGACTGTGCTGACTGTTGACCCGTTGCACCTATAGAAAACGGCGACTTCGTAGCTGGAGCAAAATCCGCCTCTCCGGAATTTGATGCTGATGATGTTTGGCTGGTGGAACCGAAACCGAATGATGGCTTTGGTCCGGGAGTAGTTTGCGTGGTAGCACTGGACTCGGATGAAGGCGGTGCGGGGGTTGTGGCGCCAAAGGTGAATGTTGCCTTTGGGGCTGGTGATTCTGAGGACGCTGTGGTCGTACTGGAGGTTTCTGCTGGTTGGCTTGTTGCGCCGAAGCCGAACGACGGCTTCGATACCGGGGCGATTGGCGGAGTATCAGAACCAGCAAATAAATTAGAGAAAGGATTGGAGGGAGCTTTTGCACTTGAGTCAGACGACGTGGGCGCAAAGGATTTTGTTGGCGACGCGCTTCGCTGCTCAGGCTCGGCTGCAGGTTGTTGGATGCTTGCGGAATTGCCAAACGATGAAGTTGTGGAGTTGGGCTCAGCGCTCTTGGGTACACCAAAGCCACCGAAAGGATTGCTCTGAGTTGGCGCAGGTTGATTTTGTCCAAAAGAAAACGGCGGTGAGGTGGTTGAGGATGCAAATGCCGTTTTTGGAGCCTGGCCGTTGGCGTTGTTTCCAGCGCCGAAAATATTGCTGCTGCTTGTGGTAGCTGAGCCAGAGCCGGTAAAAGTGGTGCCCGAGGCTTGCCCTTGAAGAGTGGTAGGAGTCTGGCCAAACGCGAACTTCGGTGGCTCCGTGGTCGCATGGGTTCCATTTCCTTGCCCGCCTCCAAAAGCGGGAAGAGGACTCTGAGGGACCGTGGTGCTCTGGCCAAAACCGAAGCTTGGTGCAGAGGTCGAGACAGCGGCAGTGCTTGTATTCTGGCCGAATGTGAATGATGATGGTGCACTCTGTGGTGTGGAAGCCGCCTGACCAAACCCACCAAACGTAGGTTGAGTATTTGAAGGCTGGCCGAACGGGTTGCTTGATGTTTGCGAATCCTCCGGCTTGGAGACGCGACCGAATAAGCCTGCACCAGCTCCGCCGGTGGATGCAGTGCCATTCTGGGCTGTGCCGAAAGCGAAAGATCCATTTGCCTGTTGTTGCGCGGGCTGGCCAAAAGTGAATGCCGACCCCATATTGTTACTTGTGCTGGTGTTATTTGATCCAAACGCGGTCCCAAACGCAGGCTTCTTTTGAGGCGACTCCATAGAGACGTCCTGTTGTTGGGTGTTCATTCCACCTCCTGTACCATTCACTGACGCGAAGGGGTTCGGGGTGGAGGATGGCGCGCCGAAGTTGAAGGTGCTCGACTGCGGAGGTTGGAAGTTGAAACCACTGTTGGTACTGGAGGTATCTTGAGGGAAGGACTGGCTTCCGCCAAAAGTGATACCGCCGTTGAGGTTAGAAAAGGTCGGTTGGGAGGTGGGTTTTCCGAAAGTATTCGTGCTACCAGAACCCAAGGAAGTGCTTTGTGAAGGGCGATTGGCATTGAGCCTGCCTTTAGGCGTCGCAATCCTAGGCCCAGGTTAACATCATTCCGTTTAGCTAGCAAACAATGATTCGAAAGGGTAAAGAAGTTGACAGCTGGTGGCATCATCTCTATGACCAGGGTAGGGCACAATGCCTTCACCCTAAGATTATTCATTCCAAGAGGACAACAACAAGACAAGCGGCCTGCGAACGAACAGAACTGGCAAAGACGATTTGCACCTACTTTCGCCTGGCAAGCTGCGCGGCTGTAGACATTTTGGAATTCTCCTCTCCGGGATTTGCGTTGGCTGTCGAACCGTGTTCCTTCGTGATGTATTCTTCTGCTCCACGTTTTGGCATGTCACTGGAGGCCTCGGGATGGCCGAGGGGAAACGGGGGAGGAAGTTAGCGATCGAGGCGTGTGTACCATCGAGGCGGGCACGTTTGAGGGATGGCAGGTTCTGATGGAGATCGGGCAGGGCGATGCGTGCGAATCCTAGCGCTGGTGAGGGTGAATTCTAGGACTGATGGTGCAGGGCAATGGTGATGAGATCGGCTCAGCAGCGCTGTTGTTGAACCGGCTGCGTTGACACCCAAAAAGATTCGAGTCCAGCAGGCGAGGCCTTGGCAGCAGTCCAAGTCACGTGTGCCAGTGTTTGGGGAGCCGAACCAAGTATTTACTGTCCAAGCTCACCAGAAGCTCTATTCAATTCCAACGTCACCTCATGCGAGTCAACACCTTACCTTTCGCCCACAATCCGTGGTGGCTCTAAGAGAGAAAAGAGAGATTCAGAACCTGTTCGTGCTGAGAATGATTTGGGCTTGATGAGATTTTATCTTTGGGCTGATCCTCCTTGTTTCAGTGACTACTGCCTGGTTCTACTTCACAACCTTTGTTTCTCAAAGCATCATTCAAGAGGTTGCTGTATCGACAGTGATCCTCTCTTAGGATGTTTGACTAGCAGTGAAGTTGAGATACCTCGGTGATATCGTCCACTTACTGAGAAATCACGCCACACACAGTACGCTCAGGGCACAAGTTCCAATTATGCCCAATTCACAGCATGCAATGGTGCTTTTTTCGCCAGGATCGCGCATTGAACTTCCTGACTGGCTTGGAAGTGCTTTGTAATTACAAAGAACTCCAGGTAGTATTGCTAGTATACTAGGTCCCTTCGTCTGACCGGAAGCCCTGCAGTCCGGTAATGCTTTGCGGTATCTTGCCATTATCAAAATTTGCGAAGAGCTATACTCATTGTCGTCCAGGATGCCCATTGCAAAGTACAACAAATATGCTATTATCAAAAGTCTACCTTTCCGCCCTAGACAGAGAGGGAAGGCATAGACCAACCCACTGCAAAAGGTGAAACGGGCGAGACGAGGACAGACATGGCCACTGAACAGCGTGCAGACTTATTCAATATTGCCGAAATGCAATCAGTCTGTTGGGTCACAACTAGGTAGGTCGTGCTATCTGCAGAGTAACACAGGTCAAGTGGTTCGAGATGCAGAAGCGTGGAAGAATTGTTGGTCAATCTTAGAACTAGCCACAGCGGGAGCCCGAAACATATGCTGTGCCAGGGAAGGAAGTTGAGAATCCTCCGAGTTCGATAGCCCTGCATGCACCTCAGCAATTTCCTGTCTTGTGAGCAAACAGTCCGTGACAACAGGAGAACCACTACATGCAGCGAAAAAGGATGGCTGCATGCGGGGAGGTACCTACCTAGTTGCAGTGTCAGCTGTAGGCAATCCCCCCATCCATGCAACTCTGCAGGTAATCCCCGTGACTGGTACGGACAGGAGCCCGATGTATTGTGAAAGTCACCATTCCAAGGGCCAACAACATGTCTCGGGCAACTATGTACCTAACCACCGCCTGAAATGGCACGGTCACATTGGATTGACTGTCACGGCCACTTGTACCAGGGTCGGACTGAGGAATCATCAAGAGTCGGCATTAATGGCACGTTCAGGTTCAATGAACACACGACGCGAAATACAATGGCAGGATTGGCAAGGAAGAGGCGTAGCTGAGAACGCAGTGGCAGGGGAAGCTGTGGGCAGGCCTCAAGGCATCCAGTCGCTTTCCCTGCCTCGAACATGGAGCTGGAGGGCTTCCCCGCGCTCGGCTTCCGTGGTAATGGAACTGAAGCACAGCTGAGTGTGGTATGGTGCTGGCAGGGAGGCCGAGCCAGGCGCCTGAGGCCGTGAGGGCTGCAGGGCTGCGATGCTGGGATGTCCTTTCTTTAGAACCCCGGGCTTCAGCACTGGCAATCGACAGGGCGGAGCATTGCTACAACTCCCTGTTATATCTAGCCTCAACAAGTATAGAATGCTAAGTTATTTGAAAGACGTGCCCTGCCAGTGATGTGCCAGCTGTCCCGCTGTCCCGCTGTCCCAGCACCAGCCTGCTGACCAAATCGCATCTCCAGGCTGGGGAGTTGTTTATACGGGTGACTTTGTTCCCGCCTCCCAAAATAACCCTGTTTAGAACAACGGTTAGTGAGCACCAGGCCATACACGGTTAGGCGCTCACTATCTCAGCCACAGCACTAAACCTGTTTTGAAACCAACATCTACAACTTCAACCATTCCCATCCTGCATCCTGTCACCGCACAACGAACACTTTCCCACCCTCTCACACCCTCCATGCGTCCCGCCTTGCAAACCTCGTACATACGGCTGGATGCTTCGGCCACTGACGAGGGAATGGGAACAGGGAATATCATGGCCCAGGTACTGGAACCTTCCTGGCCAGAAAGGATTTGTATTTATTCCGTTGTTCGTCCTCTCCCTCAGCCTCAGTCTATCCAGTTGTTTCTTGTCGTCTCTCACACATTCACTGACCGACTGACCAACATACTGCGCTGCTTTCTGAAAACGTTTCTTTCATTGGACCCTTTACTGTCTGGTTGAACACTCGCTTCTGCCTTCTGCCAGCATGCTCCCCTCACTTCTATCTGTGGTGGCTGCGACAGCCCTCGTTTCCTCATCTGTCGTGTCCGCCGCTCCTCAGGGTTTCCGACATGCGCGCTCAGCCGATGGCAGTGGAGGATATGGACAGGCGTGCACCTTGGAGACAATCAAGACGCGGGTGGACTTCAACAGCATGGCGCCGGCCGATCGCAAAGCCTACACGGACGCCATCAAGTGCCTGATGGGCAAACCCTCGCAGCTCGACTCGACGCAATATCCTGCCGCCATCAACCGGTACATGGATTACGCCGTGATCCACGTGAACCGCACGCAGTATGTCCACCTGGACGCCTTCTTCCTGACCTGGCATCGGTACTTTCTCTGGCTCTACGAGACCGACCTACAACAAAGCTGTGGCTACACAGGGGCCTTCCCATACTGGGACTTCGCCGCGACCGCGGCCGATCCTCACGCGTTCCCCATCTTCGACGGCTCCGACTATTCTATGTCCGGTGACGGGCTGTATAACAACTCGGGACCCATCCAGCTCGGCGCGAGCCTGACCATCCCGCACGGCACGGGCGGTGGGTGTGTCACGACGGGTCCATTCGCCAACCTGATCGCGCCCATCAAGTTCATCGATGCCGCCCAGCTCGCGACGGGCACCCTGCCCGCCGACGCCTTCGCGTACAACGAAATCTGCCTGCAGCGCGACCTCAACGCATACGTGTCGCAGACGTACACCAACCAAGCGCAGCTCACGGCTGCCGCGCACGCCGACAACGCAACCCACTTGGAGTTCCTGCTCAACGGCGTCATCGGCAGCTCTAGCCTGGGTATCCACTCGGGCGCCCACTTCTCGGTCGGCGGCCAGATGAACAGCATCCACGTGTCGGCCCAAGATCCCGTCTGGTACCCGCTGCACACCATGATCGACAAGGTCTACACCAGCTGGCAAGCCAACTACCCTGAACGCGCCTCACAGCTTGACGGCAGCACGGGGACCGCCCTCAACACTCCTCCCAGCGACGTCGTCACTCTTGACACTATCGAACCCGACTGGGGCTACTTCCAGCTCAGTCCCATCCAGGTCCGAGAGCTGATCAGCACCACCGCAGGCCCCTTCTGCTATCAATACGATAATGTCATCTCATAACCATCATAGCATTGCCTGCCCCCTTTGATCACACGACTGAGCGTGCTTATGCTGTTTTGGTTCTTCATCTTCTGCGCGCATCAGCCCTTCAGGTCTCATGGGAGACTTCAATGCATCTTATGATATGGCATGACATCTTGTTTTCTTGATGGAAAATGCATGGATATATCGATATTCACCTGGTTTACCAGTGATAAGCATATCGGCCGCGGAAGCAAAAGCCATGAATCTCTTAGCACATAACAAAATAATGAACAATGGATGAATAAAAGAGAACAGCAGTATACCAGTTCTACTATAGTATGCAGAAAATGATGGTGTATCAGTGCTTAGGCTTCAAGCGATAGACAATAACATTCATCACCTACCTAGTAGACCCCTCCTGTAGTCTAACTCTGGAGTCGGCGTTGAACTGGGCTTGACTTGAGATTGCATGGCTCAGAAAAAGTCACGCTTCTTCAACCGGAATTGACTCATCCACCGCCGCTCATCAGCCTGCCGTTCCAACGCTTGCCTCATGGTCTTCGAATATGCCTCTGCGCGTTCCCGTTCCTTGCGCTCATTGACGTCTTCCCCTTCCTCCAGTTCCTTAACCAGTTCTTCGTGATTGGCAAATAGCGGGTTCGTACTCACGATGGCGACTCGCTCGCCCGTCCAGATCAGCAAGTCCGAGTCACCACGTCGGCCACGCTCCGAGTCCGGGACATTGAGCGGGATGATCTTACGGACGACCTGGTCTCCGCTAAGAGAGGCGCCAGTCTGGCCGACTTGGAATCCGTTGATGTTCCACTTTCGTATGAGACTACGGCCGTCTCGCTCAACCCATTTCAGTCCGCCTTCTGAATCGGAGAAGACGATCTTCGTCCCGTGTGGCGCCACCGAGAGGAGCTTGGATTTCGCGGCCTGCTGTCTGTTTTTGTAGCTAAACAGGCCATCTTCCGATGCCATGCCACGGCTGCTGCGTCCAAGGTCAAAATCCATGCCATCTTCTTCTGAGGATGGGCTGTTATTGTTGGTGGCCGAATCAGACTCTCCGTTGGCTTTCACATGAGGGAGCGAATAAAGTTCGAGAGAACCACGGCCCCGATATTCTCCGCAGGCAATAAGAGTCGAGGTCGCATTGACGCTTGCTGAAGCCCCGGCTGGCGGATACGGGATCGATGTCAGGCCCGAAAGACTTCCGCCGGAATGAATGACATATTGAAGACGGGGGAAGTACCGGCGGTCGTAGGACAGGATGCTAGGAAATCTCCCTGCAATCAAGATATCGTTTTCGGCGTGGTGAAGAATGGATAATGGTCCCGGTTCTACTTTGGCGTATGTCATCCAGTGATGGTTCTGGTTCTGGTATGGATCGGGAGTTGTGGATAGCGAGTTTCGTGGTCCAAAGGTCGAAGACAGCGTATTTGGCTTTCCCGACAGATCGGGCAGGATGGCAGTGGACCGACTTGAAGTTTCCTCCACCCGTTCTTGGGAGGCACCGGTTGATGGGACAGCGGGTATGCGGGGATCGAGGATGTGAAGACTCCATTGAGTGCCTATTGTAAGCGGCAGGTCCGTAGAGGTGGTTTGCGACAAGGCCGTTATTGGATACTTGTATTTCACACTCGAAACCACCTTCAAGATATCGAGATCGACCTCATTGAGAACATTTCCGACAGCGATGAATGCCTTTCGTTGTGTCGGAAAGGTGCTTACACAGTCAACAATGAGCGACTCGCCCGGCTGCACAGCATCGGCAAACAGAGCAGAAGGCTTGCTCCGTCCGAGTTCTCTGAATTTCCTTCTCCCGGAGTTGTCTTCACTGACATCCCAAATACACACACTCGAGTCCTCTAGGTAACCCACGACCTGACTGGACCCATCCAGAGACGCAATGCCCTTAATCTCTAAGTCGTCTAGCGACGGATCAATAAGCCAGTGCGTGTTCAGAGGTGCATGTCTGCCCTTATATTCTGAGTACCAGTCAACCCGTTCGTTATCGTCCGAGAGGTCCCATTGGTTGACCGCACGGGCTCGTTGACTTTCTCTGGGAGGATGCTCGGAGGAATTGACGTCTCCTGTACGATCCTGCCGCCGAGGAGGACGATCTGAGATAGTCAGACTCTGCAAAGCACTGGTCAATGTGTTCAATGTACCGTCGGCATTTCTCATAGAGGCACTAGGAGATTTCTCAAAGCACTTATACCTCCATAACGGATTGGCGTGTGCCGACTTTGATAGAGACACGCAGGTTCGTTGTACAGAAAGTAATTCTGGGGGATCAAGGTAGTCCAGAATGTCAGTCAGGATCTCTTCCGGGAGGTTCTCCATGGCAAGGTCAAAAGTAGTCCGTCGTAGTGAGAGGGACTTGACGATGCGACAGTGACCTAAAAGGCTGAGGGCCGACAGTAACAGTGGAGATATCCTTAAGCCTGGAAGTACGATAGCTGAGGGAATGGCAATCGAGCCCTTTGGAATGTCAATGCAGTCTAGTAAATATGGTAAAATGAAGGAAATCTATATATGATGGTCAAAAGCTGAGGATATGCAAGAAATCCATTTGATGTTGGAGTCAGTACCATGGGATGGTACAAGGCTGCGAATAAATCAATAGATCATGGATCAATCAGAGAATCCGATGGAAAGGAAGGCGCCGGGCATTCGAGACTCGAGGCTGAAGTTCCGAGGTCCCCCGCAATACGGGATAATACGGGAATACGCCGACCGCCCTTCTGCGACCGCGCCTGCCTGATTGGGGAAGGGAAAGATGGAGGATTATGTCAGCAAGTCCTTTGATGCACGTGATCACCTCTTATGACGAATTTCACGTGCAGTGCAGTTCTTCACCTTCCGTGAGAGAAACCGGCAGCGACGAACCACCTTCAACATCTGAGCCACAACTGCCCTGCTTCACAGACTCAACTCAGTATCTACGACCGGCGCAAATGGCTCCTGCCAGTGCAGCGGCTAAGAGAGGCCCAAGTAGTATATTGGTAAGGCCTCCCCCATTCCGGATCCCAGATATGTAGCCGACATGACTGACATCGAGCTCGAACAGGTTTCAGATCCTCGCGAAGGTAGACCTGTACCCGCCCAAAAGCAACCCTCTCGCTTCGTCACTGTCGATAACGTTCTTCAATATGCTTCCGATATACCATCTATGCAAAAGAGGCAGCCTCAAAGACCCCGACCGTTTCGATCTGGCTCGGGCAAACCAATTGACCCCAGGTTGACTGGCCGATATGTGGCCCCGCATATTCCCTCTCGGTCGACCAAGACGTCCGAGAAGTTAGTTTTGCTACCCGAGGCCGACGAGGAAGAGGAGGAGAAGGAAGGCTTCTTGTCCGATGCGGACAAAGGTCCACCTAGAGATGGCGAATATCATCGCAAGGCCGGGAAAGAAGGTGTCAAAAGCTATGCAGAACGGCTACCCAAGTCGCGGCGCACAGAAAACGAGCTTCCTAGAGTGACCGCCTACTGTACGGCGCAAGGCTACAAGCTACAATCTGCTGCTACCTTTGTGCGACAACGGCATGGCGCACGAGCCAAACTCTACGATGATTCCTTGTATTGCGCTTACCATTTGCCATTACTGCCTGGCAACGACGGATATCGGATTCGCAGCAGTCCGCCCGTACAAAGTGCCAAAGGTGGAACCGTGTTGGACGAGGCCATCGAGCGCAGTGAGCAAAGAGACTATCAGGAACCCTACTACGCGGAAGAAGAGGAACAGCATTCCGTTAGAGGGGCTTACACACCGGAGGAGCACACCGGTGACACCGAAAGCGACAACAGCAAATCGGACCAGCCCCAGCACAATGGGCAGCGGAGAGATAGCGATGCAGCCTCGGCACCCAAGGGTCTCGGACGAAGTGTGCCTGTCGATGCGTATCGATATGCGGAGATGTTTATCTTCAGCTACGGCGTGGTCGTGTTCTGGAACTTCACCGAAAGACAGGAAAAGGATGTTCTAGCCGACTTTGCATTCTCGACAGTCGTCGACCCTGAGACGCATGTGGTGTCCTCGGTGTCCATCATCACTAATCCCCTGGATGAAGAAGATTTCGAGACTGAAGAATTTCACTTTGAGTACAACAATGAGATATCCCGTCCACGGGTTTACAACGACATGATTACTCTGCGCAGCGGAGACCACATGATCAAGCTCGCCATCAGCCACGCGATCGCACAGAGCACGAAATTGAGTTTCTTCGAGGAAACAATGGCTGCCCAGATGGAAGCGGCAAAAGACGTTCCTGGTCGTTTGGCCAAAACGGGCGAACTAGGTTTGAAGCGCGAGGAAGTGATCAAGTTGCTGGGCGGCCTTTTTAAGAGTCGAGTTGAAGTAAATTTGTGTAAGTTATCGTGGTCGATGCTGTCTGGAAGCTTCTGGCTAACCGCTCATCTTTCTTCTAGCATCGAACGTTCTTGATGTCCCAAACCTGATCTGGGAGAGCGAGCCAACGCTACAACCACTGTACCTTGCAGTGCGCGAGTATCTCGAAATCAAACCTCGTATCCAGGTACTAAACGAGAGGTGTCGCGTCTTCCTCGACCTGGCCGAAGTCCTGTCAGACTACATCTCCGATGATAAGATGTCCAGAATCACTTGGATTGTCATCGTGCTGATTGGCATCTCCATCCTGGTCACAACCTCGGAAGTGTTCGTGCGCTTTGGGATGTTGACTACAAAGGGTGCAGCAAAGGTGCAACCTACCTTGCCTGGGTTATCTCTGAGCAGCGAGCTATGACGGGTGGTGCAGGACAATGTGTAGGGTAGGGGAGTGAAGGCACCCATTGATCGAAGACATTTGTTATCCTATTAGCAAGGCGTTTGGGGCGAAGCCTGAAGATAGTAATCTTGATGTCGCTTTTCTCGAGCAATGAATAACCACTGACTGCTTCACATGCTATTTCCTGTACGGCCAGTTGCTCTTTGGCGCTCGCGCCGCCACTATTGCATCCTGACTTGTCCATCTCCTGCCCCAATGCCACTATCTCCTCCCTGCAGTACAAATGATAACATGGCCTCTGTCGCAGTTCTTGGCTCTCTGCTCTAGACTCGCGGTGGCAGACGGAGACGACCGAAGCCCGTGAAGGATTAGGCGGCGACATGCTTGCATACGATGCGCTGGGTTGCATTGGAAATGGAGGCGAGCCTTGCAAAGGGCCATATCTCTCCCTTATCTACTTGGCAAGTCGACCACGCTGGGTGCGGGGATTCTGTGTGGAGGTCATATCAGATATCAGTCGAGATAGATGGAGATCCCGAGGTCTGACTGGTCCGCGGCGAGTTATGGTCTTCGATCTGGGGTCCCGAATCCGACTGACAAGTGGATGACCCAAGGCGTTTCAAGGCGAATTAATCGATGCCGAGAATTAGCAACGTTACATGCTGTGTGATTGTGTGGGCTTGGTATGCGGCTGCACCGATCGCTGGGATGGAGAATAGCTGGTTACAAGGAGCCACCATGATATCAAAACGCCATGGATATCGGTCAAAGGCATGGTGAGGGCTAAAGAGGCTGCCTGTTACTGGTGGGAGTCGTGATCCTAACGCCACTACGCCACGCCTTCGGCTGCTTGGCTTTCTTGGGTTTGCGATTGATAGAGCGTAGTACTGGACACCATGAACCACGCAACCATACACCAACAACCCTCTAAGGTCCCCGGCTGTCATTATCTGTCTGGCTTCGATCGGGTCCAGAAGCGACAATACCACTTTCGCCGCAGTCGTATATAGGATCGTTGCTTGGCCACCATGTCTCCATGGTTGATCACCTCCGTCGCCTTTGTGCCAGTCCTCCTGGTAGCCTTGTCCTTTTTGCGGTCCACCGTCCTGTCGAAGTACCTAGACGATAGCTCTGCGAGGAAGCGGCCAGGATGAGCAGATCGCACTCTCCTCTCGGCACCAAGCTGGATGCCCCTGATGGAGAGAAGCAGCGCACACATTCTGTCGACGCTCGTGCTGAGCTCGGCGACGACCGCAGACACACTCACCACGACATTCCCGACCACGGCCATAATCCATCTGCGCAGAAGGGAGTCGACGAGAACCCGGACCTAACTTTGCACTACTCGCACGAGCATCAACACACACACCTGCACCACGGACGTCCCTCTCTTGCCGGTCGCCATGATGATGTGCTGTACGCCGAAGGAACGACATTCGACCGGTCGAACCTCAACGACCCCGGTCCGCAAGACTACAGTCAACATCATCTGCGAGGTGAGCGGGCGGACCAGAAGGACTTTGTCACAACGGATGCAGAAAAGGGGGCCTTGGGCCCGGCTCCCGTCGAGACCAACAGCTCCGAGGAGGAAGGCAAGCAGCATCGCCTGCCGAGGGTCTATTCCAAGTACAAGATCTTCGTGCATCTTTTCATCTGGCTGCTGTTCACCGGGTAAGTCTCGACGATCGGAACCGTTCGTGGGTTTCCAGTCTAATGCGTTTGTAGATGGTGGATAGCTGGCTTGGTCATGCATCGCCATGATCTCGGCTGGCTGATTCCCTTCCTCCTGTATCTGGCCATCACGTTACGGCTCATCTTTTTCTGGGTTCCGATCACCATTGTCACCAAGCCCATGCACTTGATCTGGAACCATACTGGCGTCAGAGTCTATCAAATGACCCCTGAAAAGTTCCGCCTTCCTCTTGCGGCTCTGGTGGCCATTGCTGTTATCCTCATCGGCTCATTTGTCTCCAAAGAGTCGGCAGACAACACTCGCGGCAACCGTGCGATCTCGCTCCTCGGTCTAGCGCTGATGATTGTGCTGCTTTGGGCGACTTCACGAGACCGCCGCAAGATCCGATGGCACACCGTCATCGGGGGCATGTTGACGCAGTTTGTTATTGCAGTCTTCGTGCTCCGGACCAAGGCTGGCTACGACATCTTCAACTTCATCTCCTTTTTGGCTCGAGAATTGCTGGGCTTTGCCGACCAAGGCACTGCATTCTTGACAGCCACGTCCGTGACGGAACTTGGCTGGTTCTTGACCGGAGTTGTGCCTCCCATCATTTTCTTCGTGGCCCTTGTGCAGGTTCTGTACTATCTCGGCATTCTGCAATGGTTCATTGGCAAATTCGCCGTGTTCTTCTTCTGGAGCTTACGGGTTTCCGGCGCCGAGGCTGTCGTGGCTGCCGCATCTCCATTCATCGGTCAGGGTGAATCGGCAATGTTGATCCGGCCGTTTGTACCACATCTGACGTTGGCCGAGATCCACCAAGTCATGACTTCGGGATTTGCTACCATTGCCGGGTCTGTTCTGGTGGCATATATTGGTCTTGGGCTGAACCCTCAAGCCCTGGTGTCTTCCTGCATTATGTCGATTCCGGCGTCACTGGCAGTCTCCAAGATGAGATATCCCGAAACAGAAGAGACCATCACTTCGGGGCGTGTTGTGATCCCTGATGATGACGAACATAAGGCATCGAATGCTCTCCACGCCTTTGCCAATGGTGCTTGGCTCGGTATCAAGATCGCCGGCATGATCGTCGCGACCTTGCTTTGCATTATCGCCTTGATCGGGTTGATCAATGGTCTTCTTGGTTGGTGGGGAAGGTAAGTCCACCCTTCCTATCATCAATGAGCCGTATGAATGACTAACATGCTGGTGTGCTTGGCAGATATATCAATATCACCCAGGACGGCGACCCGTATCTCACTCTGCAGCTCATTCTGGGCTACATTTGTTATCCTGTTGCCTTCCTTCTCGGCGTGCCTAGAGATGATCTTCTTCAAGTCGGTGAGCTCATTGGAATCAAGGTCATCGCCAACGAGTTCGTCGCCTACAACTCACTCACCTCCGAGCAAAAATACATCGACATGAGCCCTCGCTCGAGACTGATTGCCACGTATGCCCTTTGCGGTCAGTATACCTTGCAAATCTGCGCATTGGCCATCCTTCTGTATTCTCCTGGAATTCCTAAGCTCATGGGATTTTCTTTTGCTGACTTTCGATTTGCTCTTCTCTACAGGCTTCGGCAATTTTGGATCGCTGGGTACCCAGATCGGCGTTTTGTCCCAAATCTCTCCTTCGCGAACCGGCGACGTCTCGCGTGTAGCTCTGTCTGCCTTGTTCTCCGGCGTGCTGTCGACTCTCACCTCTGCTTCCATTGCCGGTCTCCTGGTCACTGATCAAGCGACGCTTGCGCAGCAGACATAGGCTCGGTCCAGTCGGGTACAATGGGAAGGGGTAGGCAGGCCCTTGAGAAGCGAAGTAGGGCAGCAGGGCTGAAATGATGGGCAGTGTTCCGTGCAGATGTGTTTGCTGAAACGAATAAATGCACACTATATTCGTTGCTCCAATTTCTCACAAGTCATGATTAAAGTGTCTTGCTCACATATGTCCTCGACTGTGCGAACTAGCTCAAACAAATCCGGCCAGGCTTCTCCTATCCGTCTATGACTGGCAATAGGTGGTGTCGCTATAGCAAAATATCTTTGTGCGTGTATAATCAATTGTGAATGTGCCGCCACGCAACGCGAGCAGCGAGCAAGAGAAACGACAAGAAACATTTCCATCCATGAGGAAAGCATCCCTTTTCGAGACGACCGCACAGGCCCGCAAATCAGGCCACCCCGTTTTCATCGTCAACTTGAGCAGCCCTGAGAAAGGTGGAGGCAGATTCATCGTCGCATGGCTCGATATGGTCCTTGCTCAGCCTACTTAAGTACTATGGGACTTTTGAGCTCCTGTGGGTAGCATTACTGGCATATGGGCGATTAGATCCCTTAGTGGAGAATCGAGATACTTGTTCTAGAATCCCTCCAGCCGAACCGTTTCCCCAAAACGGCCATATATCCACCGCCCGGCCCCTTTTATCTTAGAAGGTAGGCAAGAGGGATCCACTCCACAGCTTGGTTGCTAGAAGCCGTCGAACGTCAACCTTGGTTGATGATGGTGATGAGTTCAATCAAGGCGTCTCAGCTGCTCTCTGTATACAACTATGCACCTGTAGGTATCTATCTACAAAGTCCTCTAGCCGTCTTACTGCCGAGTGGTAAGATACTAGCCTTTTAGGCGCTGTTGTTTTTCCTTCAGTGCTATCTTAGTACCGCCCTCGTGCCATTAGAGAGTATTGTTGAAAGATATTAATATCGTAGTAGAGAGAGAGAGGGATCTCTCCTCACGAGTTCGGATAAACCCTCCTCTTTCAATTAAATGTTCCCGGTAGAGTATATCTTCCTTAGTATCCTGTTTCGCCGGATAGAAAACCTCGAAGCGTGTTCGTTTCGTAGGAAAACCATTAGAGAGGTCTTGGTTTCCCTACAACCTGTAAACAGGGAGATACTTACCCCCTGCACCACGAGAAGGTGCCTCTCGCGTAGGGCAATGTCCACCTTGGATTCTGGTGATGATCACAATGTCCGCATCCCTTGTCACAGCCGTGTAGGCTCTTCAAAGGTATAGCAGTCGTAGTGGATCAACTGCGCTACTTTCTATGTATCGACTCTATAATTTGTATATAGCAAATCCGGTCAGTTGGTCTAAAAAGGGGGCAATCCAGTCAGTTCTGGTGAATAGCGAGCATGGCAACCAAGGAAGAGTATATGATTTCACTTATACATGATTGAAAAAAGAAGTCCTTCTCCCTCTGCGAAGCAAGAGGGTATCGATGATCTATCCCACGGCTCAGTGGCTCGCCAATTATATCCTTACTGCGACAATAGACACAAAAATACCATCCCAACCAGAATATTTCACTCCAACCGATAATAAGCAAGACCTAATACTCCCGGATGCCGTCGCTGACCATGCCTCGTCGTGAATTTCAATCATCTTCGCTTATTTGCACGCTCCTTCTGATTGCGAAGGTACCATGCCTTGGCCTTTCTCATATTACACCTCAGACAAAGGGCACCGTCCAGTCGAGTAGTGGCCAAGGGCTGGGCCGTCTGTTTGCTGGTCTGGCCGTCTTGTTTGTGGATGGTTGAATATTCAGGTTTAACGCTGCCGCTCAGCGGGCACCGGACCATATACGGCGGCAGCGGTTCGTGGATCATGTCGAGGACCTGGTCCAGGTCGCGATGTAAAGATTGTTCGTCGGCATCATTGTCCGCAGGATGTTCGGCCGAGTGTATCGAGTACTCTGGACAATCAGATGAGTGGTCGTAGACGTGGCTTGTCCACGAGGTCGCCAATGAGCCGTTGGTCGAGGTAGATGTTGAGGATGAGAAGCGTGAGTCGGCGCAGAATGACGGCCGCCGCATTGTGAATTTGGGTACAGCATCGTTTCTCTGAGAAGACATTGTTTGGATAGATGGAATACGACTGTGAATATTGTATTGAGCCTTGAAAGGGGGGTTTGCTCAATGGTAAGACGAAGCTTCTCTTTTTAACTTGTTCTAATTGTCACCTCCTTTTCTGCTGGATCAACGAGATGCTTATGTAGTTTGTTCCCTCGGCTCGAAAGTCACCATCTCGGGGTCACCGTCTGTATGCTAGCCTTGTCAATAGCTCCATTCCTTCGTTGTCCGGGGTCGTATTTGGGGCTGTGAGAACAAAGCAACCACAGAAATGAAAAGAGGAGTCTGAGCACACGAGATGTAAGGGTCTGGGTCTCGGTCCGGTTCCCTACGCCGTCAATCCAGCCAGTTTGGCTGTCTTAATTTGTCTGTGATGGTCTGGTCGACCGAGTCAGCCCCGGTAGGGCTGACGAGACTCTTGGGCAGGGGCTCCTGCTGACCGCGGTTCGTGAAATGACCAGCCAAACGCCGTCGCGGAATCGTGCATAGCGTGAGGGTAGGGCTGCAGGAATCTAAAAATGAAGCAAAAGGATCATCAACACTGCAGTGTGGCAGATGCAGATGGGAAGAGTGACAGATCTGTGGCTGACTGAACGTCCAACTTCGGAAGGCTTAGTCTGGCACCGGCCAGTATGCCGGGGCCATCTTGATTGGTTCGAAATCCATCAGACAGACCTACGTAGGTTGAATGGTCAGCTCACCGGCATAGTTCAAGGCTAAGGATTCAATTAAGCACCGTCCACTCCACGCGGTCAGCTCACTGTAACGTCGGCCTGCAGGTCAGATGGTAGACTTTGACGCCTTTGCGCCTCTGCACCATCGAGAGATCAGGCGTCACGATAGCCGATAGACCGGCATAGGGCTGGCATGCAGTAGGTGGGTGATGATCACCACCGCATCGCAACTGCTTGGGAACTCTTGGTTTCTGACACTGTTCGTCAAAGTGATATTGTAGGCATCTTTCTGCCTCCAAGATGACATACGCACGTATCAGGATAAGACGTGGAGGAATGAATGCCAGAAGTACCATCTTCCAATCTGATCCTAAGGGGAAGCGAAGGATCCACATCCGTCTTCTTGGATCCTTCGAGACCCCCTGGTGGAGCCAACCACGAGAATGGCCAGTGGCTGCGATATCACCTAGGTATCCACCGCCTGCCGTTCACCCATGTACGTACATATGGTATTTGGCTGCTATCGCACATGCTCATGCTCATTCTCCTGGGACGGGCTTTGTTTCGTCTCCATCCCGATATTGCCGAATTTAGACATTTAAGTCTTAAAAGAGGGTCCCGACGTAGTAAGGTCAAGTCTTAAGATTGGCGGTAGGGTGGGAGCTGCTCTGATGTATACCGTGTACCGAGGTATGTTAAGCAGGCAAAGAGTGCTTCTTGATGTTCCTACTACCGACAACAGAAGATCCGCGGCAGAGACTCGTCAGCGTAACGTCACGATGCAGTTCATGTAGTTCTCACGACCGTGGTATGGAATCCATGATTGTGGTGGCTGAGACTAAAAGGCTAGTGATTTAGGACAGAAGCCTCAATTTCCAAGGCTTCCATTCGTCTTGTATATGTAACAACGGCCCCTCTCTACAGACCAACTGCCGCTGAACGAACCGCTATTCAAACATCTTTCTCCTGTGCCACCGCATCATCGGCCACAACAATACCGGCGAGAGATGGACCCTTGAAGTTTTTCTTACCCACAAAGATCCACAGGAGGTATGCAATGAGCATTAAACCCACACTCACCAGGCTGGCATAGTCTAGACAATCATACGTCAGTTTACACAGGATTCGCCGCACTGACAGTAATAGACTTACTCATATTGTTCTTGGTCGCAGGAAGATAGACGGGGAAGCAAAAGAAAATTGTGAGGAAAGACATGAAGCACAGGGCCAGAATGTTGATGGTCCAGCCCGCTTTTCCGAGTTTGAAGGTACCTTCCCGATCGAGGACTCTCCCACGGAGCAACAAGCAGAGAATGGGCACTCCGTAGGCGAAATAGCCCAAGATGACCAGGCAGGACATCAATGCGTTGAAGGCAGTGGTCGATGCGAGATACAAGACCGAGATCAGAGCCGCAATCGCCCAGGACATGATGACGGCGGGAACGGGGCAAGCCAGGCTTTTGTTGACCTTGCTGAAATACTTTGGGAAGATGAAACCGCCGTCTCGTGCGAAGGCCCAGATGATGCGGCTTCCAACCTGGATGACAGACGTGGTGCTGTTGAAGTTGTTGACCAGTTGCATCGTGGAGATGCAGGCGACAGCAGCCTTGGAGCCCGTGGACGTAAGCATGATAGTAAGATAAGGAGCGCTACCCAATGTCAGAACTCAGAACTCAGAACTCAGAACCCGAGGCAATCCAGGTTGGGGGGTATCGATCATACCCGCTGTTGAAGAACTCTTCTATATCCTGACCGACCGAGAACATCAGCAGGATGCAAACGATGAAGTCTGTCAAAGCCCCAATTGTGATGGTCATGATCATGGCCCGGGGAACAGTGCGACTGGGATTGGGCATCTCTTCGGACAGATGGCTGATACTGTCCAGTGCAACGAAGTTCTACAGACAATCATTAGTCGGACGGAGCTGTCTCGGAAACACATGCTTGACATACTCCTGCGGTGATGATCAATCCTGTATCGATGTCAGCTGCTGCTGTCAAGGGTGTTGTTACCTGCGAGGGACGACGCACCATTCATGAAGACAACAAAGCTGTTGTCCCACCCCGTCTGGTTGATAAAGGTTGCAAACACGAACTTTGCGGGCTGATGGGGGTTCGCAGCTGCCACAGCTGTGATGCCGACGACGAAGAAAGAGGCAAGGAACCACCAGAAGCCTGCTGTATCGACTAGAGGAAGTATTCTGGTGCCAAAGACGTTCATAAGGCAGTTCAGGATGAGAAGGGCTTCCATGATCAGGAAGACGTGCCACGACTTGGACTCGTAGCTAGGGTGGAACAGATTGGCCAGGAAGACGATCTGGAAGGTCATGACAGCAACGTTGGCTGAAGCTCCCACGATCCAAGACAACATGTTGGACCAGCCGGTCATCCAGCTCTGAGATCTGTCAGCTCAACTGTCGAGAAGATAACGCCGGTCGGTAGTGTGGCTCACCAAAAAGGCAGCATGCTTGCGGGGAGCCAGTCGGTATGTCCATTCAAGCGGTCCAGCGGTGGTCTGAGGAGATGTCAGAAGTCAAAATTGTTGACGGATATGATGATCAGGATGCGCGGAGCCTTACAGGATAGGCCGAAGCTATTTCAGCCAGAGACAAGACCACGAAGATGATCATGGAGGGAATAATGAGACTGTGACACGTTTCAGTCAGTACACCATGCTCTCCTTCTTCTGCGTTGGCCTCAACTCACGCTCCATAAACGAGGACTGAAGGTCCTCCACTTAAGATGGCGGCGACCAGTGACTGGGCGACTCCAGACCAACTGCCAGAGCAGACGAAGCCCAGACCGGCCAATGCGAGCAAGCCGAAGTTTCTTTCTAGATCACTGTTAAATACTAATGCTTCCTGTGGACCAGGGAGCCCAACTGACCAAGTTCTTCTTTGTGACCGAGGGCAGCAAGCTGAAGGGCATCGTTGGACAATTCCTGGACGGTCCCAAGCTGAGACTCAGTCGAAGAAGGTGCAATAACCTCGGCGGTATCGTTCCTTTTCTCGGCCATCTTGATGTCGATGTGTTCTGACCACAGTTATTCTTGACGACTGCTGGGTCTGTGATCGAACGCGGCAAGATCTTGCTTGGAGTCAGTCAGAGTCAATCAGGAGAGGCTTTCTAGAAGTGGACTTGGACAACAGCTTCTGACAAGGCTTGATATAACATTGTTGTCCACGCTGGCTTGTACCATCCATGGTATATTTTGATATCTCGGTAGGGACAAATTGTCATATTCGCTATCTCCCATTCGAATTCTAGCTCTGTGAAAACCTGCTTGATTAGGCAAGTCTTTCTGGGGGTCCTGGGACGAAGATGGAATGGGGCGCCCGCTGAGACCCACTCCCGTATCTTTGAGATCCGTTATCCACGATCTGTGCTCCATCATTAACCGTTTCCCACACAGACAACGCGGATGACCAGCATATCTTGGGAACATTATTTGGTCCATTCACTATGACCGCGGTAGTCTGAGTATGGTTTTCCTTCTGCTTCTGGAACGCGAGGCGGTGCCCTATCAGAAGCATTATCCTTGGGTACGTTCCAGAGCAAAAGTTGCCCTTTTCGGACACTCTTGCACCTTGCTGCCAGTGAGCCTTGCTTGGAGATGGATCCCGAATTTTCGGATTGACTGGCAATCTGGGACCATTCGAGACTCTTCAAATAATGGAGAATGGGATAGGTAGCAAAATTGCACTGGGTTCCACTCCGATGAGAATCAAGACATTATTTATGAATCGCAATGGGAGTTCAAATCGTACAACTCTCATTTCGATGACGCGAAATCCATCGATCATTGCTCCTGTTGACCATGGCGACCACAATCTCGGACATGCCGACTACCGCTGAATTGCAAATGAGACTGGCGGTCGCCACTTTCACATTGGTGGCACTCTATTACTTTTGGCGGAGATCGAACTCGAAAACAGCAGGCCCCGTGGTCGAATTTGAGCCTCAGACACAGAAAGAAAACCAGGGCGTTGCTGTCTCAAAGCCGAAAGCATCCTACTACAGCAGGCCAGGAGGTTTGAAACCCGGCCAAGCGCAAGCAGGAACAAAGCCATGCTAACAGAGGAAAAAGACGACGAGATCACTCAACTGGACTTTTCGCAAGTCACACCCTACAAGGCGGATTTCAAGTATGAGGAGGAGGAGCCGATACAGTGGTACCACAAAGAGTTCATCAGCGATCGTGTTTATTCCATCACAATGTGTACGAGTACTGCCTGAATCTGTCCGGCTCAAGGTTGACCTATTCTGCAGCAATTGAAAAGCTAGCATTCAATGATTGGATCGTTTTCGACAAGAACTACAAAAAACGCATGGATCTCAAGGCCAAAGTCCTGGCAGAAGTAGGATCCGACGCCATCGACTGCAGGGACGAAGGCTATGCCGGCTGCGTGGAAATGCTCGAATGCCTGCTCGAGTATCTCCCGAGACGTTTCCCTACCATCTTCAAGCTGTCGGACGACGGGAAAGAAATCCATAACGCTGCCACGGGCGAGACTTTTGACGTCTCGAAACCATACATCAAATTCCATCCCCTATACATCGCGGGCCGGCTGGTGGAAGACGACCTGAATATCCTGGTTGAAGGTCCCACGGGCGAGTACGTTTTGAAGGCAGTGCTGTCCGCTTTTCCAGCGGGATTTCATGTTCGGGAAAAGATGAACCAGACCCTAACCGACATCCATAAGCCGGTACCAATGTACAAGGAGAGGTTGCAGAAGTCGATGAACAGGTAAATTGTCTACCATTGTGTTGTCGACTAGCCAAGTCATCTAACTAACTCCTGGTAGATTCTTCAGGAACGTTGGGCCGTCAAGCATGGTCATGCGAGTGAATTGGGCCATCAACGACAAAGAAGAGCTCTTCTTGACCGAAGGCGGTCATCTCTACGAGAATGACGAAGGAGTGGCAGACGAGAACATCGACATCAACCAAGTCCAGCTCCGGGTAGAACGACAAGTGCTTCGCCGACTACCTCGTACCAAGGCCATCTGCTTCGTTACTAAAACGTATGTACCGAGGGCTTTCTTTCCCGTGATCCCCTGTCTAACAGAGTCTAGCTATCTTTATCGGCTTGTGGATATTGCACACACGCCCGGCTTCGCCGCTCGGCTGGGAGGGCTCCTGCACAAGCTTCCCGAAAAGTTTGCTTTTTACAAACGGAAACCGGTCTGGGGGAAGGTTGTTCTGAGGTATCTGGACGAGATGGCTGCAATGTATCCTGCCCTGGAGCCAGATACTACAGCATGACGAGTTGATTCCGACGAGTTGATATTGTTAACAAGCCAAAAGCTCAAATAGGTCTTGTCGGTATTGGTAGATATAATCAAGGTCAACTACTACCAAGGCATGACCAATGTCGGTCCCTCTTCACCAGATCCTGGCTTTCCCCAAACCACTTCTGCAGACGAGCCACCCTCTCCTTCTTTCAAGGACATGACGACGTTGAACAAAGTGCTGCTCCGCGTCTGGATCGGTCTGGATGCATCCTCAATGCAGCAAATGGCTTGCGGCGCATTGAAGGTATCCGAGAAGATCCGTTCTCTCAATAAAGAACCCTCCACCATGTCACCACCAACACCTTCGCTCTTCAGCTTCGCGGCAAGTTGTCGAATCCGTTCCAGGCGGACCGGGGACCCTGCCAGCCAAGGAGGTTCCTCCACATACCTGTTCTCGATGAAGTGGTTGGAATGCGTGACTATCCCGTCCTGCTCGGACAGATGGACATCGCCCAGTGGCGAGAGTTCTAAACCGACAGCCCTGGTTTTGTCCGCAAGGAGGATGTGTTGACTTGACGCGACTCCTCCTAGCGTTCTCAATGTGGCAATGGCACCGTCGACCGAAGTGCTCTGCAGACAGAGTCGAAGGGCCACGTGGATCGGGACTTTGGTGCTCAATATCGGTCGGGCTCGAATCGCATTGAGACACGTTCCTACCGACGCCGAATTGAATCCAATTTTACCTACAATCCCGGACTATCGAACCATGCGTCGGTTAACAATTCCCGGGGTGTTCGTTGTAGCAGGAAAGACAATAAGCAATAGTTACGTACCTCTGTGATCATCCAAATTTTGGGGGTTCCAACCTGTTCAATGGACATCATAACGATGTTCTTCTTGACCTGGGCGGTCCAGTCCCAATTCTGAGCCAGCACCACCTTTTTCGATTGGACGTTTCCTACGTTCCATGCGATACTGGTGCAGCCGTCTGTGAAGCGGCCAAGGGCGATTTCGCTCCGGCAGTTCAACGCAACAATGTCCAGGAGCTGCACTTGCGCACCCTCGGCAATGCCTTGCATCTCGTCGAAGATCTCGGGCGTCAGTCGCTTGATGGTGGCGGCGAACTCGGCGGCAACGTCAAGAACCTCTGGCCAGGCCATCTGGGATGTCAGTTCAAACATTGCCCCATACACTTCCATCTGGCTTTTGATCTCCGACTGTAACAGACGGCCATGTTGGAGACCGATCTGATGGTCAGTTAGCAACCTCAGAGCATGGGGCGCATTTGTGGACAGTACCTCTCTAGGTGTACCCTTCAATTCGATCTTTCTGGGGGCCATTGCCTGGACCGCCATTTGGGGGCTTGTCAATTATACTGATGTATCGTTACAGAGGGTTGGATCTTGGATCTTGGATCTTGATGATTCGATGGGTAAGATGAGAATATCTCCTTCAATTGTGGCGCAGGGAAGTCAGTAACAACAGTCATTGACTACAATAAACATCAACTTGTCTCTCTTTTCTCCTTTGGCTGAATGAATTGCTCCCAGGCTATGGAATTTCCACCTGCTGTGCAAAAGTACATTTGTCTTTGCTGACCCTGGAAGCGTTCTTTGTTCCCGTATCCAGAACAGAGACATACGAGCCTGATTGGGCTTCACGGTCATCGCGATGTCATGGTAGAGATGACAGTTATGTGGCACAGAGTCGAGTCTACCTTGTCTCCACATATGTCCCAAAGCGGCAGGTATTCTGTTTGCTCCGTCAGATTCGCCTTCCTCCGTGCTTATCGCCGGGGGTGAGAGCCGAGATACCCATGACAATCAGCAAGATAGGCCCCCTAGCCTGCTTAGAGCGAAATTCGCACTGATAACCACTCCCCCGAGTCAATCTTTCAAATAGGAAGTTAAATGTTCATTATCCAGGAACCTTCCCAAGCGAGACAACAACGACACCACGCCAGCGTCTCATGAGACATGCACCTGAACTGGGACAACAGCTTCAACCAGAATGGCAGGGTGAAGAAGTCCACTTACACGGTCCCCAAGAACCATGGTACGTCTGGATCTACCGGGAAACCGTCAGAGAAGTCAAGCTGACAACGGTTGCCAGAACACTCTGGGCATATATCCAAGTCACAACGTAGATACAAAGTCCGCTTTCAGAGTGACATTAGGAGATCCAGAAGATCAGGACGGTTTGTTCAGCATGAAGCCACGATTCCATCCATGGAAGACGATGGGGGAAGAAGCAGCGATGCCCTTCCAGCCTCGCCCACGACCCCCCAAGTCCATACACCCGGGGATACATCTGATAAGACGAATGAAACGTCAAGTGCTATCGAATCAAGGACTTTCAGTTCTAGCAATTCCAAAGAGCCGCATACACATTACCAGCATCAGCCGCAGGATGACAGCGGCGAGTCGCAAATAGCCAGCGTCGAAGATGCAACTTTGCTTCTTTTCGCGTCCACCACGGAGCGGCCACGGAGTTTTGCAACGAGTCAGGGCATTGACTATTCCACCAACCTGGACACATGCTGTGCTCATCACCCGACTGGAAACCCTCACACCAACTGCATCGACGAGGGCAGTTTATTACAATTGCATCATGATGAAGATGACGAGGCGGTATCGCCGTCCATGCTCCTCGCTCAGAGCCCCGAGTCCCTGATCCACCATGACATATCGCTGCAGCTCACATTTCAAACCGACATCCTGCCCAAGATCCCGCGGGATGTCCCTCTGTACCCGTCCCAGTGGTCCGAGGCGCGAAGATCGGAACGGAGGCAGAACATCCAGTACTGTATGTTTTCCTGTTCCTACTGAAGTTTCCTGACAATGTCGCTGACTGACCTTGCCGTAGATATGGAAAAGGTGGTTCCGCGACTGATGCCCTTGTGGACCGCGGCGGACAATCCGTTCCTCTCCATCGTCATCCCCGCGGCCACCGAGTCGGAGATTTTGATGCACGCCATCATGGCCCTTTCTTACTATCATCGCTCTCTGCACTCGCAGGACTCTCGCGACGGCTCGTCGGGAGAAGGTGGTGCCAGAAGTGAAGGAAACGACACAGTCAAGGCACTGTGGCACAAACAGAAGATCTTGCGCATGCTTCAGGAGAAACTGACTAGGCCCGACTTTTTGACAGACGATGCAACACTGGCGGCGTGTATGCTGATGCAAACATTTGAGGTAACCCCGGTTCCAACCCCTTTTCCACTTCCCATAGCACACATTGTGCTTCATGCTTGCTGACTCGATACTGTTTTCTCTTCCAGGTGCTCTTCTCAGGAACAAGCGGCTGGGACCACTGGCTAAAAGGGGCCACTCTGTTCATCCAGTTGAGGGGCAAACTGGAAAGCGACCTCAAAGACTCCAACAACTGGGTGAGGCTGGTCAAATGTGTTGTGGCCATTGAAACGTTTGCAGCCACCTCGACCTGCTTCGACCTGTTGGTGTCGGAACAATACTGGAACATCTACCGTCGACTGCGGCAGGACGACCTCCAGAAAATGGCCCTCGGCCAGCTTTCCAGTCTGAACGAGTCGTCGGACGACGAGCATTTCGAGAAGCTCGTCGGCTGTCCGGTCGTGGTGGTCTATTCGCTCGGGCGCATGGTCATGCTCATCCAGTCGCGCGAGGAGACGGAAGCGATGGAGAGGACGACCTCGAGCGTCGCCCACACCAGCGACGACGAGTGGCACAGCACCTGGTCGATCGAATCCATCAAGATCGAGGATCTGTTGTTCCGGTGGCGACCCATCAAGGATGCGAAACTGGAAAAGACACATTTGGCAGAGGCCTTCCGCCAGGCGGCGCTGGTCTTCTATTACCGCAACATCCGCCGACTCGCGTACTGTCATGCGACCGTCCAGTACCATGTCCAGCGCACTTTTGACCATCTCGAGTCTATTGATCCGTCATCCAATATCGCGGGCATCGCCCTCTGGCCGACCATGATCGCTGCCATCGAGATCGACGAGAATAAGAATCCCGACCTGACGCAGCGAGCTCTCAAGCACTTACGCGGAGGCAGCAAAAACACGGCCGACCCACTCTATCAGAACGCGGAAAACGCCCTCACCATTCTTTGGTCCCGCCGGAGGGATGCAAAGTCTTGGGAAGCCAAACTGGCCGTGGACTGGTACGACTTGAGCCGGGAAATGAATTGGAAGTGGTGCTGGGTTTGAATGTCGCTGGCAGGGCCAATATGTAAATTGTCCTGTATAACAAAATTGTTCTATACCATCACTTCTCGGGTGTAATTGATGACATGTTTCAGCGACTTGCTGGACTCGCAACAGGAGGGATCCCGGCGACCGGCCCATGATCAGTCATCGTCTATGTAGCCTACTGATCATCGAGAAACTCCCGCATGGTCTTGTCAACCTTCTCCTCTGACTGGAGATACGTGATCGGGTCTCGCAGCTCGTACCATCCTCCGTAGGGAGGATTCACGTTGTAGCCAATTGCTTTCTGAGTCCTTTCGTCCAGTTTCATGGCGTCTTCCTTGGCGATGGCCAGGAATTGATTCTCCTCTTGTCGCAGGTGGCCTTGGGTCCACGACACTCCAAGCGAGCGACGGACTTTGGTCGACGCGTTCTCGCCACCACGATGGACGGTCGAGCCGTGCAAGAGAAAACAGTCTCCACGCTTCATGACAGTCGAAGCCAGACTGTGGCCGGAAGGGTCCCTAGTGTGTAAGATTTTAGTTTATTGAGGTCGCCAATACTCTCGGCAGATATCTCAGATGTCACTTGGGCATTCTGCGCGCAGCACTCACCATTCTTCATCCCATTTGTGGCTTCCAAGAATGGCATCAACCATGCTCCCTCCCGCCTCACCGTCGGCACCCTGATCGTCGAGAGCGATCAGCGCCCAGATCTCGGCGGCAATCTCGACCGGGTGGTCGACAAAGTAGATGTCGTCGTGTCGGTGCAGGGGTTGAGCCTTTTCCCCGGGGGCTGTCTCAAACACCACCGTCGCACTCAGATATGGACGCGACGTGTTGTACAATTTGTCGTCGCCGTGCCAGATGCGAGTCGTCTTGGACATCCGGGCGTCCAGTAGCCGCTTCAGCTGTGGCGAGAGAATGACTTGGTCGACCGTGGTGGGAGATTTCGCTGCCAGTGCCGTGATGGGGTTGGGCGACACATGGTCGGAGGACTCGATCTTCAGTTCGGCGAGCACGTCCTGTACGCACTTCTCGCTCAACAGATTGGAGATGATGACAGCGCCGTCACGGTCGAACGCCTCGAGAATCACTTCGTCCGCTGTGTCGGATGCAAGTGTGGTGAGCGCAGGCACTTTAGCTGAAGGCATGTTTTCGAATTGGTCCTGACTGGCAACCTTGTTGCAATGTGCTCTTGTCGGTGTCTTGATCCCTGGTTGTAGCTTGCGACCAGTTTATCAAAAGCGCTTCTCGGGCCAAGTCAGGAAACACGGGACACTCAAGTGGCTGGCTATGGGACATGACGTGGCTCAACAAAGTTGCCCTTTATGTTCTCCTACTGCTATCGGATCTCCCTATCTGCTAGAACCAGGACGAGAGTCTATAGTAGACACCCAAACCCCTTTATCAAGATTCAACACTTGTCGCTTCAATTTGTGGGGCTGGCAAAATTCCTTCCCGATTTGGCAATATACCTGGTAGCGGCAACTTACCTTATCTCCCTTGCTTCCTCATACCCCACGTACCATAAATAAATGCTCACTGGGGAAGATGCGATAAGATCCAGACCCTACGAGTGTACGCATACCAACCGACCACTACATGCCGCGTTAGGTCACAGACAAATAAGTGCTTTGCGGGACCGCAGCCTGCCCATAAACACCACCATCTTGAAGGCCCTTTCAAACACTAAGTACATATTCTAATTCCCAGCTAGCCCGGGCCACTTCATCATTCTGGTCAACACCAGCTTCTTCAATCCAGGTAAACAATGGAGAAGCCATCCGTGGAAAGACTGCCCGCCGGCACCCCGGTGGAAAAAGTTCTCGAGGTCTTGGACCGCGACGGCGGCGTTGTCATCACAAACCTGATCAGCCAGGAAACCCTCGCTAAGATCGCAGAGGAGCTGAAACCACACGAACAGCCCGACCAAGAATGGTCAGGAGCTTTCTTCCCGGAAGCGACCAAGAGGATCTGCTCTGCCATGTCCAAATCGCAGACCTATGCCAAAGAGATCTTCCTGAACCCCTTGTACCAAGAGGTGTGCAACCGCACGCTCACGATCACCAAGAAATCCAGATACGGGGATGAGATTCGGACGTTTGTGTGCAGACCGATCGGCAACACCAGCACCACGTTCGACATCGGTCCTGGCGCCGAAGCCCAGCAACTCCATCGAGACGACGGAGTCAACCATGTTGAGCATCCCACTAAAGGGCCAACCTTGATGAACATGCTGGTGGCTCAAACGCGCACCACGCCGGAAAACGGGGCGACGGTGGTTGTTCCAGGAAGCCACAAATGGGTAAGCTGTATTGCTCTGTTTTAAATCTTGTTGTTGCTGGCTACTGGCATAATTGATGTCTGTTGTTGTGCTGCATTGTGCTTTGCTGACTCGAGACCACTTTTTACCGTCCAGCCAGACTACGATGACCGTTTTGCGAAGCCAGAGCAAGCAATCCCCGTCTGCCTGGACCCGGGCGATGCGTTGATTTTCGATGGCGCACTTATTCATGGAGGCGGTGCCAACGTGACCAAATCCGAACGTCGCAAGGTTGGTCTTGTGTCCTATACATACATACGATCAGACCCGGTGATTCTGATTCATTCTCACAGGTCCTCGGCGCATTCATGGTCCAGGGAAACCTTCGCTCCGAGGAAAATATCTTCTTGCATCTCCCGCCCGAGGTGGCCAAAGACTATCCCAATGAAGCCCTTGAGGTATATGGTTACAAAGCACTTGGTTCGGGGTTGGGATGGGTCAATTACAGGGAGCCACTTGACGCCGTCTTGGGTCGTGGAAAGCCATCTCCTGGCAGCTTGGATTTCAATAACGTTGGAATCACGGCTTAAGGTCACCATGATCCTAACATACTGTGGTGAACTTCAGCGATTGGTAGAATTGGTAGTAGTCAATGCTACTTGTGACTTGGTGACCTACATTCAGGAATCAGGCATACCTACAGTCGTGGACTGAAATAACGATGGTGACACTACCATTTTACGATCCCATACAAGCTTAGTCCTTCATGAGAACATGAACGTAGGTGCCAACAGGGATTTGCCCGAAACGTCAAGGTTGGTCACCAGATGTGACACGCCCACGTACTCGTACACCTCTTGCGCATCCAGCAGCTTTACTTCCACGACTGTCATCAGATATGGATATTGGCGGAATTGGTGCAAAGAACCCTCGTAAGTTCGTAACGGTGTGCTCTGTCCTGAAGATCCATGGAATGATGAAAGGCACCGAGAAGAATTCATTCATCATCACTAATCATTTACGCGTTTGAGGACTTTCTCGAGTAAGGTATGGAATGGGAGTCGATGAGACAAAGCAAGTCATGTCCGCAGAGCGCTGAACCCACTATTCCTCCTTCTGCGAGCGCACTCTACATATCACAGACCTCATGTCAACAGATCCTCTATTTTCCGGGGTGACTCTACCCTCAGCTCTTCTCGGCGTCTGCCCTCCTCAAGAATTCCTTGATCACATTCCCTGTCAATTTGGCCACGTTGTTTTGATAGTCGTCCCACCCCAAAGAACAGAACCAGTTGATACTGCCCACCGAAAACACAGCGCCTCCAGCTTGCGTCTCGTAATAGACAATGTCCGACCTGATCTCGTTGGTCTGCGTTCCCAGTGTGTTGATGATGGGAAAGCCGACACACTCTGGCGCAATGCCAAACTCATCCGGATGGCCAGTGCTCGAAGCCACCACGACCGCGTTCGTCGGGCTGCCACAAGCCAGATCGAAGCTGTCAATCTCATCACCACTTGCGCCACCGCCGAGTCCATATTCCCCTATCAATCCCCCGTCCGGGATCCCCTCGAACATCCACTTGAAGCTGGCATTTTCAGCAGCGCCAGTCCGCTTATACGGCACCCCAGGCCCGGTGCCCTCACCGCAAAACGAGATCCCAAACAAACCATGCGACGAACGACCTCGTGTGCGCCACAAACCTCCCTGTGTGCCATTCAGACTCATGAATCGTTCCCCACCGGGAAGAGTGTATGACCTGACGCCCTGATCGCCACGGCGCACCTCAAGCCGCCACGGCCTCTTCGGGTCCACGGCTGATACCCAGTAAAATCCATTCCCACCCAGATACATCAGATTGCCTCCGCGTCTGGCGTAGTGCTCGTACGCATTGTACGACTGGAGCGTTGGATACTCAGGATGACACCCGGTCATGACGGTAGTGTAAGGTGCCAATGCCGCGGCGCCTTTCAGATGCAGATCGTGATCAGTGAGCACGTCATAGGGGATGTTCTCCCGCTCCAGCAATCCAATCATCATTGACTCGGCGCTGAGTTCGCGAGGCCGACTAAACGCCCACATCACGTAGCCTGGACGCAGATTCATGATCGGTCGTTTCGCCGACGAGAACACCACACCCGAGTCGTCGTTGTGGACGTCGTAGTTCGAAAGGCCGCAGTCCAGTCGTCGATGGCTTCGGTAAAAGTCCTCCGTCCGAAGTGTCTGGCTGATGTCGAAGCCCGGGCCGACTTCCACGGCGGAAGATCGATTCACATCCGCGAGCTTCTCGTTCGCGTACGCGAGATATGTGAACGTCGAGAGCACCAAGGCTACCTTTGCGCCGACTTTGGCCGTAGTCTCTTTGGTAGGGCGGACCATGAATGTGATCATGTCTGAAGTTTTGCCGTTGGTGGAGTTTACCTCGACGGCGTAAATGCCCGACCGAGCGTCCGGCGGGAGGGTGATGGTGAAGTCGGTTTCCCAGGCTGCATCATCGAGGTCGTCTTCGTGGAAGTGGATTGCTCCGTAGCCGTATTTGGCTTTGGTCCAGTCGACTTCGCTGCCGTCCCAGTCGAAACCTGGTATGGCTCTTGTGGGTGCATTTATGAGAACACCGTCGTGACCGTTTCCTGATGCATCGATGATGGTGTCGTCGGGGATGTTGCGAGCGAAATCGTATTTGACGAGAACCTCTGCCTTGGGCCCCAATGACTTGATCATAGGACTGTCGATGCGGCCATTGAAGAAGTTGGTCACGCGCGGGAAGGTGGCCCCTGGACTCTCTGCAAAACTACCAGCCAAGAGCAGTATATTCTCAGAAGAGAGATTGACGGGGTCGGCCAATGTCTCGTGTAGGTGTGTCGTTGGATTGGCCTTCTCCGCCAGGTATGGGATCGGTATCAACGAGAGCGAGACATCTGTGCCTTTCAAGATGAGTTTCAATCCCACCCATCGCTTACTAGCAGGCTTGAACTTCGTCTCGACGACCTTGACGTCCGTCCCGATACCGAGCCACAATTCAACGAATCCTTCTGTGGTTATGACGACGGCAAATCCGCTCTTGGAGGCCACATCAAGCGTGGCTATGATCGTCTGGACGTGACCAGCCTGAGGGAGATGCGGTTGGAAGTACAGTGAGACTTCGACACCATTCTTCGACAGTGATGCTCCCCACTCGTCCACTCTGGCGTATGAGCCGATCCTGGCCACCTGGAATCTCCCCTTCGCAGTGCCTGAAGGGACTGAGGTGATCTCTTGGAGCTCTTTCTTGGGCGAATGCTCGAGGTCGACACCTTGGATCACTCTCACCGTTCTATACGAATACTCCGGCTCTGTGCATGATACCTGCTCAGTGTTCAGTGTCCCGTCCAAAAACGCACTCGAATAGGCTTGTCTGTCAAGAGACTTTCAAGACACAGCAAGCAGCCGGAGTATCTTGATCATGCTACTCACTTTGATCGATATCGTCTCACCTGGCGAAGCTATCCATGGATCAGCATAGCCAGTGATTTCAGGAGGATAGTCCGCTGGAGGAGTATCAATCGTCGCCATCTCGTTGCTGGTATTATGGTTGTGGTGTCTTCGGCGTCACGACATGTGCTCGACTTCAAATAGACGAGCCCTGCATCTTGGGTCCACGTATTGCCCATGCACTATTACAACTGAGTGAGATATGGCTGGCTCGGATATACGCGCATGACTTGCAGCGCCGGTCGACATAGCCTCGGGCTAAGGAAAGACATCTTGACTGCCGTCTGGGGTAATTTAGGGATGGATGAACCAGTCAGCATCCGCATTGATATCTGCCCATGGACGTGCTCTAGCACCTGGCGTTTATCTGGTTACTGCTGGCACAGATAAGACATAACCGAAGAAGCCTATGGCAAGGCTCTGCCACACAATCGCTCATGCCGTCGTGTGCTTTGCTCGATCGTAGGATGCAGGGCATCCTTGCCGGCAGTATCTCTCATGCCTCTTCGGGAAACCCAAGAAACGCGTGCATCTCGCCATGGCTATCGCCGCACTGGCTGTCGACCCCGTCTTTGTCTTGAGCGCGCCGTCAAAGTTAGTATAGATTTGCAGGCTCCATTGAAACTTCTCAACTTCCAGATTGGGAAAGCGATGATGGTCCACGACAAATCCCATTGGCCGCTCACACTTGATCGTCGCTGTAGGGGATATCGACCGTGATCGGCCAAGGGCATACAATATGGATTTCTCCGGGAAGATGGCATTACAGACACCCTGCCGCGGCTGCCATGCTTATCAGTGCTGTACTTACAAGGGGGAGAGAGACAGCTGTGTGACTTCTCAGGTGGCTAGTACTCTGCAATGATATAAGAGTCCGACTTCCCAGTGCTTGTTGTCGAGAAACCGAACATTGCTCCAAAGACTTTTGGACCAAGGCTGTTCCCCTATCTGGAAACGAGAAAGCATCAACAATGGTCCACAATGAGCGCGATGTTGTGCCTGGCACGATTCATCTTGTTGACACAAATGCAGTTGATCACTCACACCGACATGATATTGTGTTGAATCCTCGTCCAAGTTCGGACCCGGAAGATCCTTTGAATTGGTCCAAGAAGCGCAAGGGGATCGCTATCACCATGACCTACATTTATATTCTTGGGATTGGAATGGCCACCACTGTCCAGTATTCAATCTTGACCAACATTGGACAGGCGACCAATATCAATATTGCAGATCTCAATACTGGCACAGGTCTGGTGAGTTTGGCTCGCTTGCCTGCAAAAAAATCACCACACTGATAGGTTACAGATGTTCTTGTTCGCAGGGTGAGTTCTGCTGTCCTTTGCTAGGCCTGAGAGCTCCTACAGTCTCTTATGTTTTGGTGGGTCTGGGTCTGAACACTTCTCTGACCTCTTGAAGCTGGGGATGCCTCATCTGGCAACCAATAGCATTGACCTATGGTCGTCGCGGGGTTTATATCCTCAGCAGTCTCCTTGCGCTTGGGCCAATGGCTTGGACCGTGTATACGTCTTCAAGAAGCATCTGGTGGGCACATCGCAGCCTATTGGGTCTGATCGTTGCCCCGGTCGAATCGCTGGGTGAAATCTCCGTGTCTGACCTCTTCTTTGCTCACGAACGCGGAAACTTTGTGAGTACACCCTAGACAGGATCACTGCTGCATCCGCGTGATACTGGTCGTTCCCGCCTTCAGTGGTACATATTGCTGACGAGGTGCAGATGGGCATTTATACTCTCCTCGTGTTTGGCTCCAATGCCTTCGCGCCATTCCTCGCCGGCTTCATTACTGACTCGATGGGCTGGGAGGCAGCCATCTGGTTCGGCACAATCGTCCTCGGCGTCTGCCTGATCATCATCTTCTTCGGCATGGAGGAGACCATGTACTTCCGCCAAACAATCGAGGGTGTTGATGAGGGGGCAGCCGAGGTTGTGACCAATCTCGAGACCCTTGGGGAGAAAACCGAGACCGTTTCCAAAGACGCAGCCCTTCCTGAGACAGCATCACCGGTGGCCAGTGTAGGCTACACTCGACAACGTACGTACTTGCAAAAACTCCAGCTCTTCCGACTTGACGAGGGCCGCCCGTCCGTCAAACAAATGTTCATCATGATGGTTCGACCGCTCTTGATGTTTTTCTACTTCCCAAACGTCAGCTGGGCCGGCTTCTTGTATGGCGCATCGTTGTGCTGGTACAACGTCCAAAATGCCACCATGGCTTTGATCCTGAATGCACCACCCTACAATTTCTCCGCGCAATCCGTCGGCATCTCATACCTTTCGTTACTGATCGGTTGCATTGTTGCATGGTGGTGGGCCGGATGGGCAGGCGACGAAATTGCCATCCGACTGGCTCGACGAAATCATGGCATCCGTGAGCCTGAGCATCGACTTTGGCTGTTGATGTTTTCTGGTACACTTGCAACCGCGGGACTGATCCTCTGGGGCGTCGGCGCCGCACACCAGATCCACTTCATGGGTCTCATCATTGGACTCGGAATGACCAGTTTTGGCATCGTTTCAGGAGGGAGTACCGCGCTTGCATACGATGTTGACTGCTTCAAAGAAATTGCCGGAGAGACGGTCGTTTTGGTCATCGTCATTCGCAACACTATGGGCTTCGCAATGAACTACGGTATTACACCATGGCTGGAGAATACAGGAACCCAGAACTGCTTTATTGCAGTCGCCTTTCTTTGCCTGTTCTGCAGCTTCAGCTTCTTGTTTATGACAGTATGGGGCAAGAAGCTGCGTCGGGCCTCGGCGAAGAAGTACTGGGAGTATGTGGACACGCTGATTGTCGCGGCGCACTGAAGGAAGAGCTTGGAGAGATAGACACAGCGATGGATGAAGTCAAAGGGCCCCGGGAAGTTGGATTGAGAGACGAGACTTCCTCCGTCTTTGAGGGTATACTTCCAGTAGACCGTGACAGCAGGAGAGGCTCAATCCATTGTCGATCATGACCAGCCGGGGAGCTTAGTCCAGCTCATCGTTGCACTCCCTCAACACGTAATGCTTCTCATCCTGGACTCTAGCATATTCGTGCCGAGCTCGCCTGACGCCGTGCTTTAGTCGACGTTTCTCGCGACCGTCATGCTACAAGGCAGACGAAGGTGGAGCTTCAGCTGATGGTGAATAGGGGTTAGGGATTGTTACCGCCTGATAAAATCTGTGAACCAGCCATCAATTTCGGCTTGGGTAGATGTCCCTGAGCCTTATTGTCGTTTACTGGTATTGGGGTCCTCCTAGTCAAGATTGGAAATATCAGATGAGGAGAACGCTAGATGACCGTGTGCTTCAGCTCCTGCTCCTTCTCCTCGCCCTCGATCTCCATATCCACCCCGACAGCGATTCCAGCCTGTGGGCCTCCTGCGCCGACCATCCTGGCGCTCGGGACTTCGACGGGCATGCTCGTGTTGGTGACACGCTTGAGCACCAATGGGAGCAGAATCAGGAGTGATCCCGCCGTCAGACCCCAGTAAGAGGCGAACATGGTGACATAGGACTTCTTGTCCTCGTCGAGGCTGGCCACGATGGCGCTGCCCGCAGCGCCAAACACTTTGTAAAAGGCTCCATACATACTCAGCACAAGGGGATTGTTGGAAAGAGTTCCCATGATCCAGTACGCATAGCATTGCCTATCAGCATGATTAGCCATGGAAACTCCAGATCCTTTTCACACTGGTTTGAACGACAACTCGGAACATCTGCTTACCATGCGCCATCCAAGAAGCCATAAAAGAAATACAGAGCAATGTAGCCGCCAGCCTTGTTGTCGGTGACATCAAGGATTTTGGCCACCGGGTGGTCGCGACTGGACTCTCGAAGCGGAAACACTCCACCGATCAACACGGCGTTGAAGAGGACAAACATCAAGGCCCATCCCTGTTTTGGGTTGTCAGTTGAAATCTTGATTCGGGAAATCCTACGAAAGGAGAGGGAAAGGGACAGAGAGGTCGCCTTACCAGGAGAGCTCTGGTGCGTCTGGTGAAATATTTGATGTCGAGGAACAGACCTAACAGACCCGCAGAAACCATCTGGGCAACATTGTACCAGATGGAGTTGAATGCCCGGGTGCGGACGTCGAAGAAGTAGGCGTTGTAGTCGTTGCTCTGGTACACTCCATACCAGAGACCGGCGAAGGCATAGGGAAAGAAGAGCACGATCCAGGGCTCGACCACGACCGACCGAGCGATGTTTTTCAACTCGGTCAACAAGGACGCATGTTGAACCATATAGACCTTGGTTCCGTCGTCACGAACGACCTTGTTCGGATGGACGAGACACAGGGCCAGCACACTGCCGGCCAACATCAAGACGAAGAGGGCAATGTATGTCCCGTCGTTGACCCTACCGGCCGAGGTGTTGGACCAGTTCTGTGCCGTCGGGATGATGCTACCGATGACGGCACCCATGCTCCAAATGGTCCAGAAAAGACTGATATATCGGCCCTTCTGGTCCTCAGTAGGATATGACATCAAAATCGTTCCTTCGGCGGTCCTGTGACGATGAGATGACATGGCAGTGTCAGAGATCAAGATTCAGTCGACAAGCATCGGATATGAAACTGGTTTCTGGGTCCATGCCCAACCACTCAACCTCGTAGACGTACCATAGAAAGGCGGCCGCGAAACCGCAAGCAGCTCCAGAAAACAGAACAAAGCCCCGGTTTTGGGTATGATTGTAGCACCAGAAGGACGCGGCGTAGAGGGCGTAGCCGACGCCTCCAACGGACAAGGTGATCTTGGGACCAAGATAGTTGCAGATGGAGCCCGACACGAGAGCGACCCCTGCGAAGACAGAGTAGAGGATGATGTTGGCTTCGTTGGACAGCGTGGCGTCCAGCTGGCCTCCACCTCCTAGAGACGCGAGGACGTTGAACATGCCTGTAGGATGAAGAGGGATACATATCAGTTTTGGTGAACCAGCAGCAGCAGAGCTTGAAAAGGCGTTGACTTCTCACCAACAACCAGGAAACAGACGAAGCCAATGATGATCGTCTGTGCAAGAGGGGATCGATACAATGGCAGAGTCAGAGGACCGATCTTGTATCCCTTTGAAGCCACGCCGGTGGCCATCGAACCGTGCTCAATGTCTGTCACAGGGGTGGTTGCTGCTGCTTCTCCAGAATGTGAAGCCTCCTTTGCTTCTCTCAGCGAGTTGTCCGACATCTTTGCGGCGGAAGAGAGCTGGCAATTCGGTGGTGAGATCGAGTGCCAACAGAAGTCGGTCAAGAGTCAGTCGATCACCAGGTGTATGGACGACTGTGGACTATAGACTGTATACCATGTCGTATATATGTATCTGGTACGTTGACCGCTTCGTCGCCGGGGGTATCAGATATCAAACCCACGTAAGCCTTGTGTATAACCCCTGACTTTATCACCTCTAGCCTCTGAGGTGTCATGAGAGAGTTGGCATTGTTTTCCCGATAAGACCATGCATGCTCGACTTGTGTACAGCTGCTGCTTGTTGAGTCTTGACCTCACCGTCGCGATCAAGTTGAAGAAGATGGACTGGTGTTTTCCCAGGTTCCCGCCAGAGCTCTGAGATCCACCATGGTCGTGGCATTGGATTGCCCACGCAGCAGCAACGTGGGATGCGATATTGGATTGGTTATCCTTCCTATCTTGATAGTTAGCACACCAATACCTGCTACATATTAGATGCCCGCGCATTCCCGCGCAGCCTTGTCGTCTCACCCACCTACCCACACATCACTCCGAAGGCACGAAAGGCTTTCGGCGTACAGTATACAGCCTGCTGGTCATTCGCATGATACATTCACCTGACATGATGTATGGGGTATAACATATTCCTCCAAAGGTTTATGTCTCTAGCATCTAGAGATCACTTAGATGTAACCTGTGATTGAACTGGCAGTTTGTCACTCCGAAAACATTTCACCAAGTTCACAACATGCCAGCCACACGAGTAATCCTGCTGGGTGGACATCATCCGCACTTCTACATCCGAGTACAGATACTCCAGCAAAGGGACGACATCGACATCATTGGATTCTGGGAGGAAGACGCGGTCCTTGCCGCCAAGTTGCAGCGACGGCTGAAAGTCCGACGTTTTATGTCTGAGCACGACCTTGTTGCCCAGGACTTCGACGTGGCATTGATCCATCCACTGGACCACGACAATCCTCGACTGGCCCTACTCGCCGCCTCCTCAGGGGCCAAAGGGCTATTGTTGGAGAAGCCCGGCGCCACTCGCCCGGAGCAAATCTTCAAGCTGGCCCACGAGTTGAAGAAGTGGCCCGACCTGATCGTCGAGTATGGATGGGAGATGCACTACGCCGAGGTCATGGACGTGGTGCGCGATCTGGTGCGCACCGGCGCCCTGGGAGAAATCACCACTTCGCACTGGCACGGCGGCACGCCGTCGGGAGCTGGCATGGAGCTGTGGCAACGACAACGCGACACCCTGGGAGGCTTTCTGTACATGGACGCCAGCCACACGCTAGAAGCGATCGTCGACGTCTTTGGCCTGCCCGCGAGTATTTCGGCCAGCGTGCGAAAACTGCCTCCGGGCGCGAAACACCCGATTGTGAGCTGCTGGTACGACATGCACGAGGAAGAACTGGATCCTGCCACGACCGAATTCGCCGTCGGCCAGTTGCCGTACGAGGACGTCGGCAGCGTCATCCTCGAGTATGCCACGCACAACGTCGTGGCCGATTTCACCGCCTGGGAACCCACAGACTGGTGTGCGGACTGGCGGATCGACATCTACGGGACGAACGGTGCGTTTCATGGCGTCCTGAATCCTCCCAAGGGTGGGATCAATCTACGAGCCGGCAGAGGCGGATATGGCTCAGGAGTCACAGAGATGCCGACTCAGAAGCCAAAGGGCGTCAGCAACCAGATCGGATACTATACCCGGCAGATAGACCTGTTACTGCAAAGGATCGCAGACACGAACGTCCAGACTGAATGTGCCAGCGTCGATGCGCAGGTCAAGTTGATGAAAGTCTTGCAGGCCATCTACACATCGGCCAGGGAACGTCGATTCGTAGATATCAAACAATCATGATCAGGTTCGAAAACAAGACAATATTTCTCGCGATCTTGTGGATTCATTGCTTTTCTATTATCTGGTCTGTTCTACTTTTTCCCTTTGCTTCGTCTAGCTGATGCGTTTATCTATGGCCCTTGACGATTGCTTCTACTACTTCAAGACTGCCACACACTTGATCTCAACGTCCGTGTTTCCTGGCAAAGTCTTGACAGCCACGCATCTAGGTCGTCCAAAGTCAGCTGTTGAGTATTTGAACCATGAACAAATGTCAAAGTCAAACTTACGTTCTCGCCGGCTTGACATCTCCCCAATATTGGGTGTAGATCTCATTCATCTTTGCAAAGTCGCCCATGTCGGCGAGGAAGACATTGACTTCGACGACGTGCTCCAGACTTGACCCTGCCGCTTCGAGAACTGCCTTCAAGTTCTTGATGCATTGATGCTACAGGACATAACAAGGTTAGCCTTTGTTTTTCTCACCTCCTTTGTTTGTATCTGGAAGAGGTGCAACGAACCGTATGGGCTTGAATGTCACCCGGGATCAATCGCATAGTTGCGGCGTCCATAGGCACGCAACCTGAACAGTAAACGAAGCCATTGGCCACGATTGCCTGGCTGTAGATTCCAGGCAAGGCTTTCGGGGCCTTGTCTGTGACGACTGCTTCCTTGCCCATTGTCTCAACACAAAATCTCAGATCGAGACGGAAATCAGTCAGTAACGTGGTTGGTTGAAAACCTTTGTCGATGGTGTTTGTCAGCTCTTCTGGAGATTATGAGTACACAGTACAGAGCTTCATGATGTTCTAGGGCGTCGTCAAGCCCTCCTGTCCAAATAGCGTAGCGTGGGTGGTTTGGTGGGTGGATGTGGGCATGTTGCCCACTCTCGTTATGTGGGAGCAGCAACTGATATACGACACACAATGGGACCAAAGCAAGGATCTCCTTACCCGCCGTGGCGACCTGGATCGCTTTGCCCACCCATGTAGTACCAGAGCTCAGCATTTGTATGGGACAATCGGGCAGATCTGATCATGATCAACGTCGGCAAGACACCTAAAACGAATTGACCTTCGAAAGTTCGAACACTCTATTATCATAGTTGACATATGATCTAACTTTCTGAACATATAGACTCTTATCTGACCCCAAAGGAGCATCAGTCTTCCTATCTTTGCATAAGGTATCCAGGGATTCATCATCACTTAAAATCCACGACAGTCTTTCTGAGCAGCATGTCGCTCTCAAACCACCCTCAGCCACCGTACCCGCTCCACGAATCGATCAAGGACAAGATCCATCCCGAGTATGCGAAATTCTACAACGAACATATCATCAATGCCCAACAGGTTCACTACCAACCAGTCGAGGCGTCGCGGGTAGGTGGCAAGCTCATCCCTGGCGGCGGTGACCCGCTCCCCGTGGGCAAGACCCAAGACATTGCGCTCAAGCGACAAGCCTCTGAAGGGCCCGATGTTCAGATCAGATGTTTTACCCCCGAAGGGGACCCTCCCGCCAACGGTTGGCCCGTGATGATCTACTATCACGGCGGCGGCTGGGTCTTGGGCAACATCAACACGGAAAACACCGTGTGCACCAACCTGTGCGCGCGCGCAAACTACGTGGTCATCACCACCGACTATCGACTGGCGCCCGAGTCTCCGTGGCCCGCGGCCGTGCATGATTCGTGGGAGACGGTGCTCTGGGTGTTTGGCCAAGGGAAGTCGATCTTGTCGCTGGACCTGAGCAACGTCGCGATCGGCGGGTCGTCGGCCGGCGGGAACCTAGCGGCCATCATGAGCCACAAGGCCTTGACATACACAACCACCAAGATTTCCTTCACAGTCCAGCTGCTCGTGGTCCCCGTGACGGACAACACGGCCTCGGTCGATTCGAACCCGACGTACAAGAGCAACGAATTCACCGCGGCCCTCCCCGCGGTCAAGATGCTCTGGTACCGTCGCCACTATCTACCCAACGAGAAGGACTGGTCGGATCCGGAAGCGTCGCCGATTTTCTACCCTTCGGAAAACTTCGCCAAACTCCCTCCGGCCGTTGTGTTGGTTGGCGAGCTTGACGTGTTGAAACACGAGGGCGAAGCCTATGCGCAGAAGCTCAAGGACGCCGGTGTCGCTGCAGAAGTTCATGTCATGGAAGGAATGCCACATCCGTTCTTGGCCATGGATGCAGTGCTGGAGGCTGGAAGGACGGCAATTACCATCTTGTGCCAGAGTCTGCAGAAAGCCTTGTCCAAATCATAGACTGTTCTTTTTTGTAACAACAAAGATTTATGATGAGCCAAGACATGATTCCATTTCGTTCCAATGTGAATCGTGCCTCTCCGCCTGTAAGCACCAAGCAGATCATGTTGACAAGACGTCTGTGAGTTTCCCAAGTGTCGTGCATGCCTCTTGCAGCAATTCCCATCGGCAATTCGAGAGAGATTCTTTGACAACAGATAAAAGCCCAAGAGTGCGATTCGTGCCCTTCAGCCGACCATGTTGGTCCATGAGCCCGCTGAGCATGTGAACCAAGTACTCTTCGGCGCTGATGCGATCGGCCGATTTCCCCTCCGTGAGGATGCCAAAGGCCCAAAGAATGAGCGTGGCATGATACAAACACCACGGGCGCAAGGCAATGTTGTCTTCTGACGCTCGGTACCGTCGGCGAGTGAACATAGTCTCTTGGATGAGGAGGATGCAATGTGACAGGGTTCGTTTGGCGGTGGGGTTCTCGCACCAGGCCTGTATCCGTCGCTTGGCCTTGGTGTGCTCGTTTCTCGTAGTACTGCTGCTCGTGAGTGATGGCGCTCCGGCAAAGGTGTGGAAGTCGATCAGGTTGACGTAGATCGTGACATGAGCCATACGATGCAACGGCCGCGCGGCCTCTAGACACAACGAAGGGTCTTGGGATAGGAGTGAGAACGACCATGTGTCGATGGCGCGGTCGAGGATCTCTTTCCAGTTGTCGTCGCCAATCATAGATGATGGGGTTGACGACCCAACCCCGCCATGCTCCGAGGACATCCTGCCCGTCTCAATGTCGGAGGCCATCAGGTCGCGGCCCTGCATATGTTTTGTGACATTGAACAGGCCGTGAAGTAAAACGAACCGGGAAAATGGACTGCACGTGGATGGAATGGGTCGACGTGACAAGAGAGACCGTAGGGTGGGCAGGAACTGGACCGGTTCGGCAGCTTTGTGGACAGCCTTTTTCCAGCGTGCCGGGGTTGAGCTGTCCCAGACCTCGTCCGCACAAGGCAGTGGGAGGCGGACGTCGCTGACGGAGAGAGCCGGCATGTGCCCAAAAATGGATGAATGCTGGGCGTCCATGATAAAGGCAAAGTATGCAACGCGCTTGAAGGATTCTTGCTCGATCCACATGTGCCATGCTCGGTCCGCCGAGGAAGCACGGCTGGAGTCGTCTGTCCAACCTGACGAGTAGGATCCGCCTCGTCTCATTAACGTGATGACGGCACCATGAAAGATATGCGCCATCTCATGATGCTTTCGTGTGGAAAACATCTTCTCATACGCTTGAACCAAAAGAAGCGCTTGGAGACACCATAATGGTGCCGGCGGCTGGAACCCACCTGAGCTGAAAATGAGCCATCTCAGGTCCTCGTGGATTCTCTCTGCTGTCCGGTAGTGGGAAGAGTCCGGGGACAAGGTGGCCCCCAGCGTGAGGATCGCCACGAGCAGCAGAGGTGATGCCTCCTTCAGTGCAAACGATGCTTGGTGCAGGATGGGGAAGTGGGCATTGTAGTTTGAGAAGTAGATGTGAAAGAAAGAACTGAGGTTCACCGGGTCGAAGAAGGTGTCTTCCAGAACGTCTCGGGGTAAGGTGTGTAGAGCTTCCAAAAGTCTGGTACGGAGATGTAACCAAGGATTGCTGGTGTGTGAGGATGTGTCGGTACTTTGTTGCTGAGATACAGTACTGATAGGCGAGGCGGAGGAAAGGTCTTGTGGAACGGCCATGTCCCAAGCAGGTCCTGTGTTGTTCAATTCGTCCGCGACCGGGACATTGCCGAAGAGCCAATCCAGATCTTCGGCAAGAGCTTGTGCACCGTCTGATGCATCGAAAATAACATGGTGGCCAGAGTCGAGCTCTCCAAGCGGCAGGAAATCAGGATAGTCGAGAGTGTCGAGGCGTAGAGTCGCCGGATCCGCGGGGACTGGAACTGCGGTGGCCGCCACCGCCGCCGCAGGAGCCATGATAGCGGATTCCTCTCCAGGACCATTCTGTGCCACGGCAATGTCTTGTTGTTCCATGCCGAGTGAAATTTGGGCCGATCGGTCAGAAACGTTTGTGGAGGACCGTTCGAATTCCGACGCCGGTGGCTCAGGTACATATCCACCAGAGTTTCGGAAGCGCATACCACGCTCATGGCGTCGCTGGTGCCTCTGCAGCAAATCGAGTCTGACAAAACCTTTGTGGCATGTGTCACAATTATAGATCTTCTTGGGCCGGTCTAACGTCCTGTTAATATCTCCCGAACGACATTATCGGGCAAACCAATGACTTACGGTTCAGACAATGCCGACTGAGATGTTCCGGACGCTTGAAGGATTTCCCACATCCCTCCACAGGGCAGATATGTCTTCCGGACATTGGTGGCTGAAATCAAAGACGAATGTCTATCAATATCTCGGGCAACGTCGCGAAAAGTCATGGCCAACCGTAATCATGATATGGATTGTGGATCTGCGATAAGGGCTCTGCCTCACCAAGAGTATCGTTCCTCTCGTAGGATGAAGTGTCTCGAATGCTGCGACGGTCAAGGGACAGGAGTGTCAGTCGTCTACCGTAGATGTCGATGTTGTTGTCAAGTAGTAGGAATGACAGTCTGAAGCCTGGACACCTCCCCTCCAGGGCTTGGCGCCCGGTCCCGGGCGGCGGAAACGGTCCGCCCCGAACAGTTAGGAGTTATCAGCAGCATACGACACCGTACGGGGGCTGAAATTGTTGGAATAGAATAACACTTGTCAGGCGCACTTCCTACTGCTTAGGTTCAAAAGTACGTTACATTCCTTGATACAGCATACAATAGTCTTGGGATCAAAGATAGAGGCCGCTTCCAGACGACTTCGACTCTTTGATGGAGTAGTTTCCTGTCACCACTGCCTATCAACTAGTTGTTGCCGGATGAGTGCGACGAAATCAAGGCACTTGGCCAGCAAGGCCATTAGTCCGTGACGCATCTAGCTTCATTCCCAACTCAGCCATCGAACTCATGCTTCGGCATCCCTCTGGCGTCGACGGGCTTGAACCGAAATATGTGGCCTCCTTCGTCATCAGCTTTGGCGTCAGGGGCTTTATCTCTCCCCGAAGCGATGTAAAGAATATCAAAGTCTTTTCCACCCCATGTCGTGCATGCCATGTTATTTGCGGAAAAGACAATATCCTTCAGATGCTGACCAGTTGGGCTAAACACCATCACCCGGTAGGAAGCAAACATTGCGATCCAAAGATTGCCTTCTGTGCTGTAATTTTAAATCTTGTCAGCAACATTATCTGCAGCCAGACGAGAAGTAAACATGACAGGGACTTACTCGACCACCATGCCGTCAGGTTCGCCGAAAGAACTTCGCCGGTCAATAAAGAGCCTCTTGTTGGTGATGTTCCCGCTCTCCAGATCAAAGTCGTATGCGAAAACCATCATGGCGACCGAGTCATTAAAGTACACTAGCATTGTCAGTGGATGGATTCACCATGAGGATGCCCGGGAAACCTCACTTGTCTTGTTATCAGGACTCCACGCAAGCCCATTGCCACAAATGATGCCGGTCTCCATGAGATGCAGACTGCCGTCGGGATCATATCGCCAAAGACGGCCGATGGGTTCACCATAGCTTGCGGGTAATTTGTTGGGTCCGTATGCCATGGCCTTCCTGTCGATCTCGGCCAGCCAAAAGCGACCTTTGGCATCGACACCTCCATCGTTGAATCGACGAATGTCTCGCTCACTGGTTGGGATGATTTCTCTGACCACGTCCAGCTTTCCAGTGGCTTCGTCGAGGAAGGCCACTCCCTGAAAATAGGCACAGATATAGCTTCCCGGCTTGTTCTTGCGGAAGAAAGCCACGGTAACACTGTCTTCGAGCTTGAAAACTCTCGCTTCGCCCTGTGCATCGCCGGTCTCCGGGTCAACATGGAGTATGTGCAATTCTGCTGGCTCACATAGGCAGTCGACCCAGTGAAGGGTCGAATCACTTGCTCGATATATAGGAGCCTCGCCGAGGTTCATTCCAGTCCCGCAACGAACCCATGCATTTCCGCCTTGGATCACCTCCAGAGGGCCTGAAGCCATGCTCAAATCAGTCGACCGTCGTCCGTCGGTGATGTCGTTGCTGCAAACAATACACTATTTGTCAGAAACTTGGAAGGCGGTAAGACAGAAACAAAATCACGCCGCATGGCAATGACTGTAGAAGCTGGGTAGGATTTCGCAAGTCGGCGGTTTGGTCTAGCCCGCTTCGTCTTCCAGAGCCGACCTGAGGAGCATGGTGGGATACCGAATCCCTCGTTCGGACACAACATGGTCGCAAGCACACCACACTTTGAGGGGCCTGGTCCTACGAAGTGTCTACGTGGGAGGTGATCGCGCCCTGCCCACACCCGGTTGAGATAACAGAGGATCGATCATAAGGTGGGATGCTATACCCGCGCAGCAGGACCCGCTTCTTTCCCTATCATCCGCCTATCGTGCACAAGTCAACCACCAAGGTGAGAGCAGGCTAGGCATAGTCCCCAAGACACCAGAGGGTAAAACATTCATGATCAGTAGTACTGACCAGCGATGCCCACGTCGTCGAACTGGATGGAGTTGTCTTTGAGTCGATCCAAGCTGTTTACGATGCGAGACGCACGCCCTACTATCAGGTATATTGCTCCGCAAAGTTGCCCTCCATGAGACCACTCTGGAGGTGCATCGGATACTCCGGCATTCGTCGTTACTATGGCTTCATGGGAGATAGTAGTCCTTCTTTATCCAACTGGGTAGCTGTTTTCGGGCCACGCTTGACCTTGCCGGGACGTCCTGATTTCCAACCCAAGTATATACCCCTAGCACCGTTATCAATAACAGAAACAATGAATGGAATAGAGGCCGAGATCATTTTGATGAGTTTCATTGCTAATTCAGCATGTAACAGGGCAGCAAGCATAGCCTGAGGGCACATAAAAAGTAGATGAACCCTCCCACCGCAAGGTACAACTGCGATCCGCGGCTGTCCCTTCTCGTCTGCACTCTCAGACCGCATGAACAAAGATCCTTGCCATCCATCCCAATTTCCAGCTGGCTGAACAAACGACACGTAATGAAAAACTGATCTTTTCCTGCCACCCATATCGAGCTGAGTTTTCAGCCTGATATGCTACTTACAGTGAACTGCATCCCACCCGCCCTGCCATTGCAGTCACTATAAGTGGTGAAATGTCATTGCTTTTGTCATACCCAATCGAAGCCGAAGAGGTACGATCTTATGTCGAAGGTCCGAGTCGGGGAGATGCATGGAAGAAACCTGCGCCGTGTGCCGAAGGAAACTGCGGTTAGTAGTACAGGGGAATGGGGGAAACGTGGTGACGGGGTTTGACGGACATCCAGGGCCGGGATTGCAAGTGCGGGAAAGAAAGCGGGAAACTGCACAAGAGCTACTATCGCAACCTAGACGGTTAGTTTCTGCCTGGTTAGTAACGTGCCACAACGACCCTTGGCCGAAGTGGGCTTTTATCGAATCGTCAAGCCGGAGGTTATGACAGCTGGAGGGGATTTGACTAGCGACAGCCAAAATGCCAGGTACTTGGAGTCAAGACGGTCGGCGCCGCTTAGGTTCCGGGGTGTCCAGGTCCAGTAGATCGAGCTCGTCATCATCTACCTTGCGTTTGGCGTTGTTGGCTTTGGATGGTGTGACGGGTGAGCTTGCAAGGCTGACAGGCTCGGGAACGCCGCCGGAGGTTGCACCAGGCCCGTTCAGCGCCGATTGAGCGTTCTCGTCTGCTTGAGGGATTGCATGGTTATCAGGTTGGTTGTACTCGTTGGCGACTGGCAACGTGGAATAATCTCCTTCGTCCACGACAGCTGCGTCGGCATGAAGGGCCTCCTCCTGAACCCCTGCTTCTTGAGCGAAGAGTTCTTCGTCACTGTAGGAGCCAAGGTCGTCCTCGTCCGCTCGCTCCACATCTTTGTCATGTTCGAAAAGATCTTCGGCTTGTTCGAACGATTCATCGAAGGAATCGAGCGTCCCAAGCCCATCTGCATCCACATCGGCATAATCAGTTTCGTCCCCGGCAGTGTCGGCTTCGAGCGTATGTGAACTGTTCGTCTCATGCTCTTGAGCTTCCAAGAGATCCGCGGTCTCTAGATATGACTCACGCTCCCTGCCACTTGCTTGCAGGGGTTTGCCATCGTCTTCCATCTGACCGTCGCCCTCGTCGTGAGTTTGAGCCGTGATATCTGCAGCTGCCTGCTCTGTCTCCTGTCCGGAGGGGTCAGCTTCTTCTGCATGCTCCTGGGAAATTTCCCCTGATGGAGCAGTGTCTATGCCTTGTCCGGTAGACTCGTTTACGGTTTCTCCAATGTCGGTACGCTCTGCAGCAGTCGCGTCGAACCGAGCATCGATCTCAGGTTCGGAAGCGGTTGGCTGCTCATCTGGGACATATTCGTTGCTGTGTTCTTCAAGAGACGCATCCTGATTGCCGTAGCCTTCTTGCTCCCCTTGCTGTTCCTGAGGGTTGCCAGCTGCATCAGTATGCTCTTCCTCTGGCTCGGGAGTGTCGATATGGTCTGCGGCTATTTCGGAAAACGTCCTACCCTCCGTGCACGAGGACACGAGGTAAGCATACTGAGATGCCAAGCTCACACGACTGCTCAGATGACAATACAAAGGATGTATCTCTTGACCTTCATCATTCCGACAGAGTTGCAGATAAACGTCGAGGATTTGGGACAGGGTAATCTGCGCAGCATGTTTCGAGTCTTCGCAGATATGGAGACCTAATGACGTGATATCAAGCACTAGCTCATCATGATGGTCCAAAGTACCGGTCAAGATCTCGCGACATGCAGCAAGCAGTTTGTCCAAAGGCTCAAACGCAAGTGAAGAGTCCGCAAGGAAATACACCGAAGACTCATCCCCGATCATGGGGGGAAATAGTGACATCTCTTCATCCAGGTACAGCAAGGTCACGGGATGGATGGCTTTGGCGGTATCCTTTTGAGTGCCCGCAGGTGGCTCTGTGTCCTGCTGCTGCAAATCTGCATTTACTGGATCGTCGCCTGTGTCGTAAGTCCTCGTCTGTTCGGTTGTCTCGGCATCGTCTAGGCCCTGTTCGACATTCTCCGAAACCACATAGGACTCGCCAACTTGGACCTCCTGGGCTTGATCAACAGATGTTTCGGGACGAACCTCTTCGGATGTCTGTTTATCGGAGAGAGAGCCGTCCGGCGCTTCTGCTTGCGACACATCTGTACCTGGGTTTTCCGTAGTGGTCGCAGCCGTTGTTGAAACCTGCCCGGGATCCTCGATGTCGTCAGAGCTCTCCGTTCTCGTTGCGGCTTCTGCCTCATTAGTAGCTAGGTTATGGGAGTTCTCCTCGTCATGCTGTTCTTCGACGTCATCCAGAATGACTTCTACTTCCGCCTCTTGGTATGATTGTATCTCTTGCTGGGCTTTGAGCTCCGCAGAGCCTTCTCTTTGTTCCGCAGGAAGCTCAAGGTCTTCATCATCTTCGTATAAAATGTCCTCATCTTCATCAACTCGAGGTCCGTCTGCGAAGGCATCCATGTTGAAATCCTCGTCACGGGTTTCGGGAATAGCTGCTGTATTTTCATCATCGATCATATCGTCGTCAGGTAGTATCTCCTCGATTTGATCTTGCATCATGTCACTTCCAGTCTCGGCTGGATCGACAGCGTCGTCGATCATATCGTCGTGCAAAGACTCTATGATGGACGGTTCACGAACTGACTCAAGCTCAACATCGAGATCGTCAGGCTGACGGAAGGGCGACGATGCTACGTCCATTGTGTCATCAAGTAGTGACGAGTCCATGTTTTGGAATGCGAATGACGGGATTGCGCTCATTGCTGATCCAGAGGCGGTCAACGCCAGCTTCACAGCTGCACAGAGCGGATATTGTCGTCTTTCGCCTCTGTATCGAACAAAACAACTTCGCTCTTGCGAGAGGGATGGTGCTGTCCGAGATTTGATCACAAGCTATGGTGATAGGGAGTCAAGAGAGCATCAAAGGCTGGGTTGGAAAGTTTGCAAGGGGCAAAGGGTGTTTGTGGTCACAAGTGTCTCGGAGATGCAGTGAGAAGATACATCGACCGGTTGAGGAATGATTGAGTCAAATGCAGCGAGCGCACAAACATCAGTGTGCGCGTTAACCAAGACGGGAACGGTAATGGTGAACAGGCTGCAGTGAGGTGAGGGAGAGTTGAATCATTCAAGGTACAACTTTCACTTCGAGGCAGTTCAAACGATTTCCAAGGGTCGCCGCCAAGATCGCCGCTGCCAAGCTCAGGACCTCAGGCTGGCTTAGCAATTCAGCCCGGCGCTAAATTATCTTAAACGTTATAGTGAGACCGAGCCTTAGAGCAGCGTTCTCAGCTTCCAGATCAGGCAATACTACATTGGCATTTTGGATATCGCACCCCGTGTCCTCTCCCCTACACCCGCTGCCACGGTATACAGCACACTTGACATTGCAACACACGCGCAGAACCAGTCCTTTTCCGGCAGCAGAGATGGTATGGTGCCCCTTATGCGAAGCCTATCGTTGCATGGTTGCTAATCTTCACTCAGGTCATCCTCGCGGCCTCCGTGTGCACGAGGGGCGGCAAGCCCCTACTGTCCCGCCAGTTCAGAGAGATCCAGAAGTCCAGGGTGGAAGGGCTCCTAGCATCATTCCCCAAACTTGCCGACTCTTCGACGCAACACACGACAGTCGAACAAGAAAACGTCCGCTTCGTCTATCAACCGCTCGACGAGCTGTACCTAGTCCTGATCACCAACAAGAACTCCAACATCCTGCAAGACATCGACAGCCTGCACCTGTTCGGCCAGGTCGTGACATCGATCTGCAAGAGACTGGACGAACGCGAGATCCTACGCAATGCATTCGAGTTACTCAGCGCCTTCGATGAGCTGGTCACGATGGGCTACCGGGAGAACCTGACGCTGAGCCAGATCAAGACGTTCCTGGAGATGGAGTCTCACGAAGAGCGGATCCAAGAGATCATTGCGCGCAACAAGGAGCTCGAGGCCTCGGAAGAGCGCAAACGTAAAGCCAAACAACTGGAAATGCAGAGGAAGGAAGCCGCTCGCTCGGCCTCATACGGAAGAGGCGTCGCGCCCAAGATGCCACAACAGCCCACATATACTCCGCCGGTACGGCCAGAAACGACCTACGACTCGTACGAAGCGGAAAAGAACAAGACATCCAGCAAGTTCGCAGCCTCGCGACCAACAAAGGGTATGCAACTGGGCAAGAAGTCAAAGACTTCCAATGCCTTTGCCAAAGTTCAGCAAGACCTTGGGCCAGAGGCCGCCGAACAGCATCCCGCCGCGTCCGCCCATGTCGAAACCGACCTTCCAGACCGCACTCACCCGAGCTCCACCATGCACGACTCGACTCTCTCGTCCGCCGCCACTCATCCCATCCTCATCTCGCTCACCGAGACGCTGAGCGCCAAGCTGTCGCGCGAGGGCGCCCTCAGATCTTTCGAAGTCAAAGGCGATTTACAACTCAAGATCACCGACCCAGCACTCACGAAATTGGCATTGTCTGTACAAGCAGTGGAAGGCCCCCTGAAGGCACAGTTTCGCACACATCCCAACGTCGACAAGAGCCTTTTCAATTCACAGAAGCTGATCCAATTGAAAGACACAACCAAAAGATTCCCAACGAACAACAGTATCGGCGTCCTGCGCTGGCGTGCCACCGCTCCCGCCGACACGCCCGACGTGCTGCCCATCACGTTCACCGTGTGGGTCAACAAGTCCGACGACAGCTACACGATCACGATCGAGTACGAACTCACCGAGCCGGACCTCACCCTACGCGATGTGGCGGTGACGATTCCCTACTCGTCGTCCGAGCCGGCCGTGTCATCCTTCGACGCAATGTACCAAGTCACAGGCGACTCGTTGGAATGGACCATCGGGACTATCGACGCAGACAACGCCAACGGCAGTTTCGAGTTCGAGGCCCAAACGGACGATGAGGCGGAATTCTTCCCCATGACTGTGGCCTTCGAGATGAGCCGGCCGTTTGTCGACGTTGATGTCGCCGGCGCTCGGCTGCTTGAGATGGACGAAGAGGTCGATTTTGAAAAGGTTGTAAAGGCATCTGCTGATGGATTTGTCATCGAGTAGTCGCGTTCAAGTGCACACGCCGAAAACATTTGACAAGCATCCTGGATATGTGAAGAGGTGCTCTGGATGGCTGCCTTCGTGATGAACAACAGAAATGAGGTGGACTACTAGAGGGAGAAGAATATTGAGACCCTCACGCCAATCCTCCTCCCTGGGTTGGTCTTTTGCGATCAAATATGAGATGAGAACGGGAAGGAGCAAAACGATCTGTGTCAGACGTTTCAATTACCCTCATGCGGACGCTTTCAGTCCAAATTGACCCTGATCAAGCACCGATCACTTGTAACTTGCTAGATCAGGGAACCCGCGCAGGAAGGCTTATGCTATGTACTCTTCAAGTTCTCTCCGTATCGTCATCATATTCATCAAATAACGTGATCTTTACCACTGTGGTGTCCGCAACATGCGTGGTCTTCCAAGCATGAGGCCAGAGGTAGAACCAAGTCTTGTTCGTCGTACCCAAAAGCAAACACACGTACGTTTCCCACCCTAGTTTCCAGCAAATTTCAAAAACATGATAATATGCGACTCGGATAATAATATGCAATTCCGCTATGTGGACGAAAAGAAGAGGCAGGGGAGGTTGCTTTCGCCCAGAACGAATGTGAATGCGGACCTTTGCTCTGACGAGACAAGCAAGGATATGAGTAAAGGTATCACTGATGGTGGGATGAGGCGCGAGTACTGCCGGGATTGCCATCAGGCATGTGGCTCATTCCTATCTCGAAGGCCAGACCCCGTTGTCGATCAAACGGAATAGATCCCATTCGGGGGCATTTTCCGTTTTGAAGTTCCAGAAGATCCAGCCTTGGATCATGGACTCGAACACATTGATTTGAGCATTGATGTAGTTCGTGGTTGCGGACCGTTGATCACTGCTCCATTGCTCGATGGAACTGCTACTTGCGCATGATCCCACATATGTAGACGAGTCGTAAGGCTTCTGGTAGGATCCATCGTATCGAGCCCCAACTCCCCAGCCGTTCAACGCAGGAGCGCAATCAGTCATGGCAGCAGTCCATTCACCACAAATAACGAATTTGTCAAACCCTTGTGCCCATTCGCTGGCGTGAGAATAGACGTAGTCCACGTGTTCTTGTGGTGACATGGCCACAAATTCGTTGGTGAAGACCTGGTATTCGTGATGGTCGATGATTGCCCCTGAGGTACCTTGGCCTGTAAGAAATCCGTTCCATGAAGACGGGTCGCTGAAACCGTCGTGAATGATCACCGGAGTCTGTCCAGAGCCTCTGACTATGTCGAAGCCAGACTGGTAAAATCCTTGAGTTGCTGGTCTGCCGCCCGGCAGACCGGGCATATAAGGTTCGTTCAACAACTCAATGCCTGCAATGACATCGGCATACTCCGAAGTCCCGTATTTCTGCGAGATCTGAGATATCACCCCCAGTGTGGCGTCAATAGAATCCCCGGAAGTCCAGCCCGGTGTTGAGGTGCGCTGGCCTGAATTGTCGTAGCCATTCTGTGACAGCGGCGCACCTAGTGAAGAAGATATCAGTAAACACTTGTCATCGCTCTTAGGCGCAGGCGCCGGAGATAGCACTTCAGGCTCACCATGGAGATCAATCCAGACCTTCAAGCCGGTCTGTCGAGCCCAGCTGATGGCTGCATCGAGGTAATCCGCGGCGCCTTGGATATATGGGTCTTGTTCATACTTCTGAAAAGCCCAATAACCTATGGGTATGCGCACCAGGTTGAGCCCATTGCTGGCGATCTTCTGAAAGTCACCTACGGTCACCCAGCTATCCCAGTGGCTCCGCAGGATTTCCTCGGCATTGGAAGCTTGCTGGCAGAGAGTGTACTCGTCAACGATGCTGTTGCCAAACTGTTCGAAGATGGACGGCGTGATCCACGGTTCAAGCACGAGCCAGCCCCCAATATTGACGCCTCGTACGGGTGTTGACCCATAGGCAAACTGCCGTTTTATCAGAGGTGAGCTGGAGATATTAGCCAAGCTTCCTTCTGCCTCAGTCCCAATCCCGCTCTTCAATGACTTACCCCGTCACCAAGGAAGCTGCCAGAGCAGAAAGAAAGACTCTTCCAGCCCACATGATGTAGGAACAAGTGTCATGAGGTGGTAGGGAACAGAGGGATAGAATAACCCGAACTCAAATCGCGGACATGCTCAATGTTCGAAGCGGCCACCGACAACCAGCGGAGATCAAACACTTTATGCTCGGGCAGCAACAGCTTTATGCTGTGCAAGGCAAGACAAACCCAGCAGCAACGATGACAACGTCACAGCAAGAGGATTGATCGAGGAAGGAGGCACTTGACCTGGCATGAGGGGAAGCTGGGAGGTCATCTGGTGAAGAACAGCAGTGACAGGAATGGCAAGATGATGCAGCAGACCTGGCTACACAGGCCGTACTGAGACCGATCAAGGCATAACACATGGTGGATGTATGGCTCGACGAGTCTTCACGTACCGCCCTGAACAACGGAGGAAGTCTGGACCAGGTACACCTAGGTAGTTGGCAACCATCCTGCACCAGACCGTCTTTTTCACGTAACTTTGGAGGAGCTTGGATAGCTGGTCGTCCGGAGCTGGTCGTCCGGAGGGCTAGACAAAGGTCGGTCGGATTGTGGGTAACAGCATGTTGGAGCCCACGATCGTCAATGGGTGGAATTGACAGGTGGCTAATCCTCTATAAGTATGTACCAGTAGGATCGTGAGTCCGTTCGCTTGGGATATGGGACTGGCAGCGAGCCAGGTGGAGCAGAAGGACAGACCGGCCGAAGCCATGCAAGTGGCCGCTCGAAAGCCCGGAGGGTCGTGGAAGGTGAGGGAGGCTCGGATCGGGAGACATGTTTCGGTGGCATGCTGCTCGTTGGGCTTGGGGAGGGAACATGGGCAACGTATCGCTGGGTCGGCAACGAAATAGAAGGGAAACGAACGGAGCGGAATGAGCGAAACAGGGCAACAAAGAGCAATGCAAGTCCACAGGACAGAGGTATACAGAGGTAGTGAGTGGTAGTGGAGAGAGACAACAGTCGGCGCGAGAAACCGGGGTCGAGGGTGCGCAAGGGTGTTTTCTGCCATGAGAGCTGGCAAAAGTAAAGCCTGAGGTACAGCGATTCCTCCCTTCACTAGGTACTGAGTAGGTACCCAGACCACTCCGTACCAGATCTGATGATGCCATGCAAGCTATCACAAAGCAAACAACTTGAACTACCTTTGAACAGCAGAATGTCGGATTGCTGTCGGATTCGTCGTTCCGCTTCGACCCAGAGTCGGGTGACCACCACTACCACTGACCAGCGCATTCGCTCGCCGGCAATGTCACATCGTATCCCTCCATGCATCGGTCAGATGATGGAGATAACGTCTGGTTGCGGGGAACCGACAGCTTTGGAGGCTGCTTCTCATCGCACACGGATCATGAACAGAATGGGATATCATGGTGTTTCCATATCATCTCCTACAACAATGACTTCAATTTAGGCCCAGTGACGAGATGCTGTCACTCAATGCTCAAGGCAGCCACAATTCTACGCCATCACACTCCCCTGCAGTGTCAATGCTTCTCAACCGTCCCTACGTGTTCCTTGCATGCGTATTCAAGCACTGACCGACCGGCTTTAGCCTCTTCCAGGGCAACAGCTGCAGGGCACCCTGGACCACCTTCCACGCCGTCCCATCCACGACTTGTAAGGAGCCCAACCTCTTCATGTACGGACCGAGGCAAACGGCTTCAGGATAAGAAAGGTCACCCCGAGGCCGATGTCAAGAGCCAAAAATGGGCACATGCAGCCAGGCCTTATAGTCAGATGTCTCATATTGGAGCCTACTCGACAAATGCGGTGCATTCTACAGGCCAGAGGAATAAGAACAACAATACTATCGGGCTACCGCTCCCACTGTCTCTTCGATGGCAGCGTCGACCTGCTCACCCATGTTTCAGACAACCGGAGAAAAAGCCGGCAATGCCCTGCCAGTGCAAGGTACCATGGACGTAGCAGCAAATGATGCTCTAGCACATGCAAGCCCAGCCAACGTTCCTGCTTCTGCTGCGCCTTCGCCGTCGGGTTCAGAGCACATCGGTAATCTTCTGTCTCTCAATGATGGAGTTTTGCATTTGGTCTCGAGAGATTCGATAGTAATGCCCGGTAAACTCCGCGCAGTCCATCTGTCGCAGGAAGTCTTCGTCGTGGGTGATGATGAGGAGCTGGAAGTTCGCTTGCTGCCGCCGGTACTTGATGATGTCGCGGAGCGAGTGTGCCAGGCTTTCGATATTCTCACGGTCGAGGTTGGTGGTCGGCTCATCCAATGCAATCACGCCCGAGTTGACACTGAAACACTCGGCCAGTGCCAACCGGATGATGATGCTCGCCAGCACCTTCTGTCCTGCGCTGCATCGACCTCGCATGTCCATTTCTGCACCTCTCTTGACCATCACCACCCGGTAGTTGTACGATCGATTGCCGCGTCCAGATTCGTTGTCTGCCCGGATCATGATCGTGTCGACGTCCGTGCCCTTGTACGTCTTCCGCCACAGCTCTTCGATGATGCTGTTGATTTCTCCCATCTTCAGACTATGGTACTTCATGATCGCTTTGTCCAAGGCTCCTCCGTAGCGACCCAAATCTTCCACAGCCGCCTTGGTCGCCTCCACTCTGATATGTGCCTCTTTGTACCGATGTGGTGCATCCGAGAGCTCCGTCTTGTAATTCTCGAGCAGCTCCAGAAGCTGGGCATCCTTCGACTTCATCTCTCCCATCACTCCGGCCTGCAGGGCACTGAGTTTGTTATGTTCATGAGTCCACTTCTCTGACTCCTTCTGAAACCTATCCCGATCCGCCTCGGCATTCTGACTCCCAAGGTCTTCGATCTCTTTTTCCAGCTGATTGAGAGCACGTGTTTCCTGTCGATATCGCAAATTGTCCGAATATCGTCTCCGCGTGGACTCACTGTCTCGAATCTGATCATTGATCTTATTCATGTCTCGAGTCAACTGTAGTTGCTCCCCTTGCAACCGTTCCAACTCCCGCTCCAGGTGAGTAAGCTCCCGGTTGATACGTGCAAGCTGTTTTGGTCCGTCTCGGTCGATATAAGAGCGCACTTGGTCATTCAAAATGTCAAGTCCACTGACACTCTCGCTGAGCTTGGACTGCTCTTGAGACATCTCACGTTCCTTGGCGGTTGCGCGTTGATCGACGTCCTCGTACTTGGCCTTCGCCGTCGCAATTTCCGGATCCAGCTTCTCGATATCCCGGTCAAGTTGGTCGAGAGTCTCTCTTTGCTTCTGATTCAAGATGCGATATTCCTCGACCCGAGCCACCAGTGATGCTTTCTTGTCTAGTTGAAATTCAATATTGCTCAGCTCGGCCTTCAGGTCGCGCAGCTCGAGTTCCATGGTAGATAAACCCACCCGGGATTGCTCTTGCTCGGTTCTGAGTCGATTGATCGAAGATTGTGTTGCTCGTACTTTCTCTGTAGCGGAGTTGAGCTCTTCTCGAATATCGTCCAATGTTCGTCCACCGTCACGTTGTGATTGTTTCGCACCGAGTTCCTCGATCTGGCCGTTCAACGACTTGATATCGCCCTCGTATTTGGCTATCGATGCTACGGTGCGACCGACCGACTCGATCTCACGCCTCACTTGTTGTCGTTGCTCAACATTCTTGTCATGTTTTTCAATCTTAGCAATTCGAGAATCCCTCTCCGTACTCATATTACCCAAGTCTTTCTCCGCTGCGGGAGTTTCATTGTTGACAAGTCTCTTCCAAGTGTCGTATACGATGCCCAGGTCAAGTAGTCGTTTATACTCAGCCTCTGCCTCTTTAGAGCTTGTGCGTCGGGCGTTTTCGTCGGTTTTCTCCACCAAACCTTCAATGCGTTTTCTCATCCTATCCACAGCTGGGTCGTTGGGACTTTTGAAGGGTCGGGTACATGTTCGACACACAGGCTTGTCTCCGTTGAGGGTGTCCAGTACCTTCAGTAAGTAATCACGAAGACCTGCAAACTGAGCGCTGTCTTCCCGCGCATCGTCTGCGTCGGCCTCTGCCTGCTGAAGCGCCTCTTCATATCCTTCCGGACCGGCTTCGACCACGGCACGAATTTGTTTGTCGCATTTCTCCACTTCAGCTTTCTTGCGTGCGAGTTCATCTCGAAGCGTTCTCTGTCTGAACTGGACCTGGTCCAACTCCCTCGCGACGGAATCCCTCTCTCTTTCAGCGGACACAACCTCATCGACGGCGGTTGCCAAGACATCCTGATGAACTTTCTCAACCGTGGCCGGAGTCCAGTCTTGACCCACGAGTTTGCTGATACGCCCACTATGAGCATTCAGTAGTGTCTCTAGGCTTCGATGGCGTTCTTTAAGCTCTTGCTTCAAATGCGTCAGCCTGGCAAACTCCTCGGCTTGCTTGGTGGCATGGACGATCTCGTCGTTCAGACGTGAGCTCATGTCCTCATGAGAGCGAAGCTCAACGGATGCGTCTTTCAGTTTTCTGTCCCAATCTCCAGCCTCTGCAGCATGTTTTGCTTGACGTAGTTTTGCACTCAGGTCCTCGACTCGTGACTCGACGACGGCTCTGCTGCCTTCGTCAACTTCAATCTTATCGGCTTTTCTCCGGAAATCTCCCGCCTCACGGTCGTTCGTGTCTATCTGCTTTCGAATGCTGATCTTGTTATCCTGCAGGGCAGCTTTTCGTTCAGTTAACCGGTTGACGAGCGTTTGGGCTTCACGACGTTCTGCAGTGTTCTCCTGCTTGACACGATCGAGCGTGGCTTTCTGCTCCTTGAGTAACTTCTTGATCCGAAACAGGAATTCTTCGACTTGGCTTTCATCACCGAGGTCCTCATAGCCTCGAATATGGTGCTTCGCAGCCACCTCTCGGACCATTTCTTTCCGCCGTACGAGCTGTCTTTCATGCTCTTCCTGCTCCTGCTCGTATTTGCCCTTCAATTTGACCTTCTGCTCTCGTTCTTTCCCAAGATTCTTCATTTGGTCTTGGAGTTCAATGTATTCTTCTTGTCGTCTGCGCATCTCGTCCTTCAACTCTTGTTGTCTCATTTGGAATTGTTCCAGGGTTGTCTGTAGCCATTCATCCGGCTCCTTCACTTCTTCAAGATGGAGCATCAGCCCATTGATGGTGTTTTGCCGGCCCTTCGCCTCGATCCGTTTTCCCTCCAAAGATCCTAGAACTCTAGCATAGTCTTCGCCTTTTCTCCATGCTTCGTCGGCCAACTCTCGGGCTTTTTTAATTTTGACCTCCAGCTCTCCCACCTTTGCCCGCATAGACTCTACTTCTTCTTGAAGGCGGGTCATGCTGCGCTGGACTTTGATCGCTCGGTCCTTGTCTGCCTTCGCATGCTGTTCGAGGATCTTGTACTTTGCCAGTTCCTCGTTGTGTTTCTTGCGAATCTGCTTGATGTTGTCAATCGCCTTTGTGTACTTCTGTGCCTCGAAGATCTCATCAAACTTCTTTTTCAAAGTTGAAGGGTCGCTCAAAGGCCAGAAGCTCTCGTCCTGATGGCAGAAAATGACATTGTCAAGGATGGCAGCTGAGACACCAAGGTAGCTGGGCATGATCGCGTCGAGCTCGGCCACTCGCGACGAGATCACAGTCTTCTCGCCTCCTTTAGAGAGCAACAATGAGTTTTCCAAGGACTTCAGAGAACGAGTGGCCTTCTTGACCGTCAACTCCAAGCGTCGCGCGATGATCATGGAAGCCCCATTGGCAGATTTGAAGGAGACTCGCACCATAGCCTTGACCAACTTATCGTTGCCCAGTTTGGGATCGTGCACGAAGGCGCCACCAACTTTGGTGTTGGGAGGCTGCATGCCGGTAAAGGCAAACTTGAGGCACTCGATAATCGTCGTCTTTCCAGAGCCATTCTGGCCAACGATGAGAGTTAGGGGCGTCTCGAACTTGATCTTCTCAGCAGGCTGTACGGCGAAGGAGCGAATGCCCGAAATCTCCATAGAGTGAAGCCGCGACATCTTTGCGGTGGAGTAGAGGATCGACCAACGAGAAGAGGATGAAGAATAGAGCAGGGACCTGGCACGTTCGTACGATCCAGCCCTGCGGTCATCATCCGACAACAATCGGGATGCCTGGGAAAGTAAGCAGATCCTGATGGCTGGATGTTCGCACCAGACAGAGAGTTACAATTCCAAGTTCAGAGTATCGATGGCAAACAATCTGTGAATGAACTCGTTGTTCCTACTACGCAGGTGAGGATGGAGAAAGGCAGCATCTCATCACGTGCTACGAGGACGCGGGGGCCTGGCGCTAATACATAAATAGTCTAGCTACCAAACGCGTCATCACGTGACAACTAGCGACGTTGCCGCTTGGCTGAAAAGTTTCGATCGCAATCCGAAATCTTGATCTGTACATGAAACTGTGATTTCTAACGGCCCAGTAACTCCTAACCACTTCCTCTCCACCTTATGTGAAGTGGTCGAACCACAATTCAGCGAAAGCGAACGAGCATTTGTCTCCTGCCGGTAGCTTTTTCCGGAGGTGCTCTACACCAGTTGAAAGAGCCTTAGGAGCCCTATCGCATCTTCGATCTGGACATCCCCTACGCCGGGACCCTCCGTTCTAGGTGCCTGAGTACTCCCCTTAGTACTGGTACCTGGTCCTTGCGATCATCTTCAGCAACTACCATCGAACAGCAGCTCACGGTGTCGGACCCACTGGTGCTTCGTCGTCGGCGCGATGGGGACCTTCCAGCACAACCAGACGTCTGTCATGGGTTCGTCTTTTGATCTCCAGCAGGGCATGTTTGATGCATCCATGGTCAACGGTGCCGATATGACCGGATTTCCTGATGGCTTGTCGATGGACATGACTTCGATCCCACACACAATTTTCGATGAAACGACTTTGGTTCCACACAATCTGCTTACAGTGACCTCTGGCAAGACCGACTCGGTCGACAATAACATGCCCACCAACAATGCTGGCGCTGGGCCCTTGCCGACTGGGTTCGCAATTCAGGGCTCCCAGCTTGCCGGTAGCACACTGACCGAATTCACCAAGAGGCGCAATTGGTCCCAACGCGTGATCGAGGAGCTCAAAGATCTCATGTATATTTTGACCCCGGATGGTCGGCTCCTTTATGTCTCCCCTTCGGCGAAGACCCTTACAGGGTACGATGCAGCAGAACTAGTGGGGAAATCGATATCAGAATTTATTCATCCTGATGATTCGAATCTGTTCATCCAGGAGTTTAACGAGAGTATTGCCACGGGCAACACTCTGCGGCTTTATCACCGTTTTCGCACTGCCGAACAGAAATATCGCATTTTCGAATGCCATGGCCACCCTCACCTCACTCACGAGGTTGGACAAATGGAGCGTGCCGGGTATCCGGTCAGCCCTGCGGGCATCTGTCGAGGGTTTTTCATGATGGCACGGCCGTATCCGACCAGGAACTCGGAACTTCTGGACTCGTTCCTGGAGCATAAAATTGAAAACGTCCGCCTTCAAGCCAGGATCGCCGCCCTGAAGCAAGAAGAGGCCGATGACATGGAACTCCAGCAAGAGCACTACCACAAACAAGCCGCAACTGCTAGCTCTCGGACGCCCTCGATTACAGCGGACATGACGCCAGCGTCACCTTCTGTGGCCTCCAAACCTGACTATATAGACTACAACGGTATGCCGCCACCGGCCAAACCCACCGTGTCGAATATCGCCCTAACCCGAGAGGCGCTGGACGAAGCAAATGCGTTTGCTCGACCGGACAGCATCCGGGACAAGATGGCGCGGTATGAAGGCTCATCTCACGTCGATTCCATCGAGATGATGACTGGGCTTCGGTATCGGGAAGGCGAGAGATCTCACGGCATCTCAACTGGCGGCACTTCTCCCGCATTGATACGGGGTGACGCGGGGATTCAGATTCCCCTCGAGAAGGCCGAGTCCCGCTACGCATATTCGGACAAGAGACAGAAGAAAGTCAAGAGTGCGGATGAGTACGTCTGCACGGATTGTGGGACGCTCGACAGCCCCGAATGGCGGAAAGGTCCCAACGGGCCTAAGACGCTCTGTAACGCCTGCGGACTACGTTGGGCTAAGAGGGAGAAGAAGAGGAGCGGCGTTGGCGTGAGCACCAAGGATGAAACGGCTTCCACAGGGGCAAATGCCAGCAGCACTCCCGGCAATGCAGCGGCAACCCCAGGCCCAACCGGCTCTACTCCCATCAAAGAGTCTAGTTCCACTGAATCAACATGAGCAGTCAAAGCCACAGCCCGATCGTCCTCTGAAAAAGACGGTCGCCTCCCAAAGCTATCAAACACCGGCCGCCTTGACACGAAAGGACGCCACGAGCCGCGCAGCTGTGCAATGTCTACGGCAACGCAACTGGCGGGTGGGCATCAGTCAACTAGATCCGGTCACATGTACTTCAAGATGGCTCCTTGAAGTATTCCCCAACAGAGGCGACGTCTGTTCTGGTCGTCGCAGCAGCGTTTCCGCCGCATGCAAGGCTCTCGGCATTCCGCCCGGATAGAACGTCCGGCGCCCGCCATGGTCCACACACGACACGCCACGCAACCTTTGCCACCGTCCAAACTTTACAGTCGAACTTGTCTCTGGTCTGCAGACGCCTTATCATCGCGGCTCATTTCGCCATTTGGTGGCTGGTTGCACAAGCCTGGAAAGACTGACATTTGCCCCTGGCAGCCCAAGGAGACCCCACCAGTTATTGACTTTTTGGCCTATGGCCCAGCCTTGTGTACAACTTTTGGCCTTTGGCGACCCTGATAGCGGCCGAAGATGGTCACTATGCTGGACTTCACTCAACCACGACCACTACTTCAGTAATCTACGGCTTTCCTCCTTGGTTCAAGCGCCAAGTGTGCATCGACAGGTAACATGCCGCAAACGAACCCACGAATAAGGACCCGACACGCACCACACTCATGTGATAACGAAAGAAGTATACGATCGTTTTATTTGATTTTCGGTTACGTTTTGAAGCAACAATTCTTTTCGGTGTTTCTTCAGGGGAGAATTGGCACATGCCCGCATACGAAGAGCATATTTTCGGAGTCGTAATGAGCACCATGCAAGTAAAAGATGGGAGTCAGGTTCGCATACGATATTGAGTATAGCACGCGATTGGGGTAGAGGATACCGGTTACACGTCGGGGATGTACCTGTACATATTCTTCGTCCAACAGGTGTCGGTTTGTGTCTAGGACTACATCAGGCATAGAGAATAAATCCCTTGATTGGGAGGGCTTCACAGTCCATACTATAACCGGATGGCCTCAGAGGGAGTAGCGCTGAACGTATATCTCCCTTGACCAGGAGATATTCTGCGGTGCCTTCACTTTCCACTTCTTTCCCGCCAGTAGAGAGGTTACTCAGTCATTATCCCAGGCAGATAGAAGTCGGTGAATCGGTTCTAGCCCCAAATGCAGTCGTATTCATCCATTTGGCGCCAACCTCGTATTTGGGTCGCTTCCAGCCGATGAAGAGTCGTCGATCAAGCCAGACCAAGACTCAAGTCACGGTGGATGTGTCAACTGCATCAGCACCCACGTTTTCACCAGAGACGTCGGTCTTCGACGCCGATTCATCCTCGGTCTTGCCATCCGCATCGACGAGAACGATATCTCCGTCTTGCTCCTGTGATGGCTGCTCCGAGTGTCTATCGGCCGAGGCTCCCGTATTATCGAGCTGCATTCCATCGGCCTCGGCATTCTCCGCAGTATCCTTCAGCACGATTTCAAAGTCCTCGGAATCCGCCAGAGAAGAGGCTCCCACATCTGGGCTCGTCGCGCCTGCGGGATCCTGCGACGGAAGCACCGTCTGCGCATTGTTCGGGTCGGCCGTCTTATTGTCTCCATCGGGTGGACTGCCGATGCGGATCTGGACTTCATGTCCATCAACTCGACCCATATCTACAGTCCCGACCACATCAGGCCCGCGTGCGTGTGGCACCGCGTCCTCTCCATCCTCGTCATCCATGTAGAGCCCTTCTTCTGCTCCCGCCATGGTCCTTCCAGCATTCGTATGCTGGGGGTTCTGCGCCGCAGGCACGACACCCGCCTCTTGTTCCATGCGCATCAATTCTCCTTGGGTGACGGCACCGTCTGCTCTTTCCGGCACCATCGGGTCCATGTCAGTCCTGTCGGAGGATAGGCTTCCCATGCCATCTGTGCTCGAATCGTCATGGGAATCTAAATGTGCGGACTCTTCGCCGGAATCTTCCCCGGCATTTCCATTGCGCAACCACGGTATGGGAGTAAGCAGCGCTCCACCTAGACTCTCGTCACTGCCCAGAGAATTGTTGTCGTACCCATTGCGGTTGTCGCTGTTGTTCCATAGTATGCCTCCTCCACCGTCGCCGTTGACGCCATTCACTATAGCCGGTGTGTCTGACAGAGGGAAGACATCTGCCGTGCTACTCACACTGACCACACGATCGACCGCACGAAGCCAGGCAGGGAGGGTGCTGTAATGTTTCGTAGGGTATAAGACTAGCTCCGCCAGTCGCTGGATCGTATGAGGTGGCTTTTCGGAGAATGATGTCCGCAAGGTGTGGGTGACGCTGTTGAAGAGTTGGAGTAACAGACCGGGTAGTTCGTTCGATGAGTCGGAGGGAAGATCTTGGGAGGGAGGTAGTGAGTCGGGCACACGACTCGCTGACGAGTTGGGGAATGGAGGAACGGGAGGTAGATTTCTGACCGGGGTCGACGGTCGCTGGTCACCAATGTTCGCATCTCGGGCTTGAGTAGGCGAAGATGACGGTGGAGGTCTGGTAATGTTGGGATAGGGTCGTGGCGTGGGAAATTCGGTATAGACAATCTGGCACCGATGTCAATATCACTGAGTGTGATGAGCCTTCGTTGGCTTCGTTGCGCATACCTGGTTAAGCCGTTGGAGGAGGGGCTCGATCATCGACGGCCATTTGTCACTTGCACAGGTCAATGCTTGTTCCGAGAAAAAGATTTATCTGAGGACATACTAGTCCATCTCACCACTTTCGGCAACATCCTCCAGAGTCTTCACATCCAAGGCTGGCCAGAGGTTCGAGTTAGCATGACATCGGGGCGCGTCGTGATGGTACAAGTATTGCAGCAGAATCCTGCGCGGACGGGGAGTCCGGCCTGAACTCACCTAATGACATCTTGTCAAGGGGAGGGTCTGGTATTCAAATGTGTCAATGTGTTGATTCAGATCTCGCGATGATTCGAGACATTATCCTTCGCGCTCTGAGCGCTTCAGAATATGGAGATGTGGTACAATTGCCGCAGCTAAGCGCCGAAAGTGACTGCGCAGAAATACGGAGTGGTTGTCACTTACTACTGTGTAGATGGTTGCACTACCACACTGGTCCCCATAGCGCCCTAGTAACTCTTTATTGGCCCTGCTCTTGGGAGAGGCCTAAGGGCCTAAGTCGCCGAGGCCGAGCTTAAGTTGAAGTGAGCAGCCGGCCAGTTTAGACCTAAGGAGCTCCCGGCTCGCCTGGAAGGCGGAGGGGCCTAGGCCTAGGGAGCCCACTCCAACACTGCACGTGTTAAAAGTACCTAAGGTTCCTATACGTTCTACCGGGAATTACTAGTACCAGATGTACTACCTTAGTACTAGGTAGGTAGGTGGGAAGCACTACAGAGCGTACGTAGCGAAGTTCGCCTTGGTTAGTTCATGGCTGGACTTCGACATCCATCGTCGACCAGGCACTATTATCATCTCGGTAGTATTTGCAAGCCTCGAAAGGTTGCTCTGCGTGGCAGATGAAAGGAACGATACCTGCGGTATATGCCAATTGTAGGTAGGTCCTCCCTAAGCCACTGTGATAAAGTAGCAGCTAGCAGCCTCCCTAGCCCATAATAAGTTTAGGCTAGGCGTCTGTGAGGTGCTCCTTCAAGTTACTTGTGCCCGTGTCCCAGGCCTGAAGAACCCAGTAGCCGCTCACGTCACACGAACTTTTCGAGTTCTTCAGCGCGCATCCTATCTATGGCTTCAGGTACCTGTACCTACCTTATGCATTTCTTTTCTACTCTGTAATACAACAACGATCTGCGAGAAGATGTCATGAACTATCAAAAATATACCTCGTACTACTAGATGCAGTGAACCTAAGAACCTGGAGACCAGTCCTCTGTCAGCTTGGCCAACAGTCAGATTCTACAACAAACTCCCCACGTTCCATCGCTCTCCCGGCCTTGTCTTTTGCACGGTCCTTTCCCGAGACACTGCCTCCAACTCCGTACTTCTGCTGCAATAAATTATCCGTCCCTTTCCCATCGTAGGTAGCTACCTTTCTGTGATGTTCACGCGTATAGTGTATAGTACGCATACTCCAGGTTGCAGAAGACGAGGGTGCAAATCTGTGAGCCATGATCATCCGGGTCCTGACACACTGGTTGTGATACATTGGCTCCGGACCGATCTCGAACGATTTGACGATTTGACGTCCTTCACACCCAAGCGAAGGGATGTGGCAACTCTGGACGCCCGGCCCAAACCTTGCCCAGTCCTCGAGTCTTGTTTCCTTACCTACCGCTGTCACTCCAAAGTCTCAGGTCTGGTTCCTCAAACGCGCCCAAAGCATGCCTTCCAAGTCTCCTTGCTTCACCTTGCTTCACCAAGGAGTCTTTATGACAAACACCCCTCTCACGGTCAGTCTGTTGTTTGTTCTTGGTTCGGAAACAGGTGGAGGGCGTTGCAAGGCCTGGCTCGAGCCTGGGCTCAAAGCTGCACAGCGCATGCATGATGCACATGGATGGTGGCCCACCGCTGCTTTGCCTGTGCTGACACAAAGCCAAATGGGTGTCTCTAAGGCTCCCTAGCCCCCGGAAAGGCGGCAGGCTAAGCCGTCGATGGCGTAGAAAGCGCCCAGTGGCTTGCCAACCTGAATGCTGAAGACCGGATCAGATGTTCTGGGGACCAGTGATGAAGGCATGTTGTTCCTGAACCCTCCACTGCGGCTTGCGGCTTGGGCTGTCATCGCCTTGGGCTGCACTGGTGCGGCTTTCCTAGGGGCTCTCTGGCTTTCTGACTATTCTTTCACTCTTCCTCAGGTTGTACGGGTTCGTAGTAGGCGAGCACAGCCAAATCGAGGCTTGAGCGAAGGGGGGCGGCGCTCCCGCAGTGCCCACTCAAAGGGTGCCGTGTTCAAGTTCGTCCCACTGCGGTGTCCGACCGCGTGCTTCCAAGATCCCGTTGGTTTAGTCCCTATACAGTAGTGGTTTAGCAGGAGTGCGTAGACAGCAGTTGGTCGTGATAGAACTGCCCCCACAGGTCATCCCTCCAATCGTCAGCATGGGCTGCATGGCTCGACTGGCCTCCCATCCTCCTCCTTCGACCTCAACTGCTCTGTTCTTTGTTCATTCACGGCACTGTTGCCCAAAGTGAATTCATTCACAACGATTGTTCTTTGTTTCCGGCACTGTCATGATTCCAACAGTCATCTGCTGTCACTGCTGTGCAGCGAGCGGCCTGGCGTCCACCTTCTCTCGTCCTTGACTCGACCTTCCAGTTGTTGGCATCCCGGAATGATCCTTACCCTCCTCCACCACAATTACCTGAGCACCAGCAAACCAGACTGTAAAGTCCAACTATTAGCATGAGTGCGTTGAGCATCCCTTCCGGGGGACTCGTCCTGCAGCATGCCTCGAAACCTGATCCAGCGGATAAAGAGTTCAATGAAGCACAGGTCCTTCGGTTGGACTTGGTCGAGAGCATCACCAAAGACATACTGCGGACTTTGAGAAACAAGGAGCAGGTTCGACTTCGATGTGGCAAGAGACCAGCTGTGCAATATGGGAAGAAGACAATCCCGCTGGAGAGCAGTCGTGATATCTTCCCTTCAGAACTCTTCACCAAACCTTCCGACGATTCCCGCCCTCTGTATTTCTCGGGACGGCTGAGCCACAGACTTGAAGTGAAAAAGGCAGAAGAAGATACCGCAGGAAGTGATGAGGCGTTGGCCGCCCTCGAAAGCACCCTCAAATCCATCCAGGAGCAGAGGGCGTCCAATGAGACCAGCATCGTGGACGGAAAGGAGACCATGAAACATGTGCGAAGAAAGGACACTAAACCATCTTCCATGCTGGGACAGAACTCTGCCCTCAGAAAGGATCATCTCTTGGGCGGATTAGCAAGATCAAATCCGTCCAGCCCTTTCCTGAGTGCATCTTACTCCCCGAGACCGGGTCCGACATCAGCTCCATTATCTTCCGGACTCTCGTCCAAAGACAGGATACGCCTCGATGCCATCCGCATTCCCCTTGTGCACCTCCTCGCTGTCAGCCCGATGACCCCAAAGACAATTTGTGCCCAGCTTCATTGCACCAAGGATGATTGTGAGAAGTTGCTCGACAAAGTCGCTCGGGACTGCTCACGGGGGGAGGGAATGAAGGAGTTGAAGGAGAAAAGCTACCGTGATTTGGACGTGTGGAACTTTCCCTATCGTTCCAGCAAAGAACGGCAGACAGCGGTCGATCATGCCATTCAGGCGTATGATAGAATGCGAGTAGACAAACGGGACAATCTGTGGCAGCTCCTGTTACCTCCTGAGGAACGGGGGAAAGGCAAGGTTCTCTCGAAGCTCAACTTCGACAAGCAGATCCCCCCCAAGCCTGACCGTCAAGGTGACGATGGCAACGACGGCAAGACCGAGATGTCCGAGCGAGATCAAGTCAAGTCAAAGCCCAAGAAGGATCTTGTGGGAGGGCAGAAGAAGCTCAAAGATAAAGCTGCGGGTTCAAAGACGCCGGCGAAGGTGGAAGCAGGAGGGACACCTCGACCAGGAAAAGAGGCTTCGCAACCCCAGAGCAAGCCAGCAAAGCAAGAGGCCAAATTCAAGTCCTCCGAACGCATAGAGGACTCAGACGAAGAAGCCAATGCTGTCGAGGTTGCCAAGCCGACCTCACCGGTGTCGAGAACAGGCGCCGGCGTGCACAAAAAACCCGAGCATGGTCATGCCAGATCAACGGACTCGACACAGACAGTGTCCCCTCCTAAAAAGGTATCCCATAAGACCTCGTTTTCAAATTCATCCTCAAGCAGCAGCAGCGGGAACGAGAAGTCACGGCCTGCTACATTGACATCCGCAAAGTCGTTGAAACCTCAGCAGAAGACGGAGAGCACGGCGTCGCGCATCTCACCAAGACCGCGTCACGACAGTTCGCCACAGAAACCTTCTCCTTTGGGCTCCTCACCTCCTACCACGTCTACTGACCTTGACAACTCCGTTTCCAGTAAAGCTTCAAATCATTCGTCTGCTCCTTCATCTCCACCTTCTAGTACGGATATGCCGCAGGCAAAACGAGTTGCAGGAAACAAATACTCCCCGGTCATTGCTGACAAAGCTCGCAATGTGCCGGTTGCGACGAGTTCAGACCGAAGTCCTGCCAAACGTAAAGCAGCTCCTGCTGAAGATGAGCGTCCCGCAAAGAGGCAGCAGCCGAATCCAACTCATTTGACGCCACTTTCCAATGGTGCAGCTGAACATCTGAAACGACCGCGGCCAGTCAGAACAGACTCGGAACGCTCTTCCTCACCCGAGAAGCCGGGACCGAATCGGCAGGATGTGATAGACGAAGCCAGGCGCTTCCAGAAGTACTACAAGCGATACAAGGATCTGTATGATAAGATTTCCCAGACGGACGAAAAGGAGCGTGACGATAAGGACATGGATGACCTGTGGAGGATGCACAAACGGTTGAAGGAGATGAAGGCGGAAATCTGGGATAACTGGGACAAGATTGAGAAGGTCGACAAGGCACGAGAGATGGTGGCAGTATGAGATGACCCCCAAAGGGACCAAGATTGAAGGGACGACGGCGAGGTGCACGCAGCATTCTTGTGAGTGTTCTACGTATTTACGGCCCTTGCTATGACTCAATAGATGAGCCGGAAATGAGATGCAGCTACAAACCTGAACTTGCCGTCACTTTCTTCCCACAGTTGATCCCAGTGTTGAGATGGGACTATTGTCGTGTGGGAGCTCGCCGTGTTTGATACTGGACTGCATCGTCGACTTTCAGCCGTTGTTTGCCATGCGCTCTCCCCCCCACGATAGTCAGGATACGTTCGTCACCTGGACAATCAGATGTTCTTCGATCCATTGTTGCTAACACATCGGCGAAGCATACCCAAGGTGAATATAAGCGGCGCCTGCGGTGTTTTATTGCACCGAGTCTTCCAACGCAGGCGCGCTGAGTGTTGGTAGGTTGAAACACAACGACGAGCCAGAAGGCGCAACCTCACTTCCACCTCATTCAACTACTCATCTTCACAACCACTCGCGCTCCACGTCCCATGCCCTCGACCACAGTTTCAACCAGACGCCAACCTCCATTTTGGTAAAGCATCTCTTCCCTGACAAGGCTGAAGCAATGGCACGGAACAAACATCGAGATTCAGGTCGACGGTACGCAAGTGCTAGTCCTCAGAGAGCCCCGCGGCCGCCGCCGACTGTCATCGATCTCACTCAAAGTGACCCCTGGGCTGATCGCTCCACCGCTCGAGCAGTCAAACCTAACCCCCTCTCACCAGCTTTCGGTGGCAGGGCAAGCACAGTTGCCGTTCCCGAAGACCCCAAGTCCACCCCGGCCTATCTATTTCAGCAACTTGCCTTAGCCAGGAACCGCGCCAGTGTTCGACCGTCATTTTCGAGCAGACTGCCAACTAATGGAATGGATGGGCAGGGTGGCGAAAATGAAGACGAAGCAGACGAGACACCTACTCCGGATCAGAAGGAAGTGAAGGAGAAGCGGAAGAAAAAATCCAAAAACAAGAAGGAAAAGCAGGAGCTTGAAGAAGCAAAGGCCAACAAGAAGCAGGATGGCAAGAAGGAGAACAACAAGTCGGAGGATGTCAAGGACAAGAGATCCAAACAGGCTAATGAGAAATCTAAGGATGATGTGGAAACACCGGTGGGAAGCAAGAAGAAGTCCAAGAAAGTCAAACAGGAACCCATTGATCCAGAGCCAGGTATGTCGAACATATGAACTGATCCGGTTCGTTCAACCGTGCACGGGATAACCTGATTCAATCTAGTATCGACACTGTCTCGGAAGCGAAAGCGTGGAAAAGACGACGAAAGCTCTTCTCAGAAGGTTGGCGAGGTCGAAGCCGACGCTGTCAACAAACTCCGTGACAGTCTTCCCACCGTGCGCGTCTCGCGAGTGGCCAGAGACCTCCAGAGAGAGACTGGTAGCGACCCTACTGATATCGCCATTGTAGCCACTGCTGCCAGAGAAACCATCATCGACCTTGCCAGGCAGCAGTTGGAGCAAACTGAGCAATCATATCACCTCGTCCAGACGGAGTTGTTGAGAATGTTGAGGCAGCAGAATAAGAGATTGGAGAGACTGGAAGGGAAGAGAGCAGAAGACTCTTCAGACGAAGAGGGTGCCGATACGATCGACCGACCGACTCCACGCGAAGCATGTGCCCCAAGTTGAGGTCTAGGCGTCGAACTGAAGGTCACAAAATCAAATCGGATCAGGCAGCTTCGAGAAGACGCGCTACGTTCTGGCTTGGAACGGTTTGTGTCAGCTTGCTTGTCCATTTGAGGTGTCCTCCTCCTTCTGTGGAGGCGGGAGGAGAATGAATCCCCGCAGAGGCCACTAAGACACTCACTCGATTGGTATGAAGAAGGCTCGTGTCAGGCGATACAAGATTATGAACTTCTGACTGTATGGCAATCTGCCGGACGAGACCCCTTGTGAGATGGTCCTTTTAATGGCAGACAAAGCAAAGGGCAGTCGAGGGTCGTCTCTCTCGGGATACCCTGTTGGGAAATGGCAAAAGCACTTGGGATTTCTTAATCCAGCAATTCTAAAGAGCCGAAGCAATGTCTTTGAGACGATCAAGACACTAAAGTCATATCAGCCTCCACAGACCATCTCCAACTCTCCCCATATTCCCCTATATTGTCTTCCCCATGATGCGAATGCGACATCCAGTGCGAAGGAGGATTCTCCTGATGCCTTTCAAGTTGCGTTTGTGGCATCCCATTCAGTCCAGTCAGAGTATGAACTCTCGGGACTGGAGCTCTCAACCCCCTCTTGACAAGGCTCTAACAGCCGGCTGGATTCTACACCCCATGTCCTTGTAGGAAACAGGCGATGATCATGCATGTTCGGCATTCACCGTTACCGAAGCTTTACAATCGTCGCGGTGGACTGAACTCACTAGATTGAGTATAGACATTGCTTTTCGGCCATCCTTATTGAATGTTTGAGTATCACTATACCCTCCTCCCCTTTCTGACTTGCTTTGCTTCAGCACTCCACCAGGCCACAGCGACAGCTACGACAAGGACCAGTTGGCACTCCAGATCTTGCCGCCCAGAACGGGCTCCAACCCACCAATGAACAAAGTCATGCTAGTCGCATTGTAGGTACTATTGGCCACAGGCTGCCCGTTGATCCGAACGAGATTATCCGGCGGAGCACGAGGGACTCCCATGATGGTGATGTTCGCCAACGGCAGATCCAAGCCCGTATAGTTCCCGTGGACGGTGACGTTCAAAGACCCCATTTCGGCAGCGAAGGTGACGATTTTCGTGGCATTGGGCGCCAACGACTCTCCGTCATCGAGGTACAGTGACCCCGAAGCTGTACCGTCGACGCCGGGCGCCACGATCAGCGACCAGCTTGTGTTGCGCGCCGCGCGGGTGGTCATCGCCATCTGCTGTGTGGCCAGCACGGCTCCGCCGCGGATGTAGACCGGTAGATGGCCCAGCGGGGCCGCAATGGTGGTGTTCTTGGTGGAAGGCACGCTGACGGGTGTCTGGTTGTACCAGTCATAATAGACGTCTGTGCCCTCGACAAGCCCGGGGAACACGCCGTCCACGGTCGTTGCGCCCTGCGTGAGTACTGGAGTGACGAGGATCGATGGGCCCAAAACGAACTGCCGGTCTGCGTCCGCGAGAGATGGGTCGTTGGGGAATTCCCAGGCCAACGCACGCATCACGGTATCGCCTTGAGTATGGGCATTGTAGAACAAGGTGTACAAATATGGCAGGAGCTGGAAGCGGACGTTCATGGCGGCCTTGGTCGCGTCAATCACGCTGCTCCAGACGTATGCTTCTTGAGGATTTGCCGAGAGTGTGTTGTGATTGCGGTAGAAGGGGAACAGCGCGCTCAACTGCATCCACCGGTTGCACAACTCCTCGTCACTGTTGCCGTTGAAGCCGCACGTGTCGACGCCGAACATGGGGATGCCAAAGAGAGAAAAGCTCAGCGCCTGTGGGATGGAGAAGTACATGTAGTAGAACTTGGCCGAGTTGTCGCCGCCCCAGTGACCTGCCAAGGTGCCGGAGCTCGGGAATGTTGAGCGGCCAATTATGAATGGCCTCTTGCCGGGGATTGCTGCCAACAAGGCAGCATAGGTGGCTTGCAGAATCTGATGCCCCCAGATGTTGTGCACATCGTATTCTAGGATCCCGTTGTGGTGAGTTGCATTCGGGGAGACGGCATGGACGGCAAGGTCTCCTTGCACGTTGTTGATCACGTAGGGTGGGTGGTTGACATTGCGTTGGCTTGGTGTAGGTGTGGTCCGGAGGTAACTGGTCGACGACGACGAGGTCAATACACTGGCTGTTGTGCTCGAGGCGGTGACTGTAGCCTCTGCCTGGGACTGCGATGCCGATGAAGCCGAAGCCGCTTCGGTTGCATTGGTAAGGTTGAACCCCTCTGGGTAGTCATAGATCACATTGCCTGGCTCTCCAGGAAGAGCGAACGGCGGATGGACCGGATTCAAAGAGAGGTTTCCACTGCCACAGCTGCCCACACAGAAAGACGAGACTTCGTTCATGTCGATCCAAGCACCATCAAAGGGCAATTTCTGATGCCAGGTTACCATTTCATTCTTCCACCACGCGTGGGCCGCCGTGGTCAGCCAATCTGGAAAGACGGTGAAACCAGGCCATACGGCGCCAATGTAGAGGGATCCATCGGGGTTGAGCAGGAACGAGCCAGTCTCATTCCCATCATTGAACGTTTGATATGCGTCGCTGGCATTGTCCGGACTCGGAACGTAGATTGCACTATCAATGATAGGAATGTAATGCTGGCCCCTGTCGTGCAGGCGTTGGAGGAAGGCTGTTCCAGCCGAATAATTGAACCGGATCGGGTCATTGTCAAAGTCGCGGTATTGATTCATGTAGTCGATATCATTCCAGATGACCTCGAGTGGTATACCAAATCGCTCGTAGTTGTTGACCACGTCCTCCGTGACAGACCAGTTCTGATAACCCCAGCGACATTGGTGGAAGCCGAAGCCCCAGTAGCTCTGCAAGGCTGGCATGCCGATCACGTCAAGGTATTGATGGGTCACGTCAGGCTGTGTGGGTCCGGAGAAGAAGTACAGATCGATGCTACCTCCCAGCGTCCTCCAGGTGACGTTTGTGGGACGCATCAAAACCTCCATTCCGTGTGCATTCCGGAAGTAAACTCCATGAGTCGAGGACGTGTAGTTGCCCGTTGCATTGCTGGGGTCAAGCTGCTCGGTCACCAGAGTGGTGCTGTTGTCGTCCCCAACCTCAAAATACCTGGTTTGCAGATAGAAAGGGTGACTGCCATATAAGTTGTAATCTATCGGGTCTCCCACGTCTGCAGCGTAGATGGTGCGAGTAAGATTGTTGCCCAGTCTCAAGCCGTGAATGACTTCCCCTAATCCGTAAAGGTTGTAGTTCTCCTCTTGATGCGTGACCAGCTCAATGAATTGGTTCTCAAACACCAACTTGGTCCCGCTGGTCGAGAAGAGAACTTCGCCGGTACTGTTCCGAGTGACGTTGAAACCAAATCCGCTGCCAGGAGTATTGGCCCATGAGAACGTCAGATCGCTTGTCGTCGTCTGGCCACTCTCTTGGCTGGGAGCCGGGACATACTCTGTGGAGAGAAGATACCAGCTCTCATTTTGCGCTGTGACATGAGATGGCCGAATATTGATGTGCAGTCGGGAATTGGTTTGGTACTCAACCCTTAGATCCAGGTCCTGCACATCTGTTCCAAACACATTGCAAGCGGTGCCAGCCAATGTCAAACGCGCAGTCAACCCCGAGGATGATGTCCTCACGCTACTCGCTGAATATCCAGGACATTTCACCTGAGCATCTGGAGCAGTCGGGTCGTTCACAGTGGGCAGAAGTGGAGCCCCTTCATCAACACTGGCTGGAAGTGTGAATTGGGATGCAAAAGCTGTCGTCGACGAGGCTGGAGAGGCAGTAGTGGATGATTGAGCTATGGCAAGACATGGAGCTAAAAGGAGACTCGACAAGAAGGCAGAGGACACCACCATCTTGCTAGGTGAGCCGGAGCAGTCTTGCTGGACAGAAGGAAAGATCTCTTGGACCGAGGACTCGAGCCTGCAGAGACGGCAGTGAGCAATCAGCTGGAGACGAAGCAGTTGGACGATGAGGTTCTTTCATAGACGCATCATTGTAACGCGGAAGACCCCAGGAACAGGATGGGAGGAGCCATATGTATTTAAGCTGCAATACGCAGTACTTCTCGGACTCACCATGCAGACGGCATCAGACTTTTGCGGAGTGAGTACGTCGCCAGCAGAAAGAGCACGATGCAACAGACGGTGCTGCAAGCTGCCCGCAGTCTGCGGGCTTTGACCTCTCTGAACGTCATCGCCGATGAGCTTGCCAGCTCTTCTATTGCAACCTTCTGGAAGACGATTCAAGGGACCGAGCCAGTTGGAGCTGCAGATGGATCAATCACACCCTGAAGTAGAAGTCCCGGAGCTGCTCGTTAAGGTTGAGGCCGACGATGGACAATTGACGGCGGATCTTCCATGTCAACCCCAGATGGAGTACCAGGATCCGACAGGGTTCATGGTAGGATGGCGGACGACCTTGTGGGACAAGACATGGAGGAGATGCGGATGGTGATGAGAGAACGCGGAGAAAATGTCGGGGGTTGAGAGCGAGAGTGAGTTTCAGTGTGATGTTCGTGTTGAGAAGTTGTTTGGACGCAGGCTGGATGTGGATCCATTTGCGGGGGAGACAAGGAGCTTCAATGCCACCACTTTCGTCTGTGCGTATACAGTACCCAAGGACAAAGGCAGATCATGCCCTTGTACATGCCTATCAGCTCACCAGGCGAGGGATAGGGAGGACAATTTCTACTCTGTTTATACGGCGAGATATGCCCAGCAGACCAGAGATATCCCCTCTTATTCCTCCCGTTGTGTCTGCCCTGCGACATCGAACGAAGCTCTTCAAGTTCGTGATACAAGCTCGCTCCCTTCTCCTTGATTCAGCTCAACACACGATCTACAAAGTCGGCAACACAAGCTTGGACTCTCCCTGCAACATGAAACTACGCATTGGCTGGCAGACTAGGTAGTTGGAGACAATCTCTTTGGCACGACGAAGAGGGTAATTCACCGAGAGATATACCGAGCAGCCAGCGTCCTAGGAATCTGTCAATACCATCACTAATAGTGTCTCAGCAGCAGTCACCGACCCCTTGAGCTCGGACACGGGCAAATCATGCTCTTGTTCTTCTCATACAAATGCTATGTAAGGGTATCCCACGCGGTCTTTCACAACGCAGCCTCGTAACCAGTGCTCAATGTCCTTCCTCTCGGCAGCAATAAACACAACGCCGGCAATGACTCGATCCCACTCCGACAACCGGTCATTCAATCCTCGTCCGCCCTAGTTCCTCGGGAGAATAGAAATTGCTGAGTATACTGGTGGACCAAAATCCCCCGGTTCCAGCACAAGGAGAAGAGGCGAAGTCGCGCCAACATCTAATCATTACAAGAAACCCCCATATTGACCGGGCGCTCGATCCAGGGCAAACGTCTCCAGTCGATCGGCTTGTCGCCCACAAGAATCAAAGGCAGTCTCTTTCACCAATACTCACGCATCTCCAGGAGCACGTCGACGACGGAAGAAGTCCTGTACCTTCTTCACCGCTCCAGAACGCCCGCTGTGATGAGTAGGTCCGTGATCGCGATCGTAAGCATCAGCAAACCTTCGGTTGTTCTTCACCAGCACTACCCTCCCTTGTCGTCCCTGCTGCATCGACGCCCGGCCGGGAGCTTCCGCCATTTCCGGATACTGGCCCATCATACGAGACAGGGGCTCACTCTGTTGACGGTGGTGGGCGCGTCCTTGGCCTGGAGGCGAATATACCCCGGTTCCTCCATACACGTCTTGCGAAGGCTGTGGATTCACACCTCTCTGAGGTTGATACACTGACTGAGGTGGCCGAGAATAATTGTTGTACGCTACTGGTCTCGATCCATCTTGCTGGCCGTCCGTGTTGGTCACCTGCGGACCCGTGTACTCTTGGCCGGTTGTCGGGCGGCTGGAGGAGGGTTGGCCGTATGAATCGCCTTGGGGAGTACCGGGTGTCACGGTCGGTTCGTCCTTTGAACCACCCATCAGGCCCTTGAAAGAAAGCGAGTTAGGAAGAAGTGAAAATCGTCGTACCGGCTTTTCCGTCTGCCCATGGTTCTCCAAATCCGTACTTCTTTTCTTTCCAAGTCCAAATGAGAACGATCGCTTGGAATCTGTGGACATGCGCGGTTGCGTCTCGGGGGGATATTCTCTCATACTCGTAGGAGGATATTTGCGACCATTCTTTTGTCGCTCGGCATCTTTCTTCACCACCGAGTTTGATCTGCCGAACAGTCGCTCTCCCAGTCCGCTCAGGGTGCTCGATCGTCTGTGATGATTGGCTTTCTGCGAGACCGGTGGGCTCGGCTGCGGCATCGGCGTCGTCATTGGTTGGCCTATCGAGTTTTGTGCTCCTGTCTGAGGAAGAGGGCCAGAAATGTTGTACCCTCGGACGGGCTTCGTAGGCTGTGTGACACGACCCTGCACGTTAGTTGCCGCAACGGTAGGCGCCACGGGCTGGCCGTAGGATCCGCGAGATGGCAAGCGAAGATCGGACCGGGTGGTAGGACCGCTGGCAGATGTCATGGATCCTTGCGTGCTTGGTCTGGTCACGTATTGACCTCCTTGCGTTATAGGGGGGCTTGCACCAAAAGCGCTCGTGGAATCGGAGACGGATCTTGGAATGTCGCGAGCAGGTCGGACCGGCGGTGACATCTTTTCGTGCGCGGATGCCTGTCGTCTCTGCGCACTTTCGAGTGGCGGATCTTGGGGTAAGGCTTTAGACAGAGACGACGGCTGCGTGGAGGCAAGTGCAGATGCCTCGTCCGCCCGCGCGTTGCTCGTCGCCGGAGCCACACCCGCAGAGCCTTGCACACGAGCCGTATGTGTCTGAGGCGGTACATACTCTGGCTGTAGAGTATGTCGAGCAGTTCGATCGCGACGAGACCCAGTGGAGACCTCTTCGATGTCCTGCGGCAGTCCTTCGGGAGTACGGCCAAGGGCACCGGGGGATGCCCCAGTTCTGGATGGGCCTTCCCGCACAGATGCGCTCCGATTCAGTGCAGGTGGCTCGTCTTCTACGTGGAGTCAGTGGAGTTCTCGTGAAGCATCCGTGATTGACTTACCAGCTGGAACAGTGGTGTGTGCAATATCGGCGACGTTCGTAGTACTGCTGGTGATATGTGACACCACGTGATGGAACTCACTTAACCAGCTGTGACGAGCAACCTCAAACAAGTCGGCTCGCTTTCGAGGATCTGGGACAAGAATCCGACGTAGAAGATCTCTTGCATGAGGTGTGACATACTCCGGAAAGGTCAATGGCGTGGTCGTAATGTACTTGTAGAGGAGATTGATGTTATCACCCTCGGGGTTGGCAGGGTCATCATCAAAGGGGAGGTAACCGGCCAACATGGCATACTGGGACGAAATCAGCAAACCAAACCAGATCTGATCCTCACTGGACTTACCAGAATAACGCCGCAACTCCAGACATCCACCTTTCTACCCGTATACAGGGAATCGCTCACGACCAATTCTGGAGCTGCGTAACAAGGACTCCCGCAGCTGGTCTGCATCAAGTCGCCTCGCCGCATTCCACGCGCGTCCAGTCGATCCAGTTTGAATTTCCGTACAAACTCCCTGTTGCCGAGGTTGTATTCAATCTCATCCGAAAGCTCGTCCTTCGGATCGAAGGTATTGGCAAAGCCGAAATCCGTGATGATGATGTTTCGGTTTTGGTCCAAAAGCAGGTTTTCCAATTTCAGATCTCGGTGGACAATGCCTTTCTTGTGCAAGTACCCTACGCCTGAGACAAGTTGGGCGAACAATCTTCTGGCCGCGGGGTCTTTGAGATATCGGTGGTTCAGAATGTAGTCGAAAAGCTCGCCACCAGACGCGTATTCCAGGATGATGCCAATATGTCGTTCGGTCTCCACCATCTCGTGAAGTCGGACGATGTTGGGGTGTGCCAAATCACGTAGGATGGAAATTTCGCGGTATATTTTGGGGAGCCGCGTCGGGTTGGAAGCGACCGTTTCCCTTCTAATGAGTTTGATGGCAACTTGAGTGCTTCCATCCTTCTTCCACCCTAACTTGACTTTCCCAAACTCGCCTTCGCCTAGAGTCTGTCCGAGCATGTAGTCACCAAACTGGACCTCCTTCCTTCGAGCTTTGGAATAGTCCTGTCGGCGCGCGGGGCCGGGGGCAGGGAGCACATCGTCGGATGTTTCATCGGCTTTGGCAGAGTCTGCGCCAATTGGATCAGGTCGGGCTTCTTCGACTCTTTCTTTTAGTCGTTCGGCGTCAACTTGGGGATCCGACACCACGAGGCGATTGATCACCTCGCTGTACTCGCGCACCAGTGGTGCAGGTGCTGTGGGAGGGAGCATGGTAGCTTCGGAGCGACTTTGAGAAGGAGAGGTATGCTGACTTCTTTCTCTTGTGCTTGCGGCTCGATGCGGGCCATCAGGGCTGGAGGGCCCTTTTCTTCGGCTACGTGCAGCAGCTGCAGCAGCTGTAGCTGTATCATCCCGCGGCCTATCTCGCGGCTCCTCATTGTAATCTCCGACGCGATTCTGAACTCGACCGACCCGTGACTCCGAAGGAGCCTGCCTTGCCTGTCTCGTTGTCGCACCTCTCGTATCTGGATTGCGAGACGAATTGTGGTACTGCGAGGAAGTCCTAGGAGGTGGTATGGGTGGGCCATCGTATTGATCATGTGCCGCGGATTGATTTCGGAAGTGATAAGGAAGGACTGTACTTTGCGCATTGTATGGGGAGGTAATGATGGGAGGGTCTTGTGCTTGAGTGTCATATCTCGAGTCCTCACTCGTATGGTGTGTAGGATAGTACTAGCGAAGGGCACAATTAGCATTTATCTGGCAAGGGCGATGGTAGGTTTGTTCTGCAACTCACAGGTTGATCATGGTAATAGCCCTCTACCTCTGGATCCTGTTGATCATCGTACTGACCATCGCCGGGCGATGGATATGTAGAAGTAGTTGTCAACTGATGGTATTGTCCAGGAGCCTGCATCGTGTCCATGGACATCTTGACTCTTGCCTCGAACTGTGGCCTCGTCCACAAACCGCTGATTGATGAGGACTTCGACAATCCGTTGAACGCGTTCTAACCACACTGGGGTCTGGTCAGGCGTGCTGGTTCTCTCCAAACTGACGTTAGGGTACTGCTTTACATGATATGTTAGTGTCAGAGGTCGAATGGTGCAGATCCCGCATGCCACTCACAGAAACCTATTATCACCTTCATCCAGTGATACGAATTCTTTCCGGTTAGGCACGGTGACCGATCATAAGTGAGCGGAACCACCAGGCAGCGTCGTAGAAGGGGCGGGGGGTGTTGTTGTGGTGAGATGAAGCGGATTGTTGTCTTCACTTGAGGTGCTGCTGAGAGCGAGCTGCCCTTGGTGTCTTGCAGTCAGGACTATGGCAGACGCCGAACCCGCGCCGTCTGCACAAAATGCCTGGCAAGGCTTTGATGGTATGGAAAGGCGAGTCCAACCATCAACAAACACGATTGAAGATGTGGTGTTCCGACGCGGATAGGAGATTCGCGGGCATCGCGGTTCAAGGTCGACGTTCCAGGTTGAGTCCGGAGAAGGGGAAGGATCGTAGGCGTCGCGCGTTGAGGATGGGATAGGACTGTGTTCACTGGCCGGCAGAGTGATCAGGACGATTCGGGAGAGATGATGTGGCAGTGAAGCGAGGTAAAGGTATTCGGGTACGTAGGTAGGGCTTGAATTATGGCAAAGGTGTCTCTGTCTGTCTGTGTTTGCTTGTGTCGGTGAGAGCGCAGTTGCTTTCGCTACCAAACGCGGGCAAATTAGACTTCACCTCCCAGAGAGTGTAGGCTTGACTACTGGGGTTTTTGGGGGCCTGGCAGGCTCTAGAGCCACAATTGCTTCCCAGTAGTAGTAATCGAAACAGCCACAACCTGGTCTAAAGCCACAGTAAGCCGACTGCTTTGACGACTCTCGTTACTATCGACTCCTGGTCTGTAGGTACCAGATGATTGCAGCTATCCTACGAACCTGGCTTGCTTCCAGACCTTCAAGTCTACCTTTGGTACACACAGTACGGACTACTCCAACGGATACACGCCAACACGGTCGATTCTCCATGGTGGAGATACCTAGGTCTTGAATGCTAAGCTGCGCACCCACCCGACCTACCTACCAGGTACCTACCTACGTACTACTGTTGTGATGATGCGCTGTCAGTTCGCGCCTACCGCTGCCCACCGCGCCATGATTGCTCCATGCGCAGAATCTAAAAGGGGCGCCTCTCCACTCCCGCGCTCATCATGCGACAATGGGTAAGACCATGAGGATCAACACCAGCATCACCTGCCACGATATAACGCTCTCGGGCCCTTCCTACCTAGATGCAAGAACATCAGAACTGTGCCGGCGGCCGGTGGTTCATCAAGTCAAGAGATAAGGTATCGATGTGGTCACCGTACTAGGACCTTAGGTAGATGGGATGGTGGAATTGGATTGCAAGCCACCATTGCTACCCGGAGCGCGCCAACGCAGTCTGTCTTCCTCGACCTATACCTAGAGGTGCCTACATGTACATATGTACCTAAAGTGCCCAGTCCTGCTACGCCGCTTTAAAATAAAATCCGTCCAGGCCGTTCAACCACAGCAACAGGAGATAGTGTATAGACTACCTAGGTACGTTATTGGCTTTGAACCAGGGATAAAATAAATGCTGAAAGAGCATCACGTTGACCTCGAATACAGCTAAGCGAGATTTCCATTTTGTTTATCACTGACACCACTTGCAGCTAACATTGGAGGGCGAAAGACGCGACACTACCACTTGGCGTGGAGCTTGCTCCAATTCTAAGGTAGCTGCGGGCACGCATACACCTTTGATTCACCAACGTTGCTAGTTAAAACCCTCCTGTGAGCTTCAGTTCCGCTGTCAAAAGCCGACAGCGATAGCGATGACGGCTGCCCGAGACAATCAAAGAAGTCAAGGCTTGCTACCGGGACCGTTGAATCTGGGGTCCAGAACGCGACGACCACCTACCTACCTGCCTGCCTGCCTACACGTTCCTGCGTCCCATATGAGCGATATCACCCGCTGCCCGCTTTGACTCTCCGCTACTACTAGCGCTGGAATGCGCAAGGATCGTGTCAGTTGAATGGAGCACTGACAGCAGACCTATATGATCGACGCATGTGAAATTCTTCGCCAAACACATCCATTATAACTTCATACCTCGCTACGTTCTGGGTCAGGGTATGTCGCGGCTCGACTTGGAGCGGAGCGTTCTCTGGAAAGACTTGCGCAAAATCATGCTCAGGATTCCTCCTATACAAGTGACAACCGAGAAGGGAAAAAGCCTTCAAGGCACTGGGCGGTGTCAACGGACGGTTTCAGCCACACGCGCCGGCAAAATGTCATGCAGACAAGCTTGCATCGAACCCTTGTAGGTTCGGCCAAAGTACGTAGGTATTATTTTATCATCATCCTCATAGAGAGCGCACCCCGGCAGCTGTGGGTTGGTCATGGGACTTGTATTGCTGCTTGCACATTTTCTGCCCTCGGAATGTAGAACTCGAGTGTTATCCACTGTATGCAATTCTAGGGGTAGCAATCCGGCTTCATTTCATACATTCGTAAGTTGACTCGTTTCAGGAAGCACCTGGTACCTAATGACCAGTCTTCGGCATTCATCGCTTCTCTCGCACGTTCTGCCCCTGCAAGGTCGAGCCCAGCGGTTCTCCAACCCCGGAAGAATATGCCGGCGGTCTATTCGCAGCATTGCCATAGTTCTCGATTCCATAGCCTGGCTGACTAACGCCAGCCTGTGATGCCCCTCCGTACACCACGTCGGCAGGACTATATTTGTCGGATTTGCGGTCTGAAGGCAGGGAATCAGCCGGCACAACTCCTCCATCGCCCGCGCCGACCACCAATTGTTGTCCATTCGGCATTTTGCCAACCACCATGCCCTTAGCCACGGATTTGATGACCGCCCTTCTTGACACTCCCATTGCGTCGATGTAGACAAGGCCGACGTTCTTCACGCCCCCCGCCAATCCTTGCACCACAGTCCCGGCCTCCTCGCCATACTTGTGGCCGACCACGTTGGTCGCGGCGACGGAGCCGGAAGCCAAAAGGTTGCGGCCTGCCTGGTCAATACCATCAGCAATAGTCGAGAAGGCAATCATGGATTTGTTGAGGATGCCAGGCTTGTAATCTTTGCCTGGTTCCCTCTTGTTCTTTTCGCCTTTGCGTGCCAAACTCGCACCGAAATTTTGTGCATATCGTCCCAATTGACCGACAGTTTTGGTGCTGATACCTACAGCCCCTTGGGTGAAAGAATGAATCTGTCTGATTCGCGCATGGGTCGCAGGCGAAAAGGTCATAGGCTTGGGACTTGGCTGCGTTTTCCGCTGGTATGACTCGGCACCAGATGACATTGCATTCGCGAGATAGTTGGAGCTCGTCACGATCAGTCGGGAGGCGGTCGCGGATGATTGCACAATGGTGGACTTGGCATATGCTGGATGTCTTGCCATCTGAAGGTATTCATCCGAGACATTGTCGATCCGGATCTGATTGCCTTGGCCTTCGGCAGGCAATTGAATCTGTACGGGGGCTAGAGAGAGAGATGTCAGCGAGAACTGGAGATCTGGGACAAAGGACTTCGGACGTACTCTTGGATCCAGGTTTCACTGATGGAGCTTCAACCACATCGTAATCGTTCTGCAGCTCTCCAACAACGCTGCCATTCTCTTCATCAATCAGAACAATTTGACCATGATGCGGTTCATTGTTTGTCACGCCAGCAGGACTGATGTACCCCTCCCCCGGACGATATGTGCTGGGGTCATATCGTCCCCAGTCTTGAGCATGGGCCGGAGCTCGTTCTAGAAACGCCGTACATTGAGCGAGGATTGTTTCAAATGTATCAACCTCTTCCTGAGTAACTTTCCCGGGGCCACGGCCCATCGAAGGAAACTGGATGCGGATGAATGCACCAGCGTCGGGTCCCAAGTCCCAGCGCGGTATCAAATAGCTGCTCGGAGGCTTGAAGTAGACCTGGGTAGTCGCAGGCAACGGTACGTCGAGTTCGGGAGGCAGGTGAAGGTGCAGATAGAAATCCTCCTCGGGCGCTGAGCTGGTTGGTTCTGTGGCCGATAGATCTGCGAACGGTGATGCTGTTGGCACCATCAACAGCGAAAGGGTTTGGGGGGAGTTGGTGATAGGATGCTCCTCGCCATTCTGTACAGAGAAGGCCGAGATATTGTTCACACTATACAGAACCTGAGGTTCAGAATGCCCAGCGGACATGATGCCTGCGGACTGTGGTGGCAGTAGTAGTGAGTTGTGCTCTGTATAAGATGGGGGGGATTCTTGGTCTCAACTTCACATGAAAGAGTTTATGGAGCATACAGGCCTATTGGGAATGCAAAAGTCGGCAAGTGTTGACCTGGCGTCCATCTCAACTTCTTATTATTATAAGAGACTCGAATCCAGCGATCATGCTGAGGCTGGGCATTGTTAGACGCCCGCTTGAAACAAGCTCGTTCGCCCAGAGAATGCAGGATTTTGGTCTGTCGTCACAAAACAGTGCAGCTGCAGCTGGCTACATGGCACTGTGGCAGTGCTGCGCCACGCCAATTGCATGCCCAGGACGCCACATCGCAGTAACACCAGCCACAGCCAGGCTGTGCATGTGAGGATCGGAAAGCATGTGCTGTTAGTAGAGTAGAAGAGCTTCCAGGTAGTAGCATTGTTCACTCATGGTTTAGAACTACAGTATCTGTGTGTACACCTTCGAATAATTGCGTACTAGATGCTTCAAGTTCGTCATTATTTCTCCAGGTCCAACTTGGAGGGGCGTGGAGGCCCGATGGTCCAATCATGGGTGCCAGGTGCCCGCCCATAGAGCGCGTATCCGCCTATCATCAAGGCTCCTAAGGCCTGATGAGCCCAAAGAATCCCTCGAGCTGCCCTCTGCAGTCTGGGGACGATAGTGGGATAGGGAGCTACTACGGGGCTTAGGGGGCCCCTAGGCTTAGTAAGAAGGGTTTCCTAGCCCGGAGTCGCTTCCGAATCAAACCCGGGGCGGCCTGAAGCCGTGGTTAACCGTGAGCCGAGGATATTCACAAGAACAGGCCCCAAGAAGCTCGTGCAATCGACGCCCATTACAGAGTACAATACCGCCGCATGGCGCGCAGCAAACAATAAATCCGGTCCAAGGGCGCATACACATACCACACCTCATGAACTTCATCGGGCCACTGTTTGCACGCCTCGTTCAACGTGACGCCCATCCCGTGAATCTTAAACACGATGGCTTCTATACGAGTCCTCCGGCCACTGGCCAAAGCCGCCTGCAAGACGTCCCTGGCTCCCACACGCAGTGCCTTGCCTAGAAGTAGCCTCTCTTCGTATGCCTCCCTTACCATAAACACATGGCTTGAGACTGACATATTACCAGTCCACGCACCTTTGTCACGACGTGCAGACGGCGCAACCCCGAGCCATACATGCCCGACGATGTAGACACCGCGTCTCTCACCCCGACTCCCATTACATATTTCTCCGAGACCGAGGTCATGTTAGCAGAGTCTGTATCCAGATGGGCTAACGAAGAGGTGGGTCCCAAGGTGCGAGAAATGGACGAGGCGGAAACCATGGACCCGGCGATCGTCGAGCAAATGTTCGAACAAGGTCTGATGGGATTTGAGATCCCCGAAGAATACGGTGGCGCCGGGATGAATTTCACATCCGCCATTGTTGGCATTGAAGAGCTCGCCAGGGTCGATCCATCCGTATCGGTGCTGTGCGATGTTCACAATACATTGGTGGTGACCGCGATCCTCAAATACGGCACCGAGGCATCCAAGAAAAAATGGCTGCCCAAATTGGCTACAAACACAGTTGGCGCTTTCTGTCTGTCTGAGCCAGCGTCAGGCTCGGACGCCTTTGCGCTAAAGACCAAGGCTGTGAAGACAGCGGATGGTTACAAGGTGCGTCGCTTTACCAATGCTCTGTCTTCTGTGTTCGCTAATACAGTGTAAAGATTAATGGTTCCAAAATGTGGATCACCAACTCCATGGAGGCGGACTTCTTCATCGTCTTCGCCAACCTCAATCCGGAGGCTGGCTACAAGGGTATCACCGCATTCGTGGTCACCAAGGACACCAAGGGCTTCAGCATTGCCAAGAAAGAGAAGAAGTTGGGCATTCGAGCCTCGAGCACCTGTGTGATCAACTTTGATGATGTCGAGATACCCAAGGAGAATCTTCTCGGCAAGGAAGGTGAAGGCTACAAGTACGCCATTGGGATCCTCAATGAAGGTCGGATAGGTATCGGAGCCCAGATGACCGGATTGGCGCTGGGTGCTTGGGAGAACGCGGCCAAATATGTGTGGAACGATCGAAAGCAGTTTGGCAAGCTGGTGGGTGAATTCCAGGGCATGCAACACCAGCTTGCGCAAGCATATACGGAGATCTGTGCGGCGCGCGGACTGGTGTACAACGCAGCCCGAAAGAAGGAAGCGGGTGAAGACTTTGTGGCGGATGCTGCCATGGCCAAATTGTATGCCAGTCAAGTGGCGGGCAAGGTCAGCAGTCTGGCTGTCGAATGGATGGGAGGCATGGGGTTTGTCCGGGAGGGCATTGCTGAGAAGATGTACCGAGACAGCAAGATCGGAGCCATCTATGAGGGAACGAGCAACATCCAGCTGACGACGATAGCAAAGGCGCTGCAGAAAAAGTACACCACATGAGGGATGTTTCGAGGGGGATAGGTAGTCATGATAGCAAGGCATGTGTGGTCTGTGGAACTGACCGTTGTAGTCTACCATCTTGATCAGCTGCATCTCTTGCTTACAAGAATGAGATGGCTGTCATGTATGGGATGGGATACAATGGCCATAGTATACTAGTATTTGTTGCAAGACACGAGTTTTGCATAGAGCGAGGCGGTAAGTTGACATGAATCCAATGGACGATGGCGGATGATAGTGTGACAAGGCTGTGAACAATTAATGGACGAGGCTGTACTAGTATTTCCCAGAACGGCAACCAACATCAATCACATCCAATCGACCCAGAAGTCATCCAACTGAATGCTCTACCATCCTTCCGCCGTTCATTGTTTTCCTGCTGTCCCATCCAGCAGCTACTTGCTGTACTGTTGGCCCGCTCTCCGTTCCTTCAAGTTCTCGAAGCTCAACAGAACCCCAACCTCCGAGCGCAAACGTGACATCTGACCACGTTTTCTAAGTCTTACCATGGATTTCGAATCGCCCGACCAGACAAAGGCCCTTCAGGCCTGTGTAGCATGTCGCAAGCAAAAACGACGATGTGACAAGGTGCTTCCCAGCTGTGGGTTGTGTGTGCGAATGTCTCGACCGTGCGACTACAGTGAGAGCAACCCGAGCCCCAACGCGGACGACTTTGCAGTGATGCGACAGAAGATTGCGGACCTGGAGGCTCGGCTTGAAGGACGACGGGCGGACTCCGGGTGGTACGAGCCCATGCGATCGGTCAGCAAGAGTCCGGCGACGAATTCCAGTTCCAACTCTGGCAGCGGAAACGAGAGCTCCAGCTTCGTGTCAGCGGCGTTTTTCCTCGACGCCGAAGTCTTCTCCCAGGCGAAATTGAGCATTCCGCGGCCGTCCCTGACGGTGCCTACGGATGTGATGGGCGCGCTGGGGACTTCGATCCGCGACGTGCACGATGTGGTCGATCGGTATTTCGCCAATATCCACACGTGGCTGCCCTTCGTCTCCAAGAAGCGGATGGAGTTGAAGCTGTCGAACCCTGCTCTCGACCTGGCCGCCGACTTCAGTCTCCTGCTTCTTGCCATGAAGCTGATCATTCAGGCTCCGGCGGGCGGGGCACACAGTGTTCGATCACCCCTGTACGCACTGACGAAACGATACTTCGCGTTGCTCGAATACAGCGGGTTCATCTCGTTACACACGTTACAGGCCGACATATTGATCGCAGCATACGAGATAGGCCACGCCATATACCCGGCGGCGTATCTGACCACCGGCCACTGTGCCAGACTGGGCCATGCGTTGGGTCTCAATGATCGCACACGTGCACCTCAGTATAGCTGGAAGAGAGCGAGTTCCTGGGCCGAGGCCGAGGAGGTGAAGCGGACGTGGTGGGCAACCATGCTGCTGGATCGGTATGACCCCGTATTCTAGTGTTGGGTTTTACAATGCTAATCTCTAGACCAGTTATGTCAACCTGGGCACTTGGGGCCACCCTTTGGCCACCGACGATCCCCATAGAAACGATGTGCTCCCCGCGGACGATGATATGTGGGATGAAGGAGAAGTCACCACCAGCGAACCTTTATACGTGTCGTCCCCGACCAATGTGAGAGCGGCGCCATTCGCGCGAACATGTCAGGCAACCCATCTGCTGGGCAGACTGATCCGCTTGATGAATGATCGACTCCTCGACTCCCCGTTGCGATTTACCGAAGCGATCCATCTGTTCCGCACGCTTCAAGCGTTGTCAAAGCTATTGGAGGATGATGTGCAACGGTCGCCCATGCGCTACGTGACCGCCCTGGCCTTGTGCTACGGAGCATTGTTGCATCTCTCGGATCCGTTTTCATGTACGGACACGAACCGAGGCGACCACACGGTGGAAGAGACGGAGATGCAGACTCTGGCCATTTCCGGGCTGAAGCCGACCGCTGCCGACATTCTGCAATTCAGCCAGCTCCTGATGTCGAGCATGCCGACAAGCACTGCTGGGATCAGTCCGTTGATCTGCGACAGTCTCTATGTCGCGGCATCCACCTACGCATGGCTTGCTCACGAGTCCGGGTTGAGAGAAATGGGCGAAGCTTATCACGCACTCAGAAGATCGTTGGAGACTATCAATTGCCGTTGGACCGCGGCGGGTTACTATATTGGTCTCCTCGATAAGGCGAAAGAAACCTCGTACCCGGACAACCCATTGCTGTGAGGAGGACTCATACTGTCATCCCATGCTGCTTCTTTGCAGCCTGCGACCTGGATGTGAGTGTATCAGCAGGCACCCCGCCACGACGATGGGCGCAAATTCCATACACCCAAAAAGACCTCGTGAGTCGACAGATACTATAACAACCCCTGAGCGGGTTCGGCCAGACGAAAACATGTTCTCAGATACACCGCCAGCAGACGGTGAAACCCCCCAGATCAACCGCGGCGAGAGCGGAGCATATTTTCGCACAACGACGTCGACCATGACGGACATGATGGTCTAGATGGCGGCCCAAAAGAAGACGGGAGCGACCACGATGCAGAAGTAATGGGCGACAAAGTACGAGACGAGACGAGACGGCGTATGGATTCTGTTCCAGCAGTCGAAAGAAATAGCCGATGATCTCCATGACCAGACCGACGACAACCGTGCTGGAAAACCATGTTCGATGTCGGACGAGTAAGAAGAGATGGGAGGTCAGGGCGAAGACGAAAAGAAGCACTCCAGGAAACCCCAGAGCCAGAGAGGGAACATATCTGTCTGTTGGACCATGTCAGAACGGCGATTGGCCAACAGGTCTGGTCTGGTCTTGTTTGATTCTGTCTGTACCCGTATACAACGATGATATGCAGGCCGAGTAGTCCGTGTCCGAGTCTGGTCGTGGGATGTCAGGGTCGACATAGCCATAGGTGACAGACCAATTCTATAGTCACGGTCAGACAGGACCAAAGTACAAGTTCCCTCAACCAGACAAGGATAGTAAGGCAGGCAATTTGTGATGGTCTTGATTCGTATCATAAATGTAATTGTGGTGAAAGGGAAAGGGTTGACTCCGTGAATGGCACTACTTAGTACCATGGTATATATATATTTATATGTCCTTAGTCAATCAGACATACATCTCGATGGACTCTTGTTTGTTCCTGTCCACGTACCTCATGACTTCTTTATAGACAGAAAAGTGTTGAGTTAGGCCGAGCGAGGCTTGAGGATTATATTCATGTCCAAAAACCCCAGTTTAACGTTGAAGGAAAATACGAGAAATCGCCGGATTCGGATTGGACGCGGCGAACGTCAAAGGGGCCACCTCTTCACCTCTTACCTCCTCACCTCTTGACTTGACTTCGACTTCAAGTCACCTCCCTCCCTCGCTATACTCTCTTACCATCTGTCTATTTTCTGTTTTGATATATCTCCTCAACATGGCATAAGAAACATCTCTAGACTCCCTCTACGACGATGACACCCGACCTCGCCGCCAGCTACAAAGCTCGCAAAGAGGCCTTTGTCTCCAACTTGTCCGGAAGCTCCTTGACCGAGATCAACCTGGTCACCCTGGTTGCTGGAGTATGTTCAACCGATCATTCAATCATTCATTCATACATTCCCTCCCTCTCTCCAATATCTTGCCTACCTAAGTATACAGTATACATGATAAGCAATCACAATACTGACTCTACTCTGCTCTGCCACAGTCAGCAGTCCTCCTCTGGATAGCTCTACAAAAAAAGCAATCCTTCTTCACCCCCTACACGCCCATCGCGGCGGTGGCCGACTTTCTGCTAAATGTCTGTGCCATCCTGTTCGCCATCACCATTTATTCTTCTGCACCGCTGTTGTTGAGTGTTTTCCTGGTCACTCCGGCTACCATACTACTTTGCCTCAATGGAGCGGAGCGGCTCTCGAAGAGGTCGACGACCAGTTCAGCAGCGTCAAGATCGAAGTCGAAATTGAAACCAGCCAAAATCCCAGCCAATTCCCAACCACCAGCAAACTCGCCACTCAATACCAACACCAATACCAACACCAACGACAATAACAATAACAATAACAATACCAGCAATCTCGACATGCCCAATCTTCTCCCAGTCCGTCCGTTCCTCACGCACTACCGCGGCTCCATGCTGGTAGTCACCTGTCTGGCCATCCTGGCCGTCGATTTCCCCGTCTTCCCGCGCCGTTTCGCCAAGGTCGAGACCTGGGGCACGTCATTGATGGATCTGGGTGTGGGTTCGTTCGTCTTTTCTGCCGGAGTGGTTTCTGCGCGAGCGGTGGTGAAAGGAGAAGAGCAGAAAAAGAAGAAGAGTAGTCAAACCGACAACGACAACAACAACTCTACTTCGTCTTCTTTTCCTTCTACTTTCATCAACACCATCCGCCATTCCCTCCCCTTATTTCTTCTCGGCTTCATCCGCCTCTGGAGCGTCAAGGGCCTCGACTACGCCGAACACGTCACCGAATACGGCGTGCACTGGAACTTCTTCTTCACGCTGGCCCTGCTGCCGCCGTTCGTCGAGCTCGCCGACGCCCTCACCCGCCTCGTCTTCCACGGGTATCGCTACGACACGCTCGCCGTGGTCTTGGCCCTGGCGTACGAACTCGTCCTCAACAATACCGACCTGCTTCGCTACATTGTCGCCGCGCCGCGCGGGCCGGATCTGCTGTCGATGAATCGCGAAGGAGTCTTTTCGTTTGCTGGCTATCTGGCCATTTTCCTGGCTGGTCGGGGGACGGGGATGCGAGTGGTGAGGTTTCGTCAACTCAGTAACGAGAAGACTACAACTTCGTCTCCTACTTCTTCTGCTCCCGCAGCTTCAACTTCAACCTCTTCAACTTCTTCTCCTACTACCACGGACCAGACCAGTCTCGAACGCCGCCTCATTCTCCGCGACCTACTCATCCAATCCGCAATCTACACAACCCTGTACGTCCTATCGACAGACTACCACGTCTTCAATCTCCGCGTCTCGCGCCGCCTCGCGAATCTGCCGTACGTGTTGTGGGTCGCGGCATTCAACAACGCGCAGATCTTCCTTTTCGGGTTGATTGAGTCTTATGGGCCGGCATTCTCTTACTTCTCTGAAGATACAACCACAGCCACAACCTCCGTTCGCAACGCAACAAGCCCCATCCTACGCGCGTTCAACAGCAACGGCCTCGTCGTGTTCCTGCTGGCCAATCTCCTGACTGGCCTGGTCAATATGACCGTAAACACGCTGGACATGGCCGCCCTGCATGCCGTCGCGGTGTTGTTGGTCTATGCTGCGCTCGTGACGGGGGTGGCGGTGGTCTTGGATATGGCGGGGATCAAGATTCGAATATGAGATATGTACATACCAATGGTAGGCTGGTAGGTAGGTAACCCGGCTACCTGGCCTATCTTAGATACCTACTTAACCTGGGGCTATTTGAGACTAAGGGCTGTATAGAGCATTTTGTGAGAAATCAAAAAGGGCAAAAAGGCAAAAAGGCAAAAAGGAGTAAGATTGACTTGACTTGTATACTTCAACCATACCACCAACAAACAAACAAACAAACAACCCATCGTAGCACATCAATTGCGCTCCGAGAAGTCGACATGGAGTAAATCCTCCTGAAATCTATAATTCCCCCCAGATTCTCATCTCGGTCCCGGTATTGATACGTCCATTACATTGCCCCTGAACCCCAGATCTCTAATCTCTATTGTCGTTATCCTTGTTGGAAGAAAAACAAAGAAAGAAATCCAGCATGAGCACCAACACTGCATAGCACACACCCAAGGAAGATACCATGCCATACCATACCGCTCGGCTTCTATCTGAGTCACCACGGTTGAAGCCCCAATACACCAGACACTCCATGCCAATACCAATGGACGTGCTGAGCCCAGGTACAGTCTGTCTCTCCACCGGGGCAATATTTTCAATATGGCACGATCTTGACTCTCCGTCTCAAATTTTCCGGCAACTCTTCCTCCTTGACCAGACCCATCTGGATACAATCGCCCCAGAACAGCATGGCGCGTTCCTGGGCATAGGCGAGATAATCGAATTCTTCGTGCTCGTCTTCGGCTGGATCGAGGCTTTCATGGACCAATGGGGTATTGTCCACGTTGTCATCGCGACCCGCCTCAGCTTCAGTATCAGCCTCATCTGTTGCCGATCCAGTGACGGCTCCGGCATCCTGGGTCCCTTGCGCAGTCGGAGCCTGATTCTGGTCTTGAGTGCCAGCACGAGGGCGAGCTGGAGACACAGCACCTCCATTCGTCACCCCTGAACCGGCCGTCTCCGTGTCTTCAGTCTTCTCCTCGTTCGGTGGGGAAGTAAGTCCAGCCGGATTCTTCTCTCCAGTTACAATAACAACACCTGCATCACCCTCATGATGTGCCTCCTCTTCATATCTGCTCTCCGGTCTGTCCCCTCGACTTTCCCGCTGAATTCTCTTCTCTTCCTCATCCAGAGGATCCGACATAGGATGAAGATTCTTGTTCTTATCGCCCTTCCATCCTGCCACAGCCGCTTCAACTCCTGCTCTGGTCATTCCTTTGACTCGGTCCATCATGGCACCCGCCGCCGCCATGGTTTTGCTCTTTCCATTAACCTCCATCTCCATCTCTTTCTCCAAAGCGTCCAACTCGGGGATTTTGGCCTGCACGATGCCCCAGGCAACCCATTGGGCGGAGTTCGCAAGCCTCCATACCCTCGTCTCCCTCAACAAGCTCTGAATCTCCTCTTCCTGGGCCTTCTCTCGTTCCGTTTCCTCCCTTTCGTAGTCTGATTCAATGACATTGCCACCGCCACCACCAGTCCCCCCCACAGGCGTCCTCACATCGAGCATGAAGTCACCAATGTTCGTCTTCTCCCTCCCCTCCATCTTCGGCGTGTCGCTGGCCGACGGGTTGAATTGCGGTCGATGCATGACATAACTGCGGACAAAGCGATGTTGTTCATTTTCGTCGGGATACCTGCGTGTATCACACGCATAACTGTGATCCGGATGGTGGTAGTTATAGCACCACTCCGTGAAGTGATTGGCGAACTCGAGGCCCCTGGTGTTCTGCGACGCGTATTCAAAATCAATGACCACCAATTGCTTGTGCTGGTTCGAGGGTTGTAGTAGGGGCGACTCCCCGCTAGGTTCCAGACGCATCAAATTCCCATATTGCGTGTCATTGTGTGCAAAGACAAGAGCTTTCCGGATCCCACTCATCCCGCCGCAGTCGGCGATCACGCGTTTTCGGTACGCTTCATATGTTTTGCGGAAAACGGGCCATTCCACGCCACAGATGAGTCCGCGTCGAACGTACCGCGGGTTGATGATAGATGGACCACTTTCTGTTCCGGATTGGGCCTCTTGTTCGGCTTTGTAGACTTGTTTGTCCAGCCAGGTGATGATTCTCTCGCATCGATCCACCCATTTGTCCCAGTTGATGAATACTGCAGGACCGGCGTCGACTTCCTCTTCCAAAAGGTCGATCCCGTCATGGAGCTCGCGCATTCGTTTCGCAATCTGCTTGGACGTCTCGGGCTCCCGGAGGTCTTCGGCCGTGAGGGTCCTGGCGTGCAGATACTCCTCGAAACGACCGTTGTCAAAAGACCCCAATAGACGAGGTCCGATGCGTTTGCGGGAGAGTCGGCGGAGAATGTTGAGTTCGGCCTGGCGATCGATGAGATGTTCGACCTGTGGTCCATAAATGCGCAGCAGGAGTTGGAGAGGTTGACGTTTCGTGATGGGACGTGATAGAGCAGAAGAGTCGGTTGTCTTGGGTTGGTCGTATTCGGACATATTCTTTGGAGGCCGGACAACATAGACGGCGTTGGTGAGTGCTCCACTGAGACGGGCGACATCGATGTCTTGAGCCCGTTCGATAGGAACACGCCGCCAGCCTTTGAGCTTCAGAGTATGTGTCAAGCGCACAATGTCCGTCTTGAACTTGAGCCAATGTTCGTAGTCTCGACTTTTGGCGTTGTCGCTGGTGTCGGCGTCCGTACCCCCGGTGAACGCCATGGTTTTCGAGTTGTCCAGGTAAGCTTCGACACTCGGCACCAGGATATCATCCCCAAAGAACTCGGTGTCAGAAGAGTGCGGCACCGTTGAGGCTCTTTTGTATTTCCTAGCTATGGATCCTTTCCTCAGGAGCGAGGTGGAAGATTTGTGTGTTGGTCGAGGAAATGCGGGCATGAACGAAGTGAATCCCGAGAGAATGTTTTCCAGTCTCTCGAGGGACTGATCTGCTTCGCTTTCCGCCCCGCTATCGTAGCCTCGTGAGGAGCTATCCTCAGATTGTTCGGCCAGTGGACTTGCATGGTGGCGACGGTGGTCAAGGTGAGAAGGAAGATGATGGAGCCGGTGTCGCCGTCTCTGGCGCTTGGTCTTTTCTTCTTGTAGCCAGTCAACGACTTGAGAGAGCAAAGCTCGAAGATCGGGGGTCTTGCTCTCAGTAGGTGTGCCACCTGATTCGGGATTGTTGCTGTCGAGACTGAGGTTTGACATTTGATAATTGGCCAGGGAGGTCGACGAGGCAGAGGCAGACTGGGGTAGGAGAGGACGACCAGTCATCTTTTTGCCTGAAATGCTGGCACGATGGAGTCTCGGAGGCTGTGAAGCGACAAGGGTGGGTGAAGTAGCGGCATCATAATCGGACGCCTTGACCGGCTCTATATGCTCGGGTTCATCGTAGATGGTCACACCTGTTTCCAAGAGACAACGATTAGTTGGGTGTTTGACGGGGAAGTAAACAAGGTTACGACCAGGATATCGTAGAGAAGCATGGACTGCCTCCAAACCAGGATGGAAAAGCAAACAACACTCGCCCGCAAGACACTGTAGACAAGAGCCATGCCCGAAAAACCACCGAACATGTCCGTATCTTTCGCCAACACCAGCCCGAAACAACCCCATGCAAGCGTGCTATGGCTTCTTCGCAAGCCTGGGACAACAATCAGGACAATCAGGAACACCCCAGGGAAAAATTGTTGTTGTTGGCAGGCACTCGATAGCAAATACTTGCCCTACCTCGGACCACAACCATTCAAACAAAACCCAAAACGTCGAGGGGGGTAATCATCGGGTTTGCCATAAAACAAAGAAAAGGCATCCACCACTCAACCAAGCAAGCATTATCGCAGACACGTACCTTTCTGCTGTGCTCCCGTGCGAGGAGAGGGCATTGCACGCGTCTGGGAGACCGATCAGATAGGAGACGGAGGCGGAGGCGAAGGAGGTGGAAGAACAGACGAGGACAATGCTATTCTTGTTTATCACAAGTGTCCGTATCGCGGGAACAGGTTGACGAGAGGCGGTGGATGTCTGGTCTGCTTTACCCTCGTGGCATATCGAACAGCAACAGCAACAGCAGGTCACTTTGTGGACATGGATGTTTTGGTCAGAAGCAGCAGTCGGACAAGATCATACAGGATGGTCGGAAGAAGAACGAGATGAAGAAGAAGAGAGACACCTTGACTGATAGCAGGTAGTGGTAGTAGTAGTAGGTAGTAGGTGATAGGTATGGTGGTAGTAAAAAGCTGGTGGTTTCCTGATTGCAGTGTCGTTCCGTTCCTTGTTTCGACCTGCCACTCACTCAATCACTTATTACTGGCTGGCAGGCTGCGATGATTAAAGCAGCGGCATCACGGGCTAAATGTGGGAAAACAGCCGAACAATAACACGTGCTGAAAGCCTCGCCGTCGCATGCATTGACTGATCAGCGAAACAAGACAACTACATCTTTCATCTTGAAGATCGACTTCATCAATCGGGTATATATCACAACGGTAGCTTTGTACTAGGTTCGGGCTCCCTTATGTTTGTTGAAGCGTCATGTATTTCTGTACGTGGATCGGATGGATGCTTGGGTTGATGGAATGTCCCCTCCCGTCTGCCAGCGTATACTCTTTTCGTCTAGAAAACTCCCATCCATCCAGTCCCAGAGCCAAAGCCAAAGCCAACACCAAAGCCAATCCCGTTCATAGTTCTAGAACGGGTGATGCTGTTGTTCATCGCTTAAACCGTGCCAATGCATTGATATCGTTACAAACCCCCAGCAACCCCTTTTTCAACTCGCCTCTGGACATCCCCTCCTGTCATCGAGTCACGCCCCTCTGTGAGGGTGAATGGTACAGATGCGTCGCTTGGTCACGGTCCACATCTCGACTCTGACCGACCATGCCTACACCCGACTCTTCATGATCTTCCACCAGGTCGTTCAACCCAAAGGCATTATGCTCCATATCATTGTAATTGTGGATCAAGCCTGCACTCTCGCCGCTCACATGCCGGATATGCCGTATTCCGCCGGGACTGAACGTGAGACTGGTACTTCGTCGATGAGGGTCGAGACTTCGCCTCGACTGCATACTTAGTCGAGTCTGCAACCCCGTGAGCGGATCGGTGGGAATGCCGTCCCCGTCGGGGATCCTTCCGTTGAGTAGGCGATGCCCGTCAGGGTCGCCTCGGGACAGGTTGAGCAGATAGACGCCGGCAAAGATAATGAGGAAGCCGCACAGGAGAGAGATCGTGTTGACGGCATCGGTCGTGTTGAACCCAGAGAACAGGATGAACGACGCGCACAGCGTGGCCGTGGTAAAGGTGACATAGTACAGAGGATTGACGATGGATGTCGAGAATTGACTCAACGCCTTGTTGAAATAGTTCATCTGCGTCAGGATGCACACGGTCGTGACAATCATGAACACGTAGGTCGACGGATGGCTGAATTGGTTATTGCCGGCAAAAGTCAGCTTCAGGGCAATCCCAAACGCCTTGACCGACATCACCGAGATGGATCCGACGGTCGAGCATATCGAGATGTAAACCATGGGATTCCTCTTGCCGTACACCGGAGCCACCACGTAGATCATGACACATGAGAACGCGACCGCGGCCAGGCAGTAGAGTATAAAAGCTGCAGGGAGGTCATAGTCAGCCGCCGGAAGTTCTTGTGTCTGCTGCTATGCTTTTCAGGAATTCTTCATCTTCTTACCTGGTTTGATGGCCAATGCCAGGATCTCGTCCACCGTCTGGATCTCCTTGTCCGGGGGGGCGTGGAGCACTATGATCACGGATCCGAGAAGACAGATGGCACACCCCAGTTTCCCGAGGACGCCCAGCTCTTCATGTAAGAAATATGCACCCAGCACCGCTCCGATGAGCACACTGAGAGCTCCTAAGGGAGTCACCAGGATCGCCGGCGCAAACGCGTAGGCGGCAAAGTTGGCGATCTCGCCCAATATTAGAGAGGTGATTCCTGCCCACCAGAGAGGGGTCTTGAGGTATGCGAATCCTTCTCCTTCGAAGCCATGTTTATCTGCGGCATCGTTCAGTCCCTTTTTCGTAATGACAAAACTCGTCCCGATGGCGAGGGTGGATGTGATGGCCAGCAACAGGCCAATGTATTTGTCTTCTACCTGGTCCAACATGACTACGACTGCGTACAGCCGATCTGGAGGTTAAGGAGGGCGCTGCGGCGGATGCGCCGTGGAGTCGAGCCGAAAAGCGACAATGTGCTCAGAGGTGCGCCGGTCGCACAGAAATGCGCGTAGACTGTCGCAAGCAATCAAGGAAAGCTTCAACCCGCCGGAGATTGTATCGATTCCCTAGGGAACAATTTCCTGGGTGTCGTGGCAAGGATGTTGACCAGGTTAGGTTCGTGCGTGGACAAGTGGCCGGACTGCGACACTTGCTGTTCGCGGAGAATGGTCCGTAGACAGGATCGATCTTTGTCCCGGTACTAGAGTGCAATGAGCGACAACTGCGAACGTGGGACGAGAGTGCTTCGACTGAACGACTGAACGATTTGAACGACCGATCTGAGTTGAAGGTTCAACTTGTGGTGAAAGGGAGGCCAGCAACCGGGACGCGGATGATACGTGTTTCTTCGAGGCTCCTGAAAATCCAATACGGAGAACAATAATAATGGAGAGCAGTCTAAACGCGGCAATGGGGATGGCAGGATGGATGCAAGAAACACGACTCGGAGAGGGATGAATTGAATGCCACCAATGGTCTGGCCAGGGGTATACAGACTACTACCACTCAACTAACCAACTGCTAACTGCGAACTGCGGCTCATGGGCGGTAAAAGGCTTTAAGGCAGACGCGTCAACAGTCAAACACGAAGCGGTCCTTAAAAGCTCCTGAGGCTTCTCTACAGAGTATAGGCATGAAAGAATATCCACTCTCGCCCACTGTGCCCATCACATCTCACGCCATCCGATGCCATCCCAGAGCTTGACACGCAATAATGCCACATATCCTGTGTAGTATGTACAGAGTACAGCTGAGCTCCGAACCAGGCAGTCCTGCTCCTTTCAAGTTTGCGATGGAAATCCCACTCCCTTGAAGCCTGTCCATGTACCTACCTGACCTAAGGTAACAATGTTGTGACCATACTGTGTAGCACTGCAGTACACCGCGATGAGTTTATCCCTGCCCTGACCCTGAATAATGCTGTGCCTGGCATGCGCACTTTGGTCCTACATATATAAGGTCGCAGGCCAAATCAAGCCCGGGAGGTTGGTGCAATAGGCGTTCCCCTTGTCAACTTAGGCGTACCTACCGCCTATTCAAGGCTCGAAGGGCGCCCCTACTGATATTTGGCGGTGCCACTTTAGGTTGCAAGGTGGCTTGACTGGTAAAGGTACCTGAGTATCTACCTATCTAAGGTACCTTCTTCTTCTACTCTATAGTCTGCATCGAAAGATACTAGTAATCAGAAGAGCATAGTATGTCACCGCTCGGGACATATTGATCTATTGCTGCAGACAGTGCCCTGCTAGTATTTCGCAAAATCTTGTCAAGACGTACATCTAACACGATCGAAGACTGGCTCGCTCATTTGATAGCAATCATCCTCTCCGCCGCTGACACCGCGGCGCCACCAACTGGTGGCCATTGCAAGTAGAGAACGAAAGACGCCTCCCCTCCATCTAGCCCACGCTCGAGACGAATCTCTGAATCTCCATGTGACTGTGACTGTGACTGGGGCGCAAAAACACCAGCCCCCAGGACTCTTGATAAAAGAGCCCTTTCCCACTTGAGCGCCTCACTCCTCGAGGCAATCGAGACATCTTGGTGCGCCTCGTTGGCCTCCCGCCAAATTCTCCTCTCCTGTAGTAACGCCGTCTTCAAGTCGAGTTGAGTGGAAAACAGTGCATCGAACCCTTCCTGTGCTCTATTGCTGCAGATTGCCGTCCTTTATGTCGAAACCCAAAAACGACCGATTGAAACTTTTGTGGAACAACGAACGCACGCGAACCCATCTCTCTATGTCGCTCCCACCGAATGACCAATGACCAAGTTGGTTTCCAATAGACCAACAATGGTTCGGATCGGCCAATTTGCAACAGCTGCTCTCAAATTGGCCCGACTTGCTCAAAACCGCGGATTCGGCATACTGTCGCTGGTCCAGGCTCGCGAAGAAGCCTCTCTTTCCTCGATCGAGACGCTTCTTCATTCTGGGCAGCAGGCCGTTTCGCATCATTAATATTAAGACAATAACAAAAAACTCCTCGTAGAGATACAAGTGGCGCGCCGCTCGGGCCGTCAACTCGTGATGCTCTTTCCTGGCGTGAGATGTGGCAATCCTTTTTACATCATGCTGGAGTCGCCTGAGAGTCCGGCTCCCAAATCTGCCATACCCTGGCCCGCCATCATACTGGCCATCCCCAGAGATGGACTCTTGGTACCGTTCAACTGCAGTTCGGGGTTGCATGGCGGAGAGTGTGTCTTGTGGTATTTCAGGCCGTTCAAGTTCTTGTACCGCTTCTGACACACCTCGCACTTGTATGGCTTTTCTTTTTCCATCCCCATTGTACCTGGGTATGGCGCTTGGGTATCCGGGTCCACGATGGAAAACGTGCCGTCACCGTTCTCTTGGAGGCGTTGGTTGTTGTGGCCATGCTATCATTCTCGTCAGCAAATGCAAAGATCTGTCAAAGGGAGAAATCACTCACCGATTTGTGGTATTTGAGACCGTTTTGGTTTTTGTACGCTTTCTCGCAGCCGATCACGGGACACCGAAACGGCTTTGGTTCCTCGTGCGGAGGAATGTTGGTGGTGGTATCGGGTAATCCGGCCGCGGCTTGCCGTTCACGAATGGTCCGAGCAATTTCGCTATTCGGCCCGTATTGGCCACTACCCAGGCGGTTCTGCGCGGCCGACTGTTGCCCTTGGCCCTGACTCATGCCTTGATTGCTGGGAGAAAACAGTCGTTTCGCGGGTTCGTCGATGCATAAATCAATCATGTCGTTGTTCATGCCGAAGCCGAACCCGCCGAACCCATTGGGCATGCCATTGAAGAGAGGATTGCCCTGCATTGACATATCGTCCATGCCACTCATGAGCCCGTCATCTAATTCTCCCGGGGTGCCTGGAGCTGAGGAATCGGGCGTGCCCCGGTACGCACTCTGTAGATCTTGAAACTGCTGCATGGGGTTTCCCATGAGCGTGGACGAAGCGTTGTTGCCCTGGAAAGGCACCGAAGAGTGACCAGACGCTACCGGAGTATTCGGAGTAGACTGTCGAAACGCCTGGTGGCCCTGCATCATTGTGGTGTTCAGTTGTGGGATATGCGGCTGTGCAGCATTTGAAAATGAGGTCTGGGGTGATGTCTGGGCTTGATTTTGGGTGTAGAGATTGGGTGGCGGTGTCTTTTCGTCCTCGCCGTCGATATCATCCATCTCCATATCTTCTACAGTATCCATATCCGGGATCGTCTGCAACGTGCTGGAGAACCCCGTAGGTCGTTGCATGTTCTGGAAGCTGGTATGCTGGGAGCCAAATGGCCGTCCCGGTGTGTTTTGCGACTGTTGTTGTTGGTTGCGTTGTTGCGCTTCTTGCTGTACCTGAGCTGCAGTGGTGGCTGCAATGGCAGCCCGACTATCGGGCACGGCAGACTGATTGCCGTCTGGTAGTGTGTCCTTTTGCGCGTGTGCTTCTTCGTAGTGTTGCAGCAAGTCATGCAAGGTTGGTAGTGTCAAACCGCAGCATGAGAAGTCTTTCATGAAATTGGCTTCAAGCTTGGGCAGGTAGGACGAGGAGTGGAATGAGGGGGAGTTGAAAGCGAAGGGCGAGGTTCCGGACATCATCATACTGCTCAACTGTCAGCACATCATTGTCTGTGGCTACCAGACACGGCAACTCGGGGTGATCAACTTACTCGTCTCTGATCCAGCTTCCGACCGAAATACCACCCCAGCTCATGCCAGTGCCGAGACTCTGAGCTATGCTTTCGCGTCTGGCCTTGTCATTTGCCGCGCCTTTCACAGTTATCGGTCGTGCGCCATGTTCAAACCTGGCAAAGTCATCGGAGGCATTAGAGGGCATCTGAGGAATCGGACGGTTGAGGGCCGTCTCCTGCATCTGAGCGGACATCTTTCGTTTCTCTTCACTGTCGCTTCGCTTCAAGGCGGAAGTCAGAGTCGATGGCTGATTACCGCGAGGCGAGGTTGAGGTCGTTCTGGCAGATATGTCGAGTGGATTGGCGACGGTCGCCATACCCCGAACCGGTGGCGAGGCGCCAAAGGTCGGGAAATTAGTATCGTCGAAGTCGGGCTCGAGCAGCGAGCTGTCGAGGCACAGGCGAGTGGTGGTACGTCCGATGTCGATGGGCTTCCTGAACCAGGGCACAAAGTCCTTGTCTGTCTTCTTTCCACCGGATGGTCCGCTTCCGACCGGTGTGACGGGGGTTGTATCTCGAGAGGTGGGATGCGACTGATCACTCGGAGATGGTGAGTGATGTAGTGGCGGGGGACTCTCGTCGTAATCGAACATAGACCTGTGAGGCAGTAGGACGGGAAATGGTGTGGGAAGGAATTATGTTCTCGAGGCTGGTGTGGTTGATAGAGGACGTGACGTTATGTGGTCGGAGTCGGTGTGGGATGTAGTGGTTCTTAGAGAGGTTCGGCGTAGCCGGGAGGATGTGTAGAAGGCGGATAATAGTAATGAGCGACGTGGGAAGGAGATGTATAACAGATACAGTCCTGTCGCTCGGGGGATGTTACCGGGGTGTGCTTCTCGTAAAGAATACTGCCGAGTTATCGTCGGAAGGAAGAGGGCGGCGAGGCAGGATACGAGTAGTAGTAGTAGTATGCAGGAAGAAGAGAGTTAAAGTTATTGGTGATAGAACGATGAGAGCAATTCGAGTCGAGTCAACTCTGCTTCTGAGCCTCGAACAGCTGAGTGGACGCCCGACGGGTTCAGGTTCAGGCTGTCGGGGGACTCGAAGCACCTAAAGCGACCGGGCTGATGAAGCGCACTGACAGGCTTGGAGTCGAGTCTAAGGGCCCATTAGCCCGGAGCAAGCGCCACTGTTGCAACCCACACGTCCCTGCGGCTGCTGCGGGACCCGCCCATTTTTCACGCACTGCACCTGCACCGCAGGATGCTGCATTTCCACTTCCAGTCGAGCCTTGAGCCCTCCCTCGATTCTTCGATCCCGACCACTCACTCGCTCCAACGATCCGGGTTGAGCGAGATCCAGATACAGGCCAGGTACGTACCCCCTCGATCACTGCAGACATGGCTACAATCACCATGCATACCCCGACAAATTACGACTACAAGTTCAGTGACTGACCGCTCATGCATCCACAGCTATACGCCGAATGACTCCTCATTATTGACCAGCGCAGTCAAGCCCCCAATCCTCTCTCATCCCGCACGCGCAACAGGCTCCAGATTCCTGACAGGCTCCAGAGCTGGCTGATGCATCTCATATAACACGATAGATGGCCTGCCACTACCCGAGCACTGTGCGAGCAATAATTGTGATACTTCCCGACCTACCTAGGTAGGTAAGTATGTACTATTCAGCACTGACGCTGAGCCCGGTCCTATTCTGTACGCCGCAGTCTGGCAGTGTCAACTCGTGGATGGTGCGGCAGCAGTCTCCGTACTACCTATACTATGTTGTATTGTAGTAGTCGGAAGGTAGATCAAGAGCCATCCGGGAAAGTATCTAGGATCATCAATGGTCAAGAAAAGAAGCCGTGCATCGCCGGCCCTTTGCTCATCCATCAGCAGTCCCTTAACCTTGCTGCTAACACTACTAATCGACTAACCACCACGGTTTTGGCAGGCTGAGACTGCAATCCGCCCTTCGGCAAACCGAGTCTGGCGGCTGCCAACCCGGACCAAGGCGATTATGAGTCGCTTGGCCCAGTTGGGTTCGCAAACGACGATTGTTTGCTCGACCCCTTGAAGATCAAAAGTGGAAGCCAAGTAAGATGTTTGAATCGGAGCCATCAGCTCCATAATGTTATGCTACGCTCATCGGAGCCGTTCAAAGAAGCTAGACAAAGTCCACCTAGACACTGACAACAGTAATGAGAAGAGATTCGACGGTGTGCCCCAAACAGAGACTCCATCCAGGGACTCTCGAAGTGTCTCTCGACAACCACAACGGTCCGACCGTCCGGTGGGCCATCCGGAAAGCCTCAGCGCGGACAGGCGAATAATGAAGAGCCGGGGTGACCATGTTCATGTTCTCGACTTGGTCAAGTCCCACCCACTATTACTCGCTGCCTGACAGAGTTCGTGGCGCCCTTGAGCTTGTTGGTGCACTGGCAAGCCTTGAGCGCATCCGAAGTCTGACCCGTTGACGCTCATCTGCGTCTCTCGGGGGATCGAGGCAAAGGCGTGGCACAAGCCTGAGCTCCCCGATCTCAGTCGTCATCCCCCGTGCTGTGCAGGCGGCAAACCCATACAGGCAACCGAATCAACCACACTGAACTTGCTGCCTGCCTGTGCCCGTTGGTGTGCCATCAGGCTGTGTTGGGCGATATACTAGTATGGCAGACGCCGTGATACTATTTGGATCCTACTGCCTTGTCTCCTTTTGCAGGAAACAATGGATTGTGTATGGAAGAGGGACCCCCGCTTCTCGAAACGACCCCCTGATCTAGGACATTAGGCACCGTTGGTGCCCGAACAGTCGGAAACCACTGGATGGAGCGGTGACTGCTCCAAGGTACTGAGACAGGCCTCGGTTTCCCTGCATTACCGCATTGTTACGTTCACCCAGCATGTTTGATGAAGGCAGCACATGCATAGGATCACGATTTGAACGGTGTGATGCAATTATGAGGTGGCGTTGAACAGGACGGATCAGAACCGCAGCACCTCGGCTGTGGTATAGTATATCAGTGAAGGTATTGGCTGACCACAATGCAGATAAGGTACAGACAGTTAGGCACTCGTCAGGAGTCCTTCAATTTCGGGGTTTGTCTCTCTACTCTCTGTAACCTCCCAAGGCTCCCTCATAAGGTCTGAGCTAGGATATTAGACTTGTGTCAAATCTTCACGGACATCAACTCCGCCCGTACAGAGTACCGAGCCATTTGCCAGCAGCGGTGCGAGACTCCATGATCACCTCGAGAAGCTGGAGGTCTACCGCAGCACGATGCTCGACGTCGACTGAACCGAGTTATGTGCTCCCAGGTCGAGAGCTGCTCATAGCTCATAGCTCTTGAGAGATAAGCGAGCAGGTCGATCTGGGGTGACATCACTGTCTGTCCTGATATGCTGAGGGAGGACGATCGGGCCACGCATTCAGTAATATTGATTGCTGTGATAGTCGCTGCCAACTTCAATTATGAGGTTCTCCTGAGTACCTACTTTCAATGACTACAATGGTCAAGTGTGCACTAACAGTTGCTGGGGCGTCCAAAAACCACACCCACTGCTCACAACCCACAGGGGTCTTTTGAGCCCCATGAACGATGAACGGTGGATGCCGACATCCATATGGAGGATTCCGAGGAGCCAGTATGGGCCGGGGATGGACACTTCTTGACCAGAGGCTGCGCTTGCACTGAAACTATGACTAAAAGACCAGCTGAAAAACACCGCAAGCAATAATTTTACAACCACTTACCACCACAGGCCTGCTATTATAAGTTAGTTTGGTATGCTGAAGAGGAGTCGGCCAATTTGCTGTGGCTGATTGGTTTTTTGGAACGGGGAAGGCTAGAGGCGAAAAAGGGCGTCAACCGGTTGGTTGGGTCAACCAGGCCTCTTGTCCTCTTCCGCGGCAGCAGCGGCAGCTGAGCAACGACGGTCGGCAGAAGGGAAGAGCTCTGGGTTATGAGCCTGGCTCTTTGTCACTTCATGGATGGTAAAAGACATGTGAGAACAGGCCTGTCGCAGGACGGATCTGGCGTTGGGACCGGATCGACATGGTAGAGTTTGGCTTAGGGTTTACACTGTTTGTCCTATACAGAGTTACTCTCTAGGTGCCTTGGGTAGGTAGGCCCGAGACGGGGCCGAAGCTCTCAAAAATGAGCAGCCATTGAGAGGATTGATTGGTGTTGTTATGGCTACCTACCTAATTACGTACTTAGGTAGTATAGAGTAAGGTACATTATTGTCATTGACTGCCAGTGTCTCACAAGGCTTTGCCATTTTGTCTCAGGGCCTGGGTGATTATTAATGCGGTGTGTCCCAGGGGCCTTAGGCTGCGAAGCAGAGCCCACGAGTAAGAATGATGCCGATTTACGCAAGGCTCGCCTCGCCATCTCTGACATCAGGCTCCAGGTTGGGACCACGCATGCCAGTTAGTGCGTGGCAAGACGGCGAGCATGTTTCCTGCGGCCTTGTGGAACCATGGAGTTGGTCCGATTTGCGGTGGTATTCCTCACCTAATAACACAAAGGAAATATAAAAATTCGGTACCTGATGCAAGCTCTACCGTCTGTCTGGCACGAGTACACTACTACTACACCAAAACCTATGAGTGTTCTTGGATACATTTTTCAATCGCCAGGCGCGTCGGAGATAGTACGCCGAAGGACGTCGCACTGGTGACAGACAGTACTACTAGTAGGTATGTTGTGCATGGTGGCGATTATGATGCTGATGATGATGCGGACGATGATGTTGATGATGAAAAGCGTTGATCGTCTTCCCCAAGGAGTGACGGCAATAACGGGCATTCTCCAGCCAATCTGGCAGCACCGGGATCTTCCCAACCGCCTCGCTCACAGAAAGCATGATGAGCGAACCTCCCTCTATACCTTCCCAGGCTTGTAGATACGCAGAGGCAGATATGACTCGCAGCAAACCTGCCGTCTATGGTCAACAACTTGCACGCGGACAACAGGACACGTTTGAAGGTTGGTCCTCGCTGTTAAAAGAGCACCTGCTATCTGGCGGAGGGGAGGGGAGGGGCTGGTCCTTCTCCCTGTCTACAGAGTAAGGTAGGTCTATCAGTTCGTCGCCTGTGATGTCTCGTCTGCGGTTCGCCCTCCTCACCCGAAACATCCTTTGCGGTCAGTCTCAACGCAGTTCGGGGTTGTTCGCGAGGGCGGTATAATTGTTGTGCTGTATGTATCGGATATTGATAGGATACTTGAAGGGAGCGTATACGTATACTGCCGTATATACGGACTTAGGCATCTCATGTCCGAGGTTATGTCCGGTCTCTACTCTGTAGATGCTGATAGAGAGACGCTGAAGGGCGATGAAGACGTCTTCCCATCGAATACAAAACTGCCCTTTGTGCCACAACATGCCTCTTGTAGCATCAGATTCGTCATTCATGAGAGTTGATGACTCTGCTCCAAGGTACTAGTGCTTGCAACGCCCTCCCAAAACGACCGCCCACACCCAAATGGCCAATGAATCCAACGTCGCGGCCCTTCTGACGGGCCAGAATGAACCTCTCGTTGTTCAAGGTGTTGCCTATCCCAGCGTGGGCGAAGATGAACTTGTGGTGCGTAACCATGCCATTGCCGTGAATCCCGTGGACTATGCCATGCAGATGCTGGGCACGACGCTGTTTTCCTGGCTGCAGTATCCCTACATTCTCGGCGAGGATGTCGCTGGCGAGGTCGTCGAGGTGGGCAGCGCAGTCACCGGCTTCAAGGTTGGCGATCGCGTGGTGGGCCATGCAGTACTAGGAAGCGACACCAGCACCGGAGGTGCTTTCCAGCGCTATTCTCGATTGTTGTCGAACATGGTCTCGTCAATTCCCGATTCCTTGGCCTACGAGGATGCGGCGGTGATTCCTCTCGGGCTCTCCACCGCTGCCTCTGGCCTGTTCCAGAAGGACTATTTGGGTCTGCAATATCCTTCGATAAGCCCTCAGCCTACAGGCAAGACTCTTCTGATCTGGGGCGGATCGACCAGTGTGGGCAGCAACGCCATCCAGCTGGCCGTGGCAGCTGGCTACGACGTGATTACGACGGCGTCACCCAGAAACTTCGAATACGTTAAGGGCCTCGGGGCTACCCAGGCATTTGACTATCAAAGTCCTACCATCGGGGCCGATCTTCTGGAAGCTTTCAAGGGCAAGAGGTGTGCCGGTGGCCTGGCAATTGCTGGCGTGGTCCCGCAAGCCCGAACAGAAGCTGCTGAAGCCTGTCTTGAAGTTATCGCCAAGTCGGAAGGGGACAAGTTTGTAGCTCTCGCTATGCCTCTGCCACCGCAGCTCCCAGACGGGGTAGGGGCCAAGTTCATCTTTGCTAGCGGCCTGAAGGATAGCGAAGTGAGCCATGTCATCTATGGGGATTATCTGCCCAAGGCTCTGGCTGCGGGGAAGTTCACTCCGGCTCCTAAGGCGGAAGTCGTAGGGCAGGGGTTTGAGGCTATCCAGGGAGCGTTGGATGCATTGAAGCAGGGAGTGTCAGCTAAGAAATTGGTGGTTACTCTTCCGTAAAATGTCCATGATGGATTTGGATCTTACAGCCAACAGCACGGCTCATATAAGTACCCTATGACCCTGGCTCGATGATCTAGATTCTTCGGTGTTTTCCCCTTCTAGATCGTGGCTCTTTGCTCACTCCTTCACAAACAGCTTGGACATACTACTGTAGTATACCGGACAACGGACAACGGACAACGAACCAGATCCTTGAAACACAATAGATCAGACGACCGAATGGGTCTTGATCAGGCCATTCATTATTGGGCATCTGAAGAAGCTCACGAGACTGGAGTGGAATAACCCGCTAGCCAACGATCTCGAACACATGGCGGCAACCAGTAATATATAGAGTACCGGGTCGGGTCCCTATACTAATTAATCAACTAGTAGCAGATCCATACAATACGGATCTGTATACTACTAGTTAGTGCACTAATGAGGAACTGGATATAAACTAGTTGTTTGTGGACAATTTGAAGGCCACCACCATACTGCCTTTATTGGAGAGTCTGGTTGTCCTAAGCCCCTTCTTTTGTCCCTATGAAGCAAACACCAGCGCTCCTCTGCCCTCGCCCATGGTCAGGCCTGTCTTGCACCAATTTCTAGAGATGTTCTAGAAGGTCAGCCACTCGACACGCAATAACTACCCTACCCAGGTAGCAATCCACAGTGCTAACAATGTTGTTTCTGGTGGCACAGTCTCGGTGCTCCCATTTGCCGTTTGCCCTTCAGCGTTCCCCGCTGCTCCACTTGGAAACGATGTCGCAGGACCCCTTCTCGTGGCACAACATTTGGGAGTGCTTTAGCTTGGGCTGTCAGATCGCTGCAGATGCCAGAAAGCCCCTCCGGGTGAGACAAAAGACAGGTCACACGATGCACCAGTGAAATGTACCTTATGGGATGGGCCTGGGCCTCTCCCAGCCCGACAAATCGACAGAACAGAGTGTTCACAAGCTGTGGCGAACGATGCGTCAGCTTCCAATGCTTTCCGGAACAGTGGTCTGGAAGGGGCGACGACTTGGACGACATGATTGACGCCTCGATGGCAATGAGGGTAGCATTGGGCCAAGGGTTGGCGACAGCGAATGTACCTATTGGCGGGGCTTTGTGACAGCCATCCAGCATGGGAAGCCTTCCGATCGGAAGCTATGCCTTATGCCTTATGCCTTATTATGCCCGTAGATTGACTATTGATGCATTCTGATGATGGCTGTGATGGCTGCAGTGTGCCTGCATTCAGGAGACTTCAAGTTGCGTTTACGTTTTTTCAGTCGTTCACCGATTGTCACGCCGCTTTGACAGCCACTGCTTTGTGTTGAAAGTGGAAGGTCTCCCGAACACTAAATGGCCGCCTTGGCGCAGCGACCATTCCCACAATGGCAACTTGACGAGGCCCTCCACTGGCAGCTGTTCACAACCGGCGCTTTCACTGTACTGCAACTGTAGATTGAATCTCTGATATCTCATTGCAGTAACCCTGAGATTGAAGATCTGTCGCGGGTTCATTTCTCTAACCTGCAGGAGCCTCACTACTCTGTCGACATTCAAGCATGGCTGAGAACGCGGCAGACCAGTCTGAACCACATGTGAATGGTAGTTCCAACGGTGGAGCAGTTACCGCTACAGATGCCGAACAAGTCTCTTCTTCCACTACTTCTGTTAAGCGCAAGATTGATGAGCTGAGCTCGTCCGAACAGTCACTGGAAGTCCGAGAAGACAAACGTCGGAAAGGGACGGCGCCGATCAAAGCCGAGTTTCTCGTCGCCGCAGAAGAGATTGTGGAGGCTCGGCCTGCCCAAGACGAGGCTGACGACGATGCCGCCGAAGCATTTCACCACCAGGACAGACAACCTGTGAGCAACAACTCCAAAGGTAAACGACGTGAAAAGGCCAAAGGGCAGAATAAGGCCCGCGAGTATGGTCGGTCCAGAGATGAAGTAGGCCTGTGTTCGACCCGGGTACACCGCCCCGAGTTCTCTCCAGAGCCATGTCTCTACGGTGACAAATGTCGTTTCGAGCATGACCTGCGCAAGTACTTGAAACAGCACAAGCGTGAAGACCTCACCACCTTCAACGGCCTGTGTCCCGTCTGGGAGACGAAAGGAAGGTGTCCTGGCGGCTGGAAATGTCGATTTGTCGGTTCTCATTCCAAAGAGGTCGAACATGATGACGGACGGCGAGAACTAGTCTTAGTCGAAGACCCGGAGCGGATTGCGAAGTACAGCCAGACGTTTTCTGAAGGCGAAGAAGCCGGGGTCGCCAACGTTCTTTCGCCCCAACAACGCATGGACTTGACCAAGAGACGAATCACCACGCCCAAATCCGATGCGTGTCTCAGCTGGATGGACAAACAGACCAAGAACCCGTCGGACCAAGGTCGCAAAGGGCAAGACAACGCGTCTCTACGCAACTCGTCGTCACCAGAGCCGGGAGACGGCCGCAAGGAGACGAACGGGGAGAGTCAAGCCGATTCACGAGCTGCTTTCCAGGATCCTCCTTTACGACCCTCAGAAAAGCGCCGGCTGTACTTTGGGTCCGAGACGCCGGTTCTAGCCCCTCTGACTACGCAGGGCAACCTGCCTTTCCGACGGCTATGTAGTTCTCTAGGCGCCACATTCACCTATTCGGAAATGGCCATGTCGTTACCGCTGCTACAAGGGCAGAAATCAGAGTGGGCTCTTCTCAAAGCACACCAGTCGGAAGTGCAGCCACCGACCTTTACGATCAAAGGCACGCCAAACATTGTGTACGACTACGACCAGAGCCAGGATCTACGCTTCGGCGCCCAGATCGCAGCCAATAAACCTTGGTTGGCCGTCAAGGCCACGGAAGTCCTGACGACTCTCCTGCCCAAAGGGTTAAGAGTGGTTGATCTCAACGTCGGCTGTCCCATTGACCTGGTGTACCGAGAAGGAGCTGGATCGGCGCTGATGGACCAGCCGAACAAATTGGAAAAGATGCTTCGCGGAATGAACATGGTGTCTGGCGAAACGCCAGTCACGGTGAAAATCCGCACGGGGACCCGGGACAGACAGCCGACGGCACAGAAGCTGGTGGAGAGGCTTGTGCTGGGCAGCGAGCACTCTCGAGGAAACCCTTGTGGAGTCGCGGCAATCACTCTTCACGGCCGTTCCAGGCAGCAGAGATACACGCGCTCGGCAGACTGGGAGTATATCTCCGAAACGGCCGCCCTGATCAAGAGTCTCAACGAGAAGGTCGATGCGCTGGCCGACACCATTCGCGAGCCAGACGAGCGAGACCAGCCGAACGGACATCAAGGTTCGAAGAACGGAAAAGTCTGGTTCATCGGCAACGGCGACGTCTACTCTCACGAGCACTACTACGACCATATCAAGCATGCGGGAGTCGACGGGGTCATGGCGGCTCGCGGAGCACTGATCAAGCCATGGCTGTTCGAGGAGATCGCGGCCGGCCAGTATCTGGACAAATCGTCTTCCGAACGGCTACGCATCATCGAGCAGTTCTGCAGGTATGGGTTGGAAGCCTGGGGCAGTGACGAGATGGGAGTCGGACAGACGCGGCGGTTTTTGCTGGAGTGGCTCAGTTTCGCGTGTCGCTATGTCCCGGTCGGCATGCTGGAGTATCTGCCGCCCAACATCCAAGATCGACCGCCACGGTTCCGGGGACGGGATGAACTGGAGACGTTGATGGCAAGCGACAATTACAAGGACTGGATCAAAATTAGGTATGTTATCCCCCAGCTCTCCCTCACCGATTTCCTTGGACGTGTTATTCTGTTACTTGTTACTTGTTACTAACACATGGCCGACAGTGAGATGTTCCTAGGCCCGGCACACCCCGATTTCCGCTTCGAGCCGAAACACAAGTCCAACAGCTATGAGATTCAAGCTGAGGGATGAATTCGCCTTGAGTTACGAATCTGAGCTAGCATGACCATATCCCCTAGGGGGGTGTCACCTGCGCATACCATGGCATACATCCACTGTCTTCGTCTTCGAAGATTATCATTGAGAAAGTGTGAACGTGCAGAGACATGATTCCATATGAAACTTCTGCCAGAAATTCTGCACAATTGAACTTTATATCCCGCATCCCCACAAAGACGATTCTGCCCTCGAAACTGTGTCGGACAATCTCAATCTCTATCATGTATTGACCATTGCATTGATCCTTCAGCCTCTACTCGAGGAGAACATTCGACTGACAGGCAGCGAGCGCTTCACGAAGTGATAATCTCGACTTGTTCTCCTTCTCCTCTCTTCTCTCTTCTCTCTTCTCTCTTCTCTCTTCTCTCTTCTCTCTTCTCTCTTCTCTCTTCTCTCTTCTCTCTTCTCTCTTCTCGCTTCTCGCTCTTCTCGAACCTCATATAATCACCGTTACCGTCACCGTCACCGTCACCGTCACCGTTACCGTCACCTTCTCGCAATATACGAACCATGACTAGGCTTGATCCCGATGGCTGTCGATCCGAATCTATAGTGCTTGCTGACGGATATATACCCATACACGCAAATAGCATATACGACCTACTAACAAGATAGAGGAGAATTACGAATCTGTTCAATGTCCCAAGTGCCTTAGTCAGAGTTGTGCATGATTCTCATCTGTCTACATCAATCCAACTTTCTCAATTCAATTCAATTCAATTGATGTTATTTCATTTTCTTTCATTTCAATCATCAAGAAAGTACCTGTTTCAGTAAAGAAACACCAACCCATCAACCCCTGACTCCTAGTCGTCTGAATACCAACTACTACCTCCCACACCTAAACCCAACCACAAAACAGCATCCTAATAAAATCCCAAGCCCCAGAGTGCTCAAGAAAAGAGAACGCCCAAGCCACGCCTGCTAAAACCGACGAGACGGGATCGCCAAACAATTTTCCATCTTTCGGCAATGGGCTCTGCCATGTATGTCACTTGTTCCAACAGGCGCCATTTCCTTATCAGAAACATAAAGCGTCCAAGTGCCCAGAAAGTCAAAAGTCGAAAGTTGCAGGGGAGTTGAAAATGCCTTCATGTTCATGTTCATGTTCATCTCCCACCGCTCTTCCTTGCAACTCCGATCCTCGTCCTGCTCACCTTGTCCGCAAACTTGAGACTGGTGATCGTTTCCGGGAGACACTTCTTCTCAGGCGCGACCATGACGAACATGAGCGTCTTGCTATTGCCCCCGAGACTGAACTGCAACAGATAAGTGAGTTTGCTGTTTCGATAGGGGATATGGCCACCACCAGATCCAGATCCCGACCCCGATCCATTGTTGACACTGTCCCTCGGGTTGAAGGGACCTGCACCACTGCCAGAACTTGCCTGTTGCTGTTGGCCCAACGCGCCAATGACATCGCCCAGACACGACAAAGACTTGTTGATGTTTTGCGTCTCCTTGAGCCGGGCGCCTTCGACTTTCGAATGCGACAGACGTTCCGAGCCTGCCAGGTCGACCAGATTCAGAGTGCCTTTGCTCTTCTTGCCCGTGATCGAGTTAGACCCGGCCAGTTTGAGGATGAAGACCGAATGGCTGCGACTGCTGCGTTCGTTGGCTTTGGTTGCCGCCACCGACCGTCGGGCCATGGCTTGCGCCAGGATCCCCTCGACTTGTTCCTGGCTGTCGAGATTCAAAGTTGTCACGTCTGTTATGGTGGTTTCGCAGGCCGTCATGTCATGCCGGATCTCGTGCTTTTTCGGCCCGTTGTCGCCGTCTTTACCCAACAAGTCCCGTAGCTCTTCGTTATACACTTCGACGAAACTGCCTTCCATCGTATATGTCCATCCTCGGCTCTCCAGCTCTTTGCTTGTGCTGTAGATCTGTCGCAGAGCTCGTGGGATCATTCCGTCATCGGAGGACATTGTGAACGTCTTGCCCGAGCCCGTTTGACCATATGCAAAAATGCACACGTTGTAGCCGTCGAGCGCGGATTGAATCAGTTGACTGATTTCCTCAAAGATCTCGGCATTGTTGCTGGTAGGATCGAATACTCTGTCAAAAGAGAACTGGTGCGTTTTGGTCGTCACCTTGCCCAGGCTGTTGGTCTCTTCGGGCCCTTTGACTTCGATGTCTTTGGCTTCCTCTTCGGACTCTGGAATCGTGATCTTGGCCGTCTCTTCCGATTGATCACTATTGATGGTCGGTCGGACACGACAGAACACCCGGATGTTGCCCTTCAACTCCTGTACTTGATTGTGTAGTTTTCGTCGAAGCATTTCCTCCTTCCTAAGTTTTTCCTCGCACTCTGTCGCCTTCTCGAGAGCTTCATTCATCCTCCTCTCCATGGCTGCGTAAGCTTCCGATTGAGACTTGTTGTCAGATTCGAGATATTCGATCTTGGCTTGCAAGGCTTGCCGTGAACTCTCCATGGCAACTGCAGTAGTCCCAGCCGAGGCCAGGTTCTGCCGAAGTTCGTCATTGAGCATCTGCTCTCTTTCAAGGTCGACCTTCAGCCGTTCAACTTCCATACTGATGGTCCTGATTTCCTGATCCTTTGTCTGGAGGTCCATTTCGTGTCGTTGCTTCTCGAGGGCGCCTTGTGTGGAGACTTGAGCCAATGCCTGTAGTCGTTGACTCCGTTCACTTTCCAGTTCCTCCTCTAATCTTCTCTTCAAGTCCCTTATTTCTTCTCTGTGATCGGCCTTGAGGCGATCCATGTCTTCCCGGTGAGACTGCCGGATGGATTCCGAGTCTATTCGGTGTTGACGTTTGAGGTCTTCGACTTCTTCCTCATTGTCTCGTTTCAATTCGTGATTCGATCGTTCGGCGGCTTCAAGGCGGTATTTTGTTGTCTCCAATTCACATCTTAGAGCTATCATTGCTTCTGTCAGGTCTTTCCGTTCTTGTTCGAGGTTCGCAATGGTGGACTTGTAGGAAGTGTTGACCTCTTTCGCTTCGACGTTGTCCTCCATGGCTTGTTTGTAGTGCCTGCACACATCCTCGTACATTCGTTCCATATTGCCATATTGTTCCTCGGGATCCCAGGCTTCTAAATCAGAATACTTTGTCAGAAAGACTTCCTTTTGCTTTTTGCGGGGAGATGTGGCAGTCAGTTTGGGGAAAGGCTGGGGGGCGAAATGATGCTTCTCCGGTCCACTGGGAGTACACGGAGACGGTCGGGGAATCCTCGAAGGGCTGTCTGGTTGCTTTGCCTTGGGGGTTTCTGGGCCCAACGAAAGATCTGCCAGGCCGTTGGTGATTGAGGAGGTGGACGACAGGTCACGTTTACCCGGGACCGGACGCACATGCAGACCAAGGGCTTTGTTGGTGGAGAAACTTCGAGGCAGTCTCTTTTGTATACACACAGATCCATTGACTGGGGCACGGGCGCCAAAGGGCAGGGAGAGGTTGGAGATAGAAACCATACGTTTATTAGGGCCTTCCTGGTTTCCTCCACGAGTTCCTAGAGATGTAGCAGGCCTCGAGTCGGCCATTCTCGTCGCTCTTTCTTTCGCCAGCGAAGATTTCGGTCGAGCAAGGTTCGAAGACGCGTGAATACTCGGTGGTCGGATCCCGCTGCCCACGCTGGCTGAAAAGGCAGAGGCTGTCGTCGAGCTTGATGTGTTTCTTGAGTATTGAGAGTTGCTGCGGTGCGATTGGGAGAACGAGGAGGGAGTTCGCGAATGGGTGGATGACATGACTGCGGCATGGGTTGGAGCATTGGATCTGGGAGCAGCAGGGATGCCTTTGATGGGCTCGCCGGCACGCTGAGCCAATGTTTTTCTTTTGAAGTCAGGCTCTGGTACTACTTGGATGTCAGCTTCTTCCTCCTCTTTGTTGTTCTAAGGCACAAACAATTCGATCCTTGTCTTTTATGTCCAATATAGGTCGGTGGAGGCATGGCATTGCGTGAGTTATGTGCTGAGGCGCTGAGTTCTGTCAATTGTTTCTGAGGTGATGCCAATGTATGCCGCGTGGGCTGCGGCAACTGAGAGACGAACTGTGAATTCATAGAGTCAGTGGTGGTAGTGGTAGATGCAGGGGTTGTAACGCGTACGTTCTCAGTGTCAGCCATGTTGAAGAGGAAGACCAGTTGAGCGATGTTCGAAACAATAGGTTTAGTGAGGGTCGAAACCCATGTCCAGCTTGGGCGCGTCTGGCGGTGGTTTGTGGTCGTCAAGGTGAATTGTACAAGATGATGAGATGCGATGAAGGTCGCAATCACAATCATTGCAGCCGCCAAACCAAAACATGTTACCCTATTAGGCAAGGCGTGGCATGTCGGATCATGTGACGAGGCTGAGCAGGCTGCCCATCCACCAATCACAACGCGTCAGGCTGAGTGACTGCACGAGGAGAATTGGCATGCATGTTCAAAGAAATACTCCAGAGTCAACGGGATGTAGAACTGAAGGTACAACTGTCCAAGGCTCCTACTATGACCAACTACTCTTTCCCAATCACAAAGTTTGACACCAGGTCTGCACGAACAATGGGAACCCGGGCACGATCTCAAGCGGGGCAGCAACTCCTTCTATGGTGTTGACGGGGCATGAAAGGGAGTCCAAGAGACAAGAACACCATAGCAAGTACAGATTGGGACGCCTCACTCTGGACCTCTACCAGTTAGCGATGTCTTTTCTCTCGACATCTTGCACATCCTTGCCCGCCCCTTCCTTGATAACCTCATCTAGCACCTTGAAAAGGCCTTCAACTTCCTCCACTGTGTTATAGTGCAGTAAAGAGACTCTCACCACTCCATCATCGGCATCTGGAATCTTCAGAACATTCTCAAGGAGACGCTTGCTGTAAAAATGGCCGTTTCGGCAACCATAATCGGAACGGGCTTCTATGGCATCGATGATTCCAAGAGAACTCTGGCCCTTGACTCTGAAACTGATGACAGGATGGCGCAGATGCTTATCCGAGGTGGGCTCGCCATAAATCTTGATCTGATCCGGTTTTGATCGCAGGTAAGACAGTAAGACTTCCTGAAGCTTCTCTTCCTGGCTCTCCATTGCGTGCCAGCCCACTTTGTCGATGTATGCGACCACCTCTGGGATGGATTGAACGCATTCATAACTGCCAGCAGCCAGGCCCATCATCTCCTCCAAAGTGTTCCGGGATTTGAAGAAATGGCCGAGAGTCTGAAGTTGTTCTTGCGCCTTCTTGCTGGCGTATAACATGGAAACGTGTGGACCGTACACTTTGTACCATGAGAAAGAGTAGAAATCCACCCCGAACGCCTTAACGTCGATAGGCGCATGAGGAGCGTAAGCCACAGCATCGACGCAGAAAAGGGTGTCGGGGTTGGTGTCGCGGATGACTTTGGACAAGGCCGCTACATCTGTGATGGTGCCGAGAATGTTGGAGGTATGTGTACAACACACCAGGCGTGTCTTGGGCGACAACAAAGCCTTCAAGTCTTCAGGCTCTAGTCTCGGGTTGGAGTCAGTGTTCTGGGTGGGGATCCACCATTTGATGGTCAATCCCTTCCACTGTGCCAGCTGAACCCATGGCGCAAGGTTGGCCTCATGGTCGAGATTGGAGAGAATGATTTCGGAGCCGGGTTCGATCTTCAAGGCTATCGAAAGATTGCGGAAAAGTTGTGTGGTCGAGGGGCCAAAGACCACTTCGTCTGGTGAAGCATTGATGTACTTTGCGCCCGCGGCATGGCCTTGATTGAACTTGTTCGTCGACGTCTGAGAGATTGGATAGGAGGCGCCCAGTTGAACATTGTTGCTCGCCAGATAGTTGGATATGGAGGCAATGACCGACTTCAGAACCTGTGCGCCTCCAGCATTGTCCATGAAGACCTGCTTTTGGGCAAGGGCTGGGAATTGTGCCCTGATCGCGGCGACGTCGAATGGTTCGACGGCCATGATGAAGCCTCTTTCTCGAACTGGGACAATTGTTTCTAACTTCAGAGTTACACGTCTTGATTCGACTGCGAGGAGGGCTGCTTCTGTTCTTGTCTCTCTTCTATCAGGTCATAGGAATACCAATTGTTCAAGAAGAAGCTGGTGAGCCGGTGATGGGTGATATATGCTCAAAGAGGAAGGTGATAAGGGTGGACAATTCTCCGCTTCTGGGGAAAATGCAACGAGAAGCAAGTGTGTGATTGATGGATTGTGTCCAAGCCCGACGCCCTTCGACGTTCATGATTCGTGTCTCCAAACGGGCCACTCTTGTCTGGGGCCATTTTGTTGAAGTAACCCGACCATACAAGGCCATTCATTACAATCTCCATCTCTTTCATCTCCAAACTCAAAGGAGATTCGTTGCGACGAGGATTGAAGTTGAATCTCGATTTCTATCTTTCTCGGGGTCTATCGTGCGTATCCGATAAAGCAGCCAGTTTATTTGTCAGAATCGAGAGATGAAGCCGCCAACTACAAACCGCGACAACCTCCGGCATGTACCGGTGAGGGTTATACACCGATGAGGGTTATACAATGTCTACTTCGACGTCTTCCACTCCCCCACTGAACCGGGGACATTTGTATTCCAGAAAGTTTGGACCGGAGACAAGAAGTGGTTCTACGAGCACCAGCTCACCAAACCCTACTATGAGCCATACACGGCAGCGACGAAGCCAATGTGGTTGACAGACCGAAAGATGGAGTTCCTCGACCCCGTGGACGGATGGAGTTATGTCGACAATGCCTACTTGGCCGGCACCGTCAACCCTTGGGGAGAAATTGAGGGCATGCTCACGCCAGAGATCGGGAAACTACGTTGAAGAATGCTTTGAAAAAAGAAAGAGTTCAGGCATCCTCGGCCGCACCCTAAGTAAGGCAACATCAAGCAATCTTTGTTCTGCACTCCAAGGAGCATTTCAGTGGCGTTGCTAATATATCAAAGCCCGCATTGCCGACCCAGTCATGCTTGCTTCTGATCATGTCGATTGTCATGGTATTCGTGGTCTCGTCCAGCACATCTACTGCCGTGTGTCGCGCTGAGCAGCATCTTTTCAGCAATCATTTCTTTTTGTTCTCCGGCCGATTTTCACACTTGGTGGTAGCCTTGCTAGTCTCAGGACGTGCATCTGCGTCTGCGGATGGCTTCTGGTTCTCTCCTACCATGGTCTTCTTCCACTCGATGAATTCCACGTCCTTCTCCCCGCCCATGTATTCGGCCCATGCTGTGAACTCCTGGTTGGTTCGCGATCTCATTGGCATAGGTGGTAGATCTGAGACCGTCTTCTGGCTTTCGGCGTACGACTCTTTCCTCGACTCAGTATCTTTCATGATCCGTTCCATCTGATCCTTGAGAGCGCTCGCATTCTCGTTGGGCCGAGGCATGACGGTATGGTTGATACTGCTTGGTGAGTTGCTGTGGGTTTCGTTGTCGCTGAACGGCAGGATGCTGAACAGGCCTGGTATTTCTCCTTCCCAGAGCGTGGATGATAACGAAAGTGTATTGCAGCAATATCGAATCGTTGTACGTATTCATGTGTAAACCAAAAGAGGTGCTCACCTTGTGTTGTGATTTATATGGATGCAGTTTGTAACATCTTTACACCACAGTCGCATCACGCAGTGACGGACAGTTCCTGTCGTAGCAACTCACCGTGACTGCCTCGAGGTGTCGGACCCATATTCACAACAGGATATTCAAGTCGCGGAGAAAGTGAAGGTGCTGGGGGGAGCATCGAGAGCAGCACGACGTGCACGATTCGATATGAAAAGGTACATTTATTGAAGATGATCCTGATCTTGACTCTTCACTTTGTTACCCTCCAACCGGACCGAAACGCACGGAACGCAAGGCTGGCGGGAGGACGGAACACGGGCTGACAAGGATTGAGAAGGACTGCGTAGTTTTCGGGATTGACCTTGAGCTACTAGTATGTAGAGCACACTGGATCTCGACCTCTGATGTGTAAGCATCGTAACAGCGAATTAAGAGGCCCTGCTCCGGGAAGCAAGGCACATGCTTTCTCTTCACTGCGGCGGGGACCCAACTGGCGGTTCAGTACCTCGCATAAGCACAGTCCAACGCAACTCCAATGGCCCACAAATATCATAAGATGCATGCAGAGGGCAAGACCCCTAGGCGAAGAGGAGCAACCCGAGGTATGTGAAGCCGCGTATATTCGTCGTATATTCATTTTCGAAGAGAGGATGGGCCGAGTGGAACCAGCAGCTTGCGGTGGTCGGCGAGTCGCAGCGGCAGTGGCAGTGGCAGCGATGACGATGATAATGATGATGATGATGATGATGAGGGTGAGTGTGAGGGATAAGGAGACAGTTGACACGGGCATCGTCGGCAAATGAATTGTACCCTTGAAATCAATACGTAGTAATGTGTGTGTGTGTGTTGTTGACCGTCGACCATTTTACATTTCAAAAGTGCATGTGAAAGAAAAGTAGAACGAGGGTCACACACACGCACACAACACACACACACACTTCGCACTTCGAGGACAGACAGCATCACAACCACCACAACCAACAACCACCACCAGCCCGCCGCCTTCATACTACATCATCATCGCCCTCAGCCTCCACTCCCTAACTCGCTGCGCCTTCAATGCTTGATACCCACCATCGTTCTCCCTCCGAGTGGATTCTACAGAACAGACTCGCCCAGTCTCACCACAGCCTGCCTTTTTTTCTCCAATTCCGAACAGATACCCAACGCCTCTGCCATGTACCGGTCGTTTGCCTGAACCAGTCGCTCGTGTCCAGCTTGCTTTTCGCACAGATGACCTCTAGACCTGTCGCACATACCACTCTCTAGCATGTGTCATTCGTTTTCCCTTCAAAGTGCTCGGATTTGACATTGCGATTCTGCTTTTGCTTTTTCCCTGCGGTACAAGGGCCTTTTCGAGATGGAGAAGTTCTCGCAGTTTCGCGACAAAGGTGAGACCACCTATGCAGTATAAAAACAACGAACGAGCAGTTGGCGGTCGCTAACTTCGTTGTATAGGCTCTGGTATCGCACCATTCCTCCCTATTCCGACCGAGTCTGCAGGCCTGCAACTCCCTTTTCACATTTTCCTCTTCGTCTGTCGAGTGCCTCTCCTCCTGATCTTCGCTCTTTCATACTTCCTGGTCCTCCAATGGATGCCTATAGGAGTGCTGGGCAGGAAGGCTTCGCTATGGTGCATACTGGGCTTACCAGGTATCTGGTGGGTTGATCTACAAATCGATGGAGTGAAAAAGGGGTATGCAAGGCGCCTGAAAGAGTCGGATCGTGTTCAGCATGTGCTGACATTCACAGGTCTTTGGCAAAGAACAGCGCCAGTCTCCCTCAAGCCGGCTCCATCATTGCGTCTTCGAGCGCTTCTCCCATCGATGCGCTGTATCTATCTGCAATCTTCGACCCGTTGTTTGTCGCCAGCTATCCGAGTACCCGACTCGTGCAGCCCATCTCTCTCTTCACCGCCCTATGCCGGGCCTTCTCGCGTCCCCAACTCAATCCTCCCGCGAAAGCGAAACTGGTGGACCTAAAGACATATCTGAAGCAAAATCCAAGTCGCATTGTTGCCGTCTTTCCCGAATGCACGACTTCCAACGGGAGAGGAATACTACCCATGAGTCCTGCGCTATTGACTGTGCCACCACGCACCAAGGTGTTCCCCGTCAGCTTGCGATATACACCGCCTGATATAACCACGCCAATCCCGCACGCCTACTTTACATTCCTGTGGAACTTGTGCAGCAAACCAACCCACTGTATCCGGATTCGGATCGCGGAACCAGTATACAACACTTCAAAGCGAACTCCCGAACCAGTTGTCGCGAAGACTTCAGCTTACGCCACGAATCATTTCGACACCTTCGGTACCGACAGTGCGGCAAGCGACGCGGACACGCTCGTGGGCAGCGAAGAGCTCGAAGGCCCCACGACGAACGAAGAGAGAGCGTTTCTCGACAAGGTTGCCGAGGCTCTGGCTAGGCTGGGACGTGTCAAGAGAGTCGGCTTGGGGGTCAAAGAGAAGATTGCGTTTCTGGTGATGTGGAAGACATCGCGGAGAAGGCGATGATCATGGTGATCAACAGAGCGAAATGAGCCGCGGATGACCCGACAGAGCCGCACAAGGCTGCAAGAGGGTACAGCGAAAAAGGTCGAGGCTGCGCATTGACACCATCACTATCAGCCCGATTCCGGAAGCACGTTCTAGCTTTTCCAACGGTCATTTATTGTACCCAACTCGGAGATGGTGAGATTGGACTCCCGTCAAAAAGCCGCTCATTCCGGCAGCTGGCGTCTTGGGCGCGACTGCTGCAATTTGCGAACACCCGGTCTGTGCGCGAGTGCAACTTTGGGCAACGAGCAATATACACAGGACACGACACACTATATTATTTTATTGATTATCCACCCGACGTCGCTTCGCACGATATGAAACGGATTCGGCAATTTGCTCCTGCTACCCTTCGCCTTCGTGGTCGCCGTATAACGTGTCTAGCATCGATCAGCACTCACAACTCAACAGCCCTGGTCCTGCAATAGCACCTGAATCAGCTGGATGAGTTGAATAGAAGATCACGTCCGCTCTCACCGCTCGAAGATCCGAACGACTCACAATTCGATTGCGCGCACGACTCTTCCCATCCGATGTCTCTTCTTTCGGTTCTCGCTTTCGCACTCACACTCGCCCCGCGCCTCGCGCATGCCGCGACACAGCTGAGTTTCTTCGAGCACAGCTCTTGCAATGCCGGAACGTCGTTCGATATGTATGCGGACCCCAACCCGCTCACGGCCGACACGTCATGTCATCAGTTTTTGAATGGTACGGTCGCCTTCTATGTCAATCAAATCGACCAGGGCTGTTCCAGTGAGTTTACCCCGAAATTCTTGTCCTTTTGTCCCATATGCGACCTTGACGTGGTTGTGTATGCCATGGTAATGGCATTGTTGGTCTCCCTTCTTCGAGGAACAGAAGACATGGACGATGAGTCTCAAACGTGTATCTGCCTCTGTTACTTCTTCTAAGAATTAGTCACTGCCCTCGATTGTGCCTTTGCTACTGCTACCCTGTTCCCGTCTGTATTCGTTGTCTAGCCCAGTGGCCTACATTTCTATCCTCCCTCTCAACCAAGTATATGTCCATGTCTCTAACAACTCCGTGTCAAATAGTCCGCTCCTATCTCTCTTCCAACTGCGACCCATCGACATCGTCAATAGCCGGCATCCTCATCGCCGTCGGCACATGTTTCTACGTCGACGAGGGCGTCAATCTAGGTTCCTGGCGACCTGACTGTGCGGGCGTCGACTACTCGTCCTCCAACGGCCTGGACAAAGGCAACTCCTACTCGAACGGCACCAACACCGCCCCGGCCGTCCAGTCTGTCCTGATGACCGCCACGGGCGGCGTCGTCACTTTCACGGGCGTCACGGCTTCGCCGACCTCGAGTGCCACCCCGATTTCGACTTCGACTGCGACACCGACCACGGCAACCGCTGCAGCCGGATCTGCCAGTGGTACCGCGGGTGCAGCGTCAGGTTCGAGCGCGAGTGGCACGAATGGTGCGGCGGCCAGCGCGAGTGCAACTTCAACGACGAAGGCCACGAGTGGTGCGGCGGCCATGTTTGGAGGGTTCGGCGACGGATCGTTATGGGTGGTCGAAATGGGCGCGCTTATGGCACTTCCGATCTTTTTCTAAAGTTCAACAGTAGAGTTGAGTGTGATATGCAAACGTCCACTATCGACTGTTAATTGTTGACTGTTGACACGGTCTGCATTCGAGACTGTGGTAATTACTAGTACTCAACACCACTAGTTAAGAAACAGCATAGATAGCATAGAACTACTATCAATACCACAAACTACGGTGTACAGAGGCCTAGAGTGGGCGCAAACCCGAACTGTTCTCGAATAGTAATAAAAAAGACAATGGCTAGGCGACCAGCAATGTATAAATAAGCCAACCCACGCACGTAGACGAACTCGAACGATTTACCAACTTTCATTTCTGACAATGGCAATGGCAATGGCAATGGCAATGATTTATGGATACGACTATCACTGTGACTGTGACTGTGACTGTGACTGTGACTGACTGCCGTGCTTTATGATAAGGCTGGATCGAGCCCTCCATCATCTCCCGAAAATTCGCAAATTCGCAAGGTATCTCGCAGTAGTAATAGCAGCAGCAGCAGCAGTATCAGCAGCATACGAATATGCATACTAGCCATTGTATGGCCGGCGAAAGAGAGACTCAGCTCCCAGCTCCCAGCTCCCAATAACCGTCAATTCATGGCCACGCACCCTCTATCTCCATCTCGAACCGGCTCTCTCTCCCTCGGCCAAGCCCCGCTCGAGCTCATCTTCGTATTTATACATGATGCGCCTGCTGCTTGCAGTCCCTCCCGCCCCACCAGAACCAGGACCAGAAGCAGAAGCAGAAGCAGAGACATTGGCTTTCGCGGCCTTCTCACGCCGCTGTTGCTCCTTGAGCATTCTCTCGCGGTTGCGCGCCTCGCGTTCCAGAGTGTGCGGATCCTTCTCCGCTTCTGCGGCAGCCGAAGGAGCCATACTACCAGCCGTTGCTGTACTGGAACGGTGGTGGGTGTTGTGGGAGCGGCCGTTCAAAGTAGCACTAGACACAGACATAGAGACAGCCGCGGATGCTTGGTCTTCGGCGCGGCGGTGGTCGCGCTTGTGTCGGCGTGACCGGTGCCTTGAGTCGGGGTCGTCTGCTTCATGGTCCTGGTTGTGGCCATGACCATGGCCATGCTCGTAGTCGTAGTCATAGTCGTGATGTTTGTCGTCTTCGCGGTGCCGGTCGTGACGGGACCGTTTGCGGTCGCGGTCTCGATATCTCTCGTCTCGAACACGGTCGGAGTCGCGATCTTTGTCTCGGTATCTGTCTTTGTCTCTCTCTCTGTCCTTTTCGCGGCGTCGGTCTCGCTCTCGGTCACGGTCACGATCTCGATCATCATATCTCGACGACTTGCCGCTTCGATGGTGTTTGCTCTTGCTTTCACCATCTTGTCCGTCCCTATTAGACCGGATCGAATCGTCATAGTCTTCCATCTGATGGTCTCCATCTCCGTTGGCGGGTTCTTCTTCGCGATAGCGCCGAGACTGGCCGGCTTCCTGTTTCGCCCATGAAGACAAGAGCTTCTCTTTGTCGCCTCGACTTCGACGCGATGGTCTTCTATCGGCCGATGCTGACCGTGAATGTGAACCTTCTCGATCTTCTCTGTCATAGTCATCCCGAGAGTCTTGCTGTTTGGTGGACGTGCGATATTGCTTGTCTTTATCCCGATGAATGGCCTCGTCTGCCTTGTCAACTTCCCCTCGTCCACGGTCATGTCTGTCCTGTCTGGACGGTCTTCTCGAAACATCCCGATCTCTTGACCCCTCGTAGTCATGCGTCGGCGTTCGGCTGTGCGTCCGTTCAATTTCTCGAGATTCTGACCTCTGAGATGGCCTCGACGCCCTACCCATGATTTGAAACCCGGTACTAGCTGGTTGAGAAACTGGTCTGGCGGGCACAACTGGCTCGCGCATCGCTCTAGGACCCGTTGGCGCACCTAGGACTCCCACGCCTTTGGGCTCCGAGGGTGCTTGCACGGCCGGTCTTACGGGTGAAGCAGGGTGTCCATTCGAGATCGCCGTGGCACCTTGGCCGCGGGATGGGAACCTACCATGTTGTCCCCGAGAGCGGAACCCGTAGTCTTTCACGTGTTCACCGTATTGAGCTGAAGGGCCCAGTGGCGCCGACGGCGGTGGCATCGGTACATGAAGGTCTTCGCTGTATGCTTCTGGTATTGGTTTGTCTTGGTCAGCACCTTGCACATCACGGATCGGGCCGGTGGAGTGAACACCAGCAACTTCATCTTGAGCCGCAACACCTTTGGTCTGCATCTCAGGTGGATCTTGATCCGTCTTTTCTGGCTCCTTGCCTTCTGCACCTTCATTTTGTGGCGCCGCGGCACTGTCCACAGAGGGCTTCTCGTCGCCGGCAGAGGATTTCTGATAATCATCTCCGAGCGCTTCTAATACCTCTTCTTGACCGCCGGGGGCGAATTCGTCGTCTTCATGGTTGGTCTCCGCCAAGTCATTCTTCGGTCTGGAGGCGGCCGCTGCATCGTAGGAGCGACTCTCCGGATTCTGCGACTGCGATGTTTGGCTATCGTACTGTCTCTGATCAAATCCATTCGGGTGTCCCTGTTGATGGTATTGCGAGAACTGATGAAAGTTACCACGGCCTCTACCATAGCCGCCGCGGCCACGTCCACGACCTCGACCAGGGCCTCGGCCGTAGTAGCCACTTTGAAAATCACCATTGGGATATGATGGTTGGAAGTTGCCATTGGGGGCCATATTGAAACCATAGTTGGAGCCAAAGTCACCACCCATGCCATTCGAGAATGCATTTGCATTATTATTCTGCCACATATTGTTGTTGGGTTGGCCATTATTCCAGCCAGAAAACATCCCCTGGTTGGGAGTAAAATTCATGCCCATGTTCATGCCATTCATGCCTCCATTGGGACCGCCAAATCCGCCAAACATGCCAGCCGACATCGGATTCATACCCATAGGCATTCCTGGAAGGTCGTTAGTCACACAACTATCATCGACTGGAGAGGAGTCGCAACTTACCCATCATCGGATTGAACCCAGCCATACCATTCGCCGCCATCATTTGCATCATTTGATTGTAGTCCATATTGCTGAAGCCGGTCATCATGTTTTGAAAATCCATCCCGCTCATACCTTCTGGGTTGTTGGATGGATCTTGGGAGTCTGCTCCCTGTTCGGAGACAGACACAGGCTGATCTCGCGGTGTTTCTTCCACATTCGTCACGCGTTGGGTGGATATCTCTCGGTGGTCATCCTCGATGTCAACCTGAATGTCAACGTCGTCGTCAAGGTCCGCCGAATCAGGGTCCGGGTCCTGTTATAGCGTTAGAGGAATTGATGAGTCAAAACGTGCAGGCGGCTTACCTCGATCGAAGGCTGAACGTCAACAGCAGGTGTGCCATCGGTCTCCGTAGTCTCGACCAATTGGGGCTGGTCACCTGTCGCTGTTGCCGTCGCAGGAGAGACCTCTTCCTGGCCATCTCTGTTTCCATTCTCATCCACTGTGTTGTGTGGAATAGGTGTCTCTTCTGTGGTGGCTGATTTTGCGCGTTCATCCACCCTGGTCTTCTCTACCGTCTTCAAGTAGGCTTTTATGGTGTTGCGCATGGCTTTGTTCGGTTTGCAGACATCGGACGTGAAGGGTTTGTGGTCACAGACAGGACAGCTGACATCGAGAGCCTTGTTGAAACCTGCTAGATGTGAGTAGCCGATCCAGAAGGAAAGATAGATGGTCTTACAAGACTCGCAGATGTAGCCATCACAGCAGGTGGACTTGTAAGCGTTGAGGTTGAATTGGTGGCAGGATGCACAATGCAGTTTATCAGGGACCTTTTCCCAGTCCAACGTCCTGCCAGGAGTTAGCGAAAGTTGGTAGAAACAAAGGTCTCTCTCCACATACTTGACGATGGCTGTTAAGGAAGGATCCAGTGTTGAAGTGGCCATGGTGAGGTTGGTTGCTTATGTGTGAATGGTGGCCGACAGCGTCCGACAATCCAGCGACCGGGACGAAGAAGTTGAAGGCCGCCGCAGAGCAAACGCCATAACCTGACGATGGAAATGAAATGGCAATGGAAGGAATGAATTTGTTTTCAGATGATGCACAGGTCAATATCTGAGGAAATGACAATCATATCATGGTGAAGAGAGTCGACAGATCAGAGAAGCGCAGTTGCGAGTTCTGGCGCAAACGCAGGCAGTTGAAGTTCTACAGGATTGCTCAGTGTCCTGCTAAACTTGTGTACACAGCTGAGGCCCGTGGTAGCGAGTGCAGATTAGTTGAATTCTGTGGTACTAATTAGTACGTACTAAAAGTGTGATAAGATGTGATAACATGCTCTATCTTACACTACTTACACTATCTCACACTATCTCACTTCTAGTATGGCCACCACCGGCCCTTTGATCTTGAGATCAAATCCGAACATACCTAAAGTACCTACCTACTACGTACAAGAGTATGGTCTGTACCTGATCTGCATCCGAACTTTACTGTGGTTTCTGCCGTGCTTGTAGAGATGAAGTCACCAGTACACATCAACGGCACGGATCCATCAAGGGAAATGATTTACATGATCTACATACTCTTCTAGATTTCCGAAGTCGTTCGCTGCCTTCTCTCAATATCCTAGTTGCCTCTGTTCCAATCAAGGCCATGCAGTGACTCTGCCCCTCCCCAACGAAGCCATGATCCTGGGTGCTATCAGTGGACTTGACTGTGTTGCATTTGTCCTCTTCCTGGTTCCCCAGCTGGTCTACCAGATAGAACTGTCTTGTCTGGCGCTTGTCCTGACCAGAGTGATACCATTTCTAGGTGAGCAACACGATCTCTCTCGAGATATCGAGTCGTACTAACGAACTTCTTACAGTTGTCCAGCTCCCGTATCAGCTGGCCAAAGAACGATATTTCACACAGCCTGAGAAGCAATCTTGCTTTACTCAGAACGCAACCATCTTCCAAGACGTAGTGGTGCGTTGTGTTCGATATGCATTTGCCAACATCCCCGCCAACGTGGGACGAGTGTTCTTCTCCAAAGGCGTCTCACTTCCCTTCTTCCGATTCCGTCTCTTGAGACATGGGTATTTGCATTGCCCGCTGTATTATCAAGAAGTCATCCGATCTGGATTCCGAGGTCTTTGGATTATCGACGACCCCGATTCTGAGCCCGACATTATCATCTACTATTGTCACGGTCAGTTTCCCGGGGTCCAGCATACCGGCCCATGAATGTATTGACTGAATTGTGGTGCTAGGAGGTGGATTTTCCATGGGATCATCGTATTTTTATGTAGAGTTCCTCATGGCCTGGGCCACGCGGCTGAAAGAGAGCGGCTTCCATAATCCGGCTGTCTTTGCCCTGGAGTATACCCTCGTACCCGATGCACAGTGGCCGACACAATTCAATGAAACTCGTGCGGGCTACACATTCCTGCGTGAGGCATTTGGCGACGCATCCGCCCCCAAAATCTGTGTTAGTGGCGACTCTGCCGGGGCGACTTTGATATTGAGTATGTTGCTCCAATCCGGTCGGGTTGACCAAGATCCACAGCTTCAAGCCTTGCACCGACCATGTCTGGCCATCTTGCTTTCGCCATGGACACATCTTGTGTCAGAATTGAACCGGAACACGACCAGTGATTACCTGGATAAGGACAGCCTGGAGCTGTACGCGAAGCAATATGCAGGCGAGGGGGCAATGATCAACAGCATCATCTCGCCTGGGCTGAGCACGGCCCGTTGGAAACAAGCATCACCGCTGAACGGTTACCGCATCATTTATGGAGCTGAAGAAGTGTTTAGCCCAGGGATCCAAGAGACAATACGGCATATGAAGAACAATGGGGCCATGGTGAAGGTTCATCAACAGGAGGCAGGAATCCACGCATGGCCGGTGGTTAATTTGTTTCTTGGGAACACCCGCGAGGAACGATTGCAGGGTTTGGATATCATGACCGAGTTCATCCTCTCCTCAAGTCTGGCGCCAAGGGTGTAAATGGACCAATAAGATGGATGCTGCCTTGCACCTCACTTGCAATACACATGCCATCAGATTAGATCAAGTTTTATGGTCTGTCACGGAAGGCTTCAGGTTTGCTCCGCAGCGACCACAGTCTGTGAGACGGGGTTGCTGCATCGCGGTTCTTTCCCAGAAGCCATCTTCAGCATGTTCTGTCATCACTTGGCAGCGACCGCAAGAGATCCAGGGCGCAGGCCTATGTACCTATGTATGGGAGAAGCCAAATCTGGTGTCAGTCAAAGATACATACGGTCTGGTAATCGCGATTGGCATAGCAAGCATTTGGGAGAAGATTGTATAAAATACTGCTATCACCTAGTAAGGTCCACATTGTAGCGTTTTTGTAACATGTCTGCCTGATAAGGCCCGGCGCCTGCGTGAGGACAAAAGCCGCTGAGCTGAGCGATGGTGGGAGTAAAGCAAGCATGACCTCAGTGTGATGCCTTTCTGGCACTCAGGTCCAAGTCAAGGCAGAGAGATTGAAGAAAATGTTAACGAGTTAAAACGTGTATCATATCAAGCATTTAGCAACACTAGTTCAGGGTAGGACTAGTACCTGACAGCATCGCTGCGGATGATGATGGATGACATTTCAGCATAACTGGCCAATCAAAGCCAGCAGCCGCGTCAAACTCTGATATTACTGGTGGATCTTGGATGATCCGATTTCCTGCATCCGCGTCGGCAGAGCTTTTTATAAACACGCGCGCCTCCCTCTCCAGCTGCGCAGCTCGCAGCTCGCCCCCTTCCACTCTGCACCTGCAGTCAAGTCACTGACACTTTGCCAACCAAACTGCCCCTCATCACTGCATTTATTATTCATCATTTACAAGGTTGTGACTCGCACTACAGAGTAAGAGTACAGTCCTCCTCGCCGCCAACTGGTTTCACCACCCACCACTGGCACCTCTAATTAGCTACCGACCATCACCTACCACCTTACCTATTCGCTCTATTCCGTCGGTGCCATACTGGTCAGACTGACACGATCAAACCACGTGGTCTTCACCTGCACCCTTCTCCTATACTACGCACCTATACTACTACGCATCTACACTGTACTTGTCTCCTAGGAGCAGGCACTGGCTACGTACTGCCATCTGACTGGTTACTGGTCACTTCACGTGATATCATAACAGAAACCACTACCACTGCAGAACTGCGAAAGTACAATAACTTGATAGCACTTGCCTCTCTGCCTCACAATGAAGAGCAGGGGTGTTGTTTGATCAGGTTGTTTGGTTCGGTCTGTTCAACATGTCTGTACCTACAACACAGTGTCTTTCAGTATCTCTCGCGGAAAGCTCAAAAGCCAATATCAACGTCCACCCCAGTATTCCAGCCACTCACCACCATTTCATCCTCTATTCTCCGCCTGCACTGAGCAATGAGTGACGAACACGATAAGTATCGCCCTCGTTCTCCGGATCTGTCAGGCTTCAACGCCCCACCGCCTAGACTCAGTCGCATTCCCTCGTACTCATATACAGCGTCACCCTTCTTTTCGCCGCAAAACACCACTCCATCAACCTCCTATTTCGGGCCCCGGGCTCAGTCGTCCGTCCCGCCCCAGTCTTATTCACCTTCGACCGCCAGAACTCCAAGTCTACCCAATTATCCTTCATTTCCAAGTCACCCACAACACCAACCACTGTTACCGTCCTACAGCAACCCTTCTCCCTCACATCACACACAGCCTCAGTTTGCTCAGCCATATAGTCCGACAAACGCAAATCAACCTTTGCCTCAACCTCAATTTCAACCTCAACCATTCTCACCGCCACCCTCAGGCCTCAGTCAACCGTATCACGACATGGCCCGCACGCGGCAGAGAAAGGCCGCCGAAGATGTGGGTCCGGATTTCAACCCGAACCACCAGGCAAATGACGCCCAAACCATCAAACACGAGCAGCTACAGCCCCCTCAGCCACTCACGTCTGTCGTGGCCCAAGATCCCTCACACGGTATTGAGGTGAAGACGAAGTTTCCGGTGGCACGTATCAAGCGCATCATGCAGGCGGACGAAGACGTCGGCAAAGTTGCACAAGCTACTCCCACCGCTGTCTGTAAGTATTACCGTTTGTTTGTGGCTCCTGACTAAACTAACGTGTCTTCCAGCTAAAGCACTTGAGCTCTTCATGATAAGTCTGGTCACGAAGGGGGCATCAGAGGCCAGAGCAAATGGGTCCAAGAGGGTCACCGCCCAGCATCTCAAAGTAGCCTTGATGAAGGACAGTCAGTTCGACTTTTTGACCGAAATCTGCGAAAGCGTACCCGATGAAGGGTCCAAGAAAGGCAGAGCGAAGTCTGAGGCGAAGAGTGAAGACAGCGACGAGGATATTGCCCCCAAAAGGAAAGGAAAGTCGAAAAAGAGGAAAGCTAGCAGCGATGACGATACGGAGTGAATTGCTAGCCTCTCGCCTGTGGTCGCCGATACGGCATATTCATCCTAATATTACTAGGGTCTGATTTAGAAGCCCCGACAACATCTAGCTTCCACCGAACTGTCCTGAAGGAAAGATGGTGCAGCTCGATTCGATCATTGTCACATCGTCCATGCACGTGTCACTCAATTGGATACACCTCATTCCCCCGCATACCGACCAATGTCCGTGGTGGAAACCCCTGCTATACTACATATTGAATGACCCGTCAGTCAGGCGACTGCCACAGACACCACGGTCAAGCATATACACTCTGATGCCTGCTGGATGATGACGGGGTGTTGTTTCTCCAAGGCCATGGGGCTTGGTTGATGACAGCCACGAGGATGACAATGCCGAAGAAGCAAGTGAAACCGAGTGCAATCCAGCCGATGACGGCAGAGTAAGCCACCACCACAAGACACAACAAGACAAAAGCTCCCACGGTCAATGCTCCCAAGAGCCCGCTGGCGAAGACCGCATACACTTGGACACTCCATTGACTGGTCTTGCCATTGATCCCGTCCCAGTCCGCAGTCCAATGAGTCTTGAAGAAGGTCAGGAGCGTCGAGCCGAGGGATGCAAACGCCAGTGCAAGCAAGAATAAGAGCCAGCTGATTGCAAGGAACAGCTGGATTTGCTGCGAGTCGAAGGACGGGCTTCGCGACGGTGGAATGGATGTATTGTTTGACAGGACGTAAGAGAAGGTAATGCTTGCGCCCAGCGTTGCAATGCCGATGATCGTGGTGAACAGTCCATTGAAGAAGGTCGACACTGCTGCTCCTGAATGTTTGGACATAGGGCGTATGCGGCCCAGGGAATGTCCATGCTCGGAGCATAATTCAGTGGCAGCCTTTCGTGGATGGGAGTCGCCAGGCGGGTGGTTTCCTGACGAAAGATCGCCATTGCTGTAGCGAAATGACATTCCATCGTTGTGACCATCTCGTATGTCAGGTGTCGGGAAAGTCTCGCTTCCCATGGTGTTGTTTTGCTCTACAGTCATCTTGATCGTGCACGCTTTGGGTTGTGGGGGGACGTCGCGGAAATGGAGGCAGGGTTCATTCAGCCCGGCGAGCGTAGTTGGACCGTAGACCAAACACTTCCCCCCAAGTTTCGAACTGAGTAGTATGAAACGTAAGAGCAGTCGAGAACTCTCGCTCCATGGTAGAAGCACCAAAATATAATGCCTTCGATCATGAAGGCATCCGCTCATGAGTTGGCTGCCTGACCGGGCAAGGGAAGTGACGCCCATCTAAAGAACTTGAAGGCGGTTTCGACCTGCGCAGCCAAAGGCGCAGCCGCGTCCTTCCCCAACTGCCTCTGTTTTGACTGTTCTTGCATCTCTCCTCGCTGCGGGCTTAGCTGGACAATTGCTCCTGATCATTTGCCTCGCAGAACAGCAGTATGAGTCACCGGATATGGACATGGTGAGTCTTTAGCCGACCGGTTTGATGTTGTGCAAGGTTGAACGGCTCTAACCAGCAGATGACTGGCAGCTCACGCGCCTGATCGCCGGCTCAGGCACATCTCCGACCAAGCAAAGAACAAATACACCTGCGGAACGCCTTGCAACCTGTAAGAGCATTTGCAATGCTCTGACTGTGAGTTAGCTGGCCTTATGACCTGTGCCTGCGGTTCCCTCCTCTGACTAGTATAGCAAACCTGGCGCAACGGCAGCCTTGAACGCGAAGACGACGCCGCCATAGTCTATACCACAAAACTCCTGCAACGTCTGGAGACGATCCTCCAGGACGAGTCGCGCAGGGTCGCACCCCATTCCTGCCTGCGTTATGTCGCCTCAAGCCAGACATACATCATCATCACAAAGTTGGCGGTTTCCTCGAGGCATGTGGACATAATCAAGACCTCGGCGGAGTTGTTCCATATCCTCCTCAACGGAGAGACAGAAGGGCTGTTAGACAGCAAGTTGTTCTCAAGGTCCTTGTTAGATCTGGTCTGGTACGCTACAATTGGGGGAAGGATCATTGTGGAAGAACGCTTGGAGACCGATCTGGTTGAACTGTTGTTCGAGATCGCGACCAAGATCCGGTTGGATCCAGACATCCTCCCTGCCTGGTTCTACCCCGACCGTGAGGTTGCCCCCGGCCGGAATGCTGCAGACGACCCCAGAAAGAGCCAATTTCCCCTGTTCCACGTCCTCGTTCAATATGTTCACAATGACGGTTCGGTGGGTGACTTCGCGCGGACGGCATTGCTGTACTTGACGGAGACGGCATCCAAGTTTCGGCCCTTGGAAACATGGATGCTCGAGAGCGATCTAGCACCTCAAATGGCTAGTGGCCTGGGTGCCTTATACAGCAGATTGAGCAGGCAGTCGGTCTATCTCACAAGCCCAATCCCACAACCTCCCATCGTTGTTCTGTCGGACAACCCCCAGACCATTGCTTCGCTCGCCGAGCCGCCCCTGGACGGCCAGCAGGAGCTCAAGTCATTCTTTTCGTATCTGGCGTTTTGGCAAGATACCCTAAGCCACTGCAGATCTGTCGAAGTCTGTGATACCTTGCTTGACCACTTTCAAGTTCTCTTCGTTCAACAGCTTCTCTACCCTTCTTTGCTTGAGTCGTCAGACGTCGAAGGAGGCTCGACTGCAGCGGTTATTACCCACTTGTCGCGAATCCTTACTGCACTCGACCATTTCCAGCTTGTCGACCGCATTTTGCGATACCTTCTCGCGTCGCCAAAGGAGCCCCAAGAAACCTCGGAAAAGTCTCACCGACCACAGCGCATGTCTGTCAGTCGGAGGAAGTCGATAGATCACTTGAAGGCTTTGGCGGAAGTCGACGATAGCCCTTCGCCTGACCTTTTCAACCTTCTTGACCTAATGGTCATGAGCTTGCAGTCTAGTCATTCGGAAACAGTCAGTGCTTGCCTGAAGTTGTTGTCCATCATTGTGCAGAGACACCATTGTCATGTCCCTACAGACGTGTTCAGGCTGGAGCCTGCGTCACGCTTCGCGGGTCCGAGCGAGGTAGATCAGTTCAACGATCACCTTTGCAGACTTTTTGATTATACTGCGGCTATAGCCAGCTATGAAGACATGGACGGTTCTTACCAAGCTGCTCTGTCAGACGGCCAGGTTTTGCTTGAGCAGCACAGTTGTTTCAGGACAAGCCGGGCCGATAACGAGACCCTGGACACGAGACGCATGTCCATCGCCCGAGAATGCAAGCTTTACGATGCGGTCATCGGCTTGCTACGCAACTTTTTCGCCAACGACACCGTCACAAACTTATACCTCACCGAAGCTCTGCTTGCTCTGGCCGCTTGCGAAGGAATGGATCTTCATGGCTGGCTGCTACCTTTCCATGAAAAGGACCAAGCAGAGGATGGTTCTGCTTACAACATCACGTTTATTATTGGCGATTTGATCGAACAAGTCCGCCAGTGGAAATCTCAATTTCCCGGATGGGACAACTTGATTCGTGAGAGGAGGCTACAACTCTCGAAGGAAGATCTACCAGGCCGGCACCCAGAGGAGACAATTACGGCCCAGAGGGGTGATTCACTCCCCAGGCCTCCTCTTTCTGGCCAACCACGGCCAGTCACACCGAGCGGGAAAAAGACAAGAACCACGCGTTCCGGATCAAGAGACCGGCCGACCTCGAAGGCCGGGGCCAGCGCACCCACGCCGGCAGGCGAACATGCTATGACACCGCAAGATCCATCATTCCCTTCCGCATCGTTGCTGAAGACACAGGTGACTCTATTGAATACCAGAGCGCCCGAAGAGGCCTCAGCATCATTACCACTGCACGCCGGGCGCAAACAGGATGGCAGCCCCGAGCCTGGCTCGCATCGTCTCGCTCTGGTGGATCATGGAGAGTCCGGCAGCGTCACACCGGGCGACCAAGACGGCCACACCATACGAAACCAGGCCAGTCTTAGCCATGTGTTGACCAATGCGATCATCCTTCAAGAGTTTATCCTTGAGGTTGCGGCTGTGGTGCAGCTGCGAGCGACACTTTTCGACGAAGTCCGATTCGAGGAATAGATAGCCCAGCAACTGGCAGGAGTCTATCGATTCCCCATAGCGATATCTACATGTTTCGCCTGTACTGTGGCCTCATACCCCATTGACTACAGTGGACAATGTTCTATCTTCATATTCCTGCAGGAGGGAAAGAAAATGGGTTTTCCGCCAGATTGAGATCCATGAAATGCTAAAGGCATTTCGCTGAAGCTGAATCAATTCTTTCCTGGTCACATCAGTCCCCATGGCCATCTTTTCCATATTCTCATTGGCATAGGCTCTAAAGTAGGCCGGGTCGTCCGAGTTGACGGTGACCTTGACTCCTCGCCGGAGAAGGTCGACGATCTCTTTGCCCTTGAAGTCGTCCGTCACCACCGAATTCGAGACCGGGCAACAGGTCAGCCCGATGCCCTTGTGGCGCAGGATCTCAACCAGGGAGTCGTCCTCCACAACATTGGTGCCATGATCGATGCGATCCACCTGTATCTCCTGGACGACCTGGCGGATGTGGTCGATGCTGTTGGGCTGATCTATGTCGCAGTGCGCGGTCATCAAGAAACCTTCTTTGCTTGCCCGCTGGAAAACGGCCGCGAACTTGGAAGGCGGATTCCCCCGCTCATCCGAGTCCAGACCCACGCCAATGATAGAGTCCTTGAAAGGCAGAGCTTCCATCAGCGTGGCCATGGCATACTCTGCCGACTGGTCGCGCAGGATGCACATGATCAGGCTGGCGGAGATGCCGAGCGTGCGCTGAGCCGTCAACAGCGCGAGCCGATATCCGCGGAGGACGGTGGGAAAAGGGACGCCTCGGGAAGTGTGCGCCTGAGGGTCGAAGAAGAGTTCGACATGCTTGATGTTCTGGGCATGTGCACGGGTGAGGTAATCCATGGCAAGATCGCGGAAGTCATGCTCCGTCTGCAGGACCGCGAGGTTTGGGTAATAGACGGCTAGAAAGGTGGTGAGGTCGTGGAATGAATAGCCCGAGGTTTGATCGAGCGACGACAAGGCTGCCGGCAACGGGAGATTGTTCCGTTCTGCGAAGGTGTGGACGAGTGCCGGGGTTAAACAACCTATGGGACAAAGAAACCCCCCTAGTCAGTATCTCATGCACTTGATCTCAGGATACTTTCCAGGGTAAGGTGTATATATATATATATATCTATATATATCTCTGATGTCTGGCGGGGTCCCGTACCTTCTAAATGGACGTGTAACTCGGCCTTGGGCATCCCGGCGATCCAGGATTTCAATTCCTCTGAAGCCATGGTTCAGCGAAGACAAGCCGGTGACGGCACAAAGGAGTCGACTCGTCCGTTAAATTTGAGATATTGGGAACTGGGAAACTGGGACTGTTTTATGGTCACGAAAGCAGGTGAGCTGTACGACTCGGAGTCTACAGAGATCCTGATAAGCTGCAGAAAAGATGATAGGGCTCGTCACGTGCAAGCAGAGAGGCGGCGGTCCCCGATGAGTGGGCGGCAAGGACATGCCATCACACGAAGATGAGCCGGAAATAGTGTACGTATACACTGTCCAAATGAACCAGAGTAGGTGGGAAGGAGTACTTATATCAAGGACGGTTGTAAGGCATACGGAGTGATCCAAGAGCTTTCACCAGAGCATCCAAGTCCGGGGCACCTCCAGAGGCCCCTTAGGCTGTTGATGATGCCGGGGCTGACTTGTAAGGATGCAGAAGACTCGGACTTCGTACTAGGACAGCGACAACTAAGGCACCTTGTGTGTCTGGGCGTCTTGCAGCAGCAAGTTATCATTATCAGCAATAAGTCCCTATGTACTTACTGTCTAATCAAGTCTACTGCGGCATCGTGCTAGCACAACTTGAAGGAAAAGGATAGAGATTGAACCTCTATTATGGAGGAGGTGTTACGGGGCGCCGGGGGTGCTTAAGCAGCCTAAGGAGCCTAAGAACCCTGGCCTAGGGGCCCTAAACTGATCCCCTTGTTAAACTGTTGGTAGCTCCGGACGCCTGTACTAGGCGGTTGGCGCACCCACCAGACTCCATGACTAGTCCTTTTCGGGCATCTTGAAACGCCCTTGGGCAGATCCTGGAGGCCCCTAGGCTTCGTCCAAGGCTCCTCCTCCCTAAAGCCTGCCTGCAGTGGTCCGTCTGCTCGAGGTCACGCAGTTCGTGTCTGAACAATTTCTCCTATCCTGCTGCAGCGAGGACATCGGGGGCCATCATCAAGCGTCTGTCATCTGCAACGACGACGACGACGACGACAGCCTGAAGGTCGTCGACCAAGGACATCATCATTTGACGCGCTCTACCCAACCTCATCTCCGCTCATACCGGCCACCACCCGCACAGACATCTCGCGCGCTACATCGTCGCGTCTGACACTCCGCAGCTGTACCTGTTCTGTACCTTACTACCTACCTGTACCTGCATAATAGAGTGACTGCAACTGCACCTTGGCGATTGCGATCAGACGGCCGCTCCGACCATCTTCAACCACCCGAATTATTCTCCCAGCTCAAATCTTCTCGATTCTTCGACTTTGCATGCGTGGGAAGACGATGGACTTTGTCTGAGGGGACCTTGAAACAAGCGTCGCGGAACCGGTACAACGTGTCTCATCTTTTGGCCGGCGCGGGACTTGGTATCGCATGAACACCGGACTCGAATCGCGTTGCCCTCTCAGCGCTTCTTCCTGAGCAGAGAAGTCAGGTGCAATGGCATTCCTGTTCAAATCCAAAAACAAGCACGCGCATGCTGCGCAGGCTGCCTCGAGCCTGCCTGCGGCGAGTCGAAACGTCCACACATCCGATGGCACGCCCTCCTCAACTACGCAGAATGGCTCGGTAGAAAAGAGCGGCGGAGAGCGCTTGACAACGCAATCACCTCCGCCCAACGCGACTGCGAATCCGAATGGCTCAATGAGTGCGATGGGTTCGACTCTGGCCAGCGCGCCAACATTTGCTCGGCGTGAAAGAGCCGAGTCGGAGTCTGGGGTGCGTTCATATTCGTCCGACTGACCGTGATCATGGCTGACATTCACGATTTCAGGCTCGCCCGGCAACTGCTGCGCCGCAAGTGACCCAGGTCCCCAATGCCGCGCTGTATCCCTGGTCGCAACGACGGTTGAACTTCCCTACTCCGCAATCAAATCCTTTTCCTCGGTATGGGGCGGCTGTTAACTCAGTTGCCTCCAAAGACGGTGATATATACATCATGGGAGGGCTAATCAATGGCTCGATGGTTCGAGGTGACCTGTGGATGGTCGAGGCCGGTGGTGGAAACCTGTCTTGTTATCCCATCGCAACAGTATCTGAAGGTCCCGGCCCGCGCGTCGGACATGCCAGTCTCCTCGTGGGCAATGCCTTCATTGTGTTCGGTGGTGACACCAAAATGGACGATTCTGATGTACTCGATGATACTTTGTACTTGCTTAATACTTGTGAGTGGAATGTCTTTTTGTGCTATGGTGGCCATGCTTACCGTTCCAGCATCTCGTCAATGGTCGAGAGCAGCTCCGCCAGGCCCACGACCCGCTGGCAGATATGGCCACACTCTCAACATTCTAGGCTCCAAAATCTACATCTTCGGCGGTCAGGTTGAGGGCTACTTTTTCAATGACTTGATAGCTTTTGATTTGAATGCCCTGCAGAGCCCGACGAACCAGTGGGAATTTCTACTAAACAACACCTCCGACCTTGTTGGCCCAATGGCTGGCAAGGTGCCGCCTCCGCGGACGAACCATACTATGATCAGCTACAACGATCAGCTATACCTGTAAGTTTCTTGCTAAATCCTTTGGGCTGCCATTGACAGAAATTCTACAGTTTCGGCGGGACAAACGGTACGAAATGGTTCAACGACGTGTGGACGTACAGTCCGACCACCAATAGCTGGACCCAGCAGGATTGTATAGGATACATTCCCGCGCCCCGTGAAGGCCATTCGGCGGCGCTTGTCAACGATGTCATGTACATTTTTGGTGGCAGAACCGAGGAGGGGACGGATCTGGGTGATCTGGCAGCGTTTCGCATCACCTCAAAGCGATGGTACACCTTCCAGAATATGGGTCCTTCTCCATCACCAAGGTCAGGGCACAGTATGACAGCATATCGGGACAAAATCGTCGTCCTAGCTGGCGAGCCTTCCTCGGCTCCACGGGACGCCCACGAATTGAGCATGGTATATGTCCTTGATACTGCCAAGATTCGGTATCCGAACGATGCCCCAGTCCTCGGTCAATCCGGTGAGGCGAAATATCCCGGCAGCCCGACGCGGAGACCGAGTACAGATGTGAGGCATGTCCCGCCGCCCATCCGTTCCAGCTCGCGGGAGGGCCAGGGCAGTCAAGCCGGACACCGCGAACAATTCTCCGGCGGTCCAGTGCAGCGGCCCGAAGGCGCGCAGCAAATCGGGCAAGCCTCACGATTACCACGAGCTTCCGTTGCGCCAGGCCCCGCTGGGCCGGGACCTCATAGCCAGGCTGGCACGCCTCGCTCGAACGGGGTTCAATCTCCTGCGAATGGTGCGAGAAGTCGGTTTAACGGGCCTCCCATCGACACCCGTGCGCCTGCGAACGGTCTGGATTCGATTCGATCTGTGCCCATAGAGGCCCCGGTGCAAGCGCCGGCGATCAGGGACATACAAAAGGAGAACATCAGACCTAGCAGAGAGACCAGTCCGAGCACTCATGGCCGTAGGACGCCAACACAGCGGACAGAAAACAAGGCAAAGGCCATGGAGGCAGGTGAGGCGGCGCCGTTGGTCGGTGGCGGGGTAGCCCGACAACGGTCCCTACGGTCGCAGCGAGCTCAAAGCTCCATCGACAGCACGGAAGATGGGTTACTCGGCCGCTCTTCGTCTACGCGACATCATGGAGAGACTCACGCCGACAATCGGAGTTTGCGAAGTATACCTGATGAACCAAAATCACCCAAAATGACTCCCCACCAAGAGGCCCTCCTCAAGGAACTGGAAGCGGTCAAGAAGACGAATGCCTGGTACGCCTCGGAATTGGCTCTGGCTCGAAAGCAAGGGTACCATCCTGGCACGTCATCCAGCCCGACTTTTGACGAGCGGGCCGTCAGTCAAGTTACCGATGATGACCGCCCGCTGATGGAGGCATTCATGACCATGAGGACGGAAATGGTCAGGATGCAAGAAGCCATGGAAGCGCAGACTTCGTTGATGGCAAGACGGGTAGCAGAGGTCGAACACCAACGTGATGCCGCCATTACAGAAGCGGCATATGCTAGGGCCAAGCTTGCAGCTCATGGTGGCAGTCAACGAAGTACTCCTCAACCCGATGCCTCTCGTGAACCTGACGAGCAAGAGCGGTTCACCGAGCTTACCCGCCGACTTGCATTGGCTCTCGCCGCCCAGGCGGAACACAAGGCCAAGGTTGACTCCCTGCATAGTGATCTTATTGCCGAAAAAAGAGCCCGGGAGTTAGCAGAAGAGTCTTTGGAGTCGCTACAACGTCGCTATGAGGAGCTTAGTAAGGCCCGGAACCCTGGTGAGCTGGAAGCACTCCGGGCAGAGCTGCATGAGGCGCAAAGCTCGGCCAGGGCGGAAGCAGGCCGGAGGGCAGATGTCGAAGAAGAACTTCGAACACTCCGAATCGAGCACGATGGTCTCCGTAAAGCTCATGAGGAGGCCTCATCGCGCCTGACAGACCATACGGCTTCGATGGTGGCGCTCCAAGCAGCCCTTGCAGCATCCGGCGACAAAGCAAGTCTCTACGAACGGCAAATTGAGGAGGAGCGTCAACAAAGAGAGGCTGCGGAACAAAAACTGTCGTATCTGAAATCTGAGCATGAGGAAAGAACCAGGGAGCTCGAATCCACCTCGAAACGGCTGCGGGATGCCGAAGACCTTGCTCAAACGCACGCCAAGGAGGCCTCGACCCATCGCGAGGCTTTACTTGCTGGACTGGCCAAGCTCTCGAGCCCAGAAGTGGCTTCACGCCACGATTCGCTTTCCGAACAGAAGATGGCAGCTCTACGAGAATCAGCGGAGCACGCGGCAGACCTGGCCAAACGTAACCAGGAGGCCGCCGACAAAGCGGCCCAGAAGCTGCGCACTGCCGAAGAAAGAATTGCCGGGCTGGAGGCTTACCAAGAACAATCCAGCCGCGAAGCTCTGCAGATCCGGCGGCAGCTGCAGGTGGCACTGCGGGACGCGCAGAAACATCAGGCCGAGATCCGCGAATTGCGGGCGAATCTTGAGATCAGCCAGCGCGATGCCAGTGCCCTGGCTGTCCAGCATAGTGCTCTCAAGGAGGTACTTGGCGAGCGTGGTCTGAATGCCTCCGACATGAGACGGTCACCCATCTTCGACCACTCACCAGGTTCCCGATTCGGGACACCGGAGCAGAACCGGTTGAAGGAGCTCGACCAACAACTTCAAGCCAGTCTTAAAGCTCATGAGGAGACCAAGAGTCAGTTTGAAGCTCGTATGCAGGAGGCTGACAGCACCTACAAGGAAAAGTTGGAGCAGCTGGAAACTGACTACCAGTCTGCTGTCCACTATGTCAAGGGGACGGAAAAGATGCTGAAGAAGATGAAAGAAGAGCTCACCAAGTACAAGACTCAAAACTCTCAACTATCCAGCGAACTGGAGACGATGCGAAGCAACAATGCCGCTTCAACGACGGCGGCGGACACTTCGGCATGGGACAAGGACCGTCAAGAGTTGCAAGCCTCGATCGACGATCTGAGAACCCAAACGGGCAAGCAAGTCGCTCTTCTGGAGTCCAACATTGCATCCTTGAAGTCCAATCTTGCCGCTGTGGAGTCGGAGCGCGACCGGCAGAAAGCCAGTCACCAGCAGCTGGCACAGGCGACCGAACAGGTTGGCCATGAACTAGAACAACTCAAGTCCGAGAATTCTATGCTGGAGAAGCGTGCGCAGGAGGCGGAGACCCGAGTCACCATATTGCTTGACCAGGTGGGTCAGTCGGTTGGCAACTATCGACGACAATCGCAGTTGCAACCGCTCCCTCATGACATCAATGGGATCAACCACAACCGAGAAGAAAGCAACTCGACCTTGACAGATGTGTCGGTGGACGATGATGTTCTCGAGCGGGATGAACGGGGATCCGTGGCTTTGGACAATTTGGCGTCCGAACTGGAAACCCTGAGGTCGCAATGGGAGAACACAAGCAGGAACAACTATCGGGTAAGCACGCAATTCGAGTCAGAAAGGACCCCGACAGCGGAGAGCCATGGGGCCGGACTCAGTAGCAATCTGGCGAGTTGGAGAAAACGACTGGCAGAAGAAGAAAAGGGGTCTAGGGAGCAGGTCGCTGCTTGATTTGATCATCTGCTCATTGGTTGAAAGAGGAATGTGGATGGAATGAATGGATGATGGAGTTATGGGTGGAAATGGCATGCATGCATGATGACAATGCTTGAAATCCGTTTTGTCGAGTTGAACAAATTCGATTCCCTTCTTGTTCTGTATACCGGGGCCCAGTTTTCTTTTTGACTTTGCTTTTTGACTATTATTCTTCTTCATTCTGGACGGGGTCTAGGGCGATTTCAGGTCCCGTTGGACCGTCGGGGCGTCATCATGTCGAAATGAGACAAATGTGAAGGGACAGTAATCAAGTTCTGGGCTTTGAGCAAGCCTTCTTCCACCCCAGGTAGGTAGTTACTGGTTGGGAGTTCAGTGATGAATCCTTTTTGATCTATTCATATCATAGTCCAAAACAACACGTATGTATGTGCGGGAGGAGCAGCAGCACCATCTTAGATACACGGAGTGAAGGTTGGCTACAACAGTCTCTGGGAGAGATACTAAGGGAAGGGAAGGGAAGGGGTGTTCAGCCTTGGACGATATACATGGCAGAGTAGAGGAGATATAGTGGGGGTATATAGTGGCGATGATTGGTTGGTATCATCAAGATCACGTGAATGAACATGTGACGTCACGTCTATCTACCTAGGTAGGTACTACGTAGGTACTACCTAGGCTCCAGGACCTCTTTGACTTCCCTACCAGGTAGAATTCTATGTCTCCTTTTGTATGCGAGTTAGCCGATATCGTTAAGTGAACCATGGTGAGGTAGCACCCCTTATTCATTGAGACCCTTCGGCCGCGAGGCTGTGGACTCCCTATTAAGATAATATCTAGGTAGGTCCTCCTTATTATCAGGATTGAGATGGCCCTTTGTCAACCTCGTTGCCGCCACTTTATGTTGCGGCTTTTCTCTTTTCAATTCTCTCCAGTGTGCGCTTGACTACCAGATCCTCGTCCCAAATGGCAGTCACGGACTGTTCAGCTGTAACGGCTTGTGCCCACCTATATGATTTCGGTGCCCTACGCTCAAGGGTTTCAGGAACAAAGCTTGGTACTAATTCATCATGCTTGGGCAGCGTCAGAACGCGAAGAAGGAAAGGCGCGGTCAGCACCTAGACGTCACGGATGGTCAGATTGGTCTACTCAAGATGCATGGTACGCTGTGACACGGACATACCTCTGCCAGTGTTGGGCGATTTGAACCCCCAAAGAACGGCGCCGCATCCCCGAGGAGTGGCTCAACATGTCTGACCATGGCTTCGATGTACTGAGTCGCCAGGGCCATCTTCGCGTCGGGTTCATTCGAGAAGACGGTCGAGTCAAACAATGGATGGGCCTTGCCAAAGTATGTATCAATGAAGTACCCGATCTTGAAACGCTGCAGTGCACCGGCTGCTTCTGTGCTGGCTTTCAAAAGGTGACTCGGGTAGGAGTCGGCCAGAAATTGACAAATGAGACCAGACTCTGTCAAGACAAGGTCACCATAGACCAGGGCCGGCACCATTCCATTTGGGTTTATGGCGAGGTATTCGGGGGTGCGAGGGACCGTGATGTCAACAAGGCAGGTCTCAAACTTCAGCCCAAGTTCACGAAGCGCCACTTGAACCCGGTGAGCGAATGGGCAGTGGTGAGCCGTGTAAAGGGTGATGGTGGGAGTCATTGGCGGTATATGTGATTAGGACACTCTCGTGCTGGGCAGTTGACGTGAGCAGTGAAGCAAGAGTACCTATGCGGCAGCAAGGATGCAGTCCGACTGCTCTGCCCAATACAATATATGCAAACCCGCAATCCTTGCGACACCAGACTCTGATACCAAGCATTCACGTGTGTTGCCAATCATTACAAATTTTGGATGGCCCAGCGTTGTGATAGGAAGGCCTTCCGAAATCTCATCTTTCCTCCCAGCCGACTTCAGTAACGACTCATCAATCATCTTCATAATCTTGAACGGCCCAAAGATCGCGGCCGACCAGAACAATACTCCAGCCCTGGATATGATATGCCAATCGGGAAATGCCGATTGGAATCTTCAATCCACAATCGCCGCCGTGTGAGAGGTCGGGATTTTCCGGCCAGATCTGAGATAGACAATCTCAGCGGGTTGCGCCAGGGGCGATGGCGATGGCGATGGCGATGCCCGAGAAGGGTAGCGATTTTTCGACTTGTCCGACCTGTTTTCTGCGTACGGCCTATCAGTCCTCTGGAACGGAGGACTATTTAGACCATGGGCCAGTTACTGATAGGCAGGGTTCTCTTTCCAGCACTCTCAAATCTCGCCCACGACAACGACATTCCATCAAACCAAGTGCCCAGGCTGCCACAATTATTCCAACACAACCCACGATCGTCAGTGGTCAACCGCATTCAAACAATGCAACCATTCCACCTTACCGCCACCGGGTACAACATCAACTATTTGCCTCAGTATATTGCTGATCGGCTGGGATTTTTCCGCGAGCAAGGCCTGGAAGTCACTACAACGATCCCTAGTCCATGGGATGGCGTTCTCGACGCTCTAGCCGACGGTTCTGCCGACATGGCGCTGGGCGGACTTTGGGTTCCATCCATGTACCGTGGTCGGGTACAAGATTATACAGTCTTGGGTCAGATCGCGAACCGCTGTCCTCTAGCACTGCTCAGGCGCACAAAGAGTGGAGACAAGTTCACCCTGGCCGATGTGGTTGGGAAAACGGTTCTGATGAAGTCCATTGGCGGGGCCAGTGTCGGGCTCTTCTTCAAGATGCTGCTGCGCGAGAATGGGATCGACCCAAGAAACTTGGACTTTATCCAGGATCTGGACGGCTTGATGCTGGGCAACTTGTTCCAAGGCGGCATGGGCGATTTCTTGGTCACCGATACCCTCTCCGCCAAAGCCATGGCTGCACGAAACCCCAACGTCTCGATCGCCATGGAGATGGCCACGCAGGGCGAGGTCCCGTGGAGTGTGTACTACCGTGAAACGTCGACCATCACTCCGGAGGTGCTGGCGGCGCAGAAGCGATTCTGCATGGCGCTGAACAAAGGCATAGACTGGGTGCTCCAGCGTGACGCCGAGTCCTTCAAGGATGAACTGGCAGAGCTCTTCCCCAACGTGGCGATTGATGTGGTCGTTGATGTGGTCGATTCTTTCCGGAGGAACGGCATGTGGACTTCGGCGACCATCCCGCAGAAAGCATTTGACCGATGGCAGCAAGGGCTTAGTGATGCGCGCTTTGTCCAGAAACCCTTGATGTACCAAGATCTTGTGGACGATGGACCTGCGAAAGAGGCACAAAGCAACGGTATCGCTCCTTAGTGGCGATGCGGGAATCTTGTTCAGATTCCCCAAAGCATATGATATGAGCGATATGGAAATATTACTTGGTAGACATAGCAATCCGCGCGCCTTTTAATCTGCGCCTTTTCTAAAGTTCGTAATGCTACCGAAGCATCTGCTCTATGGAATTGGTGGCACTGGCGCCGGCCGCCGGGACAAGTGAAGTGACGGCAGATGGACCTGGCTCAGCCATGATGAAGTTGAACTCTCCCAGGTCAGGCCACTGCGCTGCGGTGTTGAGTAACTCACCGAGGTCGAAATTTTCGGCTGACAGGACGGCCGACAGGTTGATGTTGTCGGCGGAGTGGTGGGTAGAAGTTGTCGCCATGCCGTCACGGGGCACTTGTAATTGCTTCATCAGGTCCCGCACATGGTTCTCGAATTCCAGGCGGTTGTGGTGCACTTCTTCGATGTTCCTGGTCACCAGCCAATCGATCGTTGCGGAAGACAGCGTATCAAAGGCATCCCGACAGCCTGTAGCTCCTTTGAAAGTCTCCGACATGGCCGAGAGCGTCGAAGCACAGGACTGAAGAATGGAGATACTCTTTCCCACGGGATTCTGGTCTCGGATCTCTGTGGATTGCCAGAGAGCATATACAATTCCTAGCCCAGCCATGAAGAGGTGGTGGACGGATTTCCATAACATTTCCACCCTCCCTTCCCGTTGTAGAACTTTCAGTCCAGCAATCACTTGGGAAGCCGCCCCAAATATAATCGACAGCTCTTCTGCCGACTGGTACATGTTGCCCGCCTGTGGACGATAAAGCAGCAGGATCGTGTTGTTGTACATGACGTCCCAGTAGGATGGAGAGGCGAAGATGGAGAGTGGTTGAGCTTTGCTAGGTTCTGGCATGGTAGCATACCACTCTTGGAGTCGCGGTTGAATATCTTGCAGCCAGACGGTCCAGCTCGGTCGTGGATAAGCCAACTTGGGAGTCCAAACTCGAGTGTGCTGGACATGTTTGATCTCGGATTCGAGTTTGGCAAGGGTGAACAGGTGGTTGTGAGCTCGCTGGGCGTGGATATCATAGTCGCTAGATTCTCGTCGCCCGGCGGCAAGACCTTGACGACAACCTGTCCAGGGATTCGGGAGCAGCACGTGTGTGCTCTCGTCAAGGATACCGAATGGACGGCCGAGAGTGATGCAAAGAAGGCGGTCGAAATGATATGTGCAATGCCACAGCCGTCTTCTGTCGTCCAAAATGTCGGGATCCATGTGGAGACACTGCAGGTCGTTCTCCCAATGTAGGCCTACGTCGATGCATAGGCGCAATGCGAATCCTGTCAAATGCCACAGGCTTCCACGGGAAGGAGACAGAGCGACGAATTGGGCCAACAGAAGCACAGCCCGAAGAGTTTCGAGGTCGCTTTTCGAGTATGAGAGGGTCGTCTCGACCCAACCCAGGGCCGAACGGAAACATCCATCACTTTGCATTGGCCGTCCGCCCGACGTATGGGGTACGTCGACAAGAGCGATGGCGAAGACCATGTATGCGATGAACATGTCTCTCTCTGGCACTGGCACTGTCACGGACGCGGACGCTTGGTTCGATTCAAGCGAACTGTATGCGCTGTCGATGGCTTTGCCCGCCTGGGAACGATCCAAAATCGGCAGATGTGGTGTTCGATATTGGAAATATACCTCCACCAGATGATCTGCCACATGGCGTGGTGGCAGCGAGGCTTTGGCTGGGGCGAATTCGAACAGACAAAAGTCATCAAGCTGCTGTTGCTCAGGTGGAAGTGACGATGTCACGCCATCGACATGTATTGCTGCCATGACTAATTTGGCGAAAGAGATGCCGCTGCTCTGTCCCACGAAGCGTGGCTGCTGGCAGGGTTCGGCGATCACGTTTCTGACCTTGGTCTCCAGATCTTGGAGGGCAGGAGATCTTTCATCAGAGACTGAAATCTCGGCGGGGGGAAAGACCCCTGTCTCGTCGAATACTGCGTGAGTTGGTGTTGAACTTGCATTGTCCACAAGGCTCCGACCTGGCTCCGACCTTGACGGTGGATGCTCTCGTAGCTCCTTCACTTGCTGGGTGAGCTTTGATATCTGCTCTTCCAGATCCGAGACATAACTTCGCGGTATCTTCCAGACGGTCAGCAAGATTGCAATATCGGCCAGAATCCAGATCGGGTCCATGATACTGACATCGGCCTGTTTTCCGGAGTGATACGTGAGGCACGGAACATTACTGTTTTCACAATTGAAACATTGCGGATATCTCTGGTCGCACTGGAACGATAGTTGTGTCATCAGTCGCAAAATCCCTAGACATATCTGCTTGGTATTGATACCTTCTGCTTTCTCCGACGGCACCTGTGCCCTGATAAGCATCGCATCGCAGCATAATCCGAATCTATCTTCACTCACCTCTGGCATGCATCTACTCCGCCCCTCAATCTCTGCGCAACTCGCGGCATTGTGGATGTCGGACTTCAGATCTCGAAGTGTTGGATGGAGGTTGTGATCTTCAAGTTGTCCACGGACGAGGGCGTGGGCTGGCCAGATTACACAGATTAAACAGATTTGGGTATGTGATAGATAGTAGTACTACAATCGGCAAATCCCGATAGCCTAAAAGGTTGATAACGCAGGCGCGATGTTCATTCGTTTATTCGACGGCAACTAGCTGCATTTGACGGTGGATAAGCGAAATCTTAGGGGCTACAGATACCGATACTGCTACGTACTTGCTATCTTAGTATCTTATCAATATCATCTATATCCGGGCCAGAACAGCTGCGACAAGGTGCAACAGCGTTGGCTATTGTGCGCCTCATATGAGAAGATGGAATACTTAATGCCTCGACTCGACCATGTTGGTCACGGACTCTTCGTCAACTAAATCGCTTCATTTCAAGCAAAAACCAACCATAGCTCGATCGGCCTCCTTGTACTGTGTGACTCAAACATGCACACAAACATGGAGAAAATGGTCAAAGAATCAACAGTTGACACTGCCAGCGCGGTTGATGACCATGCAGTGGGCACCAGTACGACCATATATATCGATCCTGCAAGAGAAGCAGCAGTGCGCAGGAAGTTCGACATATATGTGGTCCCAATCTCTGTCATCTATCTCGTCATGTCCACTCTCGACCGCAATAATGTGAGTTGGTGCTCCTTGCGATGTATAGGGATCGGATCATTTTGACTCACCATCGGCCAGCTCGGAAATGCTCGTGTTTTTGGCTTCGACGAGGACGTTGGACTCAAAGGAGGCGAGTTCGGCAACATCCAAACGCTATCCAGCGTCTGTACCGTCCTCTTTGAGGTTCCATGGGTCTTGGCCACACGCAGATGGGGCGCCAAAAGAGCGATCGGTACTGCGTTCGTGTTGTGGAGTATCTGTACAGTTGGGACTGCCTTCGTCCAAACTTATGGCCAAACAATTGCCTGTCGGATGTTGCTCAATGCCGCTGAAGCGGGTCTGGCTCAAGCGTTCGCCTTCTTGTTCTCGACCATCTATCCGCGTGAACTAGCAGGCAAGAGGATCATGACGACCAATCTCGCGCAGTGCATCTCCGGCGCCTTTGGAGGGCTTTTCGCCTATGCTGTGCAGACCATGGGAACACGCCTCGGCCTCGCTGCATGGAGATGGCTCTTCATTATTGAATTCTGTATTACGGTGGTGATCTGTGGCGTTGGCCTATTCTTTCTGCCTGGCGAGGTGGAGAAAGCATGGTTTCTTAACGAGGAAGAGAAAGAGACGATGCGACGCAAGAAGGAACGAGACTATATGATCCGAGGCGAGGAGAAATTCGAGCGCAAGTGGATCAAAATCGCCCTGACTGACCCCTTTGTCTACCTTCTGGGGATTGCTTTCTTCACTTCGTCTATTGCAATCAACGGATTTGGAGTGTTTCTCCCAACCATCATTTCCGGCCTTGGGTACGTGCTGATCTTGCAAAGGAACCTTGAAAGGATGCGTCAACTAACGTTTTCCAGCTTTGCCTCCCTGAAGGTCAACTATATGACCATCCCAGTATATGTCCTCGGCGCCATCTCCCTCACAATCCAGGTCTGGTACTCAGACAAGATCAGGAAGCGTGGCGTCTTCATCGTTGGATGCTGCATCCCTGTTGCTGTTGGGTATCTGATGTGTGTGGGGTCAAAGAATCCCGATGTGGGTTATGCCGGCATGTTTGTGCTGGTAATAGGTTAGTTTGGCCAGCCCTTAGGTTTCCTTGTTTGACTGTCCTGACAATCATTGCAAGGGCTGTATCCGATTTCGACTCTGGCTGTAACGTGGATCACGACGAACCTGGCGCCTGACACAAAGCGAGCAATAGGCCAGCCCTTTGCCTACAGTCTGGCCAATGTGTCCAACCTGGTCTCTGGACAGCTTTACCCTTCTCAACAGGGGCCACGCTACGTCCCAGGCAATGCAATCTCGGCCGGTCTCACAATCGTCGCAGGATTTCTTTACGCTTCATGCTGGTTTCTGCTTCAGCGACGAAATGCACAGAAGGCAAAGCTGATTGCTGAAGGAGCAACCACCAACGGTAAAGAAGGAGATCAGAGCCTCGACTTTACATATATTCTTTGAACGGTCTTGGGAAGTATTACGGTATATAGTGACCAGTCCTCTTAAGAAGGAAGAATATGAAGAGGGTTACGAGTATTAGAGATAGAAATCGCCAAGCCTTACTGAGGTATTCTGATATCACGTGTCGTACAAAGTTGCAGAAGTGCCATGCCAGTGCAGCAACCAACCTCAAAGAGAGGCTGGACTGCACTGACTGCACGTCCCTCTCACCAGTCACTCCCCTCTGCACTTCGTACTTTCGCATTTCTTTTCCTGTAGACGGTGCAGGACTTGTCAACCCATCATTTGTCCATCTGGTCTCTTTCGGCGAGGCGTTTCCTGGGAGCTTTGCAATTCACCGGCTTCGATATTGCCATTTCCACCTCTCACTCACGTTGCTGCCACTACCACTTGGGTGATGTCCGACCTCGACGAGCCGCTGTCGGATATGCAACATACCGAGGAATCCATCTCTTGCTAGCCAGGGGTAGACATCCGGAAGGCACGAAACACTAGGTTCAACTGAAGAAAATGGCCGCGCAAACCGAACAAAGAAATCACGGGCTGGGTTTGAACATGGAAGCCCGAAGGCTCATGACGCAGGGGAACAGTCCAACATCTTCGCGGGACACATTTGACAAGACAACTGGAGCCTTATCCCCATCCACCCTCAAACGGCCGTCGCTAGCACACAGGTCCGCAACCAGTCAGCAGAATGGGCTGTCAACGCAAAGGATCATTCCAAAAGAGACGGAAGACTACTTGACGGCAAGACCCACGCTGTTACATCGTACCAAGAGTGACCTTGGTCCACGGCACAAAGAGGGACCCACGAGTCCTGCGGGGGAAGACAAGTTGGCTCATATTCGTCATGGATGGGACGATGAATACACATCAAACGAATACCTGTCACTGTTACACTCGACATTTTACATGTACTACACGGAAAAGCGCCACGAAAGCAATGGCTCCCTGTCCGAGGAATCCAAGAAATTTCCCAGCGTGGACTGGCGTATGAAGGACCGGATGAAGACGGTCTCGGCCGCTCTGGCGATCTGTCTCAATATCGGCGTGGATCCTCCTGATGTGATCAAGACGAACCCATGCGCCAAACTCGAGGCATGGGTCGATCCCACTGCAAACAGTGGTGGGACCACAAAGACCATGGAGCAGATCGGCAAACGGCTCCAGGAGCAATATGAGAGTCTGAGTTTGAGGACTAGGTACAAACAATACTTGGATCCGTCGATCGACGAAACGAAGCGTTTTTGCATCTCCCTGCGTAGAAACGCAAAGGATGAACGGGTTTTGTTCCATTACAACGGTCATGGAGTTCCGCTTCCAACAGCCTCGGGGGAGATCTGGGTTTTCAACAAGAACTATACCCAATACATCCCGGTCGGCATATATGACCTCCAGTCATGGCTGGGAGGGCCGAGCTTGTTCGTTTACGATGTGTCTCATGCTGGCAACATCGTCTACAACTTCGACACATTCCTGGCCAAGCATGAAAAGGAGAATGAAGAGATCAAGAAGCGAGACCCTAATGCACCGGTCCAGAACTATGGAGACTGCATACAATTGGCAGCTTGTGGGAGAACAGAAATGCTCCCCAGCAATCCCGACCTACCAGCCGACTTGTTCACATGTTGTCTGACCACCCCCATCGACATAGCTTTACGATTCTTCGTTCTACAAAATCCACTCCAGAACGGTCCCCATCTTGAGGATGGAAAGATTCCTGTCCCGGGTCGTCTTCAGGATAGACGGAGTCCGCTGGGCGAACTAAACTGGATCTTCACGGCTATCACCGATACTATCGCGTGGAACAGCCTACCCCGCCATCTATTCAAGAAGCTTTTCCGCCAGGATCTCATGGTCGCAGCCTTGTTTCGCAACTTTCTACTCAGTGAACGCATCATGAGAGCGAACCATTGCCACCCCATATCATCCCCGCCTCTTCCCGAAACACACCGACACCCCCTCTGGCAGAGCTGGGACCTCGCCATGGAGATGGTATTGGCGCAGCTGCCCATGCTTCGAGAAGCCGAGGAGGGAAAGCGTGTGTACGAGTATCAACACTCGACCTTCTTTGCCGAACAGCTCACCGCGTTCGAGGTGTATCTCAGTTCGGGGCCAACCAAAGACCGAGCTCCCGATCAGCTGCCGATTGTCCTGCAAGTTCTTCTCAGCCAAGTACATCGGCTGCGTGCGTTGATCCTGTTGAGCAAGTTCCTTGACCTGGGACCTTGGGCTGTTCATCTTGCCTTGAGTATCGGTATCTTTCCGTATGTTGTCAAGCTGCTTCAGGCTGCTTCTCTGGAGCTCAAGCCGGTCATGGTGTTTATATGGGCACGCATCATGGCGGTTGACTACACTGTGCAGAGCGACCTGTTGAAGGACAACGGGATCTCCTATTTCATTTCCATCATGAACCCTCGTTCAGACATACCTGTGGGTAACGCCAGCGAGCATCGAGCCATGTGTGCCTTCATTGTGGCCACATTCTGCAAGAAATATCCTCCCGGTCAAACTGTGTGTTTGCTCCCGGAAGTGTTTCAAGCATGCCTGCTGAACACAGCTGAGCCGGAAAATCCGTTACTGCGACAATGGTCTTGCTTGTGTTTGAGCATGTTGTGGTGTGATTATGCGGACGCCAAGTGGATGGGGATCCGATGTATGGCTCATGCCAGACTCTGTGAGCTCTCTCTCGATCCGGTGCCCGAAGTCCGCGCTGCCATGCTGCACGCTTTGACGAATTTCTTGGGCATCCCTGATTTGACCGATCAGGTCTCTCAAGTTGAAGAAGGCATTGCGTCTTCGGTTCTTTTCATGACATCGGATGGAAGCACATTGGTCCGCAAAGAGCTACTGGTGTTCCTGTCGACGTTTGTGAAGCGTTATGAAAACAAGTTCATGGTTGTCGCATACGAACAAATGGTCGACGAGAGGGATAGGCATCCATACAAAGACACCGACGGGGTTGCGTCCGACGGGCGCAATGCTCTCACAGGCGTTCCAATCTCGGCGAACACGATCTACGGGTCTATATGGGTACAACTTCTGATCTTGTCCGTCGACCCTCATCCCGAAATCGCAAGAAATGCCTCCATCATTGTGGACTGTGTGCATGAAGGCTTGCTCAATTCGCCGATGGGCCAAATGTCCACAGCTGTGATCGATGATCTATTGAAACTGTCAAAGAAAGAGGAGTCTCAGCTCAAGAAGGTTTCGTCTCGGGATTCGCTCCGGACCATGGACCGGCGGCCGGGCACTCCACCGCCGGCGTTGCAGAAGCAGCAGAGCTATATATCTTTGAGCCTGAAAAGGGCAGGCAGCTCACTTCGCAACCTTGCTTTTGGAGCTACTTCCGACAATGCGTCCTCTTCAAAGGACACGACTCCTCAGCAGTCTCCGGTCAAAGCCAGGGACACTGTTCATCCTCTGAACACCCCACGTGGCCGTTTGCCGCCGGAATGGAGTCGACCACCAGAGACCTCTGATTCGACTAGCACGTCTGGAACGTACCATCCAGCACACCTACCAACCTCTGCCGGGTTTACGCCTCTTGATCCCAAAGTGAAACAGCGCATTCCTCTGCAGAGCACTTTACTCGAATGGTCGACAGAATACTTCCGCGAACCGCAAATGAGACCGAATGACCCCGACGAACCCGGTTCTGCTGACTACAATTCTCGGCTGTGGCGACGTAATCGTAATGAGAGAATCATCGCCGATAACCAGCCGTTGAAGGGTGTCGCGGGCAGTTCGAAGTGGACTCGCCTGGAAGGATTCCTGAACAACCAGAACCAGCCGATGAACATGGTATTCCACCAATTTGACGATCACCTGGCTGTCACCGATGATAGAGACACGGTCAGCATCTGGGATTTTCAAAGAAACGAACAGTTGAGCCGATTCAGCAATGGCAATCCTGTCGGAAGCCGCATCAACGACGCCAAATTTATGAACGAGGATGACCAGCCTCTGCTGATGGTGGGCAGCTCCGATGGCGTCCTCAAAGTCTACCGAAACTACCAGAGTTCGACGGAAGTCAAAGTCATCACCGCCTTCCGGGCTCTTACGGAATTGATCCCGAGCAATAAGAATGCGGGGCTGGTGTTTGACTGGCAGCAAGGCCAAGGCAAGGCTCTGGTAGCCGGCGATGTCAAGGTGATCAAGGTGTGGAACGCCGCGACCGAACTCTGTGTTGGCGACATCCCCGCTCGCAGTTCCAGCTGCGTCACGAGCCTAACGAGCGACCAAGTAGCTGGGCAGATCTTCATCGCGGGCTTCGGTGACGGCGTGGTTCGAGTGTTTGACCAGCGGCTGAACCCGCGCACGGCCATGGTCAAGATCTGGCGCGAACATCGCCAATGGATCACCAACATCCACATGCAGCGCGGCGGTGTGCGCGAATTGATCTCCGGGTCGCGCAATGGAGAAGTCAAACTGTGGGATCTGCGCAGCGACAAGGCCGTGCTTACGCTCAACGCCACTTCTCCATCGGGTTCAGGATCCAGACACGACCATAGTGCTGGTAATGCTACCCATACTACTACTGGTCTAAACTCGGCAACGGCAGTAGAGCGAGATGGCAACAACAACACCACCACATCAGCAGGAGGGGCTGGCGGAGGTAGTTCTTCAGCCACGTTGCTCCGCAGTCTCTCTGTCCATGAACACGCCCCCGTCTTCACAGTGGGCACGGACAGACATGAAGTCCGAACCTTCAACACCAGCGGCGATCCCCTCGGCGTCTTCGAGCCGCTGTCCAGCCGTCTGTCCCAGGTCGTCGGAGGATCCCTGGCCGGTCGCGGCTATCAGTCGCCCATCGTGGCCACGGCCTATCATCCACATCGGATGTTGTTGGCCTGTTCGGCCCTCGGGGACGGTCATGTCAGTCTTGTGAGTTATTGAAAGGGAACAGAAGATATGGGACTTGGGCCATGGCATGGGGCGGCATGAATGGCGTGGTTAGGCGCCACGGGTGTTAAAAAACATTGACGAGACCAACGAAACGATGACGGTAACACATGGACATGGAAGGAAAGGGGATGTGAAGGTAACGGAAAGGGAACGCAGCGAAGAGGGAAAGGGAATACGGAGGGGATTATGGCAGAGTAGTAATAATGAGCATGAGCAGAGCATGATGAACTTGAAGGGCTGCCAGGGTCAGGAGTACTTAATCATTGACCCGTAATATCAACATCAATATCAACATCAATATCAAGCTTGATTTATGTTCATGTCGGAACATGACTAGTAGGTTTGATATCCTCCTTCTCTGGCCTTGGGTATTCAATATACTGAGACTCCCACAGGAATACTACCTAGGTAAGTATCTCAGGTAGGTAGTTGTCCGGACAGCCTGATTGCCATTTCGATCTGCTCTTCTGGATTCGAAACTACATTGCGAGGGTACTGACAAAGAAGTTGAAGCTGAGGCTTCTCTGGGTTTCTTCTGGGCCTCTCCAGAATAAAACAATCAGTCATGCAGAGAAAGATAAATGCCCGGAACGAGTGAACATTCGTGAATGAGCGCTCGTGTTGATAGATGTTCTATTTGATCAATTGCTACGAATGGAACCATTGCCATTTTCGTGCTGTCTCTACCAGTATCTCGTTCATGTCATGTGTTGATCGGCTACGCAACAATGGGCAATCTGATCACTTGCAGTCGAGAGATGGAAAGAAATCGGCCGCCTGAGTAGATGACGCAGATGTAATGCAAGGATACTTGTATGGAAAGATGTGGAAAGGGCGCAGATATATGAAGAACATTCCGGTCGGGATGTATGTGGTCATGAATTCTTTTGTTCATTTTTGATGCCTCCTCGTGGACGAAGATACCCCGTCCACGCCGACAACGATGCGAATGTCTGCTGCGTCACCGGCCCAACAGAACATTGCTCGGTTCGCAGGACAAGTTGGCCTTGATTTCTAGGATCGAAGGAGAGGCTATCCTCCCACCTCAGGGGGCAGTCTGTCAGTCTCCTTCCCCCGAGCTTCCGCCCACTGCAACTCATAACCTGAGCCCCATGCGCCGGACTCAACAGCAGAATACCCCTGGAGAAGACTCCAACTCCACCCGTTTTCTTGGGTTCCACCATTTGTCGAACGAAGAATGTCATCTCCTCTCCCGTGCATTCCCCTGGACCTCAGAACATGCAGAGGCCCCGCTCGATACTGCCAGGCCTGACATTCGAATTCGAAGTTTGTGGTCTACGAGTCCTCAACAACGACGGTCTGCAGGCCCTTGGCCTCCTTCTCCTTGACGTTGACGGCCTGGACGTAGCTGTACAGCTTCTCCGTGGCGCCTTCCTCGTCGTTACGCTTACGGCTGATGCGCACGCGCAGACGGAACGGCACGCCCTTGATGCCGGATTCCCACACCTTCTTGTTCAACTGCGGGTCGAGACGGACATCGCGGGTTCCCTACAACACCGAAGACAGATTGGTTAGTTGTCGAACGGAAAGGGGCGAGACAGGGCCCAGCAAGGCTACCATGACAGGGATTGGAATGGAAAGGGAGACACGTACCATAGCCAACGTGGCGAATTTGCGGATCTCCTTGATCGCGCGAGGGGCTCGCTTCTTGAAGCTGACGCCATGGACCTTTATGTGTAGAGGTGTAAAAATCAGTCTTCCGTCCAAAATGCTTGATGTTCATACAAACGAAACGAGGGAATTCGTCGTTCAACGAATTGACTTTTCTCTCTCTTTCTGTCTCAACGGGCAAGCCATTCGGGTGGACTTCATAAAACTGATTCTTTTTGCTTCTTCTGCTTCTTCTTTTTCATTCCACCTCTTCTTGTATGGTGATCATTGTGGGGGGGGTAGCAAGAGAATAGACTCTTTTGGACACAGAGTCTGAGCTCAGGGACGACATACTCGCTTGTGAAGGTGGATGGTGTATTCGCGGGCGACGACGTCGGAGATGGCAGAGCGCGACTTCTTGGGAGCCGTCGTCTTCTTTGGCTGCGTCTTGGGGTTGTCTTTGACCATTTTGACGGTTCTGCGATCGTACCCGGTTTGTTAGCACTGAGTTTGCGGCTGGTGCAGGAAGGAGACGCGCGAAAAGCGGATAGATCTGCTCTTCAAGGAGAAGTTTGGCGACCTACATGGATGGATAGTCAAATAGACACAGGAGTAGGAAACCGGTAGGTTGATGGACGTGGTGAGAGAAAGGTCGTCTGCGGATTGAAATCGACAGGAATTTGGGCGCAGTTGGGCCGAACTTTCTGTATCGTGTGGGCTAGTCTCAAAATGGGTATCGGTGCCAAGATTTTGTGTCACGTGGCTATACCCGACTACATTGCTTACATAAACATTCGTAGAAGACGATCTGAACGACCCCAACTTGGAAGAGCGAAGTGCTTGCACACTCGTATTGAAGTGGTGGTGTTGTCTCAGTGATTTTAACCACAAGGTTACCCGGTGCTGGGCAATCGACCTGGCTTATGTAGCTTCCCAATTGCAGGGAACAAATGGGGCAAGTCTGCCACACAACAGAAGCCCGGTTTTCAAGGCGTTTCTGCCACGGACTACGACTGAACTCCACTGCTTTCATCCTCGAATCGCACCTTTCCTGTGCTGACGTCGGGATAGACGTCGAACCTCCTTTGAGTGTAGATTGGAATGCCTTTCCTCGTCTCTTCGATCTTTGAGCCGTCAATCTCGGCATAGACAATATCTTCATGCTCCTCCGCTTCCGTCAGAACCTCGGCATTCGGGTTGACCACCATGGAGTGTCCATAGGCGTGGTACGATGCCTCCATGTCCCTGGCCGGGCTGCACATGGCTACAAAGATCTGATTATCCATCGCTCTTGCGCGAGCTTGCAAAGACCAATGCATGGGTCCGGTGGTGGTATTGAAGGCTCCGGGATAGACGAACATGAAAGCATCTTTCCTTGCTGCAATCATGGCGAGTTCCGGGAAGCGAACGTCGTAGCATATCGCGAGGCCAATCTTACCGTAATCTGGCAGATCGATTATTGTCACTTTGTTCCCTGGTGATAGTACATCACTTTCTTTGAACTTGATCTTCCCAGGAATGTCGATGTCGAACAGGTGCACCTTGCGATGGGTTGCCAGAAGCTTGCCCGAGGGTCCAAAGACCAACGAAGTGTTGAAGTATTCTTTTGTCTCCGGTACGTATTCCGGTATGCTGCCACCAACCAGATATGTCTTCGTCTCTGCCGCAACGGAGGATAGCATATGCCACGAGGGCGACTTCTCTTTCGAAGGAGGCGAAGGAAGAATGGTCTCGGCGTATTTGGGGAAATATTGACAACCATATGGAGAGTTAAAGCATTCGGGGAGAACGATCATGGAGGCGCCAGCTTTCGCTGCTTCGACCACTTTGGATCTTGCATGGGCTAGATTGGCAGCTTTGTCACCACCTGCGGGTGCGTTAGCATGTTCTGATGTAAAGTCCGAGCAGCAGCACTCACCACTTACCTGATGCCAGTTGGATCAGCGCGAGCTTGAACGGTTTCTTGAGAAGGCCGGCCATGATTTGGGAGTAGTGCAGGCAACAATGTTTAGGAACTCAAGAATAGCGGCAGCCACGCAAAGGAGGAAAGGGCCAAACAATACTTGTTCGACCCAGACAGTTCTTATGAATACTGCAGACCAGCCTCAACGCCCGCATCATGAGCCCCACCTTTCGCACAACAGCGTCCGACAACTTTCAAGCGGACATTATTCTCCGATGGCAAGTGTGCCGAGTTCAATCTTGTTCCTACCACAGCTAGTACCGTAATCTTCTCTCGTAGAACCCCCTTGTCTTCATCGCGGCTAGTCAACCTCACGGCCTCGGTACACCTTTACCACTGCAGTGTTGTGTAAATTTGCAGTAGAATTGGGAACATTTGGAGAAGGTGAAGACTGCTGAGCTGTGAAGGTATTTCGCAGGGCGATACTGCACCTTTCTATGCACAATGCACGTTGGATGGAATGATGACAAGACCTACTGGGATCCTGTTGCCTGCGCTTGCTGGCATACGCAGAGAATCTTTGCTTATACAAGGTGAAGGCGAGATGAGGCTACGCATCATGACTAGCATAAAGAATGTCGATACTGGCAGATTGTCGCATAATTCGACTCGAATACAGTTCGCTGGGAACAATATTGGCATTTCAGGAGGATTCCCTTCTCAAGTTGTTTTGCTGTTTGTTCCTGCGCTGCGGTGTTTGCATTGAAAGCTCTCAGCTTGACTTTCTATGCTTCAACTTGTATTCGCCCGGGTGTGTGCTTGCCTCCTTTGTTCTTTTACCGCGAACACAGCCAAAAGTGAAAACCGCGTCTACAGCGACCTTTAATTCATTTCTCTTTCACCCTCCTCTTTTCGTTCCTTCGTCTCACTGCAGCCCTTCTACATCTAACCCACTCACCATACCCTGCTGCCTTCACCTTACCAAGTTCGTTGTCAGTCTTGACAATATCTGGCAGACGCTAAACATACCAGATTTTCAGACAGTCTCAACCTGTACCTCCTTAGCAGCACTGAATCATGGCTGAAAACTCTCCTCTCCAAGCTACTCCCAATTCTGGCCAGAACAGTTCTGGCGATACCCAGAAAGCTATGTCTCAGCATGAAGGTAGTGGCATTGGCCCTTCCAGCAACGATACCACCTCTGCTCATCCTGCCAAAGCAGAGCCAAATGTCCAACAGAACGGAACCTCTACTCCATCCACGGACTCTGCTACCAAGACTACAGACCAACGAGCCTACAACGTCCCGAAATTCAGCACCTCCACTGAGAAAGAGATTCGTGACTTGATGAACAGTGTTCGTCTCGGCCCGGTCCATGAAGGTGACACGATCACTGTGAAAGACTTCAGAAATCTTGGACTCCTCACTACAAACCTGGTTCAACTCATGAATGCAGAATACATCGTGAGTATCGTATCGTATCTGGCAGGAATACCACGACTAACTATAGCATTCTTCAGGCCAAAGATACCATTGTACGTGCCATTGCCTACATGAGAGGAGAAAGTCAACTTCCACCTCGACGTGCTCTAGGTCAAGCACAGAGAGATCGTCGAGCTGCTCGTCACAATCAGAACGGTGGACATAGTGGATACAAACCCCAGGACAAGTCTGAGCAGGGCAACTCAGGAACCTCGCATGCCACTGGTACCAGTCCCGTTGAGAACGGCAATCACAAGGAACCTGAGCAGGCGAGCACCTATTTGTCTTCAGCTGGTTTCAAACCTGAAGCTCTGTCGTCGGGCCCAGGGCACAACGACAAGACAGCCAGGAACGGTACAAGCTCCGAGAAAGATAACAATGCTCCTGCTGGGGATGCTCAGACCAATAAGGCTGGTGCGTTTGCCGCAAAGGAAAAGAAGAAGCGATACTGGAAGGCCCGTAGACAGGCAGGAAAGCGAATCGTTTATGACTCTCATTCCAAAAACAGTGCAATTCCCACCGTCGAGGATGGTGCAGAGGTTACGATCAAGGATGGGGAAGTGGTGACGGTCAAGAATGGTGAAGGAGCGGCAGTGAAGAAAGACACAGGTGTTCCAGTCGAAACCGGAAATGAGTCGAACAGCAACACCACTGAGAAAGCGAAGAGTTCCGATGGCAAGACTGGGTCAGCTGATCAGGAAGCTCCTGAAGACGTTTCTGTCCAGGCATGATCGCCCACCCCTGCTGAGGACAAATTGTCGTGTGCCCCGGACGATGAAGGAAGACTTCGATGACGGAACCGCAGTCTCAGTTATGCCAGGGGTTTAACACGGTGTTGATTGAGATAGTCAAGGGTCTCCGGTCTGTCAGAGGACAATTTGCACACGAGCTGATGGTTGTACATTTACTTGATTCAACGATAACCAAACGAACAGCACTTCCACTCTCTCCCTGAGAACAGAGTCTTTCCTTGTTCAGAAGTCTGAAGAGTGACCATAGCAGATTGCTTCCAGCCCAATCAGATAGCTTCCAATTTCGCATGAACTTGCAACGATTGTCTTGAGTTGTTGGTGAGAGCTTGGAGGGCTTTTGCAGAGGAGAACACGAAGTGAACGATTTCAGGACAGTATGCTGTGTGTTGTTCTGCAAAATCCGGCAGATTTATGCTGTTGACCTTCAACCTCTAATTCTGCTGGTCCAGAATCCCAATGCTGTCAGTGACCCTGCCCTGTGATACTCGCCCGTGACTTCGCCTACCTGCATTACCAGCAGCTTCGGAAGATGATTCGATCGGGCATTTGCCCTCGGTAATTGAATACAGCGGAGGAGAGCCATTGTTCGGTGCATTTTCTTCGTCAGCAAGCTCGCGTGTCCCACGCCTCTCTTCTCTTGGTGACAGCGGCTTCTCGTCGGTAATATGCGGAGTGTATGAATGAAGGACAGCTGTGCAATTTCAGCAAGCTGAATAGTTCAACCGGGTCAAGGCTACCTAGAGCAAGTGTCTTGCTTGACCGATCTGTTTGAGATTTGAAGAGTTCATCGAGCTAAAAGAAAGACCCACTTCCAGCAAGGCTGCCAAGGTCAGGGGAAACTTCTATATACAGTGACTACCTTAGATCTGTAGCATGACAAGGATGGGAGACTTTCGCGAGAACAATCAATTGTTAGGAGCTAAGGCCGAAGTAGAGAGGAATTACATTGGCTGCCAAAGATAATCCTGAATCTGATATCTATCTGTTCCTGAGAGCGATAAAATATATGTAGATATACTAAGTAGGTACGTATATATAATCCATACACATCTCCTGCCCACCTAGGAATAGAATGCACAATATAACAAAACAACATAAGTAGAGATAGAAAACCCAAAAAACCAAAAACTTTTTCCACAAGCCCTACATCGTTTTTACCTTTGATATAGGGGTTGTGGGAAGTGAAACCCTGATTGCGCAGGGGTTTTCCGTGGTTAGGGTTTGGGATCGGGATTCGCTTTGGGATTCGGATTCGTTCGCTGGTTGGCGTTAACCCGGGTTCGCAGGGTTGAATTTAAATCGTGGAGTGACTTGCCATGAGTAGGATTCGAACTCGAAGACTGTGTCACTGACGGACGAGGGAGGAATCGCCCAGTGGCCTTTTCCAGGGTAGGCCAAGCTGGGGGTCTTTGCGTTATTGGGAGAAAATTCGGCGACTTTAATATATATACTAGGTACATATCCGCGGGTTAGCCTGTGAGGTCGTAGTGAAGTAAGTGGTTGGGATGTGCTCAGGAGGCCTTCCGGCACAACGAAGGGTGAAATGGATAGGGCCGAAAAAGGAGGAAGAAAGGCGACACAGAGAAGTAAGGCGAAGTGAGATTGGAAGATGCACTTGTTAGATTTGACCAATGGACAGATACTGTTGTCGGCATGTTTCCTCACAACGAAGCTATACTTATTTGACAGGCTTAGTTTCTTCGGAGAGACTGAGGGTAAGGTTCAACCTTAACAGTCGAAACTGATACAACTACTATTGGAAAGGTGGCAGATGGCTTTTCGTGGATTCTCACATCAGTTCCATGAGAATATATAAGCAGCCAGCATCTGTCTTCACAAGGACTGGAACAATGGGTTCCACTGCATCCCGAAATGCAACCTATGGGGTCAGTCTTCTCAACGTTGAAGAAAATACAAATGCGTGCAAGGGAATAAGAAAACTGGAACAGCCGGAGACAGCATGAACGGAATTCGTTCTGATTCATTAAAGATCCTGCATAGCTTGCAGGCGCTCATAGCCAACAACGTTGAAGCTGTCAAGTAAAACACCCTCATTAGGTCAATCGGTCGCCTGCTGGCGGCCGTAAAACACGTAAGTCGTGAAAGGTACTTCATACAAGCATGAGCAGGATCGTGCGGTACGCCTGCCGGTAGTACAACCCAAGCAATCGCAATCGAGCGTGGTTACTTCGAGGACGGCCCCAATGGTTGAAGATAGGCTTGATCCCAAGGCCCAAAGTGTTTTGCGCGTGATCAGATTCATATCGGCCAGTTGCCTTGTTCGAAGCCGAAGTTCATAGCCAGGAATTCATCACCGAAGCCAAAGGCCATCAATTCGTCCGAAGTGAAATCCATAGGCCCCAGATCCTGGCCGGGTATACCATAAGGCATCATGTTTTGCTCGTGGATGGCCATTTCTGCAATTCCAGGCAGCATCTGAGGTTGGTTCATTGGCTGCATCCATTGTTGAGGTTGGGCCATCACGGCCTGTGGAGGCGGCCCGGGCCCCATTGCAGCATCAGAGAGCATTTGAAGACCACTCCTCGGCGGCTGCTGCTGTTGTTGATGAGCTTGAGCGTTTTGATCCAGGGCAGCTCTGTTCTGTGCATTCCATCCCAAACCACCTGGATCCTGCTGGGGAGGTAGGACCCTGTACGCTGACTGTGGGTGGCTTCTTCCAGCAGGGGTCCGTTGCCTTGAAACAGGGTGGCTGCCGTTGTTGGCAGGCTCTGTACGTTTCATATGCCAACTCTTCAGCATAGTGAAGATGAGGCTGAATTTGTGGGCCACCCTACTACCACCACTTTCGCCCGCCTTGGTGAGTACTTCGATGAGTCGGTCGAGGTAATACTCAACCTTGAGGTCTTTGGTCTTGAATATCGAAGCGAACTTGGAGCCCTTAGCTGACACTGCTGTGTACAGTTTGATCAAAGCCACCGCGGCGTAGGCGTTTCTAACGAAGAAGAGCGTGGGCAGAGCTCGAACCATTCTGATATCCATCGTCAAGAATGCGTCGAACGCTGCATGTGCGGCATGAATACAAGTAGTCAACGCTTCAATGTGAGCCGGCGTCACATTGTCGGGGTCGGGAGGGCCTTCGATCGGGGTTGCATTGAACGGCGGGCGGAAATCGTCGACATTATGGTTATGGTGCATGGCAATCTCGTGCATGTATAGATTGATGATGCCTTCGGTATGTTGTATGACCGGCTTCTTCAGTATTTCCACGGTGGCTGTGTCGTGCCATTCCGCCAGCTGACGCTCAAAAGCTTTGAGGTGGTATTGTGTCTTGGGATCCGTCAAGGAGAGAAGGGAAGCAGGATCATCCATAGAGAACTCCAGTCCCACTTCCTCCGCAATGTGCTGAGCCCGGACAAGATGACAGAACCATCGGTCTGAAGGGAGCGCATCGGGAGAGGAGTTGAGTATCTCGATGCATTCTTCGGCGTAAGGGCTCCAGCGAATCAACAATGGCCGTCGTAGAGACATGGAGGAACTACCTACATGTCAGTGTCAATGGACAAGACAAAGATTGGGATACTCACTTCGAACACATAAAGTAGCACCCCAGCCAGCATCGTCGCGTCTCGGCACTATTGGGATCGGTCAATGGTCTTTTGTTCTCAGGATATGGCCGCCAAGGACCACCACCACCCGGCTTGGTTCGTTTGCCCATGCCTAGATCCAGGGCCATGACGGCGGCAATATGGATGAGTTGGTTGAAATTTAACTCTTCGTACTTTTCAGGAGGTTGATAGAAACACGTCGTCACCTGGAGCGTCTGCACCAGTTCCAAGGACTTCTCTCCTCGGTTAATAATGCGGTCCGCGAGGGTTTTGGTTATTTCGCTGATGAGTCTGGGTTGAAGGTCTGGCCGGATCGTGCCAGATGCCACAGAAAGCACGGCTAGGAACAGGACAGGCTTGTTCTTCCGGACTTGGTCTGCGCTGGTTCCAGGCGGAAAGACCACCATGGGCAGATGCTCGCACATCTCGGCCATGTACCGTTCAAAGCATTTCCTCGCTGTGTTGATGTCCACAAGACCAAGCTCGATAGGGTCGGCGGAAGGCAGTTCTGTGAAGTTTCCCGTTGGTCTTGGTGGCCCGGCTTGCACAGGATGGTACTGCGGCACAGGTGCGGATGGTTTGAACGCTGGTTCAGCCGGTTTGTGTAGGTCACCCCCGAAGTAATCATACTCGTTTGTGATCTTCCTCTTGACGCCTTGTTGGGCGGCTTGTGGTGACGGAGGCCCAACCTGTGGTGGCGGGCCATGCCATTGACCTCCATATGTCCCAGGGCGCATAGCCTGAGCCTGGTGTGCCATTGATGGTTCGACTGTGAGGTCTGCGTCAGGCACGCCTCTAGCAGCCAGCGATGCAGTCAAAGCGTCGATTTTCTTTTCCAATTCTGCCACCCGACTATCCGTTTTCTTTTGTCTTTTCCTGCTGGGAGCTGTGATGACACATTGTCTGTGGGCTTTGGCGCATCTCTTGCACGACCCAGTCGGACTGTTGTCATCAGGCTCACACTTGACCTTCAATTGTCGGCATGCTTCACAGGCGCGCGGCCTCTTCAGGTCGTTTGGGTCGGCTGGGTTGCCAGACGGACTCAGGTCCTCGGGACTTTCCTGTGTTGGCTGATTGCTGGGATAATAGTTTGGGGTTTGTATGCTTTGGTAGGAAGTATTAGGTGACGGTTGGATGGGAGAATAGGCAGCAGGCGCGCCGTTTTGATACTGCTGGGTATCATGCGGTTTAAGTGGATTGCTCAAGGAGGACGTCCGCAGGGTTGGATCAATGTGGTTATAGGATTCGGTGTTGGCCATGATGGTCGCGAGGGTGGACAAGGGACGTCGGGAGAGCGGTACTTAGATATCGCCGTCTGCGAGGTCCGCGCGCCGACTGGGTCAAAGGATGTTGGAGATGGAGTTTACTTGTCGACAGAACAGGCAACTAAACGAAGATGCTCGCATTGTGGCGCGTCAGGACAGTGATGTCTGAGGTGTATCAGTCGCTGCTAGGTCTTGACGTGGATCCAAGGTCTTCTTGTTCGTCCGGACAGTTGTTTAGCAATACCGTCAGTGGGTGGTAGTTGGTGGCAGTCATTCAGTCGCCGAAGAGCGAACACTGGCTCTGTATTGCAGGGAACCTGGAACCTGGAACCCGGTCAGGGAGCCTGAGGGATTCGGATGACTAAGGTACTCGACTTGAGGAGGGAGCCTAAGGAGGCACTTGGACTTGGCACTATTCGGGGCCGTGGGCGCAGGCTGCAGGGCGCAGTTCAAGTTCTTGTGTGAGTGCCGCTACTTGATGCCCGTAGTAGTGTATCTGCTTTCGGCGGGCTAGGGGCTAGGGGCTCCCTAGGCGCTGCTACTGTCTGATAGAGGTGCCCGGGTACCTAACACTGCCACCTAACGATAGCACCTATTTTGATTCTCTGCTTCCTACTAGTAGTCGACATCAACAAACGCGTGTATAGTGAGTGCCATGTCAAAAGCGACAGCGACTAAACCAAACACCAAGTAGATAATTAACTCTCAAAAGTAAAATGGGGAATCTCGGTCTGTACTCTGCAGTCAGAAAGATCAGAACTCCTTCCCTCAATTCGTGCCTCGTTGAACGTGTCTGTGTCTGCGTGAATCCATCCCATCGTCCAATCCGAGTTACAGGCACTGACACTGTAGTGCCTAGATGCCCGCAGACCAAGGACCAATCATACATCGTCCCAACTCGTCCTCATCATCGTGAAATCATGTAATCAGCTTGTGCACCGGGCACTCTGCCTTGTGGCCAATCCACTCGACAATGCATTGCTTGTGAAACTTGCACAAACACTCCAACCGTGCCAGTTCGTCACCCACATTGTACTCCACCATGCATATCGAGCATTCTTGTGGACTGCCGTCCTGACCGACACAGTCCTTTTCCGTCGCCGTGAAGGGGAGCATGTGAATCCTGGCTTGAGATGGCTCTCCTCCTCCACCGCCCTGGGCACGATATGACGGGTCTCGAGCACTAATGCAGTCCATGATGTGCGCTTCTCGAGCGGTCTCGTCGCCATTCGGTCCCTTGGGCGGTAGGGGTCGCCGGCAGATAGGACAAAAGTCCCTTTCATCCAGTCTAGGGCGGGAAGAAGCATCGAATACGCCGGGATTCATTCGACGAGGCCGTTCGTTGGCACCGCTTGAAGTCGCATGAGGCGACCCGATGGGGGCATTGCCGTGGGGCTCCGTCCGAGGCTGGCGACTGTCGGGATAGGTAGGACGTGTCATGGTGAATGATGATCGGCTATCTTGCGGTAGGTTATCCTGCACGAGTCAACATGAGAGTATTCCTGGAATGTCTAGAACATACCCTGGAAGAGCCCGGGAAGCCTCGACTGGCAATTGAAGTAGACGGGTCAGGCAAACGACGGTCGGTTGGCGATGTTCCCCCACCGTATGAGCCAAACCAGGACGAACCGCTGTCTCGAGCATGCGAATGGCCATTGGCGTCTTGGGCAAACGAGCTCGGGTGATGGAAACTGCCCTGAAGCAAAGAAAGAACAGAGTTAACATACTTTTGTTTGTGAGCTGAACGAATATGCACTTACCCTGAAGGGCCGGAACAATGAGCTGCTTCTATCGTAAACCCCTGCTGATTGCGACAGACCTGGAGGTGGTGGGACGCGATTTGATCGCGCTTCAGAACTCCAGGGTAGCGCTGCGTGAGAGCCACCAATTTCATTATGAAAATGAGGATAGTGTGGTAGAGGGTCAGGCTGTGGATCAGGAACACACGGATTGCAGAGGCGCACTTTCTCTCCACCATCTAGTTGTGATCCCGTGTATTCCCCGGGACTATACAAACCCTGCAATGGGTCGTCCTCATTGTCATCGTCGGTCAGGTCTACCATATGGGAGCGCTGGGTGACCGCGATGTCGGGTGATGAGGGGATATCGAATCCCGGCGGGCGCACTATGAACTGGCGAGGAATTGTAATTCTGTGTGGAGAGCAGTCGTTGCACACGACCCTGCCACACTTCCTGCAGTGATGCCGTCTGAACATCCAGGTGAAAGGGCGCTTGCAGATAGGACATTCGCTGACTTCGGAGTCTGGCTGCCACCGAGGTACCACATATCCTCTCGAAGTCGCCGAGGAGGGCCTTCCTAGCCTGACGTCTAGAGAGGGCGGAGGCTGTGCTGGGGGAGGAGAGCCCGTTAAGTCTATGACTTCTGGCAACGGTCTTGTCCCGTCGGAAGAGGCATGAGGACGGCCAGAAGGGGACAATGGCACAGGCATTCGGTAGCCGTGATCGTAATTTGGCCGTCTGTCGTAGAATCCGCCACTATTCGATCTCAATCTTCCTTCATCGTATGTGTGACTGGTCAGCCGTCTCTTGCGATCCAAAGCAATGATGCTGCGCCTGCGCTGTTCGGGGCTCTGAGGAGATGCCGGAATGGGAAGAGGACGTTCGTTCTGAAAGGAAGCAAGCTGCTGGCCGCTTGATGATGAGGAGGATTGTTGGGGCAGATCCGGCAGAGGACGATGTAATGAGGCATTCAAAGGTGGTCTTCTTGAACCATGGAAGTCAGAATGAGGGGCAGGAGAATGGCGGGTTGGTGACCCCGAGTCGGCTTCGAGGCTACTTTGGGAGCTCATCGAGTCTGTAGAGGACATCTTTATGTTGACAGTGGAGTGAGATGATGAACAGTTTGTTGATCAGAGTACAATACTAAATCGCAGACTTGTGGCGATCAAGTCCCGGATACGAGCACGTGCGATGAGGGACTTGACGTGTGCGGTGCTACATGTCACCGGCAACAACGGTGGTGAACGTGGAAGAGGAGAATAAGACGGACTCTGTAGACGCTGAGACCGAAGGAGATTCGTCTACACGTTAGACGGCGGGGCAGTCTGTTGGAGGTTTCAATATCACAAACAGTTCCATGGTAGTTCAACCCAGTATAGGAGCAAGATAAGATGTCGTGGTTGGGGTCGCCGTGACATTTCCAGTAGTGTCCTAGTTTGGCCTAGTAGGTAGTTAGGGTAACTACAGAGTGCGTACAGAGTACAATTATTATATCACCAACACTTCTATTTGTCTCTATAATTGCTTAGATACCTACTTCTCGACGGTAAGATCCACCTCAATGCGAGGTATCTAGATATCCTACGGTGGACAAACAATTGTCCTGTTGACCACGATCACCTCCAAGTTGCGGCTTAGTAAAGCTCCCGAGGCTGGTGCCACAGGTGCCCCAAGCCTCATGAAGACCTACCTAGGTACCTAAGGTATAAGGATTCTTGCAGGTCAGGTAGGAACCTAAGGTGCCTAATCTAAACGGTGGCCCAGATTTCAGCCATGTCTGGCGCATGTTTGATTGATACTAGAGCAGGTATTCATTCTGCGTTCGACTTGTCAGACATGGTCGATCCATTGCGAATAGTCAAGGTCTCAAGTCTCGAGGCGTTACCCTGTCCTCGTAAGTCATCGCAAGCATCTCCAAGCGTCTGAGATGTCTATAAGTACAAAGTGGTGGACGCCCGGAGGATACCTATAAGAATGATGTCTACACAGTACGTATAAGGAGGTTAGCCATAGCCAGGGTGCCCGTAAAAGACATTATTATGACGTGCAGTGTACCACCTCGCGTGCTCCATCCCTCACAATCTGCACGACGCGTTCTTTTGCTTGATCAATTGTTGTCCAACCATATGTTGGGCCGTGTCCGTGCCACAGGTGCCCGGACTTGCGGGACGTATGCCCCAATAAAAGAAGTTTGGACTGGCCGTGTTTTCGCCTGGTGAGACAATACCTCAACCCTCACTGGGGGCCATCGGCTAGTGATACGGAATGATGTAGTCGGCGGGGACGAGTGTGGAAGGGAGAGGCACATCGCTTGGAAAAATTGCCAGCTGGGGACTTGTAAGCGAGAAATGGCCACTCTTATGGACAACACCACTGCTCTTGTCGCTGTTGCACCATCGTTTACAGCAGAACCCCGAAACATTCAGGTATGAAGATTGTCTGTTCAGGTACCTAGGTACTCAGTAGCAGGCTGCCGGGATTTCTGCTGGGTTTATCCCGTACATTCCACAGTACAGAAGTAGCAGGTACGGCCATGACAGCGGGTTTCTCCCAAAAGGACCAGAAATAGCAATGCATTAGGACATACTAGTACTAGGAGCGTGTTGCTGTTAACAGGCATCTCCTTGTCAAGCGGCCAACTGAATGGTAACCGGAAGATCGCCGTGCGTAATAGGCGAGCACTCTTTCCTTACCTGGGATGGTGGCCTCTGGTTAAAGCACCGCCAGTCAGGATAGCGTGCCACGGGCAGCAGAAACAACGAACGGGACGGCGGAAGAGGGTGACGGTGACACCTGAGTGACAGCCCAGTTGAATGCGTTTTCGTGTTTCTCCCGGGCTCTCTCCACTGCCACTGCAGAGCACCACGTAACTGACAACTGGGCACTTGCTGGGTTCAAGTTGCGTGCTGGAGCCCTACTACGTACTACCACTACAGAGTACCTCCTACTCAGGGCTTCCCTGCGCCTCAGGCCTAACTAACGCTCCACCTGCTAACAATTCTCCAGACTGACGGACTACACGATCGTTCTTCCAGCCCTGTTCTGATCTTCTCGTCACTCTTTTCGTTCTACACTACACAATACGTCCTTCATCCTTCTATTCGAGTCTGGTAAACGCTTCGCTTTACCGGCATTTCCTCGCTGGCTATACCGGTTTAATCTGCCTTCTATTGGTATCACAATATTTCGCCCCCGAAGCCTCGCCGAGAATCCTCGCCGAGATCCTCGAGCCCTCTGCCTGAGACATTGCCTGATTCTATCTGTCTGCCCTTGATCTCCCTGCGCGGTGTCGGTCACCAACCATTTCATCTCGCCATTCAACACCACCGCTCTCGGCACTGCGTCCACGTTCTGTCCGGCGCGCTCACCCGTTCCTCCAGTCGACGGCAACGACCTCTATAGCGGCGAGCTTGTCCCCATCTCGATCAGAACCTCTATCCCTGCCAGTGTATTCAGGCCGTGGTGGACGACGATGTCAACCAATTGAGATGCCAGTGCCGGACGAGAAGGAGAGAGGAGGAAACCGGAAATCCATTGCCATGACCCATCATAATGGAGAGTCTGACACACAGTCGAAGTCGGAGCGGAAGAGCAGGAGCCAACACAGGCCATGTTATCGTCGGGGATCCCCCGTGTGGAATCTGGTCAATACTTTGTTCACCATACTCGTCCTCGGCCTGTATTTGACCTCCCCGACCCAAGCAGCCTATGTCGAGTTCCGGAATTGTCTCGATCGAAGCGTTATCAGTTCGAATCCCCGGCTCCTCCAGTTCGTTCCCCTCAATGTCTCGGCCGTCTTCAATACTTCGTCGCCTAGACACAATTTCAACATCACAGTCTATGGCAATGTCACTGGGAAAGCTACTGCTGAACCTTACCCTCCGCCGACTGATCCGTCATGGAGCAATCCAAACGACACCTTTGGGAAGATTCCTGACCTCAGCGAAACAAACAACAAATATACAACTCTTTTTACTCAGCTCAATTTTCTGAGTTACACCCCATGGACCGCCGAGCCTTCAAGATTTTGTGAATCCGTCGTTCACGGAAGCTGCCCGTTGGGTCCAGCATTCTTCGTTAATTCGACCGACCTCGATCGACTGCCTGCATTCTCTGTCGACCATGATATGTTCTCGAGTTACGCCTTTTCCTCCCTGCAGGCTACTTTGAGAGTCCAATCAGGGGATGCCAGCGGTCAATACTATGGCTGCGTGAGTGCCACAATCACGCCCGACTTAGGCGGTTATCTCAAGGGCATCCTGCGTTATCTTCCTCTCGCCGTGTTGATAGTAGTCGGCATTGCCACGATTGCGGCCGCCATCCTAAGTCCGTGGGGTTCGGGCGACATCTTCAACTGGAGTAGCAACTTTGGTCGCGACGAAGATCTACTTCGACTCGTCACCCCGGGCTTCGGCGATTGTTTGCAATACATTCAATTCGTCGTCCTTACTGGCAGCCTTACGCTGAACTATCCGGGATTCTACCAACCGGCTGTGAGCCGTGTTTCCTGGTCTTCCCTTATGTTCAACGAGAGTTTTGTAAGTGGAGGCAATGGAACGGAGAGCTTGGTCGACGGAGTTTATGAAATACGAAACAACACCAAGTATGGACTCGACAAGATGAGTCAACTTGTGGGCATGACGTCTGACCGAGATATCTGGGCCGACATGATTGTCTGGCTTGTCGTGATCGTCGCGGCTGTCACCATCCTGACCCAGCTAGGATTTGCTGCTCGATGGCTGTATCGCCACATTGCAAACGAGCCAGCAGAAGACCTCCGCTCCAAAAACGGGCCTTTCACGATCGGGAATGTCCTGCGGCTGGTGCTGAACTTTTTTCTCCTGCCCTTGACTGCTCTGTCTTTCTACCAACTATTGATCGCGGCGCGAGGGCCGGCATACTCCGTGGCGCTGGCAGCGGTATGCCTTATTCTGGTGCTTGCCTTTTCCGGCCGTTTACTCCTGTTGTTCATCCGTACAAGGCCACGCTCTTTCCTTTTTGACGATCTCCTTACCGTCCTGGCATACGGGCCGCTATACAACACATACTGCGACGACGCCGCCACTTTCGCCTTGATTCCGCTTCTCGTCAACTTTCTTCGCGGCATTGCCATTGGTGCAGTCCAGCCATCCGGCGTAGCGCAGATAGTTTTGCTCGCCATTTGCGAAGTCGTCCTCATTTTGACGATCAACGCCTTTCGACCGTATCCCTCTGCTACGTCCATGAACATCTATCACACTTGCTTCTCGGTCATTCGCTTGTTCACCATCCTTCTATCGGTCGCGTTCGTACCGTCGCTTGGCACCTCGGACTCGTCAAGGGGTTGGATCGGCTACGCCATCCTCGTCATCCACGCCTGCACGCTCGTTTTTGGATTCTTCCTCAACGCCGTCCAAACTCTGATAGAAGTCATTGCTCGACTTGCCGGTGCAGGCGGACGAGATCAAGTCACAGGCGGTGCCACAAGAGGAGGCCTGAACAAGGTATTTGGTATGAGGCAATTGTCTCGGCGAGTGCCACGGCGTGATCATCATCCACGTCACAGCATGTCCTCGAACGCCGCCATGCTAGCAAGCGTGGATAACGAACCAAAACAACTACACCTGGCCAAGACCAGATCCCGTAGTATCTCCGTTACGTCCAATGCGTTGCTGGACAGCGGAAGATCTAGCAGAATGAGTCAGACACTCGATAGCCGCATCCTGGACCAAGCAACCCCCGACCGGTCCAACAGAGGTTCGCGGAGGTTGACCGGCAGGCTTAGCGGAAGTGGCTCGCTGGGGGGAATAGTCGGTCTCCAAAAGCAAGTGGAATCAAAAGACCCCTACTATCGGCCACCACGTCGGAATACAATGGAGCCGCTCTCTGGTGCCGATGGCAACCTCGCCATGTCCTTGACCAGCGGCAAGTCCAAGGGTCCTCTGCTCAAGGAAGAAACAGTGGAGGATGATGCAGGCGAAGGCTCCTCAACTCCCATGCGGCTAGATAACGATGAATTCGAGGACCCTGCAAATGACCTGACGAGGACAAAGACAGACTACGCCGTGAGAGAAGTCGACTTTTACTATGGTGTCCGAGGAGCTGCACTTTCGAGCGGGACGAGGAAGCTTAAGACCGGGCCAGCAGATCCCACTGGACCAGTTTCCACAGCGAGGGGTTGGTTCAAAGGCATTCTTGGAGGCAAGACAAAGGAGAAGAACAAAGGATTCGAAGTCGTTAGAAGTGCTCGAGCTCCACCACCAGGTCTTTTCCCGCCAACCCCTGTGCCCGAAAACCAGACCCCGGAACCCTATCATGACGATGATGTGCACAATAACCCGGAGGCTCGACCGAATCGGACCGGCTCTAGAATGGCATCCCCTCCGCCAGAGAGAGCAAGAGTCGACGAGGTGTCAGACACAGAGTCCGATGAAGACGAGGACTCAATCAGCCCTGTTCCTTCCAAACCGCCGTCTTTGCCACTGATAGATTCAGGTGGTGCCATTGAACTACCTAGTCGGATCGGCTCTGAGGCTTCTCGGAAGTCTCACAAGAAGGCACCTCCCGGAGAGATACCGGAGGTCCCTGCAGTCCCAGCCTTACCCCGAAAGAGTTCAAGAAGACAGTCGGGGGGAGATCAAAGCGATAGAGCGAGCGCAAGGGCGAAACTGTATGGTGCAACCACTTCCAGCCCTCCCAGTCATAAAGGACACTCGCAAAGTCTGAGCGCCGGCCGCATTCCGTTCTCAAGCACGCAGACTTCGGTGGTGAGGGACAAGAGATATTCCACTGGCGCAGATTCGACAACCTCGAGTATATTGCGAGATGGAGGTGAGAACGTGTCCGCGGCTCCTCGCACCACATACACAAACCACCTGCGCAATACGTCGTCGGCCTTGGGTGCTGCGCATGGAGCAAACATTCTTAATGACCGGCCGTCCAACGTGGGGTTTGTGCAACAGCACAGAGCCAGCGATCATATATATTACAGTCCTGAATCGCCAGCATTCGAGGGCAGCACGGCAGAAGTTCACGGCCGACCAGGCCCAGCACTTTAGGCGCGGTACTCCGGTCCGCTATAACGAAGATTACGACTCTTTTTTTGCGTTTCATGACAGGAAGGAACCTGAAGAATGATGGACCTTGGTTGAGATGGAACGTTAATAATTCTGAGGAATGGATAACATTGATGGGCGGTGCAGTCAGATATGCTGGGAGCGGCTATTTTCAGCCCTGTCCGATTACATCTTCACACTAAGGAAGTGGAAAGAAGTTCTCTCCCATGCCGGGAGCTTTGCAGTGCTCAGGTTGGATGTGGGATGCGAAGGAACATCTTCCTTCATGCTTGTCTGACCGAAGTACATATACAACAAAAATGAGCGTGGCGTCAAGGTTCTGGGGTTTCTCTTTTTATTGGTGGTTATGGATGTTGAGTCGAAAAAGTGGAAGGGATTTGGACGCCGTTGGCGAGCAGCTCATTCCCGTCCGTCGGCGCTGTCATTCGAGTGATGTGGCGACATCTCTGAGACATACCATCACTATCATGCGTCGCCACAACCGATGTGGATCGACGGCATGGAGGGCTGGGAAGCCATGGAATATGACAATCATGGAAATGTGAGCAGTCAGTGGAGAAGTCAGGGGTCGCTTTAATAATGGTTGGCGGGATCTGAGGAGGGACTGTATATCAATCTGATCACGCATTCAGTTAGATATACGGCTGTGGGTGTGAAGTAATGCTAAGATCAGAACACACATATGTTATATCTGAATACCACAGAATCCATGATACCATGTTGGCAGTATCATCCGGTGTCTGTCCTTGTGGTTGGATGTCACTTGGACGACGCGAGTGAATTCCAATAATGGAGCCAGGCATTGAGATTTCTGGATGCAAAATATGTATGTATATTCACTGTAGATGCATACAAACATACATACACTAGGTAACGAGTAGGTATTTACCCGCCTAGATCCCACCAAGAACCTCCCTCGTATGACCTCTTCTCGCTCGACTTCTTTAAGAGGTCGCAGAAGACTGAGAAATAGTCTAGACACATGCTGTTCTCGGCACAACTGCGTTTCCCTTCAGTTGACACTCCTCAACCCGGACTCAACCTGGGATGGATTCCAGGAAAGCTGAAGGAACAGACCAAGTGGACATTGGGTGAACCAACAGCCCCTTTTCTTTTCTTTTTCTGGAACATTCACACTTCAGGCCAAGTAGAGAGGTATATATATGTCTCCCTTTGGGGGGTGCAGGGGGTGGTTCTTGGTTTGTGCACCTGGAGTGTGTCGCAAGTGCATGGGTAGATTGATGTTTACCAGATCCTCTTCGGATCCACGGAGACTTTAGTCTTCTGGGACTCGACGTCATGGAGTTCCGGCAGGGCCTCGACGTCGAGATGCTGGTAGACGGTGCCGCTGGCGCGCAACGCGTCCTCGACGATCTTCATGTAAGCGAGCACCTTTTCCTCGGTGAGGCGGCGGCCCACGACCTGCACGGCACAGGGCAGGCCGGCCATCTTGGCGCCGTCGTAGTGCTTGAAGGCGCCCTGTTCGACGCCGTTGGCAGGCTTGAAGTTTGTGGATAGTTGGTCCTTGATGGGGTCGACCTTGGTCACGGGCACAATGCCGGCGGTGTAGTCGAGCAGGTTCCACAGGAAGGTGTAGCCGCAGCTGGAGAAGGCGTCGTGCATGGCCTTGTGCGGCAGCGCGGGCGTGGCGTTGGCGGGACACAGGATGAAGTCGAACTGCTGGGCGGGCGCGTCCCACCAGTCGAACCAGGTGGCGCGGAAGGCCTCGCGCTTGGCGACCCATTTCCACTGCTCGACGGCGGACAGGGGGTGGAAGTAGCGCAGCAGCGAAGCCCAGAGCGGGTCGCGCTTCACGTAGCGCGTCCAGAGATACCAGAGATACTTGACCGGTCGCGGCAGCGACATGTAGAAATTTATCTGGGCTGCGCCGGGGTCGTTGGACTCTCCCGTGCGGAAGAACGAGCGGTACGTCTTGCCGCCGTCGGCACAGAGCAGCACGGATCCGATCTGCAGAGCCTGAGCGGGTGTCGCGGTCGCTGGGAACGTCGGGACGGCGATGTTGACGACTTCGTGGCCAGCGCTGCGCAGGGCGTCCGCTGTGAGCTCGACTCCTCGCGCAATGGCCGGCGAGGGGCGGCAGACGCCGTCGGTGCTCATGAGCCCGACGCGCAGACGCTTCGACTGCGAGGTCGCGTCGTACACCTCTTGGCGCCACGGGAGCGGGTGCACCGTGTAGTCGACTTCCCAGGGTTTCATCTGGATGAACGATTTGGTGAAGTACGTCAGGTCATCCAGGGTGCGGGCCATGGGCGAGAACACGGACGGGATCCCCTCCTGGCCGGGCATCGATGTGTTCATGCCCATCTTGGGCCAGCGGCCGGTACTGCAGCGGAGCGAGTTGATGCCCGACCACGCCGCAGGCGCGCGGACCGAGCCTGCCACGTCCGATCCAATGCCGATTCTGGACCCGTTGAGCGCCAGGAGAGCTCCTTCACCACCGGTGCTGCCGCCAGGCGAGTATTTCGGGTTGTGTGGATTCTTGCAGACCCCCCACAGGTCGTTGGCCGATTCGAAGGAAAGGAGGGTGATGGGCAAGGCCGTCTTCGCATGGGGGATCGCTCCAGCTCGCTTCAGGAGCTTGACCATGATCCCATCCTCAGGGTACGGCTTGAAGACGTGGCGCGAATAGCCCACCGACACGTCAAAGCCTCCCACCGCGATACTGTCCTTCAACGACACAGGTATGCCGGCCAGCGGTCCCTTGAGGTCCACGTCGTTCTTCGCCCACGATTCCGCCTCGGGGAGGAGTAGTTCCGTCACGCAGTTGGTTCGTTGCTGCGCGACCGTGGCTGTCTTGCCATAGGTGCGCAGGATGTCGACAGGTGACACGGTGCCGTTGTGCACGTCGTTGACGAGAGACGCAATCGGCGCATCGAGAATGGCCCGTTGCTGCGACGTCAGGGGGCCCTTGTATGTGTCTGGGAGGGACTCGAATCGCGCATCACGCTGGCGCTGCTTGATCACGCTGGAAGAACAGGTCAGCCAGGGGAGACCGAGGTGGGAAAGAGGGCCGGGTAGGATCAGGTCAATGAGGGGATAGCCATAGGAAGGAGGGGTGGTGTAAGTCGATCACCATCAACCCGAGCGACAGAGACCAGACCAGACTTACCAGGCGCGGCGATGCTCGAAGTAATCAAAAGGCGGATACATCTTGACGATTACATGTTCTTGCACCTGTCTAGGGAGCCAGGAAAGATAGAAGAGAAGAGGCTCGTTGGAGGAGGTATGATGAAGTAGTTTAAGGACTTGGGTCAAGGTTGTGTACTACGTATCTACTATCTACCTTATCTAGCTAAGGGAAGAGGAGTTGGGCGCAGCCAGTAAGTACGTAGTAAGTGTATGATAGCGACCGATAAGAGGCGGATTAGTGGCTGATACTAGTACTAGTAGTTAGTAGACGACAGGCCGTACGTTATCGCGCTCCCGATACCCGCAAACCTTATCGCTGTGGGCCTAAGGACACTAATGACACTAACCTTTATTTGGGTTGTCAGACAGCGGCTGCCCCCTCGCTAAACTGGAGACATGTCGACATTCCTCCAGGTTACTTTGTCAGACAGAATCGCATAGTAACAGCTCCGGCCCCTAAGGACCATTCTCGCCATGTCTGCTTCGACATGCCTAACATAGACTCGCTTCGTATCTACCACTATGCGAGCCAAATATTGCTGTGATAATAGGTTCCTCGAGTAGACAGCCGGTGAGAGCTCGGTTAGAGCAGTAGTATCGGTGACCCTCTTCTCTGTTGCCCGAGCAGATGGAGCATGCAAAGCGCGCTTGGTCCCGCGCTATTGTTTCTGATTGACTGAGATCTTTTCCCAGCATTTAGCCTCAGAATATCGGGGAAAAGGTGAAGTAGATACTAGATAGATGGCAGACCTTCAACTTGTCATAAGTAGTAATGTACATATCTCACTCACTCGCTCGCTTGCTTGCTATATACTCTGTCCAGAGAGAGCGAAAGAGCCCGGGTGTCGGCGGGGAATCATAAGTATCGATATTTACTTCCAAAACAAATCATAAATATCTCTCTCTTACCCTTGTACGGATCCTATGATATTGGAGAAGGGCATTAAGGTGTCGGGTCCAAGTTGCTTCTCGCCACAACATCGACTGAGTGGCAGTGGTCCTCATCTGGGCCACCAGTGATGACCAGCTGAGTTGCCGGTAAAAGGACCTGTGGTGACAATCGGCCGCGGTGGGAGATGCGGGTCGAAGGGCTGTTCGTATTGCATGACATGAGCGTGCCCTGCCATGTCCAGACTGTACATGTTTGAGCCTGGCGAGGGATTATGCCCCCCTGGGCTTGGGTTTGGTGCTTGGCTCTGCCATACTGGTTGTTGTTGCTGCTGCTGCTGCTGCTGTTGCTGCCGCTGATGTTGTTCGTTACGGGGTTCGGAATGCTCCGGCGTCCGTATGTCTCCTCCACTCGAGACCACGTCGGGCATCATCATATCGCCGACATGGGCAATCGAACGCCTTCGCAGTCCATTGACATCGCCAGCATCAATGTTGGGTCCAGGTATATCAACATGTTGCGGCGCCGGCGGCGGCCTGCCTTGCCATGCGATCTGCCGCGGAGTTGCTGAGTTGCGGCGCGACTTAGGCTCGGTCTCACTGACAGGTGAGAGTAGTCCGTCCCGAGATGGAGTCTGAGACGCGTGCATGGGTTCTCGGGGATCAGCCACGGGAGTTTGACTGGCAAAATCCGCCGACATCTCCATCGTCCACGTGCCGTTTGGAGCATGTGATCTGATATCGGCAGCACTACGACGCCGGTCCATAGGGGTGGGCCGGCCGAAAGCGTTATCTTGATGTGCTAAGCCGTCGTCCCGGATAGGCGAGCTGGCAGGATGATCTAGGCGCTGGTATTGGACCGGTGTGGTGGCGTAGAACTGTGCATCGTTTGCGGCTCTGGAAATGTCGGCCGGCATCGCCATGTGGCCCGTTGCCTGTGCTTCTTCGCGGGCAGCACCCGCTCCTTGGGCATAATTGTTCATAGTGGCCGACTGCGACGTCGGCCCATTGGAGTCATGCTGACGCGGGTCGCCGACCTGAATAGGGGGCGGCCCTGCATAGAAGGCCTGCTGGCCCGTGTCCGGTATCATCCAGAGGTTGGGATCCATGGCTTGCCACCCGGCGTGGTACATTGGAGGATGAATCATCATCGGCGGATGCATCCAGAACGGAAACTGAGTTGCATTGTCCGGAGGTCCGTTTGCGTATCCGAAGCTGGCGTATTGAAGCTGATCGTTGGCATTGAAAGAATTCACTGCACTGTGCGCAAGGGACGCTTGCTCGAAGCTGTGCTGAACGGACGACTCGTGGAATGAAGCCGCCGACATCTCGCTGAACGAAGACATGGCTTGCCCATATGGCGGTGGTCCTTGATCACTTTGCCAGGCCGCTGTGTTCGCATGCACAGAGTTCTCATAGCTTGGGGGCATCACGCTGTATCTGAGTCTCTTCTCCGGTCGCACGTCTTCCTCATACCTTGCTGGGGGTAGCGGTCGTTTGAGGGGTTGCCCATGTCCAGAGCCTGTGTTGTCCACCGGGGCCTCCGTACTGAATGATCTGGACTGCAATGGTTGAGAGCTCTCTCCATCGAGCGTCGACGTGAGCCCGCCGCGGGGCTCCGCCACACCATCTGTGACAGTGGATGGGTGCTGCTGCTCGTCTGCCCTCTGGAGGCCTTCGACGATATTCCCCAGGGACATCACGGCCGCCTGGGCAATGGCTGACCGCGGGGACCTTTTCAATGTACCCTGAAAGAACTTGAGGAGTTCTTGTATACGATCGGTATCGGTCTGTATGCCCTCAATGTCCTGCCGTAGCCGGGCGATACCCAACACACACACAGCACAAAAAACGCCGACGCAGCGAGGCCAAGGAGGGATCGGGGACGGGTCGAGAGCATTGATGTACTCAAAGAGGCTGGTGATCCGGCGCACCGACTGAAACATTTCGTCAAGATAGCCTTTTGAAGAGTGCTTCCGAAGAGGTTGCGGTCTCTTCGGCTTCGAGGCGGATTGAGATCGCCCCTCGGAAGGCTTCTGACTTCGGCCGGACGCCATAGCCATGACGATGTGGCAGTTCAGGACCATCAGGAAAAGCTGAACCTTGAATTGATGTTCGGCAATGGCGGTCCACAACGCAGAATCCGTCTTCCCATTCTGTGGAAGATACGAGAACCCAGAGTGCAAGTCCTGCAGTCGGTGCAAGTAAGACTCTAGTGTTGCCTTGTCCACTGTGCACTCGGTCTTGCCGGGGGATCTGGCTGGAATGACATCGCCGAGAACCTCAAGCATGTATTGGGAGAAGTCGAGAATGTTCTCCAGAAGGTCCTTCTCTTCTTGCCTGGACCAGTCCACGTTTGGCCTGGGCACTCCATGGGAAGGGGATATCAGCGGACGCCGGCCAACAATGAAACTGAGGTAGGCGTCGAGGTCAACTAGGAGCCACCAGATTCGACGACCAGCCTCACGGTCTGCTTGCCTCCCCGGAGGCTTCTCAGAGTCATCGTCGTCATCCACTGGGTTTGTCAGCTCAAAGATATCCTGTCAAGACAAGGCGGCAAGCTTACGCTCCAGTAGCTCCGCATCGCGCAGCAGACTTGCAGATGCACTCCAAGCTTCAGCCACCATTCCAGCGTCAAGAAGCTGGCGGGCCTCTTTAATCTTGTGGTACAACGATCGAAGATGGCCAGATGGTAGGCGGTCAGGGTCTGGGACGAGAAGTGAAGGGAGGCTCATTCCGCTAGCTGCGTGGCCGGGCTCCATCTGATCGAGGATCCGTGCCCTTTCTTCATCGCTGAATTTGCAGGAGAAGCCCTCGATGGTCTGGACTGACATGATCACATCATCGGCGGCGCCGTCTGCAAGCGAGAGACTTTTGAACTGCTCATCGAGTCAGAAGACTTCCACATGGCATGATTGCCTCGGTGTCACCTTGTCAACACAGCGCGCCAAAGAGAAAGCACCATAGAAGATGTCACGTGGCCAGGCCGAAGGCTGCTCATCCTCAGCGTCGTCCAGCTCTTGCTGAGCAGTTGTTTGACGATCTTCTTTCTGCTCCTGATCGAAAGGAGATGTCTTGGAATTCTAAGCCTCCCATTAGTAAAGACAAGAATCGATGGGCTTGCTTGCAGTGCTCCTCACTTCGCTATCTTCATCGTCCTTGGACACGACGTTGCGATACCAACACCGAGGCTTGCCTCGCTTTTTCTGGCACGTTGAACAGGGGATGCCTCCGGAGCACTGTCCGGGTGGTTAGTTGGACTGCCCGCCTTTCTGTGAGAGTATAGAGGCTTACCCGAGACTTGCTCACGCGGCATGGGACGCAGGAATTGGCCCTCCTCTTCGCAGCCTTAGCGGTATAGGCGCCATGAGGCGATGGGGAATCTCGGGCTGACATTTGCGTGTTCGGTTGTCACCTTCATAGTTTGTGCAACCATTGCCTCCGCGCAGAGTGGAGGGCGAGAGCAGGGACACCCCGCCGCGCAAATCTGTGTATCCCTCCGATAGTGACACGTTATATCAATCCCAATCCCAATTGCGAGACAGGTGGAAGATCCGATCCCAACTAATTGATACACAACACCGATCAACAGCAGAAGGGGCACGTAACCACCCAGTGCGCCAAATAATGCGCGCAAGATCAGTATTTCACCCGGTAAAACAGCCACACCCAGTCTACAATGTCGGAGGGTTGGACGGTGGGACGGCGAGGACGACAGTGATGTGAGTTGATAGATAAAAAGTCGCCAGGAATCGTGCGAAGGGGGGTTCCGGCGCAGCGGGCACGTCAGGAAGGGCCGACGATGCTAGTAACTATGGAATTGCAAATAATAATGGATCTCAGCAAGCATACCGGGTCTTCAGCTGCACGAAATGATGCTTTATCGAGGTGTGAACTGCCAGAATGCCAATGGAGGTCGAGCAAGCAGGTGGAGAGGTTTGACTGGCGTTGGCGTTGGTGTTGATGCTGAGAGCCGCCTCATACCAATCACGGGGGTCCACTGTCTGAATCTGTTCATGGAGGGGGAAGCGAGCAGGATTTGCCAGGTCAGCGATGACCGAAAGGGAGGCTTTGCTGTCTCGAGAGGGACAGAAAGAGAGTAGATTCGACTCTCCACTCCTGCAGCCAACCGTCACGCCAATCGAGTCCACTTGGGTCGATTCGCCCATATAGTCTGTCAACGTCGACTCCACGTCTGGCAGCGGATTCTTTAACCTGGCGAAAGACGAGCCGACTGAACATTGTATAAAGAGGCAGCTTTAGCCTGCGAGCTGTCGCACCGGAAGGGTTCTATCTTGCGCCAGCTGGTGACCGCTATGAGGATAGGGAGGAGTCTGTGCTTGCCACCGCCTAGTCCCTACCACCGACCAGGGCTAGGCGACCAGCAAGCGAGAATGGCGGATTTAGACCTTGGTGACTAAACACCAAGTCGCAACGATCGGATATGCCATGCAAATGGGCGCCGATGGGTTTCCTGTGTTGCTTTTCCACGAGTGTGGGAAATGACTTTGCTCCCGGGCCACGAGTTGCCTGCACGCCGTGGATCCTTTGACGCTTCGAAAGAAGGAGCAAACATGAGTCAATTGTATGGTCCGGACGACCGAAAATCTACCAGGGCCTGTGAACAACCCTTTCAAATGCTTGTGATCGCCAGATGGCAGGAGATCTGGGACACGAAACAGCTGGGAAGTCTGAGCACCAGCCCCTGCTCGGCAAAGATTAACGACAGGCACGATAGACGAGAGATCGTAAGCCAGATCTTGTTGCTGGTGCCAGAACTGTGGGTTCTGGGGCGATCGGTGAGACCAGGGGTAAGTGTGTGACTCTCTTTTCTCACCGAGGCGCTCGAACATGAAGTCTAACTGGACGGCGTCGCTGCAGCCGGTCACCCTGGCTCAGCTGCTGCAAGGATCCCAGGAGGGGCGAGGACGCGCATTATTGAACCGGACGAGTGAGCCCCGCGAAACTGACAGGGCGCCGGCGGCCTGACCTGCATGGGAGGAGACTCGGCTGTCCCTGGCACAGGGCTTTATTTCTCCTGTGTCTTGTGTGTTTCTTGGGAGTTTTGAAGGAGTCTGGAAGTGCGGGCTGAAACGGCTCAAGGTGAGGAGGAGGCGCAACGAAGACCGTTGAAAGGACCGACAAGGCGCGTTCCTAGCCTGTATCCTTAAAATGAAGCTGCCACTGTCTGTGTCCTCCTTCAGAAGACCTGTGGCCCCGTCGCGGACGGGTTCTGTGGGCAGAGAGCAGCTATGCCTTCTACCGGACTTGGTAAGGCTCGCTCTGTGCCAGTGTCCGTGACGGCAGTGGCCCGGAACTAGCTGGGTGCTTCGTGCTCAGATGGGTGCTGGTTCTTTCTGCGACGACCTCATTGGCGACTAGCTCTTATGAGACTTCCAATCTGACTTGCTTCTTGGCTGCTGGCTCTTTTAGCTCCTCGCCCTACTACTCTGAAACTTGACCACCTTTGTTTTAGCTGTCGGGAGATTCACTGGTCAGCGGTGGCCTAGGGTGCCCTTTGTACGCCAGGGTATCGCAGTAGTTTGTCGTTCTCTCCACTTGGGCGTCAAATAGGTTGGCCAGCACCTGGGTTCACCCACTGTACTCTCCGCTTTGTTCGCCCACTAAGGAACGGGGAGAAAGACGCATTTCGAAGTTTGGATCCACACCAAGGAATGGTCCTGCCGCTCGGTCCCGCAACCGTGGGGACCAACGAACGACTGGCTGACAGTGTGACTGTACGTACAATACGAGGATCGCCCTTGCTGAAAATGCCCGTCAAGGCTCGGGCAATTCGATGAGCAACACTCCAGGGGAAAGTCTGAACCGCGCAACCGATAAGGCCGGGGTTGATGTTGATCAAGGAGTTTCCGTGAACCCTTTCTCCTCGGAGGCCATGGGATGTCTGCAGTAGTCCAAATCCAGGAACAGGTCGATTGGTGACGAGGCGTCGGTGGCTGGTCCCGTTGAATGGGCAGCCTCGTCCCGCTGATTGTCGAGCCCCAGTGTTATTGCGCCCATTGATCGGACATTCGCTGGGATGGTGGCCTCGGGCGGCGGATTGCGCCGGAGACCTTCTCCCACTAGTTTGTTCGTCCTGAAGGCCTGACACGCTCACGATGGGGCCAAGACCTCGCTCTAGTCAGGCATCGTCGCTCACGACAGTAATTGTGTTGTAGATCCCTCGTAAATATGCGAGGTCCCTCATGTTTGTGTGCATCCTGCGTAGAGTAGTGGCATCATAGCCAGCTGAAGCAGAGTTCACCGCTTTCCCCGTCAAACTGTCAGAGTCCAGGGCCAGCGGTTAAATCGAACCCACAGAGTTCTGTCAAAAAGCGAGTTATTTGTCAACGGATGCCACATCCCCGGTCCGGCGTTCAGGGCGGTGCCTTGTCCAGCAGAGAAATCGACATCCACCTCTTCCTCTTAAAACTGACCAGCGCAGGAGCATCTCAGATGGCCTGGTCAGCCGCAGATTGCCGCCTGCATAAGCATCTGCTCCCCCCCTTGACCTCCTTCGAAGTCTAGATGGTAGATACCACGGATTCGTTGCCGTGGTAGAGAGTCCCACTACTGGCCTGGCCGTCCAATACAGAATTTCGTCCAGGAAAAGATCTTGAAACATGGAGGTAAAAAGTCTCGCGTGGCCAGACCGTGGCAGAGCCTGCAGGGAGACGGCCACGCCGAACTGCAGCTCTGTCCTTCCCGTCGTCTACAACATGGACACGGCGGATGGTGCTATTGTGAACTATCTGCATTGACATCTGAAATGGCGACGAGTAATAACAACATGATTGCTAAGTCGATTTGGAAGCACACTACGGTTTATGCTGTCGAGACTGCCGGTTCCTCGACGAGAGCGGGAATGTCGTCCGATGCTTTCTCCGTGCCTACGCGCTTTGGCACGATCCTGATGGGATCTTTGAAGTTGTATGTATCGCTCGGGGGACCGACCGCACGACAGTAAACCCACATCTCGTCGAGGTCGACAAGTTCAATTTTGACGGGCAGGAAAGAGTTGCGTCGCGCCTTTTTCTCCCAACCCTCTGGGGACTCCAACAACTTTGTGGGCAGCTGGAATGGCAGAAGCTGCCCTCGCAAGCCTGTGTCTTCGCCGGTCTTACCGACGTTGTGAAGCGTGAGCACTTTCAGATCCCACACTGTGGGGAGCTCGGATTCTTTGAAGTGAAACGCCCGGAAAAGGGCTCGGAGAGCCCAGTGTATCTTTGGGCTCCTCATCACCTTGTAGGGCAAGGAGCGCAGCTTTTCTGCGTCAGTCGAGATATACTCGTCCATCATCTCCTTGCTGTACGGCAGTTCTAGCTTGCTCGCATCAAGACCAGGCTTAACGAGTCCACTCGCTTCAGCCCGTAAGTAAGCATCGGCCTGCCAATGTGCGAGAATATCTGTAAAGCGTCGGATGGGACTAGTGACGCGCAAGTACGCACTCGTGTTGAGGAAGACATGAGGAACAGGGGTGGACGAGTATGTTCCCAACGGAGGACGCTTGTTCTCCTGCATATCCATACTGTTGAGCTTCGACAGGGGAAAGCCGGGCTGTGTTAGAGATCCGGTGAAGAAGGCGGGAATTCCACGATCACCGAACCACTTTGCTGCTGACTCGGCTGCCAGCGTCATCACCAACGAGGTCAGATTGGACATTGTCTCTACCTCCCCCAGGCGAACTGGTTCGAACGTGCGTGGAGCAATGCACTTGATGACTGGATCGCCTTGGTAGTGGTAGCTGCGGTAGAGACGCTCTGGAGAGTACTCTTCAACGTACGACGTTTTGGCGTTTGAATCGTTTTGAGTGATGTACCAATTCGCGTATTCGGGGACTGCCCTCCGCCGGGCCTGGCAGCGGGCCAACATCAGCTCCTGGAGCTTTTGAAGCGTTGACTGATGCTCCCGAGCTGCTTGAAGCTTCTGCTCACTGACAGTACCGTCTGAGGGGATGGTCGTACTGTCGCCTGCGCCCACAATCATATAGGCTTGCTCCTGAGCAGGTTTCCCCAGTACAGCGTCCACTGCTGCAGGGTCTAGATCAACGACATTACGGAGCCTGGTGGGCTGGATCCTGATGTCCTTCACTTCACCATCCTCATCGAGCAGGGTGCTGATTGTTAACGCCGGGGAACCTGCCTTGAGACTCACGGCGTGCGAAAACCCCCATGGGAACATCGGCTGAACCACATCGTGATATAGAGTTTGACCGATACTGCGTGCTCTCTTCGCAAAGATATGGTCCGGGGTAATGAATGCAGAAGGATGAGCAACATGAGAGTGAACCCAGTAAGTTCCTGGATGATCATCATCCGGCTCAAGAGAATAGCCGTCGTCCCGGATTTGTGTCGTTTCCTGGTCCACGCAGAAGACGGGCATGTCGCCTAAATCCCGCCGTAACGAGGCCATGGAATCATCAAGTAGACTAGGGTCATGCTTCTCCTCCAGGCCGATCGCTCTAGAAACTTCGTCCGATTCCGCAAATAGCTGATCTACCTCATGTGCTCCCCTTCGGCCGGGAATCTGCAGGGATGTGTCGTGGTCCGTAGGGTCTGTCCATGGAGGCAATACTCCTAACTCTTGCAAGAGTAGACTGCCGATTTTGCGCTCCAGACGAAGCTTTGGGTATGCACCAATAGCTCGAAGAATCAGGGAACCGATCGAGTGGTAGCGAGTTCGGTACTCAGGAACTGGTGTGCGGATATAACAGTCCCAGAGAAACTCCAGCAGCATCTTATCCTCCTCGGAGAACCTTTCACCAGTGTCCTTGGTGACAATTCGGCCCTCTTCAAACAGCTGGATCGAGCTAGGGCCTAAGCTGCCGGTCGTTGTTGGAGAGCGCATAGCACGGCTTTTGAGGATCAGACGCCTCGCTTTCTCGATGAAGGAACTCAATGGGTTACGTTCCAAGGATTTAGTAACATCTTTTCCCAGCGCCGCCTGGGCCGCGCATTCTTGATAGTCCCGTGCCCATTCACAAACTTGTTCAAACCGTTTGACCAACTTCTTAGGAGTGAAGACGAACAGGGGAGCTTCTCTTCCTTTGGAAGCGACCGGCTGAATCGATGTCGCGCTCGATCTCAGAGTCATGAACGTCATCATTCTTGCTGCAGGTGATAAATCGGAATACCTCACATGGAGTAATTTGTAAACAACATCCTCGAAGGGAAGACATGTATAGTACTCATCATGGGCCAGGCGTTCGTGAACCAAGTCAAGAGCGCGGAGATTGTCCCGACGGAAATCCGACATGGCTTCCATAAACTCTCGAAGACGACTCATCAAAGGTGCAGAATCACGATGAGGCACATCACCGGCGAAGCTGAAGCTTGTGGCGAGTCCCATGTCGCGAGGCTGTTTTTCCAGGGACTTTACCGGAAGGTGTTTTCGTATCGGTCGTATCTCTTCAATCGAGGCGAATCCTCTGACAATCGGACTTGTCGCTCGCTGTGTAGTCTCTGCCAGCCACCGGCCGTCGGCCAGGAAAAATTGGTTCTGTATGCCCGCCTCGCCCATGTACACTGCCAACTGCTCACGAGACTTGACACCACGAGGCCGGTAGTATATCAAGTCTCCCGGAAAGAGGTTGACTGCCTGTCGCCCCTCGACTGAGTCCTCGAACTCTTCAAGCTCGGCATCATCTTCTGCATCGTCGTCGAATCTGGCCTCCTCAATGAAGAGTGAATTAGGCAATGTGGTCACCCTGCTTGGACCATCGAACCCAGCTTCCGCACTTTCTGCTTTTCTCTGCTCGTTCTGTTTGCTCCATGCTCTTAAATGATCCCGGACTGCAGACTGCCCTGGTAGAGTCTTGTCTGATCTGAGAAGTGTACTGGATATTGACGAAAGAAGGGTCGACTCGAGGCTATCTGTCCTGTGGGACGTCTCTTCCAAGGAGGCAAGTCTGCTTCGTGTACTGAACCGTGCTCTTCTGTTTGTCGCCGAACACTGCTCCCGTGTCAAATGGGTAGATCGAGGTGAGGTGGTATTATGGGAAAGTCGCTCCTGTGAATAAGTGGCAATACGCCGACGCAGATGTGCCCGACATTCGGGGCATACATAGCCCAGTCTTCTGCTTAAGGTTGAGCTTGAGGCATTCCGAGACACCTGCATGGCAGAGATGTAGGAGGAGGTCACCAAGATACAGTATACGGTGGTCAAGCTATGGGTTGTCTGCCGCAAGGCTCGGAGGAAGTGACGGTTGAAGACGGCGACGACTGAATAAAATTCCAGGATTTGGAGACTGCGGCGCGCTCCAAAGATTTCTCCGCGTGGATTCTATTCCTCCACACCAAATGATGCTGACCTATTGACTGCGCAATGCCATTCACCGCTCTCAGGTTCAGCAACGTATGACTCCCCAGATACAAGTAAGTGAACAAATCTTTGGTCGAAATTCAGAGCCTTTGTAACATGTTTTGTTAAGCAGCATTCTCCCCACAATCCACGAATCATCGCCGGCTGCCGTCACCATGCCTATGATTCAACAGCCCGCAAATCAAATCAAACTGACCAACGTTTCGCTGGTGAGATACAAGAAGGGCAAAAAGCGCTTTGAACTCGCCTGTTACAAGAACAAGCTCCTGGAATACCGGTCAGGCACAGAAACAGACCTTGACAACGTGTTGCAAATCCCAACAATTTTCCTTAACGCCTCCAAGGGCGAAACCGCCCCGAATGCCGAACTGCTGAAGGCGTGGCCGCTTCCCGCGCAAGGAGAAGAATCGTCACACGGAGGCAAATCTGGTGGAAAAGGTGGGAAGAAAGGCAAGGGAAAGACCAACGACGAAGGCGATGTGGAAAAGTCATGGAAAGATGGCATCATCGAAGAGATCTTGAAGAAGGGCGAGATCCAGGTGAATGCCAACGAGCGGAAGGAGCTACTCGAAAGAATGGAGAGAGAGATCGTGGAAGAGGTTGCACAAAGGGTCGTCGACCCACAGACGAAAAGAGTCTATACCCCAGGGATGATCAAGAAAGGACTCGACGTTCTCTCCAAACAAGGCGGACATGCGCCGGCGCAGGACTCGCTTGGTCACAAACTAGGGAAATTGAACCTGGGAGAGGGCAACAAGAAAGGATCAGGGGCAACCAGCCGCTCAAATGATACTAGCGGTCAGGCTACTCCCATGACAGATGACGACAACGACTCGTCGGCAGCGAACGGCAAAGGGAAGAAGAGTGACATGCCGACGTGGACGGGTGTGGTAACCACGAAATCAGTCAAGCAACAGGCTCTCGAAGCGATACGGGCACTGATTGCGTGGCAACCTATCCCAGTCATGCGGGCCAGAATGAGGCTACGCATCACCTGCCCGACAAGCATTGCGAAACAGGCTGCGAAGTCCAAAGTGACGAGCACAGACGACGGCGCAGACGGCGAGCAGGGAAAAGGAACCATCAAAGATAGGATTTTGTCTTTCGTGGAACAGGTGGAGAGCCAGGACGTGCTGGGCGAGGAGTGGGAAGTTGTCGGCTTTGTCGAGCCGGGTGCGTTCAAGGCTCTGGGAGAATTCTGTTCCGCCGAGACCAAGGGAAGAGGACGACTGGAGGTCCTGGATATGGCCGTCACTCACACTGATGATTGAAGAGCTGTTGCATGCCGTACATGATCTCGCATATTTAATGATTGGTGGAAGCAGATTACATGCTTGGCCAAAAAGAGCTGCTGCTGAACATCGCCATCAGCATCGAACCAACACGCATCGACACTGAATGTGGCGGAGGCGGACTGTCTGTGACTGCTCACAATAACCGCTTGACTCGGCCTATGAATCTCGTGTGTCCGGCCTCATTTAGCTGGCCTCGAAGGACCCGAAATGCCACGAAATCGCATGTCGCGTATCAGGCTCTCCCTCGATACCACTGATACTTGGCTCCTTCAACACTGTCGCACATGTGCCATGATGACCCGGCTCAACCTAGTCGAGGCAATACCGGCGCAAACCTGATCTCTGTTACAGATGGAAAATGGACGTTCGTGGCTCGTTGAATAAATTACACAAGCAAGCACCGGACCTATTGGACATATCGTCCAAAGGAAAACAGATCCAAGGAACGGTCTACAGCGAAAGTCAGAAGCGCTCGTCTGACAGGATGACCACCCCGCTCGTCGCATGTTGAAAAGGATGGATGAGGGTCAAATCGGCATTGATACAAGGCTGTGCTATCCTGACCACCCCCCGTCTATTTTCAGGACTCGGGAAGGCTCGATGGAGAAACGTTTGCCTGATCGTTTGAGCAGTCGAAAGACCGCCAAACCCACTCTATCCGAACCTTGGGAGACCTTCTCATCCGGGGTATCATGCAGTTGATGATCATGCCTACCTGCAATGAATCCATAGCACAACAGTGCTTGGAAACCCCGTCATTCCAGTACTCCCTACCGCGCCGTTGATCCAATCCTTTACCCGATCCCACTTGAACCAAGTGCCTAACTCCTCTGAATATAAATCCACCTCAAGTGGTATGCAAAATATGACTCGATACTTTTCACTCTCCTTCACCAAGCGATATTCTTCCACTCGGTTGTCCCTGGTCATGCCACATCTCAAAGAAACTCGTGCGTTCCCCGGCATGTCGTATCATGTCCCGCACTCCTTTTATGTTTTAACAAATGTCATGTATCAACGGGTATGCCGTTTTCGTTGTGTCATGAAACAACGCCGTCGTTATGATGGTTGACGTCAAACTGTCTTCGCCGCAGCGACGCCCGTGTCATGGCTTGCTCGAGCTCTTCGATGGTAAAAGGTGTGTCGTGAGCCGTCATTTGTTTCGAAAGGACGATGCTGGGGATCCCGATTCCGCTATCGACGAGTTTCACGTCATGCTCGAGAGGCGCGGAGGAGATCGCTGTTGGCTGGTCCGAGAGCGATGCTGAGAGAAAATGCGTGTTAGTTGTTTCTCGCCGGCGGATTTATGGAATGATGGGGGGAAACTTAGGGCAACATACTACTGGCGGTATCATGGTCCAGAACCGTGCTTGCAGACATGCTCTTCTCCCTGCTGGTGCTGTGTGAGCTGCCGCTTTCATCCGAATCAACGCCGGTCTCGGTCCTCAGGTTCGAACGACGCTGGTCATGAAACGATCGCCTTCTACTCGGACTTCGACTCGGGTCCCTACTTGCAGCTCTGCTCTGTGCTCTGCTTGGGGCCAGGCTCTGCGCCTGGGTGCCACCGGGCGAGAAGGTGCCGGATGGCGCCTGGGAGGCCCGTCTGGGGGGCGCGGAGAAGGCATCGGAGAGGGAGAAGGCGGCAAGGCTGGCTTGATGCGCTGGGTCGACCTTGCCTTTATATTTGGATTTGGGGATCTCGTGAGGTTTATAATATTCTATGTCGGTGCGGCCGGTATAGTGTGGTTCGTTAGGCATGAGAGGAGGAGCAGGATCGCTGTTCTTCTTCGAGGCAGAAGACGAAAAGGTCTTCCGCAACTTCATCCGCAGACCCATGTTGGCGGCGTGTGTTGGTCGAGATGCCGAGGGGCAGGTACTGATACTGGTGTCTCTTCCGGTCGCAGCAGCCGACTGACTCCTGTATTGCGGACGGCGACTAAGTCAAGGTTTCTATGTGTCTAGTGTAGACCACTGCTCTTGCGATGACATGGAATTGTTGTTTTGGCTGTTGATCTCACGACAGATGTAAAGGGAGAATGGTCGAAGGACTAGGTCCGCCAGGGAGAAGAGTCGATCAATCTATCAGGTGAGATGGAGATGTTATCGGGCTCGCCCTCGCTCTCCGTAGTAGAACGAGCCCGGGAAGTGACGAGACAGTGGACACAGAACTATTATCTCGTGTGGTCGTTGGAAGTCTAGCACTCTAGTGGGGGTCTGGAGGAGTACGGAGACGAAGCTGGCCAGCAGTGATTGACTGGCATACAGAGTGAGATAGGGACAAAGCAAGTGCCCTGATGGTTAGGGTGTAACTCCATGATTCTTCTGCCTATGGATGGACGGTGGTGGTGGTGATCGTATCCACCGCGACCACCCTCTACCATCCTACTATGATATCTTTTGGAATGGCACATAGGAGCATGGACGGTCGAGGTGTGTAGAGTCCGAGAGGGAGGCGAGTTTGTTGAGCGTGTACAAACGGTCAAGGGTCCGAATCCGACGATTCCGCGGTCGCAGGCACCTCCTATAGGTTACCTTGTCAGTGCCTATCGATCGCGTTGTGGCCCTAAAATGGATCCATTTGGAGGTCCTCGTGGTGGCTATTGGGGGAGATAGCAACTTCTGGGCCCCCGGGGTCCCAATCCTACCTCGCTACGGCGTAGTCGTTGTTGTTAAATTCCCCCTCCACAGCGGACGAGGCACTCGGTCCCCATTCTGTTGATTTTGCCTCCTATGCGATGCAACCTGTACAGAGTAAACGTAAATGCGGCAACCCAGCCAGCGTTACAGAGCAGATCGGGGTACACAGAAGTACCCTGTAGACTCAAGATATGCGCATGCGGTGTAGCGAGGCGATCTGGACCAGAATTTGAAGCTGGCTGCACACACCCTCACAGGTAGGTGGCTTGCAGAGATTGTCACCTTCTAGAAAAGCCTAGTGCTGGGCTTGTTCCGGCTTATCACTCTTTCACGAGGCTTAATTGGAGAGAAGCAAAGTTGCTCCTGCATCGGCCGCCAGGCACCTGGCTGTCAAACCCAACTGCATGCCAAAGACCTATCTTGACCTGCCAGTGTTGTGCCACACAAATCGGGCTATTTCTCTCAGCATGCGAGCCGAGTCACGTGCTTTGGGGCCGACAGGCACGTGAGAACTGCATTTGCCGAGCACTTTCCGAGAGACAAATGTCCTGTGATAAATATTATTATCGCAGACGTCATCTGGAGCCACGGCGATGATGATGGTGGCAACGGCTAACTCGGCTGACGTCCCTGAGGGCCACAAGCCTTTGGGGGCCGCCCAAAACGACGAGACAATCATGCTGTTTTATAGCGGGGTTATTGGTCCCCCTACAAAATGGTAGATATCCTGCCGGGCCGCTTTAACCACAGTGACCCTAATCTTGTTCACTATGACCAGGAGCATAGATGCATTCTATCTCCGCAGGAAGCCTTAAGTTTAGATGCTTCTCTGACAGACAGTCTTATATTGTTTACCCCAGTATAGTATGTCATTCTTCAAAAGTCTTGGAGCCTTAACGCAGCACCTTGCTGATACGATCTTGAGCAACTCAAGACCGCACGGTCAGTGTCTGAAACAAGATGGTTCAATCCCACGATGCAGAGTCTATCATCCCGGTTCTCCTTATTGAGATTTGTACTACTGATCAAATACCGCCTAGGACGATCTCTCGTGATAATGGGGTATCGGCCCTTTCAACGCGCAAGGCTCGAGAGAGATACGCATCACGTGTATGCCGTACAATTTCAACACTCATCACGTGATATCTGCTCAATGACGTCATACATATCGTCAATTAAGGTAAATAAGGAGATGGGATAGTATGGTCAGACAGTTGAGTAAAACCACGACATGGGATGTTGAGGTCGACACTTTGCTGTAGTACTAGTAGTTGAATGCACTGCGGTCTCGCATCACCAGCCGAATGTACTGTGCGTGCAGTGCATACTTCAAGTGACTGCTAGTCTCGATCTGATCCGATGGTTAGATCGAAAGGGGGCGATGATGCGCAGATGCCAACCGCCTGCGACCTTGAATGATCCTAGGGCCGACGCATACCTGTCGCGCCAACTTGTGCTTCACGACTACCAGCGACACGATGACTTCATGTGCCAGTGTGTCGACCACACAGCTGAGTATCTCGTAGGAGCCCCGTGTATGAAGCATCCTCCCCTCAAGTAACCCCACCGGGGCAAAATGAGCAGTGCAGTGGCTGCTCACAACATACGGGGCCCAATTGGTGTGTCAGAATGCTCTGTTTGTGGCTCGAACGCCTGGAACTTTGTGTCAGGCATTTACCTGCTTTTGCACTTGCGAGCCGTTCATGATGACGCAACTGGCAACAATGGCGCAGGGAAGCTCGACTTCACCGCATGTTCGTAGGTGATATCTATTCTTGCTCATGGGATGACGCTTCTTCGGTGCAGGCATACTACTATTACTTGACAGAACCATCTTCCTTTAGGAAATCCCCAACTTGAAAACGGACGCAACAGTTTCACATGGACAGATTGAAGGCTTCCCTGTAAGCAGCGTCGATATCTCTCGAGGTGTTGATATCTAACAGGTTTACAAGACATAGCAAAGACCGCGAACAATCTAACTCCTCTGAAGCTATCGGTCCAACTGGCAAGGTCACAGGGCAAGGCTCACATTTCCCCAAGGAAGACGGGCTCTCTGGCAACACGGTTGACTCTGGTAACGACTATAATCCAGGTATGTTTTCAGGCAAGCGAGGCTACGCGATACCCACATCCCCAAATCGTAGTGTCCGCACGCCCGTACCCCTCAGATATTGACATATAACGAGGGACAGACGAGGATTCATCAACCAAAGCAGATTCACCAAGCCGCCTCTCTCGCAAAGATCTTGGGACAGCTGCTATTGGAGAGACCCTGACCTACAGTTCGCACGTCCTCCCCCCAGGCGATAGAGTTCCAAGTGTCCTCGATCCAACTTCAACCGACCCGACGACTTACAAGATGCCCGAGCACACCTACCAACCAACCACTGGCGTCCCATCGGGAGCAGCCGAGACAGCGGCTGCGATCGCGTTCAACAAGGATATAGAGCAAGAAGGTATGCAATAAGTGGTACTATGATCTGACCTGGATCCGTCTAACGTTGGAAAAGTCTCGCATATACCAGGAGCCTATCCAAAAGACGAGCCATCCACTTCCAAGTTGGCCTCCACCCGCGCAGCTTCGACGGCCACAGCGGGGGCCTCAGGGCCGGCATCAGGAGCCAGTACATCCGTTGGGAGTGGGCTGACATCAACGCGAGATGATTTCGCGGCACCCCCGTCGACACTGACAACCAAGGATTCTCCAGCTGATCGAGATGCCGAATATGGTGAGGCTGAGAAGACGAAAATACCCGGGCAAGCTGCCACCGCCCCCGCAACGGTCGGAACAGCCACTACATCACCCGACGACGGGTCTAGCCAGACAGAAGAACCCAGTACTTTCGGCAAAATTCTGGGGGCAGTCGGTCTTGGTTCAGTTGCTGCAGGTGTCAGTGCAGCCTTGTCCGGGTCAGGCGAGGAGGAGAAGCCAAAGACCCTGACTGATCACCCGGAGCAGCCAACCACGACTACAGGCGTAGACTCTTACACGGCTCCCACAAAATCTGGCCCGTCTCCACCATTTCATCGCAAAGAGAGCATTCCCACCACTGCATATCCCCAAGGAGAGTCATCCCCTGCTCCCATCAGTCCCCCGGTTGGTGGTACCAAGAAGCCAACCACTACGACCGGAGTGGATACTTACACCACTTCGACGCGCTCTGGACCGTCTCCTTCACATTATCGCAAAGAGAGCATTCCTACCACTGCGTATCCTCATGGCGAAACATCTCCTACTCCGATCAATCCGCCGGTGGGTGGCACTGCAGTCGCTGCAGACGCGTCTGAGGTGCCTGATTCTCATATAGGCCGGAATGTTGGTCTTGCCGCTGCTGGCGTTGGCGCAGCCGCCGTTGGAGCTCATGAATACAACGAGAGCAGATCTCAACCTGAAGATGGCCTTGGCCGGTCAAGTGGCTCAGCAACGATTCACTCTCTGATAACGTCAGAGGGCCCATCTGCACCTAGCCAACAGACCTCCGGCATGAGAGAGAACTTCGATTTTCCATCATCCACCGCAGCAGCTTCCAGCCAACCGGCTCCCCTTTACGCGCGACAATCTGGGTCTATCGAACCAGAGCACGAATCGAGGGAATATAGCAGGGCTGGTACCGCTGCAGGTACTGGTATTGGCGCGGGTGCAGCCGCCTTTGGGGCTCACGAATACAGTGAGAGTAAAACACAGCCGGAAGACACCCTAGGATATACTGGTGTGTCTAACACCAGTGGGTACAGCACTACTTCAAACGCACCATTCGCGTCCAGCCAGCAGGCTCCAGGCTACCGACAGGGGCTTGAGGAGAGGCCTAGAGAGACCACCAGTTACGTTGAACCGTCAACTATGCAAACACAACCATTCACGACAGCAGAAGCCGAGGCCGAACCCAGAGGATATGGCAAGGCCGCCACCGCGGCAGATATTGGCGCTGGGGCGGGCGCTGCGGGAGTCTATGCCCTGGAGCGCAATAACGAGCCAGACACCGGTGACCTCTCACGAGGTAAACCGTTTTCGACTACGCCAGCCACTAGACAAGCCGAGCCCTACCCAGCCAGTGAAGAGGCTGTCCCCTCCGCATACTATCAACCTGCAGTCTCGACCAAGGACAGGACTATGACCGAGCACTCGGCCCTTCCCACCACTCGCCAAGAGCCCGCGGCCTCAGCAAAAGATATCAATGCCAGTAAACCTGCCCCTGCTGCTATACCTGCCTCAGAGAAGGAGACCAAAACTGCCCACCCAGAGAAGAATGAGAGTAATACAGATCGTAATGCTGCTGTCGCTGGTGCGGCCGGGGTCGGGGCTGGAGCTTATGGCATCCATGAGTACAACGAGCATGAAGCAGAGCAGGAGGCTGCCAGGGCAGAGGCTCAGCGGCAGAAAGACATCGCTGAACAGGAAGCAGCGCGTCAGCGGCAGTTTGAAAAGGACCAAAAAGCTGCCGAGAAGCGAGCTGCAAAAGAAGAAAAAGTCGAGAAGCAACATCAAAAGGCCTTAGAGAAAGAGGAGAAGAAGCATCAGAAGGAGCTGGAGAAGGATCAGAAGGAAGAGACAAAACACCAGAACGAGTTTGAAAGGGAGCAGAATGAGCGGGAAGAGAGAGAACGCCTTGAGGCTGCAGAGGCTGAAAGAAGGCGACATGAAAAAGAAGCCGCTGGTGTCGCAGCTGTCGGGACAGGTGCTGCTGGCACTGCCGCGTACGCAGCTCACGAGAAGGAGACCACTCCCAAGACCTCACAGGACACAGATCGCAATCGTCTGCACAAGGATCCTCCTCAGAAGAAGCCCGGCATCCTGAAGCGCATTTTCAAGCGACGCGCGAACAAGGACACTGGCGTGGACGAAGATTACAGCACGGACGAGGAGGATGAGCCTCATCATGACACCCACCTCGCTGGAGCAGGTGCAGTTGGAGGCGCTGGAGGCGCTGCCGGCACTGCGGCTGCAGCTCACGAGTCCCACAAGCCAACCGACGCCGGGACTGACTACGAAGGCGGTCAAGGCACCCGATTCTTGAAACCGTCCTACAATCCTCTTCATAAAGATGACTTCGCTCCTGGCACAGCCGAGACTCCGATCGCCGACAACCTCGCCCAGGAGCGCCAGGGATATCATCCGTCCGCCGGTACAACTGGCGTCAACGATTCTGTAACATCCTCGTCGAGATACCCAGCAGGTGAAAACACCTCTGCTATTCCATACGAGCCCAAGAAGGACCCTGAAGCCGGAAAACATCTGGATGAGCTCGAACAACAACAACAACATCATCAGCCTGAACGTCAAGGTGGCTTGGCTCACCGTTTCATTGATCAGTTGAAGCCTCTCCCAGACCCGAACAAGGCCGCTGAACAGCATGGGCAAGAGTATCAGCGCTACTAGAAAGACGTTCGCGAAAAAGCTTCGCAATCCCCGCATCACGACCCAGCACAAGGATGAAGCAAGTCCGCTGGTTGCTGATTTCTTCGAGCACCGACCTGCCGTCCTTTGCTCCGGGTTGTCGGCAAGGGCATTGCGGTGCCTCCATTTATCATCCTTACCTGGTTTTCCCGATTGATAAGCAATCGGCGTACCCTTTTCCCGTCCGTCCTTCTACGTCCCGAAATCACATCAACCAGTATCACGTCTATGAAACGCATCAACGCACAAGTCAACCTACAAGAACGAGTAATGATTGGGTTTGATGCCTGGCTTCCTCCCTCCCGGCAGCACCTACAACAGCCTTTGTTAGTCGAGGGCCGGGTCCGCAGAGCTCTGCCAGTTCTGCCTATCAATAGCTTTAGATGAGTTGATGAATAAAAAGCCCTCCTGGGTCTGCATGTATTATCCTAGTTTCACAGTGCTTGGTTCAGCTAGCTAGCTAATGTTGGAAGTAAAATATGATGCACTTGTATTTGTTCATGATGTTGTAGAGTGTTATTCTAGCATAGAGAAATTAACCTTGAACACGCCAATCTTGTGCTGATGTAAAGATATTCAAACGAACTCATAACCCATCACCGGTATTCCGATGGTGGAATGAAGCACACGGGAGTCTACAAATGACGGAACACAAAGCATAGGCAAGAAAAGTAGGATTTCAAGCAATAGCACGACACGCTCATTTGAGATACAAGTACACATTGATGATGGCAAGATCTTCAGCCAGTATTCACGCCTTGCCCACTCCCCCTTTCCCAGCACCTTATGGGTCTTGCATTCCTTTCGTTCACTTGTCGCATTTCCACCGTCTCGCGCCTAAAGTTACCCCACGGATTTTCAAATCGCAGCTGGCGCTCGAAGATGAAGTTTTATGTCTCCGTTATTGAGCATTCCAGTGCTGGAACCCGCACCGGAAAGTACACAAGCTTCGATCGAAAGCCTTTCTCATCCCTGCCTCAGCGACGTGACGACTGCCGGCGTGCGAACCCAAGCCCACCACCAGTTCAGTCGGGTTGACCGATATACAATCAAGAGATCATCCCTCCTAGCGACTTCTCTTGGTATACAGCCTGGCAGCGATGTTCATGGCCCACAGCTCCTGGAACAGCAATTTGGCAGCATAGGGCAGATAGATCTGGCTGATCTTGTTCTTGTTGTTACAGTTCTTGCACTCGAACGTATTCTTCTTGAGCTTGGCGATGACCGTCATCAGCCCGCAGATGTCGCAGACATGGACTCTGAACGGATCGGAGACATCAAACAGCCGCTCCTTCAAGAACGAGCTGGCACCGTGGGCGATCATGCAGTCGCGCTCCATTTCGCCGAACCGCAGCCCACCGTCCCGGGCACGACCCTCCACCGGCTGTCGGGTCAGGATCTGGGTCGGGCCACGGGCGCGCGAGTGGATCTTGTCGTCGACCATGTGTCGCAGGCGCTGGTAGTACGTTGGGCCCAGGAAGACTTGCGCCACCATCTTGCGACCCGTGTGGCCGTTGTACATGACCTCGAATCCGCGAGACTGGTAGCCCATGGTGCGCAGGAGTTCGGACACCTGCGTCACCGTGACCTTGGTGAAGGGCGTGGCGTCGCCTTCGTCGCCACGGAGTGTCGCAACCTTAGATAGCTGGCATTCGATCAAGTGGGCAATCGTCATTCGAGACGGGATGGCGTGCGGGTTGATGATCAGGTCAGGCACAATGCCTTCCCTCGTGAAGGGCATATCTTCGTGCCGGTATGTGATGCCGATAGTCCCCTTTTGACCGTGGCGGGACGCGAATTTGTCGCCGATCTGAGGTACCTTTGTGGTTCGAACTCGGACTTTGGCGAAGCGATGTCCTTCAGCGGTGGTCGTGAGCATGACTTGGTCGACGATTCCGGATTCCGTGGACCGAAGGGGCGTCGAGACGTCGCGCTTGATGTGTTGCTTCAGCCGCTGGCCAAGTTCTTCGGCGTCAGGGGCCATCGGTGCAGTCTTGCCCATGATGATGTCTTCACCGCTGACGCGAACACCTGGAGCTACGATGCCATCCTCGTCGATCTTGTCGTAAGTGCCGTGTTTGAGGCGAAGCGTGTCGGATCTGGTGGGCTTCTCAAATTGCTCGACCACCGAATGTCCCACGCTCTTTTCTGAATCTTGATACGTTCGGTAGAAGAGCGACCGGAAAAGTCCACGGTCAATGGAGCTCTGGTTCATAATGACGGAATCTTCTTGGTTGTACCCCGAGTAACATGCAATCGCAACAATGGCGTTTTGGCCGGCTGGCAGTTCTCGGAACTTGAGGTAGTCCATGGCCATTGTCCGTGCCAGCGGCTTCTGCGGGTAGTAAAGAATGTTCGCCATGGTCTCCATACGCTGGTCAAAGTTCGTGAGGAACACACCCATGGCCTGTTTGCCCATGGCCGATTGGTAAGTATTACGGGGTGATTGATTGTGGTCAGGGAAGGGAATGATACTGGCGCAGACGCCTAGGATCATACTCGGATGAATTTCGCAATGAGTAAATGTGTGGGCGTGAGGATTCAGCAGCGGGTCGTTCCTCCTCAAGGGGTCATCCTCGTTCTCAATCTCCATTCCGAGCCATCTGGCTTTCGAATCGGCCAGGGCTTCAGGCGTCATGCAAATCATGGCCGTCTCCTCTTCTTCGGCATCCAGGTATTCGACAACTCCCGATTCGAGGAGGTCCGTCCATCCGTAGGGTCTGATCTCATCGGTCCATTGGAAGCCACTTTCTTTCAAGTATGCTGTTTGATCGAGTTTGTTGATGTGCTCTTTGTTCAGGACCAGGTTACCTAGATTTTCTGAAGAGCGATCGGTTTCGACGACGAATAATGGTCGTACAATTCTTCCGGAATCTCCTGATATCTTGAACTCCTTCTCTCGAATATCCCACACCAAGCTGACGTGAGAGTCGAAGACGCCCTTTCGCCGTAGCTTGCGGAGGTCATCTACCAAACGTTTCGGATCTCGCAGCACCACAGCGAACCAGACCCCGTCAACGAAGATCTTGGTCGCCCGCGGGTTAAGGCGAGGCTCCCAATCTTCAAGGGCTTCGACATGCTTGGTCATCACATAGTTGAGCAAAGGCCCGGTCTCGTAGGAATTTGTGACCATTGACATGAGCGAAAGATTCTTGACCAAACCACAAGCCTGTCCTTCTGGCGTCTCTGCCGGACACACGTAACCCCAGTGGGTGTTGTGCAATTGACGGGGTTTGGCGATTTTGCCTTCACGACCAATGGGTGCATTGGTTCTCCGAAGATGTGAGAGGGTGGATGAAAAGGTATATCGACTGAGCACCTGAGAGACACCGGCCTTCGCCTTGTCCAGTTTCTTCTGATCGCCCCAGTTGCCAGTGGCTAATGAATATTTGAGGCCACTGGTTATGATTGGATGCTTGAAACCTGCCATAATGTTGATCGGCTGACCCGATTCCACACGCTTCTGCATGTAGCGGTAGAAGTCTTTCGTGGCCTTGTCAAACTGCAGCCGGAATAGATTCGTCATCAATGGACCGGCCAAGTCTAGTCGCTTCTTTCCAAGATGATCTCGATCGTCTGGTTCAGCACGTCCAAGAGCACACTTCAGGAGGCGATTGACCATGTACCCCAGGAAGAATGCCTTTCGAGCAGTAGCATCTGGGCCTTGTCCAATATGAGGCAGGAATTCCTTCTGAAGAATATCGGTAGCGTGCTTTTGTCGCTCATGACTCTTCAGGGAAGGCACGTTGCCTCTACGAGCAATGAAGTCTCGCGCCAAATCAGCACCCTGGATAGGTTGGCCCTCTTGAAGAGAACCCATCAACATATCCATCATCTCTTTATCACTTTGATCAAAGCAGATCTTTTCCAGGATGTCAGCATCGGAGACAATATCCAGTGCACGGAAAACGATGACGAGTGGAATGTCCTGCTTGACATAGGGAAGCTGAACACGGATTGGGTTGTCAATCTTCGTGCCCTCGGGACCATCAACACGTCGGAAGAGTTTGACTGTGCATTGAGACATCATACGCGCACCACGATCAATGACAGATCGGATCTCGGCAAGATGCGTGAATGGAGCGGGTGCAGCTTTCTGGAAGACCTGCACAATATTGCCAGCGCTTCGTTCCTGCGCGATGAGCACCTTTTCGCTGCCGTTGATGATGAAATAGCCGCCCTGGTCGTATGGACATTCTCCCCAGGCAAACAGATCTTTTTCGCTCTGGAATCGGTCGCTCATGAGGTGGCACGTCATGCTTCGGACCATGATAGGAATCTTGCCAATGTAGACCTCTCGCTCTGGATCGAAATCGTCCTCTTCTGTGCCCTCTCGCCAGTACAGCTGGCTCCCATCCTCTTTCATGACACCTTCGTCAGCGCCCGCGTCATCCCATGGTTTCTCTTTTGCATAATAAGTTCGCCTCGTCATCTTCACAAAGGCTGGACTCGCATAGGTTAAGCTTCGCAGACGCGCCTCGTGTGGCATGCAATCGGTGGTAACGCCATCGCCCTCGACCATATTAGGTTTGCTCAGTGTGACCTTGCCGAATTTCACCTCGTGTCTCTTAACCACGACAGGATTCGGATCATCTTCGTCGACATTCTGTGCGTGGTCCAGAGTGACGCCACCCTTCTCGTTCACCAGATCCTGTAGGCCCGATCGCATAAAGTGGTTGAAGGAGTCTATTTGCATGGAAGCCAGTTGTTTGACGTCGAAGAATGAACTGATGACTTTCCAGCAGTCTTCAGAAGTGATGTCTTGTTCGCCTGCCTCTGCATCTTCGTAGGCACCATCCTCTCCAGAGTATCCGTTCGCTTCATATTTTACATCTCCATAGTCCGCCATGTCGTGCGGCGCCGATCGGCGAAGACGAGGTTATCGTATTTCAGGAATAAGCGAGCGACGTTCAAGAGAGAAGAGAGCGCGACTCGTTGCTTTGTCGATCGGAAATGCTGTTCTCAAGTCGCGGTCAGGTTGAAGGCACTGAGATGTCAGTCAAGACTTCAGGACGCCTGTACGAAGAACCCACAGTGCGAGAGGCAGCCGAGAGAAACCGTCGCAAAACACAGATGCCAGGAACCCGACTGAAAGCGACTGTGATGAGGCGACAGCTGATGTTGTCGTGAGTCCAGATGTCTAGGAACTTTTCGAGGGTGGTAGAGGCAACTTTGGAGAACATGCCTTGGCAACACCAATCACGTGACTACGCCACTCCCGCAGATCACGTGCCTGTATGCGACAGCCTTGCTGAATAATACTGATTCCGATTTGGCACATAGCGATACCAAAGGCTTTGTTTGACAGGACAAAAGTTTAGAGACTACGGATGCTTTATGGTCAAGCGACCCATAACTGGAGAAGCAAAGTATCGCGGCTGAAACTCAATGTTGCTATTTCTATTGCTCGACACACAAGAGTAGTGCTTCCAGCATCTCTTCGGTAGATTTAGCCTCATCGCTTTGGCCGGGATCCATTCCATCAAGTTGGTCTCTCAGGCTCCGTTCTAGTATCTTGAGTCCATCTTCACCAAGTAGGACAGTAATCGTCTGCCTTGCACCGTTGTCCTCCGCCACCATCCAGCTGAGAATGAGCTCAATCGCTTGGAGGGAGAACAGTCCGGCATCAAGGCGGCGCGATAACCAGTCGTCAGCCAGTGCATCGGCGTCGGCGTCACTCAGCTGGTCACGCTCCCTTCGGATAGCGGCCTCAACTTTGCTGAGCCGCGCCTTGTACTCTCGCCGCAAATCAACCAGCCTCAAGATCTTCTCATAATCGTTCTCGACAAACTTGGCCAAAGTCCGTATTCTCGCAGCGGACCCCCCCGGGAGGTATCTTAGCAGGCTGGCCAGTATGCCAATGAGATGTTCAACCAAGCTCCTCTCCATTTTCTGGCTTTTCATGAGCATGCCAAAGATTGTTTTGAGCCCGGCTGCTTCTACCAATCTCACCGAAACTGCCACAGCGTTGCCGCCGCTCATTGCATGATCAAGGACTCGCAAAGCCCTCGCCTTTGCCAAGCGAGCCTCTCGAAGCATGATGAGGCACAATTCGACGCCTTCCCCTTCGACGAATTTTTCGCCTGCAAGTCTCTCCTCGACAACACAGGCCAGGCAATCGAATAGATTTTCGGCGAACTCTTCCTCATCAGAGTCTTTTTCGGGGTCTCTCCTTCGGTATGCACTCAAAAGTTCCAGAAAAGTGTCGACGCCCTCCTTTTGGGCAAGGCGATCTCGGTTCGGCCGGTTGGCTTGAAGAAGAATGGCAAGGATTTCTGCTGCATACTGTCGATTTTGTCCGACTTTACCTCGGGCGTAAGGATCGATTTGCTTGATCCTGGTGAGTAGCCACTGCATCATATTGGGATTAGCCCCGACGGCTTCTTGGTTCTCAGTGTCGGAAAGAATATTCTCCAAAACATTCAAGATATGGTAGACGCCCGCCCTATCAGTTTCGTTGTTTCCCTCGTCGAGTCGAGTAAGGTTGCTGGAGAGAAGATCCACGAGGTCATTCTGGAGCATCGCCTGCACCAATATCTTCCATTGTTCTTCGGTGGTCGCAGCATCCTCGTCCGTCAACTCCGCCAGTAGCTCGCAAACAGCGATGGCAATATCAGTGTTGTCGTGCGCGAGCAGACCAACAAGGCTGCCAAGGCAGCCCATCTTGACAAATTCGCCGTATAACTCGCCATGCTCACTGAGTACGCTTAGGCCTTTGATTTCGGCGTCGAGATCTGCCTCGCTGCCGACGAATTTCAAAGGATCGCCTTCATATTTGGCACGCAGTTCGGCGTTCTTATTGATCTTTCGCTCGAAGTTGATCGCAGTGCGGCGCAGCCAGGCGGCGTCAAACTTCTCGTCTGCATCGCCGTCCTCGTTCTTGTCGATGTAATCTATCACTTCGCGCTCTTGCTTCGTGACACCGCCGCCAAAGAATCGACCTTCGGCATCGTCGCCCGGCTCGTCCTCGACTTCTTCTGGCGGCAATGACGGCCCGGCTTCGACATTGTTCTGATCACCTAGTGTTTCGTCTTGCGCAAGAGAAGACTTGCCTCCGGAGCCATTGGATTCAAGGGCGTCAATATTCAGGCTGCGCGGAGAGGAGCCATTGGTGATCTTGGTAGATTTGTTGGAGACAGACGGGGCGAACGTAGTGGTAGGGTCCTCGAGTTTCCGTTTGGCACCGACGTTGTGTGTCCGAAAGATCTCGTCTACGGATGTCATTCCGATGAGGCTGCGTAGACAGATTGGGCCATCCGTCGAAAGCAATGTTGTATAAAGTGTAATGAGATCAGAGAGACACGGTTGAAAGAAATCATCAAACAACAACCCGGACAACCGGTCAAATCTCTCCAATATCGGAAAACGCAGGTCGGGAAAGTTGCCCTGCGCAGCTGATACTCGGTAGTAGTACTAGTATACCTTCTAGTACCACACACAGTACCACAACCCAACTCTCCCACCGGACTACTCCACGCCGCGCCTCGAGGCAATCAAGTCATCGTAGTTCTGATTCAGCAAGGGCTTGAGCCCGCTGCTGAAGGTGATGTTGAGTTCCACTGATGGTTATGACTAGGTATAACTGCTTGAGGGTAGACATGAAGGAGACAACATGCCATTATAGTCGCAACCCATCATGGAACTGAGGATGTCGTGAATCGCATATCAATTCATATTCATTCATAGACACATCAGGCCCTACAGCTTCGGCCCCCCTGCGATATGCACTGCCAGTGTGCTACTGCTGCCCTATGTCGTCTCGGCAGACCCATGCCAAATCATGCAATACAGAAGAAAAGAATGGGTATCATCGGCACCCCAGACGCAGCACGAACGCCTGACTTCCCAACCACCCAACCGAGCGCCACGGCATGAGTCAACAAGAATGCCCTCTATCACTTGCCTGTCCATGACGGCCTGTGAAAGGGTGTCGACCTGTAATCGTACAATTGCTTTTGCTTTCCCCTCGACCAGAAGTACTGTGTACACTTGGTACCATGTGCAGCCAACAGACTACTACTTGCGTCGCCGCGCGGCCTTGCCTACGTCGTCGGCATCGTTCTCGTACTCCTTGCCTTCATTGATGTCTCTCTTCCTCAGGGTACCGACACCCATCTTGACCAGCTCCTGATCTTCGTCCTCGCTGTCCTCAATGTCGAACAGCACAGGCAAGACGAAACTGTCCTCCTCGCCCGTCTTGCGCTCGACGGTCAACACGTCGACAATCTCGTCTTCACGATCCAGACGGCGCTTCTGGTGCTCTTCCTGCGGGTAGGTGTCGAACTCGTCCTCGCGCTCAACGTACTCGACGTTCTCGGTCAGCTCGGTGAAGTCGGGTGCCAACGCGGACCATTTCTGCTGCGGCTCGATGCCCCAGATCTGGATACTGCCGGTCTCAATACTAGTGCAGGCCAACAGCGGTTTCGACGGGTGCCATTCGATGATTGCAGGTTCTTCGCGGTTCTCCAGAATCCGTAGCAGCGAGTTGGTCCGCAGCTCCCAGATGTAGATGTCCTTCTTCATGTACGTCGAGGCTGTCACGTAGTCGGCAATTCCTGTGGATGAAGAGTGGCTGAATGCGCAGTGGTTCCAACGTAGGCGGTTCACGAGGTCTTGAAACTTGTGTTCAGTGGTTAGGACAATGTTCTCGGCAAGGGTGGCGGGGTCGGCTTCGGAATCTGCTGCTTGTGGTTTTCCCTGCTGTTGCTGGTCTTGTCCAGCACCAGCAGCCGATGATGGGTTGTTGTTGTTGGAGGCAGCAGCGGACGACGATGATGACGATGGGGTGATCAATGAGAGGTCAGGCAGGTTGATGATGCGGATGATGCGGTCGGTGCTGTTAGCCAGCAGTTGGCGGCCGTTGGAGGTCAGACGTAGCAGCGAGATCAGGCCCGACGAGATCTTGGTCGAGTGGATGATCTTGCGCGACTCGGTTTCCAGGATGTTGATGTATCCCTTTGACGTTCCGGTGATGATGTGGTTGCCGAGGACGGAGAAGACAGCTGACGTGGTTGCTTGTTTGTTCTCGGATCGCGGGATGCTGTCGGTCAATGGAGTCGTAGGGAGGATGCGCTTGACTGGTATGGGGTCTGTGATGTCGACTAGATGTGGGCGGTCCTCGAATAGCGAAGCTATGAACATGTTGCGGTTGTATGGGTGTAGTTCGGCGGTGTAGATGGGTGCTTCGAACTTCACGATGCGAATGCGCTCCTGGGTCTGCAGGTCCCAGAGACAGGCGCGACAATCTTGTGATGCGGAGAGGATGTATCGGCCATCACGAGACCAGCTGAAGAGAAGGAGTCGTTGGGTTAGTGGTTTGATAGGCTAATAGAAGGGTATGGGATGTAGGAGATGTAACAGCCTGCATCGGGGCCACGGCGGTATGAAAGAAGGGGAATAGCGACTGGGCTTACCTGAGACTCTGAATCTGTTTCCAATGACCGTGTAGCTTCATTGCCACGCCGAATGTCTCCATGTCCCTGCGGTTGCGTGGTTAGATCACATCTGACGTTGGTCGCGAGGGTTTCTCATGCGCCTTGGGGTCCGACTGGACTCGACCGGCGACTGCGCCAACACGACCAGTAAAACTCCCACTGAATTTCCCATGTCAAGTTTTAACTTACCAGATAACGACTTTGCCATCAACTCTGCCGGAGGCGAGGTAGTCGCCTTTACGGCTAAAGCGCAGTGTAGTGGCATGGCCGGATCCTATGCCGCCCATGTGTCAGGCCAGTTGCAAACCACAACAACAGAAGATGCGACTTTGGGGTTGTAGAACTTACGGAGATCATTGATGAGAGCGTCCGGCGAGTCTTGGGCTAGTTGGAAGGGATCGATCAGTGCCAGATTCATGTTGAAGTGTGGTAAAGAAGGGGTTGCATGAAAGGTGTAGAAGTAGGGACAGGGCTGGACATACGGACTCCCAGAATGTTTCTAGGGAGAAGAATCGCCTTTCGCCAGGCTTCAAGGTCACGTGGATCGGACATCGCCACGCTAGTTGAGATAGTGCTTCCAATGGCTGGACTAAAAATTGGGGCTCAAAAGCAGCGAGAGTTGCTGTCGGAAAGTGTGGTGTTGATGTGATAAAAGCAGCGAGGAATGGTGACGAAGTCGGTAGAAAGAGTCAGGAGGCGTGTCAATTGTTGACATTGAATTACAGTTACTAAGCCAGCAGCAGGTTTAGTTGCGTTGTATCCAAGTGAATGAAGGCATTCTCCTTGATTCCGTGAGCTATCACTTCACAGTGAGGGCAGAGGAATCACTCTGTCAGAGTGAGTCATGGACTGATACTGGGTATCTACATACTCTCACTACGTTTGTGTCTACGTCGATGGCTGTGAGAGATGTTTTCCAGTGCCACCCATTCTCTACGCCAGAAGGAAGGTGTATAGATCAAAGCCATCATGGGACAATGAATTAGATGTAATCAAGGCAGATTAATGGTCGTCGAGATTGGTTGTTCGCGCTATTGCTCGTTCTTTGTCTGCAGTCGCCTGCAGTGGCGGTATAGGATAGTCTATTGTCCTTTTCTCCCCTGGCACCCCCCTCCTTCGAGTCATCTGTAGATCGGCTATTCGCACTGCTTCCAGCAAGGCAGTCGAAGTCATTACCTGTACTACTGAGGCCCAAGTGAAGTGGACGTGAGGCGCGTTCGAGTTGAGCGGCGGTTGTTTTGGCGCTAAGCCCGAAATTGCTTGGCATTGTCGCCTGCGCCTTCAACCTGAAATTTCGCACCTCGCTCTCATACAACTTGTTCACCCTCTTCCATCTCGATCCCACATCACCCATCTCGACTCGATTGCGCCCACGTATTTACACGTTCTAGACGACGAGTCGATTGCAATCCAGGAAGATCCGGGTCGAAATCATCAAAACTGGTGAAGCGCGCAGCTGGCGAAGGTTGCTTTGTTTTGGGTGGCCCGACAGGGCGGGAGGTCATTTCTGGCCACATCGCGCAGCCATCTGCGCAAGGACTGCGATCATCCCAGGTCGTCGTTGAACAAGTGAGAATCGTCTCAGCAAGGATATCCCCAGGATCCCACGAGTCATCATGTCGAACCTCAATTTCCCGTACTCGAGCGCGCCTCTGCGCACCGTCGAGGAGATTCAATTTGGCCTCTTCTCGGCCAAAGAAACCGAACGCCTCGCGGTGATCGATATTGAATATCCGGAGACGATGTATGTAGATAATACAGAAGAACAAAATCATCCACTCCTGAAATTTGTCTAACATCTGACTTCCAGGGATGAGCAACGCCTCAGACCTCGCGAGAAAGGTCCGAACGATCCTCATCTCGGAACGATCGATCGCAATTTCAAATGCAGTACTTGTGAAGAAAACATGGCTGAGTGTCCTGGTCACTTTGGTGTCATCAAGCTCGCAACTCCAGTCTATCACTATGGCTTTATGTCAAAAGTCAAGAAGATCCTGGAGACGGTCTGCCACAATTGTGGCAAGATCAAAGCGCTTGATGTTGGTCCCTCTTCACTTCTTTTGTTTTCGTGACTACTGACACGTCGAACCTAGTCTGAGGAGTTCCGTCGTGCGATCTCTCTTCGTGACCGAAAGCGACGATTCGACGCGGTTTGGCGGTTGAGCAAGCCTCGTAACATTTGTGAAGCTGATCCACCCGAAGACCCCGATCAGCCGCTGAAGGGACCGCCTCAGCCAAAACATGGCGGATGTGGCAATATGCAGCCAGACATCAGACGTACTGGACTGCAACTGTGGGCGACATGGAAGGCCAGCAAGGCAGAAGATGAGGAGGACACAGCTCCGGACAAGAAGCGAATCTTTCCGCAAGATGCTCTCAACACCTTCCGCACCCTGACCGATGAAACCCTTGAAATGATGGGCCTCAGTCTCGACTATGCCCGACCAGAGTGGATGATTCTGTCTGCGCTTCCCGTCCCTCCCCCGCCGGTCCGTCCGAGTATCAGTGTCGACGGCAGTGGCCAAGGCTCACGCGGCGAAGACGACCTGACCTTCAAGCTCGGTGATATCATTCGTGCCAACCAAGCGGTCCTCCGTACCGAAGTCGATGGGACACCTGATCATATCAAGGTGGATCTCTGCGATCTACTTCAATATCACATCGCCACGTACATGGATAATGACATCGCTGGTTTGGAAAGAGCGCAACACAAGAGTGGTCGACCGATCAAGTCCATACGTGCTCGGTTGAAGGGCAAAGAAGGTAGACTGCGTCAAAACTTGATGGGCAAACGTGTCGACTTTTCGGCTCGTACTGTCATCACAGGGGACCCCAACTTGTCGCTAGACGAGGTCGGCGTGCCCCGCAGCATTGCTCGGACCTTGACTTATCCCGAAACTGTCACACCTTTCAACCTTGACCGACTCAAGCGTCTCGTTGCGAATGGTCCAACCGAGCTCCCTGGAGCGAGATATGTGATCCGAGACACCGGTGAGCGGATCGATCTTCGGCACCACAAGAGAGCTGGAGAAATGACCCTGCAGTATGGTTGGAAGGTCGAGCGACATATTCAAGACGGCGATGTCATCCTGTTCAACCGTCAACCTTCCCTTCACAAGGAATCCATGATGGGTCATCGTGTCCGTGTCATGCCCTACTCGACCTTCCGTCTCAATCTCTCTGTGACTACGCCTTACAATGCTGATTTTGATGGAGACGAAATGAACTTGCACGTCCCTCAAAGTGAAGAGTCGAGAGCTGAACTGGCCAATCTTTGCATGGTTCCTCTCAACATTGTCTCTCCTCAGCGAAATGGTCCCTTGATGGGTATTGTACAGGATACACTTTGCGGTATCTACAAGGTCTGTCGTCGCGATGTCTTCTTGACTCGGGAGCAAGTCATGAACATCATGCTGTGGGTGCCGGACTGGGACGGGGTGATTCCTCAACCTGCTATCATCAAACCTAGACCTCGCTGGACGGGGAAGCAGATGATCAGTATGGTCCTCCCACATGCCCTCAACCTCGAACGTCTGGATGCCAAGGGTGAAGACCCATACGTGCCTGCCAACGACACTGGCCTTCTGGTCCTTGAGGGCCACTTGATGTTTGGCTTGTTCAGCAAGAAATTTGTCGGCACCAGCTCTGGTGGTATCATCCACACTATCTTCAACGAGTTCGGTCACGAAGCTGCCATGGCTTTCTTCAACGGTGCTCAACACGTGGTCAACTTTTGGCTCTTGCATAATGGTTTCAGCATTGGCATTGGTGATACTGTGCCTGATCCAGCCACCGTGCAGAAGATCCAAGATGTCGTCGATGCCAAGAAGACTGAAGTCGAGGAGATTACCATCCGAGCTTACAAAGAAGATCTCGAGCCATCACCCGGTATGAACGTCCGTCAGACCTTCGAGAGCAAGGTCATGAACGCGCTCAATCAAGCCCGTGATCAGGCTGGTGCTGTCACTGAAAACAGTCTGAAGGATCTGAACAACGCAATCACCATGGCTCGTGCCGGTTCCAAAGGTTCAACCATCAATATTGCACAGATGACCGCGATCGTGGGTCAACAGGCTGTCGAAGGCAAACGTATTCCTTTTGGTTTCAAATATCGGACTCTGCCCCATTTCGCAAAGGATGACTATTCGGCACCCTCTCGTGGCTTCGTCGAGAACTCATACTTGCGTGGGTTGACACCAACAGAATTCTTCTTCCACGCCATGGCCGGTCGCGAAGGTCTCATTGATACGGCTGTCAAGACCGCCGAGACAGGCTATATCCAGCGCCGTCTCGTCAAGGCGCTTGAAGAGGTCACTGTCAAGTACGATTCGACCGTCCGAGACTCGCGGGGTAACATCGTTCAATTCATCTACGGGGAGGATGGCCTTGATGGTGCCCACATCGAGAATCAAAAGGTCGACATCATTACCATGTCTGATAAAGCCTTCAACAACCGTTTTGCCGTCGACATAATGAGTGGCGATACTTCCATGTGGAGAGGCAAACTGCTCCAGGCCCGAGAGATCCAAGGTGATACAGAGCTGCAAGAAATGTTTGATGAGGAACTTGATGCTCTTCGTGACTCGAGAGAGTTCCTACGGAAAATGGGTAAAGGTACTGAGGACTCGATGCAACTCCCACTCAACATCGCCCGCATCATTGATCAAGCTCAGAAGAACTTTAAAATCCGACGAGGCGACAAGACCGACCTTGATCCTCGCCATGCCCTAGTCTCTGTGAAACAGTTGTTGGATCGCCTGGTTGTCGTTCGTGGAGACGACCCTATTTCTCAGGAAGCACAGTCAAACGCTACCCTTCTTCTGAAGGCTCAGCTACGTTCGCGCCTTGCATACAAGCGACTTGTGTTGGAGCATGGATTGAACAGATTGGCCTTCGACAACGTCATCGGCGCTGTGGAAAGTCGATTCATTGCTGCACATGCCAATCCTGGCGAAATGGTTGGCGTTCTCGCTGCTCAGTCTATTGGCGAACCTGCCACACAGATGACCTTGAACACTTTCCATTTCACTGGTGTGTCGGCAAAGAACGTCACTCTTGGTGTGCCCCGTTTGAAGGAAATTTTAAACGTGTCCCAAAACATCCGGACCCCGTCGATGACAGTCTATCAACTGCCTGAGAACGCGGGTGATAAAGAAGCTGCCAAACTCCTTCGATCACGCGTGCAGCACACCAACCTGCGATCAGTGGCAGAGACCTGCGAGTTGTGGTACGATCCCGACATCCAGAGCACGATTATCCCTGAGGATTTGGATATGGTTGAATCCTACTTCATCATTCCCGAAGACAATGAGGCAGATTTGTCTCTCCATTCCAAATGGCTGTTGCGTATCATACTAAGTCGTGCCAAACTCCTCGACAAGGGTCTCAACATCCAGGACGTGGCCGGAAAGATCAAGTCAACGTATGGCAAGGATCTCTCGGTCATTTTCAGTGATATCAACGCAGACGAGCAAGTCATCCGAGTTCGTCTTGTTCAGGGCTACGGCAAAGACGAAGACGAAGATCGCAAGGAAGATGACGAGATTCTCCGCCGCTTCATGAACGAAATGCTGGACCACTTGACTTTCCACGGTGTTCCAGGAGTCTCTCGTGCGTTTATCGATCAGAAGAGCCGAGCTATCATTGACACGGATAACTCTGTCTACATGGCGAAGAGTGACCCTCGTTGCAATGAGTATGTTCTGGAGACCAGCGGCAGTGCTTTCGCCAAGGTGCTTGCGATTGAAGGTGTCGACACCACCCGCACATACACTAACCGCTTCACGGAAGTTTTTGAGGTTCTTGGTATCGAGGCTACTCGTGCGGCCATTCTGCGAGAGTTGACTCAAGTGCTGTCCTTTGATGGTTCTTATGTCAACGCTCGTCATTTGGGTATCCTTTGCGATGTCATGACTGCCCGCGGCTATGTCATGGCTGTTACTCGTCATGGTATCAACAAGTCTGATACTGGGGCACTGATGAGATGTTCTTTCGAGCAGACGGTGGAGATTCTTCTGGAAGCTGCGGCTGCCGGTGAACTGGATGATTGTCGCGGTGTGTCCGAGAATCTCATCTTGGGCCAGGTTGCTCCTGTCGGCACTGGCGCAATGGAGATCCTTCTCGACGAGAATATGCTCTCACAGGTCGTCACGGACAATGCCAATCTTGGTCTTGGTGGAGCCATCGGTGTCAAAGGGTCGCAGCAACTTATTGAGGGTGCTGCCACTCCCTACGACACAGGCTCTCCAATGCAGGACAATGGCTATCTTGGCTCTCCCGACTACGGCGCTTCTTTCTCGCCCATTGCAGCTTCTGGGGCCGAGACGCCAGGTGGCTTTACCGACTACCAACCTGGATTCGGCGGTGCTGGAGGGTTCAGTCCCTATGGTTCTCGGAGTCCTGGAGGTTATTCGCCTGCCAGCCCATTCGGCGGTACAAGTCCAAGCTCTCCAGGCTTCTCACCTACCGCTGGCTATTCACCGACATCTCCCATGTTCGGTGGAACAAGTCCAGGGTTTGGGCCGACGTCGCCATCCTTCTCTCCAGCCAGTCCGGCATTCACTCCCACATCGCCTGCGTATTCCCCGACGTCACCTGGATATCAAGCGTCGCCAACCTCACCAAGCTATTCTCCCACGTCGCCCAACTACTCGCCGACGTCTCCCGCCTATGGGTCGCCGACGTCACCAAGCTATTCACCTACGTCGCCAGCTTTCAGCCCGACTTCGCCTACGTCGCCTACGTCTCCTGTTTACAGTCCAACGTCGCCGATGTACAGCCCGACAAGCCCGATGTACGGTGGAGCTGGTAACAAGCAGTCTCCGACATCACCCAGCTATTCACCAACTTCACCCACCTACAGCCCGACCAGCCCGACTTCTCCCACCAGTCCTTCGTACTCGCCCACGAGTCCGATGTACAATGCTTCACCAAGAAGTCCTCAGGCTCGGCCGACGTCGGTCACGAGTCCACAATATTCTCCGAATAGTCCACAGTACTCACCGACTTCTCCTAAGGAGGACTAAACTCCCCTTGTACCATCAGTTGACGTGATCGTCAACAAACCACAACATCAGAAAACAGTTCGATCGACGGATCCATTAACTTGACCTTCTGTCTTTGGGACTCTTGTCTGATGAAGAGGTTTTATGTTTTTATGTTTTTAAAGCTCGGAAAGACAAAATTGCTTCAGGGCGGAAAGCAGAGTGGTTCATGTGAACGTTCACTTTCTCGACCCGACCCCCCCCCCCCCCCCCCCCATCCGGCAACAAAGATCACACTTGATTATTAGCGACGGTGTTGGATGGAATTTTTGCATTTTTTTCGCATCGAATAAAGAAATCAGCCTTGTTTGGCTGACTCAGGGAAAATGGAGGAGAGCAACACCTGGCTCGTTCAGTGGAAGAAGATAGCAAATCGTTCTCTTTTAGAGATGGATTTGCATTGAGGAGGCAATGGAAGGGAGCAGGGACGGAGGAAGGTGAAGGGACAGATGACGTCTCATGGGGACATCGCAGCACACTAAGATTGTCTTTATGAGCATGGACTTTTCAGTGGAGGATGGACGAAGGACACGGCGGAGGAGAGGTGGAGCGACCACGTGAAAGTATTGGCGGCAGTGTATTTTGTGGAGGATTGGCTTTGATATGGTGGAGGAAACGGAACAGAACCGGGAAAAAATCATCGTGCCTTGTGTGCTTTACCATCAAAAAGCTTAGACTTAGTGTCGGTCGATGGATGGGTGGGCGGGCGGATGGATGGACCGAACAAGCGTCAATAGCTGTTGGCAGGCAAGAAGCAGAGAAAGCGAACCAACAAGCCAGCAAGCAGCAGACAGGCGGTCAAGCTGACTGTGAGATGCAAAGGTCATGCGCATCAGATTGAATGAGGGCTGCCGCAGCACAAAAGCAGAAGCAGAAGCAGAGAAGAGTACCTCTGCAGGTGGTTTGCTGTGCTTTGTGCTTTGTGCTTGTTTTTACTGTAACGAGAATGCAAGGAAGTGCAATAGCACTTATCTGTCAGCGTACACCAGTATTTTCGTTCTTCAAAAGGCTGCAAATCATCAAGATGGCAAGGAGACGTGTCCTTGTTCGGCGTAACACCGTTGAATATAGAACCGTGGTGATGATACGTAGCATAGACTGTCAACACGACTGCTGGCTATGACACACCCCTGATTTCTACCCTTCCTTCCTTGCCTGCAAACCCGTCTCCCTCCAATCATTGAGCGGCCGGATGGCTTGGAGGGACGTTCCTTCATTTGAGATGGGCAATGACTGGGGTTGAGTGTTTGAAATATACTCTCCCGAGTCCGGGCGTCTCCCACATCCTGTCGCCTGGAGGGCCGTATCTGGGCCAGGGCTTGGTCTGGCTCGGAAATCATCCTCTGGACCACGGCGCAGGCATCAGATCGGTTCGGCATTGTCCTATACGGGTCGTAGAGATTCAAAAGAATCTTGTGGTCGTCGAGGAGCTCATAGGTTCGAGTTTGAGGTGTCTGACTTGTAGGAGAGCGCTGGATGTGTCCCCATCGCTGCACTATCTGGTCCAATCTTGATAACGGAGGCAATCTGAGCAGGTGGTACCTTGGTGGATGACCACATGACGATCCAGGTTGCTGGGAGATGTCTAGGGATGTAGATGCCGACAGAGTTTGTCTTGTTCTCGGGAAAATGGCCCCCTAAGATCTCCCGCGGCGCTGTTGACAGTGGGCTCTTGCGGCTGGCTGGTTGGTAGAGCTTGAGATCTCTGTATCGATAGGTAGTCAGTTGACTCTGCCTGTATCTGAGGGATTTTGGATCTGAGGAGCATGCCACCACCCAGGGAGTGTCGACTGCCGAAGATTGTCAAGGGCTTCCTTCAATGAATGATGCGAAGCCCACTTCCACACAGACCACAGAGAATACCTTGCATGTGGTTGCTACATGCAAGAAGACAGCGGTACCTCTGCCGAAGGATTCAGGGCGACTCTCTCCTGTGAGTAACGTTGGCAGCGGAGCCTGCCTCTAGGCCAACGCTACATGCGCTTCCACCATTGTTTTTAGAATAGGTCAAGTGCAGATCAGGTGGCGCCTCTTATCGCCATGAGTCCGAGGATCTGGACCTCGAGATTTTTGGTCAGGTCGACCTTTTCGCCATTGGTGACTCCATTAAGAACTTTGGCGGATTTCGCTGGTGCCGACTTGGGCGCCAGACTGGAGAGCTTATAAGCTTTCCGAATGCGATCGACGTCTGCAGTCTCGTGGAACGTGGAATCGTCAAAAGGATATTCTTTGCCTTGAACGTGTGTCGATAGATGGGCGCTGACACTCTCAAACGTCACGTCGGGCGTCGTAGCGACTTTCATGACGAGTAGATCTTTGGTGGTCTCCGACACGCCGTAACGCCGGAATGCTTCGCCGATCTGGGGTTGATCAGTAAGATGTCATAGGCAACGGCATGCTGGCAGAACAGAAGAAACATGTCAGGCAGGGACTCAGGGTAGTGGGTGGTATTGAACTCCATGGAGAATATTGATGGGTAGGTGCCGAGGATGCGGATATATAAGGCTGATAAACTAGACACAAGAAACTCAACTCACATTGTTATTAGGACTCAAGCAAAACACGATTTCCGAATGGACATTCCGCGACTTGAGCCGCTCATTGATAGAGTCGTTGATGGCCCGAAATGCTGCTGCGAGGGCATGTTTTGTTGAAAGTATCTAGACATATGGATGTCAGTCAGTCAGTCAGTCGCACTACAACGTGAATGTGGTCAAATAGTAGAATAGATATAAATAATAGATCCCACTTCGGGACTCTGGCATTGTGATGATGACTTGGAGTGTGAAGTAGGTCAGGGCTACATTCTGGACTTACCATACTAGCATCAATGAATGCGTATTCAAACTCTGCGTTCCCAGCCAGTAGTTGTTGCTTGAGGAAGGCCGCGTTTTCGACCTCACGGTATACGGCGACATAAAGGGTCACGTTGGCCGGGGTGTGTGCTAGATGGATTGATTGAACCATTATGACGGAGTATTTGGGAGGGGGCCAAGTATGGATTGTCGTCCTATTCTCTCTGCTTATGTTTGGGTTCTTGAGTCTCGAAAGAGCAGCCGGTTAGAGAAGAGTATTCATCCAGGATTCCACAACTTCAAGATGATCAGGAAGCCAGTACGGTGGTATATCCGGCATGAACTTGAGTGCTTTGGGAGTGAGATAATTGGCAGAATCAGGGATGAAGTCGAAATATCATTTCTTGGCATTTTCTTGCCGTTTTAAGCTCGTGCCGATGTCTTTCTTCTATAAATATCAATATTTGCTTCCTCTCTATCTACCAACCTACCTGCTAGTACCTACCTACCAAACGAGAGTCGTCTCAACCAAAATGCTAGTGACCAGCAAGTCCGCGGAGGCAGAGGCATGCGAGCCAGCTCTTCTGGCGGAGGAAGAACTGCTGGTGCAGAGAGGGTCCTACCCTGCAGCTCTACCTCCAAATGCTGGAGGGTCTCTGCTCGAGAGATACTTCTACTGATCAAGACACTGCTATGCCAGAATAACTACCGTGGTACATAGCTGATATGGTGCTACATACTGAATGTCCTTACAAGACTGACATACAGTGAAGCGAACCAGGACTATGAATATGGTGTTATCACTCAAAGAACTGCACAACCTCTATCCGCCCTTCTTTACCTCTACCTCCCCTACCACCGACAATCTTACCCACCACGTTACCCCCATAGGTGAAATACCCGTCTAGATTGCCCTGAACAGGCATGGTATGGTTCTTGATCTCTTCTGGCGTCCCAAACACCCAGACCGTCTGCTGTCCCATTATCATATGTTGCAGGATATGACAATGTATCATCCAGACACCGACATTGCGCTGGGTCACTCTCACCCGCCAGACGCGCCAGCCGTTGGGTTCTCCAGGGTATTGTCCTTGGGAGGCATACTTGTATAGGAGGGTGGTGTCACGCCGTGATCCGGGATACGGTGTTGTTATTCCTGCACGGCCACCTTCACCCCCGGGATCTTGGGAGCCGGCGGTGACAACGGAATGCTCCTGCAATAATGTGGCGTGCGTTTCTGGGTCATACACTCCCGGCCCAGATCCCATGTCCCAGTACGAGCCGCCGTGAGCATGCATGGGGTGAGCCCCAAAGACGCGGGCCGGAGAAGACGCGGCGTTCTGCCAGACGATCTCGACAACTTCGCCAATGCGCGCTGAATAGGATTGCGACAGAGGGTCGAGACCAGGACTGTCAGGGTTGCTGGCTCCCCTGTCGAAATCTGGAGCCGCGCCGTTGATGGTTCCAGACTGCAGCATCTCCACAAGGTAAGGGATCTGTGTGGTCGGACCCTGCGGAGCAGCGTCGAACCACGATGCATTATTTGAGACCATCAAAGTGCGATTTGACGTGGTGTTCAGAATCTGGAGAGTCGATATGACCACCCGGCGGGTCACTTCCGAGGATGGCGGCGGTGGGTCGTAGCCCGCGAACGGAGGGTTCTGGAATGTGTATTCCAGCCAGGTCGTTACATCTGACGGAAGAGTCAAGATGGGTGACGACGGAATGGTAGTATTTGTCGGCTCTGACGGATTAGCTGGATGATATTGAATTCTTCCTTTGGACGAGCGTGGCGGCGATTGTGGTGGTGGTGGTGGTTGCTTTTGGTGGTTGACGTAGTTGAGAAGTGCCCATGCCGAAATCACCCTGTTTTCCTGTCGAGTCTCCAGTTGGATCCAGAACGTTGAGCGTCCGCGCAGTTCGTCACGGCCTTTTGTCTTCAGCAGGAAACTGAACCGCTGTCCGGAATCGATTTGCATGTACGAAGTTTCGACAGGATAGACATATGCATTGTCGGTTTCGATGATGGTGAGGTTGGAGTGGTCTTCGAATCCCATCAGGACCAAAGATATCGCCGTGCCGCCAATCAAGCGTACTCGATATGTCTTGTCCGGCTCGACGTCCATGATCCATGGCTGACACGAAGAATCTGACGGGGTTGGGTTTTGTGGGCTGGGTGCCGTGCCACTTTGGCCATTGACCAACAAGGCGGTCGGGTCGCCGGGCCAGACAATCGGAGCCCACGTCAGCATTGATTCGATGGTATGGTCGTCTTCGGGGTAGAAGTCGCCGATTTTCATGATGACTTCGTCGTCGTATGGATATGGTAGGGGACTGGCGTCTTTGACAATGAGTGGACCGGAACCCGTGATCGCCTGGAAGCCCACATGGCAGTGGTACATCGAAGTACCAGCGTCATAGGCATTGGGGTGGAGTTCATAATCGAAAAAATGACCGGGTGGGATGGGCCATTGAGAAGCCTGGGGTGAGCCGTCTGCGAAAGGGGCCGTCGATAAAGAGAGGCCATGCCAATGCTATAGACAGGTAAGTCAGTCGGTCGTTCACTCACACGCCGGGAAAGATGGGAAGAGAGGTTGAGCCTGGTGTCTGTGCTGGTGTTCGTTTACCATGGTGGTATTGACGGGAGCGTCGTTGTAGACTCGAATCCACGTCGTCTGTTCAGGCTCAAGGTAGACTGGTGGACCAGGGTATGTGCCATTGACCAGGGTCGAGAGGCGAGGCTGGCAATTCAATTGAATCGTGGCCACACTGACTCGAAGAACAATGTCTGGAATGAAATTCCAATCGTGGTGGACTGGCCTGGCTGCATTGGTACAAGATATGAGAAAGAAGCTGACGAATGCACCAAGACCGAAGCCGTGCAATAGAGGAAACATCTTGGTCGTTCAGACTGGGCTTGTAAGGTGACTATTGGATCTCCAGGTTCTGATCTGGGAGACGATGGATGTGCTGTGCTGTGCTGTGCTGTGCTGTATAGAGCCAGGTTTGATACCGGCAGTTATATCGACGAAGACGACGGCCCTGAGTCCCTGACGCAACTTCTAGCAGCGAGACATGGTCAACAACGACAGAACATCCTGAACGCCCGTCCGGCAGCAGAGTCCATATTGCCAGATATGATGAGGTGGTGCAATCGTCACAACTTGGACAAATCTCTTTCACATGGGTGTGTAGCTGAAAAGAAAATGCCCACCATTTTAAACATCGATATAGACTTCTTGTCGCCCCTGGCTCCCATTGCAACCAATTCTTGTCCGGGAGCTTCTCTCACACATGCTTTTAGTCTGGCGGACGTCCGCAGCCGTAATGGGCTATGCGGCACACGCCATGACAGATCAGTACTGATCCTCGTAGCACCCGGGACAGCTATAAGACTTTCTTAGTGTGGTGTGGTGGTGGTGGGCGGATGGGAAGATGGGCTGTCCGTCAAACCCGGGCGGGTAGCGGGTGACAGACGATGGTTGCCGTCCGGAGAGAGAGAAAGAGAGACATAGGGAGCGAAGCAGAGCATCCGACAGGGTGAGTGACACAAGGCTGTGTGGTGCTGTTCGGGTTGTCCAGTGTCACTCGAACTAAAACTGTCCGACGACGAGGGACGGCCGTTGCATGTGTCTTGCTGGATTTCCAATTCATGCTGCACGCTTGCCGGTTGTGCAGGCCAATTGCGAGTGATCAGTTTGTTTCTTGGCAGTAAATTCAGTTGACAGAAGAGAAAAAGAAAGAGAGGATCAAAGCAGGGGAGTAGACAGCAACGACGTTGGTGTTCAATTGATCAACAGTGAAACCGACCAGACCCGGACAAGATGTGAACAAGGGGGATATCGAGTCAGGTGCACCTCTGTATGGCCTTTTGGTGTGTACACAGTATATTGGATGTATCGCCAGGCTCTTCCTCTGTAGGTATCTTTCCCCCTCTCTATCCGGGGTTTCTCTCCTTCTCCGTCTCTCTTTTCTTGAAGAAAACAAGATGTGATCATCCCTTGATCCAATTCAAGCGTCAGGGGAATTTCACTCTCAAGAACTGACTGGGCCAGGCCACCTCGACCCCCAATTTCCACGCCACCCTCAACACCCACTCGGGCTCTCTCATGAACTGCCTGGCCACCAGGATAGCGTCGGCCATGGGTTCCTTGCCACCCTTAGCATCCGTCAAGTCCTTTGCGGCAGTTGCTTCCTGGCCAATACTGAGATCCAATCCATTGGCTTTGCTGTCGTCAACAATATCTCTAGCCTGTTCGGCCTGGGTGATGAGTCCGACGGCACCGATCAGCAAGTTGAGGCCGGCAGACTTGAGGTCGTGTCGAATCTGACTCGCAATCTTGGTCTGATAGTCCTTAGAGGCGAACATGTTGACGCGCTGCAACGGATGGTTCCCGCCGCTGCTGACGTCGAGGAAATCGACGCCCAGCGCCGGCAGCAGGCGGGCGAGCTTGATCGTGCTCTCGACGGTCCAGCTGCCCAGATCAGCGTCGGGCGCGGTGCCCTCCATCCACTCGGTCGAGCTGACTCGCAGGAACAGCGGCATGTCGTCCGGGATGTTGGCGCGGACGGACTGGACGACCTCGACGAGCAGCCGGATCCGGTTCTCAAAGCTGCCCCCGTACTCGTCGGTGCGGCGGTTGCTGATGGGACTGAGGAACTGGTGCAGCAGGTAGCCGTGCGCGGCGTGGATCTCGATCACGTCGATGCCGGCCTCGACGGCTCGCCGCGCGCTCGCGCCAAAGGCCTCGACTAGTTCGTGGATGTCCGCCACCGTCAGCTGTCGCGGCGGCCAGAACCCTCCGTCTTCGGACAGTCCTTTGCCGTCCCACGTCTCGGCGGGACCTCCCATGGGCCCGACCACGTCGTCGGGCCAGCCGCCGACGTCGCGGTCGGCGCGGACAGACGGTCGGCCCAGACGAGCCGCGATCCACGGGGCGACGGTGCTGGCTTTGCGGCCGGCGTGGGCGAGTTGCACCCCGGACAGCGCGCCTTGCGCTTTGATGCAGTCTGAGATTCGCTTGAAACTGGCCGTCTGCTCGTCGCTCCAGAGTCCGGGGCAGTTGGGTGTGATTCGGCCGTTGGCCTGGACGCCCGTGGCCTCGATGATCACCAGCGCCGCCCCCTTGAGCGCATAGTGGCCCAGTGTCGAGATATGGTAGTCGGTCAGCTTCCCCGTGTCCGGCCCACTGGCGGCGGCCGAGTATTGACACATGGGAGCGACGATGATGCGGTTTCTCAGTGTCTTGGATCGGATCTTCAGTGGGGTGAACAGCGTGGGTGTGTCGGCTGTCGCTTTGAGCGGCGTGCCTGGGCTCGCCGCATGGGCCGGAGTGAACCATGACAGATTGGGCACCCCGGGGTTGAGTGTTGCGGGTTGGACTGGTGTCGACATGGCGGTGACGGATGAAGTCTATTGAGAGTCAGGACCTAACGATCTGACACCGGGATACAGCTCGAGCTTCTAACAGTGAAATCAAACACACGTTGATCTATGTCTTGAAGGAGGGACGCCCCAAACGATAATCCTTTCTGGCGCCGTGGACGAAAGCCTACTAGTATATGGTGCAATTCTATATTGGAGATGGAAGGGTAGATAAGGATATGGACTTTGATTTCTAATATGGAGACGGTTGGATATTGGAGACGAGACCCACGCTCGTTGCAATCAGCAATGAGAAGCCGACCGTTTAGCGAGGATTGATTGCGATTGGACCAGTCGTCACAATACAATGATACACGGCGTTAATGGCGTGCGCTATGCAGCCTCGTGGACAGTCGTCTGGAAGGGGACGCCATTATTGTTGTAGCCTCCTCCTCACCAAGGCAGTTCGAACCCTTCGCGGTGCCAGAACTTGCCCGTATCCTCAAGCTCTTTCTTGCTCACAATATTCTGCCATAACTTCCTCGCCGCCTCCTCCGGCTCGACCGTTTCAGGAGGCATCTTGGCGGAAGGCAACAAGTTTGTCCTGACATATCCAGGATGGAGAAGCATCACTGCAACGCCCTGGTCTTTCAAGTCCATGGCCATGCTTTTACCGACGGAGTTGACAGCGGCTTTGGATGAGCGATATGCGTAATGGCCGCCAGTACTGTTGTCGCCAACCGAACCCACGCGGCTAGAAACAATGCCAATCTTGGGGTGGGACGCCTTCAGGATGTTCGGCAAGAGGGCTTGCGTCAGAAGCAAAGGCCCAAATGTGTTGACGGCGAAGGTCCGCTGCAGGATATCGGGATTGGTCGTCCTGAGACTGTCGTCTTCAGCGGCCGAGGCGACACCTGGTTCGTCGTGTCAATCCGTTATTACACTCCATCGCACTGGACGCGGCTCCAGGTAGGTAGCAGAGGACTGGAGCGTCTAACCTGCAATATTGAGTAAAAGATCAATAGGAGTGTCGCCCAACGAGGCCTTGAACTTCTGGATCGATTCGGGAGAGGTCACATCAAGCACGGCCGTATGTGCGCCTTTGGCCTCGAGAGACGTAAGACCATCTCCTTGGTCTCGGTCGGCTGCATAGACCGTATAGCCCTACCTTGAGTGTCATTTTCAACGCCGTGATGCGTGAAGGAGTTGTGCGGTGATAGTGCTGACCTCGTCGCAGAGTATTTTGGCAAATGCGTGAGCAATGCCACTGTTGGCGCCTGTCACGATGGCAATAGGCATTTTGCTTTGGATCTCAAGGCTGGCCTTCGGGAGTGGGACGTAGATACACCGTGGTGGTGACTTGGAAGGCAGACGTGCTCTGAATGCCAACTGTAGAGAATTGATCAGTAGTCGGGGGAGTGCAGCAGGCGGTACGCTGATGAGATGCCTTTCCTTAAGTCGCTTCAGAGGGAGCGGGAAGCACCAGATACATCACAGGTAGGCATTGAGGAGTACAGGACGCTCTGAGGGATGACGTGATCATGAAGCATTGAATACCTACCGTCGATGGGGACGATGGACTGAATGCACTCGATACCGAGTATGTTGGGGAAATGTGAGCTCAGGCTGCAGATGCGCAGAGGGGAAGAGGGAAGGAAGGATACCTATGGGGCTAAGGAGGATTGTTCATTGGGTCTACAAGGATCACGCTCTAGGTAAGGTATCCAGGTGTCCATTTAGGCGACTTTAGGCCTGCAAGTGGCATGGGACCCCCTGTCTTTTAGCTAGAGCAGTACCCTAGGAACCTAAGGTACCCCAAACTCTGGCCCGTTCCAGCTGGAAGCTAGCCTCAGGAGCCCTGGGCTAATGGGAAAGTCAAATGGTTTTGGTGCGTTAAAGCCGCACTATAAGGGAGTCAGTCGGTCAGTTCGGTAGCAGACATAGGAACCATCCTGTACATCTCCAACAACCATAATGCTCTTTGATCAGCGAGCTGGCCTTGTCGTCGGGAGGTCAGTATACGGTGCATTTCCTCGTCCATGTACAGGACAACACCATGCCAATATGGGCAACTCGGGATCTGTACAATCAGGTGCTCAAAGACAGCCTTCCAGCTATGCAGAATTCCAGGGATAGGAGTACAGTGGTCTGGTGGCACCAATGAAGTTGAACACTATGGCCTCATATGCCCACGCCGCGTCTGCGGGATATCTCTGGCGATGGTGGCTGGGGGAGGAAAATGCCAATGATGATGAAATTGGGCCGGAGGCTGAGGCTGAGGCTGAGGGTGGGTATGGTAGGGGGAGGATGTGTTTGCCCATGATGGTCTTGCATGCCGTCAGATATGAGTGACCACCAACTCGTATACGATGGTTCTGCTGAGAGGTCGGGCCCAACAAGGCACAACAAGGACATTTTGAAGTTACTATCACGAGCAATTTCATTATTGTATCATATCATGAGTGGAAAGGCAGCCACGAGAACAGGCATAGCAGAGAAGCCATCGGCCAAATTATACATTTCCCTCGGTATATTATCACATTCGGGATGATCACCTATCTCTTACAACAGATATGCGGCGCAATCATGCATTGCGGAACGCAAGCCCTGAACAGAGCACCCATTTCTGGCAATTTTTAGGGTCCTTTGGCGCGGTTTTATCTCTTGTTCTGTTGCCTCATGGCCAGGATCTGAACCATCCGAATGAAGATGTTCAAGAAGTCCAACTCCAGACTGATACTCTCATTCACAACGTCCTTCCTGACCAAGCCTCGCTCGCTCATGCGGGCGTGGTGCAGGATCTTTTGGACATCGTAGAGCGTGAAGCCGCCAAACACGGCCAGACCGCCGTACAGCCAGATGTTCTCGGTCCAAGCTAGCGTTCGAACGGCGGTGGCGGGAAGGACGAGTGGCGCGAACCCGGAGATGGCGACGATGGCGACACCAGCGAGCAGAGGGCCACCAAGATACAAGTATTTCTCCTGCTTGGCGGTGGCACCCACGAACGCAATGCTGCCCATCATGCCGACCGTGTACAAGCCAGCTCGAGCCAGAATGGCGGGCGACATGAACATCAGAGGCGTCAGGATGGCGGCTTGGGTGACGTTGAAGGCGGTCCAGAGAGCATATTTCTGAATGTAGCTGCGAGTCAAATGTTAAAATCTATCTGCAGTCTGGGACGAGGGCCTATAGGTCTCTAGGGGTGTGGAGAACTTACTTGTCGGGATTCGTGTAGAACGTGCCGTACATGGTGCCGATGCTCGCCACGAGCGACGCGCCAACGACTAGCCACGGGTTCGTCGCCATCAGTCGGTAGGTCCAGCCGTTGGCATGCAGTGTCCGGGCCGCAAGTGCAATGATGCCCACGCCCAGGCCGGTGTGCAGGAATGTCTGGTTCAAATACTCCCGTTCAAAAAGGGGCATGCCGCCATCTTCGCGCGTCTCTCGGTTGAATATCAGGTTGGTGGCGACGATCGTTCCGCCCAGCAACGCAGCGCCGTAGAGAAGTCGTTGAGTCAAGTTCCCGCTTGCGGTCGGGTTGGCCGGTTGGTAGGATGGGGTTTGATAGCCTCGTTTGAAGGCGTCCCGGAGCGCCGTGGACTTCAGAAGAGACTGAACGTTAGAGGCGGTGGGCCGAGAGCTGAAGAAGGCGTTTGATGATTTTGAACCGGAGGAGTGAAATGTTCGGAGTAGAGTGGAAGGTTTGCTGAATTGTTTGAAGGCGGTCGAGGAGACCGCGAAGGGCCTCCTGAGAGTGAACGACATGATGATGATGATTTCGCCTATTCGAGATGCCGCGACGAGGAGAGTGTCGTGTTGGATGAGTTGGTGGTTGAGAAGAGTCAAAGAGAGAAGCCGGCGCAGGCAGTTATACAGCTTCGTCGTTCATTGCCATCGCCATGTGGACACTCTTCGAGAATGACGTCGAATCTGGCTTAGTCCGGAATGTGTCTGATTGGCCGAATGGGTAAGCCTAGAGCTGATCATGTGATGACCATAAATCCGTAAATTCCGACTTGAGTACACAGCCTTGAGAGGTAAAGAGATGTCCATTATGGCAGATACCTAAAGTTTGTCGTGCTTGCTCACCGCGCTTCACCTGAGCGATGTGTCTGATCGTTCTCTCTACTATTCTCGCACGGTAACAACAACAGCGGCAGATGAGTGACTCAGCAATTAGTCTTTGCTTCCTTCACAGGCTTCGAGCCTCTCAATAGAGGCAGAGGTCGCCGATGAGGTCACGGCTGGGAGGCAATACTTCCAATTGTTGCCAAATTTAGGATCTACCGGTTGCAGAACGATGACTGTTTTGACTTCAATCCTGATGCACGGCTCGTTTCCGTTCGCTCTGCATTGTACCTCGACACAGGCAAGACTTAATGCTGATGATTCAACTGACAGATTTCCACCCTTTGAGAAATGACAACATGTTGGCTCCCAGATGCTCAATCACATAACCCCCCTCAAGAAGAATCAAGGCTGGCACATCCTTTAACTTGTGCCTGATAGCTGCTGCTATGGTGGCATAATCCTCCGTATGGATCTGAAAAGAACCCAACGGATCCGAATGGTAGGTGTCGAAACCAAGACTCACTATCAGAAAGCCCGCTTGGTAAGCTACCAGATGCTGCAATGCAAACTCCAGTTTCTCCATATACTCATCCACAGAGCTGCCAACTTTGAGCGGGTAGTTGATGTTCATCCCAGTACCATCACCAACGCCTCGTTCATCTTCAGCACCAGTGTAGTAGGGAAACTCGTCTTCACCGTGGATACTCACGTATAAAACTCTCGGGTCGGCGTAAAAGATCTCCTGGGTGCCATTGCCGTGATGGAAATCAATGTCAAGAATTCCGACCGGTGCGTCGGGATGAGCAGCGCGCCACGTGCTCACCGCAAGCGCGGCGTTGTTGATGTAGCAATACCCTCCCGCTCGGCGGCCGTCACAATGATGACCTGGAGGTCGACAGAGCGCCAACACCGTGTCAACATCAGAGCCGGAGCCCTCCAGGGAGAATCCTGATAGCATGTCTGCCCCTTCACATGCGAGATTGGCAGACCCAACAATAGCCTGGTAGCTTTCTGACATGATGTCGGAACTCATGTCGAAGGCGTAATACCCGGCGCGGGCGAAAGGATCTTTGGGCGGTCGCATAGGTTTGCCGGTAGATGTGGGCAGCCAGAAACACTCAGGCAGAACATGGCCGTCTTTGTCAATCAGCCCTGCCGAAACCCAATCATCGTGAACTTCTCGGAGATGCTGTAGGTAGCCGTAGTTGTGAGTTTCTGAGATGAGGTTCAATACTCGTTCTATCCGTTCTTTTCCACGGACAGAATCATCCTGTACCGTGCGAATGTCATATTCCGAGATACGCAAAGCCTTGAGAATGGCTTCCAGTCGTTCAGGAGACTCCAGGGCGGGAATGAGCTTGGACCCCAGCAGTTCGATGGTCTTGTGAAGGAGTGTGTCAGGGTCGAACAGGATCGCCAGCATCTTGAAGGATATCTGCTGTTTCGACCGTTGCTGTGAGCATTGCAAGGTTACTGACAGAGGAGATCTATCCCGACCGCTGTGGTGATGATGATTGCCCGTTGCAAAGGAGCTTCTGAGTCGTTGCGCTGACTAGGAAGATCGCGGTGAAGGTTGCGAAGCTGCACCGCCGCTATCGATAACGATAACGATAAGGATAACGAGGGCTTAAAAGACAACATTCGCCTCTAGTTTCGGGAACTGCGCCTACTGCCGGGATATGATATCCAGGTCGCACGCACCTCATCATACTAGTATCAGTGGTAGAGCTGAATGGTAGCTACCACTCCCCTCTGTTGATCCTTTCACTTCAGTAGTTGCTTGAGTATAAATCGCCGTAGAGGGAGGTCTGTGGGGCCAGTGGTGGTGCGTGAGATTGAGCACCAGAAGGGGTTTCTGATTCGATTCGGCTCCCTACACGGGGTGACATGTCAGAAAGACATGACAGGAGGCACTGCCTCATACTCACCGTCCTTAATCATGCTTTCCAGCATTGCATTCTTCTGTCGTAGTTTGCTACAGGTATCCCGCATGCTCTGGAATGCCCGCTGTTGCGATTTGGCGAAATTCTCCAATACCACCGCCAACCTAGCCTTGAATATTTGTTCTAGAAGAGCAGGAGTTAGGCAGAGGTCATGACCGGCAAGAGAGACAGAAGCAGAAGTTACCGGGTTGTTCGAGGCTTGCAGTCAATTTGTGTGCCACTTGTCCAGCATATTGCTGGTCGCCAAGACACCATAGAGCTGCGGTATGCACAGCCCTGGTGTAGTCCTCCACGAGCGGCATCACATCGTTGTGTAAAGGACCGTTCTCCGCTAGCGATAGGTCTGGATCTGGTCCCGGCATATCAGGCATATCAGGAAAAGGCGTGGTTTGAGTTGGTGATAGCATCGTTGAAGAGTCCATGTCTACCAGGTCAAATGTCAGGAGAGGAGGATTGGTCAGATTCGAAGAGGACGATGCATTGGGTACTTGCTGGAGGACTGCCGTCCCATACATCTGCTGGGTGGGTAGTAAAATATTGGATAGGGCGTCAGGGTTGATCCCCATGTTGCTCCTTGACATAGCAAACGGGTCGAAACCTGCCGAGGTGGACATTGTTTGCTCGGCGATCGGAAAATCAAATGGTGGTTCACTGCCGTCGAGCGGATATTGCAGGGTTTCGTCGTGAAGATCGCCATCCACCAATCCGTGTGTCGACAGCAGGCTGTCGGAAAAGGCTTGATATGGGTCTTGTTGGTTCGCCAAGTCGAACTGGTCCGAAAGCTCAGGGAGCGGTGCTTCGGGCCATGCCTCATCATTGTCCACCGTTAGCAGAATATCGGGTTCCCTCGCTTCACCGGAACCAGGAGATTTCTCCTCGCGAAGGTAATGCAGTTGAATTGGCTCCTCCTGGTCGCCGGTGGCCGGCGTAGCAGCAATGTTGAAAGCGCCATTACTGGGTGGGTGTAGCAACGCCGGATTCGACAGCTTGAGATTATAGGTCTGATCTATCACTGCGTTGGACGGTCCGGGCTGAAGTTCATCCTTGAGCTGTGGATGGGGCCGGCTTGTGAAGGACTGCGACCTGGATCTTGAGCGGGAACGAGTAACCTCCCGCTTAGCAAACCGTCGCAAGTTGCGGTCCTCATGGGGATGGAGGTTGCCACGCTCGTCCGTCCGCGAGCGAGGCCTCCGACCCGGTCGACTGATGTCGAAGATTGATTTGCCCGTCTGCGCGATCTGTTGCATCCTTTCATCCCGACTCGAGTACTTGGTGAAACCCCATTGCTTGATCTTGCGCTCCCACTGTCGTGGAGTGGCGTCGAAATCGAAGTGGTCTTTCATATACTGCGCGGCTTCTACCCTTGTCATGTTGTCGTCCAGGTAGCATTTGCGGAAATTCTCCTTCTGTGCCTCCCAATCTTTATCCTCATGGTTGGTGTCGAAGGCTTGCGACTCGTCCTCGGACGCCATAACTACCAACTGAAGTTCGATCGTAAGCTCGACGAGAATTCCGACCTATGTCACAGCCTAGCCTTGCGTCGTGCACCAAATGAGTATTCTTGTCAGCGTGAAAAAGGAACGGCGTGTACCTTTGAGAGAGAAACACGGCTGACAATGGTACAAGGAGAAGAATTCTATGCCTTGTTACACCATCAGCGATAGATAGGATTGTACTTATGCACCCCAATCAGGGCGCTAATCACACTGATGGCGGGCTCACTGCAATATGGCAATGGACATCATGCGAACTACGTAGGTGGTAAATCGTCCCCTTGCACTTTGGCCCCAATCATCGATGACCACGGGGGGCTTGCGGCTGAAGAGGTCACGAAGCTTGCTCTGGCCGGCGCGATCCAGGCCCCGGGCGACGGACCACCGGGCTAGCAAGAAGAGGGTCACTGCTAGTAGTCGTAATCTCGTATGTTTGTACTAGTCGCTGCATGGTGGACGAAGGAGGTTGGAGGTTGGATGCCTGACGGGACTTGGTGTGCAGTGTTCAGTGTCTACAATGCGAAAGCGTGATGCGCACTATGCTTGACCATACTAAGCTACGCCAACGGGTACGGTGAAGCATTACTTGTCTTCTGTCAGCTCTATATCATCCTATCAGTCCCAATTCCCAATTCTCACGTCCCAAATCCCTCTCTCACCTTGTCTGTTTCCATACTTCTCATCTTGAACTAAAGTGCATGCGCAGTGCAATAGCAAGGATGTCCTTCGACAATGTCGATGTACAGCTACTACTAAGTGGGCCTTGATTACTCTCACTACTGACGTCGGATGCGCGACGTCGTGCCTGTCTCACTCTCGATTGTGAGGCTCTGCAGCCCAAATCCCACTGCTGGTACACCGCACTTGGGCAACATGAACTGCGAAATCTCCAAAGAAGTTGAGTCATTTATGTGTGGTGAATTCGTCTTGCGCCTCTATTCGTCATGGGGACCATGTTCGTCTCCTCTGATATATGGTTCTACATGATCCTCGCCACCCCCAAACAGCGTTGTCCATTTCAGACTGATCCCCGGACAATACATCAGCTTTTACTACTATCAAGGTTACGATTGAGTTGCGCAATACAGACCATGAATCCTCTTAGGGTTCTTCAATCGTCCTCCAAAAGCATTTGCCACTATGTCGCTTCGGCCATCCTGTCATTTGTCGGTGCCGTCTTCACTCTTTGCGGCACCTTCTTTGCTTCCAATCTAAGCCGTGAGTCTTAGCGGCTGCTGGCTGCCTCATGGCATGGGTCATGCTAATAGACCAACAGTCTTCGCACCTCGTGATGTGGAGCCTACTCTACCGATCTACAACAACGAGAGCCCTCCCAGTTCGGTGCCTTCGGCGTCGAGTGCATATGCAATACCATCAGGCCGATCGACGCCTATGTTCTCCCCACGCAGCTCACCTCCCCTCGTGATGGCTTCAAATGACCCGCGCGACTTCCAAGGGATGGGTGGAATATTTCAGGAGCACGGATAATGAGGTTGACATGATTGAAGATATTGATATGCTACAAGCGCTTGCGGAGTGCCCGAATCCTTCCCTCGGGTATCTGGGCCTCTCATGGCGTTGGATAGGGTGCTGGTTTGGAGTCTACGGGGGACTTCGTTGTATCTCTCGTCTCCAAATGATCCATGGCAGCATTGATTCTGGAGGTTATTACAAGCTTGTCATAGTCATCCTCATGAACAAATCCCACCAAAGGGTCGTTGTAGGGTATCAACCAGTCACGTGATCGCGCGCCTGTAAACAGGGACTCACCGCGTTCGGCCAAGCGCTTCGGAGTCTCCAATTCAACTGCCCAGAACTCTGAACGTTTTGTGTTGTGGTGAAGCCTGGAGGCCGCCGGATTGGGACAACTTTTCAATATTCCCCCAACTCGCAAATCCAATGCATTCCGCCACCGCACCTTCGTCCTGCAACAAGTTTCCCTTGACACCACTAATGTCCTCGTCGCTTTGTTGGTAGACGCTTTGGCTTTCGCTGTGGCACTTGCGGCCTCGCCCCGGCGGGCAATCACTGCTGCGTCCGCCATGTCAGCAATCGTGCTCCTGTCTTCCTCTCCACCCCGAGCATTTGCCCCCTCGCCGACACCGGTCACATCTTCGTCACCTCTACCTTCACCGAGCGCTCTATTGAAAAATGGTATTTCGGGATCACAGCGGTTCAAGCCCGTGTCTAAAGTCAGAGATGGGTTCTCCAGTGGTTTCAGCAACGCTCGAGCACTGTTGACGACAAAAATCGGCGCGGAGAATATACCGCTGCGCTCTCCAGGCAAAGAGAGGTTCAAACCGGCAAGCCCAGCACCTCCACGAAGCTCCAAAGGGATGGGTAGTCAAGGATCAAAATTCATTACGGAAAAGGTGGGCTCGCATACGGACGATGAGTTGGTGTCTTCCAGACCGGTGGGATCGCAAACACAAGCCTGTGGGCCAAATCCTCAACCTTTGCAGTCCGAGTCTATAGATGATGCGCCGCGCAAGGATCCCTCAAACCGCGAAAGACGTCGTACCAGAGAGTATAGTCCTCTCTGCCTGGAACAAGCCCTCCCCAGACGATTAGACTGGACTCCAGTCAAACCAAGCACGAAGGTTTCGGCGATTATACCGGAGCCTGAGGTGCCCAGTTTGGGTTTCTCGAAAGATCTTATCGACAATTTTACATATGCTGAACCGACGCACCGCGCAGTACACGAGGTAGCAACAAGCTTTGGCAGAGACGGCGAGCCGACAAAACGAAGGCGTATAGATATTGTCGTGACGGGAACCTCCAATGCAGAACCATCACTCCGGCCGGCGGATACTCTGCACGCCAAAGAAACAGCAAAGAAAGGGAGCAAGAGAAGAAACAAGTCGCCGGCCAAAAAGATGCTCACAATCACCGGTCTAGCTACTTCACGCTATGGCAGGGAGGATGAGAGAACTGGCGTCAAGGTTGCTCCTATGCTGGAATATCTGACTGCAACGCAGCTTGGCGCCGGCGAGCTGGACTCTGCTGCCGCGAATACGGCTTCGAAGAAGGGTTTAAGGCCAAAGACTGGCGGCAAGAAGGCTCGCGGAGGCAAGAAACCCTCGGCCCAAAGTCGTCTGTTGTCTCCCACATCTGCCATGCAGGCAATTGAAAGCCAAGAGACCCTGTTCGGGTCGGCAAGTCAGCTGGCTCGGGAAGAATCGCCCACATTATTGCGGGATACATTGGAAGCTCTCAAGAGATCGGAGTGTTTCTGGTCCTCGGATCCAATTTCTCCACAGCGGACACAGCCTGTTTCTATTGAGTCAACTTCGCCATACAAGTGCCGTGGGACAGACCGCTTTGTAAAGAAGAAAAACTTGTGGATGGCCGCTGGAAGGGACGAAGATAATGCGCTTCTGCATGTTGATACGGTTGATCTGATTGATTCTCCAGCAGTACGGCAAGCGCTTCCGGGAAAGGATGTTCTTCTGCAGCCAGCGGAGCCGGGTGTCCGAACAAGGAGTAGCGAGCAATCCGGACGCACCGACCACGATACGGATACTCCTCTAGTCAACAAGGCCGGGCCGTTCATCGATATTGACGATATTGTGACTCCTGGACCTCAAGTGCGTATGAGAGCCCCAGCAACTATACAAGCAAGGTCCTACCACACCACACGGACTTTGGAAGTTCCCTCGGGTCACACCAACAGTGCTCAGACTACCTCACCAGAGCCTCGGCCGCGACAAGTGGCTGCACGAGCTACAAATAAACCCGTCCCGACCAAGCCTTGCTATGCTGGCTTCCAGACTCATGAATTACAGAAGCAGATCTCTGCGTTCGGTTTCAAGCCCGTCAAGAAGCGTGAAAAGATGATTGAGCTTCTCGAGCGTTGCTGGGAAGACAAACACGGAGTCTCACCTGGAGATGGTGAAAAAGGAGAGGAGGCTCCCGAGGCCATGACACACGGCGACTTCCTCAGCAAAGTCCACGACGTTTCTGCGAGGCCGGTTCCCAAGGTCAAGAAGCCGCGAGCAAAGCGAAAATCGACAGACACGGAGCCCAAACCTGCGAAGGAGCCCAAGCAGAGGAAGAAGGCCGAGCCGAAAGCCACAAGCAAAGCTGCATCCGCCAGAGTCACCAAGACACCACGCAAGCGGACGACAAAGAAAGCGTTATCGGAGGAGGTCGTCATGGATGTGGACGACATTGACGCTGAAACCGAAACTACTACCACCGATCCACAAGGACAAGAGAGCTTAACGAAGCCTGCAGCAGTCAAGCCCAAAACGCCCAAATCAAAGCTCACTACAGTTGCAGCGACACGAGCCAAAAGGCCCGCAACACCTCCCCCGACTCTGCCCTTGATCAACTTCTCATCCTCTCCGGCCCCTGGAAATGGTCCTAGAGAGCCAGTTGCCGACGAACCAACAGGCGTAGAAGAGACATCGGACCGGGCTAGACTGAACCGCACAATGACAGCGCACAACTTGACACCTGACCACACGCCCGCCCTGCCAGAGATCCAGTCTCAGATCCACGCGGCCATACATTTCCGCCCAGACGCCAGGGCCAAAGACGCTGCTAACTCGACTGAACGCAACCGCGACCACACCGTCTCTCCAACCTGGCGTGAGAGAATCCTCATGTACGATCCGATCGTCCTCGAAGATCTGACGGTGTGGTTGAATACCGAGGGGTTCCGTGCCATCGGCGAAGACCGCGAAGTGGGAGCCCTCGAGGTGCGCGAGTGGTGCGAGACCAACGGCGTCTGTTGTCTCTGGAAGGGCGGGTGGCGAGGGAACGGCCATTCGCGTGCAAGTGGGACTGCGAGTGGCAGTGGACGCAAAGGCGGCAGCGGGGAAGGATGATTTATGTATCATAATACTCCTTGAGACCGATCTCTTCTCTTCAAAGACGTAGACAGCGGAATGGAATGAAGCGAAGCGAAGCGAAACGAAACGAAACGAGAAGCAATAGCGGGAGGCTTTTTGTTTTGGATGCCATGCACAGAAAGAGATACCCGGTTTTCTATTGGGAAGCCCCTTTCCAGTCTGAGGAATCACGGTAGGGAGACAGGTATTGATTTCCTCGAGCTCGTGATACCCAGGAATTCTTCCTACTAGACATATCATCATTATCATCACGTTGGGGGCAGGAAACATATTTCCCCCTTGTATGTATCAAGTCGGGGCTGGCGGCCAGGCTGGTCTGACTCTACCCGCTGCGTGGTCACGATTTCAGGGGTAATGAATGAAATATCCAGATTCCTGAGCTTACGCAGACAGGGTGGTCAGGTTCTGCTCTTCTGCGCTGTTTCTTTCCGCCATATGCTCTCTCCTCTCTTACCGTCTTTAGACTCCATACCGACACTGCGAACTCTCACTAGGTAGAAGGGACGGTGAAGGAGGGAAATGTTAGGGCGGTGGAGGGAGGCCTGTAGGGGGACACGTCAAATCTCAGACACGGAACACCCTGATATCAATATCATCCACGTAGATGCAGGTATGTATAAGCAAGCAAGCAGGATGATGAGCATAAAATGTCAAGTGACACATCCAGGCAGTGCAATGAATCAGCAGTTCCCGTTCGGTTTTCCAAAATTCAGTATTATCAACGTAGTAGCTGTAGTAATGTCCAAGTAATCATATCAACGAATTCCAACTCCTTCTTTTCTTTTCCATCCTTCTTCTTCTCAGGATATGTGCAGGTGGCTGGCTGGCTCTGTGTATTCTGTCATGCTCCCATGATGTGAGCACTAACAGGGACCACAAGGTTCACTGTACGCATCCCTGCCGCGCGCTCTCTCCCATGTCTGTTTCACGAACTTTTCTTCTCCTCAAATATGTAGGTATGTTTCCACCTTTAATGCGGAGGACACTGGTCCTCGCACCTTCCACTGATATCGCGCCGTCACCACAGGCGTATCAGTGTCAACGTCGACACTGTTGAAGTATCGATATGACTTGCCTCTAGATGGGCAGCCTTTCCGCCTGCAGAGTTGTGGGCTGGAGGACGGGGTTTGATTTGCAGGTTAGAAGAACTTCCCCTTCACCTTGACCACGCTTCTCTCCACGCCGTCGTTGTCCTCATAGACCTCTCTTTCGGCATCACCCACGGCGGGTGTGTCCTCGCCAGTGTAGAAAGTGGCGGTCGGGGCAGCGGGCTTATCAAAGGCGTCGAAGCGAGTGCCCTTGTATTTCGCAATGCTCCATTGAACGCCGATCCGGAATGCGAAGGCCCCAAGAGCCCACAACATCCCTCCCACAGGAGCAGCGACGAACGCCCCGAAAGCCGACCAATTGTTCTCATAGAGGCCTTGCTCGAGCAGGATCAGGTCTCCAGCAGCTTTGGCGTCGCCGTGGTAATATACCAGACCGAAGAGCCAGACAGTCAGAATGCCGCCGAGCCCGCCGACCACAACTTCGAACCCGCGCCAGGCATAGAAGCGATCGGACAAGCCAATAAGGAGACAAGGGACACTGGAGGCAGAGACCAAGTCAGATATCAGATAGATCTGCAGTACCGATGGAGATTTCAGCGCAACCACGACAGTAGGGAAGATGATGACGACAACAGCGGCGCGGATGTACCAGAAGTTCAACTTGTTGCGAAAGATGTCGTTGGATCCCGTCGACACCATAGCGGACTGCAGAGAATCAAACGCCGCCGTGGACAGGCAAACTGTCATGACGATGACAATCCCGACGACCCACGCCGGCAATTCCCCCATAAGCAGGAAGAAGGCGATCGATGATTGCTGCGGTGGGTCGCCCAAAAGGCCGGCCCAGCCTGCTAGGAGACCGGTAACACCGACGAGAGTCAGGATGATGGTGACTGCGACTGTTGCAATGCTCGTGCCAATCCACAAGTCTTTGTCTGTCTTCGCGGCGAAAGTGCGCATCCAGAACCCAGAGATGAAGAAGTCATTGGACAAGACCGCCACCGGCAGGATGTATATCAGCTGCCAGCCCAAAAGACTTGCATCGAGATAGCCACTGCGGTCGATCAAGTCGCGACTGATGTCAGTCTTGACGCCGACCGTGATGCAGGCAATGATGATGAGCGCGACCACCATAACTCCCTGAATGTTGTCGGTGATGAAGGAAACCTTGAATCCACCGAGCGAAGTGTAAATGGTGGTAACCGCGCATTCGACGATCACAGCGGGAAGACCGTTCAGGCCAGTCAAAGCATTGATGATCTGTTGGAGTGCTGAAAGCTCAGCGACCATGTAGAGAAAGAGGGTGATCAAGCTGTTGCAATGTCAGATGGACACGACCGAATCGAATGCGTTGCATCTGCCACAAAACGTACGTCAAAGCTGAGAGGTATAGAGCAGTAATTGTGCCGTAACGTTGTCGGGTCCATTCAGTCAGCACGAATCCCTCTGGGCATTTCTTTCTGAGGATGGGCCCAAGGTAGCCAAACACCAAGATAGGAAGACCTGAAGCGAGACTGTAGACAACCAAGCCCTGGACGCCGGCAACCGTGGAGATCTGCGGATAGGTCTGGAGGATACCGGACCCTAAAGCTGTTAAACACCAAGAAAGGGTGCTGTCAGTAAATACAATCAGGGGTGAAGGGATAGGGGGTCACGGGGGCTTCAGGTAGAAGCGGCAGCACGTTTCTCACGCAAGCATTAACTTGATCGAGTTCTGACGGTACAATCTCAGCTTTGTGTCGTAGCACTGGAACTCGTTCATCTCTGACCGGCCGACGATGGGCTTTGGTCAGGTGGATGAAAGCGAGGAGTGTCACACAAGCGCCCGTAGTGCTGCACATTAGCCTCGCGCCTCCAGTCCCAAAATTCCATATTGCAATTATGCCTGCGTTTTCAGCAATGAAGACAGCCATAGATGCATAGGATCTTCCAAGCCCAGAAGCACGAGGCCAATGGCGTTGATTGCAATCGTACGAACCTCAGATAGCCTTGTTTATAATGCCATCAGGCATTTATTGCGTCTCGGTCGACGAGGGTCTGTTCGTAAACCTCGCCTTCGATCTGTACTTGAACGTTGATTCTTTCTTTTTATGTCGACGTCTCGATCGTCGAGCCCATTGCTGCCGCTTCAGGCTAATGCCGCCCTTTGAGCGCACTCACCCGAGGCGATAAAGTTCAGGGCCAGAGGTATGCCTGGGAAAGGTGTCAGTATGGCCGGTGACTGCGGGTTCAGAGAGGGCCGGAAGTGCGCCGTAGCGGTGTCGGTTTTCTGACCCTTCTGTGTTCGCAGACTTGCGAGGTATTCTCCTTTGGACTGATGGCGAAGAGTCCATGCAATGGCGAGGCCGAAGACACTGGACATGACTTTGTTAGCATCACCAAGGTTCCAAATGGTTTTCAAGCGGGCGGCGCACAGGAAAGCGGCATAAGTGGTGTAGATGAGGGCGTTTGACGCCTGTTCAGATGGCTGGCCCATAATGACGGTGTCGTTTCAAGGACCTTTCGAGGACTTGGAAAGACAATTGCTCGCTACGTCTAGCGGATGAGATACAAAGGTGCGCAGGAGGAGGCAAGCTTTCTTCTGGCAGAAGTTGAAAAAGTAGAAGGAAAAAAGATGCGGGGGGTGTCACATGATGAGGCTTGAACTTGGTGGCATGGTGGGGGTTGCGATGAGTCGAATAACTCTGTACTACTAGACCGTGAAGGGCAATATTAGGCTCTCAAGCTCGCTTACATACGGCTGTGGAAGGTCGTCGACTCTGTGTGGGTAAGGAGTCCTAACGAGTCCTCACAGACTGCAGTCTGTTAGAGCCAGTCATTGGTTGGTCGCATCAACCTTCCACCCGGCTCGACCTCTTCGAGCAGACAAAAGAATAGCTATCAAATGTTTCCTGAAATAGTCTCTAGTCGTCTCGAGTGCAGGGTCTCAGACGCCATCATCAGCAGAGAATCAGGCGATTGCCAGTGTTGAATGAACGATTGACATTCAATCGGAGCGAACCCCGGTTGCCTTCTGGCAAGGATCTTCCGCAAAATCGATGCGGCAACCCTCCCAATCGTAGTCGCGAATGAGCTCGGCCTTGAATTTGACTGCGTCCGAGATATTGGTGAAGCGGAACAGAATGGTGCGGACCTGTGACAGATTAGTCGGTGTCTCTCGAAACTTCAATATCAATTTGTCTCACCCCAGTGCGAAGACTGTCAGTCACAGCCTCAACTTGACGAGTCTTGTTCTTTCCTTGGGCAAGCTTGTTCAAGGCGATGATTCCCCAATCATCATCTGCTCCTGTCGCTTTCACAACCCGAGAAGCTCCACAGTCGAGATATCCTCGCATCATGCCACTCATCACATCGACATCTCTGCGCTTGGCGACAAAGACAGTGCATCTCTTGCCCTTGTAGCGAACCCCAATACCGTTAGGATACTTGGCACAGTACTCGTCACAAGCGTCGGCGGCAGTGAACGTGACGAAAGCAATAGCCTTGCCATTGGCAACCTTTGCCGGAGTGATCTTCATGTCTTCGATTGCACCACCATGGATCAGCGACTGTACGGAAGTGTAGTCGGCGGTACCCGGCAGGCCGGCGAGGATGACGGTGCGGACACGGGATTCTGAGAGGTTAGTCGAGATGTCGGTCAACATGCTCAGGAGTCTTACCGGGTCGATCACGCTTGGCTGGTAAGCCCCAGGTTGTGAAATGGGTGAGGTTCTCACGATCTCCTTCATCCTCCCTCGTGGCCTTCTCAGGTGCGCCTTGTTCGTTGGGAGAGCCGACGCTTTCGGTCACGCGATTCACCGCTTCTTGCGAGCCGAGCTTCAAAGAAGAGTTACAGACACTAGGAATCGGTTCCTCGACAGTGGCAGTCTGCATGACTCGATCTGGCGATGCCAGAGCCTCACACTCACTAGAATTCTCCTTGACAGAAGGGACGGACGGGGCAACGTTGGCAAAGTTGCTCTGGCCAAGGGACCCGGTGCTCAAAGCTTCATAGTCGTCTGGGTGATTACCGACACCAGATTCCTCGTGAGATCCGCATTCAGAGGTGGTCACTGACAGAGGAGTCAGTCAAAGGTGACGCGTGCAAATAGAATGCCTCTTACCTGAGACAGCTTGCCCGGCAGGGTCCAGAGCAAACATAGCGTCTCTTGACCTACGATGTTCCTCCACCACCCTATCCATGTACCCGACAGCCAGCTGTAGCATGCTGAATTCTTCCTCATGCTGCGATCCCGCAAGCTGGGCTTGTTTCTGCAACAACTTCTCTTGAGTCGGTGTCAGACGGGGGACAGGCGGCTTCGTGGATGGGGCAACGTTGGTACTCTTTGGAGCGAGCACATTGAGGATTGAAGGTGAATCAGGAGCTACAGTCTCGGCACCAGCGTGAGCAGCTTTCTGAGGGCTCAAAACGTCAGTTTTCTGCTGAGCGTCTGCTGTTGAAGCAGGATCCTTGCAAAAGTCAGTATTCGATGTGCTCTCGAGGTGCTTCCCTCGAACTTACTCTCGGGTCAGCGGCAGGCGCCTTGTCAGCTGCAGTCTTCTCCGCAATTGAGGCATTCTGGTTGCGGATGTAACGGAGGAAAGCCTCTATGTTGTCAGGCCGGTCGCACGAAGCCATTATAGCTGGCTGAGCTGTCTGTGGTTTCGAATGAAAGCGTAATGTTCTCTGAATTTTCAGATGAGTGATGGGCAACACGATGTTGGTGAGAGGAAGAGAGAGCTGAGAAGTTCAGGCAGCGTCCGCAAATAGTGTAAACGTGGGCAAATTGCTCGGCATCCGCGCCATGCAGTGCCCGGCATTCTGCGTTTACAACATTTTGCTGGGATTGTCAAATGACGGGAGCATAGCACTCGTGAAGGGCACTCATTAAAGAAGCCGACAGCTCTGGCAGCAGAGAAAGGGGTGGTGGGCGGAAACAGCTGCTGCAAAAGATACTCACAGCCTGTGACAGTGGGACCCTGTCTTTGATGTTCATTTCACTCTTTCATGGCACCCACTGCACAGATACCTACTAAGTAGTAGGTAGGCATCTGCCCAGTACCTGCAAATCATTGTTATACATTTTTGTTGACCCAAATTGACTCACTCCAGACACCATGCTATGTTCACGAAGAAGGAATTTTGATCCCTTCCCAGTTTCTTTCACCTTCAGTAATGTTCTCCTTCATGACTGTAAAACCCTGGCGTCCACAAAACCCAGTGTGGGTGGCAATCCTGGCCACCTGTTGAAAAGAACCTCCCTGCTCAGACGTCATATCTGGGACCCAAACTGTGTCTATGACTTCGTGCCACGGCTCCTCATCTCTGCGTGGATTATAACTGGGTGCGTTGGTGACGATGTCAAGCAAGAAATGAATTGGGGTGTACAGGCGCTCAAAGCGTCGAGTAAAACCGAGCCAGGATAGGGTTTTGGTATCGTAAGCAACCCGGACGAAAGGGTTCATGTAGATACCCGAGTTTCCAGGCTCGGGGCTTTGGATATCCGCTTGGATGAGGCAGCATTCTGAAGCATCCCAGTAGATTTCTTTCTCCGCGCGGAATCGATAAGGTGCGGAAAGGTTGCTTGGGCTCTGATTGCCCGCCGTCACCAAGTCGTCTGATCCGACGTTCCTCTTTTGGAAGAATCGGGCGTCGAAGGCGACCATGCCACCCCAGCAGCTCTTGACTCGCACAGCGTCTTTGCCGTCGAGGACATCTTGGTGGGTCTGTTCGTCACCATTCGCCGAGAACCAAGGGAAGAACGGCAAGCCCATGCTATATCCCTCGATATCTCGGGTTGCAAAAGTATCGTAAAACTTGAAGGGATTGATGAAATCTACCGCACAGGCGGCTCGGTAGTCGGTCCTGCCATCTGCCACGATGTGCGTAGAGAACAACAGCTGGGCGGCGTCGATGGGGTGAAAGACCACATCGTTCAGGTAGAGAAGTTTGTCATAGGTCGTGGTGGAGTTCTCCAGGGGCTTGAGGGCGCGGTTGCGCACCTCTGCCAGGTATTCAATCCGCTTGACACGCTGTGAGCCATCGGGGGCCGTTATATGAGTGACTTGCCCAATATCAAGATGGTCTTCAAAGACTAGAGCATGGTCACAAGGTACCCGCCGTTGCAGGTCATCCAGAGCCTTCTTCGCCTCTGGGCCCGAGTCATTCACATAGATGGACAAAAAAGCATTCTCCGGCCCCAGAAGCTCTATCAGGTCTAGCACATTGTCTGCCCAATCTCCACCGCAGAGCTTCCCATCCTTGTCGTAAATGCTTGCTGCAATGAACACTTTCTGATTGTGCACGTTGGCGCGTCCTGCGTCACGAGAAGCCAGTGCCTTGTGTCGGAGGTCCACGTAGTATGGCGGCAGGTGGGTGTAGCCTGGGAAGAAGACACCTCCAACGATGACGGTGACAAGGATGGTTGTGAAAAAGGTGTAGGCGAACAGAGCGAACTTGCGCAGGAATGACCGCGGGGGACGAATAATGTGGCAGAGCGCGAACCGCCTGGACCTGGGCCTTGGCCTATGATATCGCCTGCGCAGCCAAGCGGGGGTGACAGATACGACGCGGGAAATGATTGTCCCCTTGGCACTGGCTGGTATGGTCTGTCCCGATAGGAGACGAGACTGGGAATCGCCATGGTCTTGGTCTTGTTCAGGCTCGTAGTAAGGAAGAGAAGATTCGCGGTAGTCGGATGCGTTTGTGCTCGTTTTCGATAGCTCGTACTCATCGAAGCCTATGCAGTGAGAGTTCATCGTTTGCGGGGAGTGGAGATGACGGGTGCATGTGGCAGTGGTCTTGACAGGGGAACTCGAGCCGCCATAAGAGAGGTCTCTGAGGACTGAAGCGAAGAATAACGACACGAGTTCTGAAGAAATAGCAACATGGGATATTGAGAGGCTGTAGGAGGGTTGGAGGGAGGTGGGTGTGAATATAAACAAACAGGTCCTGGGTAGGGACAAGTTTCACGGGATTCCAGTGCTGGCTGAAGTTTCCTGGAGCCTGGAGGCCTCCTAAGCCCTCCGCCCTGGGGCTGGTGTCTATTACAATCCAAGATGCAGGCTAATAGGTCAACTGCAAACAGCGAGCATTCCTTTCACACGGTAGGTATCCTCAAGTACGGATTCTCCATATTACCATAGTACCTACGTAGGAAAGTACCAGACACGTTCTGAGACCCGCTCTTTGGAAAATGAAGCCCGCATGATTCGTGGACAACACGTCCACGGGCACTAGGTACCCTTGATCTTCATACCGGCGTGTCGCCTGAACTCGCAACTTGTGTACACATTGGGCTGACAATCTAAATTCGAGTCTCACCCCATCGAAGAAATGTTTCACGGCCTAAATCTGTGATATACTTGCGAACGCGCAGACCTTGAAAGGGGCGAGCAGAACGATAAGCGATAAGCGATCAGGAGCGAGGACGAAAAAGAGTGTCGATCAAAACCCAACAAATTGGTTCACTGGGTTTCAGATGCGTCCCTAGTAGTAATAAGAAACTTCGCAGGCGCTGCCCCAGGGATCGAAGTAATATCTTTGTGCTCTCACGATGACCAGACACCCAAGCCAGTATATGCTTAGAAGTTTTGAAGAAAATTACTACAGAGCTTGCCATAATGATAAACGTTCACTAGGACCTACCTACGGTGGACGCGTACCTAGTATCATCTGCGTGTTACGGCACAGCCACAATCTTTTCCCCATGAGTCCCTGCCGTTATGGAGCATTTTATGGGGCCCCCTAGATCCTCTGCCCAGATCGCCTCGTATTTTCCCGAGGCCAGAGTATTCTGGGTACGTTTCAGCACTCAGCTTGCTACATGGGCCTGGTCAGCCCGCCTTCTTGGCCCTGAACGGCTGATTTGCGAAGCGATGGATGTCTCCTTAGGCCCATCCACGTCGGTGCCCCGTGCCCCAAGGCCAAGGGGCCACGTTCATCGTTAACTCGTAATGGCGACCCCTTGCATGCACTTGCCAGTGCCTTTCAGGTTTGCTGCGGCCAGGTATGAGGCGTTACTCTGACAATCGCCCGCTGCGACCATTCCTTACTACCAGGCGCTCACGGCAGGATCCGACCAGGAATGGCCAGCGCTCTTAACTCTCATGCGCAAGAACGTCCTCCTGACACCCTCTTGTCCTACTCATCCACGAGACTCATGCCACACCGACCGATGACAGCTACGAATCAGGGTCATTGAACTGCCGACATGCGAGATCGTTGCTGGGGAGCGGACAAATTTTCCAGATTTGCCCAGTTGAATTCTCGGCCCTGCCTCGCTGGCATTTGGCTGGAAGTGAACTCCGGGCGACTGTTCGTTTCGCGCCATCCACGCTGCAGCAGGATGTGCCCATCACAGCACGTCGATAGAATCGCGTGCTGTGTTCTTGAGGAAAGAGACGCAGGTGCAAGACTATGATAATAGCACTTCCTTCGTCAGGGGTTGCTGCGGATTACTTGGATAAAGGGTCGGCTATGCCTGTACACATTGCTATCATTTAGATGCCCTGGGTAGTCCGTAAGGAAGTAGATACCTAGGTAGATATCTACCTAGGTACTCACGACGGTCTTTGATGTTCTGGTGTTGTTCGCCGAGCCACTTACCACCCCTACATGTATCTGTAGTAGTCAAGATTCCGCAATGAAATCTGAGCCCTCACTGACCACCAACAAGCGAGGAAGATGGCACAGCAGGACTCGTCATGTCAGATGGCGCTATCAAGGATTTCTATCTCGGGGACTGTTGCGAGACGTTGACAGGCACAGCCGGCAGATGGGTTAGTCTTGCGAGAAACCTGTATCAGATAAAGCCAACGGCGGTACTACGTAATCATGACGGGAATCATCACCAATTTTCTAATCTTGCGCCTACTACTAAAATCTTGGATACCTACCTCCTAAAGATACCTACCTGAGGTACTAGGGAGTCTGTCTACAACTTCAAGCTAGCCCTCGACCAGCGATGCCGAAAGTCTTCGGATATTCGTTGGGCGGACCGCTCTCCACTCTCGTTTGGGGTTCCGATGCAGTGCGGCAAGGTTTCCTTCTTCAGGTCAACCTGTTAGAGCCTCTGCTAAGGTCGTAGAAATCCGCCCGTGCCAGTGCACAGGAGATAATCATCAGGGACACATAAACACGGAGCTCGAGTACTGCTGTCAATCTTGGAACGAGAGTGTTTTGTCTACCTCAGCGCATGCATTCGCAGTGTCACGCATGTTACGCATATTCGCCTGCAAATCGCCAAACTGAGAAGGGCGCCCCCTAGACATGGCACCAACATATCACCAAGCTCATTTGAATCATCAAATCCCAAACCTTGAGAGCGCGTTCCAGATAACCTGTTCTCCAGGTACTGACATTTGGGACAAACCCCCTTGCACCCATTCCTTCAATGCACCCATCATATATCAAACCACCACGGTGGGCTCTTTCAGGCGTGCCCAGGTTACGGTATGGGCCAACTGGAAGGACAAGTACGATCAGGGTGGGCTCTGCCTTGTCGTCAAGACAGCCGACACTGTTCGCTGGGTCAAGACGGGGATCGAGTTTTTGGACGGGGAGCCGAACGTGAGCACAGTCGCCAAAGACCACTGGTCGGACTGGAGTCTTAGACCATTGGTCTCGGAGTCAAGCGAGGGTGCAACTGTTGAGATGGAGAATGCAGCTGACGGCAGTCTTTGGGTATGGCTCGTGGACCCCAATGCTCAGAAGTCGCCCTTGAGGGAGGTGACATGGTGGGCAGATCTCGCGAAGGAAACGGAATGCTGGATCGGTGCCTACGCCGCAAAGCCGGCACCGCATGGCGAGAAGGATGATCTCGTGGTCCAATTTGATGAGTTGTCTATCCAGACAAAGCAATGAATCAGTCAGGCAAGCATTATGGAAGACGATGCGGAGGCTACTCGTGCTCGAATGTGTGGAAGATCCTTAGCACGGGAGATGTCGTTGGCATTTGGTTCAAGTTTGTCCAGGAACTCGTTGCATTGGCAGACGTCAGAGCTTGAGGAGAAGCGTGCAGCAGTTCCAGCTCTCGCAAGCGATAGTAGAAAGAATAGCACTCGTTGCAAAAAATGCCTACTCAAGTATATCTCTGCATTGAATGACACAAATGTATCGCTGGTGGGCACGATTGGCAGTGTGGCTTGCTTCGACATGGTAGTAGTGGATCTTATAGTGCACACTGCGAGACGGGCGATTTTTGACGCGTTCGGGACGCGTTTTCGTCGTTGAAGTCCTCCTCAGCCAACAACTTGAACGGTAACTTTAATCAACCCTCCTCTTTTCTGTCCACTTTGCGAAGCCGCCATCATACGTTCACCAGCGCTTCACCAACCTCTGCAGCATTTCATGAGTTCAGTCGTTTCTATCCTCAGCGCCAGCCAATATGCAATGACCATCATGTGGTGAAGTTCCTCCTTACGATGCCTACCCGGCTACGACAGACCGCCACGACGGAGGTCGGGCAGAAAGAGAATGGCTACAATATCCCTGGTCTTCAGTTCGGGGAGACCCTTACCTGGCGCGCTGGGAAACCCATTCCTGTTGCAGAACTCCTTGCCAGACTACAGAAGCTTTCTGCTGAGCTACGGAATTATGATCTTGACGAAGTCGATTCGCGATCGTTCACCACTCTTGCGCAAGACCTTGCCAACCCGAATCTGTTAGGGCATAAAGATAAAGGGGTGCGAGCGTGGACGGTCTCTTGTATTGTGGATGTTCTCAAGATTTGCGCGCCCGATGCGCCATTCCAAGTCGGCCAGCTCAAAGTGAGAATGCGCCCCAGGCTACAGGTGGAGATATACGTCTGACGCTGTTCTTAGGACATCTTTACGGTGACGATCAATTCCATCCTCCCTGCTCTGGCGGATCCGACGAACGCCTACAACGCCCAGCATGTCTACATATTAACTTCTCTCGCCGAGTCGCAAAGTATTCTGTTGGTCACGGACGTACCAAATCATGAGAATCTGATCATCTCCCTGTTCACCACGGCGTTTGATATCGTCTCGGGGTCTGGAAATAATACTTCCGGAGTCGAGGTCTCCAAGAGTGTGGAATACCATTTGAAGAACCTCCTCGCTGCGGTGGTCGATGAAGTGCCTCTGCCCCAAGAGGTCACCGACATCATTATTTCTCAGTTCATGCGGGTTGATGCCAGAAATGCTCAGGATCACATCACAAAGGGTAGAAAGCGAGGAATTCAAGACACCAAGCAGGCTACGTTGCTTCTGAAGGAGTACCCGCCGGCGTATAACATGGCGAAATCCCTTTGCACCACCTGTCCGGAAAAGATGACGGCACAGATTACACACTATTTCGGGACAATCATTGTCGATGCGACAGCTGCAACGACCGCAGCCCCCTTGTCCAAATCCTCGCATCGACGAATGTCGGACCTTGGTGACTCGGACGACGAGCACGAAGGGCTGGCAGATTTGCGGAAAGCTCATCGTCTCTTGCGAGAGTTGTGGAGAGCTTGTCCAGATGTGCTTCTGAACGTCATTCCTCAGGTCGAAGCAGAATTCTCTGCAGACTCACCAGCCTTGCGCCGACTTGCAACGGAGACCATTGGCGACATGACAGCCGGCATAGGCATTGCGGGGCTCCCTCCTTCAAATACTTTAGACCCGGCCGTCTTCCCTTTGCCTTCTCTGGAGGAGGCAGAGCCGGCTCCACAAACCACTAACCCCCTATTGGCGCCTGCTTCGCCGAAACCATTTGCCACCGTGCATGCTTCAGCATATTCGGCATTCTTCGGCCGTCGAAACGACAGAGCCCCAGGTGTTCGTGAAGCGTGGGCCGTAGCTGCCTCTCGGATTCTCTTGACTTCGGCTGGGGCTATTGGACTCAATGACCGAGAATTGCTGGACTTGCTCGCAGGCTTTGCTCAAATGCTCCGAGATCCTGATGAACGCGTTCGCCTGGTCACAATCCAATCTGTCCACGCTTTTAGTTATCATGGCATTTTGAACACGCTTGCTGCGGACGGTGGTCTATCCAAGCCTGGAACGGTGCTCGCGACGATGGTGGAACGAGTCACTGATCGCAAGAATGATGTCAGACAGGAGGCGATAGACCTGCTCGCTCGTATCTGGGGAGTTGCATCAAGAGATGTCGAAAACGGTGTTGAGGTCGTCAAGGCGGCCGTTGGTGACATTCCCGATCGCTTACTCCGCGCCTACTACACCAATGACTTGCATGTCCATGCAGCACTCGACAAGGCTTTGTATGAAAGCTTACTGCCGCTGTCATTTCCTCCAATCAAAGTGCACACATCTCGCACTGAGAGTCAGAAGCCGCGTGCTAAGGACAAGGAGGACAATTCGTCCGAGGGTTCAGCTTCTGATCCAGACGCCATCAGAACGCGCCGGATACTCACATTGGTGCAAAGCCTAGATACGAAGTCCCGCCTGGTCTTCTTCAAATTTCAGACTCGGCAAGTCCAAATGAGTAAAGCCATGACAGTTTTCCTCCAAGCATGTGAGGAGTATAACGGGGGAGTGGTTGAAAATGACCGCGATGAAACGACAATCAAAGACCGACTCACTCGCTATATCGATCACCTCTCCAAGACCTTTCCGGACTCGACGGTCGTTGCAACTGATCTATGGAAGTTTGCAAAGCAGCATAATCGCCGTTGGTACCAGCTGATCAGGTTTGCCATGGGCCCGGAGCACGATTACCGGACGGTCATCAAGGCAATCAAAGAGCTCGGCAAGCGCATTCGTGAGGGCCCGGCCAGTTCGCAGTCTCTTCTCGATACCCTGCAGCCGATCCTGTATCGGTGTGCCTTGATCGTCTATAACCGGAGTCATGTTCCTACAATAATGGAAATATCTCGAAGTGATGAAGCTGGTCTTGGAGAGGTTGCTCATGAAGTCCTCAAAGAGATATCAGCCGGCCACCCGGAAGTTCTCAAATCCCACATCCAGTCACTGTGCAGAGAGCTCGAAGAGAATGCACCCTCCTCCACGAAAGCGGAGGAGCCTGGTATGGCCGAGACGCTGAGAGCATGTGCGGGATTTGCCCGAAAGTATCCTGCAGATGTGCCAGCAGAGCGGAAGTTCCTCACTTCACTGACGCACTTTGCCTTGTTTTCCAAGTCACCTCGGGCCGCAAAACATGCCGTCTCCATAATTCTCCTGATCGCGGACAAGAAGGAGATGTACGCCAAAGATATGCTATCGAAGGCCCTGAAGGATTGCGAACCGGACTCTCCACATTTTCTTGCACGCTTAGCTACGATATCCCAGGTGTGTTTGCTTGCTCCCGCTATTGCAAATCTGCACGCGGACGCGATTCAACTTGTCACTTCAAACGTCCTAGAGAGAAACCGCTCATCTGGCTCTCAAAACGATCCCAACGCCTGGGACGAGCTGCCCGACGACGAAATCCAATCCAAAGAACTGGCTTTGAAGATCCTCGTTAACCGTTGTCGCGCGCAAGACGAGAAGTCTGACGACGACGGATTCGCAAAGTCGGCCAAGGATGCCTTCGACTACCTCATTGCACTAATCAGGAATGAAGGCGAAGTAGCTCCATCAAGAGACACGCCTTCTGCTCAGAAGAATCGTCTGAGGCTAGTTGCTGCGCACTTCATACTCAAGCTATGCAGTCACAAGCGAAAGTGCGAGGAGTTTGTCGACGCTTCCACGTTCATCTCGATAGCTATGATCATGATCAATCCACCCAATCCAGTGCGGACAGGATTCGTCAATGCCCTGAAAAAGTACCTCGGACACAATCGACTCGCTCATCGATGGTTTACCCCTCTCTTCCTCCTCGCCTTTGAACCCGACATCGAACTTCGCACGTCTGTTGTGAATTGGATCAAAGGACGGGTGCAGTTTTTTGCGCGGCAGCAACTGCAGGTTAAATCCGCCGACAAGAAGTTGCACCAAAATGTCATGGAGTCGATTTTCGCTCGTCTCCTGAGCCTCTTGGCTCACCATCCCGACTATCCAAGTCAAGAGAGCGAGGACTTCGACGGGGAGCTGCTAGACTTCTCCAAGTACATCATATTCTACCTGTTCGCGGTCTCCACAGAGGATAATTTGTCCCTCATCTTCCACATCGCACAGCGCGTCAAAGGCGCGAGAGATGGGATCACGGGAACCGAAGAGGCCAGTGAGCGGTTGTACGTGCTTAGTGATCTTTCTCAGGCTGTCATACGGAACTATGCGGACCTCATGCCTGCACATGCAAAGGGGGTCAACCTCCTGCAGACCTGGCCGGGCAACGTGACTTTGCCACGCTCGTTATTCAAGGCTCTACCGAGCCATGAAGCTGCTCAAGAGATTGCCGAGAAAAACTACTTACCAGAAGACGTTGCGACAGGTCTTGAGAAACTGGTTAGGACTTACATCAAGGAATTGAAAGGTGCCAGCCATTCCACCAGGAAGGCTGCAGGTGGGGAGAAGAAGAGAAAGAGTGAGGCTATCGGCTTGGATGATGACGGGGTCGGTGTGGACCGGAAGAAGGTGACCAAAAAGCCCAAGAAATCGACGCTCCCGCTCAGAAAGACCTCGAAACCCAAACAAAGAAGCAGCGAGCCTGCGAGTCCAGAGATGCCGTCTCGAAAGAGTGCGCGCATCTCGAACGCTGTTTCGTACGCCGAGGCCGATAGTGAAGATGACGATGTTGAGATGGCGAAGATGGACGAAATGACGAGCCGTACAGCCTCCGAGCGGAAAAAGAGTGCTAGAATCAAGTCTGATGTTGATGAGGAAGGGGATGAGGGTGACACCCTACAAAGCGAGCTTCATAGCGAGCGAGGTGATGAGACAGATGAGGCAAATGTCTCGGAGGGTTCCGAACATGAAGTTCGTGCGCACGAGGACGATGTGACAGAAAACGGTGGTGTGGGAATCAACGGAGCTGACGTGGAGATGACGGAGGCCGCGGCTTCATCATCACCTTTTAAGGAGCGACCAAATGCTAAAGGGGCTGAGAAGGGCAGAGGCAGAGGACTTAAGACATCCTCTGCAGCGAAACCAACGAGCGCCAAAGAAACGGTCGAGCTGCCAGGACGGCGTACGAGACAGACTCGGAGTACGAGGAGTTGAGCCGGTCGCCGATTAATAGACGCTGTTAATGGTTGACAAAACTGTGCATGAACCTGAGAGCATTAGATGTTTGAACGAAGTCAACGCAGTTACGCCTGACAGGCAATGTATTCAAAGTCCGACGTTCATTGTTTTGTGTGGTGCTCATCGCCTTCTACGTCTCCTGAACTGCTCAGCCTTGTATGACATGGACGAACCTCGGCCGGACCAAAGGTGCTTGGCGGGCGGCACTAGTACAAATTAGGTAACTCTCCAATAGGTAAGGTATAATGCCTGCAAATGTCTCCTAATTTACACTTCAGCCAGCGACCTTCCAGACGCGGTCACCAATCTTCCTGTTGACGGAACTGGGAGCTGGTTACCTTCAGTCGCAGCGAGGACTACAACCCCTTGAATGAGAAGTGGCAGGCAATTCATACTCAAATCATAGGAGATGGGAACAATTAACCAGACATCTAACGACACGCTTTCGCTTTTGCTATCCTGTGAGGAGCCTAGGAGGGGAGCCTGTGATATTGATGATGGACTCGGTCTTGAGTGGCTCCCTCCACCTCGCCCAAATGGCGCTCCAAGAGAATGCGAAGACTATCGTCTCATTCATGGCCATGGCGACGGGATCGTCGTGGATGCTCGATTGCAGTGGATGCAGGATCCGGTCGGCTCGCTTGACTGCTCTAATAACCTGTGGACCACAAGGTCAAGCAGCTTCAACACCACAGGAATGTATTGGGAGGGAACTGTAAGTATTTTACTACATTATCAGCATTGCCGGTTTGGGTTTTCTTCATGGGCGACCTTTCTTGACTGAGGGCCGACAATACAGTCGTGCGCTGTTTTGACCCTATCACAATTTGCTCCTTCCCTGTCCTTCGTGCCATTGTGGCTTGCGTATGAAGTAAGTTGCAAACGCCCACAAGCTCTGACGCACCTTCATACTACATTGGTTGCCCGGATCGAGATCTGTCTCGATTGTTACACTGATCTGTTTGCAGCTTTACTTTTGTCTGTTTGTTGGTCCATAACCACGAAAATGTTCTCTTTGCTGTCATTGACTTCTGCGCGATTGTCGGCCAGTCCTGAGCTCAAACATGGCTTCAACAACCTGCAAACCGACCTCGGTAACAGCTTGATACTATACTACAAACACTTGGAAAACGCACAGTTGTTGATGTCCCTCCTTGCTATTTAGCGGGAAATCTTTTTCTGTCTATGTCTCACTCTTGGTCCCCAATCATCCTCGCAAAGCTCGTGAAAATGAGTCGCTACAATCCCTCCTGGGGCAGGGACAGGGGTCGTGGTAGAGGCTCGGCGCCTGCTGCTACGTCTTCTAGTCTGACACCTACGGCTACTTCATTCTTCCCCCGACAGAATACACAACCTCAAATACCGGACCTCAGTCAACCCATGGCCAGCCTCAACCTTGCTTCAAGTCCGTCTTTGCTTGCAAATTATTTCGAAATCAAACTCGGGAAGTTTCGAGAGCTCTATCGATACGAATTGAGATTTCGAAAGCTCAGCAGAGAAGAGAGCGGCACGACAGCCAACCCAGCCAAGAAGCTACAGACGAAGGGGAAAGGCGAAGGACCTCCAGCACCAAACCCAGCAGGCGATGCTACAATCACTGACGCTGGTATTGGTCGTGCGAAGCAGAGGAGGATTGTATGGCTAGTCATGCAGCACTTACAGCATCTCAATATCGGCAAACCCCTCGCTACAGACTACGGCACCGAGGTTATCAGCACTGACAAGATCAGAGGCGATAAGAACTCGCACACAATAACGATTGAATATTTCGACGAGTATCAACGTGGACCAAGTAATGACTGCGAAGTCTTTGAAGTCACTCTGGAAGGCCCTGCCATTCTCTCCTTGACTCAGCTCATGGAATTTCTCAGCACAAACACTCCCAACGTCAATGCGGCAAACTATCAGAGTAAGGAAGCGACCATCAGAGCTCTCAACACGATCTTCAGCTACAGACCTTACCGAAAATGCTTTGCTAGCCTGACACCCCAGGGGGCCATGCAGGATGCATCCTTAACGACCATCAATGGGAACAAATTCTATGGAATCATGAGAGTCACTGGCGATCAGCCCAATTCCGATACCGGGAAACCTTTGCAGCCCAAACCAAAGGCTGGATTGGATGCTATCGCAGGCTATGCTAGGAGTGTGCGGGCAGTGATCTCACAATGTGGCCAGCTCTATCTCAACATCGACACCGCAACGGCACTGTTCTACCAGCGAACAAGTTCAAACAACCTGCAGGCACTGATCGACGTCTGGAAGACGGGCTACTACCCTCAAGGTTCGTCATGGGATCCATTGATGAGATACTCCCTCATCGACTTTCTGAGAGGCATCCGTGTCAGGACAAATTACCGCGGTGGAAGCGATAACTTGATTGGTAGAGTCACAAATCTCGCCAACACACGCCCACCGAATCAGGTGCCATTCCCAAGAAACTGCCCTATGATCTATCCAGGCTCACAGTCAAACCAAACCGTTGCCAACCACTTTCAAGCTCAGTATCCAGCCTCGGCAGTCAATCAGCGTTCCGAAGACATCGTTGTGGTCCTCGGAGATGGGGCTTTCCAGAAGACCGTCCCAGCATCTTGTCTTGAAGTCATCCCTGGCCAAGTGAATCGAAATGTCACGGAAAAGCCCAAAGCAGGCATCAGAAACCCAATAAGAAACAGAGACATGATCCTACCGGGCGGGCGGGATGTGTTTTTCACTTCCACTGGTGATCAATCAGGTGCCCGCCAGTTTGATTTTGACCTTGCTGCCCAGCTGGTACGAGTGCCAATCGTCAAGCTTGATCATCCAAGTCTCAGGTACCGTCAGCATCGTGATCTTCGAAGTACCCAGACCAATATTCTTCCGGAGAAACGATCTAACCCTGGTGACGTTGCGATGAAATATGGCGCCTGGAATCTCAAGGACAGATCATTTTTCAAACCTGCCAGCAGCTTCAATTGGACTTACATTGAACTCACTCTCACGAATGGCCATGCATGCAGCCGAGACTCAATGACAGCCTTTGGAAATGGCCTAATGGAACAATTAAAGAAGGTGGGCATGACACATGCGCAACTCGTCGGGCTTGATAACCACCAGCGCTCACTGGGGCGAACACAAATTGCAAAAGCGCATGACGAAGCAGGCATTCGGCAGCAACACGAGGCAATCAGGAAGGTCCTCATAGATCTGAAAGCGAGACACAAGCTCCGACTCGTGGTCCTCGTCCTCCCGAGTAATGATGCGGAGCTCTACAGTGCCATTAAACGTGCCGGAGATCAAGATGTTGGCATATCGACCATTTGCCACGTACGGTTTTGGGAAAACTCGAAGAGCAGTAACGTCCCCAGGAGCACGCAGGACTTCCTCGGCAATCTGACCATGAAGGTGAATCTGAAGATGGACTTTTCAGCAGTCAACCAGGCACTCGACGCAAACGCAAAAGCACCGATCCTCACCAACGCCACAATGCTCCTAGGCATCGATGTCACGCACCCAGGCTCGACAGCCATGAAAGGAGCCCCGAGCGTGGCTGCCGTGGTGGGTAGCGTGGACGAGGAATTCGCCCAGTGGCCCGCAAGTCTGCACGTCAACGACGTGCAGAAGGACGGCCAAAAGGAATCCAACGAAAGAGTAGTCCATCTCGCCAAAATGGTCTACGAACGACTCCACGACTACTACAGCCGCAACTCCAAAGTTCCCGACAAGATCATCGTCTACAGGGACGGGCTCTCAGAGGGCCAGTTCGAAATGTGCAAGACGATGGAACTGCCAGCCATCCGAGCGGGAGTGAGCCAGTTGTTGGAACAACTGCGCATGCCGAGTCGGACCAACAACTTCAAGATGCCGCCCATCATCTTGATCTGTGCCGTCAAGCGGCACCACACCCGTCTATTTCCCGTGGACAACGCACAAAATGACAGTCTTCTTATCGGACACGGCGGGATCCCGAGACGGAATAATGCCTCTTACAACCACAATCCCCTCCCAGGTACCCTCGTCAACAGCCACATAACGTACGGAGAGAACAAGGATTTCTTCCTGATCAGCCAGAAGGCCATTCAAGGCACGGCGCGGCCCACGCACTACGTGATCCTCGAGAACGAGACTTCGTTTGACCAAAACCAGATCGCCCGCATGACGCATAATCTGTGCTATCTGTTCGGTCGAGCCACCCGGTCCGTCGGCGTCTGTCCGGCGGCGTACTATGCGGATCTGGCGGCCGATCGGGCTCGATGTTATGTGCGGAACGTCTACAGTCCTGTCAACAGAATCCCGTATGAGGCGGGTCAGCATGCATTCAATCTTCATATTCACGAGGATCTGAAGAAGACTATGTTCTATATCTGAGCAGGTGCATTTGATTTTTGGCTGTCATTTTCGATATCTCGCTGTGGTTTCATCCCTAAGGTGGCGCTTGGTAATGTTTCGTCTTTTGTCCTTTTGTGCCTGTTTCATTTCTGGACCGAGCATGTCGAGCTATGTCGAGTGTGCTGGTTTTCCTCTTGTTATGGTTGGGATTGGACCTCTCAGCTCGGATGCGTGTTTGAATTTTTGGCGGTTGAATATCGACCGGCACTATGGAACGAGACGCGTGCAGACTAGAATGCAGAGGCGTCAAGATGAGAAGGGGGAAGGTAGGAAAAGAGAGTGCTTGGGACGAAGTCTAGTTTTTCTTTCTATTTGGGTATTGGTCTCGGTTTGTATTCGGGCGACAGTTAGATGATAACATGTATGCAGTATGCTTTTTGCCTGAACTCGGTCTTTGTACTTGACGGCGTGGAATCGTATCATGATTATCTTGCAAGGTCAGTAACAACATGAATGAAAGAAAACAAAAGGAAAACAAAGCCAGGTTGATAATCAAATCGCGGTCATGTTTATCGTTCACAATGGAGAGCTGCCGAGTGGATATTACTGAGTAGTCTGTCTTATGTCTATTCATGTGATAACTCCAAAAGTATATTCAGTCTTGTATACTCCGTAGCATCGCCACACTGCCTATATTCCTGATAATCCTCGACTATACCTACCAAATAGGATCACCATAGATAATATATGGCATTGTAACTGTGTACAGTTGTGGATACTGCAAACTGTAACTGCAGATTGAAAGTCTGGGATGGGAAGCCAAAAGTCAAGCAAAGCATGGATGGTCCATGGAGAGGAAGATGTCTTTAAGGAGCGAGAAACTCGAAGATGTGTTGACAGATGCTCTCTCTTGTAATTCTAAATAGTGCACATTGATGAAATCGAGGAAAGCGTCTTATCCGTCTGTCTGTCACCAGCCTGAAGACCCAAGAGTCGATATGAAAAGAGATGAACAGTCTAAAGAGTATTCATTATGACAACGGTGCTGGTCAACTACTGATGTCAAGCCGAACGCCCATAAGTACAAACCCATTCAGATCTCAACCGGAACCTAACTTGGATGGCACATCTACACCTCAAAAACATCCTCGCCAACCATTTCCCGCACCAACCTCACCCACTTCCTTACATCGTTCTCCACTTCCTCATCATCGTCCTCCAGACTCTCATTGACATAGACCATGGTCTCACCACTGCCGCCGACGCCTTCCGTACTCGTCCCGACGACGACATTGTTGACCCACTCCTCGCCGACGTCTTCGGCCTGCGTGAGCGCGAGATGCGTCCGGATCGCAGCCAACCGGACCCCGGCCGACGGGTTGTGACGCAACTGACACAGTCCGTGGTTCAGGGCGTGGTGGTGCGCAGGGGTGTCGACGGTGGCAGTCGCAAGAGCCACAATGGTCGGAATGACATGACTGAACACAGCCAGACGTATTGGTTTCATCTTGGATGACTTCGAGGACGATGCCAGTGTGAGTTGCGATATGAGCAGGGAAGATAGGGGTGAGAAATGAGACGGTGCAGCGAAGAAGGTGTCTGCGTCGTGGAGCATGGCTGTTGAGAGGAGTGATAGGGTCGATTTGTATAGGGTGAGTGTTTCGTCTGGGATGGTAGTAGTAGTAGGAGTACTACCAGTTCCAGCCCCAGACCCATTACCAGACCCAGTTCGATGACCAGGTTTGTTGGACTCAACCATGCGTCGGAGGACTTCGTTGGCAGCATCGAGAATGTAACTGGCGTACGAGGTTACGATGCTCTTGAGTGTGGCGAAGAAATGGCGGCCCAGGTTGAACAGACTTGTCTGTCGTGCGGTCTTTGCTGCGTCGGTGTACTCTACCCCAGAAGCGGCCAGGTCGGGTGCTTTCAGTGCCCAGTCGACCCAGGTCTCGAATAGAGGACGGAACGCCGAGTCGTTCAGCTTGTAGATGAAGGTGATGCTGACGGCGTGCAATTTTGATTCGATGGCGTCGATGTCCTCGAGAGACATCTTGGTTTCTGGACCAGAAGTGCCGCTTGGCAAAGTCAAAGACAGATGGCGCAGATCCAAAATCTGTAGCATGAATGTGGATATGGTCTCTGCCGCACGCACGACGTTGGATTTGGAATTGTGCTCGATGGCCTGGGACAGGAGATCCAAGTATTCGGTGACAGCTCTGACGTCGACGTCGTTGTTGGCTGACACGGCTTTCCACGCCTCAGTCAGACTCGTCGCGATTGTGTTCAAGTCGACTTTCTGAGCGAGGAGGGTCAGAGTCTCCATTCGGGACTCCTTGGACGAAGCATCCATGTCGGCTAGACACGAGTAGTATGAAAGCCCTAAGATCTCTATCACGTTCTCGTCCGAGACCATGAATGGCACGTGGGACAGGAAGGACGAAATCAGCGTGAAACTTGCGTTATGCAGTTCTTCGTTCCTGCTGTCTTCTCCAAGACTCTGCTTCAGAAGACCAAGGACTTTAGGCATCGCTTGAGGCACGATCGGGACCGCCGCTTCCTTGAGGACTTCCATCATGGATGCCACGCAGAGCAATGACATGATTTGTGTCCTTGAATCTTTGGAACTCAAGCCATGATCTCCGCCGATCAGGGTTGTTGAGGCCGACAATATTGTTTCTGGGCTCTTGCGTCCATATACCTCCACGATCCGGTCTAGGGCAGCGATGGCCGCCTGTCGGAATGTTTCATCTGAGGTTGTCCGGATGATGGACTCGACTGTCGGTAGGAAGTTCATGGCTTCGGTCTGAGTCTTGCTGTCTTTGGCGGGATTATGCTGGAATTGGGCGGCCAGAATCCTTAGTGCGAGAGGAGGCAGCTCCTGATCCTCCACATGCTCCATCTCTCCGAGAAGGGTCGGCATGATACGCAGGAGCTCGGCAAGCGAAGGCAGTCCGAGCAGTGCAGTAAGACATTTCCTTGTGGAGGAAGCCAGAGATGATTGATGGCCCCTCTGGTTCTTGAGCATGACCAGCACATCCTGCAAGCAGATCTTGTATTCCGCCCAGAACGCTTCGGCATCAGTTTCATCGACCTTCCGAAGTTTCTTCACTTGTGCTTTCAACCCCTTCGTCTCAAGTAACTTGGACGCCGTCTCGAGCAGAACCACAGCAGCATGTTCTTTCTTGTCGGCTTTGGTCGATTTGGTAATATCCAGGAGCGGCTCTGCATTGTGGGGACGGTTGCTGAAGATGTCTCGGGTCAGCGCAAGGATCTTTCGATGCGTCAAGAGCTGAGACGTCGCAGGTAGGCCTGCAGTCAGGACTGACAAGAAGGACGACGTATCCTCTTGAGGCCTTCTGGTTGCGAGTAAAGCAATGATTGCAAAGGCAAAATCATTGGCTCCAAGCCGGTCCAACAGTCTCGTGTAGAACGCAACCCGTCGATGTTGTGGGATATGATCGAAAGCGGTGACGAAACTCGATAGTAGACTGGACGTGGCGTGGACTAGATTGTTGGCATCTTGCCTTTTGAGGGTGCCTACCAGAGGAGGAATGATTTGGTCGATTGCTTGATTGATAACATAGACCGACCGCTCATCATCCCTTGACAGAATACCGGTGCCCATGAATGTGAAGATAGGCATGACGGTGTGCAAGATGCGATCTGGGGCTATCGAGGCCAGAGAGGCCAACAGCAGCAGAGCCGTGGCCTGGACTTGTGGATTCTCCGTTGATCGAACACAATCGGTAACGAGATCAGCACGAATACTCGACATGTCGATGTTGGGTTTCCGTGCTTCTCGTGCCTTGTCGACAATGGCCAAAATGCTACCCAGACACAGGGTGAGTAGATAAGGAGATTCGGCCGTGCTTTTCTCCTTAAGTCTTCTCAGGTTGATCAGCATTTCAAACAGACTCCCCAGCAGCTGAGGGTGTGTCTCTGGTTTTGAATCTTCGACCAGCTCGAGCGCCAGAGACAATCTGGAATCGGCAACGTCCAATTGAACAACCATGTCTTCCGGTATGCTTTCGCGACCGTGGCTGACCCTCCGTCGTTTCTTCGGTGGTACCTCAATTTGCATCTGAGCAAGTCCAGAGCATGCGTGGTCGAGTAAGGTGGCAAGAACATCAGTCGCGAGGGTAGCAGAACGCAGGACTTGCTGGCTTCCGGCTGCGATAGCCTCATTATCGGAGAAAGACATATCGAAAAGCATTGTCGCTGCTGTAATCTGGGAGTCATGTCGTATGTCTTTCCAGATCGTGGCAATCCGCTCAAAAATGGCCCTGACGAGGTCAGGTCTGAGAGTCGATTTCTCTCGGTCAAGAGTCTCGAGAACGTGTTGGACTCCTTCCTTGTCATGGGCATTGATCAGCCGCACTAACGTCGAATCTATCTGCGCCACACTGAAACCTTCCGAAGCCGCAGAAGAAGCGGCGTCGTCTTCCCCTAGCGATGCCCATTGTCGGAGAAGCGGTTGGAGCACTTTACTTGTGCTGGTACTGCCGACTTTCGGAACCCCAATGAGGAGGTCCACAACGCCTGATTGCACCTTGAGCAGAGGGTTACCCAAGGCACAGCCGGTCAACAGCTCGAAGAGATCTTGCTTCAATGATTTCTTCAACTCGACATTGACCACCTTTGAGCCGACCGAGGAGGAGCGTGACTGACTGTCAATAGCATTCTCCAAGACCCTGCGGATGTGAGAGGCATCGAGGATACATTCTTCCAAGTGAGGCAGAAATATTTGTGTAAGGAGCTTTTTGGCTTGAGACGAAGGCACTCGCTTGACGTTCGTCATCGCCACAGCGTCATATAGCGTGTCCTGGTCCTTCTCATGGTCGTTGCCTCCATCAAGACTTTTGTCAATGCATTTCTGAACAGTAAGGAGGCAAGCAGATGCAGCTCGCCGTATCGACTGGGCGGGCTCGGCGAGTAAAAGAGCCAAGTATGGTATGAGTAACTGAGTGTCTTGTCGAGACCCTCGTTCGAGAAGTTTGGACAGGAAATGTAGAGCTGCGGAGCGTTGTGAGTAGGAACTGGCGCTACAAGCAAGTCTCAATAGAAAACTCGTAAGGAGATCGGAAGGCTTGTCGATTTGCTGTCGCCAGACTGTCAGTCCCTCAAATTTCTTCATGGCAGACTCTTTCCTGTAACAGAGCCCAAAAACCTGAAGGAGCTGATCGAACAATGGATCGCGCTTGTGGGTCAGGAATGACGATTCGGTAGGTTCGCTGGGCAGAGCAGCCAACATAGAGTCAATGGAATCATCATCAGACTCTGATAGACCTCCAACCTTGTCAATATCCATCGGAGCCGGCTCGAGAAGTTTTGGGCCTTCCACCGCCTCAATAGTTCCCTCAATGAGAGACTCGACATCCGCCGATGCCATGCCAGCCAGGGTCACTGCATGGGATAAAGCGGAAGAAAAGGTAGGCGTGTCGTTCAGTCTCTGTAGGATTCGAATTATTCTTTCTCTGATTGCAGACTCCAATGGTCTTGCTGCAGTGGCTTTCGGCAGTCTCCGCAGCAGGGCGGCGAGGCAGCGTGATGTAGTTGCTGGTTCCACGAGCTTGGGACTCATATCGAATAACATCTCCACGAAAGCGAACCTAGATGATATATTGGACTCTTTCAGACCCGCGAGCGCCGAATTGACCAGTGATTCGCAGAATCCATCTACAGGCACCTTCCCCCGAAGCTCAAGCAAGTGGGCGTCCAGATGGCGTATTTTCAACAAGACCTCGAGCACGTCTCTAGTGACTTTGCGTTCGCTTTTTTTCGAGTCCAAAACGCACAGACAGGCCAGGGCTGTGGGTGTGTCAATGGCGCTGTTCGTGAGGAAAGGCGCAACGTCCCTGGTGATTGAGTCTATCACACGATCTTCAAGGTCCGAGTTGCTTGCCAGCACAAGCGCAATCGTGAAGCATGTGAGAGTCATTTCGTGACAGTCATGGATCTCAAGACCTTCGCTCAGAACAGGTAGAATCTTCAAGAGAGCATCTTCCAACCGTTGCCTCTGGACCTCTTTTCTCCCGCTCTTGACTTGGTTCAACCTGCCACTGATGGCTTCGATGACGACGCTGCCCCAGAAGCGCATAAGTTGAGGGTGATCCGCTCCATCTTGACAGACGCGAATAGTATGGTTGTTCAGGAACGAGAAAAATGCATCATTGTGGACGGCGGTATACACAACTGCATGTCGGGGTACATTGGCCGCGATCTTGTGATATGGCCCGAGGAACTTCCACTCGTTGGTGATCTTGTTTGCGGGAATGATACTCAAAACATTTCGAAAGACAGGTGCCTCGTGGTAGGGAAGAAATGTCGCAAGAAGAGCGCCGGTGTCGTAGACATGGACTCGGAATCTCCTGACCAGCCACTCCACAGCCCTGATTCCTGGACGCAGCAGGACTTTGGATCCGAGCAGTGACAAACAGCGCTCGAGAACAAGCCCCAGAGCCTCATTCTGTGACTTGCTCATCTGCTCCCTGTCCTGATCTTTGGACTGCGGACTGTAGAGATTGTGTTCGAATTCGCGAAGCCTGGTGTCCAACAAACACAGCTCTTGAAACCCTTCCACGCATATTTGGTATATTGTCTCCCAGTCCTGTTTGACAGCGATCACTCGGTCGAAAATGAGGGATTCGGCATGTGCCTCTCGACGGGCACGCAAGTCTAATTCATTGGTAGAGTTTGCAGCGATCGTGCGCAACTGCGCGGCGAAGGCAGAGGTCATGGCAGCCGTGGATGCTGCGAAGGGGAGGATTATAAGTTCATCAATTGCGAGAGGATACGTCCCGCGCCATGTGAAATGTCTGACCAGGAGGTTGTGAACGTTGCCAGTCGCCGGATGTTGCAAGAACTCGCCTCGTATGAATGTCGCAGTTCAAGTTGCCGACAACAGAAAGTTCCCGCCGCCGAAAAAAGTTTTGGAGCCGGGAGGAAAGTTGCCCGGAGTTTATCTCGGACATAACTAGCGCCAAGTCTCGAGTCATGTATCGGACATGAATCAAGGCATATGAATCGGGTGTCGACAGCCTTGCACCAGCAACTACACAGTAGAGGTATACAGAGCATAGTACATAGTACATAGCAGTAGTCGTCAATAAGTGGTGGTCGACCAGTTGTGGAAGAGCGTGTTCGATGATATACTCCGTGTAAATTATATGGATGGTATTAGAATTGCTCTGATAAATCCACGTGGAGCCTCAGGCCCCGATCTTGCATGCTTTCGTAGACCTGCTTGAGGCCCTGATGGCCCAGGCTGTTCCTAAGAGTCTGCTGAGTAAATGCCAGCATGTACAGCTCTTTGGACCAAGGACATGCCCGCAACGAAGAATAGAACACATCTGTCACCATCTGGAGACCGTGACGCTTCTTGGCTTCGGCGGCTGTCATTCTTTGTCCGATGTCGCTCTTTTCGCCCGAAACAACAGAAAGTTCCCACATCATGTATGCCTTCCAGACGAACACACAATGATAACCCACCTCCGACTGGTCAGTGGCTCTTCTGAAAGCAGAGCGGATGCTGTGGTTCGTACTTCCCGCATAAGAAGGTCTGCCCAGCTCCGTTGAGAGACCGAAGATGCAGGGTATGACACTGTCAGTTACCCGGTGATTTCGCTGCGTGGCTTGAGCGCGAGAGTCGGCCTGGCGCAACCTGTCGAAAAGCCCGGACTTTTGGGCATAGTGGTGTTGCAACATTAGAAGAAAACTATTGTCAGGGAACGCTCGAACCGACTCAGTCAATACCAGGCAGAACTCTTTGGGCTTATAAGGCTTGCCAAACGTTGTTGCATGAGAGTGGAGGAGACGGGCCCGGTTCTCATGAATTGCTTCTACCCCAGCAGTATCCCAGGCCCCTCTTCCCACAATCGCTTCCAAGCAGTGCTCATATATTTCCAAGGCAGCCTCTGGACTCAACCCTCGAGTGAGGTACCGTTGAAGGGCCAAGACATCGACCAGGTCTGGGAGCAGCCGGGTATCAAGCTTGGAGAGGAGTGATTCGAATTGATTTTGGAGGTATTGTTCAGTCTTGATCCGTATGGCAATTGACTGTGCATGGTCGCCCGGTACAACGGTTTGTAACTTGCTTACGTCAACTTGCCTGTCCGTCAACATACCCAACAATACCTCTGCCTCATGATACCTGTTGCGAGTCATGTACGAGTATACCCAAGCACGCCAGAGGGGAGAGACTGCGTTCTCAGCGTCTGGTCCAAGAGAGGCACGCATGGATGTTGCGGTGGACCACACCCGCTCCGCAGCTTCGAAGTTGCCTAGTCGATACTCGAGAACGGCATATGTGTTGTAAAGAGGGAGACTATCAGGATTTTGCTTGAGGAACACTTTGGCCTGCTTTTTGGCAGATTTCAGGTCCAGACAAGCTTCCATAGCAATGGCGTAGCCAGCAAGTGACTCGTCACACCCTCCACGACGCGGACTTGTGGACGCTTGCAGAAGAAACCGGCGTACAAAGTCAAGATGCAATTCTGCTAGTGTTCGTGGGCGTGACAAGTCACCAAGAGGGGACGAGGAGTTGCCTCCAGAGAAAGATTCTCGCATATGGAATTGATCCCCATGCCGCTCGATAGACATTCGCCAGTCCGGTACAGAGTAAGAGTGGTCGTAAACAAATGGATCTCCCTTCCAATTGCGAGTCTCTGGAAGTGTAGAGAGCGCAGGAAGACCGGCAAAGAGCAAAAAGGCGTCTTGAAGCATCCTCAAGCCTTCTTGGGTACCGGGCGTGAACAGAAAGTCCTTGATGTCTGCAAAGAGAAGAACTCGATACGGATCTGCTTCACTCACGTCATCCAAAGAACGGGCTGGCAATCCTGCACAACGGCCCAGATCATTTTCAGCTGCTCCCCAGGCGGCAAAATCGAGTGTAGGCGTATGAGGGTTCTGTTTGTCGGACTTTGCATCAAGTTCTGCACTCGTCATGGAGCTCCAGCCAGTAGCCCCTTCTTCGCCAATTCGTGCGACCTCACTCGCCCAGAACTGGTGAAAAGATTCAAGGGGTTCCTCCGACGTTGAATTCTGGGGACGAAATAGATTGTACTCGAAAAGAGCTTGCCAGATTCCGACGGCCTGTTCGGTGAAGCCGGACTGCCATAGGTACAGGGTACAGCGCAGAAGAAGGTAGATACAGTGTGAATCTCTTCTGCGTTCTACCTCCACATCCTGGAAATTCTTGAGACATGTCTTGTATATCCCCAGACAGGTTTCGAATGTAAACCTGACTTGGTTGCTCTGCATGAAATTCAGGTATAGAATCCAAAGATCAAAGGAGGAGTCCTTGTTGAGGAAAGTTCGCCACTGAGAAGCCTGTTTTTCCGCGTCCCAGATCTTGCTCCCTTCTTGCATCATACCCAGGATGAGGGTCTGGCGGCCTTCAGGATCTTTTACGTGGGATAGCGCTTGCTCGTAGAGGGACAATCTCAGGTCGATGAGGCTTCGACCTGATGTCATGCCGAGACCTCGAGAGCCGTGTTCATAGCCAAAAGATGTCTGCTGATAGTCAATGAAAGCGAGCCAGACTCTGAAATCCTGCGGGGTTTCTACGGTGGCTCTCGAGAGCTCCATGTGCCGTTGATGGACAGGGTCTTTTTTGAACGTTTCGAAAGGATCTTCTGTTTCTGAAGTGTTTTCAGGATCCAAGCTCGTGGAGGATTCTCCCTCTGACTCTGAGAGACCTTCGTCAAGCCGCGTGCCAGTCCTCTTCCTTTTCCTTGAGTGTCCGTGCTCGAATCTCAGGAAGCCCTTTTGTAGATCATCCAGATTGTTCGCGGCTGGAATAGGTCTGACAGTCGCTGAATCGTCGTTGACCATATTTGAGAGAAGAGACTGCCTCCGTGTCCTTCGCGTTGAATCAAGCTCCACGTTTTCCACTTCATACCGCGTTTCCGTCCGCCGAGTAATGCGATACTTTGGACCGAGACCCAGGACAGCACCACCTCCACAGGCTCGGTATCGCGGAACAGCATAGCGATCTAATGACCCATAAGCTAGATTTTGGCGGTCTCCTTTGCGGTCTTCGACAAACAGAGACGTCGCGTCACGTCGATGTGCATCTGGACCAGGCTTATGGGGTTGACTCGACCATTGCGGCGTATTGGTAGCGGACGGAAGATGATGTGGCGTCTTTCGCCGGGCCCCGGGACTATCGTGCTTGAATGAGCGCATTTCGAGACATTTGACCTACCAACGGCACGCGCCAACTTTCAATGAGATGCTGGAAATGATTGCCTGAACGGACAGAAAAGGCATAGTGTTAACAAACGATGAAACCGCGGCTTACAGTCATCCATTAACCGGTTTGCTGCGATACGGACGTCGTTGATGTCGAATTCGAATGACGCGAGAGCGAACATGGGATTCGAGCTTCAAGGCTGAAGTTCAACTTGAAGTGGAACTGATGCCAAGAGGCAGTTCACGGTCACGTGCAGCGCAGATACAATTCCTTCTCCGCGGGCCATTGCAGTGGCGCCACCCACCCATGGCCCCCGTGGCACCCACAGAGGGGTTAAGGATTTGATGTACAAAGCCCTGTAGTTACCTGACGATGAGAACGCTGCTGAGAGACAATACAAGTAAGACAACTTTAGCTTTGCAGTCAGTGTCATCACCCTCAGTTGTGTCAAGAGGCCTAGGGAGTGCCGATACTCAAAACTGGCTTATGGGCATGGGGTGCCTGCTCTTATAAAACGGTTGCCCAAAAGGACTCTCCAGGTGACCCCCCTTTGGGCTCCTCTAGCCTCCTCTAGGCTATCTTACGGCCCAACGCCACCCAACGCCGACCACTATGTGCCGCCCACGATTACTTTAGGGGAGATCATTGGGTAAAGCCCTTCCCCGTCCCCTTCGGATACCTCCCCCCGAAGTGGTGCGTGGGGGATTCCGCAGCCGCAGCCGCAGCCGCAGTTGGTCCTAAGATCCTGCGATCTTCAAGACTAATAAATCGAAAAATCAGATTCGATATGCACATCTTGCGCGCCTCCCATCCGGGGCACCTTTCTTGGGTTTCACGGTACTTGCCACTAGCTCTGAATGCTGCCATTCCTTCTCAGCCCGACGAACATTTTGCGTCCCTCATTACCGCCGTTCCCATTCGATGGATACTCCTCCTATGAAACGGTCGTCTCCCTCCGTTGAGCGTGGCCCTCCCTCGAAACGGATCAAGACCCTCCCCGAAGAGCCTGCGCAATACAGCGATGCTGTGCGCAAAAAGCTCGCCGCCACCTCCCGGACGGGGCAGGCCTGCGATCGATGTAAAGAAAGAAAGATGAAATGCGACACAGACCCTATGGCTTGCCAACCCTGTCGACAAAAGGGCCTCCGCTGCTACACCACCGACCGTGTCACTGGACAAGCCAGGGAAAGAGGCGAGATCAATCGCGCGGAGAACGAGCTACTTTTCTTGAGAGAGCAGTTGGTTGCATACCAGCATCGATACGGGCCTTTGCAGCGAGTCGATGTGAAAGATGCCGTGCCCGTGACGCCAAAGGAGTCTCCTCCTGTTGTCACGCCACATCCTACAGCGTCTGTCCCTGATGCACGCTATGTCGGTTGGCCGGCGCCAGATCACTCGGAACCACTGCGCTCTGGTCCCGTCAAGGGTTCGATGGTCGACATCATGGACGGGACCATTGATATAGCGGACTGGGAATGTGAAATGATGAGGGAATACCCGCCAACCACGAGAAACAGGTTCAATCTTTCCAGGACATCCATCACCAACACAATCGCCGGATACCAACGGGTAGAAGACCCGAAATTACCTCTCAGAGAAGAAGCCGTGCGTGATGCCAATCATTTTCTCGTGATCATGTCGCAATATGTCCCAATCGTCCATCGACCCAGTTTCTTGGAACTGGTACAAAAATTCTACGACCAGCCGACCCTGACGACGACGGCCGAGCGGGTGCAGGTGGTCATGGTGTTTGCCATCATTGCCCACCAGACGGCGGTGCGAAATCATTATCATTCGGCTGAGAAATTCGAGGACTCGCATCGTTATTTACACTACGCCTTAGGGTCATACCGGGAGTTATGGCACGACCGGTCACTTGCTTCGATGCAAGCCATGGCGTTGATCATCTTGCATTTCCGCAATCTTCCAAAGCCCGGTGTATCGTGGACATACAGCCACAAAGTCCTCGTGCGGGCCATTGAACTGGAATACCACCGGGATCCTGACAAGATCCGCCTTCCCGAGGGCGAGAGAGACGCGCTTTCAAAGGAACTCCGAAAGAGGGTGTTCCACTCCATTTTGGGTATTTGTGTGACCACCGGCTGCAGGGTGGGTTTGCCGGCGCCATGGCAGTTCCAGCATATCGACCTTCCTCTTCCCAAACCGCTCAAGGACTCGGAATTGTCCAAGGAAGGCATTGCTTCGCGGCTGTCAGGTCATTGCGATTTCTGGCCTTGTATTCACCTTGCGAAGCTTCTTCCGTTGCTCACAGAGCTTCATAATAACATAATCTCTGTGAGGAAGCCTGCGGCAGATTACCTGCGCACCGTGAGCGCCCTAAACGCGAAGATCATTGCGTGGAGGCAAGACTGGGATGAGTCGATCAAAGGTGAAAACAAGCATGTCAATTTGACCGTGGCCACTCATCTCATGGAGACATGGGCAGCAGAATACCAGCTGAACCTCCATCACCCAGTCTGTTGCACGAGCGACGATCCTGAAGTGATGGACCGGCACCTGGACATATGCCACAAGTCGGCCAAGCGGCTCTTACAGACCTTCCACATCCTCTCAAGCAAGTACAAGGGCGTGGACTTTACATGGCACTCGACCTTGGCCTATGCCACCGGCTTCGGCATTACACTGCATGTCTACAGGCAGCGGAAGACGTTGCTGACCATGGAACAATTCGAGGCCATGAGGAACGAGCTGAAAGGTTGGATCTCCCTCATGGCCTATGCGGATTTAGTATTGAGTAAGTCAAAACTGGTCGAGTCTCTGGATAAATGACCGACGGGGGCAAAAAAGGAGAAACTCCAACTGACACTGTCTCACAGGGACCGGCAACCATCTGCAGCGACTGTTCCAGCCTCGCGTCCAAGCTCTTGAGGAAGAATACCGAAGACTCATGGTCGATGCGGCTCCCAAACCTCCGAACAGTTTACATCCACAAACCTTCGTTCCTATCAACGGATCCGGCATTTCACTGCAACAGCACAAGATCGAACCGTCCAACCATAAACCGAGTCTGGATGTCACGAATTCGCATTCGCATTCGCGGCATGAGAAGACCCTCCCTCAGCCCATCTTCATGCACGCCCAGGTTCGGACGCAAAGTCAGCCACAGTCCCCGTCCACCCCTCACCCGCCACAGCAGCAATGGCCTCTGTCGCTTCCATTCCTACCACAGCCGCAACAAATGAACCCAGGACAACATCAAGGACGGACAACACCAGTAGCAGCAGTAAATCCTATAACGCCAATCTATCCCGCCTTCGCCATCTCCCCTGCGAATGGACTGGCCACGCTCGCTTCTCCGGTTCAGTCGATTCCGACGTCCTTGGCCTCGCTGCTCAACAATTCAGGTAGCATGTACGTCAGCTACCCAACACCGTCGCAGACTCAAAATGGACTTGGCCTCGGAAGCGGCGGCGGCGGTGACGATCCAATGATGAATTTCTCGCCAGGCCATTACTTCGATGGTCCGGGTCCTACGGGCTGGCCGCTGATTACGATGCCGCCTGGCCCGCAATCATAGCTTCTCCTTTCAATAAGCTATGATTTGGACCCTGCAAGTCCAAAAAGCTTTTTGTGAAGCTGTTCAGTTATTTGCCGTTAACTACAAGATCGATTCCGCGCATGGTGTATATGTTGCTGGCATGGGTGTTTGGATGTCCAGGTACGGTCCCAATGCTTGATGATGGGAGTCGAAAAGCGCAGGAGTTTCTGGTGGTGCATATAATATACGCCTACGCTTATATTTGAGCACTGTCTGATCATTGAGACCACCGACCCGTGTTTGCGTATCATGTATAGGGTATCCAGCCTTCTTTGGGATGCAACGGTGGTAGGTCGGTCGGTACATACATATGGGATTGAGGGCTGTCCCTGACGGGGCGGAGACCCCGTCCAAAGAACACAAATCTTAGTCTACCATCTGATCATGTTCCCATGCCTGAGATCCTCGCAGTTGATGTATATTCGACTTCTATCGAAGCTCCGGCACTCGTCTCGTGGTGATGTCTCGCAAAAGACTCTTTTCCTTTCAACCCAACACGTTCTTGACCACCTGGGCAAACGTGGTATTCAGACCACTGCCATCGATCACTTGCCCAGTGACTTCCTGATACGCGCCATCCCAGAAGATGGCGCCGGCCAAATTCGGCAACGCCAGGGTCTTGACGCGCTGCAGGATCCCCTTGTACGTGGCGACGTCGACGAAGCCGCTGCCTGCGCCGGGGAAGGCCGGGGTGCCGATCAGCAGACGCGGCGCGGTGATTCCGTTGTGGGTATTGACGAAGCTGGATGAGGGGCCGGTAAGTGGTTGGCGTTTGGGCCGGATGCGCATGCTGTGTTCTCTCACGTCCGTGAGGTCTCGGGAACCCGGGGGGTGAGTTCCTGAGCCGGTGGGCGTGACCGTGGCCCCGTCCAGGGCGAGTAAGTCGTCCGACCAGGCCTGGAGTGACGTGAAGAATCCTTGATCTGTGCTGCTCAATTGGCAGGATGGGTTGTTGTAGAACTGGACGCTGAAGAAGTCGATGTAGTTCAGCAGCTGGGGCACGGGGATCGATGCATCGGGTCTTGGGCATTGTGGTGCCGCGGACAGGTAGTATGGTTTCGAAGAGTCACTGGCGAAGAGCTGGCGGAGCGTTGAAGCTAATATTGGCAGAAGGGATGAGTCGGATGGAGTTTCGTTGTCTGGAACAGAATCTGGGTCAGTAAACTCTGGTCACACCCTGACGCAATGAACAATGCAACAGATATAAGGGGTGAAGCAGTGATGCTAGTTCTTCTTCTGCCACCGCTAGCTTCTGGGCTTACCGATATCTATACCGTCCAGAACGACGTTCCCGTAGGGTCGGAGAGGTTGCGAATTGGGATCAGAGCCTCCCAGGAACAGATTCCAGAGCATATGTGCGGCCTCGACGGCCCTGCTTTCGTCCGCCATGCTCAGATAACCATAGTATCCGCCGAGGCTGAGCAGGACTTTCTTGCCCTTGTTCTGACACCTAGCAACCTTGTTGGCGAAACCATCTCCCACACAATCCAGCAGTTTGGTGGCTCCGGCGGCTTGTTGTGCAGCGTTGGGTGCCCAGCAATTCGATGCCATGTTCATGGCAGGGTATCCTCCACCACTGAAGAGCGCGGTGACGAAGGCAATGATGACCATATCGACAGAGTCGTCCTCGCAGATTCGGTCTAGGGAAATCACTGGAGTCAGATCCGTCTGCGAATAGTAAACGACGTTGAGATCTGATGCTTGCGGGTTGAAGGTGGAAGTCGCCATTGGTGACGAGGCCGTGGAGGATGATACTGCCCGCGTCTGGGAGGTTGTGCCGCCGGTTTTCGTTGTCACAGCGCCGTGGCTAGCTGAGGATGCTGTAGAAGGGGCCTGTGTTGTCCAGAGTGTGATAGGGAGAATGGCCGACCGCGATGTCTCTGGCCTAAGGTGCGACGCGTCGATGTCAAAGTGCGAGGCTAGCAACTGGATCAACTCTTCCAGTGAGCTCCCAAGGCTCGACACAAGCTGCGACAACTGGTCTGAGAAATCTTCTGCCGATGATGGCCGCTGGGATGGCGCCAATGGTCGCCAATAACTCGACCGGCCGAACTTGACCCCAGCATCTCTCCGGCCAAGCTTCGAGCCTGAGTCGGCGAGATAATCTTCATGAGAAGCGCGTATGGCGTCAAGGAGATCTTGCATTGAAGTGGCAATGTCCTCCCACTTCTTATCTTGCGCAAAGCCCGATGCAATGCATAATGCTGCCACTAAAAAGCCGAACAATAGTCGACGTAGCGCAGCCATTGTGGACGACATAAAAGACAAGATCAACGACGCAAAGGCACTGAAGTTGCCTCAATACACATGGTCTGACTTATACCTGGGCCGCAACATGGCTGGTCATTCCTCGATAGTACCAGGCCAGCATGCCTGAAACCATGAGTCCGAGGGGGGAATTCGATACACGGCGTCACCCTTACGGTCTGGCCAGTGCGCGGTTGCATTCCAGCAGAAAGACAACCTACATCTGGTTGAAGGGTCGACAACAAACAAAGTCTTAATACGCAGAGCTCACCTGCTTGCCAAGGGAGATGGGAACGGAGGTGAGTTGAAGCCATTCCTCGAAGTCATTGCTCGGTGGAAGTAGGGTTGTAGACTTCCGCTGCGGCGCTGCTGATACCAAACCATGATCCTCAAAGAAAGGGACAGCTCTACCGAGAGCGAAGCATCGGTGGCTGTATCTCGATGTTGATATGTTGATGGCTGGAGAAGTACCCAGCTACTCCTTGTGTCTGACAGCATCATTATGAAGCACCGCCATACAAAATTGATAATAACAATAAAAGACACCCATGTCTGACAGAAATATCCGTATTTTCCACCTTCCTCTTGCTGCTTTGCTGCCTTTGAATTCCTCAAATTTCCCATTGACATTTGAATGGATTCTTCCACTTGCAATTGCATCCGGGTTTTCCTGTTGCGATAACTGCTAAAAGGCGACGTGCCTGTATGCATGTTCGGACAACCATGGTAGAACGTTGCCGTCCTCAAACCCGAGTCGATCAACCTGGAGCTTTCACCGCTGCACCGCACATGGAGAGACCCATGACAGCTCCTTGGGACATGTCTGCGACGAACGAGACGAGTTCTAGTACTCTGTGGTATCAATCGACCGCTTAGCTTCATACGGGACTACCACTCAGCGATAGTCCAGCTATAATTGACACCGGCAGTGTCTCTCTAAACGTCCTCCGGCTCGCTCCTTTCCTCCCCGCCTCTTCCACATGAAGACAATGCCTCGGAGGAGGACACCGGCACTTGCTCGAATGAAAATAGCGGGCTGATGGAAATATTTCACTTGCTTTGAGTCCTTCAGGGCAGTCAGCCTCGCTGGCTTCTAGCCCGAATTACATGGAGTCCCAGGTAAAGATCACAGCTCTGCATGAATGGAGACCTGCCGGATTTGGAGCGCAGCTACTGAAACCCACCATCCTCGAAGTGCCCATCTCCCCAGAAGTAAGGGCGAGTACTGTGACTGGGATAACACCGTTTACTGTGCCTTACGTGCTGCAGGATCTTAAGGTGAGGCAGGGCCATCTCATGCTAACTGTGGGCGGTCAACCCTGTCACAGCATCCTTGCTTCCTTCAAACCGAGCGGCAGCGGGTTGAGAAAGAGTCGACATGGGCACCGGAATACGAGAGGCCGATCTGCTCAGGTTACAATAACGTTCGTCTCGTGTTGAGGCCATTGCTCCTTGACATTCTTGGCCTTCTTGATCAATTTCAGCCCGATATTTCAATGAAGCCTGGGCCTGGTCCAGGCCATATGCAGCCAGCCTTGCACGTGATCCGACGAGAACTGCAGCCTCGTTTTTACGGGAACTGAACGGTCGCAGGCATGACTGCGCTCCATCAGCAGAGATGGTGGGGTGTCGCTATACCCCTGTTCGTACACCCTGGTTTCGCCCATATCACAACACCTATAGGGTGCGGTTACACAACATGAATCCCTCTCCATCAGCTGCCTCCCAGTAACTCGAACTACCGAAGGTCTGACAACCCCGGGCTGGCGGACAAGCATAGATCGTCAGTTGTGTAACATCGCAGAGGCTAAAGAAGGTAACGGCGCCGAGCCATGCCTCAGGGATTGACGATACTACACCTGTAGTCGAGGGTTACACAGCCTTTATACCGAAGTCAATTACCGACGCACCGCTGCGCGACTCACAAGGGTGCTTGTCAAGGGTCATCGGCGCCAGAAAATGTTGCGTTCGGAGAACAGGTTGAAGAATCTCATGTCTATACAGGTCTACCACCTCTCCTGTTTGCGGTGCATTGCACAAACATCTGCGAACCGGCACCATTCGGCGGCAGATAAACCTCAACCTCGAAGCGAAATCAACTCGCCTTGCCAGGCCGGCGTCGCGCAATGTATAATGATTCAATCGTCCTTCAAATACGAACACGCCAACATCTGTCCATTTCCGGCGTCCTGCATGCCGAGACAGGCATGATCCTGGCATCACCTCTCCGCCGATGTATTACCACTTCCTACCCTACCAGCCAAGCCACGCGGATCCCGACCTGATTCAGAATCCTTCTGTACGTGTTCCATGAGTTTTAACCTTTCCCGGCAATTCGCTCCTCTGTCCTGTACTACTACGTAGCTCACAGAAGTTCGAGCGAACAAATCATGAAGCCTGTAGGCGCACGATACACTTTCCCAGAACGGCAATGGGAGTTATATCCGCTTCGTGCATCACGCTTTGTTCTTATCACGTTGCCATGCAAGCCGCATCACAGGCCACCAAGGTTCAGGGTGTCATGGAACAACGGAGGTGGTTGCCGACCTCTGTTCGCACTGCATATGTGTCAAGTCCTTTTGAGCTGGGTATGGACTGGCTATCTCTTCAGGAGCCTTGATCTCACTCCTCTGTACCGGGGCAATGCGAGTCCTTAACTTCTACTCCAATCACAGCAGAGCTACTCCTTTTCGAGCAACCACTAACCCTTTAGGTAATATACACTGCCAGACTAGCTGCCATGCGATAATGGGGTACAGGACACCAAGATTTTGCAGCACAACACAGCTCAGTACGCCAGGAGAGCAACTGCCGTCCGCAGCATCCTGGAGTGTACGCAAGCATGATGTCGAGACTCGCCAAGCGCAATACGAGGGACAGGGAGAAAGATGCGAAACAAGCGGATCAATGAAGACCTCCAGCTGGGGAGACAAGGTCTACACAGGAAGACAGCATCGGGCAGCTACGACACCAGGGCAGCAAATTGACCCATCGACGCATTTTCTAGCAACTCCAGATCAATTCGACGAACTTGTCTGCACCAAGCGCCGCAAAAAATTACTTTTTCTCGTTTTGAGCAGTGTTCCATGGCTCGCCATAGTAATCATGTGTTCATTGGCCCCGAGTCGAGAATGTCAAACGTGTGCATGAGAAGTTCCATATCCCATAACGCATGAGTTCGAGTCGGCTCGTGAACTGATCCCTCCGCCAGGACCCCAGATGGTCCTATACCGTACTCATCAATCAATCAATCATTCCGGCGTAAACAAAAGCGGTCGGCTGCGAACCCGCAAAGCCACAAACCAATGTGCATGCACAAGATCCGCCATCGCTACTATGTATGTGCCTGAAAAGGTCGCCGTCCAAAGTCCGGACTTGCAGACCGCGTCGTCGAACGAGGAATCATTGGCCGCACGGACAAGGCACCGTCTGTCTGTGGCTCTAACGTAACGAAAAGAACAAAAAACAATTCCTCCAACTCTTGAGCAGCAAGAGGGACGAAGACAACACTTTGAGGAGCTTTTGAAGCCACGAAGCCAAACCGGCTGGGGCAGATCGAGCAGTAAAGCCTCCCACCATCCCACCGTCATCCGTTCAGTTCCTAGTTTTGGGTTCTTTCTCCTGTAGTTCTGGCATCCAAGGACAGTATTGCTTTTGAAGAAAGGTAGAAAGGAGTTTGCCGACCGTTTAGAACATGGTGCTGTGCAAGAATCAAATTTTAAAGGCGTAAGGATCGTTGCTGAAAAGTGACTTGGCCGACAAGAAGGAAAAGATGCTGGACGACAAGAAAATCGATTAGGCTAAGGGAGGCTGAGAACATTTGAGGTCGTAGGCGGCGTGGGGTTTCATGTCGTCGTAAGGAAGGAGTTTGCTATGAAGCTTTTCACCAAGCGAGGCAGAGTAGTGACGGGGCTTCTGTTGCCGGATCATTCTTTCAGAGTCGCTGGAATCGGCATTGGCTCGACTGCCCCAGGTTGTCTGTCTCGATTGTCAGTGTGGTTCCCTCTAGGCATAGGGGAATGAGCAAACCCACCTCGTTCAGGGTCCATGATGCGTAGAGCTTGATGATACCGTGGAACCAACCAAAGAGCACGGAAACTGGCCATAGAAGGAGATCGACTGGATAGCGGACAAAGTGGGTGATGAGCTTGACGAACTTGGAAAAGGCCATCCATCCGGCGAAAACATAGAAGGCCAGATGCGCGTGCTCACGAGGCCAATCGCTGGTGCCGCATACCAGTAGGAACCATAACAGGGGGTCGCTGACGAATGCAGGAGGCATCAGGGTTGTCAGTTGCACCGCATAAGTGCTGTAGAGTTGCCGCCTATAGTAGCCAAGGGACAAGCAAGATGGTCAGTGCCAAGCCAATCTGACAGGGAGCGCCCCGACTCGGAGACGACGCGTCCAAAGACTTACCTCCAAATGTGACGCTCAGTGAAGATGCTGGTAATGTTGCTCCGCCAATTGCTGCGTGCCCAGCGGAGGCATTGCTTGAGGAATTTGGGATTGTTTTCCAGCGTGGTTAGCACCTCACAATTGGGATGGTACTGCATGTAGGTCTCGTGGCCGTGGGAAACCATCCAGCGAGTCAGAAAATTGTCGTCGTCGGCGTTGAGTTGGTACTGGCCGAACCACCATGTCTCGTTCGTGAAGCCGTTGGTGAAGTTGACATCTTGCAGAATGCTTGTGCGGTAGGCGCAAGTGCGTCCAGACAGGCATGGCATGCCGCCATCCAAGTGAGCAGTAGCTGCACAATCGAAGTTTCGACGTTCCAGATACAGCGCACCCAAAAATCCATAGATCCGTTGAGAGAATGAAGGATTCTCGGCACGTCTGAGCCTCTGGGATGTCACCACTCCTCCATATCTTTTGTCCTCAAAGGGGGCCAGCATCCACTGCAAGGTCTCAGCTGGCCAAGTGACGTCGTCGTCAGCGAAGACAATGATCTGCGTGTGGACTTCGGGGATGGCCCGGGCCATCTGACGTCTCTTGTTGGCCTGCTTGACGGACATACACCGGATACGGTCGTATTTGGCTGCGGGCATTTTCGCCATGGTCCTCTCTGCTTTGTGCAAGTTCTCGTCGATGGTGACCAGTATCAATTCCTTGGGCTTGTTCTCCAGAATCGAAGAAATGGTCTGCTCCAACTCATCCCCTTCTCCGTCCAGTGTAGGCAAGATAACCGTGACATCGGAGGGCGAAAGACTCGGATTCTCTGGAATCGGAATTGGCTTGAAAGTCCAGAATGACCATAAGTTCACTATCAGGCGGACGTAGCGGTAGAGACTATGTTTGGTCAGCTGGTGAGACGACTCCTGGAAGACAAGACGACTCACAAATAGACCACGAACCAGTGGAACCAAGCATGGGAGTCCATGGGCGCGGACAGGTCAGTCTATTTGGCGACAGAGACTCGGGAGATGGGGATAACGACTGTAAGAGTGGTGAAACCACTCAGGACAACCCGAAAAGCGCGGGACAACGAAGACAGAGAGGAAACATGTAAAGGAGGACATGGAGGAGAGCAACGCAGGACAGAAGGAAGAAACAAACCGTGAAGGTCGAGGTGCTCGATCATAGAAATATGGGGAAGATCGAGAGGCTAGGACACAGAAGTGAATGTGCAAGTGACGCTGGCCGGCATGAGGCCTGGCGTGGGCGAGTTCGTAGTAGTTCGCAGCTTTGCATGAGGTGGTTTGGGCTCGAAGGCCCCCAGAATCTTGAGGCGGGCTTGTGATGAGGGCGTCAAATGTCAAACTACATGTGGTTCCTTCGAGCAGATTGAACGAGGTCATGACATGATTGGAAAGAAGAGGGTCTCTCGATGCAGGCTTGTGGAAGTTGTTGGCGTTAGGGCGCCTGCGCCTGCGCCGATAGACAACGCGAACGAGTCGTTGAGGGTGTGAGGGGTAGCAAGTGGGAGGGTGCCCTCGACAAGGTGTGGTAAAACTAATACCATCGTAATAGCGCGAAGGTCCTTGTAGGATTGGACACGGAGGACGAAGCAGGAGTGGTATAGCGATTGATGGAACGGGGCTGATGTGCATGCCATGCCTGCCGCCATGTAATTAACACTCTGTGATGGTGGGTTGATGTGTGAGTGAGATTGGGGTTTGAAAGCGAAACGAGTGGATACAGATAGACACCTAGGCGGTTGATGGATGGAGGGGTTCTGAGGTACATCTTGAGGGACGAACTACTATCCCGATGGAGACAAACGAGACCTAGGCAGGTCCCTAGGTCGTCTCTGTAGGCGCAGTTGAAGATGGCCACATGTGTGCAGAGGAATGTAACTACAGTGCTTAAGGTAGGGAGCTCATGAACGGTACTTTGACTGTCTGCATGCTGGCGTGTATGCCTGTATCGAGCACTCATCACCTCTGTAAGGTAGGTAATAACCTACCAGGTATTCAGGTACCTAGGTACCTCGCCTGCGCACCTTCTTACGTTAGGTCTAATGTGCCTTAGATGTGCCTCCACCAAATGCCCCAGGGAAACTGCTCCATCCAAACTGGATCATCTTCAATCCTCCACCACCCGTCTATTCCCTCCGTTTCTGCTTTGAAGACTCTCCGTACTCCAGTCAAGCTGTGGCGAGACTGCTGGTATGTGGTGATCCCTCCCTCTCATCTGACCTTGGCCTCTCGACCCGTTGAAGCCGTGTTCTCATTTCATCCTTTCTATTATGCACGCGACCTGACTAACTTAGTCTGCTGTCGCTCCCTTTTCTCAATGGCAGGGTTGGCCAGACATGACTGACAAGGCTTAAGAGACCAGGTACTAGTCAAGCATGGCACGGCCGCGAAGGCGAGCACGCTACCAACTAGGTCTGGTGGCTGATCGAACCACCCCGTTTGTCCTTTTACATTTTACTTGTCTAACGTTTGAAAGCCTTCTCGCCTAACCACGACTTCTCCCTACCAGCGACGTGATCAGCTCTTCTCATCAAACAAAAGACTGCACCTTGAGCGCCGCTACGTCCTGATTCTTCTTGTTCAATTTGTGGCGGGAAGAGAAGTCGAGGTGGTTCGATGAGTTAGCAAAAGCCTCGAGCATTATCAAGAAAACTCCAACCGGAGGTGCCGGTCAAGACCAAACACATCATCCCAAACGTCAGATGGCAGCGTTGCGGCCAGTGGCGGGCGTGTCATGCAGGTGCTGCCAGGGTGCACCCTGGCGTGATGGAAATGCATTTCGCCCAGAAGGATATCTCAGGGATAAAACATGACCGACTCTGAATAGAACTCCGATCGCGGATTCGTCGACTACACTTGATCTCAAGCCGTCTCCATCCGTCCCAGCGTTATAAACAACGAGAGCTTGCCTCGGCCGTCAGCGTCAGAGACGGGAAAATCCTGGGGATCAAGCGACATATGACCGAATATTGACAGCTTTTAGACTTCTATCAGGCCTCGACATTTGTTCTCGTGCTCAACAGCTCAGTTTTCTCGACACGACTCTCCTGCCGGTCATATCCATCTTCCTGCCGCCGTCACGAAGACAATCATCTCCACCACTGTTGTCTTCTTCTCACGCTTATTCGCCGCTAGCTTTACAACCCTCTGTCGCCTATCAATACATACCACGATACTACTCCATTACAGAGCACTGCTGCAAGCCTAAACACTAGACTCGACTCGCTTTAAAGCGCGCAACGCAGGTGATGTCGGCGAACCTACGGCAAAAGAAGTGTGCAGTGCATCGCAGTCACCACTGCGCTGCTTCTCGCCCACCAGCCCCACACTCTTTGCGAGCTCTCTTCATTTCGCTTGGTCGCCCGTCTCTCCTCCAATCCCGTCCTCCTGATCTAGGTCGACAAATGAGATGCACACTCGAGTTTAAAGGAGGGGTATGCTCCCGAGGACTCTCATAGGAGGGCTTGTAAATGCATCAAAAATAATAGCCCCCTCCAGGGTCTTATTCATGCTCTCAGTGCTGAGACGACCTATTTGGAGAGTGTCAAACGGAGGCAGGGTCAGTCTGTTCATTGTCAAAACGACCAGGATACAGTTCAACGCCTTCTGGATCAAGGAACATAATCGGTCGACCGGCCATGCCGTCTCGAACTGACCCCGGCCAACAGTCCTCGGTCTTCAATGTTCATCATGATCGCTGCATCTCAACTAGCAAGGGTTCAGCCCAGAATGGAGCGGTGCATCCACATCAGGTCTGTGCATTCCTCGACCCGCCCCTGCCCCAGATGGCGCAATGCGTGATGCGAATCAGCACGGATTCACCCGCAGGGGCTATCTCACCAGCACGGCTTGGTGGATAGGGAAAGTCGTTCTTAATTGTGGTATCATGGCTAATCCTTGTCCTCACGGGCATCGCCTCTGGGCTTCAGCCGCAAAGACAGGCTTCTATTATGGGGTAATTCTGCTGTTGGACGATTCCTTCTCTTGTCATTGCACGAGGCCCGGTGCTCAAGATTTAACTCAGTGCCTTGCCTACCATGTGCACCGAGACTGACCCGACAGAGTCGTACCTGGACGGCACAATTTTCTTCACTCGCAGTCAGCAGGCAAGAAGATATTTGTTCACATGTTGTGGACAACTTTCACCAGACAGTTTACCGGTCATAGTTTCAAGCCACCGATCAGCACCGTAAGGCAGCCCTGCGAATCGCCTGTTACGCGTTTCTCAACCCAGGGGCAGGGTGGGACATTATTGGCGGGTAAAATGTTTGAATAGCCCGCATAAAAATGACCTTGACAGCCGGGGTTGGAATTGATATGCTGTGTCACACAATGGTCGCGAAGCCGCTTGGAGCATGTCCACGGCCAAGTACGTAGCTCTATCGACCGGCCTCCACCAGCTACGAAAACGACACGGAAACCCTCAGGCACGCCGACATGGCAGGCGCAGAATGCTCGGCTCGGGGCCAGCAGAGGGGCCAAGACGAGCATGCCCTCACAAAACAGCAGCAAACTCTGCTTGAGTGCACTGGGTCAATCATGCCACCATTAACCATAGACTATCGGCAATGTTTATGCTGGTAGATGGACTGCAATGTTGTTGTCAACCTCGTCACGTACCAGCAACCCTCTGGCTCCTGTCTACTTTAGCCGGAGCATGATAAGATTTTCATGTCGAGGACGAACAGCTCCAAAGCGAAGGGCTTAGGAGACCGCGAAGGGCCCGCGCTGGCCGAGAGCCCGACATCACGATGCCCACGACCAGGCAAATCCCTGTCCTCTTAGGTGCACAGGGTCCTGCTGCATAAGTGCGTGGTGGCGTGTAGCTAGGTCGCTGATGGTGCTATGAAACCCCACAGCGACGGCAGCCGATCAACCATGGTGGTCCTGATGGTCCTGACGACGAACATCGCGTCCATCCTTCTGCAGCACTGGTGCATTACCCTTTAATCCGGCTCATCGCGGGAGATGCTTCAGCTTTCTTCTTGAGAGAAGCTTGCCCGCACATGTCTATGGATTCCATGGCTGCATGGCGACAAGCCGAGTTGCCGTGCCAGATGGCATGGAGTGAGCATATGCCATGCCAACCATGAGCAAGATACTGTGTTCAAAAACCACCTTGAAATTCGCCTAGGAATACACAAGCAGAGTGTACCCTGGATCGCATAGCAGTCAAGACCAGTCATTGTCGCAGCGGCGATCTACCACAGACTGATTTTGACCCAGGATCAGTCCTTGGATCGAGGTTCAATCTTCTGAGCCCACTTGCTTAGGAAGAATCTCGTTGGGATCTCTGTGGAAGACTAGGTAAGTACCACTGTGACGAAGAGTAGTTGGAGAGGGCCTTCGCAAACAATGGCTCTACATACAGTCTGTCTCGCTTTCATCCACCAGACAACGTTCGAAAGGTCCCAGAAATCAAATGCCGTGATCTTGCCCGCGGACAAGAAACACCCAAAGACTTTAACCGCGGCAAATCCATCGCCCCAATAGAAGACCCAGGGTTGACAGTATTCTAAGGTATGCTAGACGATAGCTGACCAGCTGCTACACAGTACGTTGGACATCTTATACAAATGAGTATGCCATCTCTTGACCGGGCGCCTGCTTCATCAGCGGGCGCTATACTGTTCTCTTGGTCGCACCAATAGATAGGGTGTCGAGGCTGACGGCTTCGACCGCTGAATGCTATGCCCAATGTATGATATTAATCCCTCACGTATATGGACTGCGATGGGGACTGCACTATGGACAGAGTATGGAAGGACGGTCGTTCGCGCCGGTTTATGAAGATCAGCGTCACCCGTCTTGCTCGTTCTACCTTTTTCATGCTTTCGCGGCGGGCGAGCGGGGTCAGACTTGACGTGTCCATGGGATAGAGGAAGGAGAGGGAGCGTGAGCTCGATGCTGGATGCTCCAACGCAATATACATGTAGTCCTGTCGTGCAGTCGTCCGTGGTCTGGCACTCATGTCGTCAACAGCCTGCGAATGAAGATGTAGCAACTTGACAGTCGCCGGAAACCAGGGCTATACTTCCCCGCGAAGCCAGCGCGACTGATGTGCATGGCGCTGGAGATTGCTACCCAAACACCCTAAACAAGTCCAGAAACGTGGGGTGTAGGTTGGTTCCTGAATGATCTGCGACAGTCCGCCGACCAGATCATGGCCCCCAAGGTCCCAGACACGGATACAGCCATCCTGCTGGTCTTCAGGAGTGGTAGAGCCGTTAGACAGAAATGGACGAAATGATGCAGCTGATAAAAAAAATAGGGCTCGTCACGTGAGGCTTCGAGTCCAACTGCACCTTACTAAGCCGATATCTTGGTATTGACGTGAACGTCGAGGTCTTGTTTCGACCTCCCTTGTAATAAATTCGTATGTTCGAGTCCTTCACTGCACTGTAAGCCACCGCCAGAACTATATTTTTCTGTCTTTACGTTTTGGGACAGAATCTTATTTCTATCAACCACTACTGGCCAGCCTTATAATGATGATCTGAGGGATCTACGAACTCTGGTTCATGCACGCAAAACTTCGTGTTCCTGCATGTGGCTGTCAACGGATCCCCCACGCCGCCTTCACCGCCATTCCATTTCATCGCGCCTGACGTCAAATACGAACGGTCGGTGAGATAACTGCGGGTCCCCAAGGCTGTGGTACAATCCAATGGTCCATGATACACCATGATACAGTTCATTGTTAAGTGCGTCGCCTGCTAACCTAGCCACAACGAGTTGATTGTCGCAGGTCGCAAACTGGGATGGATGTCTGCCTGTCCGTCGGATCTATAACCCCATTTCACCTTTTCAAAATCTCCTTGATGAAGTTTGATCTGATGTCCTTCCAACTAAGGAACCCCGCTATGTTTGTGATGCTTTCCATCTCTAGAAAGCATCAATGGCTCTCGGTCTAGGTCGGTCTCCGTCAAGAACGAGTCAACCGCAAGGACTGCGTTGTTGCCAACAGTCAAAAAAGCTCTTCCCACCGGTTGATCATCTCGAGTCACAGAAAAGACGGCTCCGACAGAAGTCTTGCAGGGCTACTAGGAACTACACATTTCAACATTGCGGTGGGCAAAGTACTCGGTGCTCCTCGCACTGGAACACATGTTATGAAAGGTGCAAGAGGGTAGGAAACTTGCGCTGTGACGCTCCCATCACTTGGTTCCTGCATTCTCAGGGGCCCCTGCCACGCGACTCGTCCTTCCATTTCGTCGATGATGAAACCAAGAGGGAATGGTTGAGCAGCTTGACATGACTTTCGACGTACGATCCTCGTTGAGACAACAATGCCCTCGCGTTGATCAATCATTCAAGGCGCGAAGTAACTACAGTTCGACCAGCTCCTACTCTCATTCAATTGTCCGTCAGTAACGGCATGATTGATCAGATATCATTGAACCTTCCTCTGCGTCTCCAGCAGGAATCCGATAGACCGTAGGTGCAAACAACCTCCGATAGCATCTACTCAATATACATGATAAGATTTCACAGCCCAATCATAGGTCTAACATCCATATACAGTGAACAGTCCATAGCGTGAGAGGCACTTGTAAGTTGTTTGCAAGACCTCACCAAGTCTCACAAGATATTTCTAGTACTACGCATAGAGATACTACTGCTCGCTATGCCTTCACGACACCCAGTCCATCATCTATCATCCATGCTCCATACCATGGATCTCAATCACCGCAATTCATTCCTGAGTCTCACCCCAACTTCACTTAAATTTTAACCCTCTGGTGCCCTCTAGACTTCACTGCACAACACACCACACAACATAAGAATCAAATCCCCAGAAAAGTACCTCCAATAACGCAAAGACCCCCAGTATAGCCGAGTCAGTAAACTGGGCGACCCATTTGACCGCACAAATGCTCGAGTTCGATTCCCACTCGGATCTCGCTCGCAGAGATATTGGCCCGACTTTCCTCGACACAATCGACAATCTAGGTCTTGTCTGGGTTTCAAACTAACACCGGGTTAGAAGGCGTCAAGACCTCGATTCGAACCTCGAACCGCCCACCTTCCAATCCTGCGAACCCGGGTTGACGCCAGCCAGCGAAAAATGCGAACGTCTCGGAATAAACCCTCCGAATAGGGTTTATACTTCCCACAACCCCCGTACGAGGGGTTTGTGGAAAAAGTTTTTTGTTTTTGTTTTCTTTCTTCACTGGTCTCAGTAAGCTAAGACATTGGATCGTGTCTCTATATAGCGTTGACTCGTTAATACAAGAAATCTACTTGGTGGTTATGAGGTATTACAGGTTAAGATCCCGACAAGAAGGAGATATTAGTAAAGAGATACTAGAGTATCTGGTACTTGATGATTTTAGTTCGTTCCCTCTTTCAAAAAGAAAGAAAAGGGTTATGTTGTTCATCTAATGGAGCTGAAATGCCTAAAGACCCAAACCGTCCTCACTCTAGGGAGGCGTGTTAACTCCCTACAGCCTCTTGCCCTCTCTCAGTACTTGACTCTTGGGTACTTGACTCTTGGGTACTTGACCCTTGAGCACTTAGGTCCCTCATCCTTCCGGCGTCCACATCAACCCAGCACCAAACTTGATTTCCACCTCGACACCTCCAAACACTCCAACTGCGGCATACAGGTCGCCCTCACCCATGAGTCCATCCACACCTTCGTCTCGCTCGTCACGCTCTTCGTCGATTTCCCAGCTCCACCGAGGATCCGTGCGGCCCTGTCTAGTGATGAACGCAGTGGTCTTGACTTTGCCATAGCGGTTGCCGGTTCCAGGATTAATGTTCTTGCTGTTGCTGTTGACACTACTGTATGCTGGAACAATACCAGCTGCAGCAGCATTCCCAACAGCCGCCGGACTGGTCCAAAACGTCATCCCAACACCGATCGTCTCGCCGTTCTGGAAAGCATCCACGAACGCCCTCCCTCCCCATGAATCGTTGACGTACCGCCGCCCATCGTCGCCATGCACGCCGATACTAGCGCGATGCCAACCGGGCAGACGCCACGGCGGGTACGGTTTCGCAGCGAAGCCGATCGCCACGCCAGAATTGTCGTTTGCGATCTTCTGCACCACGATCTCGAAGTAGATGGTCCTCTGCCGGCCCGTGAGGAGCGGGTTGTCCGCCGCCGCGAAGTATAATGGGACATTGGACGTGATGATTGCATCTTGTTGGGTTGGTGTGGTGCGGAGGAGCCATGTAGAGGAAGAAGGAAGAGAAGAAGAAAGCGAACTAGATTGTGGTGGCTGCGGTTGTCGGAGCTTGGATGCTCTTATATGTGTCGATGTCGGGTTTGGAACCGATAATGGCTGCAACGTGAACCCTCGGCCCAACAGTGGCCTCGATGGTGTTTCCAGAGCGATCTCCCCCCGAGTCGAAAGCGCGTGGATATGAGCTGCCGGCCGTGAGGGCGTGTACACTGGATGTGCGGCGCACCACTCGTGCGCGCGCGCCGCGGAGTCGTAGCTCGCATTGTTCGTCGGGCTGTAGTCCTCCGGCAGGGGTGGCGGGGGTGGGAGAAGTGCCGTGTCTGGAACCACCGTCCAGTCGTGGTACGGGGGTGGGTTGGAATTGGAATGAGGATGAGGATCCTCGCTGACTTGCTCTTTCTGGTATGCTGAAGGTGGTGGACCGGGTGGTGGAAGGAATGTCTCGCTGTCCGTAGCGCCAGCAGCAGGGAGGTGAGACGGGGGTGGGCCGGGCGGCGGTTCATACTGTTCGTCGGAAGGTGGTAAGTGTGGGATCGGATTGTAGCCTTGGGTTTGTAGATGTTGAGATTGGCCCTGGTGTTGGTATTGGTGTTGGTGCTGGTGCTGGGTCTCCCCAGATTTGCTGTACTCAGAGACTCGGTCTGGATTGGTAGTGTCAGTCCCCACATCCAGTTTGCCCTTGAGGGACTTGAATAGGCCCATGACGCCGAGGATAAGCTTGGGTTCGGCCTGAGATGCAGTGTCCGGAATCCAGACCCAATGGATATCTTCAGGGTTAGTCAGTTGGTAGTAAGGGCGCCTTAATGTATCAGACTGCGTGTGTTGTTTTCCGACAATGCAGAGTGAAATACATACAGCCGGCTCTCGTCTGAGGAGAATGGAATCAATGGATTGACGTCGGCATGATGAGCGCGTCACTGATGAGTAAGCGGTCGGAGGCCAAGGCCATCACGTGCAAGGCTGTATATATTCCCTGTATGAGCATCGGGTCTTGTATCCCTAGAGACTACAGATATAATCATGGGAATCATGTTCTTGCTTTTTGACTCCCAGCACTATGAAAGGTGGCTGGAAGTCTTTTGTATCGCGGTCTCTAGGAACCGTATCTCAACATCCACTTCCTCAACTGCACCGGCCCCTTTTCTGTCTTCACTTCAAGCTTCAAGCATCGCCTATCATCATCCTCACAAGTCTTGTATCTGTGTACAATCATACTCTCAGATGATAGTATGATAGCCTTTCTAAGTCAATCAGCCCATCGCCGGCCGTTGTGGCCACTCATCCAACACCATTTGACTTCCAGTCAACGTAAAGTTCACCATCGCCTGCGTAGGCACGTCGACCAACAAGCCATAGTCGCCGGCATACAAGACTGCATTACCGGCCTCGTCGTGTCTTGCCAAACCACCCAGGGTAAGGTTCAGAGAAGCTGTGGCTGAAGCGCCACCTGAGACCTTGAACAGGCGCTCATACGCCACAAGTTGTTTGATCGGATAGGGTTGAGGTCCGTAAGTACCGCTTATGAAGCCCAGGGCCACGAAATCCGATGGAACACTGCCGGTGTTGGTCACCGTTACGTTGAACGACTCGAAGGGACATAAGTCGAGGTATGCGTATGTCGAGCGGTCGCAGCTGGAGACGAGTGAGGAGATGTCATATGAGCTGCTAGACGGAGATCGGGTCTGGTTCTGGCCCCTAAAGCCCTGGTTTTGGCTTTGGTCTGCCGCAACAGAGACGCTAAAGTTGGTATAATGCAGCCCATAGCCAAATGGGAGAACCGCGCCGTCGTACCATTTGTACGTGCGGCCAGGGTTTCCTGAGCTGGTGTTCGGCCGGAGACTCATATCTGTCATCGCCACCTGATCGACGTAGTCGGCCGGATACTGTGTCACAGGCAGACGACCCGCGGGTGCAACTTTGCCTGTAAGCACGTTGATGAGCGCGTCGCCTCCCGACATGCCTGGATAGCCTCCCCACACGATAGCCGAGATATTAGGGTTGGTCAATAATGGAGTATTGTCGAGCTGATCGCCCATCTGCAGAACCACGACCGGTTTGGCCAACGACGCGAACTGGTTGATCAAGTCGATCGATGCCGGTGGCCAATCTATAGTGTATCGGTCATTACTTTCGGACTCGTCACTGGTGCTGATTCCATCCGCGACAATGATAAGGTCAGCCTCACCAGCTGCTCCCAGCAGCTCATCCCACCCGTCGGTAGTGGGCACACCGAATCCACCGCCGTAAATGGTATTCACGTGCGGTAGCTGCTGCAGTGCGTACAGCGGCGAATGAAGGTATGGGGCTATTCCGAAGTAATTGCCCTGCATGGTGGTCGTGGCATTGGCCCAGCCGCCCAAGATGGCGATTGTCGTGTTGGTGTCGGATGGTAGGGTAAGCGGGAGAAGACCATCGTTCTTGATGAGCACGATGCCTTCTTCCGCCGCCTTGAGTGCCAACGCTTCTGCTGCTGGCGTGGACACGTCCGACCAGCTAAGGGAGCGGTACGGGGTGGCTGATGCAGGGTCAAAGTATCCCAGTTTGATGAGCGCTGAGTAGAGCCGGATGATGGCTTGATCGATGACGGTTTCATCAAACAAGCCCTCAGCAAAAGCTGCCGGGAGATGTGTTTGGTAATATGTGCCCTGTTAGGTCTAATGTTAGCAAATCCATTCGCCGTTCGTTAACAGCAGGAGTAAACCCCACGCAATTAAGGTCAGTGCCAGCGGTGAGAGCGTCGGCCACCGCTTGCTCTCTCGTCGGTGCATAGTAGTGAGGCGCGTAGATGTTCTGAATGGCATCGCAGTCCGAAGTCACGTATTGCCCATCCCCAGTCCAATTCCAATGCTCTCTCAGAATAGTCTGAAGAATGTACGGGTCCGCACAAGTAGGGGCTCCATTCATTGCGTTGTATGAACACATGATAGACCTATCCTTCTGTCAGCTGCGCCCTTTAGATCTGTGGGTAGTTCACACCCACCCGACACGTGCATCGCGGGCACACGTTTGAAATGGCTGCATGTAGTACTCTGCCAGATCTTGGGTAGAGACGATGGCGTCGAAGTTGTACCGGTCAGCCGTCTCCCAGTCTTCCAGGTCATATGCCACAAAGTGCTTGCAAGTAGCTACCACCTTCTTGATCGGAGGGTCGATACCCCCTTGCAAGCCGTCAATCAAGGAAGCGACGTAGGACTTGAGATGGAATGTATCCTCTCCTGGAGTTTCTTGACCTCTGCCCCATCGTGGATCTCTGTAAAGTGATGTTAGACTGTGTCGTCCTTTAGGGTTGCTACCACTCCGGCACTCACTTGTAAGGATTAATGTTCGGAGTCCAATAATCCAAGCCACTTCGGTTCACATTGTTGAAAGCCCTTGCTTCCGTACTCACAACGGTGGCCACTGACCGGATCAATGCATCATCAAAAGCCGCACTCATTAAAATGGGCTGCGGGAATGAGGTCGCATGTGAGAAATTTCCTGAAGTACTGAAGTTGACTCCAGGGGAACTCGCCACACCATGTAATGCTTCCTCTGCTTCTAGTCAGTACTTCTCGAGACATCCCACCGAGTGGGACTACCCACGCCACCATTGATAGCTGTAGAGCCCTAGTCGCGGAACTCCAGGTGATGTGTTCCCTGTAAGATTGAACTTCTCATCAACCGTCAGAGCGCCCACCAGCCCCTTTGCTCTGTCTTCCACTAAAGCAGTCGTGTCGCAAACGGTGTTGTTCACAAGAGGACCGTTGATACAATCAGGAAACAAATCCGCCACTGCTGGAACAACAAGCACCGCAACGAAACCCAGCGCGAATGCTACCATGATTCAAGAAGCTTGCGTAGGAATGAGGCAACGGTCTCATCGGCAGAGAGAAGACGGGGACGTGAAACTTCTTTTTATCTTCATCATAAATCTGACAGGAGATATTTACCCCCCTTCTGACTTACCTTCGCTCATGCTCCGCTTCGAAAAAACTTGTCCATTGACTAGGCCAAGGAGGAAGCATTGCGGCGGGAAGATTTTCGTCTCTCTTCATGCAGAACAGCCTTCGCATTGACGATCATCCACTGGTCAATTGCCGGCAGCAGCTTTAGCTTGAAGCGCCAGGGGAACGTCATTGCGTTCCGCCTCTGGAGGAAGCGAGTATGCGGCCCTCGTCGTGAAAGTAATGAGCAGCCATTTGTGGCCTAGTCCGGCGAGAGTATTCTGTATGTCTTTCCTGCAGGACAACGATGCATACGAACTCGTCAGAATTGGCGCTGAATTTGGTTCGGCCAACACCGCCGTCCTGTAGGCCGTCGGCCCCAATATCGCACAGCGTTCTTTAGAGACTCCGTAATGCGGAAACTGGGCGGATGTCCGGCACCAGGCGGCCACATGTTTCATTGACCATCAACCCTTTGCGGTTGCCACGGCCATACAAGTTGCGGGTGTAACTAGGGCATGGGAGTTGAGATGACAGCCGATGTAGCATTCAATACTGCATCTGGCAATGGATAAAAGGTGACCAACAACTCCTCCCCCAAAATCAGGGACGACGTTGGCCTAACCTCTAGGGTTATTAGGCTAATATCCCTCGAAATGCGGAGGTGGAGGCGATATCGTATCATGGGGTGCGCGTTTGTATGCCTGCACATGGTGCGGAGGATATGGGGCATCATCAGCCTCTCCTGGTCAATCACTCAATCGCACCTTGATTCAGGCGAGAAACGCTCGCCAGACAGAATCAACCTTGGTCGAGGTCCATGGAATATTCGTCGGCACTTCGACATGTCTTCCGTCTGGCCGATCGATGACTGGTAGACCAGCGGCGGCGGCCACCCGAGACGCAACTCGGCACTGACCAGCCATACGATACCGACAAACGACACCTGTTGGCTGCGCGGGGAATCTCGACGCTTGCTGATACTGACCAATCTTGACCAGATACCGCCGCTCTTTGGTCCACGATGGGCTTCTTGCGTCTTGCCCTACACAGAAGCCATGTGCCGATCCTCCAAATGCTTGTTGGTGCTTACCTAGCGAAGCAAATCCAATACATCCATCGATGCCTATAGTCTCGGCTGATTGACCATCTGACGGGGATGAATGTTTTGTCTCCAATGCCTTTTTCTAGACCCTCCTGATGACCCTTGATTCCGGAGTTGTCATCCATGCCGTGAGGTGTCTGAAGTATTGTATTAGCCTGAAGAGATAGATGACCAGCGGTAAAGGGTCCTGAGCAGGCACCCAAGTATACAACGTCGACACCGTCCGGCCTCCACATCATGACCTGGGAGTGAGTTTCACTCCTGCGAGATAAAGTAGTGTCGTCGATTTTTGTCCTTCAAACCTCGCTCAATATGGTTGGAACCGCAAGGAAACCCTCGCAATTCACCAATGCTGCCCTTCAGCACCGTCTGGAGTTGGCTGGCAAGGCAGGCCCGCAAGCCTTGATCAGGAACATCCGGGTCTTTGGCATCGCATGTTTTGCTTGCATCGGTGGCCTCCTTTATGGCTACAATCAGGGTGTTTTCAGTGGTGTTCTGTAAGTGGTTCCCATAGCTGTTCCCAAGGCTCCTCAGTGGAAATAGATCTCTTTAGCAGCAGAGAACCTCGCTTTCTCACCGAGATTGCATGGCTGACGCACTGCTCGAAATAGGACCATGACCTCCTTCAACAACCACATGGGAGAGTACACCGTCAATACGACCAAGAAGGGTTGGCTCACTTCCATTCTGGAGTTAGGCGCGTGGACCGGTACCTTGTACTCTGGTTTCCTCGCGGAACTCATCTCGAGAAAATATGCGATCATAGTCAACACTTGCATCTTCATCATCGGCGTCATTGTTCAATGCACAGCTTCAACGACTGGTCCTTCGGGTATCCTCGGGGGTCGCTTCGTGGTAAGTGAGAAGAAACAACATCTTGAGAAAAGATGAGTTTGACCCTAACGCGATCAGGTTGGTATGGGCGTTGGATCATTGTCGATGATCGTACCCATGTACGTTGCAGAATGCTCGCCACCCGAGACGCGAGGACTGCTCATTGGCATACAACAATTCGCGATCGAGTTCGGAATTATGGTCAGCTTTTGGATTGTAAGCAGAACGGTGCGAGGGATAAAGTGCTCGGGCTAACCACAAGTCAGGACTATGGTACCAACTATATCGGAGGCACCGGGGCAGGTCAGTCTGAAGCAGCATGGCTCGTACCTCTGGCTCTTCAGCTGTTCCCTGCTTTGGTCTTGTTGGTAGGAATGATCTTTATGCCGTTCACTCCGCGATGGCTTGTCCACCATGGTCGAGGACAAGAAGCACGCAAGACGTTGGCCACACTCAGATCAATGCCTGTTGAGCACGAACTGATTGAGCTTGAGTTCCTCGAGATCAAGGCCCAGTCAATTTTCGAGAAGAGAACCGTTGAGGCACACTTTCCTCATCTTGCCGAATTGACGCCGTGGAATATTGTCAAGTTGCAGTTTGTGGCCATTGGCTCTCTTTTCAAAACCATGCCAATGTTCCGCCGTGTTATCGTGGCAACAGTGACCATGTTCTTCCAACAGTGGACTGGAATCAATGCAGTCCTGTACTATGCTCCGCAGGTAAGGGACACCCGTTCAATCTATTGAGGGAAAACGCTTACCTGTTCAGATCTTTGGCGCTCTTGGTTTGTCGTCCAATACCACCTCGCTCCTAGCGACAGGCGTAGTTGGCATTGCCATGTTTCTCGCCACCATTCCAGCAATCTTATACATCGACAGAATTGGCAGACGTCCGGCTTTGGCATTGGGTGCCCTTGGAATGGGTCTATGCCACTTCATCATCGCCATAATTTTTGCTAGGAACGAGCACCAATGGCCAACTCACAAAGGAGCGGGCTGGGCTGCAATTGCCATGGGTGAGTCCCAGGGCAACCCCCTTTTGTCGTACCTTGCTAACCTCAATCCTTAGTGTGGCTGTTCGTAATTCACTTTGGCTGGTCGTGGGGACCTTGGTGAGTACCCATTGCATTGATTGCCACAAACGCTAACAGAGTTTTGCAGCGCATGGATCGTCGTTGCGGAAGTTTGGCCCATGTCGGCCCGTCCTTACGGTATCGCTCTGGGAGCCTCCTCCAACTGGATGAACAACTTCATCGTGGGACAGGTTACTCCAGACATGATCACAGGGATCAGATACGGCACGTTTATTCTTTTCGGCTTGTTGATTACCATCGGAGCTGGATTCGTTTGGTTCTTTGGTAGGTGCCTCGATTCGGTCACTTCATGCTGCAGTGCTAACTTCACGGCAGTTCCCGAGACCAAACAGCTAACACTTGAGGAGATGGATCTCATTTTTGGCTCGAGCGGTATTGCTGCTGCAGACCAGGAACGTATGACCCAAATCAATGCCGAGCTTGGTCTTGATCGTCTGCAACGTGACAGCGATGACCACTTGGCTGACGTGTCTGAAAAGGTACACGAGGCCAAGTAGGTTGAGATTTCGGGTCGCCGTGGGAGGCAATGGGTTCAAGACCTGGAGCTGCCAAGAAGGCAGCCTGTGGATATGGAAGAATATTGATTTTGTTGATGTTACCCTCTCGCTGCACCTTGCAAGATATACGACGATCAGACTGAACTCATGCCGGCCTGAGAAGTCCAGCGATGTACTTGATCAAAGTCCATATGATGAAACTGTGTCTCTTTTATCATATAGCTGTGTCGGGATTATATTCGGTGTGCGAACCCTAGATGATGAATGTGCTCGAAACCAAATGGGAGACAAACCAATCGCTTCAATTGTCAAAGTCCCTCAAAATGTATGGACACGAATGGGAAAAAGCTGGTCCATTTCCTATATCGATTCCAGCTTCATGAGGTAGGCACTGAAGATACAGGAAGCCGCCTCGTGAGGCGGCCAGAGATGTCATCCCCTGCGACATCATACCTCACAGAAGCAGGCGAAACGCGGGAAACTGTCTGCATTGAGCGGATGGGCAGACAATGATGTGCTTGACATTGCCAGTCCAAAAAGGACGCAATTGAAATATCTCTGTATAGTGTAGGTTGGTGATAAGTCAAGTCGTGGAAGGAGCGACGCGATTCCAGTACTAGTGGCAGGGTTAAGCCATAAACAGTTAGTTAACCCAGCTTCCTGGTTGGCCAATTGTAACAGCACAAGATCGAGCCTCGTACAACTAATCATAATAACTCTGATCTATCTCATCAGTAGGCATAATATCTCTAATTAATTCAATATCAACCTCAGCCTCAGCCTCAACCACAATCATTTTCTCTTTTCTCTGCTTTGGTCATGGATGCGCAAACTGTAGAGAGGAGTGACAGGGCATGGACTGTTGACCGTTCATAGGATGGCCATTCATCATCAGAGTCCATCTAGGGCATTGCAGCCATCGTCAATCCCTGAGACCCTCGGCTGATTATGTCTGAGCTTGTCACCCTCCCAGCCATATATTAATCCCGCCCTTACCGTCCATTGAAACCACAAACTTCCGGACCATCAGCTCTCCATCTAACCTACCACCACTTACTCTCCTTCATGATAAAGACCTACCCCAGCCGATATGATGCGACTGTCAGATTGGACTTCTGTTGTCCTTTTTGTCTGTTTTCACATTATATCATCTTCTCACGTCCCATCAGCAGACACCCTACCCTTCAACATCAGCAAATCGACTCCGGAAGGCGACCCCAACTACATTGCTCCTATATTCCCGATCCTTCCCTTCCGCAAATACCACCACAATCCCGTCTTGACCCCCAACCCTGCCCATGATTGGGAGTCGGCTTACGTCTACAATCCCGCGGCGATCGTGCTGAATGAAACCATCTTTCTACTCTACCGGGCTCAGAACGCCAGCAAGACGTCTTCAATAGGCCTCGCCTGGTCTGTGGACGGCTACAACTTCACTCGCCTGAACGAGCCAGTCCTGTACGCCACCTTGCCATGGGAAGCTGGTGGTGGAACAGAGGACCCTCGCATCGTCCGCGTCAACGGGACCTTCTACCTGACTTATACGGCGTATGACTTGAACGTGCCCCGTCTCTGCATAGCCACGAGCGATGATCTGCTGCACTGGACCAAGGTTCCACCTCTATTCCAAGGGAGCGACAATGTGCATGTCGCGGACAACGGGACTCGTGTGTCGAGATTCGATCATACGAAAAGTACGTCCCAGGGTTGTTGCCCTCCTATGGGAGAATGAGATGTCTTGCTGACTCTGCTGTGTCCCAGGCGGTGCCATAATCACCGAACAGACTTCTGACGGGTTATATCATATGTATTTTGGCGACAGCGTCTTCTACCACAGCACATCGTCGGACTTGGTCAATTGGAGCACATCGTCCGAGCCGTTTGCTACACCCATGAATCCGTGGGAGAACGGACTGATCGAGCCTGGTCCCGCGCCGATCAAGACTCGCGACGGACGTTGGTTGCTGGTACGTTTCAATGGCGATGACTGTCTTTTCCCTTTGCTCGCATACATATCCCTCCTGGGAGCCCCGAGATCATTCAGCTCGGTTGGAACATTTGCCTTTCTAACACGACGTTTCAGATCTACAACGGCATGACCACCGGCGAGGCTGGCTACCGGCCAACACAGTACTCGGTGGGCCAGATGCTACTTGACCCGTCCGCGTCGTTGCGACCCGCACACAACAATGACAATGACAATGACAACCAGAATCATGCGCGAAAGCATTTCCGCCATCCTGATCCAGAAGATCAGTCGGTACTTTTTGCACCCCATTCTAATCATCGTCGACCAGCCACGGATCGACCGCTTGCTCGCCTCGAGACGCCGTTCATGGTGCCTAGCACGCCGGAAGAGGAATCCGGACAAGTCGACCTGGTTGTTTTCGCTGAAGGCCTCGTACAATTCAGGGGCAAGTGGTTCCTATACTACGGCCAAGCGGACAAGACGATTGGAGTTGCAGTTGCGGATGTGCAGCAATGAATGGAGTGCCATAGGAAACTGAGTCGAGGGGATATAGAAGAAGATTATATAAATTCCCTAAAGAAGAGTGATAAACCAGAAACTTCGCTCTCGCCCTGAACATCCATGTCTCGAGTGTGTTGATTCGCATATATCCTTCATCGTCGAGATGTTCATTCCTCGGACCAATACGCATCGGGGGAGTGGAAGCATGCTGGGCCGTCCAGGTACTGTAGCTGGCAACCGGCACGGGAAAGCTTTGGGGGTGTAGCATGGGCACTCGAGATACAGGAATATATATATAGATGCAAACGCCTATCGAGACCAGGAGAACGACGAGATCTGTGTAATACCTACCTGCCTGCTTGCATACCTGTCTACTCTCGCTGCTCTCGGACCTTCTGTCGTCCAGAATCGAACCGTGCGCATTCATTTACATATTTACTGTGCCAGAATCGCCATGTGGGAGGTGATACGCACCACACACCATGTGCCATGTGCCATACAGCATTCTGACTGACACCTTTCAGACCGCGTGCCTCGCTTACACGAAATCCTTGTATCGACAAATACACCTGGCGAGGCAAGTCCCAGCACATGCGAGCCATACGAAAGGCAATCCCAACTCAGGATCTTGAAAGGCGGGAATGGAATTGATCGCCTCAACACAGTCAACATCGACTCGGACACCCGTCGTATTTGAGTTGTCACGAATATCAAGATCATGATCGCTTTTGGGAAACAGCTAGCGGCTTGTCCGGGATATCTGATTTTAGAGACTCGGATGTCAAGGCGCACTGCACTGGCAGTTCCAGAAGCAGTTGGGATTGTTGTTTTAGAATCCGTCACTGGCACTGGCAGGGAATTTCAAGAGTAAGCAAGGTCATCCCTGCCATGGCCTCTGCTGGTTGCGGGGAGTTACAACACTTTGCAGCGGGCGAGACACGAATGAAGCAACCATACGATACGGATGCACAACAAAAAGATCAAAGACAAGAGATCAGATGGTAGTTTGTGGAAAAGGTGCAATTTTTATAAGGCTGTTGCAAAGCCTCGCTCGTATCTCAACATCGGCATCCATCGTCTCATCTCGTCAGTCCGACGGACTTTTTCATGTGTCCGGGACGGTTTCTTCCCCCTTTCTATATCATATCAGACCACGTGGCCGAAGTGGCTTCATCTCAAAGCTGTGACCACGGACCACTGGCCACCCAACGAGCTTTCTCAGCCCGACTGTAGAATTACCACCTCCTTCCTGTCCCATCCCAAGATCACTCAGCGTTTTCCCCGGTATCTCCACCGTCATGTGGAGGCAAGAATATGCAGCAAATGAGTGGATCTGCAAACTGACTCCGAGGAACGCCGAACAGTAAGCTTGCGCAATTAGTGTTGTACAAGAATGACCTCTGACAAAAGGGTCATTCTGCAAGGAGAGAGCAACCCTTGCTCTTCCCATGGAGCCTGCCGTGCTGGCCAATGCCAGACAAACCCGCAAAAACAAATGATTGGTAATAATGCGAATCAAGATTCAATATGCCGTGACGACGGCATCGCGTGCTCCGTATAGCCAGCTTTTTTTCGAGGCGTGGGTATCATAAATGTTGTTTGTTGTTGCCGTTTGTTAACGTCGTCAAGGGAGGATCGATGACGAACTTGTGTTCAAAAACGATTTGGCGTCATACTCGTAGTTGAGCTGCGCAATAGGGATTCTATCCCTTCTGATCCGCATGCGTTCCACATACAAAGGCGTTGAGAGTGTCATCCGTCGTCATCTCCTGCCCTTCTTCTTCCCGCTGATACTCGCACTGCGGGCGAGATTATCTTTCGACATTGTCCTCGTCAGTCCGCCAATGTAGTCTTGCAGAAATCGATTCTCGGTCTCGAGTTTGTCGTGGTCGTTCTTGACCTCGTCAATCTTTTCTGCCAATGCGGCTAATGAAGACTGTAGACTCCGAGCTTGCCTTCAAGGAAATTAGTATCAAAGGACATCAAATATGGTCTGGGGCATCATACGCTTTTAGACTCTCACGAACACCGCGTTCCAGTCTCTCAATGTCTTCACTATTCCGTCTGGGACTCATTGCTCTTGCGTCGTCCGGGGGGTATTCTGGTTTTTCCCGTTGCCAAATATCTCGACCTTTTGGAACAATGATAGAATGGGACCGCTGCCTATCCCCCATTCGAGGTCTTTCCATGCGACCACGGCGCGACGTCGACCGAGGGGACTGCGGTTGAGAATTGTTCTCAGACTCCGAGGAGGAAGAGGAGCAAGATATTGAGGGAGTTATGGAAGGTCGGTGGAGAGTGTCCGCTGAAATGTTTGATCCCAGAACGATAGGCTCTGGTAGGAAAGCCGTAGCCTGGGGCGATGATGGCGAACTGTGCATTGGGGTTCGGTGGTAGGTACGGGATAGGTCCTCGCTATCCTTCTAGTTGTCTTGCTTGTTTTCAAAACTCGAGTCGGCGTCAGTTGTGGTGTTGCCGAATGACGCATTGGCCCTCGCTTCGCAACCCTGGAATATCATGCACTGACCAAGGTCCGGTGCAGTCTTTACGAGAGTTGTCCTGACATCCCACAAGCACCTGCTCGACTGATATGGGCCAGAAATGGCTATATAAGGCGGAATGTTCAAACGTTAAGGTGGGAGGAGTGACGGTGTGAGTATCTCAGGTATCTGACCTGGCGCTTGGCGGGGGAGGTCGTAGGGACAGTAGGTAGTTGTCGGGCTCCCAGCAAAGCTTTTGCGTCTGGTCGGGTGGGCGGCCGGTGGACGTTTGAGCGTGGGCGGGAGAGTTAGGTCGTAGTAGGGTGGAGGATGATTTCCTTGAATAGGACGATCACTGCGGATTTGGCAACGAAGAGAAGACCTTTTTCGGGGCAACAGTGAGAAAGTTCCCAAGGATGGGTACGCTGCCAGGGATGGTCGGCGGGATGGAGGTCGGTCAGTGCTTAGTGCTGGAGCAAGGCGTGGTATGAGTGGGAAGACTGTTTGTGGATCGTTTACTTAGGTGGCTTGACCTTCCCCTGCAACAAGTTACGTCGTTCGTTTTCGACGCTCCACCAGATGACCTTTTTCGGGGCTCATCTGATCGACAGCAACGGAGGCCTTTGACTTGTGGATTCTCTGAGGATTATTGGACGAGGTCGTGTCTTCTGTTGTGGATTTGCACTTCCACGGGCCCAGAAAAGGGATTATGTTTCAGTCAGGCAAAATCCCTTCTCTTCAGCAGTATGCCAGTGCTTTGTTCAGGACTGAAGTGTTTCGCAGTCGGTGTCAAGTCGGAGGTCAAGGGTCAAAGCCGTCCTGGGGTCGCGGTGGCGTAAGGCTGGTCGCCACGGGTCGTTCGCGAGAGTTGGTGACGCTGAAGGCAACAGCGAGGTGAACCGTCAACGTGGTCCAATTCTTCCAGGACCCACGCTCTACTATGTCAGAGCGGCAAGGACAGAAGAAAAGACAAGAGGAGGTTGACTTTGATGTCCACTGCACGGCGAGTCGGCGAGTCATTCAGTCAAATGAGAAGAGGTAGAAAAGAGGAGCAGTCTATCAGACGGACACCTGGGCGGACTGTGAGCTGGTGGCAGGGAGAAAAACTGCCTAAGCGAACCCGACTACCTGACGGAGATACCCAGTAGCCTTAGGAGCCAGGGATTAGGTGGCCATAGTTGGTGATTTAGGGGTACCCACGACGCCCGGAACACCTACTAGAAGAGGCTGGCTAAGGAGCCTTAGGTGGACGCCAGTGGGTGAATAGCCCGCCAAAGAGGAGTGTTAAAACGGTCGGGCAACAACTAGTAGCACGGCCCTGTGGTTCCATCACAGCCAATACAAAGGCGCAGTGCAAAAAACCGAGGGGGTGAGACCTCTGCAGATTGACGTAGTTGATCATCTTGCCGCTGTATCATCAAATCATCCCTACCAGGAATCCATCTCTCTCTACCAGGCAACTATCGTCGCCGCGGCGTCGACAGATCTACACATCGTCGAGCTGTCTAATCCCGTCTCGAGCTCGATGGTACATCAACATCTTCTTCTCGCTTCCGACGAATAGGATGGTAACCTAGAATACACAACGGTCCTCGTATTGCATCCCCTCCGAGCGAACGAGCGAACGAGTGGACCAAGGCTGGAAAGGAGGAAGGCTCTTGTTTATTGCACAAACCGTTACAAAGAATATCAAGGTATCCTGTACAGAGTATACAGGCTCTGGCACGAGGAAGATATCTCGCGTTGGCCTTAAACATACTGCGTGTCATTGGTTTTGCACCGTCTGTCAACCGACGCTTCTTGAATTCACTAAAACTGGCCCGCAACCACACCGAGTGGAGGCAACTTTGAATTAACAAAGAGATCGTCCTCTCTAGTTTGCTAGGCGGTGAGTGGGCTTTCCCCCGAGACAACTTGAGTAACGCGCTATATGGCTCAGGAGAAATGAGACAGAGTCTTGTCCACAATAATCTTGCACTGCCTACAGAGCATTGAAATCCTCAGATTTTGGACATTGAAGAGGGCCCAAACCTGAGGCAGCAATGTCTAATAAGCCACGCGACTGACGACCATGCTAAAAGAGGTGTTCTCACAGTTCACGACCTGTGTCTCAGGGCTCTCATCGCCGCCACCACAATGACGCGATGGCCCGGAAAGAGATCGAGGACAACTCCCACTTGGTATACCCCTGGGCCTGTTCAGTGTTGTGGGATCTTGACTTTGACCGAGCCAACGAATCAGAGGCCTCGACACCCTTGCCAAATCCGCCATCCTCCGTGTCTGTGGTATTAATGCCTCAGACGTGCGGTGACGCAGGGACTTTACCTTTTTCTGGACAGCCGAGTCCCTGCGTCCGGCTACACAGATTCAAGGGTTTGGAGAGTTTCCTGCGGATATTCCACAACATGTCATATCACCCTTACCACTGTTGCGGATGGAATAAACTTCGAGGCGGAGAACACCTGATTCAGAGTACCAACATAACAGCCTCCCGTACTCTCGGCATCACTGGCGACCCAGCATACAACTCCCTACTTCTGTCCCCACGGTGGCACAAACGAGGTCCTTTTCTCGAAGGTGCACAGGTGTTAAGCCCAACCTCCAATGACGCCATCATGGCTGGTTGTTGTCTTGGTTTCTGCAGAAGTTCTACTCAATAATGATCGCCAACGTAGCAGATTCCTCCTGTTTGGCCGCCGTCGGGGCCGCTAGCTTGATGATTGTCAACACACGACTCTGTACTTGCTGGCTATTGCAGGGTGATCTTCGCCCTGAGCCGGACTCTTCCCGCCCAGCAACACCTGTTACTGCCGATGCACGATATCTTACCTGGTGTACGTATTGCAGTACTTCGAAGAGCATTGTTACCTGGCCAATAACAGGGCATTCGCGGATTCTTCAGAGATTTCTGGTACAATGGAACCCCCGGTGGGAAATGAGGTCGAGCAGCTCCCCGGATTGCCCCGGCGCGATGTAAGCCTTCCCGATTGCTGATCTGCACTTGAATGTCTTCATCCGTCTTCAAAGTTACACTGCCAGCAGTTCTGCCACTTCAGTTGTGGAAGGATGGAGGTCCCTTTCAAAACGTGAGCCTTTAAAGGATTTGGGCAGGACATACATGCTTCATCGCTCCACAACGAAGTACATCGGTTTTACGCCATGAAAGCTTCCACTTCCCAGCTGCAGGATGATGGACTCATTTCTTGGTCAAAGTTAAGACCATATTGACTTGGGGAACTCGCTGCCATAGTCAAGTCCTCGTTTACCTTACGATAGCAGGCTCGAAGGATCACTTCCCTTTTAAGCAGAGGCGCTCTCAGCCACTCTACCTGATTCACAATGGTATGGTACCAGGCCAAGGCTTCGGTAGTAGCAGCTAAGTCGATGGAAATGAAGCCTCCATTCCAGGCTTTGGGTTCCCTGCATATCTCAGAGGACCTCACAGAAGTGAGAGGGGGACGCACACGGTAAGTTAACAATAACCAACAGTCGACAACGACGGCGTTTCCTTGAAGATTGGGCAGAGAATCACCAGGGTTAGAACCCGCCGGCGACATTGACGAGGGTCCACTCAACGCAAGTAGGAGTATACCACTGGCGGTCAAGCTCCATCCATCCTCTCATAGTGTCGATGATGTCTGGCACAGTCGATCCTGGATCCGACAAGGTCGCACTCGCGAGCTTCTGAAGTATTGCCTTCGCCTTTATTGAATAAGGCCAGCACTTCGCTTCTTGTCGGTCATGACATCCGAACAGATATTTGCTTTGGATCCCACTCATCTAGGCACGCCAAAGTATTGGCTGACTTGCGAACTGACCTGAACGACTCAAGTCTCGGCCTGGGGCGGGTCTCGCTCTCCATGCCGGCGGCGGTGGAGGCATGTCGGTGTGACTAGCGCTGGTATCAGGAGAAGGTTCGATGATGCAGTCAGCAAAGTCTGGTTTTAAGGTGGACTCGAGACACTACAGAATCCGGTCCAGATACGACGCAATGCTTGAGGAGATGATATTAACAGGCGCCCTGGGCTGCCTTTCCTCGGACGGGCTAGACGACGACTCCTAGGAAAGGCAGACCAGGGCGCCTGTTATCAACTTTCTTATAAACTGAAGAACAATCCCCAGTCGAGTTCTACTACCGCTTGAGGAATGTACCGAACGGCCAGCAGGTGTTCTGAATCCGGTACATGCCACCACGGGGATGTATAGGGCTTTAGCCTTTACATTGATCAATTCACACGGCCAGTGGTGCACTTGTGCCGCATTGTATATACACTATATTGTGACTGTCGACACTGTCCATAAGTTTGGGGAGGTTGAAATATATATACGCATCGGTACAATGGTTCTTCTTGATATTGAGAGAAGGCCGATATTCGGCCCTTCCCCTATCATCTTCTCCGTTTCCCCCCTCATCCTCTCCAGCAATCTACCGGCCTATAGTTTGTCATCCATCTCTGATTATTGCTCATTTCCGCGACATCGGTGGCCTGGACATTGACCACACCCCATACATACATTGATTGCGACCGTCAAAGAACATTAACTTAGCAACGTCGGCCTCAACCAAAACCGTCTTCGGGCCCATTCATCACTCAGTCCGAATCAGATCATCTCAGACCCGGCACGAAGGGCTATCAAACTCATCCATCATGATCACCGGCCTCGCCCATATCAACCTCACCGTCCCACAGGGCACCTTATCCGCTGCCACAGAATTCTACGGCAATACGCTTGGTCTGACCCAGCGTCCCGTGCCAAGTTTACAAAAGGACAGGTTAGCTTGGTTCGACATCATTCCCAGCGAGGAGAAGAAGAAGGCAAAGGAGAACAGCAATGGCCTTGACGGAAGTAATGGTGAACGAACCCTCCCGTCAAATATCTAGCCGGCAACGGCCAGTCACAGCTCTATCGTTGAACCAGAACCTAATCCTAACGTCGAGCTATTGCTGGTGTGCCTAGGTCACCCGAGTCCCCCGTATCAGCAGCTCCATATCGCATTCGGACCAGCCGTCGAGTTTCTCAAGGAGAATCAGTCCTCGCGTCATCCGTGTTTCAGGCTCGCATCGCCCGAGGCGCTACTTGAGTTGAGGCAGAGGATTTGGGATCATTTCTTGAGAGGTGGCGAGGGCGCGCCGAGGGAGGCGGACGAGCCCGGGACGGAGAATAGTGGTGAGTACTGTTGAAATCCTGGATTGAGTGAGTGATTGCTTGACGTGGGTGCGCTGTCTGATCAGGGAGCTGGCTGCCCCTTTCAAGTTTTTATGTCGATTAAGTGTGTCCTTCGGTGTTTCTTTTTCGATTTCGACATCCCTCGTGGCGTCTTTCCCTATGTTCCTGATTATTTCAAGTCTTCTCGTGTCTACAATGTTTTCCACGGGAGCCAAAGCTAACCATCTTGCCTGTGCTTTTTGCAAAAAATAGGTTCGAAAGGCGTCGACTACCCTCAACGCTTTTTCGCCCGGGACTATGCGGGCAATCGGCTCGAATTTAGCCTTTAGATCTACAGCAGCCCGGCCTCGACGACCCCAGATCGAAGCCAGCGTCGGCAAAACAATGGGTTTCCAGCTCCCATGAGGGGGACCCTAGAAGTGTGCATCGGAGTGATGAGCATGGTGGAGAATAAAGCAAGGCGAAGCTGAGGACGACCGTGACCCCCTTGGAATGAAGAAGGGCTTCTAAGACCATGACCTCTGAGAAAAGGCAGCTGGAACTTGGCAATTTGGCCTAAGTATTCCTTTGAAAGTGTCGAATTTCTAAGGATTCGGCGCATGGCGTGGGATACTGGTGAGCTGGAGTTCGGGGTCCATGACGGAATTGACACCTGAATATGCCCGTGTGAAAGGAAGCACCGAAGTATCAGGTAAGGAGACATGCTTTGTTATCAAGGTTTATTGAGATTCTAAGCCTGCGCACAATCCACGCCTATGTAGATGGCTATCTTATGAAGACCGGGACCAAAGATATGATTCGAGTCCGCGCAGGAACACAGACGATGGAGGTTGAGGAAAGAGTCTATTTGCTGCGCAAGACAGACAATGCGAAATGGAAACCCTCCAGCATGGTGCTAGAGCATGGAAATTCAATTCTGCTTTCAATGCGCTTATGCTCTGAGAGACTGAGAATGTGTTTACATTTGGATCTCCTCTGATCTAGCCTTTGTTCCATGCAGGCATTCCATGCACTCCAGCTCGAGGTTCGCTCAGGCTGTCAGTTCCTCCATTCAGGTTGGTGATTGCAATTCCACCGATATCCTCAAGCCTTGCTCATGGACTTAAACCTGAGGTCCAGGCCCACGCTCATGCTCAAGCTCCGTCGCAGTCTCTCCGACCCACCATCCATCAGCACAATGACATGATCAGAGACGGCAAGTACTAAATCGCCAGCACAGATCGTAGAAACCGATGCATGGAGCTTCGCAAAGCAATGTCGACTCCGGACCGCAAGAATGTATAGCTCGCAGCTTTAGTCTCGAATCTCGATAGGTGTAGACCGTGTAGTTGACACCTGACTGCCACATTGCTCATCTCGAATGTGATTTCACCATCACAGAAAAGGACTGGTGTATCATCTACTGAGCGAAAGTAGGTATGGCATTCGAATTTCATCACACCATTTCCAGGCATCGACTCAACCCCCGGCTGCGAACGTGGACAGTGTGATGGTTGCTGTCACTGGCGGTGTTTGCGTCGTGGACCCAGTGGCAGTGACATTGGATGATGGCGGGAGAAGTCCAGGTGTCGCCAAACTGTCGTTCCTAGAGAGGCCAACGTTTGGATGTGCTGCGTGCCATTTCTCACAGCGCCTGTCAAGCCAGTTGCCGCTACAATTGGCGACGAAGATGGTGTAGACGCCGAAATCGGACATGAAGAAGTTGTCGCCGCCGACATAGTGGTGGTTCCATTCGCCTGCGAGGAAAAGTGTGAGTTAGTCCAGAGAGTTTCTCGTTCTGATAGAAATGGGCACAGGAAATCGGGAAATGAGAGAAAGAATGTTCAGACGGGACAACGATGGCAAGCCGTGCCGATGGAGGAGGCCGAATTTTGAACATACATCTGTTGATAGTGCTGCGAAGAGCTCCAGTGCAGTTGTCTCGCTCGCACTGTTCATCCGTGCCCTCGATGTAGATGACACCGTCGGCCCACCATGTTTTGGACCGAGACATTGAACCAGCCGCAATCAGTCCCGACAGTTCGATCTCGGTGTAATTCGCAGATCCCATCTCCTGGGTCAGCTCTGTGGGTAAGTGCACCGAGGAGAATTCGGCTCCTGTTGGAATATGGCCATGGTTAACTTGCTGTTTCAAAGCTTGGGATGAAGGAGTGTCACTTTGGGTAGACGATACCTTCGACAGGATAGTTCTCTGGTTTGGCAAGATCTTCGCAGAAAAGGTCGGCAAGACGCATTGCCGTGGGCGGGTCCATGTGCCAGTCGCTGCCGCTGGTGTTGCAGATGGGAGAACCGGTGTATGTCTTGGTATGTGTGTAGGTGGTGGTGATGGAAGGCGAGATCGTCTCTTGATTGACTTGCGGACGGCATGAGATGGGCAAGATCAGCACCGCGAGGATGAAGACGAGAGAAGAAAGTGATATAGAACGCGCCATCTTGTCCAGGAGAGGCAAGCTGAGTAGAATAAGACTTGATGTTGATCCGAGAGTTGTGGGAAGAGAAGAGGAAGGCAGGCAACTGTGAGAGAAGTATTCAGCAGTCGGCTTTGGTACAAGCAAACCACGGTTGAGCCGGCAAGAAGAGATCGAGTTGAGACCTGACGCGTTAGAAAGTCGAGTGAAGCGGAAAAAACACGGTCCTTGGTTGGATCATGAACAGGTAAGGCGAATAAATTGATCAGTGCTGCAAGGTTGACTGAGAGATACATGACTGGTAATAGTACACAAAGAAACTCGTCTGCTGGCGGAAGATTGATATGGATAGAAACGAGAGGATATTGTTGTCGACGGTGGCACAACAGCATGCTGCCCTACCGTCCGGTTACAGTCGAGACGCCCGAGGAAAGATGACATGTTGCACCTCCATGTTGTTTGGGGTATACTATTCGATGGCCAGGAGGTTCTGCTCCCCTTGGGCCAGTATTCCAGATATAATTCTCGGGTTCTTTTGCCAGGCGACTTCACTTGCTGCGGGAGCAAACAACTGCCTCATTTGTGAAACCTGGCAGACACATTTCTTGGACAGGAGTTCTCTTCTAAAGACGGGAAGGTACACCAAGGCCCCCGTCCCAGTTGAGTAACCCGTCAACACGGTTCACCAAAATCCGGAGCCCTTTCATGTTGATGGGAAGCTGTAGGAACATCGACCGCTACAAATGCGGCAGACAAGGGCAAATCTCATGCCTGATATGTTCACCAGGTTTTCGAAGATTCTCCCAAGCATTCAGGGCACTGTCTCTCCAATAGACTATGCCGCAGCTCGATAGAAAAGAGGTCCAAGTCTTGGAAAGCCGTCCTGTGAAAAGGGGGAGATCAATTGTGAGTCATGATTGTTGTGTGCAAGGTTTGGAATTAGATGAATGATTATTTCTCAGTCCGCAGCTCGACTTCGGCTGATCGATGCAAAGCGTGCTTGTAGCTCGAGCTCGAAACGCCATGGGCTATCTTTGTTTCTCTCCCAACCCCCCAGACAACGCGTGGTCCTTCCAGAGCCCGATGGAGATTATTTTCTTGTGCCACCATTTGTGCGTAATGCTCATGCATATGAGAAGGTGTCTTCTAACCTGGGGCTGAAGCTCGTCTTCTCGAGTCCAGATGGTCGCCACGCTGCTGCAATTTCTTCTGCTTGATATTTCACCAGCAAACCCCTTGAGAATATTTTCCATGGATTGTATGTGCTTGCTTGCCTACCTAAAATGGCCAGTTCGCTGAGCACCATGGGTCACCAAACATTTCCCCTTGAAGACCGTAAAATCGAAAACTGCGGTCAGAATAAGGCTTCGGGGGCTAACAGCTAGACGACCTTGGCTGTTGATTTGGTTTTCATCCCTCATATACTAAAGGAACATATTCTCTTTCGCAATCGACCATAGGATCAAGAAAGCAGCGCTTCCCGTTCGCTCAGCGGTACTTAAGCTTGATACCGGTTAGTTAGTACTAGAGTGGGTGACCATCTGGGAATCCTGACTGTTGATTGTTTTTGCCAATTTGCGTAAAAGGTGCTTTCTGATGCTGAGGCAAGCTCGATGTCCATCTCGAGACGTCGTTTGATATTGGCAGCCACAGCCCCAGTCTGGGCTCTTCCATGTCAAGAGACAGTTAAGAAGTGGAGCAGTCTTTATGAACTCTGGCATGATCGCAGTAAAACAGGATGTCAAGCCTCCTACTTGTGATTGTCTTGAAAGATCTTGCTTGGTGTGTCCACAAACTCGACGTGTGCGTCATGTGTGTTGCTGCCAGTCGGGGAAATTGATCCGAGTCGTGGTCTGCTCATACGAGGTGGGTCGGTGGCAGCCGGGACCAGTGCTCACTAAGGCATCGTGCCTTGAAACAACCTGATACCAGTGGCGGACAGGTACCCAGCAAAGTACAGGTACGCAAGCGTTTCTGGCACGAGCAGGACTCGGAGCACTGGCATGAGGCTGGGGGCAAGGGATGAATGTGCTGGTGCATACAGCAGGACGACTGTTGTTCCAGCAAGGACCACACCATGACTACATTGATGTAGGGAGTTGTCCAAGCCAGGACACTCCTGCCTTTCAGCGGTCAATGGCAGTATACATCTACAAAGGTTCCGCGTCTGATGAAGTGATGACTGTGGATGATAAGGAGCAGCTCGGCATAGTTGCTATATTCGATTCTCATTTCACGCTCCAGGTGCGCTATTCCTCTTTAGGCGGGTTGCCATTGTGCCTCGGCTGTTCAACTGCGCAACATCCGCAGTCTCGTTCCCCAGACTATGAACATGCGGGAGGATGATGACTCTCCAGAAAGTCTAACCATTCTTACTCTCGGCTATCCCGTGGGTACCTGACCATCTGAATATCTCTATATGGTTTTCAATCGTCCTCTGAAGCCTTCGACCCAGTAGCCGCCCCCTCTGATATTCTCATTTTCATTTTGAACGCTTACTTCCATAACGACAGTTCACACAATGGGCAGCGCTAAGCAGGATGTTGAGCTGGAGGACTTTGGCAACATCTTCAGCCTCGACGGGAAAGTTGCTGTTGTGACCGGCGGTAGTCGAGGTCTTGGACTCAACGCGGCATCTGGGTAAGCAATTGCAATCACAAGTCTTCGGCGCGCCCACTAACGATTTGTTTCCAGTCTCCTTCAAGCTGGCTGTTCAAAAGTCTACATTACCTCTCGAAAGGCCAAGGCTTGCGAAGAAGCGGTTGCTGCGTTGAATGCCCTTCCCAACAAACGCCCTGGCGCAGTCGCCATTTCCGTTCCCGCGGACGCCTCCAAAATCTCCGAGATCGAGCGTTTGGCTGCGGAAGTAGCAAAAACAACGGATCATGTTGATATCCTCTTCGCCAACGCTGGGGCCACATGGGGAGCTCCCTTCGAGAAATACCCTGAGGACGCTTTCAGCAAAGTCATGGACCTCAACGTCAAGAGTGTCTTCTACACGGTCCAGAAATTCGAGTCACTGCTGAGGAAAAATGCCACCACCGCCAATCCTAGCAGGGTCATCGTGACCGGAAGCGTGGCCGGGCTGGGTGTGGGGTCGCTGGGCGAGCATGGAACATTTGCCTATTCTGCATCGAAGGCCGCAGTGATTCACCTGGCGAAGAATCTCGCCGTTGAGCTGGGTCCTCACGGAATCATCACCAATGCCATTGCACCGGGCTTCTATCCGACCAAGATGGCTTCCGGCTTGATGGAACTACAGGGTGGACAGGCCGCTCTGGCAGCTGAGGTGCCGAACAGGAGACTCGGCCACCCCGAAGACATGGCGGGCCTGGTTGTGTTCCTGTCTAGCAGAGCTGCTTCCCACATCAACGGTGCTGTCATCACGACGGATGGAGGATCTCTCCTTTCGAGAGGGAAATTGTAATTATAGAAAGCTCCCCACCTATAAATATATACTCTATCTACTGGGTGTGATCCTCCCCCGTCGTGTTTGGCCATGGCTTTTGATGATGCAAGCCGTGACCTGTCTATCATATATACACTCTCAGAAACTCGACCAGCGCCATGATCGCCATGGCTTGACCATACGGCATGCTGGTCCTCTCTATGTTGATGTAATGCTTCAAGTCGTGTCCCATGGCAGTCCCAAAGCTGGTATCCATCAGCTCTCCATCATCACTGATCCGCCGAATCACAGCCTTGACCGCTTTCATAGCAACCGCCGTATATTCTTGAGAGATGTATCGTTTGCGAATGGATTTCAACAAGCCATACGCAAAGCCAGCGGTGGCCGACGCTTCGAGATAGCTCCCCTCCTCCTCCGACACGTCAAGCAAGGTCCTCCACATCCCCTCCTGCGTCTGCAAGGAACGCAGAGCACGACATTGAGCCTCCAGGACAGCCACCAGGTACATTCTCAGCCCGTCGTCCGGCGGGAGATCCAACAATTCGATGAAATCAGGAATGGCAATCGTCAGCCAACTGTTCCCTCGGGCCCATCTGGCACGGGCAAAGTTGTGGCCCAGTCCACCCGGCGCCCTGTCGTCGAATTGCCAGCCGTGAAAGAACAGCCCGGTCTGCGGGTCGTAGAGGTATTGTATGTGGAGCAGGAACTGCCGTTTGGCCTCTTCGACGTAGTGTGGACGGTGTAGTAATATTCCGATCTTCGCCAGCGGCATGACAGTCATCACCAACGTGTCGTCCCACAGCTGGTTGTGGTTTTCGTCAACATACGTGATGTGCTGCATCCCACCGAAAGTCGTCCGTGGAAGCTCGTACATGGCCCATTCCGCCCACGAGTCCAGCCAGGGGAGATAGCTCTGCTCGCCCGTCTGTTCGTAGAGATGGGCCAGCGTCAGGAAGACGGCCATCGTGTTGATGTTCTTGGTCGTTCCCTCGGCCAGGCGCGCCGAGAACCAGTCCTGGATGATCTGAAGCGTCGAAGTCGAAGACTTCAATGCATGGTACTGGTAGAGGCCGTATAGACCGATTCCGTGCGTCCATTCCCAGTCGTTCCATCCTTTTGTATCGATGATTCGCCCGTCCGCGAGGGTTTGCAGAAAACGTCCTTGCTCGTCCTTGATGTTGACGAGGTTGTGAATGAGGAGATCAATCTTGACGCGAACTTCTTGGGCTCTTAGGCCTTCGACTGTTAATGGAGTCGGCATTGTCGTAGCTACGATAGGTATCACTCGGCCACTGGGTCAAGGATGTTCTCGTCTAAACATTATATTCAAATTATTTGTTGGTCGCGCCTCGCACAACTCCACATAACGGTGTCAATTACTCCGCGCACCGAGATAGCCCGAAACCACCATCTCAAGTGCACCCTGCCCTGTATACTACCCGGTAGCAGGCTCGAGACGAGCCTGACTGCCCATGGGGTAGGTGGGATAGTCCAGGAACCAGATGTCCAGTTTCTGGGGTAAAGTTTGGAGGCGATCGATCCCTGTTCATCTGTTGTCCTTCTCTTCTCTTTGATCATAGCGAGGTAAGAGGGATATGTTCGGCAGAGCCAGGCCTGATGCTACATGTGCCACATACTCCCACATCGATACTCTGCTATATACACTACACGAAGACAGATCCAGAAGTGGGGCATCTGTGAATCTTCCTTCAAGTCAGACCCTCTGGATCTGGCAAGGTAAGTGGTGAAGAATTTCAATATCACTTTCTACCTTCCACATCACCATGGTCGGCTCCGATCGAATGGCAGCAGATAATCAGGTGCGTAAAGAATCACCTGACATCGTCGAGAAAGAACCTGTCTCGCAGATCGAGAGGGTGCTTGAGAATCTGCCGTCATTACTGCTGAGTTCGACGTGGTTAATCAAGAAGACCGGCCAAGATTGCACGGTCGTGGGACTCTTTGTCATTTTCCGTGACTTACGTTGTCTTTGTCTGCAATGGTCCAACTCAAAACTGACTTGATCTCAGACCTTTCCTCGGAACGGTGGTGCTCATGAGCGTCAAGAACAAGCACACGGGGACCAAAGTCAGCCTCTTATTAGCTACTATATCGTCCTCTCCTTCTGGGATACGCAGACTGTAGCAATAAGCATAATCTATAGCAATACTGGAGGACAGACCAAAAAGACCATTGTCGGGTTGATGAACTTTGTGCCATAATGCACCAGCAACGCCATTGGTACGGGACGAACCCAAAGAGGGCTGCGAGGAGAACGTGCTAACTCGGACATTATCTAGGTCCTCAAGTATTTCTGTCGTATGATGCACCACGATACTTCGTCGCCTTCGCCACTCAAATGGGTTGCTAGGTACACACTCTTCGTACTCGTCATTGCCTTCCTGCGATTTCATCTGCGAAACCAGAATCGCAAGAAAGATGGGCTGGCATCTGCCGTGATCAGAGAGAGGCGACCGACGATCACTTCGTGCACGCGTTTGAGGTCTTGACGGAGCGTGAGAACCCGAATTTCAGGTACAGCTATCGAGTGCGCATTCGACACATGTTATTTACGGGGTTCATATCGGCCGATCGTGGTAGAGAAAATGGTCACTTGGGGAAATAATGCCATTAAATGATTGTGGTGAAACAAGGTGAAGGGTCGTGGAGAAATAGATGTGAAGACTGGAAGAGGCGCAGGCAGGTGTGAAGCCCCGGATTATCACGTGCCACATGTGATCTTTGTGGCTGAGTGGTTGCCCCGTGCAACTCGTGCCTGCCGTTCTTATGCAGTCAACAAGTCAACCATCGCTCCTTCCTGCTTGATCTGCGAGCACTGACTATCGCTCCTGCCGCTAAAGATCAACAACTGTCCGTGCTTCACGCAGCTACCACGCACTTCACGCACAGGACAGTTACCACAATCGTATCTATGGCACAACCGTCATCTTCACCTTTTCCACCCGCCGTGGAAGTAATTGAAGACTTTCCCCTTCAATATTCTTCTCCGCTTTCACTACGGAAGCATCCATGTCCTTCTCCACACGCTCCACCTGCGACCAACCTTGCGCACACTTACAACTACAATTTCTCTGGCTCAGTGTACGATGAGACCACTTCAGGTGCAGAGGTGGAAGATCCATCTCCTGAGCCGGCGGAGGAACAAGAGGAGGATCTACTAGACACCGAACGACGCATCTCGGGTTGCTCATCTATTTCGTCATTCCCTGCCTCCGTGTCGCAGCACCTTTCTTCCAGACAAAGTCAATATGGAAGTCCAAGCACACCGAGCAAGCCTCACGCGGAAGCACCCCAAGCTGCAACGTCACCCACCGGTATGGGGAAACCCAACTCACCTTTTCGCCACCCTAGCAGCATCAGGGCTTTGCAAATGAGAGATGAGGTGCTGAGTGATACCCAGAGTGTCCTTCGCCATCACAGATATAGTGGCTCTCAGAGGTCGTCTTCCAGCCGCAGGACTGCTTACTCTCCACGTGCATCTGCAAAACGATCATTCAGGTCGAGTGGGGGATCGCCTAATAAAGCCAACAGCAGTGTCAAGACCGAATTTCCTCTTGTACTCCTCCACTGCACTCTACTGCCACCCGCCTTACTCTCACAATCGACTGCTCAGGAAGACTTGATAGTGGAGCTGCTGCCGGAAGAATACAAGAGACGATGGACTACATTACGAGAAAAACTTGTCGGAGATGTAGAAGTCAGAACGAGAGGAATTCTGATACCTCATCCAAAAGAGGACTACGACCTTCTGGAAGAACGGCTCCTGGAAAGCCTTGATCTTCAACATCCTCGCATCCGGCATGACCACTACTTCCAAGCCGATCCTGCTGGGACTGACAGTGGATTTGAGAGCGGTAGCCTCACAGGAGACGAGGTCGAACAAGATCGCCCACATGACAAGTGTCCCGATTGTGGCCGCCCGGTTAATACTGGCGAGGTTACACGCAAGTGGGATGTCAAAGTCTTCGCAGCAAACGGCTTAATGCGAGCAGGAGCATGGGCCGCGGCATGGCAAGAGATGGAAAAGGTCGACGTGGAAATCAGAGTATGGTTACCCCAGGAGATGCGTCGGGACCTGGAGGACAAACTTGCTCTGCTGGGAATCACACCACCTGAGGTCATCCAGCAAGAGAATGCACCCGTTTTTCAAGACGAGCATCTCCATGCACGGGAAACAGAGGTCTATGGCGAGCCTGGCCGACATCGAGGTCTCTCAAACTTCCACCCCTCCTATGACTCAAGTCGACCCCAGGAATCGACTGTGCCTGTTCCAGTCTTCGCATCCATAGTCGAATTGAGCGCGCTGATGCTAGGCTACGCACGGGGGTTTCGACACGGTCGCAAACCTATTTTGATCGGCATATTGAGTTTTCTCGTCTTGTTGTTTGCATGGGATGGCCGGACCACCTCGCCCGATCCAAATGCGTTCCACCCAGTCCTTGACCCAAGCCGACTTACCAATGAAACTACCAGAATTGGTACTGCTACAAGCGAAGCAGGTTCAATAGCCACAGTCACCGTCACAACGTCAGTCAGCATCCAGGTACCATGCGTACCTGGTTACGAAGCACATTCCGTGTCGACAAGCGCAAGCGGAAGTCAAAAGCCTACACCAGTTGTTCTCACATCAGAGGCAGCACCGACCGTGACTGTGAAACTTCCAGAAATGCGACATTTATCTTTCCCAGTTCTGGAAGCAGCCTTAAATTGAGCCTGTCAATTGACAATTCCTCCCTGGGTCATTGTCAGTCGCGATCCATAGCGAACGATTTCAGATACCATGTGTAAATAGCGATGGTGGATAGGACACGGAAAGAGCACTTTGGACAGACATACAGGGTCCCGGAATACGAGTCAGAAAGGCGCGCCATCCATGTGGTAGATTCGGCACGAACTTGTCAGCGTACCTTCCTTTCGTCAGCTACCAATGATAGTTCTGTCTGCCTCACTCTACAGCATGAACAAGTTTCTCGAATCTGCCAAAGCAAATATGCGCCCAAGTTTTCAGGCGAGCATAGAGGCGTCGAACCATATGTCTGGCAAGGTTCGACTGACAGCCAGCCTTTGCTGGTCATGGCTGTCGCTAGCAAGTCCGCGTCAGCCGCACGCAGAGATATTCGAGCCCAACCCTAGTCGCCATCCTTCTCAGCAATCTACCACGTCCATTGGCGGACCCCGAGCCATCTGTTGGGCACGTTCCTGCCCGGCAATCCGGTCGAGGCTTTCAAGCATACGAGCCCGGGCGCTTCGTCTCTACCTACTGTGTCGGGAAAGGCGGGCACAAATCTGTTCGTTCAACCAGCCTGTTGAACTCGGAGGCGAGAGAGCATGTCGATCCGAGACTGCTCCAAGCCTGTGCAACAAAGAACAATAACGTTACTTAATCATCGGGACGTTTGTCGCGCTCGAATTCGGCAAATGCTATTCGAATGTAAGGCTGAAAAATGAAGCACAATCTACTGCATCAAATCTGGTGGCTAGTGCTCGTCAGCCGCAGTCATCAGGGCTGTTACGGGAGTCTAAATACGGGTCTAGGGGTCTCTGAAATTACTTATCTGTTAGACACCACCCTTGAAGAAATCTCAGCGTCTGCCATAACATCACTCTCCCATTTCCAGTCTCAGTGTTGGATATGTCAAGGCTGCCAATGGCCATGGGGTTTCTAGATCTCCCTTTTGAGATAAGGCTGGAAATTTACCGCTTAGTCTTCGGCCATGGGAAGGCTTTGGTAGAAGCCAATAATGAGGAGGGCATTTCATGCATCATCCCCAAGGACAGCACGTTTCGGAATCATACTGAGAGATCTTCTCAGCTCCTCAGAGCCAATCGGACAGTGCTTCTGGAGGCTCGACCGGTGCTCTATGCCAACACAATATTCCATGTCTTGTCTCATGCCTTTGCAGGGAAACTCCCGACCCGAGTCACTGATGGCCATCTCTGCGCCCCTTTTATCAATCATTTGATCTGGCAGCTGGACTGTGACATGATGAAACGCTTCTATGCTGAAGATCTTCGGTTAAACCTAGCAGAGATCGGTCAATGCATCAGTCTTGAACTTCAGTGTCGAGCGGAAACGTGGCGCAATTCGTTTCTGGGCGAATGGTGTGACCGTGAAGCCTTTGTCAGAGGACGAGACCAAGTAATCGACTATGCTCGCATGCTGCAACGTGTAATGAGCTGCGGCGATCACGGCCAGGTGAATCTTGTCGAGGATCGGAGCCAGTTGGGGCGCGGACGAGTTGTTGTGAGACTCGACGTGAACAGATCCAGTCGCGGCCAAGAGGGATTTCCACCAACGCCGCCGTCGCTGCTCTCACACTGCTGAGCGCCACTGGGGTTGCCTTTCGCTCACGGCTGGATTTTCCCCGTGTCCTGGTCCGTCTAGGATCAAATGCAGACCGCCACATCAGCGAAGAAAAGGAGAAAAGTGACATCCGTGGCCACACCAAGGTCACAGCGAATCGTCCTCCAAGGCATGGAGAAGCAAGGCCCAGCACGAGCGGCAGCCTTTCTAAATCACCAGTGAAACCACTTCGACGGGATGGGCAGATCCCGCTTCTAGCTGCAGCAGGGTTTGATATTATAGTTCCAAGCGGCAGTCATACCAAGCAGACGGCCCATGTTTTCAAATGGCAAAGCGGCCATGATCGCCGGCATCGATGCCAGCGATGCATGCATACCAAGTGCGATAATCAATATACCTGACAGTAATGCGCCACTGCGGCCTAGTCGACAGATCAAGTCGCCTTTCATTTGAGGCTTTCGGTGTATGCGCCATCTCATCAGCGCTAAACTGGACGATCTCCGCGAAGGAAGTCATGTCACAGCTGAAGGATTACCTCTCTTTATGGTCTATAGCCCTCCCTGTCGACGAGGTTGGCCATGTTCGGCATGGTGTAGAGCCTGCGCTGGGACTGATGATACTCGGCGACCTAAGTGGCGCAGAGCAACAAGGATATGTTTCACAGATCCGCCTCCACGTTTGTACATTCCCCATCTTCGGCCTCTCCGTTCTCCAGCAATGCAAGTGATGAGCTTGCGAGACAGCGATCCCATCAGCGAAACCAGGGGAAGCCACACCCCTACGTCATGAAAAGCTGTCGATAGCGAATGGTCCTGAGCTCTGTGAGCCGCTTAGGTACGAAGTAGCGTGTACCAGACCCGAAATGCAACCAGCGGGACAGAGTCTTTGTCGATCTAGTACATCCCAGCATGCCAATGTATGTAGCGTCCACCAAGTCACGCGGAGGTCACCATCGAGTCGCATTGACCATGAGTCCCTGGGGCTACTGGTCTGGTACGCCTGAGAAAGTTGTCCTCCGTCGAACGGCTGGATTGTTCAGCTCTGATCTTTTTCTCCCATTTGACGATGAGGACGACAGCTAGGGGCGGGGTTAGTCCATCGAGTTACTCATTGATGGGCAAGACAATCCTCGAAAACATTCGATAGGAGCCACGCCGTGAATATACTATTCTCCACTATTGGACGGTTGTCCCTTTGACGGCCACCTTCTAGGTCACAGCAAGCAATTTCATGATGTCGTCCAAAGTCACTGACACCTCCAGTCTTGTACCAATGTACCTAGTACCAGCACCAGCAACGCGGCGTTGACCATTGGCAAGACTCCCAGCCATGCACAAGTCACCCGGTGACTATATGGACATCCAGTACAGGGTACCCGAGAGTTCCTACTGGGTGACTTGTCCGCTGCTGTCACTTAGTTCGAAGTTTAGGCGAGCCGCGCCTGGCAACGACCATCGCATCGCATCTCACTTGGTCTCTTCCCATTTCTTCTTGTGTCCTGACTTGCATGATGGCACCGAAAGGACCCTTCTTCGCCACAGACAGGACGACACCTTGCATCTGGTCACTGGGACAGTTGCATGCCATCAGGAGGCTTGCATGCTTGAGGTGTGGATGGCTTCCATTGTCAACGGCCTTTCTCAGCTCTAGGCTGCTGGCTCCGTGCTCCAGGACCGTTTGTTCATCAGCTCCCCCCGGCTTGCTCTCACTACCCCGCAGCCATCCTGGTGCTGGTTCACCACTGCTCTGGAAAGATTTCTGTCTGGATGCATCCATGATACGTACTCATCACAAAAGCACTACCTGGAGCTACCAGCTCAATACCGACTGTCCTTCTGACCAGACCCTTGCCTCTATCAGCCTACCAGAACCCTCTGCCAGCCGGCCGCTGCTCAGAAATGGTGCCAACGGAGACCCGTATCCCTCTGGAATCCCCGCTCCCCCTCCACCTCCGCGATTCCTCCCTCCACCAGTACCACTGCTAAGTCCACCTCCACCTTTTTATACCCCAAACCACGTTCCCACCGATCATGACATGTGCCTCGAACGGTGTCCTATTTGGCTTTCAGACGCCTCAATGAGATAATTGGACAACATAGGTGCAGCGAGTGCAAGGCCGTTTCAATCTGGGACGATCACAACGTCAACGCAAATCTCAGTACTTGTGTTGCTTGTTCATCTGCTTGCCGACCCTTGTTTCTAGTTTCCAATTTAATCTCTGAATCGGCACATTGTCGCATTGTCGCGTCAGCACATAGCACATCCGCTTCGATTGTCCTTGATGTTAGTCGCCTCGATCCCTCGATCTAATCTGTCTTGCTGTTCCACCTGTTGCTTTCCGGCCAAATCTAACCTATTGGCTCAGTTCCTGCTTGAGTCCACTATCATCACAGCCTCCTAGATCTGGAACTACGAACCTAGCCCATTGCATCCGCGAGGCCATACGGGACTCGTGGTCTCACACTGGCACGGAACACAGGGGAACAAAACCAAAAAGGACGTTTAAAACAGAGGATCTGAAGACTTGTGTTATCGTCGCACTGTACCTTCAGACTTACCTGCCGGTCTTGCCTTCTCTCGCATTGTCGCATGGTCTTGATTGGGCTCAACCTCTTGGTCTCACTCTTGCTCGGTCACACCTGGGCCCCATACACGCATCTATTCCTGGCCACGGCTTCTCTCTTCTGCCTACAATTCTAGCAAGGTCTTTTGATCAAGCTGACCAGACCAAGTGGTCCCGCCTACTGTGTGACGCTCACTGGCCTTGACCCTAATACCACGTCTGCTGCTTCTTGCGACCGACGCGCGTTGTGGCTGGCTCGCCCAAGGGACCTTCCTGGACAACCGTTGACCATGCCGACGGCGTAGTCGACTTCCTTCAACATCTTTTGACTAGATAGACTGTCGTCACCATGTCGTAAGTTCTCTTCTTCTCCCAAGTGGTACATTCCAAACTGCACCGATAGACAGTCCGGGACTTTTTGCCTCGAGTCATGTTCACAGCTCAGTCGACCTCGCCCTTTTTCTTTCGTTCACCTAGGGAGCCAGGCCTGACGCTCAAGTCATCAGATCCCCTCCACCTCCCAAGAAGCAAAGACAATCTCTGACCACGACGTCGGTCCATACAGCCTCCAAGGAGGTACCAGCGACTCCTGCGACGCTGGCACCCAAACAACTCCATGCTGACCTTCACCAAACGCCCACTGCTGCCGGGAATCCTCGCAAACGACGAGCATCCCACAGTCCATTGTTGAATACCTTTCCTCCTGGCGCCGCCCCGGATTCGTCAGTGACATCCGGATCTATCCCAGCCTTGTTGGGAGAACAATCGGGCAAGAAACGCGGTCGAACGAACACTCCCTGGACAGCCCAGGAGGAGCAAAGACTGAAGCAGATGCGGGATGCCGGTCATAGCTGGAGTGAGATTGCAAAAGTAGTTGGAACATGATTTACTCCGTGAATGGCCCAATGCTCACACGAGACAGGCTTTTCCTGCCCGAACCGAAGGGAGTGTGAAGAAGCATTGGTACAAGGTAGACTGATCGGGATCGTCGAACCTGCACAGTGCTTGCTAATGCATTCTAGGACATGCACTACGCAGAATTCGCCGAAGACGAGGTATGCCTGACCCAGATTGGGGGTTTCTTCTTCCGCAGACTCGTATTGATTGACCTCTACAGTCAGTCGCACTTCGCGAGGCTATCAAAGAATACGAGGCAAACAAATGGAAGGCCATTGGGCAGAAGTTGGGCAAACCAGCAAAGGTCAGTCTTCTACCACGCCATTGGCCTATGATCTGTTCAATATCTGTTGACCATCCGCGCGACCAGGCTTGCGAGCAGTACGCAAGAGAACATTTCAAGAATGGTTAACCCGCAAGAGTCATGGTTATGTACGACGACAGGAAGCGTAGGTGTTGGACGGTCAGTCGGACGGGCTATGGGGCTGATCACCTTTTCTCTGGAGTTGCAGGACAGCCTCGAAGTGAGGAGGAAGGTATCAAGAGCTTGAGCGACAGACGATGACACAGTCGACGATTGCATGGCTGAATCGACAAACAGAGTGCACTCCTGGCACTGTTGTTGGAAAGTGCTGGACGGAAGAGGAATGGGCGAATAGTCATGAATCTGGTCCCATCAATGACATTGAAAACTTACTCTGTTGCCCCCAGCTTGATGGCCTCGAGTCTCTTTCTCGATGAGATGCAACGACTCTCCTCAAGTCTAGCACTGTCTCACAGGAATCTCTTTCGAAATGGCATGGACGGGTTGTGGGTGGGTTTGACCACAATCCGGTTGGGGTGGTTCAAGCGTCTCAGAAATCTGTCAACCATGCGACTGCAGATGCCAATAACGAGGCCAGTTCCGATTCGTGTTGCATCAAGATGTCTTGTGCTTTGTCAAACGCTGGCCTGTCCATCCTGTTCAGCTAGTAGACCCTGTAACCATGATCGACTGGTGCATTGTGTAGGCGTCGGTCGTCGCAAACGGGTGAATTGTGAAGAGTTTCTAGATGAGGCAAAGGTCCCTCATCTGGGTTCATACTTGACCTTTCGTGTAGCCTTCTGGTAGCTCATGATGCCCAGAGCCGGATCTTCCACAGGTAGGTCGGCATACAACGAGCGATGGCTACGGTACTACCTGGGTACCTGCCAGGTATCTGGTGTCTGGATGGACAATTGAAGTCGAGGAGGGATGCTTAGCTAATCACGTCTCTGGCGGATCACAGGGACCAGTGGGGCAGCTGCACTTCGACTGCTACCACGTCCTGCTTCCTTGCTCCTCCTGCTCCTGCGATACAAAATACTCATTCTCTGTAGTTTCCTACTAGGACTACAGGCCCTCGATTCTCTTCTTACGCCAATGTCGTGCCAGTGGTACATCTTTTCTGTCTTCCCACATTCATCTGTCAACCACACAGATGATGTTGTCCCACAGGCGAGCCCTTGAACTGCTTGAACGCAACTAGAATCCTTCAATCGCTCCCTTCCCTCCCTGTCTCCTGTCTCCCTCCTTCTCTGTCATGTCCTTTCTGACGACTACCTTACTCTGGTTGCCGACTTACCTTCTTCCCTTTGTCCTACTCGTCCGCGCAGCCTCGCCTCGTACCCCCGCCTTCCGCCTGCCGAGTTCCGCGTCGCACAGCATACATTTGAACACGGACTGGACATGCAACTCCACCGCCAGTATTTGCAACGTTCGGTGGTTTGCAAGAGGCAGGCAATGTCTATTCTTTCTCCTCGGGCATGGCAATCACAAGCGTCGAGAAAGTTCCTTTTCGGCGGTCAGATCCACGAATGGCGAATAAAATCTTTTGCTTGATTGTCCACAAGAGTTGAGTGTAGCATATCGTCTTCTCTATCAACGAAAGTTGACTGTACCATATCGTCTTCTCTGTCAACGAAAGTTGGTCAGACCAAATCATTCTATTGACAGTCTACAACCGTCGGACGTTTCTTCGGGTTTCACAACTGCGACTTCGCCAATGGCCTCTTAGTTCATCCTCGGAGCCTCCAATGAGCGAAGCGCAGGCTGGGACTTCGCAGACCAGAGCGACATGGGAAAGAGGAGAAATGAACGCCGTGCATGAACACCTGTTCGTCCACTCTTGTCCAACCTCTTGTCTATGCATTCGTCACTCACCGCCAATGAGGCATGGGGCGTGGACATGGCATCTTGGTTAGGGCAGTGTCAATCGGGACTGGCCACGTCGCTTCGACGTTGATACAATGGTTGTATTGCATGTACAAGACCTAGACATGGCCAATTGTCTGGAACTGACCGGCCTGCCGTTCGGGCAAAACTCCGGCGATTCGTTCTGGATTGTCTGACTTCTGGCCTTGATCACGCTCCAGCACCTCGACTCGACTCGACCTGAACCCTGCAAGGGTGAATGTCGGTGCCGTGTAGCAACCAAAAGTTGGGTTTTTCGATGGAGCCCGATGCTGACTCTGATACAGTAGGTGCTTGGCTTGCTCTGCAATTCCCTCTCCACCGCCACGCCCCGGTACATTGCGACGAAAGAATACTAAGTATCGTTACCTAGTCACTCGTCATTTTTGAGCCTGGGACTGTTCGATCGATCGTCATGTAGTGACAAGATACGAGGGCTCAGTTCAGCCGCTGCACCCACTGGCCTCCCTCCACTCTGCTCCGTCTGACCACGACAACATGGAGACCCGCACAATAATCAGTGGGCGAGGAATCACTCACACAACAACACAGATATATTGCGTTCGCTTTCCCTGCGAGGATGCATATATGTGTGTACCTTGTCCAGCAGCCATGTTTGACCATGTATGGCCACGCTCGCTACACTGGACGCTCTAAGCCTGACTCTATACCGGCAAGGTTAAACGAACAGTTGAGTCCGCATAACCGCGGGACTGCCGCTGGACGATCTCGTTGCAGGAGCGGTAGCGGTAACTGTAGCCCGGATCACAACCTGGGAGACTACAACTTTCAGGTGTTGCTACACTGAGGCCTGTGTAATCGCTGACCTTCCAGTACTATCTGAAGCTAGTAGCGTCCTCGAACGTCATTCTTGTTCCAGGCCATGCCGTGGTCACCACTCTCGAATGGTGTTGCGTTCGACATGGCTATCATGTTGTCCTCAACATGGTTTGATGAGCCCGGCGTGCCTTGTCTTCGTTCATCCCTGACAATCCTTGGCTAACCTCCCCGATTGTTGACATCTATAGTGTTCTTCTGTCTGGAAAGAGTTCCTGATTGTCACAGCACAGATTTCTCTCACATGTAACAGATTTGCTGCACAGATATGCTCATCAAACAGACATCAGCTCTGAACAGTAATCTTGGTGCCATCCCACGACGTATATACGGAGAACAAGTCGAAAGATTACCTGGGACTTGATCAGCTGGGCTTTTGCTGTCTCCCAGGTACAGGGCTTCTGTTTGCCTTAGCCGAGCACCCTATTCATCATGGACGAAAAGCCACAGGTGCGTCGTGCCGTCATTTCATACACCACGTCCCAAAAGGCATAAGCACCATGAAGAGAATGAGATCATCTCCGCCTCTTCGAAAATCCGGTTGTTGATGCTTGAGGAGGTAGGCGATTAACCACAATTAAGCCGAACAATTTCGGTTGAGCGAGATCCTTGCCTGGCTCTTCCAATGCGACGAGCGGCCACGAAGCACCGTTAGAAAGATAGCCTATCAGAGCCCATGTGCTTCCCTATCTATCACTGTATTTGAGGCGGTGGCGCAGCAGAACAGGAACCTGGGATGTGGACGGAATAGCCTGAACCAAATGTCCCAAATCGGATGTTCTGAACCAAACATCGATATATCGAGGCAGGGTACAAAGTACACTTGAAAGCCTATTCATCCTTGTCCAACACTTCTCAGCCCCAATTCTGGTCACCTGAGGGCATTTACTTTGATACTTTTTGGCTTTTTGAGGAGGCTTCCTCCCGCAATCTTCGAATCTGCGTGATTGGATTGGGCCGGATCGGACACATACCCATGGAGTGTCATGATCGACCCCCCGTTACGGGGCGGTTCCTGCATTGACCATCTCCCCCAAGTTGGGGCCGTTCTAACGCCGGAGAGAGAAAGGCGGGACAGTTCTGGACCACTGTGGCTTTCCTTCCAAACCTGATTTGAGACAAGTGACTGTGACGATGGTCCGCTAAGCCTTCAACAAGCTTTCTTGTTCTCTTGCTTTCCGCCTTGTCTCAGCCTTAACATTAGCATCAATGGACCTCGAATCTTAGACACTCCTAAAGGGAGAAAGAAACGTGAGATTTCTGAAAGAGGCTACCCGGCAGTTCAGGTACAACCGCTATTTGCACTCCGCCCAGCAAGCTGAAATCAGTTGCCCAGCGCTGGCGGCTGACAGCGAGGCTGATGGGCTTGGTAAGTCAGGGAGCCGTCAGGAGACCGTCACAGCTGTCAGCCGCTCACGCCGTCTGGCACCAAAACAAAATCCCGGGGATCTGTTTAGCGGAAGATCAACAAGATCAACAAGATGCAGGAGGGCTGGGACCAGGTCGGCTCCATTCGGTTTTGGCCCTGGGCCTTCCTGCTCCCTGGTTGAACGTACCGCCAAACACACCCTGGGGTGCAGCCACGATTCGCCTTAACTCCAAACTATTGGAAATCTGAGTCCATATCAACAATTGCCGCCGCCTTCAAACCCGTATACCACGAGGATGTCAAGGCCAGACGACAGGGCTGCTCCACAAACCCACGGATGGATGGCGGCACCCTCAGGGTAAAACATGATGTTCCCGCCTTGACAGCCTTCCTGCCTTTCTTTTTCAAGGTGATACTGTCTCTCGTTTCTCAACTGTCAGTTCCCTCTTGATATCGCCGACCTCTTCACTCGCTTGAGGGACGCCATATCGACTTTTCTTTATTCAGTTTCGTTGGACCAGGATGCATCACTCGCTTCGGCTCCTGGAGGTTTTGTTCTGTTTGTGTACCATATATGTGACGGTGGGGGCAGCCAATTCATCAACAACGATATCTGTGACGGGTGCATATAATACTTCGACATATTTCAATTCATCAACGACAACATCCAGACAGACAGCCACGTTCACGAACCCCCCTTGGCCCGAGGACACCGTTACTCATATCCTTCCCCAGTCGATATCAGATCTCATATTTCCCACTGCTGTCCCGCGCCGAGGCATTCAACCTTCGAACATCCGTTGTGGGAGATGGGGTCTACCTCAGTCTCAGACAAACGGCAGATCTCCGTTAGGTACCATTGGGAAACAGGGAAGAGGAGGAGCACCTAGGTTTCCTCCATTCATCGGTGCCCCTGGGTACGACGTTGGGACCTACGGTAGCAACGGCGCCAGTGACAGTGGGAGTGAGGGTGGAAATATCGACTCTGGTGGCAATGGCAATAGTAACAATGTCGACCAGGGCCATGGCAGTGGTTACGGCGACAACAACAATGGAGGTGGTGGGTTCGACACCGGGTTTGGAGGTGGAGGAGGTGGAGGAGGTGGTGGCAGCCGCCCGACAACTCTCCCCTGGGGTTCGAGAACTGCCAACAACACCGATCCCTATACAAATCCTCCCGTGACCGGGGTCGTTCGCAAATACAACTTTGTGATTGAACGGGCCGTCATGGCCCCGGATGGTGTGGAACGAGACGTCATTGTGATCAACGGACAGTTTCCTGGGCCTACCATCGAGGCGAATTGGGGAGATACCATCGAAGTGACGGTGGTCAACGGCATAACCAGTCCTCAAGAAGGTACTTCACTGCACTGGCATGGGCTTCTGCAAAAGGGTACCCCCTATGAGGATGGCGTCCCCGGTGTCACCCAATGTCCAATCGCCCCAGGTCAGACGTTCACCTATTCTTTCAACGCCGATTTGTACGGCACCAGTTGGTATCATGCCCACTATTCAGCGCAATATGCAGCCGGAGTCTTCGGGGCGATGATCGTTCACGGACCGACCAACATTGACTACGACGAAGACCTCGGCCCGGTGCTTCTGACCGACTATTACCACGGCAATTACTTCGACATTCTGGAGGAAGTCATGGGCACCGACCTGAGCAAAGTGGCTCCTTTCTCGGACAACAATCTGATCAACGGCAAAGGCGATTTTGACTGTTCCCTCACCAGCAACAGCACCAAGTGTACCCCCGGAGCGGGCTACTCGAAGTTCCAGTTCACAAAGGGCAAGACCTACCGCCTGCGACTGATCAACGGCGGGGCAGAAGGCATCCAAAAATTCAGCATCGACAACCACCAACTGAAAGTGATCGCTTATGACTTTGTGCCCATCGTGCCGTACACTACAGAGATCGTGACTCTCGGCGTTGGCCAGCGCGCAGACATCGTCGTCGAAGCTACTGGCACACCCACCGACGCCATCTGGATGCGCTCAGTCATCAGCAACTGCTCGGCCACGCATCAACCGTACGGCTATGCAATGATATACTACCAGAACGCCGACATCAACATCAAACCGAACACGACTGCCTGGCCAGACAATACTGACGGCTGTGCCAATGACGACCTGAGCCTCACCACACCATACTTCCCCATCACTCCGCCCCCGACCCCGGCCACCGAGGTATCGATCGACATCAATTTTGGCTTGAACGCGACCGGCCATCTAGTGTGGACCATGAACAACTCGACCTTCCGGACCTGTTATAACGATCCTGTCCTTGCTCGGGCGCAGCAGAAGGGCAGCAGCAGTACTGCCAACGGGACGGCGTTCGTGTATCCGACAGAATGGAATGTTTTCGATTTCGGCAATGCCAGCACCATCCGCATCATCGTCAACAATCTGTCGCCCGTTGCCCACCCAATGCATCTCCACGGTCATAACATGTATGTTCTTGACGAAGGCGTCGGTGACTGGGACGGCACGGTCATCAGACCTGACAATCCCATGAGAAGAGATACTCAGCAGCTAAGGCCTGCTGATCCGGCAACCGGGGAGCCCGCGTACATGGTGTTACAGATCGATGCGGACAACCCGGGCGTGTGGCCCTTCCATTGCCATATTGCGTGGCATGTTAGCGGTGGGCTTTACGTGAATATTCTGGTAAGTCACAAGTCTTCCAACTCTCATTCCTCCCTCGAGCCCCATCTACTGCGGATTGATTGCTGACCGGCTCTCTGCAACAGGAACGACCCGATGATATCCCTAACATCAAATCCCCCGATGCGGTCAACGCGCTGTGTCAGACTTGGGACGATTATACGCAACTAGGACCCATTGATCAGATTGATTCGGGGTTATGATTGGTTACAATATACATCACCCATCCTTGTATCATTCATGGCGGTTTGAAGTGCATGGCGAAGGACTATAATATGGGCTCATCTGGGAAAAGTGTTTGTTTCTTGTTTGGTCGTCGTATACTGGTACGCTGGCAATGCAGGGTCTCTTTGTTGCCATCCTACCATGGTTGCACTATAGGGTTCTGGTCCTGGTCCTGTCACGTGGAAATATAGGGTCGTCATTTGAGTGGCGTTCTGCTCGCACCGTGCCTTGCCTTGCGATGCAATATGTATAATTGGGGGCAGTACACATCTTCTTCACTAACGTGGCATACTTTGGCAGAACTGTTGTCTTGAGGAGACTAGATCATCTGCTTAATAAGTGAGACCCCTCCTGTGAGTATCACCTGCCTTACAGCTTCTATGCGATCGAGGGCCCACAAGAGTATTGAATATTGAATATTGATATTCACACATATATCTCCACCTAGCCGTTCTACTACCAGCGACAGTGCCACTATGCCATCTCTGCTCACCAATACTCATAATCTGGGCGCAAGCTTTGCTCTTTAGCTGGCGTTTCGTCGCTTTACTCTGTTTGACATGCAATAGAAGTCCTGTTCAGGTCTGCACAGCGAGCGATATAGTCAGATGTGACGACTTGCGCAGTTGATCTGAATGGATATCATAGATGATGTGATTCTGTTGCTCGGATTCCCCCAGCCTGACGGCAGACACCGCCGAGTTCGCCTCCTGACCGGTCTGGGCCCCTGTCGACTCTGGAAGTCCACTCCTGACCGGCTCACCGAAATCTCCTAAATAGGAAATTAATACAGGTTACAATTGCCTATTTCGTCGACAAATATTTTTTGCTCTTGTATCTTATCGATAAGGGACAATTTCCTCCTATCTTATCTTCATTGTTACTGCATAAGGTATAGTTCAATAACTTTTTAACACTGAATAGTCGTCGTCCTTCACGATGTTTGAGAAAGTAGTGGGAGACGACTTTGCGGAGACAGCTCCGACTCTTTATAGGAGGCGTTTCCCGTCAACGCTGGATCCTCTCGAGTTGTTTGGTGGGGACACAGTGTCACAGTGTCAGAGTGCTGGACAGCAACGCCGGCATCTTGGCCGCCTTCCAGATCGAGAAGAACCGCGGAGAAGTCCTGTTGGCTCTCTGGCCAGTCTATTTGTACTGCCAGTTGCTGGCCACCGTAAACCATTTCTTCGAGTTTGATGAAAATCATACTGCTCCAGAGGCTACTAGTATATAAATTCGTATCGAGCCCGGGGAATTACCGAGCTTGGTAGCTGCTGGCGATACACCCTGAGGTGTTAGCTTCTGGAAGCTCGACGGGAACCGCATCGCTTAATTGCTGAGCCTTCTCGGGAGTCGAGACATCACTACTATATATAACTCGACCAATCTGGCAGCCCCAACTCGACCTTGAACACAACGATTGGAGGCAGTATTGGCTGACTATCATACACACAAGAAAAACCCAAGATGGAGTCCTCCAGTCAGAGCCCTCCTCTACTCTCGGACAAAAATGCAGCAATCAACATCGTTGGAGCCGGCGTGTTCGGACTCAGCACGGCCATCCACCTCGCTCAACGAGGCTACAAGAACATCACCATGTTCGATAAGCAACCGTACGACGTATCGCGATACTCGTACTTCAAAGGATGCGACGCGGCCTCCGCCGACATGAACAAGATCTTCCGGTCCGCGTATGGCGCGCAGACCGAGTACCAGAATCTGTCGATCGAAGCCAGCTCGTTGTGGCGGCAATGGAACGAAGAGATCGCCTCCGGCAACGTGCCCGAGGGGATGAACAGTGAGAGAGACAAAGTCTTCTTGAACCACGGCAACCTCAGCCTGACCGATCAATCGACCCTCCCCGCGTGGGAAGAGGCAACAATGCAGAACATGAACGCCGCCGGCCTCACCAATTCGCAACTGAACACGTACGATCCCGCACACGTGCAGCTCGCCCAGGAGAAAGGGTTCGGATACGGGATCGACCCCTTCCACCGCCGGCAACGCGGCCAGTCGTACCTGGGCGTGCTCGACACCACGGGCGGAACGCTTCTCGCCGACAAAGCGTGCTATTTCGCGCTCCACAAAGCCAAAACGCTAGGCGTGCGAACCATCTTTGGACCCCAGTCAGGAACATTGGAGTCGTTCATTTACTCTTCCTCCTCCTCTTCCTCTCATGACACCAAAACAGTGACAGGGATCCGCACACTCGACGGGAAATCCCACTATAGCTCCTTCACCATCATGGCTTGCGGCGGCTGGACGCCCGCGCTGCTCCCAGAACTCGACTCGGTATGCGAGGCCACGGCCGGGTCTGTCGTGATCATGAAACTCCCCGACCATCTCGCGCGGCGGTATTCGCCGCACACCTTCCCGTCGTGGACATACAACATCCGCGACGGCGCCGAGGGCGGCCTGTACGGCTTCGCCGCCACGGACGACGGATACATGAAGATCGGATACCGCGGCACCAAATACACCAACCCGAAACTCCAGCACGATGGCCGCGAGCGAAGCGTCCCCGTCACGAGGTATACCGACCCCGAACGGATCACCGATGAAGTCCCCGCGCAAGCCATCAAGGTGGTCAAAAGGTTCATTGCCGACTTCCTGCCTGATCTGCCCGCCAATGGCGTCGGTATCGATCTCACCCGCTTGTGCTGGTATACGGATTCCTGGGATAATCATTTCGTCATCGACCATGTCCCGGGCCGGAGGGGCGTTTTTGTTGCCACGGCCGGAAGTGGCCATGCATTTAAATTTCTACCGAATATTGGTGCTTGGGTCGTGGATGTCTTGGAGGGCAAGGGTTTGGAGAGGCAGTTGGTCAAGAGCTGGAAATGGAGGACGAGGCCCGAGACGAAGGAGAATGTCGTCAATGAGCTGATGCAGGGCAGTGAGGGGCCCAGAGCGCTAAAAAAGACGAAGATGTCCGTGGCTAGGAAGGTGACGTTGTCGCCGAGGGCGAATTTGTGATGAATCGGGTTTATGAGGAGTATCGATGGGATGGGTGCTGAGGGTACTGGTGGAAGAGAGATGATGGTTCGTGCGAGATTCGAGAGATGTTTACAGACATACTGTTTCCTACCAAAAAGGTCATTATTGAGGCACTAGACGGAGTCACGGGCTGGGTAGACAGAAGAGTAAAGGGATAGCAATGGCCAACAGGATACGATATGACCAGAGACCCTTGTTGGCTTTGTATCAACGAAATTGCTGAGATGGATTTGCTTTACATACGTACTTGCTTTCTTGCGACGTTGAGCTACAGCCCCCTGTCACCAGTGATAGATCTTAACGCTTGAGATATCTACCGTACTCCTCGGTCCAACGTGTCCTTTTGATTTCCAATGCTGCTGACTCGGAATGCGGACCCGGTTCTGTTGTTGGTAGGCTAAACACGCCATTGTGGACTTCCGACCTAGACATCCAGCAACTTTTGCGAATAGATTCTCACCATATACCATCGTTTTATTGCATGACTTCATTCACAGGAGCGACCGGTCTCCCAGTCTTGAACAACGACCGAATATTCTGAAAGCATTCCCTCTCCGACTTCTGAAAAGCCAAGTCCGTCAAGCCGCCCATATGAGGCTGGACGACCACCTTCTCACTCGTCCTGAAATACTCCTTGATATTGGGTTCATTATGAAACACATCCAATCCAGCACGAGTCACCTTCCCCGATTCCAGTGCCTGAATCAGAGCATCTTCATTCACGACAGGTCCACGCGCCGTGTTGACCAGAAAAGCGCCGTCCTTCATCGCCGCAAACTCGTCATAGGATAACAGGTTGGTGGTCTGCTGGTTTAACGGACAGCTGACAGACACGACGTCCGAAGCAGCCAGTAAATCTTCGAGTTTCAAGTAATACGTCAATCCGTACCGATCTTCTTCCTCTTTGGGAAGTTGTCGTCGATTGTGGTATACGATTTTCATGTTGAACACGACAGCCTTTTTCGCCACGTATTTGCCGATCGCTCCGGCGCCGATGATGCCGAGTGTGAGGCCGCCCGGGTCGCGGGCCGGGACGATGTTGGCTTTCCAGGTTCCATCGCGCGCTTGTCGTTCGGCTTGCGTCGTGTTTCGGAGGACAGCGAGGATCAGGAACATTGCCATGTCGGCCGTTGCTTCGGCCACGGCGTCGACGGTGTTGCAAAACCAAATGTTGTTTTTGGTCATCCAGTCGACGTCGAATTCGTTCTATGATTGATGTCAGGGGAGGGGAACGAGTTGATGATGCTTAGGGACGGGGACTGAAATTGGAAAAATAGAGAAAATAGATATGATAGCACAAAGAAAGATATGAAGTTCCTTTAAATCAATTCGACATGAAGGAGGGGACTGAACAAGTCAAGATGGACGAGCGAGAGATAGCAAATGGACAATGATCAAACAAGAAGTTTCGAGAGAAGTCTCGAGACAGGGTATTCTGATAAAGGTCAATGTGCTTAGGGAGGCTGTTTCTATACTTACAAACCCCGCCGATGCCGAAGTGATGATCTTACAATGCGGCAGCAGCGCCTTCAACAGATCGTCGTCGAATGGTTCGTATGGCGGGGTGCCCATGCGGATGATGAATGCGTCGATGGGACGATCGGCGACCATGTTGGGGAGCATTTTCTGCGTCTCGGCGCGATTGGTCGCTTCGAGTACTTCAAATTCGAAGTCCTTCTGGAATTCGGCCAGATAGTCTTCTCCGACATATTTGGGATTGCCCAGGGCGACGACCCTGGGTTTGGTGGGTGTTGCGGCAGACGACATCGGCACGAAAAAGGACAGAGACCAAGTGATGTCTGATTAAATAGAAGATGGGCAAGGGCTGCGACAAGGACCAAGGTTGGAAGGTCTCTAGACGTGGTTGCAGGTTGGTTTTTTGAGAGTCGGGCAATCGAGGACCCTGAGAGTTCGGCAAGAGACGCTGCTCGTCGAGGAGATGGCAGGCAACACGGTCATACTAGACCTGTAGAAAGTAAGAAAGGAAGAGAGATGTCGTCTACTCTGTATAACCGTTATTTATTAGTTGGGGAGCTGATAACGGAGAGTTGCCCGGCCGAATTCCTGTCCCAAGGGGCTGGAGAATCTCTCGCGTGATTGGCTCGATAGGAGCCAGACAGCCTCGCCAGACCGAGAGCAAGGCGGTTGGCCCTTATCTGGGTCACACCATTGGGGGTCAGGTCAGGTCAGGTTCTAACGAGACCAAGGGACGTCGTTTGAGAGTTGGAATGAGGTACTGCAGATATCGATTTTCCCCTGCTGTCGAAGTACAACAGAAAGCCATCCATTGCGGCTCCTCTTTGATGAAGAAATGCCAACCGCTGGCACCACCACTGTCCAGAGGCACTGCATGTAATGATCTCATTCACGAACAGTACCAATAACAACTGCAACGACAATATCATGGAAATAAACCTAAGCAATGCATCAACATCAATATCGCCGGTAGATAAACCGTTGCCTCCACCACCACCACCACCACCACCACCACTATCACCATCATCTTCACCTCCACCATCGGTATCACATCTACCACCCCTAGGCTTCATCTCAGTAGATGTCCACTTCCCCCGACCACCAGGCGACCCGTTCAACGAACAGACATGGCCCTTCCCCCTCGTCCGTGAACAAGCGCAAGGCTCCCAGCTCCACCAGATCGTCACGAAGGACGGCTACACGGCAGACTTCGTCGACCGCTTCGTCGAAGCCGGTCAACGCCTCATAGCCCGCGGCTGCGTGGGCATCATCACCAGCTGCGGCTTCCTCGCCATGGCCCAGCCCGAGCTGGCGAAACGTCTCTCCGTCCCCGTCGCGACGTCAGCCCTGATCCAGATCCCATCAGTTCACGCGTTATTACCGCCCACGCAGTCCGTGGGGATCATCACGTTCGACGCATCGAAACTGGGCGCGCTGCATCTTTCACAGCTGCTTATTGGAGACGTCGATCGTCTGCACATCATCGGCGTCCCTGAAGATGGCGAATTGGGACGCATGGTTCGTGACGGCGCCGCGTATGTCCATGAACGTATCGAGGAGGAGTTGATCCAGTGTGCCCGTGACCTGGTGGAGAGGTATCCCGACATAGGGGCCCTCGTGCTCGAATGTACTCAGATGCCGCCTTTTGCTCGGGCTATCCAGGAAGCGGTTCACTTGCCTGTTTATGATGTGTATACTATGGGCATGTGGTTTTATTCGGGTCTGGTACGACGGACACCGCATGCTTGGAGTGTGACGAATCAGTCGTGATAGAACAGACAGAAGGCGGAAGTTATCATGGACTTTGGATGGACGTTTGAGAGCCGGCAGATGAGTGACGGCATCCACAAGAAGTGTAACTCTTTTGCCTTCATTGTATCATCTTGAGAGGATTTGCTACGGCGAAGGCTATTTCCTTTCTTTGCTAGCGGTCTGACCATCCTCTATGTCGAGTTGTGGATACCGATGTCTACCTTTCACTCTCTTATTCCAGAAATATACAAGAGTTCCTCTCAAAAGAAGATAATACTCAGGCTTGGACTGCATATTCATGACCTCTGCAGAGTCTTGTTGGTTTCTGAAGGTGCTGGGCCGCCTTGTCGCCGACGTATGTATTCGTCATATCCGTTGATGATATATTAGCAGTTGCACTACCTGAATGTGACACGCCTGGTCCAAAGTGATGGAAAAGGGCAGCAGTTTCATGGACAATACCCTTGGAAGTCAACTATACGTGGTTGGTCAAATGATGGTCTTCCCAGTTGGATAGAAGGCCGCAGTAATATGGGCTCTTTCCTCTTTGGAAAACATCACACCGCCGATGGCTGCATGGACTGTTCAATCCTCGGAGAAAATGCATGGGTCTGGGAAGAATCGCGAGTAATGTCAGCAGGAGGATGTTGCAGTGGCCTCAACCTAGATAGTAATGGTGATATTAGCAACAGCAACAGCATAGTATCACAGTAATATGAAACGAACGATGTGTTCAAGACTCAACAAAATGTCGACCAGCTGTATTGATACCCTTTTTAATCTGGCTATGGGTGATAAAACCCGGCCGTCTTGAGATGTAATGTTCCGATGTCGATACTAGTGTCTTCTTCGTCTACCTGCACCATGTCGGACACCTTGAGCATGCAGAAATGAATTCGTAGGGGTTGATCCCGAATGCGATAGTGACGATGGGGGTTGGTTCACACTATTAGAACATAGAAAATGAAGGGGTACAGCAGAGGAAGAGAAGATGCGAGTAAAGAGGCAAGTAGGGCAAGGAGAACAACGATCGATGAAGTGAGGTGGGCATCAAGTTCTCATGGTATGACTTTAGATATTTGTCTTTCTTTGATGGGATACACAGATATTTCGTGCTGCTTCAAGTCGACCACCACGATAGATGCCAGTCGAGCAACAAGTCCGATGTTCTCCTGGACACTATGGGACAGACCCGGAAGCCTGACAGGGCCGTGGGGTTCATTTTTGGTGGAGTTTGACGTTGGGTTGGGGTTCTTATAAGTTGCGCTATTAGATACGCTGTAAGAGATATACTGCTAAATACTCTGTAAGTTACTCTGTTAGATAGGTACCCTGTTGGATACTCTATAAGTTATACTATTAGATACTCTGTAGGTTGTACTATTAGATACTCTAGCTTCGGTCCATTCATCGAAATAGATGTCAGTTCGAATGAAGAGCCCCAGCCCCACCAGATCCGCCCTCCATGGCCATCCGGCCTACCGTCGAACTTGAGTCCTGAGGTACAGTACTACGATAGCACTTGGCCGACCCCCGCGGGCAACATGGCAGGCACGTGGAGACCGATCTCGTCTCTCGCCGGCCCTTTAGGTGACCTACCGAAGCTACCTTCTCGCTTGCTCTAACAAAGCATAGTCTCTTAGTCGACTGACATGTTTTTCCACATTAATTTCCGATAGTCCCTACTAGTATCCACATTGTAAGCGCTCTGACTCCGACCGTCGCATCCCTTGTGCGTGACCGTTGGTACTTGTTTCTATCTCTGCTAGTCTCCAGCACGAGAAAGGCAAAGTTTCCGACGGCCGATTGTTTATAAACCCTTGCGTCGGTATCACGTTGGAAAATCTCCCTCAACACCCCATACGTCTCCACTGTCATGCTGACGACAAGATGCAGGAACACGTTGAGCGCGAATATCAACCATCCCACAATGGCCAAGTGTAACACGGCAAGCCTCAATAGCCTCAATCACCTCAAACAATGCGTCTCCAAGTCCGAGCAGAGCCTAAAGGCAAGACCCTCTTTACTTGTCCAAATGCTCCGTGTCTTATCAGCTCTGGCTTCGACGTGGTCAACCGGGTAGGTCTATATTTCCTTCATGCAGTCTGTATCGAGACGCTGCGAGATAAGAGACTCGCGACGGACGAAGTCAACTGAGATAGTCAATTGAGATATTTCAGTTCAGATAGTGAGTCTCCGGAGTCCGGAATATAATATATACAGTGAAAGGCTGCCCAGTCTTGCCTTCCTGCCCGAGTCCCCAGTCCTTCAAAATGCTGCTCACGTCCCGATTACTATCAGGCCTTTTGGCCTCTGGCTTTGTCGCCTTTGCAAGCTCGCATTGGACGGGACCGACGGCACCGCCGGCCCCAACGGCGACCCTTTCAAATGGAACCTACCAAGGCGTCCATAGCATTTATTATGATCAGGACTGGTTCTTGGGGATGCCGTTTGCGCAACCGCCCGTGGGAGAATTACGACTAGCCCCTCCGGCACCACTCAATACGAGCTTCGACGGCATCAGACTGGCTACTGCATATGGTCCCGTCTGCCCGTCGTATGGGAGTGATGACATTGGCCTGCCATTGTCAGAGGATTGCTTGAGCATCAATGTCATTCGTCCCGCCGGCTATGAGCATGCTGCATTGCCAGTTGCCGTCTGGATCTATGGGTGAGTCACTGTCGTCACTGTCGTCGTCGTCGAATCCGTCTAACAGATCTGCAGGGGGGAGTATGCTATGGGCGGTGGAAGTAACCCCAAGTACAACTTGAGCTTTATCGTGCAAGACTCTGTTGCGGCCGGGCTGCCGATTATCGGGGTCAGCTTCAATTACCGCGTTGGAGCCTTTGGGTTCTTATCATCCGCCGAAGTCACGGCTGCGGGCGTGGCCAACCTTGGCCTTCGAGATCAGCGACTGGCCTTGCACTGGGTTCAAGAGAACATCGCTCGGTTCGGCGGAGATGCTGCCAAGGTCACCCTCTGGGGCGAGTCTGCTGGAGCCGATAGTATTGGCCATCAGATGAGGGCCTATGGTGGGCGTGATGATGGCTTGTTTCGAGGAGCGATTGCCGAATCTGGAGGCCCATTGATGTTTCAAGGAAATTCGGCGGCCGAGAATGAAGCAGTTTACCAAAGTGTGTTGAATGGGACGGGCTGCGCAAATGCGACGGACGGCTTAGCCTGTCTTCGATCGGTGCCTTACATTACCTTCCTCAATGTGACCACCGGGACTGGTGCATTGTTCTCCACTGTGGTTGACGGTGACTTCCTGCGGAATCTATCTTCGGTGGCGCTGAGCGCGGGCAACTTCACCAAGGTTCCTCTCCTCATTGGGTCCAACACTGGCGAAGGCACGGCCTTTGCACCATCGGGCATCAACAACGACTCTGCGTTGATGGCATATCTCACGGGCAGCAGCATCCGCCTTGACAACGAAACGGCCCGCGATATGATGCTCCTCTATCCGGATATCCCAGCCTATGGAACCCCGCCCAGCTTCATCGGCCGACCAAACAGCACATATGGCACGCAATTTCACCGAGCGGCAGCCATCGCAGGCGATTTCACCATCCACCGAGGGAGACGGTTCAGCGCCGAAATCTGGTCCAGATACAACGTGACGGTCTACACTTACCGGTTCAACGTGTGGCCACTGACCGGTGTGAGCAATCTTATCGGCATCAGCCACTACAAGGAAATCGAGTTTGTGTTCGACAACGAGAAGGGCGATGGATTTTTCCCGCCATATGGCACCACTAGCGAACTCGTGGGCCAACCGGACACCTACAAAACCATTTCCAGACTGATCAGTGGCATGTGGATCAGCTTCATTAATGATTTGCATCCGAACAATCATCCGCTGGTCACGTATGCGGCCGGAGGCCCCGTTCCCGAATGGCCCGTGTATGCACCCGACGCCACGCTGGCGCTCGAAGGATATGGCCAGAACTTTGTCTTTGATACGAACCTGACCGGGTTGGCAACCATTGAACAAGATACGTGGAGAGGTCCAGGAATAGCCTACTGTAACTCGCCCAGTGTCCAGCTGCAATTGGGCACATAAGGAGGACAGATCAAGTTGGGGAGTGGGGATAAGCCGGTGTGACCAGCGTCGAGGGAAGAAGAACAGGCTGGTTCAAGTTGTTGTCTGTCGAAAATAGACCCTAGATAAGGTAATAAGTCAGCGAGAGGTAATTCTCATCAACAAGATGAGTTTCTCGCATCTCCAACAACCTTTATGATCGCTCGCGTGCCTCCAGTGCCCTAAATTCATGACCGTCTATGCCGTCAAGGACAAGCCACATCCATCGTGGGCTCCAAATCTGTACCGCTGGAGCATTCCACCCAAGGCCAGCGTTGGAGAGTCTCATCGTCCTCAAGATTTGCACAGCAAGGACGATCGCACAAGCCTTTCCCAATAAGCAATCTCAACGAGACGTCACCAGCTCTGATTAATGCCTGCCTGCCTGGTCGACTCGAGCGATGGGTAGCAGCATTCTTATCCTCAATCACAAACCGTTCGTCCGTCTCTGGGATTGGATATTGTTGTTGTCGGATGGGCTGGCGTTGTCCACCCTTTTGTCCACTCTTGTTCTCTTTCTCGAGATCCGTGTGACCAGCCTCAATGAAGATAAGGAGCGTACACAGCAAAAACTAGATGTAGAGTCAGACGCTTTATAGCCGATACTAGTATCATCTATGGATATCGTCAGCAATGAGTGAGGGGTGTCAAACACTTCGAGTCTACTATGGATATATCCCTCCTTGTTCGAATTGAATCTGTACTTAGCAACACTTGCGAAATTATTCCTCACAGGAATAACATGTTACAGCAGTCCCAGGCAGACAAGGAGGATGGCGCGCCGCGAATTCTGTTCTGCATCTCAGCGATGGCAGTTAGGTAGAGACTACAAATCAATACTAGTAGTGAACCATCGTTGAAATCTTCTATCGATTGGCCCATTATTGTCGGATAGTGAACCGGTCCGGGTGACAGCTGGCTATGCCGATTCAGGAACAGTCCTAAGAGGGAACATACCAAACCTCGGGTATCAGACACCTTATCTCTCAACCTCGATTGCTGGAACATGGGATGTGTTTGTCATCTACCATTCACCTAGATACAGTCGGACTCGACATCACAAGGCACGGCGAAAGTCGAAGAACGACGCCGACTAGTAGACCATGACCGCCGTTGTGCAGACATTCCCGGTCGATCAAGACTGCTCCCGGCGCGCTCAGCAGCCATCCTTCGTAGACAAGGATGACCTCCGCACGACCTTCGCGCTCGCCATGTCAGCCATGTACAAAGCCGAAGTACCACTGTACGGGGACCTAGTCAGGATCGTGCAAGAGGTGAACCAAGCCCGGAGCAGCAAAGACCTGCCCGTCGAAGAGAGACTGGACCTGGAAAGACACGGGGCGATCCGGCTCGGAACGCCCCACGAGCTTCGAACTGTCCGGCGTGTCTTTGCCCAGATCGGCCTGCATCCTGTCGACTACTACGACCTATCCGTGGCAGGACTCCCGATGCACGCGACGGCGTTTCGGCCCATCGATCCCAAGGCCTTGAGCAAGAATCCCTTCCGGATCTTCACCACTCTTCTGCGCCCGGAGCTGCTCCGCCCCGAGCCTCGCCAGTTGGCACTGCAGCTGCTCGGCCGGCGCAACATCTTCAGCGACGAGCTTGTGCTGCTGCTCGGCGTGGGAGAAGAGCAGGGAGGGTTCTTTCCGGATCAAGCGGAACGATTCATCGCCGAAGCCATGAAGACTTTTAAATGGCATTCCGTCGCCGCTGCCACGCATGAAGACTACGAGATCCTGGCCGCCGAGCACCCGATCCTGGCTGACATCACATGCTTCAATAGTGCTCATATTAACCACCTGACGCCTAGGACGCTGGATATCGAAATGGCAGAAGCCAGAATGAAGCAGGAGGGCCTTGCCGTCAAGTCAAGAATCGAGGGTCCACCTGCTCGCCAGTATGCCATTCTGCTGCGCCAGACGAGCTTCCTGGCCTTGCGTGAGCATATCAGCTTCCCCGTCCGCGTGTCGACGGGCCTGGTCCCGGGCTCCCACAAGGCACGCTTTGGCGAGATCGAGCAACGTGGAGCGGCATTGACGGCCAAGGGCCGGCGACTGTACGACGAAATCCTGTCCGAGGCGTTGCAACGGATGGGATCTGTAGATGAGGGCAAGGATCACGAAGAAGCTTATAAGGAAGTCTTTGCAAAGTATCCCGACGACTGGAAGGCGTTGCTGGAACAAGGGCTGGTGTTTTTTGAGTGCCGCTGCACACGCAGTGCTCGTGGCTGGACGTGGTCCGGTCCGGGTTCGGCTGTCCCGCTGTCTCGCCTGCTCGAGGCTGGCGTGGTCGAGACAGTTCCCATCACCTACGAAGACTTCCTGCCCTTCTCTGCCGCAGGGATCTTTCGCTCAAATCTTCACTCGACATCTGGAGACGATGATGCAGCTTTTGAACCGTTCGAGGACCGAGAGTCGTTGGAGTCTGCCCTTGGGTCCCCAATATCTGACTCTGCATCACTGTACGCGCGTTTGCAAGCCGAGAGCCTTGCCAAATGTGCCAATGCTCTCGGAATAGACGAGATAATCCTTGACATTCTGTCCTGATACCTATGGAGAGGGCAGGATTGTTAGTGCGCATAGGGTTGACTGAGAATCGAGATTACACGACTTGTAGTATATGATATATTGGCTGCGTGGAGCGAGTGATTAGCAATCAAACCATTGGGTCTACAAGATATCGTCGTCTTGTTGACTTCCAAATCCACTGATCCAACCATGCACGAGCTGTTCGGTCTGGAACATTCATCTCTATCGAAGTAGCCCAACCAGATGTCTGGTCTCTGGCGCACATGACTCGAGGCTGGGCGAAAGAGGCATTACTCATGACCTGGCCTCTGTCGTTAAGGCATCGTTCCGTCTGCGGCCGGCAAAACTGTCCCCTCCAGTGATATTTGGGATGAATCATCGTTCATTGGCATGAAATCCCATTCTGGATCCCACTGGAAGAGGTTTGTATCATTAAATGCAGTATTGTCGAATATGGGGAAATTGTCGTCAATGTCCCAGAGAGGGTCGGCGTGTGGAGCCTGATTCCAAGTCAAGGGACCGTCAGAAAACAACAATCTCTGGATCTCCTCTGTTATCGACGAGTCCTCATAAGAAGAGAGAAGCATCGAGTTTCCACCGGCGAAAACCGAGGCGATCTTCTCTGTCAGAGGAGCGAGTCGGTTGACACAGACGGCAGCTTCGTTCCACCACTTGCTGATATACGTCAAGGCCTGGAAGCACTGGGGGAGGGACTCTTGAAGCATTTCTTTCGCCTGCGCCCTCAATGGCTCCCAGTCACGAGAAGACCAGCAGGCCTCAAGAGCAATGACAGCAGCTTCAAAAAGAATATGGACTCCGTGCCATGGATAGAATAAGCGCCGTCGCCGCACCTGGCCCGTGTAGTCTTCGATCAGTCTGAGGGAGGCTTCCAGCACGATCCGGCGGTCTTCAGGACTTCGGACTCTGAGTCGTGGAGTAGGTCGATGGATGCGCGCTCTCAGGTGATGATATTGCACCTGCTTGAACTCGAGCATGTTGTATCGAGTATATGTCTGGGCTTTTTCGTACCACAGGACTAGTCGTTCGGAGATGTCTCGAATCCAACTATCCATATCAGGCTGGCCGAAGATCGAGAGGTCGTCTTCTAGATGCAGGACCCGGTGCACTTCTGTCTCCAGAGCCCGGTAACGATAGATATGGTTGGCGGATGACTTGCGTTCCAGCTCATCAAGCGTGGTGGAAGACACCGCTGCCTCGTCTGGAACGGACGCCTCAAACTGCGGGCGCGATCAATACTAGGTCTAAAACGAGAGATTGGATGGCTTACCGTAGCCGTAATGGCCTCTTCTGGGAACGACAATGGTAACCGAAGGTTGCTACACAGTGACCGTTCCATGCCATATATGACCCAAAAGAGCCTGGATCGCATACTGATTTGCTCAGTTGTGAACCAGTCCGGCGATTGTCTGTGCAGGCCCAGATCGAGAACTATTCGGACGGCATTGGCTATGCAGGTCCAGTTGTCCGCCCTCTCCGGGGACATCTGAGCGTAGTGTGCTAGCAGCAAAGAGACTTGAAGAGCTTGCATGTCGTCGGGATTGTTCAAGGCTTGCAGATGGCGTAGGGCAGAGTTGTAGAACGACTCTGACGCCGTACGTGCTTGGTCCTCCGCCTTCCAGGTCAATGTTATGGCCGAGATAGCCAAGACAATGAAGAAGATGAAATACTCAAAATGCCCCAGTCTTGAAGTAGGAGGGATGCCGTACACCAGGACGCTGTTGGTGTCTCTGAGTTCCTCGTTCTGAAGACTTTCCACAATCTCATGTAATGCTGTCTCGGAGACACAAGGATATTGAGGTAAGATAATGTCGGCGTAGTTTTGCACCATCCGCCTAATCGCCGAGATGGGGACACTGTTTAGGTTGAGAAGAGTCTGCTTGCTCTGCGTCGTCGTGCCACTCAGCTCGCGATGTATGTTAGGTGTTGGCGCGGGATTCTCTTTCTCTGAGGCATCGTGCTCTCTTTCTCTTACCAGAGCGAGCGGGGGGCAAGATGGACGAAAGATGAGAGCAGCAGAAAGCCGGGATCGCAGATACGAGCGCGAAGAGGGTATGCCAAACGATAGTGTGGCTTGTGAGATTTCAGAGGCCATCAGATAGGGCATATTCTGGGGAACATCTCGATATGCGCGCACTTGTGCTTCCAACTCTGCCACCCGGGCTTCCAGAGACCTGACCAGGCTGTATGATGAATGTGTAAGCAGCATATTTCCTCATGGACAGCGTAGGGGGGCGCCTCAATACAGTTGTAGGCCTCACCTTCTTGGGACTGCTTCCTTTGTGACCGGATCATATCCGAGACAGGTTGCTTTCGCGACTTTGCACGATGTACAGGCTGGGAACTTGAAATCACACTTTGAGCGGCCATTGATTAGTTCCGTCCTCTCAGTGTAGGTCGGGAGGTCCCAGAGCAGAAGAGAACAGCATCATACCTTCGTCTTCCGCTTCCTACATCGGGTGCACACTTTGGTCGAACGGCGATGCGAGTGCTGCATTGAGTCTGACACCTGACACGGACAAGTAAGACGTCTTATCTTGTCTTGTTGCTCGTGGGGGGCACTCTGCGGTCAACTTGGGTATTGCCGAGCGGTGGCTATTCATGTTTGAAAATTGCAAGTAGAGGAAGAGGTCACAGGGATGAGGTGCAAATAAGGCTGCTTAGGCCTCATCAGCCTTATGAGGAGTCTACCTTAGGCATCCCCAGTCCCCAAAGCCTGGGCGTTTTAACCTTGAAATGATATGTGTCTAAGCGCAGCTAGGGGGCGGGGCAGCTAAAGGCTTCACCCACACTTGACAAATAAGCACCTAGAGGTCTAAAGCTTAGTAGAATACTAGGGAACTAAGCCCCCAAACCCCGAAGCAATCGTCCACCAACTCGTGCTGCCCCTTGGATACAATTTGGTGCTTGCCTTGACTATTCCCACATACCTTTTTATACCCAGACGACACTAGAGATGAGTAAGTGTGCTTAAACGGAGGGAATGGTAGAGTGTGCAGTCTGGCCATTCACGCATGCACCTAAAGAATAGGTGCCAGTGATGGTACAGTATACTACAGCGGCAGAGCTTCAGCGATACCTATATACTACTACCAGCACAGGTCGGATCATGGTGGCTAGGAGGCTGCAATCGTTCTTGCCATTCCTCTGCGGAACGAAGCTGATGGCCACAAGTTATTAGGTCGCCAGGACACCAGGACACCAGTGAACTAACCTCCGTAGCCGCTATAGCAAACTCTGTACTTCATGTGCCGGCTATCCGCGACGTCTGAAGCCCACAAAGCGTGGTTATCCGCCGATAGTGGCAACCGAGATATGATTGTCTTTTGCGCTGCTCCATCAGCCAACTTCTTCCGTTTGCCCACGACCAGGGTACGACATAAACGTCGAAGTACAAGAAAAGAGCGATATCGGCAGTGGCAGAGAAGAATGGCATGGCGCAGACACCAGTCCGGTTACTATCTTGCCGCGAAATGATATAGCAGTGCCCACCTGGACCAGCCGTCCCTTGTCGAAGTTGATAAGACAGGCAACTTTTTACCCATATCGGTTTCGCCCGCGATCTATTGAGCTTCATATGCGGTTATCCGATCATTCACACCCAAGACCCCAACCAGCTGTCTAGACCTTGCGGCGACGACGCAGCCCGTCTCCAGTGACTGATAAGTTCGGTATCCTGGAGTAGCGATAGGGGTTGGGTGCACACCGCTTTGAGTCAAATAGTATATGTGGTCGGGTGTCCGTCGAAGATGGCACTCAGCTTCCTGTCGAAAGTACAATTCAATCTGCCCAAATCTGCATCCACCATGTCTACCAGTGCTGAGGGAAACATCCACATGGCGCCTTCAGAGGTTGCTTCGTCCACCGATCCTTCCACCGTGGACAAGCATTCAGCAGAGAAGACAGGCTATGGCCTGGACGGTCTTCAGCTCACCACTACCGTCCGCAATGGTGAGATCATTGAAGAGTCAGGTATGAAGAGTTCTTGTTGATCTCCAGGCACGAAACTGACCAGAGATGCCAGACTATACGCCGGAAGAATACAAGAAACTAACAAGGAAAATCGACCGCTACCTGATGCCGCTGTTGTATGTGTGACTGGACCCCAAATTTAAAGTCTTGGTCACTGATTGTACAGATTTTTTTGCTACGGTATCCAGCAAACCGACAAGACGTCCATCAGTACGCAAGCTGTAAGGAGTCCATCCCTGGCTGCCGTGTGCTCGTGTTTCTAATATAGACACAGCTCTTCGGCATGAGAACAGATCTCAAGATGCACGGCCAGGAATACCAATGGCTGACAACAATGTGGGTGCACACACCAACTGATATGGTGAACCCCTGATTGACCACCTGGACAGCTTTTACCTTACCTATTTGATCGGAGAATTTCCTTCAGTATGGATCATGCAACGATGGCATCTCGGCTACACCCTTACCATTTACATGACGGGTTGGGGTAAGGCTGGTTCACTTGCATGACCGGAATCTACTGCTAATCCATTCCAGGCATCTGTCTCATGTGCATCAGCGCAGCGGAGAACTGGGCTTCAATCATGGCCCTCCGTGCTTTGCAAGGCTTCTTCGAATGCGCCGTCACTCCAGGCTTTCTCTTCATCACTGGCGCCTGGTACAAATCGAAAGAGCATGCGGACCGGTCACTTTTCTGGCAATCGTCTGAAGGCTTCTTCTCCATTGTATGCAATCTGATGCTGTACGGGATTGCCAGATACGTCGAAGGTCACGGCGGCCTGGCTGCGTGGCGTTGCATCTCACTCTTTCTGGGTGGCCTCACTCTCGTGGGTGCCTTTGCCTCTTTCTTCATTCTGGGTACACCGCACGAGGTTCGTTGGTTGAGCAAGGAGGAGAAGCGAATGGCGTAAGTTTGATCTTGCCTATGATCTCGAGAAACCTTGTCTGACTGGAGATATAGCACCGCTCGAACCATCAGCAACAATGTCGGTCAAGACACCACCGGGAAAGAATGGAAATGGGACCAGGTTATCGAAGCCTTCAAAGATCCTCAGCTGTACTTTAGCTTCGCCAACACCTTTCTGTCCAACATTCCTAACGGGTAAGTTGCCTGCCAGCCAGTGGTGATAGCATCCGGCTGACATGATCCCTTCAGTGCCATCACCACCTTCAGCTCGCTCATGTACGAGTCATTTGGGTTCAACTCATGGCAATCCATGCTCTATGGCTGCCCTCGCAACGGTATGTATTCTCAACTAGAGCAAAAACACCATCGAGTCTAGACTAACATTCGAATTAGCGGTCTACGTGGGTGTGTTTCTCCTGGTGGCGCTGTACACCCGGAAGGTTCGCAACCAGCGTCTCTGGGTCATGTTGCTCAGCGCCATCCTTGCGTTCATCGGGATCCTCACCATGTCGTTGCTTCCAAACACGCCGGAACACAAGTGGACCAAATACGGCATGTTCATTTTGACGGTGGTGTTCTCGCTGTCCATCTTCCTTGGTTGGAGTCTGAGTAAGTTTCGGGGTTCTCACGCCTTTCTACGCGGCATCATTGGCTAATGACTGTGACCAGTCCCCTCGAATGTGGCTGGAAAGACAAAGAACAGCGTCATCTCCTCCATGACTCTGATCTCGTACTGTGCTGGCAACATGGCCGGTGCTCAAGTGTTCCAGACCAAAGATGCGCCCAGGTACCTTCCCGGCACTATTGCCTGCGCCGCCTGCTTCGGCGTCCAGTTCGTTGTTATTCTCCTCTGGCGTTTCTACTACATGTGGGAGAACAGACGTCGGGACCGTGCCGCTGCAGCAAGTGGCCTGTCGATGGAGGAGCAAGAGCGAATTGGGCGCGAGTTGGGTGAGGCTGATGTCACAGACATGAAGAACCCCCATTTCCGTTACGCCATGTAGACTTTTGTCTGCATGATCAAGTTATAAAGTGGACATGGTTTGGATAGATAGATGTATAGCGCTGGGGAGCTCGTTGTGGCAGGCAGGATCCACCTGGATGATCTGATCCAAGGGATCGATTTGGCAGTCGAACATTCTCAATACTCTTCGGCAATACCACTCGTTCTATTACTAATAGCCTCAATTTCACTGAGTCATGGTTCGATGCCTTGTTCGCTAAATCGTTGGACGGTCTCAGAAGACTCTGGTGCGCGGGAAGTCGAGACAAAGGCTCATCGTGAACTGAATAACAGCAGATGGCTCCACTACAGCAGCTATCCTCACTTGGATCATATTTCTTCGAGTGAACCTGTATGAACAAGCCCATTGAATGCTACGACTGACCTCTGGGTGCTTCTTGGGCAATTTGATTACAAGCCACCCCAGGTCGTCCCGCTCTCTGAATCCTAGCATTGCAAGTAGACAGCTTCAGAATCGACTGCATAGACCTTATCCCCAGCACTCAATCACACAAATGAAGGTTCGTGTAGGTGAAACATCGATTCAACACTCATCTAGCTGTGGTTCTATCATAGTTTGCTTTTTACCCCGCCAGCCTGGTTATCACCCAGGATATCGTTCCGAGTACTGTCCAATCGTTCCTTCGTGACACGAAACACCTCAGGGACCCCCGTCTCCTCGAACCTCTTGCCATGCCGCAACATCTGCACCACAGCCTTAGCCGAGAGCAGGATCAAAGGCATGCCATGTCCCGAGAAGCCCGCCATGACCATCTGGCCCGGCTTACCGGGCACGTCGCCAATATACGGCATGAAGTCCGAGCTGTAGCCCATGACTAGGCGCAGCACGAAAAACGATTAGCCTAGCACTCTGTAACCTGCAATGGAATGGGGTTGGGGGTTTGTGATTTATGGATCACAATGGTGGCCAAAAGAACTTACTTCCCGTCCACACTTTGTCAGTGTAGGCGCCGCTGTCCTCCCACCCAATGAACGTCCTCTGCATCAGACCGTCGAAGTAGGGCTTCGCCGGCTCGATCAGCTGGCTATCATCTTTGACATTATACCAGTGCGAGGGGTCGGACCAGAAATTGGGCTTCGCGCCGCCAACCACGATGCTGCCGTCAAGTCGGGGGATTAGGTAGTCGAACATGGACGGTCCCTGGCGGATACTGTATGTCTGCGTCAAACGCGGCTTAACTTTTCCCTCGGGAACCACGATGCGGCTGCAGATCCCGCGCACCGGGACGATGTGGTTCTTGAACTGGGGTGCGATGTCGGCGGTGTATGCGTTGGTGGCGAGCAGGACTTTTTTGGCCTTGATGGAGCCCCGCTGTTCCGTTTCAACTAGCCATCGACCGTCTGGGAGAGGATGCTCGGATACGTGCGTGACGGGCGTCATGGTTTGCAGGTTGGCGCCTTTGGACACGACGCCTTGGAGGAGGTGCATGACTAGTTTGTAGGGCCAGATGTGGCCGGCGGTGAATGTGAATGCGGAGAGAGCGCCTTTGACGCCAGAGACCTGGATTTCGAGGTTAGGTTTGTATCTTGATAACTCGGTCGTAGGATACCCCATGGGATTGTTGTTATGGACTCGGCGATTGTTGTATTTGACATGGCCAGGGGAAGGGGGGAATCCAAGATGGGATAGAATGGAATGCAAAGAAAGGAAAAGGAAAGGAAAGGAAAACAGGAAAGGAAAACAGGAAAGGAAAACAGGAAAGGAAAACAGGAAAGGAAAACAGGAAAGGGATGGGAAGTCAGGAGGGAAAGGGATTGAACGAACCCGCTCAGCATCCTCTTGTCTGGCATGATAGACGTCCTTGAAATCCGTCACGCCAGTCTTGACCATCTCTGCAAAAGCGCGATCAGTTTCTTCGGCGAGTCCCTTGTGCAGTGTAGCATCACATGCTCGGGTCAAGACGAAGTCGCAATCAATCTTCTCCTTCTCGACGAGCTGCTTGACGGCGTAGACCTGAGATGCTTCAAACTTGGACACTTCAACAGCGGCCTTGACGCCGTATTTCTTGATATACTTCGGCATGTTGAAATACACATCGGGTTTTAAGTGGCCGCCTGTATCAAGATGATCGTATTGTCAGTCGTTTACTCTCTTAAACTGCCCCCAGAAAGCAGAAAACGCGGATTGGCCCCTTAAAAAGAAGAAAAAGAAGAAGAGCACGTAAACACTCTCAGAAACTTGCCATTTCGTCCGGTTGCACCGGAACATGCCTCTCTGGCCTCAAGGATGACCACCGACGGCGGTGAAGGATTGTCTTCATAGATATAATGTGCCAAAGCTGCCCCGGCGAAACCAGCGCCGATAATCAGCACATCACACTCCTCGGGCAGTTCAGGCGTGCTGCGATGTGTGTCCAACTCATGTCGTTCTGTTCTCCAGAATGGAGTGGTTGACTTGGGCACAGGGCCAGGTCGTTGTGAAGACATAATCGTGAGACGTCTCTGGTTGACTCGACAAACCTGGCTTCGGATCACGCCTCGATGGTTGTTGATATTCCTGTCTTATGGTGTGTTCGGTCGTTGAAACTTGACTAAACAACTATCAAACAAAGGTCGTCTCGACGGATTGTCAAAAGGCGGGCAAAGAGAATGTCGGGGCATTGCGACAAGATGGATTGAAGCTCCGCTCTTCTCCGGGCCGCACAGCCATTATCGATCGATTGCTATCTCAACGCCGGTAGAGAGGCGACAAGACCAACCCAAATGGGGTTGGAAACTTGGATACCTCTCTCCATGAATCAGAATTTCGAATACTGCTTGGAAAGACTTTGGGAGTCTCCCAATTCTCCTCGGTGGGAGAGTAAACCTAGGATGTAGGCCAAAGGGATCACATTGTGTGGAGTTATGGAGCCACGACAAGACTGTTCTATCATTACTCCTATTCCACGTCTTCCAGGACTTTAATGATTCAGGAGAGTGCGACATTATCTTGACACTACTTTTCATGGCAGGGCACCAAAGTGTCTCACTGCTGAACATCTTGCGACTGAGTCTCGGAGCTTCATCGCTGCCCCTATCCAGAGACAAGCAATGCTCGTTGAGTGAGAGCCTGAGAGATATAAGTCATTGGCTTGATCGATCTTAAGTCAAATCGTTCGAGGGCCTATAGATCATCCACCATCGATACTAGTAGCTTTTCCACTACTTTTTGGCCGAGGCAGCAATGATCCCATCAGCCATCTCTGGGAGAGTCTCTGCCATGACATCCATGTCGCCGAAAATATCCTGACACGGCTCCTTCTCGAAAGCCGCGACCCAAGCACCTATGAAACTGTTCAAGCAAAAGCAAAGAATCGATTAGCAAACCCATCTTCCACAGAAAACGCCAGAAGCAGCTTGAGTCGCTTACCCAGACCGTCGAGCGGCAGCCACATCCCACATATGAGCGGCCGCAAACCAAGCCTCCAGACCCTCCTTGTCGAGTTTACTCAGCATGTACTTATAGCACTCGGGCGCTGGCTTGCCGATGCCGATATCGTCGCAAGTGACAAAGTTCTCGGGAGGCACCTCCACCCCTCCCTGTTTCAAGTAATTCGAGACGCGCTGCCTGTCGCCAGCGGTAAACGCCCAGACGGTGAATCCAGCGTTGCGTAGCTTGGAGAAACATTCCGCGAGACCCTCTCGGGCACTGAGACCGCGATATGCGTTCAGCAAAAAGTCGACGTCCTCGTCGCTGCATAGTTTCCGCGGCTCTGAGACGCCCACTTGCCCCAGCGTCCGGTAGAATATCGATCTCATCACCTGGAACACTGGCTTGTAGCTGCCGGAGAGACTGAGATACGTGTATTCCCGCTCGGCGGCTTCTGCCCAGGCGTAGCCAAAACATCGGGCCCCAATGCCTATTGGGTTCAGTTTGGGCCCGAGACGAGCCTCGAGAGCTTTGTGGAAGTTGTCGAATGATATGCATGTGCCTAGAACCAACATGCGCTCAGCGAGGCTCGTCTTACACCGCTGGGGACGGGATGGGATCAAAAGTTTGTCATTTATTGCTCTGGACTCACCGACAATATCAAAGACAACGTGCTTGTTTGCTGTCGCCATAATTGCAATATTTCAATTTTCAAGACTCAAGTCTGAGCGTCGATTGTTTCAAGTTGGGAGAATGTGCTGGTACTATCCAGTTCTGATGTGATAGGATCGTTTTCGGTATCATATGATATGTATGTAGTAACCCCAAGGCTGGTCATTGCAGTCAACGACAGGGCGTAAACCCGACGTCGACGAGGTTCTCCAAAAGGCGTGTTGCTCACATATCGGCTGATAGCATCGCAGATACTCCATGTCGACGGGCAAAGCCGACCTGTCATTCTCGGTTCTGATTGGACTTGAGCCTGCAAGGATTCTTATCTCCTTCTATGGAGATTTTAGGAGATGGGCGGGCGCGTCGCAAGTTGTGTATAATTGAAATTATACTCTATATAGCTTGACGAGCTATAGCAGCAAGGCTATCCAACCCCTTTTCTCCGTAGCATGTGAGATACAGGCACGATGGCTGTGTGTATCAAGGTGCATTAGAACGGGGTATTGCATCTGAGCAATCTCTGCTATCCCAGCACCACGATCATTAGTTCATCAGGAACATGGATATCTTGCCAGAGGGGAATGTCTCAGGGCACCAACTTCGGCACCAAGTTCGCTACAGAGTACCTACAGAGTAAAGGCAGACTGATGGGGTCGGTACCTTATTCAGCGGCGACCGGTTCATTTTGTCTCAGTACTCGTTTAGGATGGAGATGGAGACAAGGACGAGGACTGTGCCAACATGATCAAGTGAGGATGTTGCAAGGATCGTCTTCAGCGTATTGACCAGGTATCTACACAAATTCCTTCATGTCTTGCCAAAGAGAGAGAGCAGGCAAGATCACCATGACTGCTGCCGAAATCGCCCATGCTCCTCGATCCCGGCTATTCTGCTCCTGACTCCTGCGCAAGATCGCTGGAGAGGTACAGGCCTGCTCTTGGTTTACATATACACATACATATAGACATCGCCCGAACAATCCCTCGCAAGGCTCTCTTCAGTGGCCCACCGTGTCATATGCCTTTCCCCCCGCGGCCTTGTCAATGGCAACGCACTCTTCAAGTCCGGTGAAGTTGAACGCATCCCTAATGCCGGTCCCGAAAGACTCTTTGGGACTGATGCGATTTGTCTTGAGGCTTTCCAGACTGTTTTTGCAAGCGGTAAGGAGTGGGCCGATACAGAGACCAGGGTAGATGATGATACGGAATCCCATCTTGACCAGGTCATCGATGGGATATTCGGGAGTCACCCCTCCAGGAACGACATTCAACAACACCGGGATGTCGCCCATCAGCTTGCACACCTTTTCCATCTCCTCGCGAGTCTGCATGGCTTCCAAGAAAACGGCATCGACGCCTATCCGGACGGCTTCTTGCAGTCGCTCGGCAGCCTCGTCGAAGCCCTGGCCCTGACGGGCATCGGTTCGAGCGATGATCATGATGTCGGACTTTAACTGATCACGGGCGATCACCGCGGCCCGGAGCCGGCTGTAGAAGATCTCGCGGTCCACGATCTGCTTCCCTAGAAGATGGCCACATCGCTTTTCTTGGACCTGTCGATGCCTCAGAGTGAGTTTCGAGGCCACGCACAGCACACGGCCTTTGATGGGGATGGGGATTACTCACCTGGTCCTCGATATGCATGGCGGCCACGCCAGCGCGAGCATATTGCGTGACAGTCCGGGTCACCATGATGGCACCGCCGTAGCCAGTGTCCGCGTCGGCGATCAGAGGCACCGCAGGGTTCAGCGACGCGATCATCTCGGCGTTGGCGCGCATGTCATTGAGCGTTGCAATCCCCATATCTGCCCAACCCAGTCTGGACATGGAGGTTCCTGCGCCAGTCTTTTTCACAATCAGTGCGATGCTTACTCGTGGGATTCTGCTCAATGTTTTGCTTTCTTCTCACCATGTACAAGGCATCATATCCTGCAGCGACGGCTAGTCGGGCAGTGAAGCCGTCAAAGACTCCGGGACATATGACCGCTTTGGAGGGATCTTTGAGCATTTCGCGGAGCCGTTGCGCGCCGACAAGAGGCGAGCATGCTTTGACGCCGGCCGTTGCGGAATTGGTGTCGTGGACTGAACCCATGGTGGTGATTCTGAAGGGCTTTTTGGTGAGGTTAATAGAAAAATAATGGTCTGGACCTCCTATCTATATTATGAGCGTTGCCAGTTGTTTTCATATCATCAACCATGAGAGGATTATCCTTCCGCTACCGGGTCCGTTTCACGAGGGCGGATGTATTCGTCTCTCTTACATTGGCTCAGACCGGTTTGTGCGGAGAAGTGGAATGGCCGACATCGAAACAGGCCCGCCGAAGTTCGCCCCGAATCACGGCATGGGGTCAGTGCTCTACCATCGGGGCAATGATCAATCATCGTGTTGATGACCACCCCGGCGAAAATCCCTCTGGTGTCATTGGGCGAGACAACAGCAGGGCGACCGGCTACGCATTATTACGACCTACCACCGAGGGCTACGTCTCTCACAACTTCGCAGACAGGAGATCTCAGACACTCAATTCTGCGGTACCGGGCCCGTCGTTCGGTCACGGCCATCTGCCAGCAACAAAGCGATGGCGCGGCCAATTATATGGTTCCAGACGTCCTCTGGCCTGACACACACCGCTCAATTCGTCATTGCTGCGAGACCACCATGGCGACCACAGCATAGATACCGGATGGCCAGTTCCAACTCAAACTGCTCGGCCTGCTTTCTCGGGTCAGAGGCATTGCCTTGGATCGAGTGAGCGTCTCGGGAGCCAAATCCAGCTCCTACATCCCCGACATCCTGCTATCGTACGCTGGCGCTCTGCAGAATGCGCAGCGACCAGCCGAAGCCGAAGCCCTGGAGCAAGCCCGGCAGAAATGTGTCGATGAGAAGGTCTTTGGCGGACTCGGCTTGGTCGACGCCACGGTCGAAGCAACGCCTGCTCAGGAAGCCGAGGCTCTGTTCCTTGTTGAAGCATGGCTCGAAGCCATCAACGCCAGGGAGAAGGCCAGGGACTACTTGTCTTATCGACGTTCCCCAGCACCGGGCACGAGGCCTATGAATCTGGCCCAGAAGATCTTTGCCCAACATGCGCTGGGAGAGAAGCCGGCCAACAGCCTCGGCACCGCGGATGTCATGATGGCTCTCGCACTGGGCGAGACGTGGTTCAAGATCCCGGACTCGATCCTCATCGAGATGGTGGGACAGCCCGCTCTGGGAATGTCCGGCAAAGACGTCATCCTGCACATCCTGGGCGAGCTGAAGAGAAACACGGTCGCCGCGGAGCGCATCGTCGAGTTCAGTGGCGACGGGCTCAAATATCTGTCCATCGACGCGCGCTTCGCCATCTCAAACATGTGTACCGAATTCGGCGCCATCACGGGCATCTTCGTCCCCGACCGCGTGACCAGCGACTATATTGCCCGACGCCGGCGCAAGGCCAACAAACCCCATTCGCTGTATTTCCGGCCAGATCCCGACGCCGAGTATGCCGGACGATACACGATCGACCTGTCGCACGTCGAGCCGGCGATCGCTCGATATCCCAGCCCCGACGATGTCGTGCCCGTGTCGGAGTTGGCGGGCACGCCACTCGACGGCGTCTTCATCGGCGCATGTACCACCACGGAAGAGGAACTGGTGCTCGCGGCGGGGTGCTGAAGGTCGGCCTGGACCGCAAATTGCCCCTAGCCAAGGGCAAGAGACACTACGTGCCTGGCTCGCTGCCCATTGTCGAGAAGCTCAAGCGTCTGCACTTGCTGGAGATTTATGAAGCCGCCGGCTTTTCGCGAGGACCGCCTGGGTGCTCATATTGCATGGGATTGTCTGCCGAGAAGGCGAGTGAGGGAGAGACATGGCTGAGTTCGCAGAATCGGAATTTCAAGAACCGAATGGGGAAAGGTGAGTGTTTTGTTTTGTTTATCCCTGGAAGAAAAGAAAAGAGGCCGACGCACTAAACTCTCTACTTCTATATAGGTGCATTCGGCCATGTCACATCTGCCATTGTCTGCGCAGCCTCGAGCTTCGACATGACCATCACCAGTCCAGTCGACTTTCTCAAAGACTTGGACCTGGCCTTCTTCAAACAGTACCGTCAGCTCCCGGACTTCAACCTGGCGCCGATCGAGTACGTCGAGCCCGACCTGAGTTCCGGAACAGATTCGTCTCAAACGACGAACCTCCAACAGAAGGACCTGGCAAGCGTGGGTGCTCCGTCAGTCAGCGACTCGGGGAAGACGACCAGCAACGCCAACAGCATCCCTGACAAGATCGCCAGCAAGATTGTCACGTTGGGCGACTTCATAGACACCGACGCTGTAAGTCTAGGTCTCCTCTTTTTCTTCTTTTTCTTCTTCTTCTTCCTCCTCTTCTTGTTGTTATTTCTCTCCTATGCCCTACCCATCAGAAGCGACTAAACCAAAAACACCCCGGAACAAACACGACTTTCTTTTCCCCATTGATTTCATCTCGCGCGGCACGGCTGGCCAGGCTGATACTGACACATTCTATTTTCTTCTCCAGCTCGCGCCAGGCCCCACGCTCACCACCTGCGTGACCGACGAGGACTTTGGCGCCCACGTCCTTGAATACACGCACCCCGACTTCCGCGCCCGCGTGCGCGACCAGCACCACCAGATCGTCGTGGCCGGCCAGGCCTTTGGCGTCGGCTCCAGCCGCGAAGTAGCCGTCTCAGCCCTCAAGGGCGTGGGTGTCAAGGCCGTCATCGCCCGCTCCTTTGCCTTCATCTACGGCCGGAACCAGCCCTCCTTGGGGCTTTTGGCCGTCACGGTCGTCGAGGACGAGTTTTTCCAAGCCGCCACCGACGGGGAGGAGATTGTCTTGGACATCCCGCGCAGGTCGGTCAGTGTCGGGGCCGGCGGCAGGTTGGGCACTTGGTCCTTCCAGTTGAGTGAGATGGAGTTCAATCTGACGGTGAATCATGGCTTGACCGAGAGCTACAACAAGTTTGGAAAGAGCATTTGGGGGAAGTTCACAGGTTCGGGCTCGGGCAAGAACGAGGACAAGTCAGTGGCCAAGGCCTTGGAGGAGGGTGTTGCAACGGAGCGGACGAGTCAGGAGCGAAAGGTCCAGTGGTGAGCAGTTTCGCCTCGACATCAATGGCCAAGGCTCTACCTACCTACAGGTACCCATCTAACCTTGGTACTCATGTAAAAGTGTCTTGTCTGTGTACCTCAGGTACCTTGGGTATATATTCTGTCAAGTGTGTTCGTTCATAGAATCCCAGTCTTGGGTGATAGTGTTTCCAACGTCTTTATAGTACAGTATCGCTAGATTCTCTTCTTCACGGAACCAAGGGGCCGAGTTGTGACCTATGTGCTCGTATAGGGGCTACTAGGGAGGCCTACGAACATACTTCGTGCTCCAAGCCTCCCCAGGGCTCGTTCAGCCGGGCAGAGGATTACATACCTTAGCCAGCCACCGCCCAGATTGGCTGAGTCATGGCTCAGCTCAGGTCCGGGAACGGAAATGGATTCTAGAGAGGTCAAGATTCATCGCTGAGTAGTGCGGTGTTGGCCGCTCAATGTCCTCAAAGATTCGCTGATAACCGGCGGTGGGCACTGGGCATACAGACGGTACAATAAACAGCAGGCAGTGATGCCGCAGGTCCACAAGCAGGTGTCTTCCTAAGGTACGCAGCCCATGTCCCACATGTTGGGCTTATGAGATTATGACATTGTCACCTAGATCCATGACCTCGAGAAAGCCAGGTAACCTATAGACGGGTGTCACACCACCGTTGAGAGAAGCACCAACTACTACCACGACTAGACTCTACTTACACTACCGAACGTAAGTACATGACTCGGAAGGCAAGACAAAGACAGCATGACAGAATACACCATACACACATCGTGGCTCTTCGACCCCAAAGCCAAGCAAGTCCGCACGAACTGGTCCATCACCGTCGACCAGAAGAGCGGACTGATCGAAAAGATCATCGAACGCGACGATGAGCGCCAGCCCTTCGAGGACGTGATCAAGGACGGCGACGTCGACTTGCGCGGCAAATACGTGCTTCCTGGACTGGTCGATGCACATACCCATGTATTCCTGCATTCATATGAGTGAGTTTGCAACAACAATATCGCTCCCCTGACAGGATATAGAGACCTTTTACTGACCGTGCCAGCGAGGCGGGAGCACTGGTCCAGAAACGGGACGAAAGCATGACTGAGAGGGTAGTGCGAGGAGTGAACCACTGCCGCACAGCACTACTTGCGGGCTACACGACGTACAGGTGAGAAGAGAACCAGATAATAGATGCCAGTGCCACAGCAAATGATGGCTCGCTCCTTGCTATGATAGCCATAAAACCCCAACTAATCTTGACCGAAATCCCGTGTGCAGAGATCTTGGATCCGAAGGAATGCAAGAGTGCGACGCGAATCTACGAGACACCATCGCCCGCGGCCTGACGCCCGGCCCGCGTCTATTTGTAGCGACCAAGGTCCTCGCCAGCACGGGGTCCTTCGAACCACGCACCGAGAACAGCGGCGGCGGCCACTGCCTGCCAGCCGGTGCAGACGCCGTGGACGGTGTAGAGGAATGTCGCAAAGCCGTGCGCCGGCGAATCGCCGCTGGGGCAGATATCATCAAGTTCTTCGCCGACTACAGACGACGGATCATGCGCTCGCCACCGGCCCAACAGCACCCTTATATTCCCAGTGTTTTGCATCCGCCGAAAGATCCCAATCCGGATTACATGGTGTTCTCGCCGGAGGAGATGGACGCCATCGTCAAAGAGGCCGCACTGGCCCGATGTCCGGTGTCCGCGCACGCCTGTACGCTTGAAGGCGCGCTGGCCGCCGTCGAGGCTGGTGTCGATACGATCGAGCATGTGTATTTCGGGACCGACGACCTGTTTAGGAGGATGGTGGCCAAGAACGTGATTCTGGTCCCCACGCTGGCTATTGCAGAGAAACTGCATGCAAGGAGGTTCGGCGAGATCTTGCCACAGGTCAAGCGCGCGTATGACCTGGGCGTGCGGCTTGCTTGTGGCGGTGATACGGGCACCTTCCGCCACGGCGACAATGCTCGAGAACTGGAGTTGATGATCGAAGCTGGAATACCGGTGCTCGATGTTTTGGAGGCTTGTACCGTCGGCGGCTGGGAGGCTTGTGGGGGAGACCTGTGCGGTCGACGCTTTGGATGGATTGATGAAGGCCTACAGGCAGATTTGATTGCCTTGGACGAAGATCCTGCACAGGTCAAGGGGGCATTAAGACATGTCGATTTTGTCATGAAAGATGCTCGGATATGGAAACAAGATGGAAACCCTGTAGGGATGGTATAGGGAGATAACCGAATGCTCGATGCGTGATGTGATGTTCGTGACGAGATTCAAAATGAAGAGGGTCAACCCGCATGACTTGGTCATGCAGACATTCTTCTTTTCGCCTCTATGAATCTACCTCCTAAGTATGGGATCACAGACACTGCTATATGCTTCTGACGTTTCCACCTCTCTAAAGTACAAGGATCATCTTTTCAAAGGTTCAGGACATTGCCTTGATCCCGCCTCCGCTGAAAGCTGCTCTGATCTTTCGAAACATCGCTCCAGAGTCTCCTTGTCCCTGGGTATCAGATTGATTTTGAAGTCTGATGCCACGGAATTGGCAGCGGCAGGATCCTTCTTGTAATGGATGTAGTGTGTGTTTACCGACATTGATTTGCTCGGCTCGATTTTGAACGCCACAATCAATCGCAGGAAGATCGCATAGAGCATCCTGTTCGAGAAGTTCACGGCTGTGCACATTCTGGCGCCAGCGCCAAACGCGAAATGATAAGGCGGAGGGATGTTGTTGTCGGTCTCCAGCCAACGTTCCGGCCGGAATTGGTCGGCGTCACCACCATATACCGATGTATCTAGCCTTTTGTTAACAAATTGAGAGGAGCTGGGATGCGGACGCTTACCCCGATTTGCAGCTTGTGCATTCACATAGATGAGGACACCTTTCGGGATGACGGAGCCGTTATAGACAAACTCTTTGTACGTCTGACGTGCCGGAAGCAGTTTCAGCGGCGGATAGAACCTTAGAGCCTCCTTCACCAGCGCGGCGATGTACGAACTTTTCTCTTCGCTCAAGCACTGTTCGAAGGCTTCTTCTGGAGTTTGGTAGACACTCATAATGTCATCATATGCCTTCTGCTGCATCAACTGACCCGCCGGTGTGGAAAGCATGCCGATGGTTATGATTGACGTGGAGAAGACGGTCTCAAAGCCTCCAGACATCAGACCGCCGAGGATAGTCTTGATGTCCACTCCAATCAAGTTAGCATACGGGCAGATTGGGATAATGACGTTCGATCCAGTGAAACTCACGCTGGGTCAAGCCTTCGTGGTTGTTCGTCAAGAGCATTTCAGCCACATTCCTCTTCGGGCCGAGCTTCATGGGTAAGCTCCCACGAACGTTTTCAAGCATGGTCGACAACCAGGTGTCTCGACGCTGTCGAACTTCCTTGGCTATCTTGTTCCGTCCATTTCCGCCCGTATACCTCAGATGAGGTATGAAATCTTGCGGATTTGCTTTCGTTGAGCGGAAGCTGGTCGGTGGTGAGCTTTGTCCGCACGAGACTGGGGAAGCAATGCACAACATACCTAGCAATGGTGTTGGCGTCGGATAGGATTTGTAGCAGCAAGGGGTCTTTGACCGATGAGAACCGAGTTCCATAGCAGAACATCATCATGATATTGAGAGCCAACCGCTTCTGGTAGATATGCGGCGTGATCTCTCGCTCGCCTTTTTCGCTGTCGTAATACATGGCTGCTATCATGGCACAGACCTCCAGATCTAACATGGGCCGCATTTCTCGAATCGCCGGGCCTGTCGTAAACGAGCCAACCACCCGTCTCTGCTTTTTTGTTCGGTCGTCCCACGGACTTGTGCCTATTGTTGCGGCTGTGAAGGACATTAGTCCTCTTGAAACCGAGGGATGTGACTCTTCATGCGTTGTTTCATCACTTACCTGAAGTCGCGGAGACAATTCCGTGGAATGTGTAGAACCATGGTCGATCCAGCGTGGCGGACTGATTCTTGACCGTCCACTCGCGGGCGGACTCGAAGGAATTGAGAATCACCGCTCGTCGCTGTCCCATCCTCACTTGGAACACCGGCCACCCATACTTTTCAGCCCAAGACTCGGCCGCGGTAGCATGGTCATCCCCCAGTTTGTAGAAGTGACCAGCCAGCGCTTCTCCATCTGGGATTTCGGGGATTCCTTTTATTTTGGGAAGGTCGACGTAGAAAAAGCGAACATAAATTAACGCTCCAACACCAAGTGCTGCTGTCAAAAGACTGAATAATGCAAACATGGTACTCCACGAGTCCTCCGACACGAAAGGCATGGCGATGGTATCTTGATCTTAGAAGACAATGTCTTCAACATCCTCCAAGCCTTCTATCCCAAATCAATCAGACGCCCAAGTGCAATGCATCAGCGGGGATCATGAACTTAGCTTTCAAACGACATGATAGCATGCCTGTCACAGGCGCCGCAATCGGATGCCGCAATCAAACCAAAACAAACCATATTGACCAGTGAGGAAAATAACATCGCGGGCGAGTTGTCCATGGAGTGGTCGGCGGAAGGCGTCGCTTGTGGACGCCTGGTCGGGGAAAGGCGGTGGAGCCCCTTGATAGATCGGTCCCGCAGTCAACGATCGTACCTCGACCCATCATCTCTCAGTCGTGGGTCCCTGGATTGCACCAGCTGGATGTTCCAGACTTCAAGATTGCCTAACCATGCCACGAGCGAAGAGGCACAAAGTTGCCAACCACCTTTTGGGGCCACAAGGAGTAAACAACCCAAGTAATAGCGAGACAATCCAGTGACGATGGCGAGCAATCTACATGCGAGCGCCCTTTTCGATGTTTCTGGTCGCTGGATCGCCATCACTGGCGCCGGTGAGTTTTCTGTCTTGCTCATGACATATTGGGGAGATGTATTGCTGCAAAATGATGCAGGACTAACGATGGTCAGCCAGTGGAATCGGTCATATGCTGGCACGAGGCTGCGCAGTCAACGGAGCACATTTGATCTTGATAGACATCAACGAAAGTTCTTTGTCCCAAGTCAAGAGTGAACTTCAAGAACTGTCTTCAGCATCGAATATCATTACGTGAGTTGGCCGAGGTTTGCGTATGACCAACTGTGCAGTTGTTGACATGGTTGAAGGATCCAGGGTGATCTATCCTCCGAAGAGGGTGTCCAGAAGGTTGCCAGTATTATCAAAGACCAACGGGATTCGTTAGACACCCTCATCCACTGTGCTGCCATACGGTATATGAACGAAGTGACATACCACCCTGGCGACGGCTTAAAGGCACTTGAAGCTGCGACCCTGTCGGCGCCTTACAAGGGCTGGGAACACACTTTTCGCCTGAACGTACTGGCTCCTTACTACCTGACTGCTCATCTGATCGGCCTTCTCGGTGCTGCTGCCGCCAAAGGCGATGGCAGAGGCTGCGTGATCTTGTTTAGCAGTCCAGCCAGCGTGCACAACCATCAGTTCGTCCCTTGTTACCAGACCTCCAAGGCGGCGGTGGACCACCTCGTGAGGATCATGGCTGCAGAGTTTGCAGACTTTTATAGTAAGTCCTCTTGTGCATCATTCCTTGTGGGAGTTCTGGTTGACATGGCATGCAGTCCGCGTCAATGCCATTTCTCCTGGCATAGTGCCTTCTGGGATGACTACGAATGACGCAACTTCAAATTTGCATCTCGCGGGAGAGACTCCAGCAAAACGCCCTGGCAATGAAGAAGATATGGTGGGCACTGCTCTTTGGTTGCTGAGCAAAGCCGGTGCTTTTATGGACGGGAAAGTCATTCGCGCCGAAGGTGGTCGGTTGTTGATATTAAAAGGGGTAACATCAAATTCGGACTGATGCCTTCTTGCTCTGAATCGCCGTATAAACCTGGTTGGAGGCTGAAGTCACTGCTTCACCGCAGATCCGTCCTCCCAGTACAACGAGCGATTTATGAAGGCGTAAAAAGGGCAGAGTTGCTCCGTGTCAAAGCCGGCTGTGGGTTGTGTAACACGCACAAGGTCGTTTATAGTGTAGCATGTAAAACCGGGAGACTGCTTGGTCATTCTCTCAGGTATCGAGGCGAGAATTTCGTGACGCTGGTATTGCTGCTATCCTCGCACCCAGGGCATTGTTTTTGTCCGTTGTTTTCGACCGCCATACGCCGTGATCTCCGAAGCAAGAGACAATTCTCAGCTAGTAAGGCTACTTTCAGTCATGCAACATGCCATATACAGATCAGATTAGTCACATATCGTGCTTCGGTGTGGCGTAGTTTGTAGGAACAGGGCTCTTTGGAGGAGGATAGGGAGGATTCCGCTCTGGGAATGGAGGTACGTGGGGCCAAGATATCCGGAGTTGGGCATCCGTAGTATTGAAGATTGCGCTCAAAGCCGCCCGCGCCCTTGAGTGTGCAAGTGGACCACTTTTTCCAGGCGAAGGCAACCACCCTGATCTTGTCAATCGCAGATGTTGCGAATCTACCTAGGTAGCCGAGTCTCGCTCGGTTCCCAAGTTCCTCAGCCAGCAAGTACGTGGATATCGAGAACAGAAACCACAACATAACTATGATACAATCAAGTCCTGTCCAAGACACCCAGAATGGGTGGGGAGGTGTGCCGGAGGTGGTCGCGAGCGGTTCTGCATGGGATATTGGTTTTGCCCATGGGAGCCAAATCCCTAACCGGATCAGGACTTGTGTTTCGAACTATGAGCGTCTTTTCCAGGAGACTGCCGAGTGTGACTGGACGGAGTCGAAAAATCGAGCAGCGACGTATCTCCCATCTCTGGAAGAAAAGGAGCCTGATCTCGTCGAAGAAATGCGCGGTATTGCTGCTGGAGCCGGAGTGGACTTCTTGGACATCCTTGCGCTCAATTTGCGCAGTGAGATATCCTTGACCAACTATTCCGATGGATGTACATCGATCGTCTCCCAGAATCCCACGACGAAGGAAGTGTTCTTGGCGCAAAATTGGGACTGGGTTGGTGAAGCACGCACGTCAACGGCCTTTTTCGACATTCATAAAACCGGGACACCACGCATTCGAATGATTGGAGAAGCTGGAATTCTGGCCAAATTCGGGATCAATGATGCTGGCCTCGGGGTGTGCATGAATGCAATCAGATCTGGAACGGTGAATAAGAGTGCGCTGCCAGTACACCTCGCCATGAGACGTATCTTGGAATGCAGATCGTTTGACGAAGCCTTCGCCATGCTGGAAAAGAAGGGCTTGGCTTCATGTGTCAACTTGATGGTCGCTGATCGCGGAGGGAATTTCGCAACGATCGAATGCACCCCCAAAGGTCTGGCTCCAATTCGTCCAGAGCCTGGCAGTACCACGACGTTCCATACGAATCATCTGTGGTCACCCAATGTCCCGGCAGGGATCCGTGACCACCCCTCCAAGAATTCGTTTTCCAGGCTGGACAGGATCAAGGAGCTGAGCAAGGATCAGGAAGTGACCGTTGACAAAATTCGTACTTGGCTCTCGGATGAGCAGGGTACTCCAGTCTCCATTTGTCGTTCGACGCCGCCTTCAGCTAAAGGCATTGAGAGGATGGAGACTTTGGAGACGGTGATTATGGAACTGCAAAAGTTGAGGCTGGAAGTATCTTTTGGCAAACCGTGTCTTTCGCCCCCAATCCGGACCATTGTTATTGAATAGATGTTCGCGGAATGCCACCGGCCAGAAGTCTGCAAGTGCTGGAATCGTACGTAGCTCAATCGGGGCTCCAACAGTCTCGCTGGTGGCGTCTGATTCGATGGGCACAAACATGATATGTTATGTTGCAGATGTTAAGCCTGGTTCGTTTCAAGGAGATTCGTAACTGTCCTCCACACCTCTAGATAGCTGTGGCCGCCTCGCCAATGAGGCGCGAAAAATGTTAGGATTTCAGAGCACCTCAGAAGGTCTTGAATGTGGTACTCTGCTGGAGTCCACCTTTTTCTGATACTTATTGCCAAAGCACACCCAGAACTGAGAGCCCTGGAGCTTGCCACAATGGGTGGAACGAAGTTGTACCTGGCAGTCGCTTTTCGATGGATGTCCAGTAAGAGCTTGGACGCAGAGTTGATAACTTTACGCCTCAAAGCCCTCATTCCTCTCCCATCAGGCTCGTCCGCTTCTTGAAAGCAAAAGACGCACTGTTTGTGCTTCGCGCACACTGGTAGAAACAACAGCCAAGTATCATTGATGACGGGATCGTCAATCGACATGTTGTCGAGCAAATCGATCAACAGGGCACTCTGCCCAATAAATGGACAGGTTTGAGCATCCGGGAGCTGTCCGTTGTTGTATAGTTCATGTGACAGTCTCGAGAAGATGTGCATGACATGGTCACTGTCTGATTGATTCAAGAACTTTGCTTCCCTCAGCATATTAGGTCGATCGAATATCATCCGTAGTGACCTAAGCCTGTAAGAAGATGTCACGGTGTCAGAGATTTGGTGGAATTACCCTTCTATTGATTTCAAGACGGACATCAGCCGGGCCTTGTTAGAGCTGTCGGAAGAGTCATAGACAACTGGACCGGACTCGAGTGTCCCGTTTGTCCTGTGCCATCCGAGCTGTAAGCATGTTCGTATGGCCAGGTCTAACAACTCCCAGGCGACTCCCCTACTCGAGTCAGCTAGCTCGTAAATGAGAAGCAGCAGTATCGCCGTCAGTGACTCGCCGTCCCATGAGGAGATGATGGTGTTTATGGACTCGTTGGCCCAGTCCCTGCACAACTGTGACATGGCTTTCCATTGGGGAGATCTGTAGCTTTCCCGCGCAGCAGCAATGGCACATGCAATGAGTATTTTGAACTTGGGATGATCTGGTAATTTCTTCAGCAGCGTTGCGTCTTGATTCGAAAGTTCGGGAATCGGTATATCGTATTGCGGTCTGATGCAACGATCGTACTGACCGAGTAGATAGCGCACGACACTGGGCGTCAAAACGGTGCGATCGAACTTGAGTGTGTCCTGTATATGGTAGTCATCATCCAGTTTTGCCTCCAACTCGGGCATTGCATCCGACTGTGGAAAAGCTTCAAAAGTAGCCATTGTGATCAACGATGGCAATGAAAGACCCATGTACATGTACTGACCGGTCCCAGGCATCAACACATACGAGGGTGGCCTGGACGGGGCCAATGACGGAATAGCAGCAGAGCCTCCAATTGGTGTTGCGACACTTTCAGGATTAATATATTGGCGAACAAGGCCCAAGAGCTGTGGGAATACTCACCTCGGCGAAGGATGCTGATGTAAAGCCAACTGAGAGCTCAAGTCTTGGATCTGGTCATTCAGTGCTTTGACATAGCTTCATGAACGTAAGTTTTTGTTCCGGGAAAGAATAGATCACAGTTGGCAGTGCACACCTTCGAGGAATATCCTCTTGAAGAGCATCATCTCGGAAGGTGCATTCGAGGTCGCTCTTGACACAATTGGCGCATGCCGGCAGAGATGAATCGCACTATTGTGTCGTCGTCAGCCAGACAGTCAGTCAAACGGGTTCAAGGGCATTGGTACTTTGATCCTCCGCGTCCGACATCGTGTGCATGTTTGGAGCATGGCGTACTATGCCCTTCTCTCTATGAGTCAGGAACGCTGACCATGTGGCCTGAGAACGCGCACGGCTCGATATTCTCTGTGGCCGTTCGGTTTATGCTGGAGATAACAGCTGCTTCCAAGTATAAGTTTGTAGGCTGGAGTGTGACATTCTAGATGAACAGTGTTCTGGGTTCAAGCCGATTCGTATCAAGAGGCCGAAACTTCTATCATCAACTTGGGGATAAAAGTGAGTGGGGCCGCTGCTTGTCAATCCACCAATGACACTGTATCTCTATCACAGCCTGATCACGTGACTTGCTAAATAGACCACGGCGGCGGTCATATGCGGACAACCCTGCGATACACGTAGTCAGGTATACTCAGAGCACAATGGGACGAGGTTCAGACGTTGGAGAGCTTTCATCAATTTTCCAGCCTTCTAGTAGGGTTGGGCGAACGTTTCAACAACACCTGATAATGACGAGATCACGGGACCAGTCAATACGGCAAGGCTGAACGAAAGTGCTTACCTAAGATGGTGGGTCCAATTGGACCGAGGCAGACCATCTTCTCGCCCGCCTCGAGATGCGGAGATGTTCGTTGACTGCAACAACGAGGAGTAGAACAGCTGGTCAAAAGATGGACGTCCTTTCTTTTACCAACGGGACCAGTGTACCAGACAGCTAGTGATCCCAGCCTGGCCAGGGCACTGAGCCGATCACAACAACCATGTCTGCGCAGACCCAAGCAGAAGCGCCATGGCAACCCATCGCCCGACGTAAACAAGCAGACCGCGCCGCCCAGATCCCGTCGGAATGGATGCTCCCATCCCACGTCCTGCCCAGAGACCCTCCGCGGCTAGAGTACGGCCCTCAAAACGTGCTCGATGTGCCTAGTCAATTCCTCTCCGACGCAGAAATCTCCATAACAGAATCCTACACGATCGCGACCCTCCTCTCAGCAATCGCATCGAAGAAACTCTCGTCCACAGAGGTAGCCAAAGCGTTCTGCCACCGTGCCGCCATCGCCCAGCAATTGACCAATTGCCTGACCGAACCGCTATTTGCCTCCGCGATCGAACGTGCCAAAGAGCTGGACGTATACCTGAAAGAGCACGGCAAGCCGTTCGGCGCGCTCCACGGCCTGCCCGTCTCGGTCAAAGACACATTCAACATCGCAGGCGTCGACTCGTCGATCGGCCTAGCATATCTATGCTACAAGCCCGCAAAGAAGAATGCGGTGCTGGTGACCCTCCTCCTGTCGCTAGGGTGCGTGATCGTAGCAAAGACGAATGTCCCGCAGACACTGGCCGCGCTGGATTCCATCAACAACGTCTTCGGACGCACCATGAACCCCATCAATCGCTTGTGCACGGCAGGCGGGTCTTCTGGGGGTGAAGGGGTGCTCGTCGCAATGAAAGGCAGCATGATCGGCATCGGCACCGACATTGGAGGCAGCATTCGCGTTCCAGCCATGTGTAATGGCGTGTATGGATTCAAGCCGAGCAACGGCCGCCTGCCGTACGGCGGACAAGCCCTCACGGGCATGGAGGGCATAGGCCGGACCAGCGTCCAGGCTGTGGCGGGACCCATTGCTCGCAGCGTCGAAGATATCGACGTGTTGATGCGCGAACTCGTCCCGCGCGCCAGTCTCTGGGGCGAAGACTGCATGCCGGTCGGATGGTCCCTTCATCCACGCAACCCTCGTGCCCGCGGCAGCGGTAAGACCGGTGAGCTCGTGGTTGGTGTCCTGCGCAGCGACGGCAATTGCGCCATTCTGCCACCCATCGCCAACGTGTTGGACGAGGTCGGTGCACAATTGCGCGCAACTCCAAACGTTACTGTGATTGAACTCGACTGTCCCAGGGCCTGGACAAGATGTCAAACAGTCATGAGCAAGCTGATGAGCGTCGACGGCGCCGAGCTCATGGCTGATATGATTTCGGCTACTCAGGAGCCGCTGGTGCCGTGGATGGCCACACGCTTTCGGAAAGGTAAGCCTCAACCATTGACTCGTGTTGCCGAGTTACAGGCCCAGCGCGCCGCCTTGGAACGCGAGATGCTCGACATCTGGGTCTCGACGGACTCAGAGGGTCGACGGACACAGATACTCGATGCCATCGTCTGTCCCGTGGCCCCGCACCCAGTCCCGCCTATCGATGGATACAATGCTGTTGGGATGACCAGCTCTTGGGTCCTGCTGGACTATCCTGCCGGCACGGTGCCTGTGCGGGTTTGTCAAGAGAGCGATTTGCAACTGGGAACCTCCCAGGGCGGTAAAGTGCTAGGGTCGTGGGATGAGCGGAACCGCGAGCTCTGGGACGAAAGCAAGACCGATCGCAGAATATACGTGGGGACGCCTTTGAGTGTGCAAGTCGTCGTGCCACGACTGCAGGACGAGAAGTTGGTCGAGGTCATGGGCTGGGTGGATGGCGCCGTCAAGGGTGAGAAACAGCAGCCGGTAAAGTCCAGGTTGTAACACAGGCTTGGATGAGGACTCCAGGACGATATGGATACTTCCCCAATTACGACTTATGATATCATGATACGGAATCCCTCAAAAATGCTCGTTACTTTGATCGCGCCATAGCAAACTTCAGGTATAGCAGCCCAGATTGAGGTCGACAGTACTAACATCAAACCCACCAGCATGCACATATGGCCTCCATCAAGCTAATGGCCGCTTGCTCAAATGGTCTGAGCGACCTCCATTTGCAGCAAAGAGAGCAATAGCATGGGAGAAGATTAGGTGGTCTCATGCGTGTTATCCTTGGTCACCAATCTCAAGCTGTCTCTCACCGCGGTGCTGCCCTGACTTCCGATACCACTGTCGCTGAGACCTCTCGCACTCCCGCTGCCCGCCTGACCATAATGCGGCCGATCCCATTCAATAGGATATGTGGAAGACTTACTGACCTTATTCTCATGGCGACCGGGGACGATAGAGTCGAAATCAGCATTGATTTCCGGCCATAACTGGAGGATCCTGTGCTCAAACAAACCCAACGGTTCTTCCACAAGCTCGAATTCATGCATCTTCTGACCCTTAACATAGGTTGTTTTTGCTGTTTTCTTCTTCTTGTTGAGGTTATTGTCGTCATGCCCACCATCCACTACTTTGTCAGGAACGACTGTTTTCTTCCATACCACGCCAGTCATCTTGCCCACGGCGCCAGGCGTGGTCTGCGCAATCGGCGTGTCTGGTTCAGTCTCTCTGCCGTACAACACCCAGCCTTGCAAGGCCTGGCAGTCATATTTGCCTTTGTCATTATACCCTAGACCTTCCATGCCCATGCGGATACGGACGCTGGAGTGGATGGTTTCATTCGTCCGTTTGAGTCGTGGTAGAAGCTGGGAAGAACGGGAATCATTGATTCCCAAGATTCGTTTGAGCTGACTGCTCAAATTCATGAAGATCCAGACTACGGTGCCCTGCTGCGAGCCGAGTTCTTGCTCACGATACTCGCCTGGAGCGCGAACGCGAGATCCTCCCAGTTTGAAGAACAGTGTGAAGCTGTCGTGGATCTTACCCAACCCCCACGGCCGGAGGTGAGGACGTGTGTTGCGGACGGTGACGGCGCGACCTTCATGAGTGAACGACTGGTGGCCTTTGACCGCGTCGGCGTGGTCCGGCCGAACCAACTCCATGATGTATTCGTGGTTGATGGTTAACACTGGGTCTAGCTGTGACACCATCCACGCCAGTGTCAGGTTCGCCAGCGCCGTATCGTCGTAGCTGCCTCCAATGTCGCTGTGCACGCCGGGGAACCACGTCTGCTTGAGAACTTTGAGGTCGTGAGGCTCCACACGTGGCCAGTCCCAGATTGTGGGCGAGAATGAGCGGCGATGCTCGTCCAAGGCCAGCGCTTGAAAAGCGTATTCAATGTTTGATTCCACTCGTGTATCCACAAACGCGAAATCCGTGCTGGGTGGTTGTGGAAGCAGTCCGATCAAGGGGATACCCAGACCACCAACCGTGTCCCAGACGGCGACGCATTTGACCTTGATGTTCGGTCTCGTCAGGCCCTTCTCGATGAGTTGTCGTTGATAGTGCGGGTCTGTGACCGGCGGCTTATGTCCGACAAATGGCAGATTCGGCCATTTGGTTTGGAAGTTCTTTTTCTGCTGGAACTCCCAGTCTTCGAAGACCTGCACAAAGTATTCAAGCCCCTTGGCTGTCAGCAGACCTGCTGCATTGATCAGGCTGGAGATAGATCGTGCGGTGAAGGCGCCTCTCGAGAATCCCACAAGGAAGATCTCGTCTCCCGGATTGTAGTTGAGACAGATGAAACTGTACGCTTCTCGAATGTGCTCGGCCAGACCTTCCCCTGTGGTACCCCCGACGAACTTGTCGTAGAGCGAGTTCGAGCCTGTGCCAACGCCATTCTGGTAGAATATGATCTGCGAGATAGGATGGTCTCCAGTCATGGTTTTCTCGACCCCAACAGGGGGAATTGCGCGTGCGAGGCGAGTCACATTGCTTGGGGTTTGATAGTCACCGTCACTGTCCTGCCAAGTTCCGTCGCAACATACGACAATGCGCTTCTTGGGATCTGGAGGGGCCATGTGGTCGAGAGAGGGTTGTTGGGAAGAAGGGAGTATCTCAGGAGGTCAGGAGAATATAGCGCTTGATGACAGTTGCCAGCAGCATTACCAGCAGTATATGGGGATAAAAGCCGACCTTTTCACTTGCCTCTAGAGATATTTGGTGATTACGTCGTGGATGATGCCCTTGTGCAACACCGTTTCTAGGCTGAGAGTATGAATGGTCCTCGTGGATGGCCTCAACTTGGCGGACGATCAAGTGGCATTGTCCACGGCATCCTGGTATATATCAGCCATCTTCTCCTCTTTTGAAGTCACACACGCTGAGAAACTGTCCATCTTCAGCGAAGATAGGTTGTTTGGACAACTCGGTGCATGGTTCCTGTTCAGCTGACGCCTCGTTCAGTGTCCAGTTCAGCCTGAGGTACTCATGTCGTTCTTCTTCAGGCCTAGCACTGAGGCACCATGCAGCAGAACAGATTCCAAGGATTACTCAACCAATGGGGCCAAAGGTTGTGGCACTCGGACTGCCATATGACAGGCTGTTCACAATATCATGAAAATGGTGCTGACTGGGGCTGATTGGCGATTGGGGCCCGGCAGACAGGGGGCCGTAGAATAATCCACCCACAGCCGCAAATAGATCACTCAACGGCGAACTTGACTCTCTTCAAAATCCATTTCCGATTCTAGACCTGAGTTGCTTGCTGTTTCCTCGTTCAAACTTCAGGAGCCTTATACTTGGTATACAACTGACATTCTCGCAGTAGTAGTAGTAGTAGTAGTAGTAGTAGTAGTAGTAGTAGTAGTAGTAGTAGTAGTAGTAATAGTCCTGCTTCAATGTGGTCCAAAGTTGAAGAATTGGACCTAGTAGAAGATGTCGTAACAATAACGCAATCCGCGTCTCGACAGTCATTGCTAGCTCTCCGGTAGGAGTCAACTCCTAGTAGTCTTAGTCTAATATCTTTATTCCAGAGAGAAGGCTCCGTGATCTCTCCTATACTTCAGACAATCCAAGACCTCATACGTTTTCTCTATATTGCCAGATGCGAGAGGCAGTACCATACTTCCTCGCTTACCATTGGCCTGATGCTCCGCTATATACCATGATATACTAATATTTCACCTGCTATCGTTTCTCCACGAAGGAATCGAAGTCTAGATGCGTACGTAGTAAGAATGATTATCAGGCACTAAGATAGCAGCGACGAGGTCGGGTCAATTAATTCGACCAGTTTTTTGGCCATTCTGTGTGCAGAATGTAACCCTATAGAGAAAGGCTCCTATAGTACTGTACCGACCTCTACTCGGCTGCCAGGCCATCCACAAGACTGAGAGACTACAGTAATTGAGAGTCGACTCCTACCGTCACTACTTGGAGTCCGGCTTTCTAGCTTGCCGCACCATGACAACCTGCTTATACCAGCCCGGCGCCGTCCTATCCCGTCTACTGCTCCAGTCTTCCCCCTTGTCAACACCGTTTTCGAACCTCAACAAATCAACCCAAACCTCGTCGATCGCCTCGAACCCGACGGCCGAGTACAATTTGAAGCCGTCCGGGCTCCCCTCCAGCGTGGCCGGAAGACCCAATCTGTCGGCCTCTCGCGTGACGTGGTCCATCAGCATCCTTCCCGCGCCTCGCCGGTGATGGTCTGGGGAGGTAGCCACGAGATCGACGTTGAGATGTGGGCCGAGGGCGGCACCGAGTCTCTTCCGTGAGGCCGTGATCATGGTCCAGAAGTGGTCGACGAGCGTCATATTCGTGTAAGGCGGCCATTTGCGTTCACTGGTGTCTTTTCGTTCCTTCTCGGCCTGAGCACTCTCAAAGATGTCGTACTTGATCCAGGCTATCACTTGGTCTGAAGTCGACCCCGCAATGGCATCGTCCAAGACCACGGCAAAGTGTGCGCTTGGATTTGACGTGATGCTTTTCAAGTGTCGTTGCCGGTTGGCCTCGACAATGCCCGCGTGGCTGGACGGAGGGCCGTGGTAGATGGCCTTGTATAGGTCGTTGGTCAGCCAGGCCGCCGCGTGGATTTGCGCCATTGTCGGGATCAGCGCCAGGTCGTCAGGATCGTTCGTCGACAGAACATGAAGTTTAAGAGGCATGTTTGCATGTAGTGATCGGTGCAGCAGATTCAAGGAGAGGACAGAAGCAGTAAAGCCTTAGGAAGCCGAAGGACGTAGCAAGGCGTGGGGGATGGTCGGGGCAGTCTTTATAAGCTCCTCGTGCGGCTGCTCTATTGACTACCAACGGTCAAAAGTCAAGAAATCATCAAGATCAGCCATCGCGAAGTTTTTTATATTTGGTTGGTCTCGTTATTTCTCTTTCATCGGATTGAATTGATCACGTCAGCACCACAGAAGCTCTAGAACATCGTTGGTCGAGGTGGAGCGCGTTCACGGCTATCATTCGCGGGGGCGTGTTATGTCGTTGACAAACTAGGTATATTGTGAACACACTGTGGATACACGGTGGATATACAGTAGTATAGATTATGGACCTTGAAGCTTAGGGCACTTTGGCCAAACCTACGCCATTGCTCCGTGGGTTGCAGCCCTCGGGTTTTATAATAAATTCACCTCGGCCGGCAGTGGGCAGGCTGAGGAGCTCACGTAGAGGTTGAGCTCGAAGCTGAGCCTGGTCATCTGAGTTCTGAGTAATACCAGATCTTTTCTGATGCTCGATCCCAAGATACCTGTATGTTAACCTCATGTTTGTTCTCAGCCTAGGAACCTGGTGAGACCATTATATGATATGTGCCCGCATGCTGCCAATGTGTCACTGTGTCAACACATCATCGCTACAAAGGTAGAAAGCTCTGGACTGGGGTTTTATGGACAGATCCGTAGATCGCCGAATGAGATGTTTGATTGTTTTGGGTACTGTGTCTCTCTGTCTGTCCGCTTGAAGCTTGTAAAAATCTCGAATGACGCGGATGCCATGTTATATGTACATGAATTCGAGACCGCTAATCCCTTGACCACTTCATGCAGGTTTCTCGAAGCAATAGTCTGGTCCTGTTTCTCGATCAGCCTCCTCTCAGCGAATGCATCGCTCCTGTCATCTTCCTTGTCTGTCGCCTTGATTGAAGCACAAGAGTTCGGAAAGGGGCTCTCCGTTCATACTAAAAGTTCGATACCGGCCATCCACTACCTCGTCGAGACAGTCCTGTTCTGCAAACGCACGGTCGCTCTGATGCGGATTGTGCTGTGCTAGGTTAGTCTCTTCCACGGGTGCGGGACCTCACTTTGGGACCGTGTCGCAGTACACGGCAAGTTCACTTCTTTTTGAAATTTGCATTTTCACCTTTTTTTTGTGTGTGTTGGTGTTGCATTGCGACATGGGTTTCGACTCCTCATGATAGAGGGACGGTGGTGAACGTGCAAACCAAGATGGGCCATACGAGGGCCTCCATTTACAGAGCCTCTCGAAATGGTTCACGTTAGAAATACTACTGGTCAGCTCGTCAGTGATCAGGCTGTGGCTGCAGCAGGTGTTGGAGTTGGAGTAGGTTGCATCATCTTTTGTCGCTTTACGGAGTCGCCAGTGTTTTCAGCATCCTATAGCCAAGTCAGTGTGCGAAATGCATGAGCGGGAGGTAAGTGACGAACCTCGACTTCGCTAATACTTCGTCGTGCTGGCTTCGTCTCTGGTTTGGTGGCCTTCACGACCTTCTTGACCGGTTTGCTTGGCCTAGCTTCGCCGGCTTTCTGGTCGAAAAGATCTTCTGGTAGATCCCAACTCCTCGCAGAGGCGAGACTCAGATAGTGTATGTCTCGATTGAAACCTGCCCAATTTTCGCAGATGTCCTTGAAGGCCTTAAAAGCTGGAACCAGATCCAGGCGTTTTGCAACAGTGTCAATGCCGATATAGAAGGTGTAGGTGTACACGGTGAAGCCGCCTTGTTCGTTTTCCGGCTTTGCACTGTCGACCGAGGGGATAGTGGCACCTTCGCCATTTGTGGTGACCAGCTCTGGGTCTGTGGAGTCCATTGTCTTCGTTTCATCCACCTTGTATTTCATGCTACCTTTCTGCACCTCACGAATCTGGGTCTCATCCGAGCATTTGTGAACGCGCTTGAATCCCTTGGTGAATGGGCGGGCGAGGTCAATATCCTTGATACCTTCCAGTTGCATCACGAAAATGCGCACTTTGGACTCGACCAGACCGGCCCAAGCCTTAGCCGAATCAGCACTCAAAGAGCTTGCGGTCACGCTGAGATAGTATTTGTGGTCCCGTGTGAAGAAGGTATGCTTTTTGAAGAGATCGCTCCACCGAGCCTTGCCGGAAAAGATCTTGTTGGTTATTTCCCCGCCACGTTTCAGTTCCCGCAAGATAACCTTCTGTCCGGACTTGGAGATGTTGTACGTGGCGCACATGCTTGGGAACGCGGGGGTGATGATTGGCATGATGTTTTTGCGGTCACCCGAATAGATGGCTGGATTCCACACCTTGAAAGCCTTGTTCTGCTCGGTGTTCTTCACTTGTTCGATGTCCTTGAGCATCACGGGTGTGGGCCAGTCCCAATGGCTGATCACAAAGAAGAACTTATCGACAATGGTAGCACCGACCGCATGGGGATATAGTTGACACACCCGAGCCACGAGCATGGCCCAAGCCACACCACCAGGGTAGCCAACAATATTGGCATAGATGGCTCTTCTTTGAGCCCATAGTTTGATGGCCCGTAGCGCCGTTCGAAAGGTCTTTTGTTCGGGGACTAAGGATAGGATCTCGTCGGTCACACGCTGGTGTCGTCAGTACGCCATTCCTGACGTTTCCTGGGGAGACTATACTTACTGGTCCTGTAACTGCTCGAACAGTTGGCTGGTCCAAACCCATGAGCAGATTGTTGTCATTCAAGGTGAGATCCTTGGGTATAGTTGAAAGCGAGGCGATGGAGGCAAAGATGAGATCGATCTCGATGCCGTTGAGCACCAGTTTGATGATGGGAACGAATGAGTCGGGGACGGCCGTCAAAGACGTGACTGCGCCTGGCCCAGCCATCCGTTCGAGGATGGCAGGAAAGTAGTCGAAAAAGTCCTCACGAGTGACATGTCTCGGGGCGACCGCGAGAGTATCAATATCCGAACCTACACATAATCAGCTTTATGCACATATAAGGCCCACGAGGAGATGCTTTACCTGGTCCGAAAACCCCCAAGCGATAACTTCCATAAGGATAGATCTTGCCGCCGAACTGGTCGATTTGCGACGGTGGAAATCGCTTTCGACGGCTGACCTCCCGCACAAACTCTTGGGTGACCCTGTTCAACAAGGCTAGTGTGCTCATCCTCTTTTTCGTCTCGTCCATGGGTTCATAGTTATTCTCCCTCTTCAGTTCTTCGACCAACTCCGCGGTCTTCTCGTTGTCAAGAGGCTCCGGTAGTGCAGTGGAAATAGGCGGGCTTACGCCCCATTGCTTTGGGGCCGAAGCACCGGGCGTCGACATGGTCAGAGCGGACCGTATGGATCCGACGCTTTAAATCACGATTCGAGTCTTGTTCTCGTGGCGGTCGATGGCGATACCAGGCAGACAAGAAGGGGTGTCTTGAGGGACAGAGAATTGAGGATTTAATGGGACAGAAGGGCAAATAGAAAGCCTGGACGCAGTAAAGACATCCTCCCCAAACTCCAAAAGAAAGATGGATTGAAATATGCAAAGGCAAGATGATGAATAGGGTGTTGACAGTGAATAGGAATTTACAAACATGAATCAGAGGCGTCGGCAGGTCCTCACTGATGAGCAGCGATTCAACTGACTGCAGTTTAGCGACGGACGGAACCGCAGACTCGCAGGTTCATTATTGAAGCTTAAAGCGGCGAGCCAGTGGAACCAAACAAGGTCGATGGCTGCCAAGAACCACCACTGCATCCATCACCGTGTGTTCCATTCATCAGACTCAATTGTCGTACTATAATACTACCTAGTATGTCGGACTCCTATTAGTATTGTCCTTTGACGGCTATTCATACTTAATCGAGGGAGCTATTCTGCCACTACCTATTGATGGAGCATTGTCATTGACCCAAAGGGACAATGACAGAGATTTCAATCTACTACTAGTACTTGAAAAACATGCATGTCACAACTTGAGCAGCTTCTTCACTCATCTACTCACCCACTGCAGTTTAGAAGAGCTGCAAGTCTAGATCATCTTTAACCCAGCTTAGGCGCCTCTGCGAGCAGCTTTGCCAATCTCTCATCCAACCACTTTGCGTCCTCCATATTCCCAGGAGGACCTCCGGCCCAATGGCCCCAGATGGACGGAAAGACATCGAGGGTGCCTGCTCCAGGAGTCATGTTCTGGACCTCATATTCAGAGTCTTCTGGTCTGGTGAAGGTCAGTAAGTCAAAGGCTAATGGGCACTTGCAAGGTCACACTCACGGGAAATATAAGTCGGTTTTGCTGGGAAGCACCAAAGTCTTTGCTTTGATACTGGCCATGGCCTTCTCAAAGTTGCCATTGTATGGCTCTTGTAGGCTCACGTCGCCTGCTTGCCACGTATGCAACATGACAAGTAGATTCTCGGGATCTTTGCTGAGGCCCCAGGCCTCCCAGAAATTGACCATGAAATCTTCAAGATCTTTGGAGCCATAGGCCTTCTCATACACCTTGTGTCGATAGAATGCCTGGCTGAAACCCCATCCAGCGTAGACACGGCCAAAAGCCTTCAGAGCCACCTTCTTTTCCTCCTCGCTCCAGGTACGGACTTCGGACCCCTTTGTTTCAATCCTGCCGAACGGGCTACCTGCCGACGAAGCTCCCTTGGCTGCTAACAGGGCCGACTTGACGCCTTCGAGCATGACCTGGTTGTGGATCGATGTCTTTGCAGAGCCACAGAAAGGCACGCAGATGTCCATGAAGTCGGGATATTGCGTGGCCCATTGGAAAGTTTGACCGGCGCCCATTGACCAGCCAGTCACGCAGCGAAGGTGGTGGACGCCCAATTTCTGGGTCAACAGCTGATGTTGGGCTTTGACGTTGTCGTAGAAGGTGACGTCCGGGAAGGGCGATATCTTTGAATTCGAAGGAGAGATCGACTGGCCGTTTCCAAACAGTGCCGCGATGATGATAAAGTACTTCTTGGGATTCAACGCCTTGTCTTCGCCCATGAGCCATTCATTATCAGAAATCAACCCCGAATACCAAGTGGGATACATGACCGCTGGAGATCCAGGTTCTCCATACGTCTTGTAGGCTATCCATGCTCCTGGCAGAACGGCACCGCTCTGCAACGTGAAGTCACCAAGATCGAAGGTCTCATACTCTGGCATCTTGACAAAAGTGAGGGAAGATGGGTTCAAGATCCTGATGGAATTTCGAAGTAGAATATCAAGATATGCCCGTTTCATTCAGTCATGAAGTCTTCCCCATATCAGTCGGGGCAGCAATCTACACTGATATCGGTCGCGACCCCGCAAGGCGCTCATCTCCATCGTGACCGGAAAGAGAGGCGCTCAAGTTCGGCAAGAATGAGGTACTAGTAGTACTACGCGCGACTGTGGGCCGGATTCTTTCCGCCGTCCGGCGTAGCGGGCGTCACAGCTTCATATATCGAGTCGTGACGTGCGCCATCCGCAGGGTGTGTGCTGCTTGAGCATCATTTCTCGTCCAGAAAAATTTGTTGAAGACCACGACAAGATAGACTTACGGGCTGAGCTGAAGACAAGTCTCAAGACGAAGTGACAGTTCTCTTCCAGGCTTGGGAACGCTGGTTCTGCATGATCGCCGCGCGAAAGGGTTTGCATCAACACCGTCGCTTAGCTGACCCTGTCGTTTTCTACCAAGTAAGCCCAGACATCTTATCGGTGGAGGTCGGCTAATTTGGAGCTTCATAGAAGCTGCATAGTGTTTTTGGGCGCTCTCAAACTTCGATTAAACGACCTTTTCACAACCCGAAGAAATCACACATGTCTCCGCAGGAGTCGAAGCCTCAAGAGGCCCAGGAGAAGCACGATGCCGAATCGGCCCTGAAGAGAAACCCTCACGGAGATTTCAGCAAAGTACAAGCATCGCGGCCCGACTGGGACGAGTCGACACAGTGGCACTATACGAAAACTCGAGATCCAAATTGGACCTACGGCTCCGGAGCCAACGACAAGACAGCGGCGTCAAAGTCGCACGTCTCGATTGACCCCTACGCCGAGGGCCGGCCACCGGTGGCGAACTACAAACTGCTCATCTCTGGCATTGTGCCACGGCCCATTGGAATTCTGTCGACCCGGTCTAAGGACGGCTCGTCCACCAACCTGGCACCATTCAGCTACACCCAGCTCTTCAACCATGATCCTCCCGTCTTTGGTGTAGGCTTCAGTGGCGGCTTCGACAATGCCAAGGACACATTGAAGAACCTGATCGAAAGCGGCGAATGTGTCATCAATATCATTTCCGATCATTACATCGAGGCAGCCAATGCCTGTGCCATCAATCTCCCGTATGGTCAGTCCGAATGGGCTATCTCGGGCCTGACTCCAGCCGAAAGCAAAGTGGTGGCCCCCTCTCGCGTCAAGGAAGCTGTCTTTAGCATCGAGGGCAAACTGATGAACACTCAAGAGTTTGAGTCAAGAGCCACCCCTGGTAAGAAAACGGGTGTGTTGGCGGTCATAGAAGGAGTCCATTTCTGGGTCAGAGAAGATGCCATCAATGAGGACCGGAGTTTGATTGCCCCGGAGGTCCTTAGGCCGATTAGTAGACTGGGAGGTATTACCTACGCCAGAGTTCTGGAAGGATTTGAGATCCCTCGGCCAGTCCTGAGACAAGAGCAAGAGCATGGGAAGCTTGGGGATGAATTGCTCAAGCCAAAGGTAGAAGGACAGTAAGTGTCCAACAGTATTCCATAGAATGATGGTTTGATTCAACGTAGATAGACCTGAGTTCCTATGGATAACATGAAGCTAGAGCAGAGCCAACAACGGCTTGCCATTATTGGGGGAGAGAGGTCAAGTCAGAATTCACCCGTCGAATGGATCGAGGCTGAATCGTCCATCGACGATGAACACATCCTAGAAGCACACTGCTATGCATCGATAGTATCGAGACTGACAGGGATGGTCCTACCTCGCCATGGCTGTCCGACATGCAGGAAACGGCGGGTCAAAGTCAGTAATTTCTCCACGCGATTTTCTACAGACTCCAAGAAGCCAACTGCTACTGATAGTGTGATATAATCCAACCGGTCTGTGGTCGATGCGCGAAAGCAGCCCGAGACTGCATATGGGATCCGAACAACTACCAGGGTCTGCATTTCAAGAATGAGAATGCTTTTGCTGAAGGCCGGCGCAGAAGACCGAAGAAGTTGGAGGGGACGACCACGACCACGGCTGCAACAACTGCAACAACCGCTTCAAACCCAACCATCGAGTCAAATATATCTGTACCGATTGACGTCCTAGCCCTTGGCTTCTACGTGCGGAACTTCTGTTCCGAGATGACGAGTTCCCTGAATTGGGCATGACTACAAAGCGTTCATTCTCCCACGGTGGGCACTCAGTGCGCCAGGTTCAAGTCTACACCTGGCACTCCATGGCCTGTCCCATGCCGCCTTTGGGCGGAGGAAGAACTTACAGAAAGCAGTCGACCAAGCTGCAGCCTACTATGCACAGAGCATGACAAAGATCCAACAAGAGATGCAAGAACTTGCTGATTCCGGCATTGATGCTCTCCTTATGGCAACGATGATCCTAGATGATTATGAGGTGTGTTGGCAAGACATGTTGGCACCCGAGAGGCCTTTCGTGTTTTCTTACTATGACGTAGAATACAGTCTTCGGGAGCTCTCAGCAATCTCATCATGACACAGCGATCGCATTGCTCAGGGTACAACAGCAAACAAAGGGCAGCCGAAATCTGCCAATCGAAAGGGCTGTTCGGCGATCAATCGTGAGTTAGGGACCGAACCGCATTAATGAGATGGTTTGTTGAACCCAGTGGCAGATCAAAACCTGCATCTTGCACGGCGCAGGTATCCCAGCCTTCCTCAAGGATGGCACAGTCTACGAGGAAGATATATCAATGCTCGAACTTGATTCACTTCTGGTAGGGGCAGCATGCCTCCGCGAAAAGTCGGTCAATCTGCCTTTGGATGGGAACTCCGAGAACACATCTGGCCACACAAAGTTGACCGATTTGGCCACCGAGGCAGAAGTCCTCGAGAATGCACTTGCTGCGTGGCCTGTCGTGGACCGCGCGGATTGGAAGTTCGTCCGTCTGCCCGTCAGCACAAGCTTGGAATCAACCCAGTTATTTCCTCTATACGGAGATTCGGTCCACCGGTACCAGAGCCACGGCCATGCCACGATTTGGAATATGCATAGAGCTGTTCGTGCCAGGGTCAACAGCATTCGCATCCAATGCGTTTCTCGCTTGCTGTTGCAAGGGGCCTTGTCTCACTCTGCAAGCGTCAGTGAGCAGCTCGCCGTGTGCCGCCAGACACTGGACTCGTCAGTGAGAGATCTTGGCGAAAGCATTCCATTCTTTTCCCAGTTCTCCATCTCGACCAGGAAAGGGTTCGAGGAGCTCACGACGGGACGGCGTCTCATCCTGTCTGACTCCAAGATTGTGCCCAAGATGGCAGCCCTGTTGGCTTGGGCATTAGCGATGCTTTTCCGCATTGACGCCGTCGAAGGATCTCAGAAACAATGGCTGAAGCTTGTGCTCAAGACGGTGGCGGATTCTTTGCAAAAACTGCACTGACGGTGATTGCTGAGCAATGAACGAAGTAAAGTCGGATCTCAGATCGAATGCTACCCGTCCCAACCCCCTGTGCATCCGGCCAGAGAGAACACCAGATCACCGGATAAAGAGCCTCGCCTGTTTAACTCGATGAGGTATCGCCTTGGACGGATTGGCGACCAATCACTCTTGCAAGGCTTCATGTTTGATAGACAGCTCGCTGTTTTGGCCGAATCGGGGAAGGTGCCCCACTGGCAATTGCTGGTATTGATCAGCTCCCGCCCAATCACAAGGGTCCTTTCCACGAGCCTCGCCAACAATGCTTCGAACCTGGTTGGCAAAAGCCGCAATACTGGCCCAGTTAGGGACCGATGGCTGTCCTATGATTGGCGTGTCGTCAGCTTGTGCCCTGAAAGACGGGGACTGTTGTTACCAATCCGGAAAACAGGACAAGCACCAAACTGTGCTCTCGGGATCATGGCGGTGGTATATAAGCGTCAGCCTCTCTTCCTCTCAAACGTCCTCAGTCAGAATTGCCTGCACAGGACATCAGCAGTCTACGTCCCCAAACATTTTTGGAAGCCCGTCGCCAAGTCCACCTTTTCACGACAGACCACAGGCGCCGAGGTCGTCCAGGCTTTCAAAGACTGCATCGCTGGAAACACGGGTGACTCTCTCTATCCTTTCTCTTGATACCAGACATGACAAATTGCTAACAGCTTTTCCCTCAAGTGGTCATCACTGGAGCGAGTGCCGACGGTCTTGGGGCTCAGACCGCCCTTGACATTGCCGCGGCGAAACCAGCCAGGCTGATCCTCCTCGCGCGCGACCCTGCCAAAGTCCAACCAGTGATAGAGCAAATCGCAGCCATCAGTCCGTCGACAAAAGCCAGCTTCATTCCAATCTCCCTGGACGACATCGACTCGGTCCGCACTGCCGCCGCCGACAGGCCAGGAGAAGATCGATGTTCTGATCAACCATGCGGGCATCATGGCCGTTCCATATGCCAAGACCAAGAATGGGATCGAGTCCCAGTTTGCGACCAACCATCTCGGACACTTTGTGCTGACGCAGAGACTGATGCCATTCCTCAAGAAGGCTGCTGCTGAGACAGATGGGTCCGGCGCCGTACGCGTCGTCAACGTCTCGTCGAGTGGTCATCTGATCTGTCCCTTCCGACCTGACAACATCAACTTCGACGACGGCAAGACGTATGACCCGTTTTCGGGCTACGGCAAGTCCAAGACGGCCAACATCCTCTTCACCAAGGGCCTTGCCAACCGCGGCGTCACGTCGTTTGCCCTGCACCCGGGTCTCATATTCTCCATACGCATCTCGCGGACGGCGTCGATATCAGTGTGTTCCGTTCGATCAACGAGATTACAAAGAGGAACACTGGGAAAGAGTTTGGAAGCATGGACGAGCCCAAGACCTTGGACCAGGGGCTGTGCCACCACCCTCGTCGCGGCGTTTGATCCGTCTATCGTCAACGCGAACGGTAGTTACCTGAGAGTCTGTCAGGTCTCCGAGGTCGCCGAGCATGCCCGGGACGAAGCCAGTATTGAGAAGCTGTGGGAGGTGAGTGAGAAGTTGGTGGGAGAGAAATTCGTCATCTAGGGGATATAATTCAATGTACTCCAGATTCTGTATGTCGATGAAATGGTGGCCTTGCCGTGACTCGAGGGCTCTATCTACTCAGCCAGTTCCTCCCTCTCTGTAGGTACATCCTCTGTCTTAATTTCAGTTACAATTGCAGGATACGTTTGGACAAGTCTTAAGTTTGCAGAATTCGTCCACAGGTCGCAGCTAAAGCCTCACCACAGTTACACTTCAGCACGAGGGTGATGCTCGGTTCTTCGACATCCACCACCCACCATCTGCAAAATCTCATGGTCAATGGTCATAGCAGATGCAAACTACAGAAGTGCTTGTCATGGTTGTTGGCGTGCGGCTGCGGCTGCGGCTGAGGCTGAGTCTGAGACAGTCTGCCTTGTCTGTCTTGCCGACCTGCACCAACACCGTCTTCGTCCCCCTACTAGTAATACGCATCCTTACTGGTCCTCTCAACACCAATCGCATGTTTCGACAGTCCTAGGAATTGGTAGCCTAAGCCTGGGTAGCTTCCTCCAGCCTTTCGAGGCGCAGGAAGCCATGCAAGATGAGCTTTCTCCCCTCATGACCTTGGTGTGACTGCCTCTAACTAGATAGGCTCTTTTGATTTCCTTTTAACGGATAGTAGATTCTGAGTCGACAGACAGTAGCATCTGACCACTACAACCTTCCAGCCTTATTCTTGTGTTCACCTGGGCAGTGGGACCCCGTGGAGGTGAATTTGATGGACCCTCTCCCATCAGACGAGTCTGCCCAGCCTGACCAGGACAAAAGATCAACGAATAACAGAAAGAACTCCCACAGCAAGATAGTGTCCAACTCCCAAGTGGCATTAGCGACCGCGTCGACGGTGCTGTTTGCCATCACCGCCTGGTTTGCTGCATCGACCTTTTCAGACCGGCCTGGAGACCAGGCAACCCACATCCTCCAGTCCGGGTTCAAATTATCTTTCAGCGCGACAATCACGGTGTTAAGGGTCCTTCAGGGGCTGACTTCCGTGCTCACGGGGGCTGCGGTTCTGCAGTCCTTTGAGGGGATTCAATGGACTCTAGCAAGCCGCGATCAGGGGCTACGGCTCCTCAGCCTTCTCGGTCTCTCGCCCAGCACTGGCATCCTAGGCACGATTAAACTGGTGTTTGGAAGGAATGGGCTATTTGCAGACCGGGCGTGGGCAGCGTCAAGGTATGAATGATGAATCTGAATCTGAAGATGAATGAATGCTCTTGATACAATTACTATTACCACCCAAAGCACCCCGAGATCCTGGAATTTGGAAATCAGGCTCCTGATATGATTGCCAGAATCTTTTCCGCCGCTGTGCTTTTCGTGGCCGGGCTTGTCTTGTTCAGTGAGTGCAACTTCAATGCTGCCTGCCACTGCCAGTGATTTCCCTTCCAACGAGCCCGCCCTGACGACTCGTCTAGTTGAGACCTCGACCGTTACGGCCTACAGATGTACGGAGAGATTCGATGTGACAGCCGGCACGGGACAGTTTCACGGGTCCTTTGTCGAACCATTTCTCGAGGAAAATGGACATGTGGTTCCGTATTGGGGGCTTGCATCCACCTACAACTTTGTCAAGAATTCGGTGTTTTCCATCCCTTCTCATCCCATATCCTGCCCGAGGAGGGTCGCGCAGTGCGACTCTTATCTCTTTCCAGGCGGCACATATCTGATGTATCCGCAACCGACGCCCACTTCGCCGCTGTCGACAGACGCGGCCATCATCATCGATCATGCGCCGGGCACGCAAGTCGACTTTGCCCGAGGTCTTGATCCGCTGGACGGGTTTCTGGCCCAAGACTGTGTCGTGTACGGCAGCGACAGTTCCATAGTTGGGGTGCAGTTCTGCCTTGCTGAGAGCCAGGTCTCGCCAGGCTCCGTACTGGCAGGTAGGGTGTTCGGGGACTGACTGGTCATCGTCAGGACTCAGCCTTGTGCATGGATTCAGCAATGGCTGACCTTGGAGCACAGGAGTCTTTGCATGTTCTGCCGGCACGCAGGGAGGAGTATGTCGGATCTCAGGCCACGGCCACGTCCCGAACGTGTCGGCGACCATGACGGTCTACAGCCGACGCGCGAGCAGCGTGTGCGCGGCCTCCAACAACAGCATCCTGTCAGTCTACGACCTCGGCGACCCCGAGCCCGAGTTTGCTGTCAACATCAGCGCGCTGCATCTTGCCGCCGGTTGGCTTTTGAACTACACGGCGTCAGGTCTCCCCGCGGTGTCGTCGCTGAATTTCTGGTTCTGGTTCGCCCAGTCCGACACCTACAGCGCCATTTGGGAGGCCAACGCCTACACCACGTTGCAGAGCATGCTGTCGTTCATCCTCTGGGAGTTCTGCACCAACAACAACGAGAATCCGGCAGTCAAGCCCGAACTGAGCGGCGGACAGCCCAACCTCCCGGCATCATTTCAGACCACCGCTTCGGTCTGCCAGCCTTTTACAAGACTCGTGTTGCTCCGCGCCACGTTTGTCACGTACCTTGTTCTCGAGGCTGCTGCCCTCGTCTTCTGCTGGGCCGTTCTTGTCTGGCGGGCTTTCTCCCAACGCCATGCGCTCGAAATCTCTTCGTACCCACTGGTGGATTTCACGAGCAAGCTCCGGGAAAAGTCCACAGTGGACGGCAGCAGCACGGCCTCAATGTCCCAATTCATCACCCCCAATTCAGGTGACAAAGCAGTCAGACACTTGCTAGGCGATGTCAAGATGGTCGTTTTACGCCAACACAGTGAGATTGATCTAACCACCTCTGACCCTGATCATGTTAGCAGTAGTTTGTCAGATCGAGCAGATCTAGCGAGCGGCGCTCGCAGCTCAGTCTCTGAGCAACCTCGGCTCGTAAATGAAGACGCCCGCCCTCAGGAGAAGTCGCCAGTCGGGCAAACCGAACCACAGGTCGAAAAGCAGACAGATGTCGAGAATCCCGCATCTCCATCTGCCTCTCATGCTCAACGCCCTAGCAGCGGCAGTGATCAGGACGCCGCCAACGTCATCGTGGCGCTCGCAGACGGGCAGTCTCAAAGCAGGTGACCCAGTTTACTACTGGACATCTGTGGAAGAGGTGGCATTCCGCCAACGGACTCTATCTTCAAAGGAAAGGGGGTTCCGACTGCGCAAAATGGAATGGCAGAGCACCATACCACGCCACACAGCACCACGCCACATGACAGGGGACCTCGTGAGTGCTGTGTTGAACGACTGAGACGCAGATACGATGACGGTCGGAAAGCCAAATACCCTGTTGTCGGAAGTGTCCCTGTAACTGACTGAGAGAATCCACGAGATACAGTGCAGAAGTGGGAGGATGAATGGTACGTAGCTGGTGATATAATGCTATCTTGAAACAAAAGTCGAGTATCTGATTTAGAGGATGGACTCCCAGACAGACTAAAAAACAAGAGCCAAGATCACAATCAGTCCGCACATGTGGGTGATGACTCCATGCAGCGGCACAACCCCAACCTCGGCCCCGTCTGAAGTGGAAGTAGAACTTGAAGAAGCTGGAATGGTAGTCGTGGGGAATGACAGAGTACTGGCGGCGGGCCCTTCAACGCCTTCATACCCAACAGCGGTAATCGACGAGTCTGTGATGATGGCGCCGTCCCGAGCCACGACGGCGCCCAACGGATCTTCAAAATTGTGCGGGTAGCTTGGATTGGCAGCCGACCACGAGCTCAACGACTTCGGATTGGTGATCCACGGAGGAGCGCATGCTACTGGTTGGCTCTGTATTGCGTTGATGGTAAAGCCAAGCTGATACTGCGTTGGTTCGCAGGCGAAGAACACCTGGCCGTCGTTCGGCGTCGTAGGACCCCCAGGACCGTATAATGGATCGGTGGCAATGTTGCTGTTTGCGGTGGCGATGGCGCAGAAGGGACTGTTTGTGTCGGTGCTAGGTAGAAATTGGTTTCAGCGAGAACGAGCTGATGGCAGTACTCTTTCGGCCCAGTATAGTAGGCCGGCTGCTTCATGCAAGACGGGCCAGGGCTAAGGATTGCGATGTGACGGATATCATGCAGAACTTGGAAGGTGGCAAGGCTGGGGATGAATGGCTCACATACCACTTCAATATCTCTGTGTCGGCAGCGCAGGCATCGTCACACTGACTGCGCTGCGCATATCCCACGCACGATGAGACTGTGGGACATATCTTAGTCCAACAGCCTGGCACAGGACTAAACCAGCAGCAGCCCCACCAGTTGTTCGCTAGAAGGCACGTCTCGCTGGTCTGGCAGCGGTATGTGTAGTCCGAATACTCTGGGTTCGGTCAGCACGCCGGGCTCATGATACAGACACACACGCAGAGAGAGACAGAGAGACAAGGGAGTCATTTCTTACCCGAGTTTCCCTGTAAGACTCCGCATACTTGGGGGTCGGCTGACTGTCTTTTTTGCACCAAGAGGGGAGAGTGAGAAGCACGCGTGGGCTTCGGCGTCCACCCGTCGATCTCATATCCAGGTTGGACATGGCCAGTACATTCGGGTTGGTTCGAAGAGAGAGCGGCTGTGAGCTGGAGTAGCAAGAGGAAGCGGAAGAGCAAGAAAATACTGCCTTGGCTCGAGGTTTGTTGTTGCATTTTTTGACCCTGTCACAGCGAGCGTAACTCGTGAGAGGGTCTTTACCCTCTATCAAAGGGGCTGAGGATCGGGGGCAGCTTTGAGCCCTTGACTACCTCTATATATCCGTCCATCGTCGCAGGTAGAAGGAGGCGGCCGAGGCCGAGATTGAGGCCGAGGCTGAGGCTGGGATGCCTCCCTGCACGAGGGTCTCTGGAGGAGAGAGAAGGTTGGCAGACAGCAGACAGGGCTATTGGGATGGTGGCGGCATGGTCGTGCTGGATTGTGGTTGACTCGATGCCTCGCAGCTTGCCAGGACTGGACATGGCAGCTCGCTTCTCCCCCGGGTAGGACGACTTATTGGTAGCTGCTCTGAACGTGGCTTGTCAACGCACTACTAGCAGGGAAACTCGGCTTTGCATTAACTGAGACCTGCATATCATGGAGGTTGAGGTTGAGAAGTTCTCAGCCTTACGGCCATTGATTGACTGCCTGCCGCCAATTTGATAGGGAATCGAGTAAAAGATAAGGGAATAAAGGGATGTAGTGAATAGATATCAAGTCGCCGAAAGATGGGGATAGATTCTATATATCACAGAGGTCACTGGGAGAAACTTGGTCGGGGCCGTAGATTATAAAGCCAGGGCGATAAAACCACAGGGCTAATAGTAGGGAGGCTCCTTAGGCTACGTGAGATCGCGGCGTTGGCCTGCGGGTGCAGTTGTGGCCACAGGCTGCGCCCCACGACCGCTATTGAGCGACGTTCTCGCCCGGGTTCTGGGGAAGGTCAAGGCTAAGGAGGCTAAGGTACGGTAGGGAGGCCTAGGGAGCCGGCGTACTATCAGGGAACAAGGCACGTTAGACCGTTGATGCCTGGACATGACAATAATGCCTGGCTCTTGCTCATACTCCGCTCCCAAACCCATATTGTACCCCGCGAACTGGGAGAATCAACTCCTAGCGCAGTGGCTGCTCATGCCATGTCAGTGCAGGCCGCACACTGGCACAAGTCAATTGAATCTGCCAACGCTCTTGTATCTAAATGTTTCTCAAGGCACTCAACCAGTACACGCGCGCCACCTTCCCCCGGCCTTAACGCTCGACTGACGTCGGAATCTACGAGGAATATTTCCTTGTTGACAATGTGCACGCTTGGGGTTGATATCGCGAGCCTGAGTCCTCTCCACGGACCATTATTATGAGCCTGAGCAGCGCCTCTCACGGCATCCCTCCAATACAAAGAACCCATTCTACCGGCTTTCTCCCTGCCCCTCGCCAGATCCGCTTCGTCTCGACCGATGGGCAGCCACATAGTAAGAGAAGGCGTATAAATGCGGCTTGTTTGACATGTCGCAAGAGAAAGACTCGGTGTTCAGGGGACCGCCCCGTGTGCACAACCTGCACAGAATCTGGCCACACGTGTTCGGGCTATGCAGAGAGGACACCTAGGAAGGTGGCCGAGGGCGAAAGGGGCGAAGATGATGCTCGGGAGGAGGAGCAGGAGGAGTTGAGTTCCACCACTCCTCGAAAGCATCCAAAAAATGTCGGAGGTCTGCCACGGTCGCAACCCAAGCCAGAAAGGCAGAATCCAACAGATGGGAGTACTGGTACAAATGTGCTGGTGGACTACAAAGTCGAAAATGCGGACATCATAAGTCCTGCAAGCAACAAAACCGCAAGCAGCTTGACTGGCTCGAGAAACAGCGTACCCTATTTTCGATACTTTGGACCCACAGCCATTGTTCCTGGTTTCAAGCAGATGGTGGTCCAGGTCAAAGACCACCGTCGAAAGCAACCTTCCACGTTAGGGGAAACTCCTGCCTCAGGCCAGCCCTTGCAATCGAACTGGGGCGGTGGCCAGGGGAGGTCTCCTGTTGAGATACCCTTCTACGATGCCACGAACCTGGGAACAAATGCACCTCTGATAACACATCTGTGTGAGACGTTCTTCACTCACTTGGGGTGTAACTACCCATTTCTTCAACGCAAGCGGTTCTTGAAGGACCTCGAGGAGAAGCGGGTAGATGCGATCTTGGTCGATGCGGTGTGCGCGGTGGCCGCCCGATTCTCATCAGATCCTCTTCTGCTGGCCTCAAACGACCCTTCGATCCCCTTAGACTCGGACAACAACGTGAAGAGAGCCTTCCGCGGGCATCCATTCGCTCAAAGAGCCATGTCTGCAGTCATCGATACCTTTTCTTGCCCCACTATGGCGGTAGCTCAGGCTTGCGTACTGCTAGCATACGAGGAGTTTGGCGAAGATCATGACAGTGGCTTGTGGATGTACCTTGGTACGGCGATTCGCATGGCACAGGACCTTGGCATACAAAAACTCGAAGGCTTGCAACTTGAAGGTCGGATAGGCTCAACTCCCAAGACTGCAAAGCATGGGCAGGAAGGCAGGGCTGAAGAAAGGAGGAGGTACGAGCAGCAGCAGAGACTTTCGCACAATTTCCGCCATCAGGACAACACCCAACTCGACGACAGGAGGGCAAGTGAACAGGAACGAATAGATACCTTCTGGGCAATATTCTTCCTGGATCGAGCTGTATCATCTGGTGTCGGTCGGCCTGTCACTTTACGCGACAAAGATATTGAGATATCATTTCCTTACCGCTCTGACGAGGCCATGATCAATGGCTATCCGGATCCATTCCCAGCCATGATCAAGATTGTACACATGCACGGACGGGTTGCTGATGTCCTGAACACTATAAAGGAGGTCAGTCAAGCCACTCCCGACGTTCTGACCCGGCTGGCTAGTATGGAAAAGGATCTCACTGGTAAGGACCCTTCTGGTAGATGAGATGATGCGCTTCCACTGACCCCATTAGGTATCTACCAACGATTGTCGCCCAAATTACATTTCAATGCCACGAATTTCCAACATTACGTCAAAGCAGGCCATGGGACAAATTTCATCCTGTTGCATTTTTGGTTCCATACTTTGATCGTCCTCGTCCATCAACCAACATTGCTGCATTCATTTGAAGGCGGTATTCAGCAGCTTTTCCCCGATAGCCAGGAGCTATCCATGTCGTCAGCCAAAACCATTGCTGATATTCTAGCTTTTGCTGAGTTGATCGACGTCAAAAGCTTCATCGGAAATCCTTTCAGCTGTCAGCCTGTGTATGTCGCCGCATGTGCTTTCCTCGCCGAGGCTGCTTTCCATGCATCCCAGTCGCCTTCGGGAGCACCATCCCCTACGGCAAATGGACACGCTGGACACACACCAGAGGATAACTTCGAGATTGTCAATGTTAGGTCTTCTTCTGATGGGAAAGCCGCTTCTGCACGTCATACCCTGTTAGCCACTGCTGCCAACCAGAACTATCAACGGTGCTACAGAGCGTTGAAAGTCATGGATTCGTATTGGGCTGGATGTCGGTACATTCTGACAGCCCTGGACCAGAAATCGAAAGGGCTGAAGGATCCACTCCTTTTCACGGCAGAGGACATTGACGGAGAAATGCCTTCAACAGAGCCCTCTTTTACCACGCCTGGATGGCGAAGAAGTTCGGCGCTAGCTGCATCACTCGGAACCTATGGGAATGCCTTTCGTCGGCTTCGAGGGCTTGGTCAGGTGGACGAGAGCAGTGGTTTCTCTGCGAAGATTGACCTGGGCCAAGCCATCGGATGGTCTTTGACCGGGACAGCCAATTCACCCGCTCCCAGCATTAGCTTCCTCTACCCCAATACGAATGGGGAGAATTGTCCCCCTCCGTCAGAGATGCAAGGGCCGCATGCGCAGTTACCACGCGTGGATGGACCAAACGTACCATCGGCATCGCCGCCAAGGGTTGATCGAAGAAACCAGAGTTACGCTGGGCCAACGGCTACTAGGAACAAATTTGGAGCCTTGCCCTATGATCCTGTTTCTACAGCCGAAGCAGATCTTTTGCTAGGGTTGAACTCTCCATACGCAACGCCCTCAACGACCCAGTCCGTCATCAGATTAGGGCCTGGACAACAAGGTCAGCCGTCGAATGGCTTTGATTATAATCCCCCTCAAGCTTCTCAGCAAGCAGATTCGGTGAACTTTCAGCAGCATTTCATCGGTTCTCAAGACCAGAACTTCAACAACATGTTCGTTGAAGCTCAAGATGTTGATATCAGTGGTCAACAGCTGAATTTCAATTTCCCCGGTGGCGACATGATCCCATGGCTTGAGTACCTACCCCAGGATGTTTTGCATTACTTTGGAGACCCTCAAGCTGGTGATGGTGCGTTAATGCCTCCCGGGCCTTCTCCGTCTGGCTGAGTGATGGACCGCCCAGGATGTGTCGCTCAATCTGAGCACCAAATACAGTTGGTTGGAAATATTCTGCCACAAATGGGGACAGTGGTCGGTGATGTCAGCCAGGTACAGCCAGATGCAAGGCATTCTATGATACTAATCGCAGGAAGATCCTCGATTCCAAGAGCTTGGATCTTGAGGTTTCTCAGATGGGGGCTGGGAACTACAACCCCCGGACTCAGCTATGCTCAAACCGCAACGCTTCTCGATGCTGCAAGAATCTTACTGAAGCAATGGAACGGGGAGGGCAGGGATTAAAATTCCCGACTTTATCCTTACTTTCACGCGAGATCAAAAATTGCGAGCTCGAGCCACTTTTCAGTCCAGGTGCGTTGATCAGGGCCCGAATGGTACTTCTGAATACCTAAGAGAGTTGGGCGTCCCTGCTTGGAATGCTGGACCTCAAGACGCGCCTCCACGCATCAAAGCTGGATATTACAAGTGCCTTTGAGGTTTGTGATTTTCCAATTCTCATGCTCACCGTGACAAGATGGATCGCCCGGTGTTATTGCTTCTCTGGCTGTCCCTGTCATATGTTTCCTGGGCTCAACCAAGCCTCAGCATTGTCACCTCCGTGGTGTATGTTACAAGCACGATCTGTCCAGTCCCTCCCAGCTGTCTAAGGTCTACCTCATCCGTATCGAGCACCTCGCTCCCGCCCTCTACCACGACCAATTCTCCCATCGAGACTACGACATCCACAACCAGTGGTGCGGTCGCTTCTCCGACCGATGACCCGTTCACAATCCGTGTCTTGACTCAAGACGGAGGTTTACAAAAGCGAACATACCATTACGTTGCGTTCGACGACAGCGTTGCCGTCACTGTGGATGACCTGCAAGATGCTGCTCTGTTCTACCTCACGAACGGATATCTGATCAGTGACGGCATGTTTATAGGCGTGACCAATGCCACTGGATTCCAGCTCCTACAGAAATACGGCCAACCCGTCAACGTGAGTCAGGGCTGGACCATGGGTCCAGATCGTGGCGTCTCGTTCCACGGTGCGCTATTCACCACGGAAGATGGCACAGCTGATTTCTGTGCCCTTCCTGACGGGACTCTGGTGATGGAAATCACAGACTCGCCTGACATTTACTCAGATGCAGAACTGGCGGCGCTTCCCAGTAAGTACCTAAGCAACATACAAGAAATGAAACCCATTGTATTGACAGATGATGCACAGTACCTCCCTCGTCGACAAACACCACTTCACAGATGCAGTCTACGACGAGCGCCGAAAGTTCGGGTCCGTTGGCCTCGACGACCAGCCAGGATATTGGAACAACGGCAACAACGACAACGACCGATAATCTTCCCACATCCTCCTCGGTGGTGTCATCAAGCTTAGTGTCGACATCCATAGTGGAGCTTCTGAGCACAACATGGACTCAATCGTCCAGTATCACCATATCAGCAACGTCTATCTCGACGACAACAAGCATTGCCGCGACATCCTCGACCGTGGGAACGACAACGTCACGCAGCACTACTGCGATACCGAGCAGTGTGGCCATCACCTCGTCCACAACTATAGGCTTTACGACTTCATCAAGTTCAACCACTACGACTTCATCAAGGTCTTCTTCAACCACTACGGTCAATTCTTAGATTACTTCCAGCAGCACCTCCCGCTCAACGGTTTCGACCACGTCGACGTCCACTCCGACCAGCACTCCATCGACCACAACTTCTCTGCAGTCAACGAGTCTAAACTCTACTACCAGTTCCAGCATTAGTCAGTCTAGGAGTGGTACTTATACATGGTCCTTCACGAATACAACCAGCTCGACGCAGCCCACGTCAAGTACTGCCGCCAGTACCAGCCAGGCGTTGGTGACAACTTCGTCTGCCAGTACGTCCTCGGCCACATCGACATCGACATCGAGCTCTACTACCACCAGAACTTCGTCCAGGTCGAGCTCTTCGACGACTAGCACATTATCAACACCGTCGTCGTCCTCTTCAAGTTCCAGTACGGTGACGACAAGGTCGATGAATTCTACGACGACTTCCACCACGACAACAACTACAAGCACGTCAACCACTCCAAGTACATCAACCACTACCAGCACGTCTACCACTACAAGCACGACAACAACTACAACGGCAACTCCTACTCCAGTTTGCGGCCAACAAATCCCGTCCATCTGCGCCCACTTCCTTTCAAACTACTTAGTCGCCACGCTCCAGTGTACGAATCCTCAAGGATGTACAACCTCGGACTTGATGACCATGGGAATTTCGCTGACAAGTCTCGTGTCGGCGTCAGCTTATGCATTTGACACCGGCAACGTTGTATATGCCTTTACAATATCTGCGGCTCAGTTTCTTGTTGAGGTGAATACGGCTGGATCTGTGGCAACGGTGTGTGGCCCTTTCGACGCATCATTGAGCATTACTGTCTATGATGGCAATTGTCCTGTCAGTTCGAGCTCGACGTCGACATCGACATCTTCTACTAGGTCTAGCTCTTCAACTTCCAGTACTGCGACGACGACTAGGTCCACAACCACGACGTCTACGTCTACGTCCACTATTACAACATCAACGACGACAACTTCTAGACCGACTACCAGCACAACGACCACGACGTCAACGACTACGACATCGACGACAACTACCACCAGATCAACCACAACGTCGAAGACTACGACGTCAACAACTACGACATCTACGACAACTACTACCAGACCGACGACCACGACGTCATCGACCACGACATCAACAACAACTACTACCAGACCTACCACTATCACCACTACCTCTACCACTACCACCAGCAGGCCGACCACAACAACCACCACATCTACGACGACCACAGCAGCAGCATCTTGCTCCACCTTCGTCTCGGTCAACGCATGTGCACAAGCGCTGTCTTGGGAATCTCGGAACCAGTTCTCATGTGCTGGACCCTGCACCTATACCATGGCTGCCAATTTCGCCAGGACCTATTCTGGGATGATGTCTTTTGCTTACCTCGGCACTGTGGCCTATGTGTTCGGATACAACCCGTCCTCCGAGGTAATTCAACTGCAGTATTTGACTTCATATTTCTGCTCTGGTAGTTCGGGGGTCTCGGTCTATGATAGATCGTGTTTGGGCATCTAGAGCAGCGATACGGACATCGGCGACGACCTCACCTTGGACTACGAGGTTTAATGGTACCGGGTCGATCTAGTCGCTTTCGTCCAGATGGCGCTCGTATATCGACGGTGCTGTGCAGAGAGAAGAGAAGACAAGGGCCATCGACGAAGCTGCTCGCATAGGTCTGGGTGGGTTTTGCGGGCGAAAGAAGAGGAGTAGTTACGATGTAACAGGGCTCAGTTCTAGAGGTGGTATCTAGTCAAAGATATTGTTCCCTTCAACGATAAGACCCTGCATATTCGTTCTGCTTCTGCAGCTCGTGGCTTCTTGTAGACAGTTTGGGGTTTCCACGAACACTATGCTTTACTACCGGCTGGCTCCCACTAAGGTCTGTGCACACTTTCCTAGCCTCCGTAGCCACTCCATCCCCACGGCCAAACACACGCTTCAGAGTTTTCAGCGCAGAACTTTTATTTTGTACATATATCAGACTAGCCACATTTTTGAATAAATTGGTTGGTGAGAATACCATCTACCAATTCACCTAAGGCAACGTGGCCGAGTGGTTATGGCGCAAGTTTCAGGACATCTGAACTTAGCTTTGGTTAAAAATCCGTCTACTTGTGGGTAAAACCGCGTGGGTTCGAGTCCCACCGTTGTCAACAATTTTTTGCTTCTTGTGCGACTGGTGCCCTCCAGGTTTCTGTTTCGTCTGCGTATCCCAAGGGTGGTTGATGTCCAGGAACAATTGTCGCATCCCATAGTGAAACAAACTCTAGACAAACATGATACAAGGCTGAGGTTCAGGCTACTCAAACTTGAATGAGGATGAAATGTCCAGACTATATAACCTAGGTACCTAGAAAAAGGCGTCGTCTTCCTTCCACAGCTAGTTCATTAACTTGAACATCGCCATATTAAAATGCGAAAGGTATTTGGTTACAAAAAGTCAAACCAGGCTCCTAGTACTGCATCTACAGACTGTTCACAGAGTTATTTACTTCAGGCTAATGGTTAAAGGGACGGATTACAGCCATGAATACACCCTTAGTTGCCTATCTTCTCAAGGACTGACAAAACCTGACTGACCATAGATACCATTATGACTGATCCAAGAACTTCGTCATTGTCGTCTCCCTCTTAGACATCGTTCACATCGTTAGGCAACAAGATGTCTTCAGGTTTCCAGTCTTTGATGGCCCCTCTGGTCTTGTCTTCTAAATCAACGGCCACTCGACCTGACTCTCGGCCCCGAAAATGGGGTCGCCTCCCTCGTAAGTACCTTAACTACGGTGATTGCGACTCCCAAGAAAGCGAGGTTTGTGATCTGGAAACTGATGGAGCAGAATGGCAGCTCACAGTCGCCCGCCGAAGGTCTTTGCATTCGCCTCCTGACTGATGTGGCTGATGAATTGCCCTCACCGCACAGACAGGCACCAGCTTCGCGACATCACAGAACGGCAGTGGTAGGTGATTGGTGTCTTTTATCGCCACGATTGCGTCTCCCAGGTCTGCCTTCATACAATCAACCAATCCCCGCGTTATCCTGGGCAAACGAGGGTGGCGTTACTGAGCTACAAGCAGGGTCGAGCCGTGTCGCCGCAGATGCTGATTCGCGCCTCTGAGACTGGCATTCGTAGGAAACGTGTTTGCCTGGCCGCGGGGTGACGATTCGTCTATCAAGACATCACTTCATCGGAAGGACTATAAGATCTCTGGTTTTCCTCACACCCTTTGACTCTGCCTTTCACTGTCCTATCCATCACCATCATCCTCTTTACTGATCAAATTCAAGAGTTTTATGTTCTTACAGAAACTGTAAGTCCAAGTCCGGGATACCAACAACACCAAGATGCCTCCCATTTTTATACCCCCGCTCTTCCATATGAATCCTCCCCCGAATCCCTTCTGGGACTTCGTCAACGGCATCGAAGATCATCCCTTCTTCGCCCAATACCGTGGACCGTTCCCTCCTGGACCGCCACCGCCACAACGAGCGCAGGCTCGTCCTGAAGCCAGCCCGGAGGATCCTCCAGAAGTCGATCCATCCACTCTCCGTGGTCAGGCTGCGCAGTCAGACACCAACATGCCGTTCCGTGGTCGTGGCCGATTCGAAAATGCCTTCAATCGCGAGGGAAGCGGTAGCAGCAGCAGCAGCAGCAGCAGTGAGAGCGACGGAGAGGGTCGCCGTCGCACCGGCGGAAGGGGACCTCACGGTCCTGGTACCCATCACCATCATCATGGCCATCATGGACCACACGGACATGGCCCTTGGGGCGGTCGAGGTGGCCATCGTGGACCACCGCCCTTCGCTGGTGGTCCCTTCATGTTCGGCCCTCCCCCTCACGCTCACGGGCCACCAGGCTCTGGGCGACGTGGTGCTCATCCTCCACCTCCCCCTCCAGCAGCAGGCAGTGAAGGTCCACAGGGCCGTGGTCCTTTTGGCTGGTCTCGCGGACGCGGAGGATGCTCCAGAGGCCGACCCGGACACCACGGTCCCAGTTCGCGCTCTCACCCCAGAGATGGTCCATTCGGAGGGTCTGGCCCGTTCGACATGGGCAACTTCCTAAACAATCTCGGCGAACGACTTGGAGTTGATCTGACTTCAGCCGCTGAAGGCCTCGGTCTGGACATTGGCCGATACAGCTCGCCCCGCTCCCACGACAGCGACTTCGAGCCGAGAACCGACATATTCGACACCGCCTCGCAATATCTCATCCACCTTTCCCTCCCTGGGGCCAAGAAATCCGACGTGGGTGTCGAATGGGACGGCGAACATTCGCTGCTGCGCGTCACCGGGGTCGTCCATCGCCCAGGGGTCGATGAAGAAACGCTGTCCCATCTGGTCGTCGATGGAAGAAAGCGTGAAACAGGCGTCTTTGAAAAGAACATTCGCCTCGGCACGGAAAAGGAACCCGTCGACATCGACGTGAGCGGCATCGCCGCCAAGATGATCGACGGTGTTCTTGTCATCAGCGTGCCCAAGAACGAGAAGACACGTTTCCAGAAGAGGGAGGTCCGCATCGACAGCTCTCCTTCCGTAGAGAAGTCGAACGAGAAGCAGCATGAGGACATCAACATGGATGAGCATGATGTGGACGCCACCTCTCCTCAAGACCACGATGGAGAGATGTACGACACCGAAGCGACGCCGGCAAAGGCCTCGTCAAGCAGCTCGTCCAAAGTGATTGAAAAACAGCGAGAAGCTGAACAGGAACATCTCAGAGATGACCGCTCCAAGACTCTAGGCTTCAATCATCCCGACGCCACGGTCGAGACACTTCCTCTCTACGAGGTTGAAGACAGGAGTGTCAAAGACAACAAGACCGAGAATGGCCACGCTCAACAGCAACAATCCCAGGGCCAGGAGCGACAAGACGTGCATGCGCATGTCGATGACGAGGAGGAGATGAGTGATTGGGAAAAAGCCGGGTCCGACGACGAAGGCGAAGGCGACTACGTCAAGATCAACGTCGACTAGGAAAGAGCTTTCTTTGGGTGGAATTATGACAATCACAAGAGACATCTACCAGTCAATGATGAGGTAGATATGGACAGTCTTTTGGATCTGATACAAGTTTGTTTCACATGTTTGGAGTTTCAGGTCTACTTGACTTATTGATAACACCAAAGCACCTCATCTCTATGATGAGATAAACTCACATGAGGCAGTATAAAACAAGTATGACTGTTATCAAATAGCACTCATCACCACCTGACTGCCATCGTTCGCAGACATACGGGGATAAAATGATAAAAAAAACAAAGTTTGGCGTTTCAATTTGCCAACATATATCTTCCGTTTCTTTCTTCCCGTTTCTAGTAATAGTGCACTGTTCCTCGCCATCGTCGCAGTTCTCGAACTCTCTTCGCTTCCCGTTTGCCCTTCTTCAAGTCGAGCACAACCCATATCCAAGGAGTTCGGTCGTGATCACCATGCTGTGTGGATGGCCCTGTGCTGTTTCTCTGCTGCTACAGATAGATAGCATCATCTGTCCAGATCGATGCCCTCGCTGGCCTCTGGAATGGATAGAGAGCTATTGGATACTAGCGAGCCATGTAGTAGTGGTAGCAGCAGGCGTCCGCAGGCTGAGAGTATATGTAACTAACAGTCGGTCGATGCGCAGCTGCGCAAGACGTGGATGCCAAGCCGTGCGTGGTCACGATGTATCTAGTGGTAGTGCAAGTGCCCGGATGAATGGCAAGAGCTACCACCTACCAGAGGCATGTAGTGTATGAACCTGGCGTGCTTCTCGACTCTGACAATAGCATCTACTCCATCGTATCGGGAAGCTCTCTGGATGCTGGACTCCTGCTAACCTACCCAGGTACCTACCTACCTTGACCTACCCAGGTCCGTTGCAGGCTGCCACGACCTTCTCCATGTCTCCCAGGCTCATCACCCGCTCACGAGCCTTGCGGGACCGGTGGCCGCCGTGCGGCAGACGTGCGGCAGACGTGAACGATTCTAAACTGCACTGTGCCGCTCTGAGGGAACTCTCGGCTCAATGTTTGAAACGCTGCAGTGGCTCCCCGCACACAACCCACGTTCTCCTACGCGCACGATCGAACTGAGAACATATATACACTCTGTTCTGCATCGACTTCAACAATGATGATTCCAAGACGACCAGTGGCGGCAATTCGAAAGAGATGGCGAAGCATGCATGGCTTTCGTTTCGCAGCAAAGCGGTAACGGCAGGTTGCTGCACAGCAGAGAAGCCTATCTCCGTAAGGAAGTGCCCATAGGTAAGGTATGCAGTGAAAGCACAGACGCGAAATTAAGGTATGTTGTAACTCCACCGATATATACCTAAGGAAGAGGAGAATCGACGCCCAGCTCGTAGGGTTTCTCTGTATACGGTATAGCGCGGCATTGAGCTCCCCCGTATCTCACAACCCATAGAGGGGCCTGATCGGAAGAAGCTGTCATTCTGACTCCGAATCTACCATTCTACAAGGCCTGTTCGCAGAGACTCATGATGGTGTCGACGGATTTAAGATGCTCGCTGCTCTACAGGCCCGAACTGAGAGCACAGTTTGTCGTCCCATGAACCAGAGAACGTGTTGATTCATTTTACTTCCACCTGGAATTGGGTAGGTGCTGTGCCTCCGTCCAGGGACTGAGTTGCCCTTTTCCCAGAAAGCTTCTCAACTACGTGAGTACCTACGAATGAGGAGCTGGCTACCTTGGTATCTCCGCTGGTAAGGTATATATATTCATACCGCTGGACGTTTCTCTCGCATTCATCTTCGTCCCCCGTTCCCACGTCCAACACAAAAGCTGTACTTGCACTGCTTACCTGTTCACACCACTCGACCCAGTTCCTGTGAAAACTCAACCACTCCACCGCTCCCATCGTCCACCATGCCCTCATTCCTATACTCCCAGCTGTTCGTCCGACCAAAATACCCGACCACCTCATTCGCCGGCAAGACTGTGATTGTAACGGGCTCCAACACCGGCCTCGGAAAAGAAGCAGCACGCCACTTTGCACGTCTAGGCGCGTCCAAAGTCATCCTCGCCGTGCGCAACACCAAAGCCGGGGAAGCGGCCAAACAAGACATCGAATCAACCACACACTGTGCCTCAGACGTAGTTGAGATATGGGCGCTCGACCTCTCTTCATTTGAATCCGTAAAGGCCTTCGCAGAACGTGCAACCAAGAATCTATCCCGCATCGATGTCTTACTTGAAAACGCCGGAATCGCTGTGGCCAAGTACGACGTCGCCGAAGGTCACGAACGAACCATCACAGTCAACGTGATCAGCACGTTCCTGTTGGCGTTGCTCCTCCTGCCCAAGCTGGAAGCAACTGCCCAAAAATTCAACACCCAGCCACACCTCACGATCGTGTCGAGCGAGGTGCACGGCCATTGCAAATTCCCCGAATGGAAAGCCGACAATACCTTCGCCACCCTCTCCAGCAAAGAGACTGCTAACATGGACGAGAGGTACCCAGTCAGCAAATTGCTGGAAGTGCTGGTCTGTCGTGCACTGGCTCCCAAACTGGACGGAACGGGCGTCATCCTCAATTACCTCAATCCTGGACTATGTCATTCGGAGTTGTCGCGCGAGGGACCCTTGATGCTGGAGGTGCTCAAGTTCTTCCTGGCCAGAACTGCTGAAGTGGGGAGTCGGATTTTGGTCGCTGCCGCCGTGGCCGGGCCTGAGTCGCATGGCAAATATATTTCTAACGGCATCGTCCTGGAGGAAGACCTGTCGCCCTTTGTCAAGAGCGAAGATGGGAAAGCTGCCTCGGAGAAGATCTGGAAAGAGTTGACGGCCATTCTGGAGGAGATCCAGCCTGGTGTTACTGCGAATGCTTTGAAATAGGTTCCGGAAGGTGCTCTATAAGTGATAGGATGCAAGCAATGGATATGATACAAAACATACTCCAACCGTCCACATAACGGAGGTTATGTATTTCATGTTCAAGGAAATCAATTCAAGGCTCTCATGGGACAGCGAGGAAGATGACGCTAAGAGACAGGTCATTGACCTTCGTGACCGCGTGGATCAAGGTACTGTGCAGTGTGATACCTCTTCTTAAAAAGTGCATCATCCTTCGGGCATTCGAAGGATCGCGAACCGGCGTTTACCGCTGTGTTCGTTCCAGTACCTGCACAGGACCGGCCTGATGCATTGCGCCCTTCGGACTCTGGGATTCAAGTTACCTAAAATGACAAGACTGACTCACAGACTGGAGAATCGGGGACTCGGAGGGGTGGATCTCCAATACTAATAAACCGGGCTGTCTGACACGAGAAAAGCCCTCGCCACGAGCCTCAGACTGAACGCTTTCTCGTCTGACAGAAAATAACATCATTTCCCGGTCCCGCATCTACATCCCACCATCATTGAGGTTTGGGGCTCGTGATGATTTTCTGTCCGAGCAGACATTCATATACAGGACCTCTGGACTTGACAACTTAAGGCTCGGTCCTCAGCTTCCGTCTCCTCAGCACAGTTCAGGTTCTGTGAGCCGGCTGAAATCCTTCTTCTACACGTGCCACACCTCCAGCTCTACATCGCCGAACCATCACGATGGCCACCAACGGAGTCCATGCGTCCGTCGCAGAAGCAGACGACTTGGACAAAGCCCCGCGTGCCCCGGTCGATCCTCACGCGGTCGAAGACTTAGACTCGCACTCCCTACTGAGCCTCGAGACGCTATCTGCGGCGACGCAGGCGATCCACGCGGACGATGCGCTGAACGTGGTCGACGACGTGGCGCCTCCGATCCACGTGAGCACGACGTTCCGCTACGACCGGGACCCGTCGCGGCTGCGGCCCTTCCACGAACGGTCGGCACCCATCTACGACCCGACGGAGCACGTCTACTCGCGCCACACGACGCACAGCAGCTCGCGGCTCGAAGCCATCCTGGGCGTCCTCTTGCACAATCCGTGTCTCACGTACTCGTCGGGCCTGGCGGCGTTCAATGCGCTGATCACATTCCTGAACCCCCAAAGAGTGGCCATTGGCGCCGGATACCATGGATGTCACGGCGTGTTGAAACTGCATCAGAAACTGTCGGGCCTGAAACTGCTGCCGTTGGACTGTAAGCCCGAAGACCTGCAGGAGGGCGATCTGCTGCACTTGGAAACACCCGTCAACCCGACCGGCCGGGCTTTCGATATCCAGCACTATGCCGACGTGGCCCATTCGAGGGGCGCCTACCTCAGCGTCGATGCGACGTTTGCACCACCGCCGCTGCAAGATCCCTTCAAACATGGGGCAGACATCGTGATGCATTCCGGGACGAAATACATTGGTGGCCATTCCGACATGCTCTGTGGCGTGCTGGCCGTCAAGAACAAGGAGTGGCTGCCCACGATGTTGGAGGAACGGCTACACCTCGGTGCCGTCATGGGCGGTCTGGAAGGTTGGCTGGGCGTGAGAAGCGTGCGCACCCTCGAGTTGAGAGTGATGAAGCAGAGCGCAAGCGCTCAGCGAATAGTCGACGCACTTGACGGCGCTCTGACCGGGAAGACCGTCGGCACAGGTCTGTCGCAGTCGGATGCTGAGATCATCAAGTCCGTGGTCAAAGAGGTGTACCATGCCAGCCTGCAGACCGATGACTACAAAACCTGGCTGAGGAAACAGATGCCTAACGGCTACGGGCCTGTTTTCTCAATAACCATGAAATCCCCCGACCTGGCTCGCACCCTGCCCAGCAAGCTGCACCTGTTCCACCACGCCACGAGTCTGGGTGGGGTGGAGAGCTTGATTGAATGGCGGACCATGACCGATTCGTCGGTGGAGAAGGACCTTTTGAGGATAAGCATCGGCATTGAAGACGACAGGGACCTTCTTGACGATCTCATCCAAGGGTTCCGAGCTCTGAAGCAAGACAAGTGATGACATTGCCCGACCTGCCAGTAGACATAGATCAGGATAGAGGATTCCCACGAGGATCAGGATGAATCCATTCATATCCATTGAGACGGCTGATGCTCTTCCAGACTAGTTCCTCTGCTTGACGCTGCTCCCGGGCTGACGTCGTCCATATTATCTGACATGTCACTCTCATGGTGCAGGCGGAGGATGTCTCCTTCTTTGGAATGCTTGCGCGAGTCACCCTTCGCTAACTCTCTATTCACGTAAGGTTCGGGTATCTCGGAGACAGGCGGTGGTGGCCGAACTGGACGCATCGGCCTCGGAGAAATGATTTCCGGTGTATGAGATAGACCTCGACTATCTGGGGGTTTCACACCAGACCCTAGCCGTAGCGTCATTTCGAATTCTTTGTCCAAATGCGAAGCCGAATTTGCCGGTGACATCCCTGTCTGTACTCTCCGCAACCCCCTAGGTCGCAGTATATCCGGTGGATCATGTCGAGTGACGGAGGGTTGTTGAGCATTGGGATGATTGGCGAACCTTGTGCCATGCGTTGTCGGAGGTACATAGGACTGGGATCGACTGGACATAGGTGAAAACGACCTAGCCCTTGCCCTGGCCTTGGAGATCTCCACCGGAGGGATCAGAGCCTGTTCTCCCCCTTCGCCGATGACCACAGGAGGAGCCTCAATGAAAGTAACACTCAGGCCTCGACCACGACCTTTCCGCTTCGACAATGAACTAGCAGACTGACTGCGTGTGTGGTACGCCGGTCGGAGAAAGTCCGAGCCGTCCTGGTAGTCCTGTGCCACGACTGGCCGTGCCGCAGGCCATCTCTGAGAATTCGACACATCAATCCGTGGCACCACGATCCGGCGAGGCGATTGTTTAGGTTTCGCCAGAGAATCGGCCGTGGACGGTCGTGACGAGGACTGCTCATTCGAGACGGGTGCGGCCGATGGATGCGCCAAAACAAGGGTGGATGGGTGAGGATCGTGGCCAGAAGTCCAGCTGGAAGTTGATGTGCGACCAGCAGACAGAAACTCGTTCACGTCTTCGTCGAGGATATTGTCCGACTCTTCATGTCTGTCTCCATGTTTCTTGAATTTGCTTTTCGTCCGAGCCAGAGCGCCCTTGAATCGATCTCGTTTGGACACTTTGGTGTTGTCAGAGGCGGCATGATCAGCCTTCTCGTCCTCGTCCATCGTGTCGACAGTCAATCCGCACCGTGTTCATTGTGAAGGGGGGCGATGGATGAGGAGGGGAAAGAAGATACCTAGAGGCTTGTCGACACGCGCCCAAAGGCTGAAACAGGTGGATCGAGGGGTGGACGTCAGATGCAACGAAGGAGGTGGTAACAGGCGGCTGGAATGCTCGGTGCAGGTCCGTGGTGAAGCGCGAAGCACACGGCGTGCATTATCGTGTTGGCAACTCTGGTACCAGCGAGACCACCTCAGTCAGTCAATCGTAACGAAGAATTCGAGGCATTTGACATCTCACATTGGGTCCTGTTGGTCAAGTAGGAATCGCAACGGATTGACAACTCATCATACTAGCGAGTAGGTACTGGTTACGTACTATACTGGACCCTGGGCTGCCTTACTAAGTTACAGTATTAGCCTGGCACTGCCCACTTTGTGCCTGGATGGTGGACACCGCGACCTCTGATCAGACTTGACGGAGAGCGGGAGCGGGATCAAACGGCCAGAATGGAGATGGAACAGCGCTAGCTGGTCACGTGTAGATCAGAATACTGGAGGTCCGCCGATTGTCCCTTATCTTATCTTATCGTCCATCCCCTAGTTCTTCAGCCTCCTTTTGAGCCTCGGTTGTTAAGGGGCTTGTGCTGACATGACGAGGGGCCTTTACCGCACGAGATGAATTAAACCATGGTCCATACCTTCGATGACAACTCCATCTGTAGGCAATTTCAGCATCTAATACTTCCTTCGGACTTGTGTTCTCCATTTCGTCTTGTCCCGGTTTGCTGTCTCAGAAACCAGTGGTCGACCACATGCCATTGAACAGCCCTCGATAGGAACATATCCAGCCGCGGGCGTTCAACCAGCAATCATGGCTCCGGACCGGGCCCCCAAGAGAACAATCTTCCAAATGAACGACTTCTTGAATCTCCCAATTCGAGACCGCGTACAAGCCCTCTCGGATGCCATCATCAAAGACCCCGACTTCTTCGGGTTCGACACCTACGCCCTACGTTCCGGCGTAAAACTAGTCGACGTCCAACCCAACATCACAAAATGGGAAATAGAAATCGGATCCCACCTCTGCAATAGGTCACGAAACCTGCATGGGGGAGCGGCAGCCACGATTTTGGACAACCTGACCTCGACGGCTCTTTTGACGATAGCCAAGCCGGGTTTTCTCGATGGAGGGCACGTTAGTCGCACGATCACTATGAGTTATCTCCGGCCTGTCCCTATAGGGGCGAAAGTGACGGTCGATTGTGAGGTTCAGTCGGCAGGGAGGAACATGGCCAACATTGTGGGCAAGATCTTTCTTGATGGGAAGCTTTGTGTTAGCTGTGTCCACGATAAAGCAGTGTTTGCACGACAGCCGGCTGCGAAGTTGTGATTCATGAACGGATGGACGGGTGATGCCTGGTCATGACGATGCTGGGTTTGGAACGAGCGTCTCAGGATTCAGAAACATGGGGTTATACTAGAAGGGTTTGATAGATCGAGATCCCTAAATCAGCTCAACGTTGAACATGTACACAGTAAGCTTTGCGTCTGATATGCCTGACACCACGCACCTACTCGGGTGTCATTTTAATAAGAGGAGAACGAATATAACAAAATCCCCGCCAGAAAATAAAGAGTGCCATGATCGTAAGGAGTTTACTGATAGGGCCGATCAATCAACGAGAATAGAAGCATAGAAAACCACCCATGCGATGAGCATGTCCGGGGCTGCTGGTTGATGGTACTCGTTCATTGCCAGAATGCCATTGCCAGATTGATGCTGGCCGAAAGCTCTGATGGTAGCTCTGATGGTAGCTCTGATGGCAGCTCTGTGGCAGCAATGCCCTGATGCAGTCTCATGGCGCAAATCCAGCCAAGAGGGCAGCAAACCTCTCCTCCAGCTCCTCTCTCATCGTCTCTCTCAACTCTTCCAACACTTCCTGCTTCAGCTGTTCCTTCAAGGCGAGGATCGGGTCATCGATCTCTGGCTCAGCCTCCACCTGCTGGCCATCGTCCTCTTCCTTCACCATCATTTCCTCGTCCTCGTCCTCGTCCTCATCCTCATCCTCATCCTCATCCTCATCCTC